AAGTTATTAGCCTATCATTTTTGAATTGGAAATACATACGCGCACAATTATCAAAAAGGAGTCCAAAATATTTTCTCGCTTTCTTCTTATCTCTATCCATTTGCTCATTATACATTCCTTCTTTTCCCTCGCTTTCTTCTAGTTTGTTCACTTCATCCATTTTCTCTCCAAGTTTTTCCCAGTCAAATTTCACTAAAAAAAGGGGTCGATTCATCAGCCAATAAATATTCCAGCGAGAGCCCTTGAGGCCAAAATTTGGATTATTAATTGATTGATACCTCTCAAGAAGAAGAGCGCTTCCGTACTGAAACGAAAATACCGTGGCAAGTGTCGTCTGTATATGCTATACTCTGCTCTGAACTTGTTAAAGCTTTCTGAAAGTGAGTATTGCGGTTTATATTTAAGCTCAACACATGTTATATATTCATTATTCTTGTTGCCTATTTCTTTATACTTAATCATAATATCAGGGGTTGAAACAATATTCCCTTCAATTGGAAATGAGTACTGTTGTGAAGGTACCAACCTAAAATCTTTCAGAATCATCAGTCGGAAAAATGTACTTATGTTGTAGAAAACTGAAAGAAAAAAAGCTTCAAAATTATTCTCTGAGTGAATTTCGCTAATGGTCATATAGAATTTAGGATTCCTCACATCGGTGAAATGTTTTGGGAATTCAATTGCTCCAACTTGGCGCAACCACCTCCTAGCTACAGAAGGTGCAAAATAGAACATAGGAAGTTTTGAGTCGGCGGTTCTTTCCTCATTGTAATTTTTGATTGATTTCAAGCTGATTTCTGATCTTCGGCTACTTCTTGTTCTTGAATTTTGATTGGAGCCTGATGTTATGTTTTTTGGTTGTTCTTCGTTTCTGCCCTTGCCGCCCTTTTTGAAAACAAGCTACCCTTGAAGACAAAGCTCAAGGTGGCAAAGATTCCAAAAATTGGTCGCACAGTGTAGCTTAAACTATCACAGAAATATTCGGTAGCTTGTTCACAAAGATACCCAGTAGCACCTAGAGTTGAAAAATCAAAACTGGTTTTAGGAAGCGAGCCTTTGTCCCATTCATTTTTGAATCCATCAAATGCAGATTTTAAAGATTTTTCAGATTCTCAATATTCATCTCCTTGGTCTGAGGAAGGAGGTTCCTCCATACCTGGAGTAATCTTTTCTTTCCCTTTCCTAGCTCTTTTTCTTGGATGTTGGCTAGGACTGCTCATTGGAGGCCTTATTCTTTCCAATTTCAGGATCAATTGATCTAATACTATTTTTCTAAAATCTCGGGAGAGATTTCTTTGCTTCACATATTTATGTATATATAGCAAAATTTTCAAATATCGCGTATTAGTTGTTTGCTAATGGTTTTAATATATTGTGCCATTGGTAACAAAATAGAGTGAAGTGGGAAGAGAGATGAGATAAGATGATTAAATTTCTGTGATGAAAATTATTAGAGTATACCACGACGGTGGTATTTGAGCCCTTTCTCCGATCAATCCTAAGTATGATGCCAATGCTAGATTGCACTGACGGTTGCTATACTGCTAGTTCCAGACTATATTTAATTAGTATTAGCAACCGTAACTCAGGCAAATCAGGAATAACCTGGATAATGATGTTAGGAGCTTCTGATAGTCAAGAAGAAAGAATTTTACAAGAAAGGATGGCTAAATTCGTTAATCACTCAAACTAGAAAATTATATAGTTGAGTAGTGAAGAAGAGCAATAAACATCGACTTGACAGACCCGAAAGAATCTTATCATAGTAATGAGTTCAGCTGATGATTCCAATGATCCTGTTATTGCTGATGCACTGAACACTTCCACTAATAAGTCTTGATTCGGCTTCTATTTCTAAACAACAAGCGGGTGACACTAGCTTAGCTAGCGACTCCCATCAGTATGAAATATTTTTGTAGTGTGGCATGAATTAATTTTTGCCACACTGGTATGAACATTTCAGGTGGTTGATGCGAATAAAAGATGAAATCATTGTACCAAACAAAAAACTAAATGTGTAATGCACGTACGTAATCAATGACATAGCAGCACCCGGACATCTATTCTTGAAGAAACCCTAACACACGTTATAACCAAGTGTATGGTATACTGTGGGTTGATGCGGGAAAACGTATTACCCCGTGACTAAAAATCACTTATGCAAATGAATACGATCGCAACTTCTTATTAATGTCCAATCACAGCCCACCGCTTAGAAAGCAGCATTGCAGAACCCATCTGTCTTATCCCTAACGAATCTATGTTGTCCCACTTCACCCCTTCCTCCAAATAGATATATAGGTATTTGATACTCTTACAATCAGCAAGGATATCGATAACCTCCAATAATTTCTTTCTTGTTTTATAAAATTGGTTTATTGCTGTCTGTTCTGCAATTGATCTTGCCAGGTATTTTTGGTAGTGCGCACGCGCGCTGTACTCATCTCGGCAGCCCCAATAAAATATTGCTCCTATTACGTGTATAGACAGCAATATTGCTGTTATTACGTATATAAATAGTAATAATGCCCATAATTTCCCGTTCTTATGAGACCGTGTTATCGAGTTCGCGGTTCCTACCTCATTTTATGTGCAAGCGAAACAGAAATCGATATTAATAATGTCTAATAAGAGAGTCTTCTCCACTTCTGAAGGCTGCCCAGTCAGCGAGCCATATGCTACCCAAAGAATTGGTCAGGATGGTCCTTTGCTTTTGCAAGATTTCAGCTTGATTGATTCCTTGGCCCATTTCGACAGAGAGCGTATTCCTGAGCGTGTGGTTCATGCTAAGGGTTCTGGTGCTTATGGTTATTTCGAGGTCACTGACGATATTTCTGATATGTGTAGCGCTGCTTTCTTGAATAAGGTTGGCAAGAAGACCAAGACTTTTGTGAGATTTAGTACTGTTGGTGGTGAAAAAGGCTCTGCTGACACTGCTAGAGATCCAAGAGGGTTTGCTGTCAAGTTTTACACTGAAGAAGGTAACTATGACTTGGTTATGAATAATACCCCGGTCTTCTTTATCAGAGATCCTTCCAAGTTCCCACACTTTATTCACACCCAAAAGAGAAACCCAGAAACAAATTTGAAAGATCCGGACATGTTTTGGGACTATTTGACCTCGAACCAAGAAGCAATCCATCAAGTTTGTATCTTGTTTAGTGACAGAGGCACTCCTCATGGATACAGATTTATGCATGGTTACTCTGGCCATACTTACAAGTGGACCAATGCCAAAGGTGAATGGAGATATGTCCAAATCCATTTTAGATGTGATCAAGGTATCAAAACCTTGAACAACGAGCAAGCTGGTACTTTGGCTGGATCTGATCCTGACTTTGCTCAACAAGATTTGTTCAGCGCTATCAAGAGAGGTGATAATCCTTCTTGGACTGTGTATGTGCAATCAATGACCCAAGAAGAAGCTGCCAAATTACCATTCTCCGTCTTTGATTTGACCAAAGTCTGGCCCCAATCTCAATTCCCATTAAGAAAATTCGGGAAGTTTGTTCTTGATGAAAATCCACAAAACTATTTCGCCGAAGTTGAACAAGCTGCCTTCTCTCCTTCACATACCGTTCCAGGTATCGAAGCTTCGGCTGATCCAGTGCTTCAATCGAGACTTTTCTCGTATCCAGATACTCACCGTCATCGTTTGGGTGTCAACTATAATCAAATTCCTGTCAATTGCCCTTTTGCTGCCCGTTCAGCATACGCTCCTCATATTAGGGACGGTGCGATGCAAGTGAATGGGAATTTGGGCTCTGCTCCAAACTATCTCGCAACAAATGTTCCGGTAGAAGTACGCAGTGATGTGAAATTACAAGCACATCAAGAAGTATGGACTGGCCCGGCATTTGCTAGGCACTGGAAAGTGGTTGGACCAATTGATTTCCAACAAGCTACTGACTTGTATGCTAAGGTGTTGTCGAAGCAACCAGGCCAACAAAAAGCCTTGGCCCACAATGTTGCGGTACACGCCTCAGCGGCAAAGAGGGATATTCAAGATCGTGTCATTGATATGTTCACCAAGGTTCATCCTACTTTAGGCGCGGATATCAAGAGGGAAATTTACCAGCTTGATCCTCGTGACGGTGGGAAAAATGAGGAGTTGTTCAATAAGGATGGAAAAGTTTCTGCATGTCCTTTCCACTCCGAATTGTGAAAGGGCATATGCTGTCTTTTTGTTTCTTACTTCCTGATACAGTGATTTTCATTTGATTGGGAAATAGGATGCTGGAGCCAAATCTTTTCGTATTAGTGTCTAAGTTTTATTCCTGATATCTTTTGATGCTAGTCTCTGTTAACGGTATTGCTTTTGAGTTTTGTCAGTACAGTGACTTCAATTTTTTTTTTTTGGTTCCAAATGCTCATATCAATATATGAGGGGCCCACCACCACACCTTCTACCATACATTGATTCTTTCCTATTTCTTATAATTATCATCACATGTGTATGATAAATACCCGGTGTTGTATGTAGAAAAGAGCTCCGAGTTCTTCAGAATTGAGTAATTTTCGAACTACTTGAGTAGCAAAGAGGTTTTTGGCACCATTAATAGAAAAAAAATTGATATGAATAATTGCAGAGTAATGGCATGAAATATTTTTTGTAGTTTGGTATGAGCATTTCTGGTGGTTGATGGCAATAAAAAAAAATCACTGCATATAAAATGCATATTTCCATCTTTTTTTTTTTTTCTATATTTCAATTTGTATGACTTGTGGGAGCTGCTATTGTAAGAAAGTAGTTAAAAAGTATCTGAAATGCATTCATTTTGGGGAAGATCTGACCATTCTCAATACTACACTATAAATGATCATTTACAGTAATATAAAACTTCAATATAATTTCCATGGTATTTTTTTCAAAACATACAAAAAAAACGTACAACAAGATGAAGAATTAAAAATAAAAAGAAAATAGTTAACCACACTCCCTAAGGAAATATTAATACAAAGACAAGAAGAAAGACAAAAAAAAAAAGGACAAAAAATCGTTACGCTCCACTACGGAAAATATTTTTCCCTTGGCTTCTAAACTGAATAGTGTCATGTTTTTCCAACACATATAATGCATGGTCAAGCCCTTCGGAAGAATAGTTTTTCCCATCGATAAATTCTCTTTTCAAAGTTTGGTAAGATGTCGACCAACCAATTGGCAATCTTCTTCTCAATTCGTCCTCGATTAATTTCACCTCACGTACCAAATCGGCCCTCATACCATTTCCTTCATTCACCGCATTCATAGTAGAAGCTCTAAAGAGCCTGATTGCTTCATCAACGTGTTCTTCGGTGGCCACGGGACTCAATCTCAACTTGGCCAATGCTTCGGTGATACGAACAATCGCTTCCAATTGACGCACGGTGATAGGAATCGATGATCTTTCATTACGTTGCTCTTCGCTGATATGCACTTGCTTTCTAATTTCCACAAAATACGAAGACAATTTCTCTGACGCTTCAGGGGTCAATCTTGGAGCACATTTAGACTTGCAATAAAGAATGTAACGCTTCATTTTGTTGATATCGTAGTCTCCGTTGATTTGTTGCTGGAGGTTGTTTCTTCCAGTATGGATATTCATGACGTGCGACGCGATTTCAATATCTCTTTTTTCATTATGATCATCTTTGACAATGAAAATCATATCAAAACGCGATAAGATGGTGGTTTGGAAATCAATGTTTTCTCCCGGGGATTTCATATCGTCGTATCTGCCGTAAATTGGGTTAGCGGCGGCAAGGACCGAAGTACGGGAATTCAAGATCGTGGTGATCCCTGCTTTGGCAATGGAAATGGTCTGCTGTTCCATGGCTTCGTGAATCGCCACCCGATCCTCATCTCTCATTTTGTCGAACTCATCGATACACACCACCCCACCATCGGCTAACACCATAGCCCCACCTTCCAAGTAAAACTCTCTGGTCATGGGATCTCTTTGGACCGAAGCGGTTAAACCAGCGGCAGAAGACCCTTTACCGGAAGTATAGATGGAAATCGGGGCGACTTTCTCGACAAATTTAAGTAATTGGGATTTGGCGGTACCGGGGTCCCCAAGAAGCAACACGTTGATGTCCCCTCGCAATTTCAACCCGTCTGGTAATTGTTTTCTCGAGCCACCCATGAGCAAACAAGCAATGGCTTTTTTAATATCGTCGTTACCATAAATCGATGGGGCGATAGAATTGGCAAACGACTCGTAAATGTTGGGGTTTCTTGACATTTTCAAGAATTCTTCTTCTTCCTCTTCGGAGAAATGTGGGTTACCAAGCGAGCTATGGTCGACGTCGGCTTCAATCCCCAACACTCTAACATAGGGGTTTCTAATGGCCACGGAGCTGGAATTTTTTTTGTTCTTTGATTGATAAATCGAGTAGATCCCGGTGATGGTGACTCTGTTACCAGGCACCACTTTGTTGGTCAAGTATCTATCGGAGGATAACATGATGTGCCTTGGCATTTCCCCTACCGGGACCATATCGTGACTTTCTTGAAGTTTCAAGATTTGGTGGTCGATATAAGTGGATTTGTTATGGACGATTCTGTAAGGATCAGGAGGACAATTAGTTTTTTGGCCCCCTGGTTGGACTGGGGCTTCACAATTGGAAGGAAGGATTAATGACCCGAACGCCGAATTGACTTGTACTCTCATGGTATGTTTACAATTACCGCAGACCAATTGGACCATGGTAGCCTTTGAGCTGAGCACCGAGGCGCTGATGATAATCCCGCTAATTCTCACGATTTTCGAGATATTGTTGGAGTCCAATTCTCTAATGGAGACCTCGTTATCTTTGGATCTGAGGATTAATTGACAGCTTGGGAAATGGCTAGGGATTTCTGATTGTAAATAGATGATTCTTTGGGCGGATTCGGTGATGGCTTTTTCAAACAACGGGATCATTTCTACTGGGTCGTCGGCCAAGCGTTGGTTGAGTTCTTCATTGTAACGGATCAAATGGTCTGATTGGACGGTGAGGGAGTATTCATTGACCAACAAGTTTTCGCGGAGCTGTTCTCTGTAGATGAACTGTGACCCTTCTCTGTATTCCAAGATGAATGTGCGGAACGCCTTGACGATTTCTGTGTTGGCGTTTTCGGGGTTTTCTTCACCAGGAAGGACCCTGGCGCTGTAGATATCGGGTCTATCGAACGACATGGGGGGGTAGGATATTAGAGGGAGAGGATAATTAGTAGAGATTGAGAGATAAATGTCAACAAAAGAAGGTATGGAAGAGAAAGAAATGTGAATCAATCTCGCCAACAACAACCAACAGGGGGAGGAAAAAAATCGGGCAAAAAAAACCTGAAAAATCGACGCGTCTTCCCGATTAGGAAATGTTTTGTTTTTATTTTTATTTTCGTGTTTTTGGGGTTTCTTGTTTGTTATTACTATTATTATTATTATTATTATTATTTGACTACAATCGATGGATATGATCAGTATCGGTATCGGTATTGTGTCAACAGACCTGCTGGAAGATATCAACCACAGAGCAAAGACAGTTGTCAAAATCGATGGGAGGGGTTACTTCAATGTCTGTGGGGTGTTGTAATATAATATAATATAATATATAGTATAGTATAATATAATATAGCAGATAATAATAACACAGTAAGGCGTGGGTGAGAGAGAGAGAGAGAGAGAGATCCACACTGCGGTGGGTGGGGCGGCCTGTTTGCCATTTCCTGTCTCCCCCGCCGCCGCCAGGGCTTCTTTTTCTGGTTTTCTTTTTCTGGTTTTGTTTTTCTGGTTTTGTTTTTCTGGCGGTGGGTGACAAATTACTCTGTTTGTTCTTCCTTTGTAGGCCGGTAGATAGAGCAGATATATACACCCAGGGCTGTTGCTGTTGTTATTATCATTAGGCATCAACTACACCATATATCATATCATATCATATCATATCATATCATATCACTGGTCCTCCCCTCCCTCCCACTACCTATTACACTTCTTAGACTGCCCTTTTACTCTTTCTTTCTTTTTTTTTTCTTTTTTTTTCTTTTTTTTTTCTTTCATTCTTTTTTTTTTGACAGATTCATCCATGCCGAGGAAATAAATAATTCATCACATCACCACCATGTCTGACCCATTCCAAAGTGCCCGCAATCTAGACCACTCTAACAGAATGAGTAGCAACTACCACCCTCGTGGCCTACCCAATAATACCTCTCAGAACAGTAATAATAATAATAATAATAATAATAATAATAGTAATAATAATAATAATACTAATAATAATGCAAATCCTACAAAACATGTCTCGTCGCTGAAAAAGCAGTTCTTAGAGAATATCGAAGTTTACGAGATCTCTGGAACCCAACCACCATTCTTTAGAGTGAAATCCTCGATCGAGGTCATCGATAATAACCGCTTGTTCTTATACGGTGGTTTTGACGAGGATGATAATTTAGATACCAGCATCTACCTCCTTGACTTGACCACCAACAAATGGCACACCATCAACACCATCAACACCCCCCAGAACCATCAGAACCACCAGAACCACCAGCATCAGCACCAGCATCAGCACCAGCATCAGCACCACGAAATATCTAGAGAAGGCCATACCACAAACTATATCGGCAACAATAAAGTGTTGGTGTTTGGAGGAGTCCCGTATGACGACGCCAACCACCATCATGCCAATCAATTACAAGCATCCCAAATATTGATCTATGACATTATGCAAAACCAATGGAGTGTGCCTCAACAACAATTATCTGCTAGCCCCGTCCCGGCCCCTCGCTCTCGTCATGCTACCTGCTTGTCTCCTGATAACACCAAACTTTTCGTCAGTGGAGGGTTGAACTCCGTCACCAATGAGTTATACGACTCGTTATATTGTTACGACTTGATCAATCACAAATGGGATGGCCCCAGGAAATTTATCAAGCGCTTCGATCATCACATCTCCTACTATAACCAGAAAATCTGGTCGTTTGGTGGGTTGGACCAAAAAATGAATATCATCAATAGTAACGAGATCCATTACTTTGATTTATCCAATAACGTGGTGGGGAAAATCGAAATCTACAATTTGCCCAAACTTATTGGTGATCATGTTTATTTACCAATTTCCGCGGGAGGAGGAGGGCAATATCATAATAATAATAATAATAATAATATTTCTTCGACCACCATCAGCACCGCCAATCCCATGATGTTGGACATTATCATCCCCCTTTGGAACTCATATAATCAACAAACCAACAATCCAGGGTACGAAATCACCACCCCGTGTATTTCATTGCTCGATTTGACCAACCTCAAGTGGAAAAAAATCTTATACGGCAACTTTGAACCGCTAAATAAATTTGTCTGGCGGCATACATTTATTAATAATAATGCGTTGTATATGTTGGGGTATCCATTGACTCAAGATATCAACTTGACATCATTCGATTACAAATTAACAAATTTGGTGAAGATCGAATTGGATCAATTGGGATTTTGTAACCAACACTATGAACAACAAAAATACTTGCAAAGTTTGAATTATGCGTTGTTCAATGATAAATTGAAAGATATTGATAATAATAATAATAATAATGGGAAACTTCTTGATGGGTTGTTGGTGGTGAACAATAATATTAATAAAAATGTCGACCATCAATTAAGTGTTGATTTTGCGAAATTCTTACAACAGAAAAAATTCACGGATTTCGAAATCATTGGCGTGGAAAGCTTGAAAAGACCTCCGATTTCCAATGCGACAATTTTCTTTGAAAATCATCAAGCACAAGAATTCCTAGCAGCAACGGGAACTAATCGGAAACATCTGGTATATTTGAAATCTAAACCAATCAAAGTTCATATGTCGATGTTATTGGCCCGCTGGCCATATTTCCGAAGAATGATGGAATCAGGAATGGATGAAGTCAATGCTCGTCTGATGTTCATCCAGGAACCGGTGTCATGGATCAGATCATTAATTCAGTATTTGTATACTGGGTCATTGATTGCGGTTTCTGATGGTGATATGTATGGGTTATTGATCTTAGCCAATTATTACGAACTAGACGGGTTGTTTCGACAAATTCTCATGATTTTGAACTCGCAAGTCACCATGAATGTTAAAATTGCCATTAAGTTGTACATTTTGAGTACCGAGATTGAACGCGGCACTTATACCTTACGGAAACGATCGTTGGAATATTTATTTAACCATTGGGGGAAAGTTGTCCGGTCAAAACATTTTCAAAACTTGTCGAAATCGCAAATGGTGATGTTGTGTCAAGAAATCAATGAGAATACCATGATCGTGAACCAAGATTACACCAATAAGTTGGCGATAAATAATGATTTCAACGTTACCAACGTTGTCGATGATAACAATGTGATCAATTACCAATACGGGGCTAGCAGACGTTCGAATAATGTGTTGGTGATGGATAATGTTGAAGGAATGATTCTGAGAGATCCTGCAGGGTACGGAATGATAGGAGGGATGATAAAGATGAATAATAATGATAATGATTATGATAATAATGATAATAATAATGATATTAATGACAATAATAATAATAATAATAGTAATAATAATACTAATAATAATACTACTACTACTACTAATAATAATAATAATAATAATAATAATAATAATAATAATAATGGGTCTACGAGTAACAATAACGGTGAGAATGAAGAAGAAGAAGAAGAAGAAGAAGAAGAAGAAGAAGAGGAGGAGGAACCGGTGATAACCCCTACAAGAAGAAGATCACCACGAATCATTCGCAGAACAAGAAGTCGCACTCGGGCAATGGTGAATTACGGGAATGATTTTAGCGATGGTGAGGATTATCACGGTAATTTAGATTCCAATAATGTGAACAACAGTGATACTAGAGACGAAGATCCCGACGAGGCTGCTACGAATTTAAATTCCGATCATATTGGTAACGATGAGTACTATTTGTACCAGCAGCAACTACGACCTTTAGGAGTTGGGGAAGAAAGTGATGAGCAAAGTGATGCCAGTGAAGAAGACGATGAGGAGGAAGAGTTTGATGCTGATGTGGGTGGAGGTGATGATGATGATGATGATGATGATGACGAAGGAAGTGAGGATGAATTGATGAATGAGTGAGATATATTACTATTATCATCATCCAGCAGATATCAGGCAGCTAATTGGAAAGCTTTTTTTCTTTTTTCTTTTTGTTATTGAGAGAGAGAGAGAGAGAGAGAGAGTAAGAGGTGGTTTTATTTGGGTTTCTTCGGTGGATGCTTTTAATTCTATTTTCTTTTATTTTTTCGGATTATATTTTAAATCTACTTTTCCTTCTTCTTATTTTATATACTTGATTATACGATACCTATAGAAGTTACAAAGAAATTAAAAAGCACGGGAAGATTTCCCGTATGGAGTTAAGGAATTTTCTTTTTCTTTTTCTTTTTCTTTTTCTTATGTTGTGTCTAGAGTGACGGTTTTTTCGGGATTACCAATAGTATTTTATTTATTTATTTATTTATTTATTTATTTATTTAAAAAAAAGGAAAAGAATAGGGTAAACGGGGGGCATATGATAGATAGATAGATAGACACCAGCTACGGTTTAAAATATGATTAGTTATCCATCCGTGGTGGCCGGCAGATCAATCGCAATTAGTAATTGACCACCACTCCACTCCGCTCCGCCCAACGATCGATCGATCGATCAATGGATGGATGATTCATACCTGCCTTTTCCCGCAAATCGCCTCCCGAAGGGTGCCATTTGTTACTGGGGATGGATAGCAAAAATGATACTAAATATATTGAGAGAGTGTGATATATAGAATAGTAGTAATATAATATATAATATAATATAATATATAATATATAATATATAATATATAATATATAATATATAATATATAATATATAATACCCACAACATATAATAGAATAAGAAGAAACAACAGCCCGCCGGCTTGTCGCCCCACGTGACACGCGTCAGCACTCCAATTTTTTTTTTTTTTTTTTTCTCTTAAAAAAAAAAAATTTTTTGCGCCAAAAGGAAAAAATTAATGAGAAAAAAAAAAAAAGGAAAAATTGTTGGCGTTTTCTACTTTTCTTTTCCTGTTAGCTCCTCCATATATAAAACCAAACAGAAGTTCAAAACTATTTTTCTTATTCACATAGGAAAATCCTTTTGTTCTTTCTATTTATATTTGCCTTCTCAAATCACCCCTCTCAACCAAAATAAAAGAGAAATAAAAACCAAACCATCACCACACTGTTTGTTGTCTGCCTGGCGTTGTTTTATCACAAATAGCCCCAAAACGAGAACTTTTGTCCATCATCATCAGTCTTGTGTTTTTTCATTCACTCTTTTTTTTTTTTTTAGGGTATTCTCCACTTAGTGATTCTCTATAATCATCTTTTTTTTTTATTCTGATTCTCTGAATATTTCTCAACGACCTTTTAATTAAGTTGCTCGTTGAATCGATCGAAAAAAAAAAAAAGAAGCCCCATTCTAATCCTCTATCATTCATAATCACCAAGAAGAAAAAGAGAATTATTTAAGTCAAAAAAATAATGTACGCTGTTAGCCAACCACCACATTATTATTATCCTCCTCCTCCTCCTCCGCCTTCTTCTTCTGTCGGGGGAAATAACTATGCTCTCCAACCTCTGGTCAACCCCGGGTATGGCAATTCTGCCAGATTGTCCAACAATAATATTTACAATCAAGGCTCGCTTCCTAATCATCAGCATGCCCCAATGTTACCGCAACTTCATCTCGCGCCAATATCTCTCCAGCATCATCAAGTGAATCAATCTCACCAGTTTAGAAATCATTTGAGAAATTCTAGCCAAAACAGCCGTTTCCTTCAAAATAACCAACAACCTTATCCTGCTCCTCCTCCTCATCATCAACAACAAGAAACCGTCGTCGATGACAAGGGATATAACAGTTATGTCATGGCCAAGTTTGCTGCAGAATTCGCGTTCGATGTCTTGCAAGGATATGTGCCCCAAATACCAGAGTCATTTGTAACCAAGTTGACCAGCGTTTTGGATGCCACTAGATTATCCAAAACTTCGGTATTATTGGGCTTGACGTACTTACACAGACGGAAAAGATTAGCCACTTTATCACACCGGGGTGAATTGCAATATAACTTACAAAACGAGAAGATTTTCCTTTATACCGCAGTGGCATTGATCATTGCTAACAAGTACAACGATGACAATACGTTTACCAACAGATCATGGTCGAACGCCACCGGAATCTCGATCCAAGACTTGAATTCCAGCGAAAGAGATTGGTTGGTGTCGTGTAATTATGATTTGCACTTCAATGTCCAAAGTCAACAATTCAAAAACCAATACTACTCAAGTTATAACCCCCAACCTTATGAAACTAGACCTTGGTTGGTATCGCTCGACACCGTCAACCCTAAAGGATACTTTAATTCTCAAATATCATACGCTACCAATGAAATATATGGTACAAACGATCCGGCTAAAAAGTCTTTGACTAACGGCATTCAAGATTACCAGTGCATTGAGAGCATGTACAATTATTTTGAAAGTCATCGTTCATTGAGATCACCGATCATGACCTCATTCGACCAATCGTCTAATTACTACAGCCCAATTTCCAACAATAATAGCTATGTCTACCATAACCAGTATGAAGATCGCTATAAATCAGAAATTAGAACCCCCAAATCGGCATGCGATTTCAATAATGATTTGAGCAAATATTCTACAAGACCCGGTTTACAAAAATATGACTATCCAAATGGTTTGTTTTCCAAGAATTACAATGATCAATATGGTTATGCCGCCGCCAACAACAACAACAATAACACTCCACATGATTATCCACTAATGGCCAACCGGTCCCAGTCAAATTTCGGTCATCAACTTCCACATTCCGGCTTTGACAGTTATGCGAATTGTACAGATAACCTGAATACCGCCGCCGCCGTCAACAATAATATGAATAATCTCCGCCGCTCAAGCTCCAGGCACTCTATCAACCAATCACAAACACAGCTACCTCCATTGTTGTCAACTGGATTGGGCATGGGTTCCAACTCCCTCGCCAATTATGATTCTGCATCTGTTTCGTCGTTCCCAACGTTAGGATATGACACCAATATGAGTACAAGTCCAAACTACAGCTCGAATTATTTCAACACGACCTTGTTTAGAGGCTCGGACAGTGGAATCAATAATTCGGGGTTGACTGGGCTAACCATGAGCACAGGAGGTAGACCTTATTTTTTCAATAATAATGGTATCAATGATGGCTTGAGTATTTGTGGAAACAATAATAGATCATTCCAATTTTATATTTGATTTCTGTGGATAGATAGAATTGTCTTTTGTTCTTTTTTTTTTTTGAAGCAAAGTGAAAAAAAAAAAAAAAAAAAAAAATTGGGTTTTGGTTTATTTGTTGTGTTTGCTAAAGAGTTGTTTTTTTTTGCTTGTTTTTTTTTATCTTTCCATGGTTATATCTCTAGAGTTTGCTTTTATTTTTTGTTTTTTGTTTTTTTTCATAAATTTGCTGGTTGCCTATAATTAGGAAAGAGAAGGGTGTGATTTTCCATTGCACCTTACTGATTATCTTGATCCCTATTAACGTCAATCAATCACTTTTAAATTTTTTGCGTTTCAGTTTTAATACTTTTCATGTTGTTTTTTTTTCAGTTTTCTATTCTACCAAAAGTCAAATTGTTTTCCTATATTATATTCTATTGTTTTATCTCTCTCTCTCTCCCTTCCTCCCTGTCTCATACATTTTTATCTCTTGTATTTTGTTGATGGTGACTTTTTTTTTTTTTTGTTTTTTCACCACATATCAATCAACCTTAATTTGCCGTTGACTAATTTTTAATTCTTTTTTTTTTTTGAGTTTTATCACTCATACTAATTACTTTTGCTTTTTTGAAGTCAATGGTGTTTGTTGAAATATTTTTTTTTTTTTTTTTTTTTTTTTTTTGACTTTTGTTATTGATTTTGAACAGCAATTATATCTTTTCTTTTTATTTATTATCCTTTAAACAGTTACTATTTTGGAGAGTAATATATATTGTGTTTTGTGTTCTGCAGTTTTACCTGTATTATGATATGATATCATTGATGAATGATATCCAATAACGGATGAGGTAACCGTTTGAAAAAAAAAGCCTCCCAATTGAAAGGGCCATTTAAAGGTCTCTATTTTATAGAATATATATATATATATTATCTGCCTGTCAGAAAAAAAAAAAAGGCCATCTTTTTGAAGAAAACTTATCGATGTTGATGATGATAGTATATTCACGTGATGATGTTTTAATTGCAACTCCGTCGCGGGTGGTTTTTCTGGTCACAAGATAACTAGAACACTTTTTTTTTTTTATTTAATATTTTATTATCATTATTATTGTTTTTATTTTTCTTATTTGATTGTTTCATAACAGTACTTACTTTTATCACTACTTATTGTTGGAAGAACCAAAGGAAAAAAAAAAAAAAAAGGTAGATAGATATATTGCTACACTACCACTATGGACGTGCAAGTTTCAATACCCAGAACATCATTGATTGATGGTTCATACACGGTTTATCACGTACTGGTGCGACTTCCCTTAAGGAAGTATGAGTTGGCCAGACGGTACTCTGATTTTTACAAACTATTCCATGATATGGAAGAGGAAATGCGGTACAAGAACAACAAGAAATTCCCGCTAGTGGTGCCTCCCAAAACCAAGTTTTATCAGAATAGCAACGATCGCGAAGTGGTGGAGTTTCGGAGAAGTGAGTTCGAGTACATCTTGCTGCAAATCGTGAATAACGGGGTCGATGATGATGGTGATTGGAGGAACACTTTGGCGTTTGAAGGGTTCTTGGAACTACCCCTGGGGATCTTCAAGGAGAGTACTAGTGGTAGTACTAGTAATAATAATAATAAAAATAATAATAAAAGTAATAATACGGCAATGCATTATTCGTTGAAATCCGGTGTTGGTGGGGGAAATGACCCGATTATCGATATTGGAGCGTGGTTGGATACAGTGCGCGAGTGTCGGAAATTACTACAAGTTGCTAGAAGTCTTTGTGCTAGTAATCCTCAGCAAACCCGGAAGAATTTGATCGTGGTGCGATCGAGGTTTGACCCATTAGACCAAGGGTTGAAACTTCATGAGATAAACCAGAAGAAGAATCGGGGTGGGTTGGCAGCAAAGGACAGGTCCGTCGCCGCTGGAGGTCCTGAAGTTTTAGGAGATGGAGAGATCAGAAGGAGGAAAGATTTGTTGAGTTCTCTCAAGCAAGAGCATGGGAATATTGAAAGTTTATTGACCAGCATCAATGGGGAGAAATATAATGGCAGCAGCAGCAGCAGCAGCAGCAGCAGTGAGAAACCAATATCGACAATGCCGGGAAGTTTCAATGTCGTCGTGATGTCGGAGTCTCGTGGGGTAAATGAAGTTAATGGGTTATTTGGGAAAAAACCATCCAGACGGGTTTTGGGACAACCGTTGCCAGAGACTGACGAGACCCGGGGACTAGGAGATACAGATTTGTTGCAACAGCAGCAATTGAAGTTGAAAACCCAAGACGATGAGCTTGCAATGTTGAGTAAAGCAATCCAAAGACAGAAAATGATGGGGTTGACGATCAATGAGGAGTTGGATTACCAAAACACCCTTCTAGGAGAGCTTGATAGGGATGTTGATAATGCGTCTACGAAGTTGAAGTATGCCAATAAGAAAACCAGGAAAATCAATGGATAATCGGTTAGTATAGTATATAAAATATATTGATTAGTGGTGATGGATGAGATCATCATTATCATTATTTATAATTCAAAAAGAATATTCATTATTATTATTATTATTATTATTATTGTAATTGTTGCGTATAGGTATTTTATTTAGACAGCGATTCGGTAGGTGGGAAAGCGTTAGTGTCACATGACACGGGATTTTACCATTTTTTTTTCCTTTCGTTGTTGGGGAATTTTTTTTCGGCAAGACGTCAACCACCACCATTCTTAGATAGATCGATTCTTTGAAGCCTGGTTTCTATTGTCCTACACAGAATTGAGGTTCAGAAGAAAGAAAAAAAAAAAATAGAGCTTAGCTAACTACTGTTTTTGCGCTTTATATTTATATTCATATTCATATTATTATTAATATTATTTTCTGTTTTGTTTGCTTTCATTTGTCAATTTCATTTTTTGTGCCGAAAATTGATCCTTGGAATAGATAAATAAACCCATAAAAAACTAGCCACGCACACAACTCTTCAGAAGAATTTGCTTTCTACGTCCGCTCAATCAACAAAAGCTAAATATAAAATAAAAATAAAAAGAAGAAAGGACCAACCATGACCACTACTTCTGCCAGAACCATTCCTCAAGGAAGAATTGAAACCATCACTTCGGAAGAAGAATTACGCTTGAAAGAACTTTGGGCGTATATCTTGAATTTCTGGGGCAGACCAGCGAAAATCCCTACTTCCAGTGAGGGTAAGAAATTGTTGAGAGCCTCTTGTACCCTTGGAAACGAATACGAAGATGCCACTATCGACAGTGCTGCCAGTGGTGCTGCTGCTGCCACCGCCGATGCCACCAGTAGCACCACTGCCAAAGAGAAGAAAAGTGGTGGGAAATTCTCAAAATTCAAATTAGGGAAAAAGAAAACCAAGGAGACTAGTGCCACCGCCACTGCCAGCCCAGCAGTGAGTCAAAATGGCACTTTTGGCCACAAAAGAGTCGGTTCTCTTAGTGAATCGATCAAACAAATCCCTTCGAAAGTGGAAATTGAAGGGAGATACACCGACGAGATGGTGCATGGGGCCCTTAAAGATTTGAAACCCGATGAGATGTATGAGAATTTCTGGAGTTTTTTGAGGCTCGACTCCCCAGATAATTTGGTGTTGCGATTCTTGCGTGCCAGAAAATGGGACGTCGATAAGTCGTTGGCGATGATCAGCAACACTTTGCATTGGAGAATCAAGGATTCCCAGATTGATAGACACTTGAGAGAAGGGGAATTGAAACTTTGGGAAGAGTATATCAATAGTGATAAGACCAACAACGCTGGGGTGTTCAAGAACTACGAATTAAACAAGTCTTACATCAGAGGGTTTGACAAGCAAGGTAGACCGATCGTGGTGGTTAGACCAAGATTGCACCATTCTTCCGATCAAACCATCGAAGAAATGCAATTGTACACCTTGATGGTGATTGAAACCGCGAGATTATTCTTGAAAGAACCGGTTGATTCTGCTTCGATCTTGTTTGATATGAGTGATTTCTCATTGTCTAATATGGATTACTCCCCAGTTAAGTTTATGATCAGCGCGTTCGAGGCGCATTATCCTGAGTCCTTGGGGGTGTTGTTGATTCATAAGGCCCCTTGGGTGTTCAGTGGTATTTGGAACATCATCAAGAACTGGTTAGATCCGGTCGTGGCTTCCAAAGTCAATTTCACTAAAAACACCCTGGATTTAGAAAAATTCATCGAAGCCGAAAATTTGCCGGCATCTCTTGGTGGTAAGGACGATTTCGAGCCAACTTATATCGAACCAAAAGAAGGTGAAAATGATTTGGTGATCAATGACTCGCCAGAGAAGACTCAATTGATCAAGGAACGTGAAGAAATTATTGAGAACTTTATTGTCACCACTTTGAAATGGATTGAAGCTGATGATTCTGCGGAGAGTGCCGGGTTCTTGGAACAAAGAATCAAGATCGGCAAACAATTGAATGATAATTACATTAAGTTGGACCCATATATTAGAGGAAGAAGTAACTTTGATAGATTAGGTTTGATAAATTTTTGTTAAATTGTGAGTTAACAAGGCAAAACTGAAAAAAAAAAGGGGTGAAAAGTTGGATTCTTCTCAACTTTTTTGATACCTGAACATTCATTTTGTTTTTGTTTGTTTGTTCCTTTTCTGTTTCTAATCTTGTTTTGCTTTATATGATTTTGGTTTCCACAATGATCCATATTTCTTTGAACAATTTTTGATTTCTAGTAATTATTGTTTTTTTGTTTTGTTTTGTTTTGTTTTTTCATCGAAGGTAATTTTAAATAGAATCATTGTCAGGTTCATTTGCTTTTTCCATTATTTAGTTTCATTTTCTTTTTTTCATATTTTCTTTTATTTATTTGTTTCTGTTGCTTCATTAATTCTTGATTTCTTTTATTTTTACCTGAAAATATCATTTACTTTGTCTTAATTATATAATGAACACCACCTATGCCAAGAGCACTAATAGTCATGATAAAAAAAAAAAAAAATTAATAATAATAATAATAATAATCAAATGTTTTCTTTTTTTTTTTTTTTTCTATTCTGTATGGACTAAATTGAATTTAATGCAATTTAGCCAAGACCATTACAAAGATGGACAGTTCTAAAGAGGACCCCATTAGAGTATAACTGGAGATTAATTGACCAGTAATGGATCGATCATCTGCTTAAAAAGAAGAATAAAAGCAGCTTACATTAACCAAAGAATATTTTGATATTTGATTCATATAAATTGGAAAATACTATATATATACATAAATAAAAAAATTAAGTAATAGAGCAAAAGAGATCCTCCAGAGGAAGCTGCTCAAAGAAGAATTGAAAATGGTGATGATGACAAAAATTTATGTCCAATTGACGTATGTGATGATATTTATGGAAAAGCTGGTAAAAGTACAATGACTGCAGCAAACGAGAAAAAAGAATGGCAGTACGATAATGATGATGAATTTAGAACTCCCAAACCACAACATCTATTGGCTTATAGTAGTGAAGTGGTTGGTACAGTGTTGGAATTTTCGTAGGATGCGGTGTTGATTGGTGGTGCATGTGAACCAGTTGATGTTTCCACCGTCCCCATAGCTAGAGAATTCTCGTATAATTGGAATGGCGACGTTGGACGGATTCTTGGAGCTCTAAGTCTGTAATCGAAAGTTCTTATTGATCCATCTGAGTACGTCGAGACTTGGATAAATGAGGCACCAATTGAGGATAGAAGGGCTGCACCAACGGCAATGGTGGAAGTTTTCATGGTTGTTGTGAAGATGTTGGAGGAAAGTTTCTTTTGTTTGAAAGAGATCCAGAAAGAATAAAGTGAAACAACAACAAAAAAAAAACCAAGAAATTATGGATGATTGAGGATTTCACATTTAATATATATATATATATTGTACAACGTACATTCCACAGAAACAGTCCATTAGCGACATCTGGTGCCATGCATCAAAGGGACCTTACCTACCTACTCCAGTATGCCATAACCGGATGCAACGGGGGAAATTTCAAACTTCCAATAGTTCAACGATTCACACGGCTCTAAACTGGTATTGAATATTGCCAACATATATACACATAACTATATAATACGATAATAATCTAGTAGTATCCTACACGGTGGGGGAGAATAACCCTAGGTGCCTTTAGCAACAGATCAAGAGCTCCGTTTGTTTACTTTTTTTTTCTGTTTCACAAGAAGAAGGATCATCGAGCGGTAGCAACCGATCCCATTGGAAAAACAAGGAAATATTATTATTTTGATAGTTGATAGATCTGCTGGAAAGAAAGACAAGGACAAAAACTGCATTTTGAAAATCCCCCCTTGATAAATAATCTTATTGACTTCTTGTACTTCTTCTTCTTCACAGATCATCATATTTGGATAATCTTCATGACAATATCGCAGGGACCTTCCAGAGAATCTTCAATAACTGTGGCCGTTAGAGTCAGGCCCTTCACCGCAACAGAGAGTTCTCGACTAATTGTCAAGCAGGATGACCAACAACTTCTAGGAGATGGAGCGTTTAGTGGCCGTCCAAATAATAACAACAACAACAACAACAGCAACAACAATAGTAATAATAATAATGGTAATAACAACAACAGTGGCAGTAGTGATTCGTTCCGAGCAGGAGACAATCGATTTGGTTTGAAAGGTATTAGAAAGATTGTTAATGTGGTAGATGAACGAATGTTGATCTTTGATCCTGCTGATGAGAATCCATTACAGAAAATGCAACAAACGTTGTTTCCCAAATCAAATTCTAGAATGCGTGAACATAAATTTACCTTTGATCGACTATTTGACGAGGACGCTGCCCAGATCGACGTGTACAACAATACTACTAGACCATTATTAGACAGCGTTCTAGACGGTTACAATGCCACAGTGTTTGCTTATGGTGCCACCGGGTGTGGGAAAACCCATACCATCACCGGAACCCCCGATGATCCAGGAATCATTTACACTACCACCCAAGAACTATTCGAACGAATCGAGGCGTTGAAGGATACAAAGACCATCGAAGTATCGCTCAGTTATTTGGAAATATACAACGAAACCATTAGGGATTTGCTCAACCCGGAAATCGAACATCGACTTTTGACAATCAGAGAAGACGGCAACAACAGAATATCGGTAAGGAATTTATCAAATCATAAGCTTACTACGGTCGAAGAAATCATGGATTTGATTCTTCTCGGAAACTCCAATAGAACTATTAATTTCACCGAAGCTAATGCAACCTCATCAAGATCGCATGCAGTTTTACAAATCAACATCGATCAAAGAAATCGGACCAGAGGGATTAATGAAGAACATTTCTTTGCCACTTTATCGATCATTGATTTGGCAGGTAGTGAGAGAGCATCATCGACAAAAAACCAAGGTAAAAGATTACATGAGGGAGCCAATATTAATCGATCATTATTAGCCCTTGGAAATTGTATTAATGCATTATGTGACCCAAAAAGGAGAAATCATATTCCTTATAGAGACTCCAAATTAACCAGACTCTTGAAATTCTCATTGGGTGGGAACTGTAAAACGGTAATGATCGTTTGCGTTAGTCCGTCCAGTCAACATTATGAAGAAACTTTGAATACCCTCAAATATGCAAACCGTGCCAAAGAAATCAAAACCAAAGTAATTAGAAATACCCACAATCTAGATCGTCATGTTGGCTCGTACTTGAAAATGATCACTGAACAAAAACAAGAAATTGAAGAACTAAGGACTAGAGAAGCAAAAGTGATCAAACAGCAGCTTGATAGTTTCAAATTGAAGAAAGAAAAATGCGGATTGAATCTCCTTGAATCGGTTGATATCCTTAAGAATTTAATTCAAACAAAACAACCACAACTTCTTCAGAAATCAAAGCTTTTAACCAAAAAGAGAATGTTGAGTTTTCAAAAACTGGAAATCATGTTGCTTTTAAAATCATTTGAGCTGAATTATGGATCAAAATTTGTCAATGTTCCACGAGATTTGCTTGATGTACGAGAAGCCATAAAAAAAATCATCGATAATATCCTGAAAGAAATCGAAATGACAGATATTTTTTTACTGAAGGACACCGATTTTGAAAAAAATTTGAACAAAACCATCAAGCTACATCAGGCAAAATTGAAAGAATTGGAAGGCTGGTCCGATTACGATACTTTAATTTTCGATTTATTGGTTGGTCAAATGAAAAACAATGTTGACAGACAAGTATTGGACAAAGCAAATAAGGTTTGGGACTCAATAGTTGGGGAAAAGAATGAAAATACTTCCCAGACGTTTAATTGTTTATCAAACACATTTTTCAAAGTTCATAAGAAATTAACTTTCATCAATACCACTGGTGATATCGATGTCATTAGAGACGAGAATTTATCTTTGATCAACGGGATGTTGAACGATTGTTATAAAGTTTTAGACGCTAATATGGGGTCCGAGTATGTCAATAACTTATTAGCACAAGTGGATATTGGGAAGAAAAGTACCGGTAAAAGGTTATCATCACCGACAAAATTGTCGCCACATAAATCCTCAAGGAATGGCAATGTCACAATAAGGACAAAATCGCCCAAGAGAAAAAATGTTCACAAAATTAAGAAGGTGGTTCGATGGGACTTACCAGCAAGTAGTACGGTTGTTTATAACCATACTGATAGTAGCGAAGACCTGGAAGGTGGTGATGACAGTAGTCAAGAAGAAGATGAAACTATGGACGATGTTATTGAGCCAACAATGTCAGTGCCAGAGCAAGCCAAATTCACATTCAATCTGGAAACAAAGCCATTTTTACGTAGTCCGACGAGATTTGTGAAAAAAGTTGTTGATGATACTATAGAAGACTACTCGATGATCGATGATTCCAAAGCTTTCACCAATTTTGGACAGCAAAAGCCATCATTGACCGAAATCAGTTTAAAGCCTCCAGAGAATCTTCTTGGGTCGATCAGCGAATCTGATGTTTCGAAATCATCATTGGACATCCCTATGAATGATAAAGAAAACTTGGGGTATTTTGGCCAAGGATATAGCCAAAACAATCAGATTCTGCCGGGGTTGTTGAGACTGTACAAAAAAGACGATAACCCAGGTATTGGGCCGCCAATTAGGTTGAATAGGTCTACGGGGAGTCCAACAAAGTTACTGCCAAACAATGATACTTTTGCAATCACCAGCCCTCCAAAAGTGCTGAACATTGACAAGTTTAATTTCGAAACCAGTTTTTCTGGAGATATTGATATGGATTGAAAAAAAAATATATAGGAAACGAGATATTTATTTTGTAGTTTTTCAAATCAATTGTTTTTTTTTTTTTTTTTTTCCCTTCTGTTCTTTTTTGCTATCTCTTTGCTTTATTTTTATGGGTGGTATCCCTAGGTTGTTTTTTTTTTGCTGCGAAAAAGCACCTTCTTTTCTTGATTTATATATTTATTGTTCTTCTTTTTTCTTCTATTCTTTTGCTTCCGTTTTGATTCTCTTGTATTCAGTTTGTTTTGGGGGATTATTACTTCTTAGTTAACAATTGACCAGGTTACATTTGTTTTATTTTTTTCTTTAAAATTTTTTTCCAATGACTCCAATCAATTGAAAGAAACAATACTACGAGAAAAGATTTAAAGCTACAATAAAAAAAAAAAAGATGTCGTATTGATCATTGCAATCCTCCCCATTCGGGCACACGAAGGAAAACCCTTAGAAGTCCAGAAGACTTCAGATGGAACACTGCACCCAAGATCATTAACTTTCCTCTCCAATCAAAAGACACAAGAAACAACACTTTAACTGTTCGACATGTCCTGGGTCAAGAACGCCGTAAGGGTCCAACCTCGTGAGAACGCTTATTAACGTGTTATTTGTTTTGATTGTGAAAAATGCGTTAAAGAAAAGAAAAGAAAAGAAAAGAAACCAAGAGAAAAGAGAGTGATTAGATTCAAATTTCACGGTTGTTTTTATACCCGAAAAAAAAAAAAAATTGAAAAAAAACTTCTTAGCAGGGTAACTTTTGGGAAAAGCATTTTTTTAGAAGCCTTCCTGTTTATACACTAGCTGATGCTTTTTTGATGACATTATCAGAGAATTTAGAGGAATTTCGGTACATAAAGGCGGAGAGAGACTCTCATTCTGGAAAAAATATAATCATTCTTTTGAGTGTGGAAAAAAAAAAAAAAAAAAACAGTTATTGCTATAGTACTGGGACAATAATTATATCACCATCATGGATGAGGAACAATACCCGGAAGAATTTCATCATCATGATGATGATGATGTGATCCCAAGTGAAGAAGAAGAGGAAGAATATGAAGACGACTCTGATGAATATGAAGCCCAATTCGACGATGAAGACCTCTCAACGGTGATTCTCAACGAAATTAAAAACGGGACATACACATGCTTAGTGTGTACCGAGGAAATCGACGACGCTTCTGAGATCTGGTCGTGTAAATCGTGCTACCGAGCGTATGATCTTGATTGTATACGAGATTGGGCGATTAAGGATTCCAAATCCAATTTGAACTCCGATATGTGGCGATGCCCATCGTGTAAAACCAGTATCCAAGAAATCCCCTCGACTTACACTTGCTGGTGTGGCAAGGTGATTGGTCCTCCAAGTAATATTTTTGCCCCACATTCTTGTGGTCAAACTTGTTCAGAATCATTGACAACATGCCCTCATGCCTGCTCTTTGCCCTGTCATCCGGGCCCCCATTCCGAAATATGTCAAGCCCAACCACGGTTACGATGTGACTGCGGGGCGGAAACCAAGCAGTTTGCCTGTATCATTGCTCCCTACGACGCTGGTTGGAAGTGTGGGAAACCTTGTGATGAACTTATGCCGTGTGGAATTCATAAACACAAAGAAATATGTCATGGAGGATTATGTGGACCATGTGAAGAAGTGACGGTGGTGAAATGTTACTGTGGGAAACACGAAACAGAGATCCCATGCTACCAAAAAGTCGATGTGAACTGTTCCAGTAATGACAATCAGTGGATCGGGTCGTATCAATGTCAAGTTGGCGAACCGTGTGCCGAAGTATTGGATTGTAACAACCCAAATCATACCTGTGATATCCAATACTGTCACCCCCATGATCCAACGGACCGTCGATTCCAACACAAGTGTTTATTAAACCCAAAGATCTTGACGAAATGTCCGTGCGGTAAATGCAAAATCTCGGTTTTGCTTGGCGGTAAATCCCGAGAGTCTTGTGCTGACCCAGTGCCGTTGTGTGATAACGTGTGTGATAAATCGTTGAAGTGTGGGCATAAATGTTATTGGAAATGTCATACTGGGGCTGAGCATGCCAAATGTTACCAACCCGTGGAAGTCCATTGTAATTGTGGGTTCAATAAATTCACGGTACCTTGTGCGTTCAACCAAGCAGGGCTTAAACCAAAATGTACTAGGAAATGCCAGACTTTGAAGAACTGCCGTCGTCATAGATGCGGCAATATCTGTTGTCCGTACGAGAAAATCGCCATTAAAAGAGACCAGGACCGCAAGAAGAATAATTTCCGGTCGGTTAGCGATCTAATTGATGGTCAACATCATCCCGAACCTCATAACCCCGACGATGATAACATGAGCTTAGAAGCGGTGCATATTTGTCTTGAACCGTGCCATAAGCTTCTTTCGTGTAAACAACATCGTTGCAAATGGCAAGACCATGCAGGGAAATGTCCTCCGTGTCTTGAATCTTCATCAGATGATTTAATGTGTGCTTGTGAACGAACTGTATTGATCGAGGCCCCAGTAAGGTGTGGTGCGGTGATCAAGAAGAAATGTACTTTCCAATGTAATAGATCTACCCTGTGTGGTCACAAAATGCCTCATACTTGTCATGGTGATTCGGTTGCTTGTCCAAAATGTACCGAGTTGGTGACGAAAAAATGTGCCTGTGGTAACCGGGAAATCAAAGGGGTTTATTGTTTCCAGACCAGGGTGAGTTGTGGGGCAAAATGTGGGAAAAAGTTATCGTGCGGATTACATGAGTGTACGAAAATCTGTTGTTCCACTAATGAAGATCATCTGAAGATGAAGTGTACCCAACCTTGTGGGAAGACGAAGTCAAAATGTGGGCATCCAGATCTTGCGAAATGCCACTGGCCTCGGGGAGATTGTAACGAGAATATTCCTTGCAAGTCTAAAGTGAGGTTAAATTGTCAATGTAAAAGATTGACGAAAGTGGTGGAATGTGCCGCTACTAATGACAGAACCCTGAGATCTGGGGAAGTGGTGGAATGTGATAACGAATGCTTGAGAATAAAGAGAAACCAACAGCTCATGGCGGCATTTAGTATGGATACCAGTTCCACCGGGGTCAATTCTGCCGATGTTTTGGTGAACCCATACTCAGAGTACATTCTTGGGGTATATTCCAAACAAAAGAAATGGTGCGAACAAGTAGAAAATGTTTTCCGAGACTTTGTTTCTAAGTGGCTCGATGATCCAACTACTGCGAAAAAAACCTTCCATTTTCCAGCCATGCGGAAACCTCAAAGAACCTTGATCCATCATTTGAGTGATGTGTACGAACTCTATTCACAATCGCAGGACTCCGAACCACGCCGGTCGGTGTACGTTGCCATCACTGCCAAAAGTCGTCTTCCTTCATTGTCATTGTTTGAAGCATCGATTCTGTCAGAGGCCACCACCGAAGCCCTAAGGGAGAAACGAGCGTACGAACACGAATTGACCAATTCCATGGGAGTTGCCGAGTTCAACGCCTTGATTTTGGAAGGGTGCAAATTTGGGGCGACGGTGAATGAATTGGAAGAATCATTATTGTCGATCATTAACGACGCCGCAGAGGAACCATTGAACCCTCATTTCCAATGGGTCGAAGATGGGAAATTCTTGGTTTTGCCAGAAGCTCACCAAACGTTTACCAGAAAACAAGAATTCGATTTGGAGAATGTCAGGGATAAGATCAATTTCAAATTGGACCAATGGACCAAAGAAGGTCGTGAAAGAATAGTACAATTGGCGAGACTTTGCAGTGTTGATTTTGATGGAGCAACGATTTTGAAATTTGGGGCCGAATTGAAAACAGACAAACCCGATGGCCTTGTGGATGATGTTAATAAGGTGGTGGAAAAGCTACAGGACTTGAATGTTGAGAATAAAGTGAATTATGACGATAAGAATATCACCGATTGGTTCTGATTATATTATAAAAACTGTATTGTATTGTTATTCATTTCTATATATATACCTTGCATTTAAGAAAAAGCTGTTAATTTTTAATACTATAGATATCTAATTCTACATCTAATGAGATTTTTAATCATAAACTGTAAGCTAGCAAAACATTCAAATTATTTTATTTATTTATTTTTTTTTTCTTTTCTTTTCTTTTCTTTTCTTTTCTTTTCTTTTCCATACACATTACATAATTCAGCTATAATATAAACCACATTCTGTGCTGCCTAATATTCCCACTTCTTGGCAACCATACTATCAGGTGGATCAACTTCAAAAGTTTTTTTACTAACCTCATCCCAATTAGTACTCAAACTGGTACCCCCACTCTCGGTGTAACTCTTCATCATGGCTCTTCTGGTATCAGGGTCAGCATTTTTGAAGATATCCTTGAATAACTTCATATCGTCTTTTTCGTCTTCGTCAATGTCCTTGTACTCTTCATCAACTTGGGCCCAATCAACCTTCTTGGTGGATGAGGAAGGATATTGCATGGCAGAACGGCTATTTTCTTCTTCTTCTTCCTCCTCTTTCCCTTCTGCATCATTACCATCAGGAGTTTGAAGAGCTTTCCAACTACCTTCTATTTTCTTCACAAGAATAAGTTCGATCTTTGTACCAAAGACGGTATATTTGGATTGCTTGGTGTCGATTTCCCCGGCAAGACGATCGAGCTCGTACATGTAATCTGCTCCGGTATGGGTCTTGAATTCAAATTCCACCGAGCGAGGACGGAACTCAAGCTTGAATGAGTCTTTTGGAACTCTCTTGATATAAATAGACACCGTCACGGTGGTAGAAGATTCGAAGAATTCTTTGCGAACCTCATCTTGTGCTGGGTAAGAAGGATTAGTAGGAGGAGCAGCAGCATAAGCTTTTGGGAGCGCAGAAGATTTTGGGATGGTATTAACTTTGGCGGCTTCTTCATCGGTGATTTCCGCAATCTTTGGTTCTGGCTTTTTAGACACCGCTGGTTTTGCCACTTCAGGTTTCTTTTGTGGTTCATCTTTGCCATAGAGAGATTCTTTTTTAGTTTTGAATTCTTCCAACACTGTGGAGTCTGCCAATTCAAGCGAATTCAAGAAATCGATCATTGTTTCGCTAGCATCGAACTTTGTGGTGGTCTTAAGAATCCAAATTTCCAAAGCGTTGGTGTCTTCGTAACCAAACTTTTGGGCCAACTTGAGATATTTGAAAGCCGAGTAATAATCTTTTGAAGTGTAAAACACTATAGCAATACGGAAGTAAACTTGAGATAAATCAGCCCGCTTGCCACGTTCTTTGGCGATGGAAAGTGCGTGGTAACAATCGTCATAAAGGGCCCGTTCAAACTCCTTGAGACGTTGATGGGCGATCGCACGTTGCAAATAGGCCAGGAAATGTGCGGAATTGGTGGCGATTAATCTGTCAAGAACGGCGATGGCGCCTTGGTAATCTTTAGCTTCAATTAAAGCTTTTGCTTCGTCAAGAAGAACAGTTTTTGCCATGGCTGAATCGATAATTGTTTGATGGAAAGAATCTAGAGGGAAGAGGGAAGGGAAAGTGTGAATTTTTCTGATGATTTGCTGCATTCCTGAAAAATCAGTGCACCACCGTCGCGGCTCTTTTGACTTTGAAGGAAAGGGTTTTTTTTCCCTTAATGTGGGATGTGATGATATTTATTTTGCTACAAATGATAATGTTATTTATATTAAACTTATTTTAACCTTTTAAGAAAAACATTACACATTACAGATGCTGCCACGAACTGTGTTATATTTTCATCCAGAATCGGTTTCCCACACTTCTACTTCTTCAACACCTCTTCAACTTTTTCTTCAACATACTTCTTTATGAGTTTGGAAATCACCGATGATTCGTCGATTAGCTGTCCTTCCAATTGAATCGCCACTTGTTTTTCGATAGCTTTGGCACTGACGTCTACTTCGATGTTGACGGAATCGCCAATTTTTTTCTGAGGCATGATGACATGTTGCTGAGTGTGGACCACCATCATGATACCGAAGGTCGCATTGGAATTATCAACTTCGGTGACGGTAAGTGAGGTCCCATCAATACAGATGAACCCTTTTTCGACGACATATCTGATGAATCTTGGGTCGTCCATCTTAAAAGTGAAGAGGAGAGACTCATCATCGTCCTTCACACAGCTCGAAATTGTAGCTGTGCCATCCACATGGCCTTGTACGTAATGACCCCCGAATCTTGTGGTGCTGGTGGAGCTCATGGCCCTTTCAAGGTTAACTGGTGAGCCAACTTGAAGCTGCTGAAGGTCTGTACGACGGAACGTTTCTGATGACACTCCCACGGTGAACTCCTCAGAATTGAAGGCTGTCACGGTTAAACAGACACCATTGACGGCAATGGAGTCACCCAAGTGACAATCTCCGAGGATAGGAGACGCGTTAGTGATGGTGTAAAGGGTGTTTCCATGACCCTCATCGATTGATTTGATCTCTGCGGGTTAATTAGTCAGTAATTGTAGATCTAGCGGGATGTGGTAGTACACAAGTCTCTTACCTCCGATGTGCTCGACAATACCAGTGAACATTTTGAGATACTCCTTGGTAATAAGAAATCGATAATATAGAAGTGTGAGAGAAAATAAAGAGCTTTCAAACAATACTTTACAATCCTCTATTATATGTCAGAGGTCGGAAAAAGAGCGAATTATGAATGCATCAGCATTTTGGCAAAATTATGGGCCACGTGACGTTATTTTTTTCAAAATGCTGTTGCCACATCCATCATCATTGTCAACATCGACATCGACATCATCGTTTAGGATTTCATATGTGTCTGATTTTTGTGAATAACCAATTTCAGGGTTGGACTGTAGCAACTCAACTACAAGAGTCTTTGAGAAACTTTACCTACTATCTTGTGGTGATCGTCGAAATCAAAAAGTTTGATGCTACAGAAAGAAATAAAACCACCTCAAATAGTATTCATTGAAACACAATAACAATCGATTATATATGTATATACCTAGCAAATTTACGGCAGATAAGCACGAAGAAAAAACCTGATAAATAATGTAAACGACGAGAGAAGAAATAAATAAGCAAAAAAAAATGGAAGCAGAAAAAATAGCACTGGTATGAATTAATTATTAGCGAGCTTATAATGATTGCCAATGTATTGATTTGAGTATCAGCGATTTTATAGTAGTGATGTATTGACTTGAAGCGCCGTTTGAAATTCTCTCACATGTCAAGGCCCCAGCACGCTGATAGAGATGATAAAAATACGTCATCAGTCTTTAGACTTCAATTTTTTCCAATTTTTTCCAAAATTCATCTTTTAAATCTTTGTTCAAAAAAGCAAGTTCCACTTCTGTTGCCTTTTCTGCGAACAAAATGTGCAAATCTTTCGATTCCGCGCCAATGCTCAAACTCTCCTTTAGCTCCAATGTATTATTAACAAACTCTCTCATTATAGGTGCACAAAAATTACCAAGTTTTTTATTAACAATTTGAAAAAGTTTTTCGTAATCATGCTCAAAAACCAGCTTCAAATTATCCACCTTATTCAAATACTTTTCCAATTTCTTTTTTAGATTCTTTCCAAATGCTTTTCCACTTGTTGTTGTTGATGAAGAAAATCCGAAATCAATTAGTTTGATGTCAACCAAGTTTTTGACAAATAGGTTGGCGCCTCGAATATCACCGTGGCCCACCCCAGCACAGTGAATTTTACTGATACAAATCAATGCAGACCTCAAAAATCTCCTTCCATCAGAATCACTCTTGAGTGAGTAACCACTGAAGAGCTCATATCCAGAGCCAGCAAGGTTTTCCAATTTAATATAAGGACCCTCCGTATATGTCAAATCTTTATCTTGTTCTACTTTCTCTGGAACAGAAATATTTTTATTGTAAGAGTAAATAAAACCTCTTTCATAAATATTGGGGATTAATTCTTTGGTGTTTTCATTGGCGGTCAAAAACGCGTATGACGTAATCTCATTAATGAAGAGACTAGTGTAGTAATAGAATGTGTCCTTGTGGATATCGAAACTGTCGTCTCTGGTTGAGAACACATTTGGAGAGCATCGAAGGTAGTCAAATATTTTATATAATACATCCTCAAAACCTATGACGAGAGACCATGCACTGTAGGCTTTGCCTCCAAAAACAACCCTTGGTTTGCTTGTAGAAAACTCTTTCCACACCAATCTGCTTTTCTTACCTTCACCATAAGCAGATTTATTGGCTTCGGAAAACTTTTCTATCCTTCTCCTCAAATTTTTATCATATTCACCTGAATTTATCCTCCAATTTTCATCAACACTACTCTTCAAACCCTGATCGTACCGAGCTCCAAGAAAATCTTTCTGCTTTGCACCGGTAATGTCCTCGAACGCAGAGTGCAAATAATCGTATATCAATACTCTGTTGATATCGCTTCCAAGGGATCTTTGTTCTTTCAGCTTAGATAAGAATGCAGCACGCAACCTTTTAGTAAACGTGTTCGCAATCTTATCTCTCCTGGCCAATTTTGGTTGCGATTTTCTGGCTTCCAATGCTGTTTTCAAGAACCTAAACATTTCATAACCAAGAGGCTCTTTTGATGTGTCAATGGTTTGATAAGTGATCCCCCCATCGGCCACAAATTGGAAATACATTCTCGCGCAATTGTCAAAATCCAACTTTATATAGTTCTCGTCCTCCATATTTTCAGCTAGTCTGTTCCAGTCAAACTTAACGAGAGTAAGGGATGATTCGTCGGCCAATATGCCAGTGAGAGCCCTTGAGGCCAAAATTTGGATTATCAATTGATTGATACTTCTCAAGAAGAAGAACGCTTTCGGACTGAAACCAAAATACTGTGGCAATTCTCCCTTATATTCTTGGTATTCCATTTGAAATTTATTTAAACTTTCAGAGAGAGAATGTGGTTGTTTGTATTTGAGCTCAATAGATGTTATGTATTCACTAACTTTTTCACTTTCTCTATATTCAATCACAATGTCAGGCTCGGATACTATATTTTCTCCAATAGGAAATGACAATTGTGTTTTCGTTCCTAACACAAAATTTGAGCTCCCAATCAATGGGAAAATTAAAAATAAATTGCACAAGATCGAAAAAAAAAAGTTTTGAAATGTGGACTCATTTTCAACTGACGTGATTGTCTGATAAAATTTCAGGTTTCCCTCGAAATTTTTGCTTCTTATAACATCGCTAACTTCGCTCAACAACAGCAATTCAGCAAGCGGTGCAAAATAGAACATAGGAAGTTGAGAGTCGGCCCTTCTCCTTTTGGAATAATCTTCAACTGTTTTGAAACCTATTAACCGTCGACTGCTTGTTTCTGTTGTATTTTGATTGGTACCTTTTCCTTTTTCCTCCTCTTCAGCTTTTTCTACAAAACAGTTTTTGTTAAATATGAAGTTGAGGGTGGCAAACAAGCCAAAAACATGTTTCTCATAAAGTTTCATTTTCTTTGTGTAATCGGTGACAATTTCTCCACAGGCCCACCTAGTGTCACCTAAACTTGAAAAATCAAAACTACTTTTGGGAAGCGAGCCTTTTTTCACTTTGCCTTTGAATTCATTGAATGCGGATTTCAATGATGAAATCCCTACTGTTTTAGATGCAGCTTCTTCCATACCTGGAGGAGTTTTCTCTTTTCCTTTTCTGGCTTTTTTTCGTGGAGGTTGAGTAGGGCTGCTCAGTGATGGCCTTGTTCTTTCCATTTTCGGGATCAATGGATCAAATACTATTCTTCTTTATCCAAGAGGAGAATTCTCTGCTTCACATATACACAGATGTATGATTCTTCAGATAATTCTCAATATGTGTTTTCTGATGCAATTATCATGTTTGATTTATAACAAAATACAGTAAAGTGAATTAGAGAATGTGGGAAGAGAGATGAGAAAGGATGATGAAAATTAAGGATTCGCCCACATTTTTGGACCCTGCATTGGTGATCACGTGTACAATCGATCAATATGTCAAAGTATAACTGCGATGACATTAATGGTCCTGGTGTGAAGATCGTCAGAGGTTTAATGATAAAATCAAGGATCTATTGTTGACTGTGATCCAATCTGGAGAAACACACTTGGACTCGCACAACAGGTACACTCCAAACATACTGTAATACTGACGTTACTTGATTGCTACAAGACGAGGGAACGAAAGTATATAATAGAAGTATATAAGGACAAGTTTCTTATCGCAAGGTTAGGGAGGAGCGATAAGCTAACAAGCCAATAATAGCGACTATACAGCCACTAATATGGATTATGTAAATGCTATCATGCGACTGTAATACAATTAGATATTACATAAACAAGCTCTCTCCGCACTCAATATCTACTAATGCTTCCCCATCAAATAATACGAATATCGCTTGACCCTGATATATATACACAGTTGATTATAGATGGTAATTCAAATCGTCAAGCGGAGCTTCTGTTGGCTTTTCGTTACGTAATGGATTACCTGCTATTGTGTGCTGTCTTAGTAATCAAAGAGAAAAATCTACTTTATTGGGAGAAATTGTGTGACTACTTCATTCAATATGATTCTAATGACATTATTTATAATAACCAAACAAAAAGAAGCCATTATAGGCTGAATTTCACCCGTGAGTATCATTGTTACATAATCAACTAGTGAAGATTACTTAACATACGTGTGGTCTTACATAATCAAAGTTTTTTTTTTAGGGGGGTTTTTTTACCACGTTGAAATTTTGGATTTTTCTTTGAGTGTTGTTATTTAGCGGATCATCAATTGCTGCCAAATTCCTCTTTCCAGTTCCAGTGGAAAATACACACGTTTATTCAAAGCCAACGCAATCATGGCCAAGAAGACCACAAAGAAATCAAAGGCCTCTGTACCTTCCTCGAATAGTGCTGTTGGCACCACCAATAGTAATCTTGAAACTGCCGATCCTGTGTTTGAATATAAGGTTGAAGAAGGCCCATGTCACCCTTTTGTTGTCACCACCCCTCCTAAATACATTTCAGATGCCCGTTCCCCAACTTCAAAGAACGAGAAATTCGTGATTGCCGCATTGGTGCTCTTCACAACCGTTGTACGTTTCTACAAATTGTCGTATCCTGATTCAGTGGTGTTTGACGAAGTTCATTTTGGCGGGTTTGCTCGTAAATATATCCTCGGGAACTTCTTCATGGATGTCCACCCTCCTTTAGCCAAAATGCTCTATGCTGCCGTCGGCTACATTTTGGGGTTCAATGGCTCTTTTGAATTCAAAAACATTGGTGATGTGTATCCTTCCAGTGTCCCATATGTTGGTATGCGTGCTTTCCCTGCTGCGTTAGGGGTTGGGACCGTGTTATTTTCCTACTTGACTTTGAGAGCCAGTGGCTGTCGTATTGCAACTGCCTTGCTCACTGCTGTCTTGTTAACCATTGAAAATGCCAACACCACCATTTCTCGTTATATCTTGTTGGACTCTCCCCTTCTTTTCTTCATTGCTGCTTCGGTGTACTCTCTTAAAAGATTTGAAAATGAAACCCCATTTTCTTGTAAATGGTACAAGTCTCTTATTCTTTCTGGGATTGCCCTCGGTTGTGCTGTCAGTTCCAAATGGGTTGGGCTTTTCACTATTGCCTGGGCTGGATGTTACATGGTCTGGCAAATGTGGTTTATCTTTGGTGATTTGTCACTTTCTCCAAAACAAGTTACTCAACATTTCTTTGCCAGAGGTTTGATCCTTCTTGGGATCCCTGCCCTTTTATACTGTGCTTTCTTTGCTGTTCATTTCCAAATGTTACCTAACGAAGGTGACGGTGGGGCCTTCATGTCTTCTGCCTTTAGAACTACTTTAAATGGCAATACCGTTCCAAGAAGCACTAATGCTCGTGTCGGGGTCAAGTCTTTCATCACTTTACGTCATGTCAACACCCAAGGTGGGTACTTACACTCTCACGACCATCTTTATGAAACCGGGTCTAAGCAACAACAAATCACTCTTTATCCACATTTGGACGAAAACAATGTTTGGGAAATAGAATTATACAATGTCTCTACTCCACCAACTGAATTTGTCCCAATCACCGACGGTACCAAGATTAGATTGAAGCATAAGGTTACTCAACGTCGTTTGCATTCTCACAACCTCAGACCCCCAATGAGTGAACAAGATTGGCAAAATGAAGCGTCTTGTTATGGGTTTGACGGTTTTGAAGGTGATGCCAATGACGATTTTATCGTGGAAATTGATAAACCATTGTCTAAGAAAGGGGCTGCTAGAAAAGAACTCCATGCCATCGATACCGTTTTCCGTTTGCGTCATGCCATGACTGGTTGTTTACTTTTCTCTCACGAAGTCAAACTTCCAAAGTACGCTTTTGAACAACAAGAAGTCACTTGTGCCACCCAAGGTATTCGTCCATTGTCCCTTTGGTACGTCGAAGTCAACGACAATGAATTCCTTGATGATAGTGCCGAAAAGACCGGTTACAAAACTCCATCCTTCTTTGACAAACTTGTGGAATCCCATCAACGTATGTGGCATATCAACAATGGTCTCACTGCTTCCCATAACTGGGAATCCCGCCCTCCTTCATGGCCAGTCTTGCAAAGAGGTATCAACTATTGGGTCAAGGACCACCACCAAATCTATTTCCTTGGTAATGCCGTCACTTGGTGGGCCTCCAGTGCCGTTATCTTTGTTTACGTTTGTAACCTTGCCGCGTTGGCCATTAACTGGCAAAGAGGTAAACCTCTCATCACTGACCCACATTTCATCAACTTCAATATCCAGACCTTGATCTTTGTTGGTGGGTGGGCTCTCCATTACTTCCCATCATTCCTTATGGGCCGTCAATTGTTTTTGCACCATTACATCCCAGCGTTCTATTTCCAAGTGCTTGCCCTCGGTCAATGCTTTGATCTTTTCCTTGGATTTTTCCTTGCCACTAAGCCATGGGTTGCCTATTCAATTTTTGTGGCCTTCCTTTCTGCCTCTGCCGCGTTCTTCCACCATTTCTCCCCACTCATTTGGGGTAGTGACTGGACAAAATCAGAGTGTAATGCATCGAAACTTCTTGATTCTTGGGATTTCGACTGTAACAGCTTCCCAGAATCTTATTCTGAGTACGCCAGTGCTGCCCTTACTCCAGCTCCAACCTCGGTAGTTGCTAATACTCCAGTAGCCAATGGTGCCGAACTCAATAATGAGCAAATCATCCAACAGGCAGAAACTCGTGGCAAAGTGATCCGCAAGTACCAGGATGGAGATGGCAACCCAATCGATCCAGCGGTCGCCGAAGCTTACATCAAGGACCACCCGGAACAAGTGTTGAAGGTGGAAACCCAGACGCATGAAGGAATCTTGTAAAGTTATTATCGGTAGTTAGTGGTAGTAACATTATTATACTAGTGTTTTAATAATAAGAAATTATTTATTTATTTATTCCGTCTATTTATTGTTTTTACAATATGTTAGTACAGTATCTGTAGTTGCTGTGTGTTAATTATTACTGTGTAAAAACTCTCTACATTTTCTGTTATGGGAAAATCTTACAAAGTGTTCACCAATGATATAAAAACTAAACTAAAATATTATTACTAGAATATTATTGCGATGCTAACAATCAACAAACCCAATTATCATCACACACTAATTAAGAAAAAAAAAATATAAAAATAATTCCTTTCATCAGCAAAATTATAGAAAACCAGATATCAATTAAAATTCAGCAATAGCAACAGCAACGGCTTGAACATCATCATGACTAATACTAACCTTGAAACCAGTGATACTGGCTTCAGCAGCCTTGGCAGCGGCATCACCAGACAATTTCACGGATGGAATGTTGTTTTCACGAACAATTTCAATTTCCTTCAAAGCAGCACCACCACCTTGGGACTTAGTTCTCAAGGACTTGAAAACCGCTTCCTTGGCAGACCAGGTACCAGTAAAAGAAGATTGTGGATGTGGAGATTGTTTACAATAAGCAATTTCGGCATCGGTGAAATTACGTTCAATGAAAGTTTGGTTTTCAATGTCAATGGAATCAAGTTGTTCAACGTCAACACCGACATTCTTTTCCCCAGCGGTCAAACTAATCAAAGTCTTGGTGGTGGCATCAGTACCACTCAAGTATTTGTTTTGTTGAATACCCTTCTTGGTGAATTCCAAACCTTCTTTACCTGGAACAACTCTGGCCAATGGATCCAAGTAAACGCTTTGTTCAATGGTCTTGTCGTATGGAGAGTTGGCCTTTTCTTGGAACAAGGAGTCATGGACAATGGATTCGTGGTAGTGAGAGTAAGCAGCTTGTTCTCTTTCACTAACCTTGGAAGCGTACTCTTCGTATTCCTTTTGTTCAAGAGCAGAGTAAAGGTAGTCTGGGTGAATCACCAAAACGAAACCACCCTTTTGACCAAAACCGAAAGAGGTGACAAAACTGGCCTTAAGGTTGTCGGTCTTGATGGTTTCAGACAAGTAAAGAATGTTAGTGAATTTACGCAATTCACCATCAACGTTATCCAAGTTACGGTTACCTGGAATGATACCGGAGTTAAGGGCTTGAAGAACACCATCAAGCATCCAAGCACCAGCAGCACCCTTTGGATGACCAGTAAGGTACTTTTGGAAGATACCAAACACTGGGTTACCTTCAGAACGGCCAAGATGTTTCAAAATGTTGTGGATGACATCACTTTCATTCTTATCGTTAGCCTTGGTGGAAGTACCATGGAAAGACGCAAGGGAAATATCGTCAATACCAAGACCAAAAGTGGCCAAAGCACCTCTAAGATCGGAAATTCTTGGGTCCTTCTTGAAGAATTCATTACCAAAGAATTTCTTGGCTTCTTCAACTTGAGTTTGAGACAATTGTTTAGCTTCTTCAATCAAAAGTTCCTTGTCTTCATCATCACCAGTCAGGATTTCCATAATTTCGTCTTCCAAAGATTCATTAATGAATCTGATTCTTCTGTCAAGTTGTCTCTTTCTGTAAGCTGGGTCCAAGATCAACTTAGAGCTGTTACCAGCGTGACTTTCCTTACCAACGGTCAACACACCTTGACCTGGGGCTGGAACAGACTTACCAATCTTATCAGCAGCAGTAGCAGTCATAGCAATGATACCATAGATTGGCAAACCCATCTTAATGGCCAAGTCAGCGGTCATAATAATTTGGACACCGGCACCTTGGGATTCCATGAAACCGTTTCTGGTGGAAGTACATGGACGAGACATTTCAGATGGAGTTCTACCAGCAGCCATTTCGTCAATACTGTTAGAAGTAGCATTCATGTTAGCGAATTCATAAGAACCTTCTTCTTGGAAATCATCGTAACCACCAACAAGACAAATCTTGGCCTTACCACTAAGAATAGTTTCCACACCAGTATCAACGGATTCAACGGCAGTAGCACAAGCACCAACAGGGGTCTTGATTGGACCAGAAGAGGACAAGATCAACATATTAACCCAAGCGGACATGGTGTTGATGAAAGATTCTTGCAAAATATCGTTTTGAACTTCCTTTTCCATGAATCTGTGCTTGAACATACCCTTAAGAGCAGTGACACCACCCATACCAGAACCGGTACAGATACCAATTTCAGAGACGTGGATGTATTGGTACAATTCATATGGATCTCTGATACCAGACTTGATAAAGGCAGAAATGGTGGAAACCAAGTTGAACAAAGTGACAACATCAACTTGATCAATGATATCTTGAGAAATACCGAATTTCTTGGCATCCCAACCGCTTGGAATTTGACCGGCAACCAATCTGTCGAAACGCAAAGCCTTTGGAACAAACAATTTAGCACCCTTCTTCATGTAAACTTGGTATTCACCACTGTCACCCAATGGGAAAATTTCACAGAATTCCTTGTGTTCTTGTTGGAAGTGTAAAGCATCTTCTTCAGAAGATTCAAATGCTTCAAGATCGTGTTGCAAAACAACTTCTTGAATGAATTGCTTGTTGTTTGGATCGTAACCATCGAACATTTCTGGTTCAATCAAACGGATACCAGTGTGTTCCAAAATAGTTTCCTCATAAGTCTTCTTGATGGTAGCTTCTTCCACAGGCTTGTTGGACTTAGTATCGATCCAACCAGAAGTCTTTTGGTCAAACTTAATAAGACCCATAATGTTAGCCAAGTAAATACAACCTTCGAGAGAGAATTCACCAGCACTTTCCATTTCCCATCTGGTTTCAGCACTACCGTGTGGGTTAACTTCACCAAACCCGGTAACAACAATAACGTTTTCCAAAGAAAGCAAACCCTTCAAGTGTGGAGACATATCCTTGACTTCTTTGTAAGACTTAAGAGCTGGGAAGGCAAATTTGTCATTGGCTCTTGGCTTAACAGACTTTCTCTTGAAGTCACCGTCAGCACCGTACACAGACTTGTGGTCCAAGGAAGACTCAATAGCAATTTGTCTCTTGACAGCAGATTCTTCCATCAATTTCTCTCTAGCGGCAATGTTGATTTCCTTGAGGTTAGAAAGCTTTTCGAAACCACCATTAAGATCAGCCTTAAGAGTGAATTCTTCACACTTTTCAGAGATTTCATCGGTCAACAAACCCAATAAGTTGAAAGCCATTTCTTGTTGAGAGAAAGTTCTACAACCGTAGGATTCAATCTTTTCGGCAACAATATTAGACACAGCCATAAGACCAGTACCTCTAGTCCAACCAATAATGGCACCAGTAACGGTAACGTAATTCTTCCAGTCTTCGGAGTCCCATTTGTTCAAAAGAGTTTCCAAACCAATCTTAGATTCAGAGTACAAACCATCATTACCAAACAAACCGTGGTTAGGAGACATTGGCAACAAAAGTTGGGCTGGTCTGGTGTTGATACCTCTTGATTCCTTGGCGTTCTTGACGAAACCCAAAATACGCATGATGTTGGTCAACATGATACGATGAGCCAATTCGGACTTGGAGTCAATAGAAGCAGCAGTAATACCTTGTTCTGGAATGGCACCGAATGGAATAATGGCGTCCAAATCGAGTTGTTGTTCATTATAAATGAAGTTGATCAAACTTTGACAATCAGCCTTACTACCTTGGTTGAATGGAACCAAGATCAACTTGGAACCTCTACCACCATAAGTCTTGTAGACGTCTTGGAAGAATTGGGTAACCTTCAAAGAGAAACGGGAAGTAGTAACAACAACGGTGGCACCACCAGACAAAAGACCCTTCAAGATTTCGGCACCAATAGAACCTCTACCAGCACCAGTCAACAAAACAGTCTTCTTGAAACTAGCACCATTGACAGCCATAGATTCTAAGGTATTCAAATAAGTGGAAGTCAACTGGGTATCGTAGACCCATTCACCAGTACTGGTCTTCTTTTGCATGAACAAGAATGGGTTTCTGTCAGACTTGATACTTTCAGAAACTGGCTTCTTGATGGAAGAGAAGCTGGACAAAGAGGCAACTTCATCGGAGGCTGAGTCATAGCCTTCATCGCAAAGCTCGTATTCTTCATCAGAAGAAACAGCAACAACAGCACCTGGAGTTGGAACCTTGCTGGTCAAGGCAGAACCTTGAGCAATGCTTCTGATGTAACTTTCAAGAGTTCTAATGTTTTCTCTTCTGGTTTCTTCAAAGACAATGTCACCCTTTTCAGTGATCTTAGTCTTTGGACCGGTTGGGTATCTAACATCTTTAAAAACTGGGTCTTGGCTCAAAGCTTGTTTACAGTTTTTGATCAATTCACCACCCAATTGCTTAGCCAATTCATAGTTGTTCTTGGAGTCCTTAGAGTTAGCGGCCTTTTCGTTAGCGACAACGTTGACAAAGTATTCCATAAACTTGATCAATTCTGGGTTAGCTCTGTTCATGATGCTGATACACTTGGCAATGATGTCTCTGTTAATGTCCTTTTCAGACAAGTTACCAAAGATAATTTCGTAATACATGCTCAAAAGATCTTGACGAGCCCAGGCCCAGTAAGAGTTGTAAACTCTAGCCTTCTTGGCGGAGAAAGATGGCTTAATACCATTGACAAAAGTTTCTCCCAATTCTTCGGACAAGAAATCCAACTCCTTTTGCAAAAGTTCATTGGCTTCCTTTTGCTTCAAATATTGCTTTTCACCATCCTTAAGGTCAACCTTCAAGTACTTAGCCAAAACCTTCAAGTGTTGCTTAGCCATGAACTTTTGGTCCTTGGTGATTTCTTCCAAAGCGGCGGTATCGATCATAGCACCACCACCGACAGCACCACCAGCACCACCTTGGGAAAGAGAAATACCGGCGGTAGAAGCGTACTTAGTAGCCGATTCATCCAAGAAAGCCTTAGCTTCTGGTTCACCACCAAGTCTGGCAGCAGGTTCGTTGGCCAAGGCAACAAGGAAAACGGAATCTTGTCTACCGGCACCCAAACCATAGGTGGATTCCAAATATCTTCTAGCAACACCGATACCGTAACCACCTGGGAATTTAGCAGCAAACAACTTGTTGATCAAACTACTAGAAGTCTTACCCAATTGACCAGAGAAGCCCTCTTGCATAGTTTCGGCTAATTCTTGCAATGGGATTTCTTCTGGTTTTTCAGGAGTTTCCCCGAATTCTTTACCCAAATCACCCAAGATTTCGTTTTGAATGGTTGACTTACCGTTGACTAAATCCTTAATAGACTTGGACAATGGAATTTGTTCCATTGGCTTCTTCAATTTGGCAGCAACCAAAACATGAAGCAATAATTGAGCCTTAACTGGTTCATCAGGAATGGCTTGAGCTGGACCAGCTGGACCAGCTGGAGCACCACCCATAGCAACTGGGGCGGCAGCGGCAGCAGCTGGAGCACCCAAGGTGACACCATTAGAAGCAGCATATTTTTGAGCAGCGTCATCCAAGAAAGCTTTGGCATCACCTTCGGAGGCCAAACGAGCAGAAGGTTCGTTGACAACACCGGTCAACAAGACGGCATCTTGTCTAAGTGGACCCAAACCGAATTTAGTTTCAAGGTATTTCTTGGCAACGGTCAAAGAGAATCCACCAGGCATCTTGGAACTCATCAACTTGGAAACCAAAGTACTAGAGGTCTTACCTAACTGACCATTGTAAGAGTCTTGGAATTTTTCGGCCAATTCTTGCAATGGGGTATCTTCTGGTTTTTCTGGGGTAGCACCGAATTCTTTACCCAAGTCACCCAAGATTTCGTTTTGAACGGTAGATTTACCATTGACCAACTCTTTGATGGTCTTGGTCATTGGGATATCACTAAGTGGTTTCTTCAATTTGTGGGCAACCAAAACTTGAACCATGAAAGCAGCCTTGATACCTTCATCGGCAACTGGGCCAGCAGCAGCAGCGACCGGAGCCGGGGCTGGAGCGGCAACAGGGGCTGGAGCAGCCTTTGGAGCTGGAGCTGGAGCGGCCTTTGGAGTTGGAGCAGCGGCCTTTGGAGCTGGAGCATCGTTTGAAGCATAGTAGATGGCGTCCTTGTCATTAGAGTAACTCAAAAGTTCACGGTTGATGTTCAAAGCTTGGTCAAAGGCTTCATACTTGCTCAATGTTCTCTTGGCCATACCAATCAAGGTTGGGGAAGGACCAATTTCAATGATTCTTTCAGCCTTGTAGTCTTTCAAGATGACATCTTGGGATTCAATCCATCTGACAGGAGAGGCGAATTGGTAAGCCAAAAGCTCAATAAGAAGAGTATGGGCGAGCTCTTGTTCGACTTCAGCACGCATTTTGTTTAGATATATGTTTCAATAATTGACAGTCGTCGATTGAAGATTGTTCAACTGAATTAGATTGAAAACAGCAGAAAAAAAACCTTTATTGATAAATAGAAAAAAAGTTTTGGCAGCACAAAATGTTGGAATTCTGCAGCTGAGTTTGTTGGGAGCACGTCGCAGGGCTGCTAATCTCTCTGCCCAACATGCACCATTGTGGCGGTGCAATACTCTTGATAATAGTAGGGATCCAAGTAGTTGTTGGTATTATTCCTCGGTGTAATCATAATTCGTACTTGATTATTTAAAATGATCTAGGATGGCACTAAAAAGGACAGCTCACTTACCCAGTTACACACTCCTCCCAGATTTATGGCCAAAAAAGGAGCAATACCAAGAGGTAGTAGTATTCAAAATATATTTATGTTTTATGCTTTTTTTGCTCATGTATTGCTGTTTTTCAGTATTTAATTATGTATTACTTTTCAAGAAACTCATCTCTGGGGCTTTAATTCCAATTCCTGAGACTGTGATATTTCCTCTTGCATCCTTTTCATTCGAATAAATCCTTCAAATCCGGACTGTCTTGTCGGGTATCAACGTAAAACCACCAACGATAAACTTACATCAGCTTCAATGAGAAAACAGATTTCCCAATCTTTCCATCACTTTCCGTTTCGACAATCATAAAGGGGATATCATTTAAAACTAATCTTTTCAATTCGGGGAAACTTGATATGAAAAATTGCACTGCTGGCCTCATATGATGGATAAGGGTTTGATAAATTAGATTAAACTCTTGAAAATCAAGTTCCACTTCATGGAGTGCGTTAAACCTTTTCAAGAAATTCTCGATTTTCAAAACATTTATAAAAGATGGATATTTATCAAAGGAAAAAGTATATGGTATTAGACCTTTGGAAAATATTATCGATCCAATATTCTTAGCTCTAAATTCCTGCTCCTCAATTTCCTCTAGTTTATTTTTAAATAATTTCTCCTTTATGATACTCTGTTTCGTATAAATACAATCATCACAAAAGCACCCGGTGTTCTTCACGCCAAACTCATCAAATTCAGCATTGTTAAATTCCACTTTAGATTCAAAAATGTTATACCAGTAGAATTCATAATCATCATCATGGAAGTTAATATCTAGATACTCAATACTGTTACCGTGATATTTCTTCAAGCTATTGAGTAACGGAGAGTTGCTATCGACCAAATGATACCTTGGCAATGCATAATGGAATCTGAATCTTCGTAATTTACTTTTAGTCTGGGATATAAAATCAATTATCAATCTTTCATCAACAATCATCGATATAAACGCCACCTCTTCAATATTATTAAAACCTGACCAAATTTTATCCAGAAATGTCTTATCAGCTGCGTCTTGACTCTCTTCGACCATCCAACAAGTTATGGTGAGAGATTTAAGAGATTCTGGATCAATCAAATCTGATAACTTTTCTAATTTCATACCATTTTCTTGCCGTATGGAGTTGGGAAAACGATCATTTCTAACATGATAAGTAAGAGATTCTACCTCGATTCTAGAGTCTTTTTCAAGATTCATACAATTCAACAATGCCATGGGATTAGCAAATAATGAAAGGGATTTGAACTGTCGGTTTTTATCATGAATTGCATTAACCATAATATCATTCAACAGCTTCAAGTATTCTGTAGAAATCTGGGTTGGAAAATAGTGTTCTGGGGACAATTCCAAACTTTGTAAATTCTTTTTGATTTGTGGATTGCCATTATTTATAATATACATGATGTCCTTGTCAATAACACTATGAATCAACCTTATTGAATTAGAGTGGTTCATCACGTACTTGATTAAATGTTCTTGAAGCTCATAGTTTAAATCTTGATCGATCCATATTTCTTGCACGAAATCTCTATAGTTAGATTTTGAATTCTCAAGGGTACTGATCAACCTTTGGAGTTTACCATTTAAGATCTGTAAAATTTCTTCCTCTCCGTACCTAACATCACCAATATCAAATACATTATCAATGGTTTTTTTGACGAGATCATCTCGCAAATAATCACGATATTTCTTCAGGACTTTGAGAACCGACCAAAGTCTTCCAACATTATATTCCGAAGTATTTGCAATTATTGAATCACTAAGATAAATCTTTCTATAAAGTTTCTTTGAACCGAGGCTATGAAAGAGTTTGTTGGATAGTATCACATTCAATATCGTCTCTTGGGGTAAGAATTCAAAAAGATACTGAAGCAAATGATCTGGAAAGCATAATATAGATTTGTGAGACCCGCTAGAGTACATTCTTGAGTATACCAATATTACTGTTCATAAATATATATATATATGTTCCATAGATTTGAATTCTGCTGCATTTGTAATCAAAAAAAAAAAAATCTGAAATTATTCAAGTACCAAATGTTTGGAAATTTCGTGTAAAAATTTGCAAAAAAAAATGAGAAAGTCTCTTGGGGGTGATTCGAACACCCGATCTGCGGATTATTGCAGGAACTTTACAGTCCGATGCCTTACCAACTTGGCCACCAAGAGCAGATTGACTGTGAATATTTTCATAAACATCAAGGCTGTTTTTTTATATTTCCGGGTAACCCTGAATTTGAAATATTCATATTTTCTATATCTATTGTCCTTTTGAAGTCCTAAATGTTTATCTATGGTTTTTTTGTGCCCTAAAAAATTCTTTAGTAGGATTCAAAACCTATAATTGTGAATAATTGTCGATTTTGAGCATTCTATATCCTAAATGTACCATTATGGTGGTACTATGCTTCTCGTGATTAATTCTTAAAGCAAGGAGTGTGAGGTTGTGAGGTTGTGAGAAAGTTATAGTATTTTACTCACCTATTAGAGAGACCGGCATGCAATGCCTGGCTTGCATGTTATTTAGAACCTCTGTGGCTCGTTAATACACAATTTGGATTTGGATTTCTCATGTTTGACCTTTGGTTCAACTTGTGGTAGATCACTTCACTGACTTTAGATACCCTGTGTCGTTGTATATGAATTATATAGAGACACTAACTTTCGACAAACATTATTCTCATTATTATATTTAGGTACATGTTAGCATCTCGTCCTTTTATTACATATAGTATTTATTATTGCCTATTAGTGCATCTAAACACGCTACCGTTGTTGAATAGAGGGCTTAAGATTCTGATTTATTTAGCTTTATTTAACTTTATATATCTCACATAAGCGGGGAATATTTTGAGAAGATTCTTTGTTTTTTTTGGTTTACCGTTTTTTGAATGACGCCTTTTACAGCCTTTGTTTTCAGTTTCTTCAGCTTACGCTGACCCTTATTATTGCACAGAAACCGCCTTTGGGTTGATTCGGAGTATTTTGATTCATCTTCGTTCAAGGTCTTTTTTGGTCCAGGTATCTACTATGCTGATATTTGAAGGGTAAGATAAGAATCGATAGTTTCTTACAAGAACTATGTATGATAAAGGCAAATCAAATATCCAGTATTTATGGTAGTTTTTCAGCCAATTAGGGCCCCTGGATGTGGCTTCCGGGGTATGATATCCACTAAGAGTGTTCACCTTCCAGAAGAAATACTTATATCTGAGAAATTGTGGGTGTGATAATCTCATATTATAACTTCCACAGCGTCCATACAACCTTCTGCATTGAAAAAAAAATGATTAATTACACAACAAATAAGAAGAAATGGTGAAATGACAGAGACATGATAAATTATAATTTTTGTTCCATCACTCACTTCTAATTACCATAAAAGTAATCGGTGAAAAATGGGTAGGGCACAATTTTGGGGTCTAAGCACATTTATGCATGTGTTATGTGCCCCGTTTTGGAACGCAAATTTAATGCAATTGAATCAAAAATATTGCTCTGGACAAACATCAGAGGTCCCTTGGCCCAGTTGGTTAAGGCGTGGTGCTAATAACAGCTTTTCACAGCATTGTTACGCCAAGATCGGCGGTTCGATCCCGCCAGGGACCATTTCTTTTTTTGCTGGCGTTGTTGTTTCGGCGAATTTTTTTCATATTCGTATTTTTTTTTCTTATCCAGAAAATTAAGCTTAATTAATGGATACTTGGTGAACTTTCCTTATCAATTGATTGACAAATTGTTAATTAGAGAGAGAAAACTTTTTTTTTCTTTTTGTTTAGAGTTGTTGCTAATAGAGAGGCGATTTTTTTTAGCGGGGTTTCACATAGAGATATATAAATGAATAAATATTTTGAGATATGATAAGTAGAAGCAGTAGTAGTAGTAGTAGTAGTAGTAGTAGTAGTATACAGATATGGTATATGTCAAAAGGGGATCGAGCGAATAATAAAAAAAGAAAAGACAGAGAGGGAAAGAAAAAGGAAGGTGAATAAGAGAAAGAAAAGATGAAAAAGAATCCGCCGAAATTGAATACCGATGATTGACAATAGGTGTCTTTTGGCAATTAGGAATATCGTAACAATGATAATAATGCTGATATTTATTTATCGGAATACCCCGTTTTGAAATGGGATGAACGATCGCCAACAACAATCAAATCAATCGCCGCACCAAAAAAAAAAAAAAAAAAAAAAAAAAAAAAAAAAATTTCAAAAAATTACCGGTGCGGAGCGAGTGAAAGTAAATGTAATGTGGGCAGAAAAGGGGATGGATGTACATACAAAAAAAAAAAAAAAAAAAAGAAAGGAAGGAAAGAAGCAAGAGAGACGAAAAGGAAAGGAAATAACCATATGCGTACTGTATTGTAGTGTCCACGATGATGATAGATACCATATACAAATTATATATTATATATTATGTGCTATATGTTATCTACTGTGTAACAGCTGGCAGATAACCACCGATAACAGCACAAAAACCAAAAAGTGAAATTTCTCTCTTATCGCGCAGTAGAATGCACCACTCTGCATAAGGTGACACCGGTATCGACGATCTTCACGATATCCCAATATAAAATATTATGTATATATATATATATGGCGATACTCATCTCCTACATTTCTACTTTCCACATACCCTCTTACCATTATACTATACCACCCATACATTATAGATACACACACCGCCATGTCTCTTGTATCCTCCGCAAGATTCAAAGTCACCAAGCTCCTCAAGAAATTCACCACCAAAGATGGGCTCGTCGGTGACTATGACTACCTCTACTTGTTCACCCCAAAAATCCCGTTCTTCTCCAAAGACAAAATCCAACCGTTCTTCCCCTTGGACGCAGAAATGCCAGTGTTCCTCGGGTTCCTCCTAGGTTTACAACACGCCTTGGCCATGTTGGCTGGGGTGGTGTCGCCTCCCCTTCTTATCTCCTCCGCCGCCAACTTGGACACAGAAACTACCCAGTTCCTCGTGTCTTGCTCCTTGATCACCTCTGGTATCCTTTCAGCCATCCAAATCACCAGATTCCGCATTTACGGAACCCCTTATAGCATCGGTACTGGGTTGCTTTGTGTCGTGGGTACCTCGTTCACCACCATCTCTATTGTCTCCAAAGCGTTCCCAATCATGTACAAAGACGGCACTTGTCCGGTCAGTGAAGACGGTACCAAGTTACCTTGTAAAGACGGTTACGGTATGGTTTTGGGTACCACCTGTTGTTGTGCGTTGTTGGAAATCGCCGGTTCATTTTTACCTCCAAAGCTCTTGCAAAAAGTTTTCCCTCCAATCGTTACTGGTCCAGTGGTGTTGCTTATCGGGGTCTCATTGATCCAATCTGGTTTCAACGACCTTGTCGGTGGCTCTGGATGTGTTGGTGAAGTTTGTCCATCGGCTACCGCTCCTATTCCTTTGACTTGGGGTTCGGCTCAATTTATTGGTCTTGGGTTCTTGGTCTGGATGGTGATTGTGATTTGCGAAAAATGGGGGGCCCCAATTATGAAATCTATGGCCGTCATTTGTGGGTTACTCGTTGGTTGTATTGTTGCTGCTGCCTGTGGTTATTTCGACAGATCCGGTATTGATATCGCTCCAGCCGCCACTTTCTTGTGGGTTCATACTTTCCGTCTCAGAGTTTACGGACCAATCGTTTTGCCACTACTTGCGTTATTCATCGTGTTGATGATGGAAGCCATTGGTGACATCACTGCCACCTCTGATGTCTCAAGATTGCCAGTTGAAGGTCCTGAATACGAATCTCGTATCCAAGGTGGTATTTTGGCCGACGGGCTCTCTGGGATCTTATCCCCATTGTTTGGTTGTACTCCAATGTCCACTTTTGCTCAAAATAACGGTGTTATTTCCATCACCAAATGTGCCAGTAGAACTGTCGGTTACTGGTGTTGTTTCTTTTTGATTATCATGGGGATTTTCTCCAAGTTTGCTGCCGCCATCGTTTCGATTCCAAAAGCCGTATTGGGAGGTATGACCACCTTCTTATTCACCAGTGTCGCGTGCTCTGGGTTGGCGATTATTTCCGGATTGGAATTCACCAGACGTGATAGATTCGTGCTTACTGCTTCGTTGATGTGGGGTTTCGGGGCCACTTTGGTTGGCGATTGGTTTGACACTTTCTTTGGTTACAAAGGTGAAAACCATAGTTTGACTGGGTTGCTCAATGCCGTGATCTTGGTTATGGAAACCGGGTTCGCCGTCACCGGGTTCATTGCCGTGTTTTTGAACTTGTTGATTCCTCAAGAAGCAGATGAAGATGACAGTGAAGAATTGGTCAGTGTTCGCTCTACCAGAAGCAGACTTGTTGATGGTACAGAAGTCACTCCAAAGGATGAATTCATTGGTGAAGAAGAAAAAGCCAAAGAAAGTGCATGATTGATACTTTATCTTTCTCTCTTTTTTTTTTTTCTCTCTTTTTTTTTTTTCTCACTATTTTTTTTTCTACTTTGAAATCTTTTTTATTTCTTGTTATTTGTTCGTTTTGTTATGTGTCAAATTTTCTTTTTTTCCCCATTCATAGTTTTTCATTTACTATACATATTTTGTTATTGGTGTCATTAAGTGTGGATTATGTGTAATCATTATGTATGAATCGTTTAGAGAAAGATAAATAATCGATGTTACTAATTTAAGCGTTATTTTAGCCAATATTGGCAACTTGAACATTGATATATTGTTCAGTTGATACTTAGCTTCGGCAACTCTTACAAATCTGTGACAACCATTCAATCCCAATTATAGATATCATCTATAATTTATACAATTCTTCAAACAAATTTCTTGTACCACCGGTATACCTCATCATGAAAAACCAATGGAAAAAAGCACTTGAAAACTCGTCATCATTATACCTTTCCCCAATAGCCCCAAATTCACTCACTTATTCATAGGCCACAAATACTCTTTTATTCTTTTTATTCATTCCACCCATGTTTATACGCCTTGATCTTCTTACCGCCTAGCTTCACAATCCCAAACATTTCCACAAACCCCAAAGTCGAAGTAATTTCCAATGGGAAATTAATGGGTTCCCAATTATCAATCTTTGACGGGATATTAGAGGTCACCACAAACGACGGTACGCAGCTGATCACCAACACCGGCACCTCGTACATAGTGGCGAATGGAGTGAAATTCGGGGGTGGGTGAAATCCCATCCGTGGGAAATAACGTTGTGGCTTCAATGCTGCAAAATAGGCGATATTTTGAATTGATCCTACTGCCGCCACTTCCCAAGTGAATGTACCTCCAAACCCCCCAATTTGTTCTAATCTTTTATCCCCCACTTTACTTTTACTAATTTCAATGATATTCAATTGCACCTCGAGTTTTGATGATATTTGCGAATTGACCAACGATGGATCATAATAATGATGGTCCTTAGTTTGGCTAGGGAACATATTACATAATTTCCCAAAAGATTGGACCAACAATTCTTTAGACTCGTCACTGATGATATACCCAGTTTTAAAGAACGATTTCCGTAACCTGATCAAACTATACTGTTCTTGAAGATTCCTGGTCAAAATTCTAGTATTATTGGCATTGATAAATTGTTCGAGCAAGTACCGTTCTCTCACTGGGTGCATGTAATATACCGGCAGGATTATTTCCACGTAGGTAGGAATCAATGATGATGAATAATTCCCTTCGATGATCAAGTCTTGGTAGGTTTTTATCCCTTTAATATCATCGTAAATTGATATCGCTTTGATATTCTTATTCCCGGTCAATTCTTGAATCAAAATCTTATTTTTGAATGAGTAATTTGACTGTCCAATGTTTTTTTTGAACATTACCACGCTAATCATGTCACCGAGTCCGGTTCTCGATTGGAGAATCTCTTTCACCAACGGTACGAACCGTTCGTTTGGTCGATCGCATATCACGATATTTTTCACTTTGCTCTTATAGGTTTCCCAATTTACGATGTCGGTATTCCGGAGTATTGCACCAATGAGATCTTCTCTGAAAAATCCATAAAATCCATTTTTCACCAATTCTTTCCAAGTAGTTTCAAGACTGGTGCTAGACGAGCTTCCCTTTGCAAGCAACCCTTTGAAAAACATTGGTTCATTCCACCAACCAAACACATTATTATACATCATTTTTTTCCCAATCATCGGCACTGGATAGCCACCATCGAGCAGCTTATCTTCTGGGAAGTTGAACCCTGAATAGAGTGATTTCAACGTGCCCCGGCTTAAAAGTTTAGGGTTTGGTCGGGGAGAGATGAAGAGCGAATCAAAATTGTAAATATGTAATTCTTCAAAGTCCAGAAGCTTTTGTCCAAGAGGCAATTCATATATATCATCTGGGAAAATGTTGGCCGAGGAGTTTGCTGGTGGGAGGTGTGATTCAGAATAACCTAGTGATGTTTGAGAATAGACTAATGGAGCTTGCTGGACGGGCAAACGATGATAAGATGTGGTAGTTGGTTGTGAAACGACTGGAATAGGGGGTAGCAGGGGAACACCGGCGTTGGTTTTTGAATTGTCATGATGATGATGATCATTATCATCATTGATGTATGGAGTAACATAGTTATTTGGTTGATTCATTGCTATTTACAAAATAAAAAACAAAACAAAACAAGAAGGGTATGCTTGGTCAATGTGCTAATCATATATTATAATATATGATCTATTTCCATAACTAACTACTATCCTGATTATTATCCTCAACGATAAAAGATTAAAGGGGAGAAAATAAAGCATCGCTGCTGAAATAATTTTTTTTTCCCATCACCAAAAAAAAAGGTTAAGCAGCGCTGGGAGCGGGCAAAAAGTGGCATAAGGCAAAAAAACGATGAGGGCTGATTACCATCGTTATCATGAATTATCTATAATGCCATCCATCTATTGGTTCCATTAACACCATGGATAATAAAATAATCGATCAGAAACACCATCCTATCTTGTCTGCTGCCAACAGTAGCTCTTCGACAATTAATACTGACTTTGAGGGTGATAACTACTTGCAATTCAGCTCGAGCAGTCTGGAGTCATTGGCAAGCAAGACGAAATATCGCAATACTTGCGACATTGTCCCGTCTTTGATTAACCATCAATTGAACCAACTTAAGAATGGAACGTCCATCATCAATGATAAATATTATCATGATAAAGGTAAGATTTACGATTTGGTGTCCACCATCAGGTTGGTCGACTCAAAATTAAACCATATCACCGTCAAGGCCAAGGCTAAGAAGATCCTTATTGTCACCAAGATTTACGACATCGAACCGGTGTTGGATACTTTAAAATTGATCCGGTACATCTTGAGGATTTGTCCGAAAATGGAATTGTATATTCAGGATGAGCTTATGAAAATTAAAGAGTTCAATTTGGCAGGTATTGCCAAAGATGATCCGCTGTTGCATGTTGAAGGAAGAATCAAATTCTGGTCGTCCAATTGTTGCACTTACAACCCCAACACTTTTGATTTGGTCATCACTTTAGGAGGCGATGGGACGATTTTGTTTACCAGTTATATTTTCCAAGAATTAATTCCCCCCGTGCTTTCTTTCAGTTTAGGGTCCCTAGGGTTTTTAACCGAGTTTGATTTTAAAGATCATCAAGAAATCTTGTATAATGTGATTTACAATGGGTACCAATGCTCGATCAGAACCCGGTTCGAATGTACGGTGATGAGATCAAGAAGTAATAGGAAAAACAAAATTGCCCAACAATCCAGCTTTATTGATGCAGAAAAAGTTCTACGAGACGAGATTTCCTCGACCTGTGAGCACCATATTAATAATAATAATAATAATAATAATGGCTCTTATCATGGAGAAAAAATTAGTTTGACCACAGTTCCGGAATTATCTGACGAATTGTTGACCGAAAGAACCATTGACGAAACCCATTTCAATGTACTTAGTTACTCGGTGTTTAATGATATTGTCATTGATAGAGGCCCGAACTCTACTATGACATCGTTGGATTTATTCTCCGATAATGAATTGCTCACCAACATTGAAGCCGACGGGTTAGTGATTGCTACTCCATCAGGATCAACGGCGTACTCTCTTTCTGCTGGGGGATCGTTAGTGCATCCTGACATTCCGGGGATTTTGATTAGTCCAATCTGTCCGCATTCTTTATCATTTAGACCGTTAGTGGTTCCAGAATCGATGATTTTGAGGGTCGGGGTCCCGTACGATGCTCGATCACCTGCGTGGTGCTCATTCGACGGGAAGAATCGGATTGAATTGGAACCAGGTGATTTCTTGACCATTACCACCAGCAGGTTCCCGATTGCGTTTGTGAAGAATATGTCGGTGAAGAATGAATGGTTTAAAAGATTGAGCGATACTTTACATTGGAATGAAAGAAAACGACAAAAGCCATTTAATAACTTGGGGCCTAAAGAAATTTAAAAGAGGAAAAAAAAAGGATTGTATATTATAAATGGATAATTATTAATTGTTTAGAGAGAAAAAGTATGGATAATTATTAATTGTTTAGAGAGAAAAAGTGTCCCCCAGCCATTTGTAATTTTCCACGCCGGACCATAGACCACTATCCGGAACGGTGTACTTTCACATTTTTTTTTTTTTTTTTTTTTTTGCCACACACAGAAAGCAAAATGGCAGATCTTCACCTAATAATAATCATCACTACCGATTTAGACATTATAATAGATTATTAATTGTCACCATTGATTAGATATCCTATCATTTCAAACCATGGTGTTTTACCCAATAATTGACAAATATTCTAAAACTGAAGTTTTGGCAAAACTTAAGGATTCAAAAATCATCATTCCAACGGTATCATTTGCCAATGTGCCCCAACTTGCGATCGATTTATTGATCAGTAACCTTGATACCATTAAGATTGGTAGACTTGATGACCAATACGTGTACCCTTTCATTTCCTCTATTGACCCACCAGTATCCTCCACAGAAAACGTGAAGATCGAAGGAGTATGCACCAGTTTGGAAGTGTACTATAGTGAAAAGTATAACTTGACATTATTACAACAACGGTCACCGATATTACCAGAATTCAAATTACAATTTTTGACCAATGTGTTGGTTCCGTTCTTAACTGATATTGGGAAGTTTCAAGAGATTGTGGTGTTGAACTCTGAGAATTTGGTCAGCAACTACGACGATTACATCACCAATAACATTTCGATATATTATTCATTAGATTTACTTGATGTCAAGTTCAAATTGTTGGAAATCAACGATGCAAACAATAACAAAAACCAGATTTACAAGGATATATCTCAAACAAAAGACCAATTTGTCAAAGCGGTCCATCAAGCGATGGTGGAAAAGGACGCAATCAACACCAACAAGATATCGTCGATTGTCATCCATGTGTTTGAAGGGGATAATTTCCAAGATGGGGTATATTTCTACCAAGAGATTTTGAAATTCTGTGAAATTGCATCGCCACACAACCACCAATTAATTAAACCGTACTCTTGGTTGGGATTCTATGGTGATAAACCAATTCCTTCATCTATCGAGGAAGGGATATTTGGTTAAAATTGATAAGATAAATAGTAATAATAATAATGCATTAATTTTGGTATATGGTACAATAAGTAGACAAAAAAAATAGAACAACAACAATAATATGGAGAGAATGAACAATGGATGGATGGGAAAAAATGGATTATAAGTGGGTAGGAAAACGAATGAATGATAAGGGCCTCAATTTTTTTTTTCAATTTTTTTTTTTTTCTTCATTTTTTCCAGATTAGCTCAGTTATTGACCTTATATCTATAACCACAATTTGTACAAGTATAAAAGACGGTGGCCCCTTCATCGGCCGATCTTAATTGCAAAGTATGATACACCATTTCTTCATTACCACACTTTTCACAAGTTTCTTTAATGGTGGCCCCGTTGTTTGCTTCTTGATCACTTTTAGATAACGATGTCTTGACCGCAGATTTCTTTAATCTTAAAGATGAAGGGAAAGCATCATCGTGGGATCTGGTAACGACTTTTAAATTCGAGAAATCTTTGGCGCTGTAACTTCTTTGACACACTCCGCACGTTATTTTATTGGATTGCCCATCAACAGAATCGAGGAGATTACCGCAAGAAACACAGAAGATCAAAGAACCAACAGCAGACATATTCTATAGAGTTTATTGTATTTATCACTATTGAAGCTCATCGAAATTTTTCAAATTTTTTTTGTTTCAAAAAAAAAAAAAAAAAAAAAATAAAAAATGCGAAGACGCCCTTGTGATACCCGCATATCATGGCATTGTGACACAGGGAGGTGGTCACCCTCCGCCTTCCCGGCAGTCATCAGGAGAGCCAATGTGCCCGGAAAGGAATATTGTTATAAAAGGAATGGATGTTTCAACCCTTGACATTTGCAATTCAGTTTTCCCGTCTCTTCTTATTTCCCTTTCTCCTTAATTATATCATTTTTATAATTTATAATTAATTTTAATATCTGTCAATTCTATTCACAATGGTCAAGAAGTTGGTCCTCATTCGTCACGGTTCCTCTGAATGGAACGAAAAGAACTTGTTCACCGGTTGGGTCGATGTCAAATTGAGTGAAACCGGTAAGAAAGAAGCCGCTAACGCTGGTAAATTGTTGGCCGAATCCGGTATCAAGCCAGACATCTTGTTCACCTCAAGATTGTCCAGAGCCATCCAAACCGCTAACCTTGCTTTGGAACGTGCTGACCGTCTTTTCATCGACGTTGAAAGATCCTGGAGATTGAACGAACGTCATTACGGTGATTTGCAAGGTAAGAACAAGGCCGATGCTTTGGAAAAATTCGGTCCAGAATTGTTCAAGACTTACAGAAGATCTTACGATATTCCACCACCAGTGATTGCCGATGACTCTGATTTCTCCCAAGCTAACGATGAAAGATACGCCGATTTGGACCCATCCGCCTTGCCAAAGACTGAATCTTTGAAGTTGGTCATCGACAGAATGTTGCCATTCTGGCAAGACAGAATTGCCAAGGAATTGATCCAAGACAAGACTGTTTTGGTCGTGGCCCATGGTAACTCCTTGAGAGGTTTGTACAAGCATTTGACCGGAATGTCAGATGATTCCATCACCGAATTCAACATTCCAACTGGTATCCCATTGGTTTTTGAATTGGACGACAACTTGAAGCCAGTTAAGGAACCATACTACTTGGACCCAGAAGCTGCTGCTGCCGGTGCTGCTGCCGTTGCTGCCCAAGGTCAAAAGAAATAAGCTAAATAAATACACTTAGAGGTTTGTGTAGTTTGAAAGTTAACGGTGTTATTTATGTGTTTACTTTATACTTTTAATGATTTTGATTTATGATTATTCAAATTGTAGGAAGTGTTGGTGATAAGAAGAAGAAGAAGAGGAAGAAGAATAAACGATGATGTAATACGGGTAATCGTCATCGCATGAAGTAAAAAAAAAAAAATCTGTACGAGGAGGAAAATTTGAAATATGATTACCGTGGAGTTAAATTGTACCAATCAAGAACAGTACTTATTATATATTCCGTTTACCAGGCACATAATGACCAGCTCTAGCTACGACCAATTGGTCAAGAATTTAAAACCATCGGAGATCTTGGCCAAATTCCCAGACGTCATCCCATTGAGCAAGACTTCAGGGTCTGCGTCCAGTGATGACAAGCTCGATAAGGAACTCGACATTTTCCAAGGTCATGACGAAGAACAAATCAGACTCATGAATGAAAACTGTATCGTTTTGGATTACGATGATGTGCCTGTTGGGGCTGGGACCAAGAAACTTTGTCACTTGATGACCAACATCGATGAAGGATTGTTGCACCGTGCGTTCTCGGTGTTTTTATTCAACGAAGACAATAAGTTGTTATTGCAACAAAGAGCCACGGAAAAAATCACTTTCCCAGATATGTGGACCAATACTTGCTGTTCTCACCCACTTTGCTTCCCTCAAGAATTGGGTGGGTTAAGCAGTGATCCAGAAGTGTTGTTGCAAAACGGGATCCAAGGGACTAAAGAAGCAGCGGTCAGAAAGTTGGATCATGAATTAGGGATCACTGGAGTTACCACTCAAGATTTCAGTTTCTTAACAAGAATACACTACAAATCACCAAACCCTACCGACAGCAAGTGGGGAGAACATGAGATTGATTACATTTTGATCGCCAAGAAGAATATCCAAATGAACATGAACTTGAACGAGGTTAGAGACGCCCAGTACGTTTCCGAAGAAGAATTAAGATCGATGTTGGACGATCCAAAGTTGGTATTCACCCCATGGTTCAAGTTGATTTGTGAAAACTATTTGTTCAAGTGGTGGAAAGAGTTGAGAGATGGTAAAGAGTTGTCTGCTGATATGACCCTTCATCATTTAGTTTGAAAAACTTCCATTGATTGGATTGGTTTTAATTTGAGGGGACTAGGAGACTACTTGATGTATGGAATATATATATATATATATATATTATTTGAGATGGTTTAATATGAATGAAAGAATTTGGTGATATATCCTTCTTTTTTTATTTTTTACTTTTCATGGTTGAAATTCTTTTTCTTATTTCCTTGCCTTCCCTCTGCTAATATCTTGATACCTTATAAGATAGATTACAGATAGATTGACTTTTATTAATATTTTGTTTGCTTTTATTGTTTATTATTATTATTATTATTATTGTTATTATTTATAAATGGTGTAAGAAAGCGGGTGACACACCCTGGCTGTCCAACGGTTGAAAAAAAAAAAAATCGGAAGCAAAATTAGCAATGACAGCTGGTTGTTATCGGAACTCGCTCTTCAACTATTGTTATTATCTTCATCACTATTCGGTCGCTACATTTCATATTGGGAAAAACAAACGTTTGTTAATTTAAAAAGTACCCCTCTTTTAAAAAAACTCCAAGTTTTGCTGGATCATTATTATTATATATATACACAACTTGTCAGGGATTACTTGCGCGGGACAGTGCCAACTTTTTATGGAAAAAAGGAAACAACAATAGTAATAATAATAACCATCTTTTTTTTTTTTTGCCCATATCATGGAAAACCACAAAAATATAAATAACGAGCTGACTGTCAAACCATTCTTTGGTCAGTTTCCTGCTCCAGCCACCACAGAAACAACTCAACAAAACGTCATGTCAGAGGCTAGCACTCGCAGTGATGACCCAGGAAATGTCACGAAACCCATTGGCGACCATAATAAATCAATGAGGGACTTGAAAATGACAGATATCAACAGCTCGATGAGTAATTTGAACTTGGGGAAAAAAACCGCATCGATGATGAGTATTGATCAAGAAGGCACTCATGAAGATGACCAAGGACTGTCATCAGAAAACAGACCTGTCAGAAGAAAATCGACGTTGATATTAACGGAGGATGCCGAAAATGAACTAATCCAAGCGAGAAAACTGCACAACTCACATCCTCAGGAATCATCATCATCATCACAAACCATCGATAACTCCAACAGTGGTGGTGACGCTGTCAAACCAAAATTGTTCCCGGTAGAGATCAAGTGGATTCAAGGGGGCTCGAAAGTGTACGTCACTGGTTCGTTCACTGGCTGGACCAAGATGATCAAAATGAAGAAAGTCAATGAAGATGATAAGGAATATATTATTAGATTGAATTTGCCAATTGGCACCCATAGATTTCGGTTTGTTGTGGACAATGAACTTAGATTTTCCGATTATTTGCCTACCGCCACCGATTCACGGGGGAATTTTGTCAACTATATCGAAATATTATCGGAAGAAGAGCAACCAGTAGATGATAATAATAATAACATTCAACCACCACAAGAAATTCCTCAGCAGGCGGGATTGGACGATGCCAACCTTGCCAAATTGAAACAAATCCAAGAAAACCAACAAATCTTACAAGAAAACTTGACTCCGGAACAACGTGCCAAATTACAACAGAAATCCATGGCCAACAAAGATTCTCGGTTAGGTTTAACTCAAGATGACGATGATATGGGTAATGGGTACACTAGATTCCACGAAAAATCCATGATTAACAACGCCAAAGCCGCTGCCGCCAAAAGAGACTACACTTACACTTCGACCATCCCAGCAATTTTTATCGACCCACAAGCCATGGAACGGTATTATCTTACCCTTGATCAACAACATCGTCAAAGCGGGAATAATCAATGGTTGATTCCTCCAGCGTTACCTCCACATTTGGACCACGTTATCTTGAATAATCAACAACAAAACTCCAGCGAGGCCGGAAGTTTCAATAAGGAAATCAACGCCGGGGGCTCTTTACCTATTCCAAACCATGTCATTTTGAACCATTTGGCCACCACCAGCATCAAGCACAATACATTAGCGGTGGCCACTACCGTGAGATACAAGAGAAAGTATTTGACTCAAATATTATATGCTCCAATTCAGTAGTGTTGGAAATCGAAGAAGCCATGGAAAGTTCAATCAAAAAAAAAAAAAAAAAAAGAATCTGAAATGAAAAGAAAAAAATAATTATAAATTTAAAAATAGTCTATCTCATTTATGCTTCTGTTTTTCCACTTCCATCTCTCAAGAATATGTCATTAATGAACCGTTTTATTGTATTATGTATTAAAATCTAATATTTTTTTTCCCCCTGTCTCTTTAATAACTTGCATGAGATTTGTAGAAGATTATCGCTATCTATACAAATTTAAATATATTACACACCATATGTATTGGTCATTGCTTTAATTATCTTTCAATACGAATTAAAAACTCTATTACCACCTTAAAAAACAAAACAAAACAAAACAAAACAAAATAATCTAGTAATATTTCTCACAATAAATAAATAACATAAAACAAATAAATATCATACAAAAAAATAAATATCATACAATGTTTAACGAATTCTGATCCCATTGATCAAACCATTGAATACTATTGATCCCATCTAATTGAATGATCGCCTCGTAATTATTATTCCCATCCCCTAGTTCAGAAATATCCGAAACCGTATTGGCTTGGCCACCATTGATGGGAGAATCATCGGTTCCACCATGACTAACAGAATCCATAGGGGTTTGATTAAGAATGAAATCTTGCAATAATGGGTTCACATATGAGCCACTTGGATTCACATTGTGATTATTTGCAGCCAGTTGAGTTGAAGGGATCCCAGGAATGATTTCTGGGGCCATAAAAGTGCCAAATTGTGGTTCAGAAAATACCGGGGTTTCCACCGCCATCCGAGCTGCTTCGTACTGTTTTGGTTTTTCATCGATATGGGGTTCTCCTGGAATAGCAGTTACCGCCATGCCTGATGGATTAGGAGGAGGAGAATAAGATGATTGTTGACCAGCCCCTGCCAATGTCGTACGCACAGGGTATCCGATATTATTATTTTCCAACTTTGCTTTGCGAACATGATGACTGAACCCAAACTGAGTGAACGTTGCTTCATTCACCGTACTTGGTCCATGATCGGTATATTGCGCCAACATCGATGTGATTTGATTATTTCTCATAATCATCATTCTATTTAGTAACTTTAGAGCATAAAGACATTCGTTACACATTCCAAACTTGTCTTGGTATGTGACTTCGTATACCACATTATTGACAATTTCCAAAGACACTGTGGCATTACCATTGGCATAATTTTTATTGGGATCGGGGGTTCGGAACACTGGATGTCGTAGGATTCGCAAAATATCAATGGTTTCGATATAATTCTGGCGATTTTCTTCGATCTTGATTCCGCTATTGATTAACACTAATGAGAAAACCCCCACGTTAAACAACAAGTTTAAATTCAAGTACCATGGTGTGAAAATCAATTTTTTTTCGTAGAATTTTTTGAAAATACTCATGACGGCTTTGCAATGGGCCATCAAAGAATCAAAATTATAAAAATCAACATCTTTATTCATCCCACTTTGGGTATAAATGTTTGCCCGGTTAACTAAAGGATACAACGCCTTCAGTTGTAACGTCAAGTACGAATGATAATAATGAAGTTTCAATTGTGATAATACCATAGCACTATCAGCAGGTCTCTGTGAGCCTCGATAAACTTCATCCGAACTGTGGAAACCATCATCCAGGAGATCCCAAAGATTATTTTGTTCACACCAACTTTTCAAATACGCGAAATCTTCCACCACATGATTATAATCACAGTTCAACACCGAGGGGTTGTTGACAGTGCTGAAATAGATAAGCTGTTTAGATATTATTGCTAGTTTGAGTAATGCTAACGCAGGTACCGTAAACCACCCATCATTTTGTTCATGGAAATCCCAACTTGGATAGATGAATTGACCCTCGTGATCATCGATTAAAAAGCTTCTACCACTATGCAAACTATACAATTTGTCCAAAGTGTACACCGCCCAAAAAATTCGTTTGGCTTTGATGGATTCATACTGGTTTTGAAACACGGTTTTTGGATAAATGACGTGCAAATCTAACGACATCCCTTTCACCATTCTAACCGCGTTACTGATGGCATAAAATGTCGAGGCTTGTTTGTGAGTGGTCCGTAAATAAATGAAGATTAATAACCAGCCTTGCACAAGCTCAAATGATTCCCAACTGACCGATAATTTCGTGATGATTTCCAACGCGATTTCAAACATTTTTTCCTCCAATCCCGATTTGTACTTCTTATTGAATCCAAACTCAGTATACCGCATGGAAATCGCATAGATCAAATATAACATCGCCACAAAGAGACTATCATGGTCGGTACTTTGTTGGTCTGATTGTTGAGTTTGCAAATTCGATAAATATTTCTGATACTGTTGTAAGAAAATCGGTTCGTGAAGAATGGCAAATAGCGGGTTGATTTCCAGGAAAAAATAGTTGAGAAAGTACTTGGAAAGCTCCAGATCCCCATGAAGTAAATCCTTCCAATTTTTAGAGGTTAACGGGTTGGTTAAATAGTCGGAATTGATATAGTGCGAACCCAGACAATTCCACGCATAAAATTGGGTTCGTGGCTTGGTAACTTTCGACTGATCTTCTTGGGAAAGTGAGTTGTAGAGCATATTTGATAAATCTTGGAGCAAGATATTTCCATCGGTCCTAATACTTCTCCACTTGATGGTCGAAAAAAAAATTATTTCTCTAGAGTTATCAATGGGTTTGTTATTACCGTTGGGCCCGCGCGTTGGAAAAATCCTGGCACTTTGATTCGCACCACCACGGTTTTCCAACGACTTAATCCGCAGTTCTAAAAACGAAATATATTCTTCACTGGATTTATTATGCTGTAATCGGTTTGTCTTGGAGATGCTACTGTTGTTGTTTGGCGGTGGGGGTTGGGTTGGGGTGTATTGGCAATTGTTCTGGTGTTTGGTGCAGTTGGCACAAGGGTTTAAGCCATCGCACTTGATCTTCTGTCGTTTACAGCGATCACAGGCCTTGCTGACCCTCATTCGATCCTTAGGATCCACAGTCTTTCGTCTTTTAGTGGTCTGGGGCATCTTGTTCAAGTCAATGATTGTTGGCTATTTTGGCAGTACGGATTGAATTCCGGGAGCGTTTTTTTCAATTTATTTTTCTTGTTGTTTCTCACCATGCATTTTTTTTTTCTTATCTTCATTTTCTGGTGGCAAGATGATCATTTTACAACATTGGAGAGTTAGTTCTCTTGGATTAAGAGATTCTTTGTGGATTACCAGAAGATCTCTATTAGAACAAAATAGTTCTACGGGAGTATCAGAAGATACAAATTAACCCCCTCTACCCGCCTTGCTAATCAATCAAATCATGTCAAAGCTACTCATCGTCAACCCCAATAGCTCTCAATCAATGACCGAGGAGATCAAAACTTCTTTGACCCCACTGGTATTGAAAAAACCACTGCTTTCTATTGAATACTTCTCCGCTCCCCCATCAGCACCTCTGGAGATTATCGACGTTGTGACTTCCGCGGAATCTTGCCGGGAGTGTTTACCTCAATTGACCGCGATTTTTCAAGATTGCTAGGGAATTCTAATTTGTTGTTATTCCAAACATCCATTAGTCGCGGAATTGAACCAGTACATTGATAGGAACATCAGGTTGCCAAATAAGAAGATTGTGATCCAAGGGATCTTTGATTCGTCATTGATTTTTGCCGTGAGCAAGTTTCCTAGAGAATTCTTGATCCTCACCTCCAATGATGATTGGGTGAGTATTTTGAATGAGTCAGTGCAACAATACTTTGGTGGAGTGGATATCCCGTTTTTCAAGGGGACTTACTCCAGTGGGATTACTCCAAAGAGAATCCACGATAAGGACAATTTCGTCAAGCTCATTGATAGAATTGAGAAATTAATAGAACAGAACCCAGAAGTGAAGGTCATTTTACTTGGATGTGCTGGATTTAGCGGGATGGAAAGTCGTTTTGCCGAGTATTTCACTCATGTTATTTTTGTTGATCCAGTGAAAACTGGATTCAACCTTATCAATGCTTTTGGGTAATGCTTACAGCAAAAAGAGGAGATATATTATTATATTATGATTAAAGGCATCTATTGTACTGGCAAGGAAAGAAAAGGAAAGGAAAGGAAAGGAAAGGAAAGGAAAGGAAAGGAAAGGAAAGGAAAGGAAAGGAAAGGAAAGGAAAGGAAAGGAAATTTAAAAGAACTAAAAAGAAAAAGAACAATCCTATTTACGAATGGAAGAAAAATTTGGGCTATTTTTTTTTTTTTGAACATCATATTTCAATCAATTGGTTTTAGCAGGACTCAAAGTAGTAGTGGTTCTAGATGAACCAGCACTTGTCAGATTATTTCCCACAATAAATGGCAGTAAATCAAGGCTATTTTTCATTATAACCCTGTCACCATCCATGAGATCTGCCAGTGTGTAAACTGTATCTGGGGTTTTCAGCACATAAAAGTACGACCCAGTGGCATCGTTTAAAGTGATGGATTTCAAATGAGCACTCTCGTCTTTCTTGTTTTTGGAAGATTTTTCTGAAATTCTTTCGATCATGAACCCAATAGTGGCGGGATCAATGATGAAATATTCGCTCGAACTGTTGACGGTCTTTATGAGTTTATCATCGAAGAAATATTGGATGGTGTCTTTGGACCATTCAAAAGTATAATTATGATATCCATCAGTCAAATCACACCCAGTATCATAGCCATCATTATCTAGATAAGTGCCGTTCAACGTAGGATATACTGTTGTTGGAGTGACCCCACCTACTGAAAGACCAACCCCGGTGGAACTACTGTACATTTTGGCAGAAGTGAGGGTTTGCCCCGTGGCCATTTTAACTTCGTAAGTTAATCTGCCGTATTTGAAATAGAAATCAGAGAGCATAATCGCCGGTTGATGAGATTTGGAAACTTCTAAACTTTCTGACCCAGCAGTGCTTTGGAAATTACCGGTGGCGATGAACTCATTGATTGGCGATATGCTAGAACTGCTGCTGTCACTACCGAAGGTAAACTTCAATTGTTCAGTGGTACCTGTACCATATAACACACCATTGAATTGTGCTGAGGTGATAGTAATCAAAAATGATGTAACAAATAGTAATAGAGGGAGCATATTTCGTAGATCAATGTTTGAAGAATGAAAGAATAATGTCAAATGTATAAATAAAGGAAAAAAGCAAAAAACAAAAACAAAATGAGAAAAAAAGATTGGGATATTGCCCGATTATTATACCTGATTTCTCAGATTCCAGAAGCCAGAGATGTGTCCTCAGGATAAGCCAAAATCAAGGCACCAATCCATTCCTTTGGTGGTGAATATCCCCGAAGAATCGGTGGAATCCATCAACATTCCGTCTGTGCATTCGCCGTGTCAGAACATTTCGGATGGGATCCATGGACAAAGAGAACCCTGTGGTAATCTTTTATTTATTTTTATCGTATGGGATGTTATTCATACTCGTAAAAAGGGTTCTAAATGATATAATTAACCCAAATTGCAAAAGAACTATCAACAGTCAGAAGACACAGCTAGTATTCTCTATATATATATACTAGAAGCCCCTGTACATCGGACGCCAATTTTTTTTTTTTTTTTTTTCTTTTTGAATAAACAACAATAAGCAGCATCTATTGTAAGGTCTATATTTGACAATAATTGGATTAAAAGGATATATTTTTGTATAAAAATGGCTCCTCCAGTATCGATGCCCGCGTCCAACTCATTGTGGTCGCCTCTCGACACCGTGAAGGATGCTGCCGAGTCTTTGGGGATCGCCAACCTTCCGAACGACGTGGGAAACGTCGTGGCCATGGATGTCGAATATAGAATCTTCCAGATCACTGAACAGGCCCTTAAGTTCATGAGACATTCAAAGAGAAAGACCCTCCTCACCAAAGATATCAATAAAGCCCTTAAAGTTCTCAATGTTGAACCATTATACGGCTACGGGAACAATATCAGCAATGGCAATGGGAAACCATTGTCATTCAAACAGGCACTAGTGGGACCTGGCCAAACCTTGTATTATCTTGATGAAAACCAAATGGATTTTGAAAAATTGATCAATACCCCACTACCAAAGATCCCAAGATTGGTGACCTTCACTGCACATTGGTTGGCCATCGAAGGGGTGCAACCAAACATTCCTCAAAACCCATCACTTAATGAAATCAAGTCATTGCCAGCGAATGAGCGTGGATCAATGCAGAACTTAATCATCAATACCAACTCGATATCCGAAGAATCTGCTAAAAATTCTACCTCCAATGGTCCATCGGGCAACAGAAATGGGAAATTCGACACCAATAACAATGGATTATCGGCAAAACCATTAATTAAGCATGTCATCTCCAAAGAACTCCAACTTTATTTCAACAAGATCATCCTGGTGTTAACCTCCTCACCGGTTAACAATCCAGAATACGAATACTTGAAAAATGCGGCGCTTGTATCAATGAGATCAGACCCTGGATTACACCAACTAGTGCCATATTTTATCCAATTCATTTCCGAAACCATCACCAATAACTTGAATGATATTTCTCTTTTGCACATCATGCTAGAATCAATCTACTCGTTGTTATTGAACGAAAATATTTTCCTCGATCCGTATATCCACGCACTTTTACCATGTATTTTAACCTTATTATTAGCGAAGAAAATTGGGAAATTGCCGACCTCAGCAAACCAAATTAAAGTAGTGGAGGCCAATACTCTTGAAGATTATTTGGACGAGACTTTGGCGATCAGAGAATTCGCTGCTAGTTTGCTCGATCATATCTTGAAGAATTATGGTAGTAACTACAATACTTTGAAACCAAGAGTCGCCAGAACTCTATTGAAGGCATTCTTACAGTCCAGTCTTAATGGTAATAACAATGATGTCAACGAGACCAAAGAAGAAGAAACTTCCAGTATAGATAAAACCAATATTCAAAAACTTTATATGAAGAATCTTTTGAGAAACTTTGGCTGTTACTACGGGGCGATCATTGGGATCAAAAAGCTTGGGAATGAAATCATTCGGTTAGTATTATTAGGGAATCTTAAGATTTGGTCAGAGTTTATTTTCTTTGACACCACTCTTGATATCAAATCGGAAAATAATAATGATGATGGCGATGTGGAAATGGCTGATAACGAAAGCAACGAAACCGCAGATACAAATAACGATGTCTTGTCCAACAAGATCTTCACTAGGGAGAAGAAGGTGCTTACTGGGACGATCATCAGTGTATTGAAAGAATTGAAGAAAGATGGGAAAACATTGAAGAAGGAAGGCTCTGATGAACCGAAAAAGGAAGTATCAGCCGATAGAGTCAAGGAAACTGTTGGGGCAGGATTCTACGAGGCGTTGCGGAATGAAAGCGACTACGATGATATTGTTGATGGGGTGTTTTTCGGAGAGAACTGAGATGTTGAAGAAGATGTAGTGTTAAATTTATATGTATAATGCCATCGAAAATGTACTATTACTTGATTATTGTTTTTTTTTTTTATTTATTTATTGATAGTTATTGTAGAATGTGCATGAAAATTCACAGGAGGATGGCACGAAAAGAAATGAAAATACTCCAAATAAAATGTATTGAACTTCACATATAATATTGAAAACTGAAGCATAAAAAGCTTCAAAATTATTCTCAGTGCGAATTTTTCTTATACGTCTTTAGAATCTAGCTTCTCCAGCAAGATCAAAGCTTCTTTTTTCAGGACATTAATGTTTTTTTGCAAATTGGCCCAGCAAATTTGTGGCAACAGACGGTGCAAAATAGAATATAGGAAGTTCTGAATTGGAGGCTCTTTCAACACTGTAATCTTTAACTGATTTCAAACGGATTTCGACTCTTTTTAGAGGATTTTGATCAGAATGGCTCAATGGTTGCTTTCTTTTGCCCATTTTTGGGACGATCCACGAAGGAAAGCGGAATCTTCTCTTTGCACCCATCAACCGCCATACTATTTTAGGGAGCATCTTCAACAGTGAGAGATAATTGATCTCTTGAATTCAATTTTACTTACTGGTTAGAACTATCCAATGGTGTCTGAACTTCTTGGAGAATAATAAGGTGGTGAAAATACAAGTTATAATTCCATTCATTATAAGCAGTTTTACGTTTTTTACCTGCACTGCAAGATAGATAGGCACTTACTACTTCATGTCCTACCATCTAATATTATTTGTTTCTATTAGCTTAGGTATTAATTTCATTCATTAAACTTTAGAAATCGTTGGCTTTGCTGCTTCTGCTATGAGTTAGGGGAGCACGATTGTCGTGAATTAATTCAGCAAAACTATGTGCTCAAAAACCCAAACCAACAATATTCAACTTAATATATGTTGGTTAGAACATGTGGTAAGCAGTATCATAATGATCTTGTAGTCACAATTTTGCGAATAAATTGTGCTGGCGTGAAAGATGTTGAGGGAAGAGTTAATCCATCACCAACACGGTGCAACAACAATCAATGAATGCGCGGGACGGACAGTCAGTGTCAATCTCCCGCATTATCACGATTTTCCGGTTGTGGAGGACTCCGCGATGAGTCAGAAAACAAATGATAACCCGTTCATCTCGTCACAAACTTTTTTCACTTAATTTTTTTTTTCTTCAGTGTAACTTCCCTCCTTCCCCCTTTTTTCATATTGTTTCTTGTTTCTTGGGAGTCTGATTTTAATTCCAATTCGAATCACACAACAATTGTCCACAAATACACACAATGGCTCAAAAAGTTTTGTTGTTAGGTACTGGTTTCGTTGCTAAACCAACCGTTGACATCCTCGCCGCTACCGAAGGGGTTGAAGTAACCGTTGGTTCTCGTACCTTGGCTTCTGCCCAAAAATTGACCGAAGGTAACTCTGCCAAGGCTATTTCCGTCGACGTTAACGATGAAAAGGCTTTGGACGCCGAAGTCGCCAAGGTTGATGTTGTCATCTCATTGATCCCATACATTTACCACGCTACTGTTGTCAAGAGTGCCATCAGAAACAAGACCAATGTCGTCACCACTTCTTATATCTCCGATGCCCTCAAGGCTTTGGAACCAGAAATCAAGGCTGCCGGGATCACCGTCATGAACGAAATTGGGTTGGATCCAGGTATCGACCACTTGTACGCCGTCAAGACCATTGACGAAGTCCACCAAGTTGGGGGTAAGATCAAGTCCTTTTTGAGTTACTGTGGTGGTTTGCCAGCCCCAGAAGATTCTGACAATCCATTAGGTTATAAGTTCTCTTGGTCCTCCAGAGGTGTGTTATTGGCCTTGAGAAACAGTGCTAAATACTACCAAGATGGTGAACTTTGTCAAATCACTGGCGAACAATTGATGGCCACCGCCAAGCCATACCACATCTACCCAGGTTACGCTTTCGTTTGTTACCCAAACAGAGACTCTACTCAATACAAGCAATTATACAACATTCCAGAAGCTGAAACTGTCATCAGAGGTACTTTGAGATACCAAGGCTTCCCAGAATTCATCAAGGCTTTGGTTGACATTGGTTTCCTTAAAGAAGACCCAATTCCAGAATTGTCTTCTGCTATCCCATGGAACCAAGCCCTTGCCATCATTTTGGGCATCAAGTCTACTAAGACTGAAGATTTGATCGCCGCTATCGAATCCAAGACCAAGTTCCCAAGTGCTTCTGAAAAGGAAAGAATCTTGAACGGTTTCAAATGGTTGGGTCTTTTCTCTGAAACCCCAATCATTCCAAGAGGTAACCCATTGGACACTTTGTGTGCCACTTTGGAAGAATTGATGCAATATGGTCCAACTGAAAGAGATTTGGTTGTGTTGCAACACAAATTCGGTATCGAATGGGCTGACGGCACCACCGAAACCAGAACCAGTACTTTGGTGGACTACGGTGTTGTTGGTGGTTACACCTCTATGGCTAAGACCGTTGGTGTTCCATGTGCTGTTGCTACTTTGCAAGTTCTTGATGGTACCATCAGTGATGTTGGTTTGGTTGCCCCACACACTCCAAAGATTGTTTACCCATTGCTCAAGACATTGAAGGAAAAGTACGACATCTACTTGACCGAAAAAACCTTGTAAGCAGAGGGAAAACCCTTACGATAATTTGGTTTTTATTTTATTTTATAATTAAATAGAAGGAATGAATGAAAAACTGCTCCAGAAATATAATTAATTGTATGTTAGCATAAATAATAAAAGCAGTTACTCGAATTTACATTAGTACGGGGTCCCACACCCCGTCAAAGTAACCGCTCATTAGAAAAAAGAGAGAGAGAAAGAGCGGGTAAGGATTGCCAAAAAATTTCATTCAATTTTCCAATGAAAGGATGGAATCAAGCAGCAGAAGTAGCTATTTGTGTGTATATTAGCTATCCCAAGTAATCACTTCCCTATCGTTAATACAAAATGTTCAGAAACTCTGTGATTATTAAGAACATTCCAAAGACACAGGTTAGAACCTACTTGACCCACAACCCATCGATGTCCTCTGGGGATGTGCTGTTGGACAGAAGACCAAAGAAGAAAATTCAAGTTGGTAAGGCTAGACCTGCCATCTACTATAAATTCGACACTGTTGTCCAATTAAGTGATGGGTCAGTTGTTGTGAGAAGATCTCAGACGCCAAAGGCCGAAATGAAAATCATTAATGATCAAAGAAATAACCCAATGTGGAACCCATCGAGAAAGGACTTGACACAAGTCAACGAAAGAGCTGCTGGCAGACTTAGTAAATTCAAGCAGAAATACTCTTTGTTCGAAGATTTGGAAGAAAAGCCAAATGTCTCAGAACAAGAAGCCATGCCACAAGAAACCAAGGCAGCTGCCAAACCAGTCGAAGAAGAACAACCTAAACTCCAGAAATCAGAACCTAAGAAGGCAGCCATGGAAGAAGAGGAAGACGATGATTTCAGCTTAGATGATTATCTTGAGTTGGTCGGTGAAAATGTCCAGGAAGTCCAATCTGGTGGTAAATTGGCCAAGGGTAAAAAAGGGAAATGAGTTAAGGAGGAAATGATGAATTCTGTGTTGTGAATAACGAGGTTGGATAGCATGAATATCTGTAAATATAACAATGTCATCTGCTATAAGAGGGGTATGGGTTTCCATTACCAAATTGGGTGTATATATATTTTTAATATCACCAAAATACACGATCTATTTTTTTTTTTCTTAAAAAGTTACAAAAACTTAGTAATTCAACAAATTTTCACAAAAAAAAAAACGTATTATTTATATCTACAAAAAGTGTAAACAAATTAGTGCAATATCTATAAAACAAACAATCTTTCTATGTCGAGTTTCTCCACGCAAGCTTTTTCTCTAGATTGTGATTCGATAGTTTCGTTTAATAAATCCCCAAAGCGATGCTTCTGGTACAATTTATCCTTCTTTTCAATATCCCTAATGAATTGTCTAATCACCGCTTTATCCTCATCACTGGTGAAATTCTTCACAATAATTTCCATAATGTTGTGAACTGTTTGATAAAGTTGACTGGAGTAATCTGAACCTTCACGTAACGATCTATGGCCCCAACCGTTGTAAAATTGCAACTTGAACCAATCAAACACAATCTTCTTGTGTTGATTTGGTGCAGCACCTTTATAGTTTCTGTTATTATCATAGTAATTGAACCCCACCAATCCGAGCTCAATTCCTCTGGAATCAATGTTGGTGGCAACGTAATTCAAAGCTTTTTGCAATAATGTAGTGTCTCTAACAAATCCAAGACTACTAATGGCTGCTGATTGCAATTCCGGAGTACTGATAGGGATTTCGAGTTCCGATTCGGAGTTGTAAATGTTTGGGATCATGACTTCGCACGATCTTGTAGACAATTGCAACACTTTCTTGAAGTTTTTCATGTTGGTGGTGTTATAGGCATAATTGATCAACACTGCAGATACCAATTCTCTTGGAACAGAATCTTTTGGACCGTGGTTCAAGTTTCTGAAAAGAGACTGACAGTAATCGTTGACTTCCTTCACTTCCACCCCGATCAATAACAACAAATTACGACAGGTAATTTCAGGCTTAGTATACCTGATACTGGAAAAATCAGTTGGCCATGGGGATAATTGTTGGAAAAGTTTAGACACAAATTTGTTCATGAATTTTGTCTTGAATGATTGATATTCTGATACCGATTTAAATAACTGGATAGAAGATCCTAAGAACTGCATAATTCTAAGAACCACTTCGAGTGCCTCATAAGGAATGGCCTGTTTTTTTTCCGACACGATACTTTGAACAATTTTCAATAATCCTTCAATTTGGAATGATTTTTGATGAGCGGTACCAATAAAACTCTCGGTGTCCATCAAAAATCTCACAAGATGACGTCTTTGTAAAGCGGTGATACTTTTGGAGACGGTTTCATAAAATTTGAGGTTTTGGTAAAAAACTTTGAAGTAGCAGTTAGAATTGATGGCGACAAAGTCATCAATCGACAACTCTTCTTTGCTAAACACCTTGGATCTTTCTGTGAAAATCATATTTTTATTAGCCCCGTCCTTCAATACTATTGACAATGGGATATGGTAAATATAATCTTCTGTTGAGGACTCGGCCTCATCTTCAAGGAATCTATGTTGTTCGATCTTAATCAACCCTTCTTCAGTTAACGAGAGATCAACCATTGGCAATCCCGGCAATTTGATCCAAGACATGATGAAATTCGTCAAATTAAATTTGTCCTTTTCGTGAGTATCTTCACCATTAAACTCTTCGTTGAAAAATAACCAAAAGTCGACCATTTTGATAATGTTGTACTTGTATTTTTCCGCCAATTTCCCAAGCACTTCAAAGAATTTCTCACTACTATCGTCATATTTACCATCATTGAAGACGTTCATGAACATTCTCAATAAATGTACCCCTTTTTCATACGATAATTGATTGAATGTTTGTTCAATTGACCCCACATTGATATTTTGCACTGAATCGGCAATGGTGGACACTGCAACCGAACTTTCTGCGGCATCGGTGGCAAAGGTAGACTCCATCAATGAACTTTGCTCGTACCAAATAGTTTGGTAATCGGTATTGATGTTTTCCTTTGGGGTTTGGCTAGAGAAATCGGCGTCGAATTGCACTTCGTTCAAGACACAATAAGCCAAGAACGAAGCCAATGATTCATTCAACCAATAAGCATTCCAATTATCGAATGATACAAGGTTACCGAACCATTGATGCACCAACTCATGGAGAATAATCTGGTTCAATTGCTTGATTTTGTTACTGCATTTCCCGGTTCTTTTGATTTCGGCAACTTCATCAGCACTGACCAATACAATATCTTGTTGCACGGCGATCAAATTAGAATTTTCCACCGCCCCATTGGATAAGAATGGTAATGCTACCAAATCAAGTTTCTTTCCCGGGTACGAAGAATGTTTCAATTTGGAAATAACGATCGGAAGGAAAAATGCCGCCAAATTAAGAGTATATGACGCTTTGGCTAAACTGCCCACCAAAGTGTACATTCTGATTGGGAATTCTTTGGAAATAGATTTCCCATGATCAGTTTCAATTGGAAGTTCGACAGTTTTTTCGATATACTCCATATCACCACAAACAAAGGAAAATAAAGAAATCACCATCGGTGAGGATTTTTCGAATTTGATTTGTCTAGCAGTTTCATCATTGATCAATTCTTCAGATTCCACTGGAGTGCTACTAATGGCATTGAATCTTGGGTTTAATCTCAAAGTCAATCCAAAGGTGGCTTTGGTGGATAGTTCATCAATACATGGGAAAATGGTTCTTGAGTCACAAGGTTGAGACTGGGTAGCCAAAATGATCTTATTGGCTTCAGAGGAAGTTGGACCGAGGTAGTTGGTGATGAATAAGCCCTTAGTTTGGTCTTTGTAAGTGTTTATCTTGGTGATTTTCCCAAGATACTTGATTTCCACATTTATCTTACTGGTATCACCAAGTTGAGAGATCTTGACGTCGTTGAAGATCAAATGAATTCTTTGTGTTGCTCTATCGTACTTCACGGTAGCCTTCTCTTGGTTCTCAGAGACCAAGATCGCGGAAACAATCACTAACCCTTCACTATTCAACAAAAGTTCCAAGTTTTCGCTATTATTCTTTCCCAAGGGTTTTTGGTCGTCATTAGTTGGTCTTGCAAATTGAATCTTTACATGACCCACAAAATTCCTCTTGGTATGATCGCTCAAATCAAGATCGAGATCATAATGAACAGGTTTGAATCCCAAACTGGATTCCCCGAGAATAGATCTCAATTCAGAATCCAGAGACATCTTATCCTTTTTTTTTTTTTGTATCCTTATACAAGGTCCAGGTTTGTCAGTGTGTGTCCCACAAATAAGTCATAAATATCAAAAAAAAAAAAAAAAAAAAAAAATTGTTCGAAACTCCGAGTGAAATTTCAGTTTTTTTGCGCACCCCAGACAGATAATACTCCAACCTCCCTCTCAATCTACATACAACATCCAACAAATGGGAAAATAAAACCTCGTCTAAACAACAATATCTATAAAACGGAAATATAAAAAATAAAAACGTATCGTAACCAACTATTGAAAACCCAGTAAAGAGAAAAAGAAAAGAAAAAAGAAAAGCGACAGAAATAACAAAAAGCAAAAAAAAAACATCTCATCACAACGCAGTAGTGACAGTCATGGTTCTTGAGTTAATCAAAAATATCGGTGGTAGTCCACTGCACCACAAGTCCAAAGTCTCAACATATTCAACAGCGTCCTTTTTGTTCTTATGACAGCCAGCCGGAGGGGTCGGTAAAGTAGTGAAAATAATGGAAGAGTTTTTAGAGCACTTCATCATCAATTGATTCAAAATCAAATGTTGGGCTCTTGCCGGAACATCATTGAAGGTCAAATTATTGATATCAAACTCCTCCAAGTTGCTTGTGGAATCAGAAGAAATTATGTCATGATCATCGCTCTCCTCACCTGAGTCTTCGCTAGATTCCAGAGGATATGAGGAAATCCGTTCCAAAACCAGTTTGTTCTGGCGAGTATCATCATACACCTCTTCTGCATCAGATGGACAACTAAACGTAGATTCGTGATCAGAAACCCCTGCATAATTAACAGTATCATTTTCTTTCTTCGTAAGCCTTTCTTTATCGAAAACCTTAGAAGGAACTCTTTTTTGAGCACTCGCTAACCTCATGCCAGAACTCTTACTTTTCAAAGAAGCATCATCCCCATCATTGGTGAAAATGATAGATGGTTCATTACCATCGGCATCTTCATTTACTTTGGATTTCGGAAGAGTCTGGGACGTGAAATTAGGTCTAGCTTGACTTCTGAGACTGGTGTATGAATGTCTACTGCTTTGACGGGACAATACTGGTCTTTTCATTGGTTCACCTTCCAACTCGGTAGAGTCTTCTAAACTAATTGCAGGAACCGAAATTGACGGACCGGTGGATTCCAAGAATGGAGATTTCGGTGTTTTTGGTACGGCTTGAGAATCACGCAATCTCGTCTTTGGAGGCACTATTATCAAGGAAGAAAACGTCTTTCTTCTCTTTCTTCTTTCTGATGCTAATGTTGGAACATGATCTTGCGAATATTTTAAGCTCGATCGACGAATAGATGGTTCAGGATCACTGTCATAGCCAATGGCGCTTTCAGTATCAGAATATCCATCATCCAGATCCGAGCTGGAATCTTCATCTCTGAATACAGGATTTCCTTCACCAACGTGCGCACTTAGCAATTTATTGGTTCTCATTCTAAAGTTCACCCCAAGACGTTGCAACTTAGATAATGGTATATTATTATTTTTGTTGATCGCAAGATTATGCTCCAAAGTTTGTGGGTTACCAAAAGATGGCGAAAATAATATATCTTGGAAGTGTGTGGTCTTTTGTTGTTGTTGTTGTTGTTGTTGTTGTTGTTCAATTCGCAATTCTGTAATTGCTTTCCACCATTCATTGCTTTGTAATACCTTATTCACCTTCTTAACTACTCTTTTGTCGGTATATTTATTTTTCATGATGTAGTCGTAGAACGAATAGCTCAGGGAATTGAAACATAGAACCAAGACTTCAGCATTAATCCGTAGCACCCCTAAAAGTTGAGTAACGCGCGATCTTTCATCATCCACATCTTCAAGGTTTTCAACAAACACCACAATTCTCAATCTATGAGTTCTTTCCCATTGGGGAACGGTGATCAAAATTGCACCCAATTGTAAAATCAAAGTGTAAGTGTCAAAATTAGTACTCAAAATTGTTTTTCCGGACTTTTCTGCAATTTCTGCGGACATTTGGATCGGATACAAATCAATAATTTGTTTCTCATCATGATCAAGTTCTGGTGCTTTTTTATCTGGAATTTCTAATCTAGGAAACCCTTTCGCGACGGCAACATTTGCCTTCATCAATAATAATTCCTCAATACACTGGACCCATTCGGTAATTTTGATTCGCTTTTCATCCCTTTTCACAGCGTCGGTGGGCAATTTGAATGCCGAAACATTTCCTTGGTTGGTATAAGCTGCATTGAGTTTCTCAATATTACGAGGCACAAGGGTTGGCTCCGCTTTGATTGGATCCGGCTGAAGGTTTGTATTAATGACTTTTCTATTGCTCAAATCAACAAAACCAATCACAATAATATTTGGTTTCATACTTCCCAAACCCGATCCTAGAAACACATTTCTGATTCCCCATGGAAGCGATGCGGCATAAGAAAACTGAACGAAAGCCTTCAATTGTAAGCTATCCCTCAACTTAACCCAGGCATTCTTTTCACTAACATAATTGTCGTAATTTTCCTCAAAATTATTACTACTAACAATCACATGTCCCAAAATATAAAGACCCCCTTTCTTCAAATTGTTACAAAAGTGCATCAAGTTCCAACAGGTACGCGGGTTGTCCACCAATAACAATATCTGAGGACGCCAGTATTTAACATTATCTTGACGAAGCTTCAATAAATACTTTCTGACTTGATGATAAATCAAAGTTTGAGAAACATCACCCCATGATTTTGGTGGACAGACATAATGAATGAGAATGATAAGAAATAACAAACACATGATGATCATACTAGCAGATATACCATCTACAATAAACATGGCAATAAAACATGAAATGACCCCTGACGCCGCAGTAGTACGATTAAAATAATCGAATGACGGACGAAAGTTTGGAGCTGCGGATACCTCAAGTAAGAAACAGGCAATATGGATAACAATGAATGTCATGAGGAATGCCATAGTGATTAAGGTTGCAATTTGATTAATGTTAGCGAATAAAAACGCTTGAATCAAAAGCCAAGAGACAATGATTGCATTAATTGGATTAGAATTTTTGGCGGCAAAAATGGATAGTCCAGGGATTATAGAATCTTTAGAAATGGCAGCTAAAATTTCGGCGGCACCTACCACCCCCATTATTACCGAAAATAAAGAGGTGGAAACTTCACCAACCACAATAATGACTTGTGATAAGTTAACGGTTTGAATCACTTGCACATCACTGTACAATAATTTCCGGGGCACAGAAACTCCTAAAGATATGATTATTAATGCGTAGCAGAAAAAAGTTAACAATAGCCCCCATAAAGTGCCCTTTGGGATGCTTCTAGATGGATTCTTTAAAGATCCTGACATGCTGGCACCTGCCAAGATCCCCGCAGTGGCCGAGAAGAAAATTCCAAACAAATCAGCAAAAGTTTCTTTAGTGTCTAGTTGAGAGCCAGCGGCATGGGAGGTGAAATGTGGCAACAAGTTTTCTGTGAATGTATGCCAGCTGATTCCTGAGTACCAAACATCATCGAAGCCAGGTACATTAAAGGATGGCATGAAGATGGCAGAAATTGGCACCGACAAGATGGAAGTCATCAACAAAATAAATAATAATAATGCCGCCCTAGACACCATATCTGATCCAACAAGACTGATAGCCACACATAGAAATAAAATCACAGTTGAGTAAATAATATTCCAAGTATAACCATCTGGCAACACTGGCCACATTGACCCATTAGCTGCCCCGAAATTATTTACTAAAGGTTCAATTAGACCAACAACATTCAATGCAGCATTCAAAATTTGGCCAAAGTAGAAAATAAGACCAATTGCACCACCGAATTCAGGGCCTAAAGAACGAGAGATCATATAGTAAGCTCCCCCAGTTCTGACAACACCATTAGTTGCAATAGCTGAAACCGAAAGAGTAGTTAGGAGGTTGATTGTATAACATAATCCCAAAGTGAAAAGTGATCCGATGATCCCCAATTGGCCAACAATAAACCCAAACCGTAAAAACATCAAGATCGAAAGCACATTGAGTGCGGTTGGCAAAAACACTCCCGAGTAGGTATCCAACTTTGGAGATTCTTCTTGGATTTTTTCTGCCAACTTTTTATCATTCTGAAAGATTTTCTCTGTCGTGGTTGTGCCTATGTGTTTCGCAGCTTTTGAGCGTTTTCCATTTTTATTCAGACTAGATGATAATGGTTTGACAGGCGGCACGCTCATATAGCTAGTGGTCATTGCCCCATCTGCCCCATCAATACTATGAGCGCCAGGAAGCAAAGATGTCCTCTCATGAGCAATCGGATCCTGTGTAGGCATATTCTATTTGCAAAATATACTTTTCAGAGGCACCCAATATCGAAGATTAGACAAATAATGACAGGACGAGAATGACAAAAAAAAAAAAAAAAAAACTTGTTTATAGGCGAAAAAAAAAAACACCACACCCTTGTGTTTGAAGCCCCGTGGACTCACTGATAAGAAACAGTCCCTTTTGATCTACCATCGATCGACTCAGTCCAATAAGAAAGTTACGGTTCCTGTTAGGTATGTATAGTCCTGGTTGATGATTCAATCTGTTCTTCTCTTTCCTTTTTTTTTTTGAGGGACATTTAAGCTACAGGGAATTATATACTTTTGGCCAATGTTGCGTTAATGCCCAAGTGAATAGTAAACATCAAGGACAAATGAAATATGAGGTTGATACTCCCGCTATATAAAAATCATTTCTTTGTTATAAACCAGAGAATACATTTACCGCCTTAGAAGGCGTGGAAAAGGTTCATTTCCTGAAATCTAATTTGATTTCTCTACTTTAGATACCAGTAAATGAGACTTTACTGATACTGTTTACAATTTCCTGGACAGTTTGAGTGAGTGGTTTTGAGGTACAGTTTTTTGGCATCTTTGTGACCCTAAGATTTGTATTCAAGAAGAGCATTTTCCTAGAAAAAGCTGCGAAGTGGAACAACAAAGAAGAGTGCCAATTAAAAAATAAAATATCAAGAATTTATCGAACTTCCACAACAAAAAATAGTCGATGGTGGGCATCAAGAGGGGGTCCCATCGGGATATTTTCTGACGAATCGGCTCTTGTTATCATTGATTTTGACCGGAATGAACTAGATCAATTCAACCCAACAAAAATATACTTGTAGCTTCATTAACAGAGCTTTGATATATGATTATTTCAATTTTGCATTTGATATCAGCAAGGAAGAGGAAATTGATTTTATTGAAGGACAGTATGATGAGACACTTGAAAAAAGACGTGAATGAAAATTGGAAGCTAAAGGCTAATAAATATGATGAAAACTTGGCAGAACCGATAGAAAAGTTTTGTTTACTCCGGAGCTTGCTTTTGTTCATGAAGCTTTGGAAGGTAAAAATGAAGAATTTTGGAAACTATTGGAAAAAATAAAAAATTAAAGAATGAATTTCAGTTTCATTTCATGTTCTTATATTCTACATTAGTTCAAAGTAGTTCCTATAAACCACCCTCATCACATTCCAAACCATTAAATTCCATAGTTTTATTTTTCTCATGGAATTGCTGTGAAACTCTTCAATAAATAATTTGTGAGAGCTCATTAATGTGCCAAATATTTCACTTGTATATTCTTCTATATATCTGGACTCTTTATCCTCACTGCACCACCCATGTGAATAGTGCACCAAAAGTTGTTGTTCCCCCTCTATACGCACCAATGACCCTGGGGGATTTATATAATTTCTTGATTTCTGTGTTCATGGTGTCCGACAGACGTCATTGGGTTGTTCAAAATCTATTTTTTCTCTTGTTTTTTTCTTCCTTCTTTTGAGAGGACTATCATCTTTGTGATACAGCTTAAATAGAATAATAATCTACAGCGACTATTGATTTAAGATCAAATTAGATATAACAAAGATGAGTGGAAAATCTTCATTGTCCCACAAGTTTTGCTCGATGCTTAGTCTTAAGCTTCCAATAATCCAAGCCCCAATGGCCGGAGTTGTGTCCCTTCAACTTGCGGCGAATGTGTCAAGTTCCGGGGCATTGGGGTCAATTCCAGCCTCGGGTTATGATTTAACAAAATCAACCAGCTCTTTGGTGGATGCATTACTGACATTTAAGACCTTATTGCCGAAAACCAATCTCGAACCAGGCAGCAGTCAAGAAGGTTGCCAATTACCAGCAAACATGAATTTCTTCTGCCATGACATTGTTCAACCTCCAAACAAAACCCAAATTGAGAATTGGTGGTCATTGTTTATTGATTCTTACGTCGAAACTTTCTTATCCACCAATCCCGGGTCCGAGAAATCACGGTTGTCAGAAATCAAAAGCAAGGGCCTTCTTAACGACGTTCAGTTCAGTAATGGCAATGTTTCTTTCAAAGAATTCGAGATTGCAACCGAAAAAAGCCGTCATCTTAAAATAGCAAACTGTGAAGATCCCGCACCAATCGACGAATTGATCTCTTATTTGAATCATCATCCCGAATTGACACCAAAAGTCATGAGCTTTCATTTCGGGATTCCTAAAAGCTCGACCATTAATAAGCTCCATGATTTAGGCGTGACTATCCTTGTGACCGCTACCTCCACCTCAGAAGCAAGATTGGCAATTGAAAACAACGTTGACGGTTTAGTGCTCCAGGGCTATCAAGCAGGGGGTCACAGAGGTAATTTCTTGGTTAAGCAGGAAGATGATGATAACTTAAGCACCATGGACCTTTTCAAACAAGTGAAGGAACTCCTCGATAGTGAGGAAATCGTTAGAGGTAAGGAATCTGTATATTTGATCCCTGCCGGTGGCATTATTAATGGTGATGATATTAAAGAATATTTGAAACTTGGAGCATCAGCAGTGCAAATGGGTACAGCATTCTTAGGATGCCCTGAAAAATTGAAAAGTGGCTCGAAATATGCTGCTACAAACTCAGTCGCTAAGATTGTGTCTGAAAAAATTGAGAAAGGGGCTAACTTTCAATTACCTTCGACCACCATGACTCCGTTAGTATCAGGTAAACCAGCTCGTACTATTGTTACACCATTTATTGGAACGTTACAAAAAAATACCAAATCTCCAGGTACAGATTTACCAGAGTATGGGTATCGCTACAAAGCTTTTAAGGGTCTTAATACCGCCTTGGAATCTGCACAACTTGATGAGACCGATATTGGGTTTTACCTTTGTGGGAAAAGGTATGGAGAAATAGAAGTCGGGAAATCAGCAAAGGAGATTATTGAAAAATTGGGTGAGGAATTGAAAGGTTGGGAAGCTTAAACAATGGAAGCTATAACTGTCCAATTTTTGAGAGTGTAATTTGTACGGATTTTTGATGACCACATTATGACACTATATACTTTTATGACTGGATATTTAAGATGGAGACGGGTCTGATTTTTTGATATTTTTGATTTGTAATATTGAAAGCTTCAGTATATATCCCATAGTTTGAATTGGAAGTTGGTATCTTATTTAATGATATTCTGTTTATCAGCAATATTTTGAATCTTGTAATTTAAAAAAATCCGCTGTTCTTTATGAGAAAATGAAATACTAATACATCATATATTAGCCAATTACAAGAAACAGAAGGCATGAAAAGATATCAAAGAATATTTATTTTTCTTATTTTTTTTTTTTTTTCATTTCATACTACTACCTAGCGAAGCGGTAACTTCTCAAGAAATGTTTTCTTTTACCGCGCAGCCTTGTTAACAGAATGAGGTACAAAAAATAAACAACAACAACAAAAAAGAAAAAAGAATACTAGCAGCATCATGTCATTCATGTTTGTGTTAACTATTATTCATAGATGGCTTCACACGGTTATTGTCGTCTGAGAAAGAAACATTTTCTTGTAGTCTAGGATTTCACTTATATATCCAACTCCGGCTTTTTACCCTTCAAAACACCGATAACTGTCGAAGCAGCGTATTTTGGAATTACATCATCATCATGCAACATCTCAAAGGCTTTTGTAGCATCCTTACCAGCAAAATTCATCAAAGATTGCTTACCACCTGGATGATCATCAAAAAAGTTTGTGCAATCTAATACAACATTTTTCACAGCGATCCAACAAGAGCTCTCAGTGTTATGCTTCGAGAGCTCTTCTAAGCTAATGTACTTAGCCGGGATGGCAAATCCTTTATTGGTTAAGATGGATGGCACTTCTTTTTTCTTTTCCTTTGGAGGCTCAGATTCTGCTGGAGCAGTGAAACTTTCCTTCTTTGGATTGGGTTCGATAGGAACGGTAGAATTTGGGGCATTGATATTATTAAAATCAACAACCAAAGATCCATTGAAGTCAGGGTTCAAATGCAAGTGAATTTGATTCAATCTTGGAACCGATCTGCTACCAGTACCTTGTTCATTGCCAAGACCAGTAGTAGAATTAGACAAATTTTTCAATAAATAATTAGTGGCAGATCTACCGCCAACTCTCCCAAAACAAACACAAGCTAATAATGATGAGCCTCCTAATCTATTGTGACCATGAATATTACCAGCCAATTCACCAGCAGCGTAAAGTCCCAATATTGGTTCAAACGCATTCTTGTCATCACCTTTGTAAGTTAAAACCCTGGCATTTGGATCAATCTTCACACCTCCCATGGTAAAGTGTACTACTCTATCAATCAATGAAACGTGGAAAGTATCGGAAGTATTAAATGGGGTACCGTCAAAGAACTTCTTCCCATAAGGATCAATTGTCTCGGAGTTCGGATTTGCAGCAGCGTACGCAGCGGCCTTATTGTATTTGTCCAATTCGCTTTGTAATTGAGATTCAGAAATTCCGATGGATTTGGCAAGTTTTACACCAGATTCCTTTTTCATTAATCCCCTAGATTCATAATGGGAAACATGGAATGGCAATTTTTTCGCAGATTTGCTGTTGAGAACCAAACGGATTGGATACTTCACTTTGGTCATCTCACCAGAAACGTAATCACGAGTTCCCAATTCATTGCAAAATCTTTTACCAGTGGCATCCAACATGATTGCTCCTTCACCTCTGAGGGCCTCTCCAGCAAGGAATTTGAATTTTGAATGTGGGTCGTTTGGGGCAACTAGACCTGTTGGATGAACCTGTACTTTCTCAAGATCAATACCTATACCCCCATTTTTTATGACAAGTTTCTGGCCATCACCAGTGGCATGATTACCATTGGTAGTAGATAAAGCCATGACATCAGGTCTGTATTTCTTCAAAAGAGAGTCTGGGGAAGTGAAATCAGCAGCATACCCTCCGGTAGCCAAAACCACGGGGCCATACGCCTTAAACTTATCCTTATTATTTTTGAGGAAAACAATACCTTTACAGACGTTACCTTCTTTGATCAAGTCGATCAACTTAGATTTTTTGGAGATGCAAACTCTGGATGGTTCTTTATCAGCGATTGCTTCTAGCTTAGACATCAAGGCGTAAGTGATTGCCATGCCGGGGAACTTTGCATCTTTACCACGATGAGTTCTTGGTTGGGAATGACCACCAAGACGAGATACCAAAGTGAGGTCTAAATCGAACTCATCTTGCAACCATTCAATGGCACTGGCGGACTCATAAGTTAGAACTCGAGCCAATTTTTCATCAGCCTGATTTTTACCGGATTTAATTGTATCGTTGTAAAATTGCTGGACAGAGTCTTTAATGTTCAAGTCGACTTGGGTTCTTGTGAGGGCACCATTGATACCAGAGGTTGCCTTAGTGGAATTGCCTCCGAAAAAGCCTTGTTTATCAATGATGAAAACGTTAGCCCCGTTCATGTAAGCTTGATGGGCGGCAGAAAGTCCAGCAAGACCCCCGCCAACAACGATGACGGGGTTTTTTGGAATATTGGTTAGTTCTTGAATACCAGACATTGGAGGATATTTTTACCAGCAGTTAGTGTTGATAAAAGTTAAGGAAGCAGGAGAATTTTGATTATAAGGGCACGGTCCAATTTATTTGCAATCTCATGGTTGTTTTTTTTTTTCCTTATGTCCTGGTGAAATGCGGAGCAAATCCAATCGGTTCACGTCATAAATGTCAGCAGCCATCGCTGCCATCGGCTAGTACCTCCCGAGGCAGCCAGAGGCTAAACATGGGCGTTACCCTGGCTGTGCTTGCACCACCCACAGCAGCATCCTTCCGGGGTTCGACGACTTGCAACAAGAATTATATTATACTAATTTAAATTGGGGTAATGGCACATCATACATGTAGCACTGCTCAATCAATAATGGTCTGGAGACTCTCATTTGTGTTTTCCCTCTTTTTCTTTTTCTTTTTCTTTTTCTTTTTCTTTTTCTTTTTCTTTTTCTTTTTCTTTTTTTTTGTGTGTTTATCATCGTAGCTAAGCTCATCATAGTAGGCTGATATTCTCGACCATGTAGATGTCCATTGATATTGTATTATATCATATTAGGGGTTCTAATCCCTGTATTTGTATAGTCCATCGAGAAAGCGTCTCATCACACAACAGTAGGTAGGTTGTTCCATTCATTGCCTGTTCTTGAACCACCAGTTAATGGCGGAATCCTCATTACGCGCGTACGCGCTCGCCAAAGAAAATAAAATCAAATAAAAAAAAAAAAAAAAAAAAAAATTTCCAACGGTAAACACAGTGAAAATGCGACGACCCTCCACATGTGGATATATATATGCGTGTGTTACATGGATAAATAGATCACACAGACCCCATCAATATCAATGAGGAAGAAGGAGATCCCCACTTCACAGGAGGAAGCGTTTGGCTTCACTCCTCTCAAGTACCTCATTCCTTCTCAAGATGGTAAGTATCATTCATGCGCCTCATCACATCTGTTAAGCGCTGGTGTATATATATATATGTATTTCACAAGTTCCTTCAGTCTCTGTTTCCCCTTTTCTTACTAACAAACAACTCTTTTTTTCAAAAAAGTTTCGACTCTCAGCTCCTCCTATAATATCCACCTACAAGACATTTCAGTCGCCAACCCTAGCACCAAGATCAGTACTCTCGCACAAGTCTGGTCGAGTTTAGCCACAAAGGATACCTACTTGGAACCAATTGTTACTTACATGAAAGAACTAGTTCAAGCAGAATCTTCCACTAGCTATGAAAAATTGAACTTCAAAGGCGTATTCGCTGTTGGCGAGCCTCAAGAACCCTCATCTCACATTAATAATGATAAACCCAACACAGACCTTAAATTGCATTCTGAATCCTACATAGGTGAACAGCTCCTAGATACTATATTTAACATTCCTGTCAGCGAGAATACCGCAAGTGAAACTAAAAATCCTTCCAAATCCACAATATCTCAAGAGCCATCCGAAGCCACCATGTCCCTGCCATTGTCCCCTATTAAGGACTTATCGTCTCTCGACATGTTCTACGAAGCGCCATCATTAAAGAAACGCAAAATCACCGAGGAATCTAAAAAAGAAGTTGTCATGAATACTTCTGACAACATTGAAACCTCTCATAAAGTCTACATTGATCCGAATGAGTTACAATTACTGTCAATAAACCAATTGATTGGTCTAATTAACTCCATTGGTCTTGATGACGCCATCACTTCGTCAAGTTTGAGCAGATTTTTCGTATCTGCGGATCCTACTAAAAACACATCGACGTGCTTCACTGATGGTGATGCCACCTACGTTTTGAATAATGAACTTTTATCCAATATTGAAGATTTGCTAAATAGGATATTTAGTGAAGATATGGTGAAATCAGATGACTTGCACGGCAGCGCTCATCAGAATAACGTGCTTGATAGTAGATATTTGTCGAGAATTGAGGCCCTATGTGCGATTTCCATAAAACATGGGTTAACAATTCAATTTGACGAATCATTTCGTCAAATTTTTTCTGGCCATTTATCTAATGATACCCTTAATTCCCTAAGTTTGGTTAGAAATGCTCTACGATCATGCTCGGTTATCCTCATCATTTTTCTTTCTGGAAGAAAAGAACAAATGTTATATTTAGAAGACTACTTGGCGCCATTAATTGAATTTGTAGCAAATTTCACGGAGGAATTTTTGTTGCCATTGCTAAGTGGGTTTAATGAGATTCAAATATTCGATTCTAAAATATTTGATAAATTGAAAAATGAATTGTTCAGCCCTGTCAATTTACTCATTCAAGCATTGAAAAAAATCGATAAGTACACCAATTTAGAAGCACCAAAAAATAATAGCAAACTGCAAAGTACACACATACACTCCAGATTAAATGAATATTTGCTTACAAAATTGGAGTATCTTTGCATTCAAATGCTTTTTTTCGATCAAAAATTATCTGCGGTTAATAAGTCAGCATCATCGAAAATTTTATCTGAAAACACGATCCAGGTTCTTAAGAATACAGGCATGGATATTTTGGTATCAATATTCCGAAAGTATCAAAGTCAAAGGTCTTTCATTCTTGAAGAAATTCTCAATAACTTCAATATTCAAACCCTTGGAAACACAAAGCATAACGCTCTGAGACAATTCAAACTTAATCAAAGGGGTCTAAATGTTCAGCTGTTTACAATTCTCGTACTTCGCTTGGTTCAGGCCTATGACTTGGCTAACTATACATTCTCTATCCCAATTTGGAAAAATTTCTTGTTTAAATCTTCATATTATGAAACATTTCAAACTTCAATTTTCATTACCGATCCCAAGACCGGGAAAATTAAAATATCATCAAAGGAGAAATCAAAATTGTATCAAGAAATATCCAATTTTCAAAAATTTATGGAGAACGAACGGAATTCTCTCAATACAGTATGCGGCCAAATTGCTTCATTCATGATTATTAAATTATCAGACAACCCGGACGCTGCCCATAAAACATTGGTTGAAAACTTCCTTGAAGACTTACTTTCTCTTATTTCTTTGCCTGAATGGGCCGGTGCTGAAACATTGGTCCTAGCAATAATGAATATTTTGATGTATGTATTCACATCTGGCAAATATGCTGCGACAGTGGAGACTTTTGCTCTAGAAATGATTGGGCTTATTGGCTGCAAGATATTGGCTTTAAAGAAAAAGATCAAAAACATTGAAGAGAACCACGATAGTAGGAAATTAATGCTATCAGTGTCAATGAGTGTTAGTGGCTTCCAAGATTTGGTCGATAGAAATGAGTCCTGTTTGAGTTACTTGAAATATCTATCCAGCATCAACAAATTCTTCGAACCTAATTTTCGATTCTTTGTATTTAAATGGTTACAGTCAGTGGAATATTTGAAGCTAGAATTTGTGGAGAATGCATTAAAGGATGAAGAAAATGATAATGGTGAAACTGCTGTCACAAAGGAAGATGACTTATTGAAGGAACTCACTATAATAAAGAAGCAGCGAAACATCGAAAAGAAGTTGAACTCAAACTCTGCATTGTACCGAAAGGTTGAAGGCGTTTTTTTGAAGTATATTTCCCATATCAATGATAAGAGTCTTGATTTTATAACTGATGCAGACCTTAAATCTGAAGATTCTTCAAATAATACATCGCTTGCTAATTATAATCATGTTCTAGCCTCACAAAACTTAATGAACCTATACGATGCTTTCCTCAGTTTGGTTCTAAATTCATTGAACCATTCCAAGGTCAAATCTCGTACTAGGGCCATCAAGAATCTTTCCTTAGTTGTTAAACGTGACGCAACTATTCTTGATAATTCATCTTTGAGGAAGGTGTTGCTAGGGCGACTAAATGATCAATCGCCGCTAGTGAGGGATGCTATAATTGATTTGATTTGTCAGTACATTATTAACAGTAAACCAAATAGCAACGAGGTTCCTGATTCACCTGAAAATAATTCCCCTGCTATAAAACATGACTTTCAGCGAGCAGTAATTGAAAGAATAAATGATCCCTCCGCTGCAGTGCAGCGCCGTATTTTGAAACTTATAAACCTGGTTTACACTGACACTGAATACAAAGAGCTCAAAGTCTTGATCGCTACTAATTTGCTAAGGGCCATGCACCATGAAGATGCTCTGATAATTGATATGGCTGCTAAAAACTTGATTGATATCTGGTTCACAGTGATTCAAAAAGAATTGGCAAAAAAGGCCACTAATGATTTCATTGTCACTGACCTAGTTCTTGATGGAGCGGATATTATCACTAGTGCTATCCACAAAAGTGATAAGGTCTGGTCCCTATTTGAAGAATTTGCTCGCCAATTCGTGCTATTTAATGGAGAGAAAGGTACCCAGCACAGAAGAAAAATTAGCTTCTCATTAAAGCATGACGAAATAATGGAAATCCTTCAAGTGTACATCGAGAAATTGATTGATTACGCTATTAAGCATACAGATGATCCAAAACATGGTGACAAGGTGGAGCGATTTATCGGTTTGTTGGCAGTATTAAGTAAATGCAGCGGGTCATTGATCTCTCAAGACCAATTAATGTTACTACTGCCTTATTTAAATGATGATAATTCCACCACTAGTGCCATTTGTTATCACGCTTTACAAATTTTCAAGAACGCATTGCCCCAAGCTACCTCTTTACGTCCTCAGTTCATAAAAGATTCGCAATTGTCATTGCTTAAAAGATTGACCAAATTTAATGTTCGTGAGTTGAATGAAGCTATGCCTTGTATTTGGGCGTTGTCTATTATGGACAAAGATACCTCCAAGTTGGCTAACGCATGTATCTCCTGTCTTAAGCTAATCAAACCATTTGTGGATAAGATTCAACGCTCCCAATTAAGTGCCACAGAACCGAAATTGTTGAGGCTTTTATATTTGATTGGATCATTTGGAAGGTACTGCAACTTTGAGAAAAATCGCGATTTATTTGCTCTGGCTAAAATTGGACTCAAGGATGGGGAAAGTATAACAAGTGTTATAACCAAGTACATTCTCTCTTTTTGCAAGGAGCTGGCAAGTAACCAAATCCGCCGAGTTGCTATCAGAAATTTGATTTCTGTATGTAGTAATCATGCAAAGCTTTTTATTTCTGAATCTGTCCTAAAAATCATTGATCGTGAATTCGCCAAACCTGATGAAACCAACCTTGATGTTAAAGAAGTGATTGTTCAAGGGATCACCGATTTCTTGATACAAGAAGAAGAAAATGCAATCAAAAAGGCTGGACTTGGAATTAGCACGTCCAGCGATATCAAACTTGATGTGAATGTTTTTCACGGTACTTATTCATCTAAAGAGAATGATGGAATTTGTGCTCCCATAGTCCAAAGATACTTGGAGAAAGTATTGGCCTTATGTTTGCTTCAATATCAAAACACTTATATCTTTGTGAACTTTCTTGAACAAACAGTAAAGCAAGGTTTTGCAAACCCAAGGCTTGTTATCACCACTATCATTGCTCTTGAGTTCTCTGGTAGTAACTTCATCCGACGCTTGGCTCATGAAATGCATCGGAATCTTCACAACAAACATGAGACTTTGGTTGAAAGTCGATATATTGAAGGACTTAAACTATCATTTTCAAGGCACTCAAGCAAATACCCAAATGCCGTGGATGTCAATGCTTTTAAGGAATTTTATCAAATCTTGTGCACCTCCAGAGCTTCTAAGAAGAAATTTCTAATATCATTGAGTAAATCTTTCAACACTATAGATGTGATAAAAAATGATGTGGGGTATTGTGAGAAATATAAGAACTACGTGGAGTCCGTTGTGGCAAGACTAGGGAAAGTGGAGTTGAGTACACTAGAAGAATATTATCTTGTTTGTCAATCCATTAATAAGCATTTGTTAAAACATGCAGCTACTTTACAAGATCAGTTTGAACTTCTTTCGTCTCCAGAACAAGAGAATGAGGAAATTATCGACTCAAAACACCAACAGAAAATCCTAAATAATAGTGAATTGGAAAATTGGAAAAAGCTTGCTTACGTATCCCAGGCATTTATATGCCTTTACAAATACAAAAGCTTTATATGTGAACAATATCGAATTCTGAGCTCCAAATTGAGAGACTTTAATCCTCATAGAGTTGAGAAGGACCTTCTGATGCCATTGGCCATTGGGAATAGAAAAAATTTGAGAATTGAACCTTTGTGTAATTTGTCAGATCCCAATGCCTATGGGGAGTGCAAAAATGTGTGCTCTACATTCATTGATTTATTTTTCAACAAACCTTTCAAGACTAGCTTCGTGGAAGAGGAAGTAAAGGAAGGAGCTGAGTACTTATCAGAGGAAGAAGGTAGTGATTGTGATTAATATCACTCATTTCGTCACGGGCTATTTCTGTACTCTGGATATTGGGGCTGATATTAGGTTATATTCCATCTAGCCCCTGTAGCATTATATACATATATTTCAATACTTAGCATTCTATACATATATTTCAATATTTAGCATCTTATTAGATTTGATAATCCTTTAATTTTGATCGATAACGTGTAAGTTTAAACAAAGCACTATATATATATACATACCCAGAATCCATATCACTTTTTAAATTTTGCTATTACGTGAAAAAACAAATAAACACGATAATCCACAAGAATTTAAAGAATGTCACTTACTTTTAACTTGAGAGCATCGATTCTGTTTTGACGGATCATGAGTCACAAGCGAACATTGCTTATTATTTCGAATATATATAGAAAAAGAAGGCAAGACTTTGAATTTAATCACATAATTGGAATTTATAATGTTAAGGAGAATCTCCGAATGCCTCAACCTAGAAGCAAGAGAATTTTTTTGTTATTGACATGGCATTCAGTATGATGATCCAACAGATGATCCCAAACAATTCCAATTGTTGGTAAGGCACCAAGAGGTAAGCCTACTGTACTATCGTCCAATCACATATATTATTATGAACCCATGGATATTGAGAACACTAATGAATTTTTTGTCAAAGCAAAAGTTCCCCCACAGAAAACCATGGTTAACAGGATTACATTTTTTGACTAAAGGAGGTGACTTTGAAGGTAGGTTAAAATTACAGAAGAAAAAAGGCTTTTGAAATTATTATCAGTAATCTAAAAGAGTGGTTAAGGAATGTATAATAATGAATCTCAAAGTCTGCATTATTATTCTTGTATAAATATTAAGTGAAGAAGCATCTACGTTAAAAAAAAAAAAAAAAAAAATCTATTTATTGTCGGTCGCATCATCATCATCATCATCATCATCATCATCATCATCATCATCATCATCGTTTAGGATTTCATTTCAAATATGCCTTATCTTTGTTTCTTCCTGTTGGTTATATTATAAGTTTTTGTGCTTCTTTGTGCTGTCTCATTTCCATATTTCTATTTTTCAGTTCACTTTCTTTCAAGAACTGGTTTAGTACGCACTCTTCCTTTTTTGTGCAGGGTGTACGACGATTTCATGGTTGGGGACTGACATATTGATCGATTGTACACGTGATCACCAATGCAGGGTCCAAAAGTGTGGGCGAATCCTTAATTTTCATCATCCTTTCTCATCTCTCTTCCCACATTCTCTAATTCACTTTACTGTATTTTGTTATAAATCAAACATGATAATTGCATCAGAAAACACATATTGAGAATTATCTGAAGAATCATACATCTGTGTATATGTGAAGCAGAGAATTCTCCTCTTGGATAAAGCAGAATAGTATTTGATCCATTGATCCCGAAAATGGAAAGAACAAGGCCATCACTGAGCAGCCCTACTCAACCTCCACGAAAAAAAGCCAGAAAAGGAAAAGAGAAAATTCCTCCAGGGATGGAAGAAGCTGCATCTAAAACAGTAGGGATTTCATCATTGAAATCCGCATTCAATGAATTCAAAGGCAAAGTGAAAAAAGGCTCGCTTCCCAAAAGTAGTTTTGATTTTTCAAGTTTAGGTGACACTAGGTGGGCCTGTGGAGAAATTGTCACCGATTACACAAAGAAAATGAAATTTTATGAGAAACCTGTTTTTGGCTTGTTTGCCACCCTCAACTTCATATTTAACAAAAACTGTTTTGTAGAAAAAGCTGAAGAGGAGGAAAAAGGAAAAGGTACCAACCAAAATACAACAGAAACAAGCAGTCGACGGTTAATAGGTTTCAAAACAGTTGAAGATTATACCAAAAGGAGAAGGGCCGACTCTCAACTTCCTATGTTCTATTTTGCACCGCTTGCTGAATTGCTGTTGTTGAGCGAGGTTAGCGATGTTCTAAGAAGCAAAAATTTCGAGGGAATCCTGAAATTTTATCAGAAAATTCAATCAGTTGTAAATGAGTCCACTTTTCAAAGTTTTTTCGAATCCATTTTGATAAATGTATTTTTAATTTTCCCATTGATTGGGAGCTCAAATTTTGTGTTAGGAACGAAAACACAATTGTCATTTCCCATTGGAGAAAATATAGTATCCGAGCCTGACATTGTGATTGAATATAGAGAAAGTGAAAAAGTTGGTGAATACATAACATCTATTGAGCTCAAATACAAACAACCACATTCTCTCTCTGAAAGTTTAAATAAATTTCAAATGGAATACCAAGAATATAAGGGAGAATTGCCACAGTATTTTGGTTTCAGTCCGAAAGCGTTCTTCTTCTTGAGAAGTATCAATCAATTGATAATCCAAATTTTGGCCTCAAGGGCTCTCACAGGCATATTGGCCGACGAATCATCCCTTACTCTCGTTAAGTTTGACTGGAACAGACTAGCTGAAAATATGGAGGACGAGAACTATATAAAGTTGGATTTTGACAATTGCGCGAGAATGTATTTCCAATTTGTGGCCGATGGGGTGATCACTTATCAAACCATTGACACATCAAAAGAGCCTCTTGGTTATGAAATGTTCAGGTTCTTGAAAACAGCATTGGAAGCCAGAAAATCGCAACCAAAATTGACCAGGAGAGATAAGATTGCGAACACGTTTACTAAAAGGTTGCTTGCTGCATTCTCATCTAAGCTAAAAGAACAAAGATCCCTTGGCAGCGATATCAACAGAGTATTGATATACGATTATTTGCACTCTGCGTTCGAGGACATTACCAGTGCAAAGCAGAAAGATTTTCTTGGAACTCGGTACGATCAGGGTTTGAAGAGTAGTGTTGATGAAAATTGGAGGATAAATTCAGGTGAATATGATAAAAATTTGAGGAGAAGGATAGAAAAGTTTTCCGAAGCCAATAAATCTGCTTATGGTGAAGGTAAGAAAAGCAGATTGGTGTGGAAAGAGTTTTCTACAAGCAAACCAAGGGTTGTTTTTGGAGGCAAAGCCTACAGTGCATGGTCTCTCGTCATAGGTTTTGAGGATGGATTATATAAAATATTTGACTACCTTCGATGCTCTCCAAATGTGTTCTCAACCAGAGACGACAGTTTCGATATCCACAAGGACACATTCTATTACTACACTAGTCTCTTCATTAATGAGATTACGTCATACGCGTTTTTGACCGCCAATGAAAACACCAAAGAATTAATCCCCAATATTTATGAAAGAGGTTTTATTTACTCTTACAATAAAAATATTTCTGTTCCAGAGAAAGTAGAACAAGATAAAGATTTGACATATACGGAGGGTCCTTATATTAAATTGGAAAACCTTGCTGGCTCTGGATATGAGCTCTTCAGTGGTTACTCACTCAAGAGTGATTCTGATGGAAGGAGATTTTTGAGGTCTGCATTGATTTGTATCAGTAAAATTCACTGTGCTGGGGTGGGCCACGGTGATATTCGAGGCGCCAACCTATTTGTCAAAAACTTGGTTGACATCAAACTAATTGATTTCGGATTTTCTTCATCAACAACAACAAGTGGAAAAGCATTTGGAAAGAATCTAAAAAAGAAATTGGAAAAGTATTTGAATAAGGTGGATAATTTGAAGCTGGTTTTTGAGCATGATTACGAAAAACTTTTTCAAATTGTTGATAAAAAACTTGGTAATTTTTGTGCACCTATAATGAGAGAGTTTGTTAATAATACATTGGAGCTAAAGGAGAGTTTGAGCATTGGCGCGGAATCGAAAGATTTGCACATTTTGTTCGCAGAAAAGGCAACAGAAGTGGAACTTGCTTTTTTGAACAAAGATTTAAAAGATGAATTTTGGAAAAAATTGGAAAAAATTGAAGTCTAAAGACTGATGACGTATTTTTATCATCTCTATCAGCGTGCTGGGGCCTTGACATGTGAGAGAATTTCAAACGGCGCTTCAAGTCAATACATCACTACTATAAAATCGCTGATACTCAAATCAATACATTGGCAATCATTATAAGCTCGCTAATAATTAATTCATACCAGTGCTATTTTTTCTGCTTCCATTTTTTTTTGCTTATTTATTTCTTCTCTCGTCGTTTACATTATTTATCAGGTTTTTTCTTGGTGCTTATCTGCCGTAAATTTGCTAGGTATATACATATATATTTGATTGTTGTGTTTCAATAAATATTATTTGAGATGGTTTTATTCCTTTTCGTATCATCGTCTTGTGGATTTTCATACGGATGAACATTCTACAAAAGCTATTTCATTTCCAAACTTTCTATATCATGATGGTCTCTTTGGCAATTAAGACAGGAATGTAAAGTAAACATTTTTGAAAATCATAAGGATACAACTTTTCATTAAAGGTGGTTCCCTCAAATTATAACAGATCAACTGCAATATCATTAACCGTCGCTAGATAGGTTCGTCAGAGGCTAAATGATTATACCATGTATGTTTATATATTAACAGTGGTTTAATGGTCAAAAAAAAAATCTATTGATTTGCTAAACATATCTCTTAGTTTATGCATTTCTATGCCACTTTATCGAGCAAAGATTAGAGTGGTGTTGAATGATAAGCAAAAAGAAAGAAGATTGGTGTGACGAAGCTTGACTGTATTTTTGTCCCTGGTTATATGACGAATTCAAATTGGCCATTTGCAGTGTTTAAATAATCAGCATCAAAAACTCCAATATACTATTGCACGGTTATTCTGTTTTACCTGATGCTTTAGGTTATATACCTGTATAATGTTCCCTTACATCGGTTTGGAAATGGAAAAAAAAATTTGAATAAACTTCAAATGAGATTTATTGAAGCACAACAACAATCATCTAGCCAATTTGAAAGAAGAACCACCAAGAAAAAAAAACATAATAAATAATGAAACGACGCAAGAAAAAATGAATGAGCAAAAAAAAAAAAATGGAAGCAGCAAAAATAGCACCGATATGAATCAATTATTAGCGAGTTTATAATAGCAATGTATTGATTTGATCATTAGCGATTTTATAGTAGTGATGTATTAGTTTGGAGCGCTTCTTGAACTTCCCTTATATGCCGAAACCCCAAGTGGCTGAGAGAGATAATAAAAATATTTCTTCCCTCTTCAGACTCCAATTTTCTCCAAAATTTCCCAAAATTCATCTTGTACATCTCCGCCCGCAGCGACAAAAGCAAGTTCCATTTCTGTCGCTCTTTCTCCGAAAATGGTGAGCAAATCTTTGGATGCTGAACCAATATTCAAAACTTCATTTAACTCCACGGTATTATCACAAAATTCGCCCATTATGCGTTCACAAAAATTATCAAGTTTTTTATCAACCATTTTGAAAAGCTTCATGTAATCACGCTCAAAAACCAGCTTCAAATTGTCCGCCATAGCCGAATACTTTTCCATTTTCTCTTTCAAATGTTTCGCTGTTCCTTTTCCATTCGCTGCTGAAGATGAAAATCCAAAATCGATAAGTTTGATATCAACCAGGTCTTTGACAAATACATTGGCGCCCCGAATATCACCGTGTCCCACACCCGCACAGTGTATTTTGCTGATACAAATCAACGCAGACCTCAAAAATCTCTTTCCCTCAAATTCACTCCTAATTGAATAATCATCAAAGATATTATAACCAGATTTACTAAGGTTTTTCAATTTGATATACGGACCCTCCGTATATACCAATTCTTTACCTTTTCTTATTTCCTGCGGCTCATCAGTATTTTCATTATTGGAGTAAATGAAACCTTTTTCAAGAACGGTAGGAATTAAATTTCTGGTGCTTTCTTTCTTTGTTAAAATTGAGTACGATGTTACCTCATTAATAAAGAGACTAGTGTAATAATAGAATATATCCCTGTGAGTATTAAAGCTGCCCTTTTTGGTTGAGAGAACCTCAGGAGAACATCTGGCATAGTCAAAAATTTTATAGAGATCATCCCCAAAACCTATGACAAGAGACCATGAAGTGTAAGGCTTACCTCCAAAAACAATCTCTGGTTTCATTTCTGGCATGGTTTTTAACACCAATCTACCTTCTTCATTGCCAAGAAATATTCCTATCCGTTTCTCCAAATCATTATCATATTCGTTTGATTTCATTTTCCAATTTCCAGCAATTTTTTCTTTCAAAGCTTCAGAATATGATTCTCCGATAAAATCATTCACTCTCTTTTTGGGAGTATCAAATGCAAGATTCAAATAATCGTAAATCAACAATCTGTTAATGGATCTGCCAACAAGTCTTTGTTCTTTTAGCTTTCCTGAAAATTGACCAAGCATTTTTCCAATAAACCAGGAGGCAATCTCATCTCTCTCGGCTAATCCTGGCTGCGACTTCTTCAATTCCAATGTTGTTTTCATGAACCGTAAAATTGCGCAACCAAGGGGCGTCTCAGAAGTGTCGATGATTTGGTAAGTGATTAGCCCATCATTTTTGAATTGGAAATACATACGCGCACAATTATCAAAAAGGAGTCCAAAATATTTTCTCGCTTTCTTCTTATCTCTATCTATTTGCTCATTACCCACTCCTTCTTTTCCCTTGCTCTCTTCTAGTTTTTTCACTTCATCCATTTTCACTCCAAGTTTTTCCCAATCAAATTTCACTAAAAAAAGGGTCGATTCATCAGCCAATATTCCAGTGAGAGCCCTTGAGGCCAAAATTTGGATTATTAATTGATTGATACCTCTCAAGAAGAAGAGCGCTTCCGTACTGAAACCAAAATACCGTGGCAAGTGTCGTCTGTATATGCTATACTCTGCTCTGAACTTGTTAAAGCTTTCTGAAAGCGAGTATTGCGGTTTATATTTAAGCTCAACACATGTTATATATTCATTATTCTGCTTGCCTATTTCTCCATACTCAATCATAATATCAGGTGTTGAAACAATATTCCCTTCAATTGAGAATGAGCATTGTTGTACCGGCGTCAATTCAAAATCTTTCAGAATCATCAGTCGGAAAAATGCACTTATGTTGTCGAAAACTAAAAACAAAAAAGTTTCAAAATTTTTCTCTGAGTGAGTATGGCGAATGGTCATATAGAATCTAATATTCCCATTAAAGTTGAAATTTTTTGGGACTTCAATTACTCCAACTTGGCGCAACCACTTTCTGGCAGCAGAAGGTGCAAAATAGAACATAGGAAGTTTTGAGTCAGCGGTTCTTTCCTCACTGTAATTTTTAACTGATTTCAAGCTGATTTCGGATCTTTTACCACTTCTTGTTCTCGCATTTTGATTGGAGCCTGATGTTATGTTTTTTGGTTGTTCTTCGTTTCTGCCCTTCCCCGCCCTTTTTGAAAACAAGCTACTCTTGAAGACAAAGCTCAAGGTGGCAAATATTCCGAAAATTGGTCTCACAGAGTAGCTTAAACTATCATAGAAATCTTCGGCAGCTTGTTTACGAAGATCCCCAGTAGCACCTAGAGTTGAAAAATCAAAACTGGTTTCAGGAAGCGAGCCTTTGTCCCATTCATTTTTGAATTCGTCAAATGCAGATTTTAAAGATTTTTCAGATTTTTCAGATTCATCTCCTTGGTCTGAGGAAGGAGGTTCTTCCATACCTGGAGTAATCTTCTCTTTCCATTTTCTAGCTTTTTTTCTTGGATGTTGACTAGGACTGCTCATTGGAGGCCTTGTTCTTTCCAATTTCAGGATCAATTGATCAAATACTTTTTTTCTCAATCTCGGAAGAGATTTCTTTGATTCACATAGATAAATATATATATATATATATATATATATCAAGATTTTCAGATATTGCGTATTAGTTGTTTTCTAATGTTTTTGATATAATGTGCGATTGATAACAAAATATAGTGAAGTGGGAAGAGAGAGTGGGAAGAGAGATGATGACAAAGGATGATTAAATTTCTGTGATGAAAATTAAGGATTCGCCCACTTTTTTGGATCCTGCATCGGTAATCACGTGTAATAGAGGATTATTCCTATGTATAAGGATGAGGAGTTATATACTCATCTTCACTGACCTCGCGTTGAATATAACAGTAGGAAAGTCAAATAGCTATTACTGTGATTAGGCTCTAGTTCCTAACTATTCAATGAACACACAACTCGGCAAATGGTTCGGGATATAGGAACTTGATATAACTCTGACTTCTGCAAGTATAAGCACAATAAGATATATTATTATTTAGTATAGATAAAATGGATGAATAGTTAATTGATTATCATGAATAAATGTAACAGGGGCTTGAGAATAATCAACAATAAAACATGAGACAGCGTAATAAGATGTAGAGTAGGGTGACCATATTCGTAGTATGTATGATAGTACCGTGGTGTCGGTGCTTGCATGCACAACACAATCGTGCCCATCAATTAGTGACCGCTAATAGAATACCAGTAAATTGTCGAGACATTTTACTCAACAAAATATCAACATTCGCTGGAAATACAGAGAACAGTTCAAAAAAAAGGGTTGCAAATACATCATACCACTCGCTTCAATTTTTTGCTCTTTGGTGTAGAAACATAAACCATGTTGAGACTGAGAACTAACATAAAAACACCAACGGTCACTAGCAATGTGATTGGTTCAAATATCTCTCATAAGATGGAGACAAAGAAGCTTTATCATTGGAACGACATCCCAGAATGGCAAAAAGATAATCACTACATTTTTTCTGGGTATGTTAAGGAAACGCTTAGTTATTTAGAGTGCTTACGCTCGTTAACGTATCTCCACAACGAATCTGTCAACATATACACTCATTTGCTTCCAGGAACAGTATTTTTTGGGGGAATATTTTGGTTTTTTGAATATTATATGGAGTATTTTCCTTCTACAACTTGGCAGGACCAATTTGCGTTCTCATTATTTTCTTTTGGTGCTGCCACTGCTTTAACCTTGAGTAGTTGCTTCCATTGTCTTAAATCCCACTCTGAATGTGTTGCTACATTTGGTAATAAGTTGGATTATCTAGGAATAATAATACTAATAATAACATCTATGGTGTCGATCCTTTATTATTCGTTGATTGATTTGCCAGGAATTAGGAACTTTTTCTGGGGGTTGACAATGGCATTTGGGGCGGTTTGCTCGGTATTTTCATTGAACGACAGATTCAGAACAAATAAATGGAGACCTTATCGGGCATTAATGTTCGTGTTATTTGGGTTATCTGGGGTCTTCCCAATCATTGCTGGGTGGTGGATACTTGGTGGTGAAGAGGTGTTCAGAAGATCAGATTTATGGTGGGTCATTGCCGAAGGGGCTCTATATATTTTTGGGGCCTTTTTGTACGCGGCAAGAGTTCCCGAAAGGTTCGCTCCTGGAAAATTTGATATTTGGGGTCACTCTCATCAAATATTCCATGTATTGGTGGTCATTGCTGCTTGTTGCCATGGCAGGGGGTTGATGGGTGCCTACTTGTATAGTCATCACTATACCATTCCTTCGATGTTGATGGCCTAAATTTGGCCCTACGAATATTCACATGTATATAGCTTCTTCAAATGAATATAGTGATTTCCTGGGAGAAAACTAAAATCCCCCCTAATTTTTCTAGTATCTAAGGTTGTAGTGTATTTCCACATGCTGGGGTTTTCTACGGGCAAAACGCGGACACAAAGAAAAAAAAAAAAAAAAATACATCTCATCTCTTCTTCTCACGCTTCTTCTTTGCCACTACACAAATAATACCAATTGCTTGTCCCACAAAGTGAAATATATATAAAAAAAAGATGCTATCCGAAGTATCCGAGCCTTCGGACTCTGTGAAGTCACTGACCAAGTGCCAAGCGACAGAAACTCTAACAAAAAAGGTCAAAGGTCCGGGCCCATCTTCCGATCTCACAAGCAGTCATAAGAAAACCAAGAAACAATGGCTTATCTATAGTTTGCAGATAATCAGAGTAGTTTTTATGGTGATAACCTTCTTGTTATCGGCAATTTCGATAGTCATCACCCAGCTTGTCTTCAAATGGGCGTTTCATTATCAATTCAATATCAAGCAAGGTGTGTTTGCCCTCACCAAAAAGCATTTCGTGGTATTAATCACCGCTATTATGAACGCCGTCTGCCCATCACGTATAAGAGTTACAGGTGAATTATCCTCAATGCCAAAGGGAACATTCACTATCATAAATGGTGAATTGCATTCAGCATTGATCCCAAGATCGACTGTTATTGCCAATCATCAAATCTACACTGATTGGGCATTTCTTTGGTGGGTTGCCTATTCTGCTAACCTTGGTGACTCGGTCTACATCATTTTGAAAGATTCATTAAAGAAGATCCCAATTTTGGGATACGGAATGGAAAACTTCAAGTTCATATTTTTATCGAGAAAGTGGGAAAAAGATCAACAAACCCTTAGAACCCTGTTGAAGAGATTGAGTTTTTTGAACACTGTCGGGACCACCAACGATTATAAAAACGATATCGATGTCCAGCAAATAGATGGTAATGCTGGTGGTGATAAGCTCAAATGGCCATTCTGCTTGATTCTTTTCCCAGAAGGTACCAATATGTCACCTTCAAGACGTGAGGTCTCTGATAAATACTGTGCCAAGCTAGGCATACCAAAATTACAAAATGTTTTGTTACCAAGAGCCACTGGGCTTAGAGAATCTTTGAAGCTCCTCAAAAAATCCTGTGACGTAGTTTATGATGTGACTATTGGATATAGTGGAGTTAAAAAGGATGAATATGGCGAAAGTAATTACACTTTGGGAAATGTTTTCATTAGAGGAAAGGCTCCAAAAATAACGGATATGTATTTCAGAGCCATTAGATTGGATGAGGTTCCGTTGGGACTGGATGATTTGAGTGAGGTGGATGAAGCACGCTCACTTAAGGATTTTGAAAAATGGCTATTCGATCTTTGGTACTCGAAAGATGTGTTAATGAATACCTACTATAAATATGGTACTTTCACCCCTGATCTTGTGGTCACTGGTGAAAGTGATAGCAAACAGTACAACATAAATTCGAAGTATGAGGTGGCTATTGCTCCTTTAAAGCCAAGAAGCCATTGGGAATTCCTTCAAGTATTTGCTGTTCCTGCATCTATCCTTTTAATTGGCAGATTGTTGATAAAATTTATTGTGAGCCTCATTTAGTATAATTTCCAATATGATTTTCCTGATCCTTAAAATTTTCTTCTCTTCTTTTTGTTTATGTTTTTTTTTTTTTCTCTCTCTCAGGCTATCTATCAATTCATTTCAATCACCTTTTAGAATGCAATTTATCTATTTATTTTTTTATATTTTTTTTTAAGAGCATAAAGTTGATGGAATTCTTCGGTTTATAATAAAATTCATAAATGGTATCAAATGTAAGAGGGAAAAAAAAAAAAATATAATGACAATTTTAGAAGAAAAGACTAGCATGAAATAATATAGAATGACTTTTCAGTGACACCAAAAAAAAAATATAAAAGCAAAACGAAAAAAGAAAAAAAGATCTATCTCTATTTGCTTTCAAAATGATCAATCCAATTATCATGTAACTTGATAAGTTCAGGAATGAAAATAGATTCTATTTGTACACCATCAAGGATTTCATTTTCCTTTAATTTAAACCAGTCTTCTTTGTATCCTTGTTGATCTATATTCTTGTTGACAAATACCACCTTCTCTTTTCTGGATTGAAGTAAGTTTCCAATAACCAACTGGTGGTCATATCTAGCCAAGGCCTGCTTACACTTTTTAATAAGTAATCCATCATCGGTTTCGAGTTTGAAACTTATAATAAACGAATTGTTATACCATCGATCAACGATTGTTTTCAAGAATTTCGGCACTGGGTCCAAGTTGAGCTTTAATTTGCCATTTGTGGAGGACGAGATCTCTATTTGCTTAGCTTCTGGATTTTGCGATTGTTGGTATTGTGGATCCTCAAGAATGGCCAAATTTGATTGGATTTTATGTTCTGGGAGCTCTGATTGAGGGATGAAGAAATCTGACACCGCCGCCGCAAGATAGATCAAGATTCTGAAGTTCTTCTCTTCGTAGAAATTCTTCAAATCTTCAGAAATGGCTCTCAAGGTGAAAAGATACTCATTGATGGTAGTGAATGAGATTGACAAGTAGTTTCTATTAGCGGTATGATACTTGTAATTCTTCAAAACTTTCAACAAATTATGATCAGAATTTAGTTTCGACACCTTGTTCTTATCGAGACCTAACTTCTGGCCATCGTTTTCAATTTGCAATAAATCAAGGAAATTGATATTTCCAAAATGGTTCAAAAACGGCAATAATGAGAACTCCCTGTGTAAGAAAATTACAAGATATCCATTATTCAAGAAATATTCGGCGGACAAAGACCCTCTTGTGCCGGCAGAAAAGTTATCGATGAATCTGACAGTGTTGTTTTCCAATGGTACGGTGGTGCCTCCAGAAGTGACTAACACAATCTTTTTTTTGTTGAGATTCCCATTTTCTTGGTGGAACTCTAAAAACTCGTGGAGCTTTGCAGAGATCTGGGGCAAATTTTTTGGCGCTGGGTTGGTGGCGAAAAAGTCACTTTCCTGTTCATTTTCCACGGTCATCCTGGAGTTTTTATGGATATTATCTCGCCTCTATTGCCGTCAAACAGACACCATTCTATCGTCGTAACCAAAATCGTATAGGCCTCAGTGATTTTTTTTTTCATGCCTTGAAAAGTCCGTACACGTGACAGAGTGTTCCTGGTCAAGAACATTGCTGAAACATGTTCATTAGGCGAACGCTGACTAGAATAGAACTGTTATAACATATGTGAGTGTTTCTCATAATAAAAATTTTGGTGGCAGTGGAAAAGTAGAAAATTGAGCCCTTTTTTCTTTTCATTCTTGTGTTTTTACCACTATCCTGGTATCTTATTTTTAGGATCAATTGCAATTGGTTCTAATAAATAAGAGAGGTTCTTTCATACTTATTTATTTTGGAATATATTATTTTTTTGGACCTATCAAGTTAGAACAATAAGATATACTGAGGTCATTATTTGACTACCTCCTAGTTCACAGATAAGTCAAGATTGGGTGAGGATAAGCCTAAAAGTTGGTCACAATTGATAGTCGGATATTTCATCATTGATGATGGCAATGTTATACATTTTCTGTCGCTCATATTTTGCAGTATTGCTAGGTAAAAAGACCTCTTCCAATTATCAATAAAGCCTTGCTTATGTCGTTCTGGGTGCGGGTAATCGATTTGTGGTTGTTGCAGGAAGCATCAATGACCCACATAGATGGCTCCTGTTTCTGGTTACGAACATTGGCACAAGAGTTGCACAGTGAAAAGAAAGCGGCAAAAATCTCAAAGATTTGGAGATCTTACTGGGTGTTGTTGCAACCAAAACATAACAAAGAAAAACAGTCAAAATGGTACGCAGATGAATAGATAATTCAGTTGTTTCAAGATTTTGGTGATATTCTTTCACAATTGCCTTTTTTTGGATTGATTACTAACATATTTTTACCAGGGTCAAGGTCCTTCAGGTTTAGGTGGCAATTTTGATGACAAAAAGAAAGACGTGAGTAAATTTGGGATATAATTTGCGGTGAGCAATATCGGCGAGACCCAGCGGATAGCTTAGTTCTCTTACTAACTATAATTTATAGAAAAAAGATAAGCCAAAGTATGAACCTCCGGTGCAACATCAGAAATTTGGAAGAAAGAAGAGAAAGGGTCCAGAGACATCGTCGAAACTTCCAACTGTTTATCCAACTACCAGATGTAAGTTGAAGTTATTGAAAATGGAAAGAATCAAGGATCATTTATTGATAGAGCAAGAATTCGTGACAAATCAAGAAAATTTCACTCCAACTGAACAGAGACAAGCTGAAGAACGAGAAAAAATCGAAGATTTGCGCGGATCTCCTCTAAGCATTGGTTCATTAGAAGAAATCATTGATGACGATCATGCTATTGTCAGTTTAAGTACTGGTCCAGAATACTATGTTTCCATCTTGTCCTTTGTCGACAAAGGTTTGTTGGAGCCTGGTTGCTCGGTGCTTTTACACCATAAGTCTGTCTCAATCGTTGGGGTATTACAAGATGATGCCGATCCATCAGTCAGTGTCATGAAGTTAGACAAATCTCCTACAGAATCATATAGTGACATTGGTGGTCTTGAGTCACAAATTCAAGAAATCAAGGAAGCGGTAGAATTACCGTTGACCCATCCTGAATTATACGAAGAAATGGGTATCAAGCCTCCAAAGGGAGTTATATTATATGGGGCTCCAGGTACAGGGAAGACCTTATTAGCAAAAGCAGTGGCAAACCAAACGTCCGCTACCTTCCTCAGAATCGTTGGTTCAGAGTTGATCCAGAAATATTTGGGTGATGGTCCAAGATTGTGTAGACAAATATTCAAGACTGCTGCTGAACATGCGCCATCTATTGTATTCATTGATGAAATTGATGCTATTGGTACTAAGCGTTACGAATCCACTTCTGGTGGTGAAAGAGAAGTTCAAAGAACCATGTTGGAATTGTTGAACCAATTGGATGGTTTTGATGATAGAGGGGATGTCAAAGTTATCATGGCAACTAATAAGATTGAGAGCTTGGATCCAGCCTTGATTAGACCGGGTAGAATTGATAGAAAAATTTTATTTGAGAATCCAGATCCACAAACCAAACAAAAGATTTTGAATATTCACACCAGTAAAATGTCATTGGCGGAAGATGTCAATTTAGACGTCTTGGTTGGTTCTAAAGATGACTTGAGTGGTGCTGATATTAAGGCTATGTGTACTGAGGCGGGTTTGTTGGCTCTTAGAGAAAGAAGAATGCATGTCATTCAAGACGATTTTGTCAAGGCTAAGGAAAGAGTCTTGAAGAACAAGGTGGAAGAAAACTTGGAAGGCCTCTATTTATAGACAGGCAAGTGTATAACAATTAAGCTTTTAGCACAATTTTTATGTTTATTTTGATTGTTCTATGGTTTCTATCTATTTGACGGTGGTCTGTTGTAACATTAAATTGTAGATTATTTCTATTGTTTGTGTTTGATTAATGTAAGCTACTAGACGTTAATTATGTGATAAGGGTTTTGTATGGATAAACCTGTTTTCAGAACCCCACGAAGTGGATCGAATAAACTGGGAAAAGCTTCTCCATAATTCGGAAGAGAAATGAATGGCTAACTCCGTTGTTATTATTTACCACGTGATTATATATTGATCTTGCAATTTTGGTATTTTATATCAAGCTTTTGCCTTGCCCTACGAGTTCCAAATATTAATCAGACTGTAATATAATGAGATGAATTATGTAAAGTGTAGTGAAAGAAGAAAGATTCTCTAGATGATAACCAATTATTACATCTATATTTAATGCGTTATTTAGTAATTAACACGTGAGTTTTTTTTTTTTTTTTTTTTGTGTTGTAATTTTTTCTCTTTGATTTTTGCCAGTTTTTTTAGGCCCTTCAATATTAAGGAAGGTTTCTTTAGAAGTTTAAATATTCCAAGCTTATTATTGTCCAAATTTTTATAATTATTAAATCCTCTAGGACACTGAGCTCTCGTGAATGCCATTTTTTTTTCAGTCAACTAAATGGATACACCACGAAGGAATAAAATAAATCATCTACTTTCAAAATTTGCAAAAAGTTTGTTTACTTCCCAAACAATTGGTTATCTCACCGGAAATCTTCCACTGGATTGTTAGTTCAGCGACTATAATATTTTCGACAATACACTGCAATGACTGATGATCCCACAGAAAAAAAATTCAGAGCATGGTTTGAGAAAACAGATCTCACTAAGAAAGGTAAAATAGATCGAGACACATTAGCCCGGGCTTTTCGAGAGAAAGAGCATCCACTTTTCAAATCCAATGATCATATCGATCAGCTATTTCAAAAAATAGATCATAAACATGATGATTTGATCGACTATAATGAGTTCAAGTCTTACTTTCAGAAGGCCGAAGGAGAAATCAAGCATGCATTTGACAATATTGATAAAAACCATGATGGTTACTTGACCAAGACAGATCTAAGAAGTTATTTGGAAGACAATCTAAATATTAAGGCCACTGACGAAGATTTCGAAGATTTCTATAAAAATGTTGACCAAGATCATGACGGGCTAATTAGGTATGATGAGTGGAGAAACTTACTTTTGCTTGTCCCTCGAAATCAAGGGTCGCGTTTGAAAACCGCATTTAGATACTTCAACGAGGATGTGGATTTGTCTTCTGACGGTGATATGACTATCATCAATGATTATCTCAAAGGGGTCGGTTATTTCATTTCAGGCGGTGTGGCAGGTGTAGTCAGTAGAACATGTACTGCTCCTTTTGATCGGATAAAGGTATTTTTAATCGCCAGAACTGATTTGTCATCGACACTTTTAACGAAAAAGAGGGAAATCTCGAAGAGGAATGCAAATCATCCACCTTTAAACAAGATTAAATCACCTTTGATCAAAGCAGCACAATCATTGTATAAACAAGGAGGGCTAAAGTCATTTTACGTTGGCAATGGTTTGAATTGCCTCAAAGTATTTCCAGAAGCTGCGATGAAATTCGGTTCTTTTGAAATTGGTAAAAATATCTTCATGAAGATCGAAGGAAAATCTTCAACCAATGACTTATCAAGATTCTCCACTTACTTGGCTGGTGGGTTTGCCGGGATGTTTTCACAATTCACAGTTTATCCAGTTGATACCTTAAAATATAGAATCCAATGTGCTCCTCTACGCGAGAATAGACAAGGAATAATCTGGAGAACCGCCAAAGAAATGTATAAGGAAGGGGGATTGCGTTTATTTTATAGGGGCATTTTCGTTGGGGTAACTGGTATTTTCCCCTACGCTGCTATTGATTTGGGTACATTTACTACTCTTAAGCAAATAATGATCAGAAGGAAAGCCAATAGAGAGGGAAAACGCGAAGATGATGTGAAATTGAGCAATTTTGTCGTCTTGCCATTGGGGGCGTTTTCTGGTACTGTTGGTGCTTGTGTAGTTTATCCAATCAATTTATTGAGAACTAGACTACAAGCTCAAGGAACCTTTGCTCATCCTTATAGGTACACTGGAATAAAGGATGTTTTCAAGCAAACAATTCAAAGAGAAGGGTACCCTGGGCTCTACAAAGGCTTACTGCCAAATTTGGCCAAGGTTATCCCTGCCGTTAGTATCACTTATTTGGTGGTGGAAAATATGAAGCGTGCATTAAATTTAGAATGAATAAAATGGGAGAATGTCTATTTTTTAAAAGAATTGTTTTTGTTCTTGTTTTCAGTTTTTTTTTGTTTTGTTTCTTTTATCATACTGGTTTTTCACGTTAGTTAATTTGGGGTTATGGCTGTTTATTAGAGAATTTTTAAAGTTAATTCGAGATGACTTTCAGGTTTTGATTCTAGCTGAAAGAATACTGCAAGTCCTATATTATTAGAGTTGATTCACCTTTTTTCAAAAAAAAAGAAATGCCAGGACTTTCAATATATTTTATAGCTAATTGATATGTTATGGTGTGCTCTTTCTGGTGAACACTATTTTCTCTGCTCTTCCTCCTATAACCTTTTTCTTTGCTTGATTATGTTCTTTTCTTGCTGGTCATCACCTGTGTTTTATCCTGTTTTATTTATTTCCATCTGCTAGAGGCGACCATCTCTTGGTATGTTTATACCCTCTTTTTCCCACTGTATTTATATTGCTATTTATATTATTTGCATCATCACATTAACATCATTAATAGTTTTAATCTGATGTAGTCGATTCATTTATTCAAGCTAGAAAGCAGCCTTTATTTTCCTTTTTTTTTTTTTTTTGTTAGTGGAGAAATGACTTTATTTTTGCACCACCATTGATATACATGAAATTTAAGCACATACAGCTTATATGGTTTCTCTTTATAGCACAGTATCTGAGAGGAATGGGCAAAAGAGAAGATAAAAACCACCATTCATGTTGTAAATTCTGACGGAGCGCTTTTAGTAAGCAGTGCAGGATCAGAAAAAATATCTCATCTCCTACAAAAAAATTTTTTTTTTTTTCAGTGAGTACTAATCCATTGTATAACACAAGTAAAACCACAAGGACAGCAGGCTATTCTTATTTCCAATTACCATGTCATTTAAATCGAAATCTTCCAAACATCAGGCTAGCTCCTCGATAAACAAATTGTTGGGTAGTGTGTTGCCAACAACCAAGCCTATAACTTCAAGTAAGGGCTCTAAAAAGTCAGATGCTAGAAATACTGCCATCCAGCTGCTAAATGACACATTTTTTGGAATGGAGGAATCTACAGTATCGGTAAAAGATATTTCTAAGCTAAAAAAGAAACAGAAAACTACAAAAAGACAAACCATGAAGAAAAATTCTGCAGTTGCCGAAAAACTTGAGAAAACTGCGAAAATGAAAATCATTCAAAAGCAAATTGACACCGTTAATGAAGAACAAAAGAAACAGGGGAAAAAAGTTTATGGAAAAACCGAGTATAATTTGAATCAGGAAGAAAAGAAACTTATAAACTCGTTGATTGATGGTAATGTCAAAACTGTTCAATCATGGAAAGATGCTGGTGATAGTGACGATGACACAGAAGAACAAATTAAGAAATTGCAAGGAGATATCTTAGCTTTGAAGAACGCCAAGCAGCGGAACAAGGGGGCTAAAAATGCTAAGAAGAGAAATAATGAATTTAGCATGGAACAGAAGATTAATGGTAAGATTAAGAGGGCTCATGCTTATCCTGGTTTGACACCTGGTTTGGCACCCGTTGGTTTGGATGACAGTGATGAAGAAAGTGACTAGAGCATTGGAATTTAACGCAGCTCGAATCTGTATCATAGGAGGGTTTTGGTATTTTGTATAATATGATTGATATTGGCAAGCTTAATCTCTTGCGGATTTTTTTTTTTTCCTTCTTCTGATTCAAAATTCGCGTATTACTGTTTTATGCAATATACACTATAGAGTCTCAGTAAAAAGTTGATATCGAAAGATCTATATTTTTTCTTCTTTTCTGTTTAAGTAGCCTACAATTAACAAATCAAAAAATGATAAAAACGCATGTTGAGACAATAACACAAAATTTTTCTATTACATCCTATTCCCACATCTAAAATCTTGAAGATATAAGCAACCAGCAAAAGATAAAACAGCAAGCTTAATAAAAAGAGGCTCGAAATGAATTTATTTGCTAAATTACACCAAATGTTAATGTTCTGTGTCTACCCGCCTGATGGCATACTTTGTATGTCCGGGTCACCGCATTTTTTTTTGGTGCTGCGTGAATTTTTGCTTTAGGGAAAATACGGCTTAGTCTGAGGGCAGAAAAGGATAACTAACGCTAGTCGTCTGTTGCGCGTACCAAAGATTTTTTCCAGTGGGAGCACGCCATTACTGGGAAAAAGGACTGTCATAATAAAATAGGAAGAAGCCAGTGGTTCTCGTCAGTCCATTACAGAACCTGCTTTCCTGGAGAAAATAATTAAATACCTACAACGATTCCGCTGTTGACAAACCCAAGACTGTCTCTGACAGAGAAGAGGGCTTCGCCATCTTATAAGGAAGAAGTAAAACAAGAGGAAAGTTTAACAGAGGCAACTATGTTGGGAAATAGTAGGAGTAATAGTGTCAGTAATGATATTGGGCGTTTCAACGGTGCCTGTCAGTCGATAAAGACGCTACTACGGTATCATAAGAAGAAGAATACCCTTCTACAGTTAAAGATATTGACTGGTATGACCATAATGGGTATTGGCCTATTTTTACTCATATTTCAAACCTTTGTGTCCAAATTGGATGGGGCTGATGCCCCGGAATGCCGAATGTCCTATATGTCTCCCGCGTATGCCAAAGTTAATGGGTTTGACCACTCTCATACAAAATATGCTTCCAAGTATTCGTTGTATTTATACCGTGAACAAGGTAAAGACTTGAATCCTGATGACAACACCCAATTCTTGAACGGAGCTCCGATTTTATTCATTCCAGGAAATGCTGGAAGTTATAAGCAAGTTAGAGCGTTGGCCGCCGAATGCGCTAATCTTTATGTCAGCGACTATCAAGGCAAACGGAAAAATCAAGTATGGAACAACAATGCTAAAAATTTGGACTTCTTCACTGCAGACTTTAATGAGGACTTTACTGCCTTCCATGGCAGAACTTTATTGGATCAATCAGAATATCTCAATGATGCCATTAAATTTATCCTATCTCTATACGCCAAAAATAATATTCCTACAAAGTCAGTGATTGTTGTTGGACATTCCATGGGTGGTATTGTTGCCAGGACCATGATAACCTTGCCAAACTATGCCAACGGTTCCATTAATACTTTTTTAACGCTAGCAGCCCCTCACGCGGCTTCTCCAGTGACCTTCGATGGTGACTTAATGAAGGTTTATAGTTCAATAGATAAGTTTTGGAGAGGTGGATTTCTTAATGCCAAGCATTCTGCAACTAAGGAAATTGATTCTAAAATTATCGATTTGGCCCAACCTAGATTGAAAAATGTTTCTTTGATCTCTATAACTGGTGGTTTAATGGACACAGTTTTGCCAGCAGATTATACAAGCATCAAGAGTTTGGTTCCGAATGAAAATGGGTTTACGGTGTTTACCACAGGTATACCGGGGGTTTGGACACCAATTGATCACTTGGCTATTGTTTGGTGCGACCAGTTAAGAAAAGTCTTGGCAAGAACTTTATTAGAGATTGTGGACAATACCTCCATGGACAAAACATATCCTTTACAAGAAAGAATGAAGATTTTCAGAAGACATTTACTTTCTGGTTTTGAGGATTATAGCGCAAAAGATTATGAGAGTTCTAAAGGTGAAGATATCAATTTTTCAATTAAATTAAAGGTTGATAACGATCAAATCAGTTCCGCAATGCCGGGTGAGCGATCTTTGATACTGCCGCCAAGTTACTCTCCTAATGTTTTCAAGAGAGGGCAGAGAACCCCGAAAATGAATTTCTTCTATTTGCCAGAAGAAAAAGATTCATCAAAGGGCAAGTATGAATTCACTGCCCTCAGCTCGTTGCCATTTGAAAGTATTGAAGATTTCGGGAAATCCACCAAACCAGTTGCGCTTTTGTGCCGTAATGCAGTCAGACATAATCATATGAATGCTGAGGTTGAATCATCATCAATCAGAATTGTTGATTTTACCAGTGAAACTACTAGTAAGGGCATTGAGTTAGAATGTATTGATGTATCTTCAAATGCACATAGTGTCCCAAGGTCAGCCATAAGCACAGTTTCTGCTTCTGAGTCATCTATTGGGGGTAAATTCTCAAACTACAATGTTTTGCAATTCAATTCTACCACGTTGTCCAACTTTGAGTTAGTGGTCATCGGCGAGTCTCCAAATTTTTATAGCTTGGAAAACCGTCAGGATTTCATTGTAGCTGATTTGGTGAAATCTGAGTTGGCGAATATCAAGTCTGACGCTAATTTCTGGAAATTTTTACTCTTTGGTGTGGAAATAAATTTACCAGCAAAAAGGCCTTTGGCGGTCGATGTTTCCATTCCATCAATATGGAGTAGTTTAGTTGCCTATAATTTGAAAGTTGTCAGAAGTTTTGATCAGAAGGATGATAGAAAACCTGAAAATGAAAGATTTGGACCCCTTATAAGACAATGGATTCCAAGCATTTTTGAAACTAAATGGTTAGTTGGGTTGAACAATGAACCCGAAAAATTGATTTCTTTGCATTCAGTAGCTCCTTATGTTCCATTTGAAAGTTCTAAGAATTCAAACGCCTTACACTTGCAAGTATGGTCTGATTCAATGAGTACAAAGAATTTGGTTACTTTGAAGCTCCGTGTTGATATTCTCACGAGTTTAAGGTTATTAGTCATGAGGTTCAGATTGGTTATAGGCACCTTACCGGTTGCTATTGTGGCATTGGTTTTGGGATATCAATTCAGAATGTATAGCAAAGCTGGCGAGTTTGTATCCTTTGGTGATGGATTGGTATATCTTTGTACTCCAAAAGCTTTGGGTATTATTTGTGGATTGTTATCATTCTTATCACTTATTTCTTCAAACGAATTTTTCCAAGGCCTCTTTTACTTGCTTGATCCAATTGGGTTGGCTTCTGCTTTAGATAGTGGCTTGGTTACAGAAAATATTAGCTTGAATCCATTTTTCTTGGGCTTGGAAGAAGATATGTTGTTTGTTTTTGGTCCAATATTTTTCATCATTTCTTTGGCACTTGTTTGCTTGACATACAATTTGGTATTACTTATATCGTGGACTCTTTCTGCAGTTTATCTCGGGTTGGTGTTCAAATTAATGAATAAAAGAAATCAATTCAAGATGTCACATAGCACTGACACAGTGTTTTTGCAGTCCAAAAGAAGAATCATTGGGACTATTTTTATAATCGGGTCCATTCCATTTTATTTCCCATACCAATTTGCCTATGTCGTCATCACTCTTGTACAGGTAACTGTATGCATAAGGTCAGTTATTTCCTACAAGTCGTTGGAAAAGCAGCAGCCCTCTTCTATTGCTGTTGATAAGTTGAATACAATGAAGCATGAGGCTGCAAATTTCAAGAACTTCAATTTATCTTTTTTCATGTTGATGCTTTGGATCTTACCAATTAATATTCCAGTTTTGATTGTTTTCATTCACAATTTTGCATTGAAATGGCAAACACCATTTTCATCACATCATAATTTCCTTGCAATTGTTCCAATCTTCATTGTGATTGAAAAGAACGTTAGTGGTAAAATGCCTGTTAGAATGATGTTACAATCTTCATCTTTGTTGGTGCCAAATTTTATTACACAAATGATTCTTGGATATATGGCGTTCTACTCTATCGTTTTTGGGGTTAGGCATGCTTGGTGGTTACACTATTTATTGAATTTCTTCTGTACTTGGTTAGTGTTTTTGAATTTTGATATTTGGGGAACTAGTAATAACCAAAACAATGCTATTTCAGGAAATTCGTATTGCAGCGGAGGAAGCACATTAGGAAGAGATCCTGAGAAAGCTAAAAGCAGAGAATATTTGAAGCGTTCAGATTTGTCATACCTCAATATGACCGGATCCAAAATTTATTGAAAAAACAAAAAAAAAAAATGTAATTAACCAATTTAACGAGCTCATGAAATTATAAATTCCATTATATCTACAATTATCTTGCCTAATAATGCGCGACAGTTTTTTAGAACGTTCCACTGATACTTATTCTATTATCCATAAATCTTTTATTCATTTGTTTGTTATTCCTTTTGTCTTTTTTTTCCCTTCTTTCGATCTCTCATCTTTTCCTTCTTGAATGTTATAATGTTCTTGTTTCTTTTGTTTCTTTCGTCGTTCAATTTGCTCATTCTATCATTTGTTTTTATCTATCTTTATCTAATATTTTTCATCGTTTTTATTCGAGGTTTCTTTGGTTGGTCCTTTAGATGTTCTCACCACAAGCTAAACTATTGATGATTTTCTTTTGTTGTCTTCATTCTAGTTTTTTATTTTTATTTTATTTGCTTTGCTTGTTTTCTGTTTTTATTTTTATTTTTATTTTTATTTTTATTTTTATTTTTATTTTTATTTTTATTTTTATTTTTATTTTTATTTTTATTTTTATTTTTATTTTTATTTTTATTTTTATTTTTATTTTTATTTTTATTTTTATTTTTATTTTTATTTTTATTTTTATTTTTATTTTTATTTTTATTTTTATTTTTATTTTTATTGTTATTTTTATTTTTATTTTTATTTTTATTTTTATTTTTATTTTTATTTTTATTGTTATTTTTATTTTTATTTTTATTTTTATTTTTATTTTCATTACCAAGGTTTGAAGAGCCTTTTCAATTAGGATGTCCTAATTGTATTGATTTCACAGCACTGTGACCACATTTCCTCAAAGCACTATTATGGAAAAGGGACTTGACCATACATACTTAATTTCTTGTGCTCATTCTAAGAACTGTTAATATTAATCTTTTTTTCTTCTTCTTTTTTATTTTGCCTCCTTAATTATTATTTATTTCTACATCATATTTTTGATTATTGTTAATAATATTTATAAGTTAATTACCCCTTAATGATGAAAATCACCATACGTTTGATCTCATGGGTGTATGGTTTTGTTGTTATATGAATATATGTCTTGTGTCATTAATTATGAGTCTACAGTCATTTTATACATGATAATAATAATGATGATAATCGATCAGTTTATTTCCAGTGATACCTATCTAGAGAATTTATAAAGATAGATAGACCGAAACAATGCATAATCAATAAAGATATAGAGATGCAAAAAAAAATAAAAAAAAAATGAAATTAGATGAAAATAAACTCAAATGAATGAGACCAGTAGATGATTTTAGCAAACTGAGCTTTTGTTTTCAATTTTTGTCTTTTTTTTTTTGTTTTGTTTTTATGTTGTTGTTTTGCTTGGTTCTTTTTGGATGTTGGTATTTTTTTAAAGAAAAATAATAAATTGTTTGACAGAAACCCCCCAATGAAACCCTAATATCATAATGGTAAATTAACAGCCCCAAAAAAGAAGATAATATTTCAAAAACAAACTTCGGAAAATGAAAAGGGAAAGTAATAAAAAAAAAAAAAAAAAGAAAAAGCATATTACTAAGAAATGTTTTTTAGTATTGGTGATGTGTGCATTATCACATTAGCTTCGGATACTTCTCATTGAAGCTTTTTTCAAAATCGTTCTCATCGAAATCTCCATCAATGATCCCATCATCTTCAAAGAATGCATTCTCCTTCACCACTTCACTAGTCAAATCGTCATCATCATCATCTTTCCTAAGTCTGCTGATGGTATTGGGTTTACTCTTTGGGGCAATAGGGGAAGTTTGATCAGACCATTCTTTAGATTTCACTTTCGGTGACACCAAATGACTTGGTTTCTTTGGTCTAGGAGGTGGAATCTTCTTTTTTTCTTTTGTAACCGGGGCAGGCTTCGATGAAGCAGCAGACGATGGGGTCGTTGGGGGAATCATGCCCGTTGGTGTCTTATCGGCCAGTTTGTGCTTGAAAAGTTTAGAGTTCCCCAAAGATGATTCCTTGGTAGTCCTGGTGCCGCTCAGCAGCCACGTGGACGGGGTCTTATGTCTTATCAAATCCAAAGATTTTCTCTTGTTGGTGATCGGCTTGAGAAATTTCCCGGCCTTTTGAGAAATCTCGACTTTGGTGTTTTGGTCGTCTCCGGTATATTTACCGTAACCGGTGGCGGTCTTCACAATTTCGTCTTTGTTATTCAAGAGCATCTCCATACGCTTTTGAACAGAAGTCGATGTTGATGGTTTCTTTTGGAGATAATCGGCATTTTTAAATTCCTTCATTGAGATCTGGGAAATCAATTCATCTTCGGATTCGTCAATATCTTTGCTACTATCACTACTGCTGCCAGTACTGGTGGTTTTTCTGGTAGAAGATAAAGTTAATGTGTTAAATTCCAGAGATAATTGTCTTCCGGTGTTATTGACAGATAATTTCCCGGTATTTGATCTGCTAAGGCGGGAATTGTTAGAAGACGCACGGAATTTACCGGTTAAAGAATTAGTCAATTTGTTCAATGAGGTCTTACCGGCACTGATGGTTCTCTTATGGAATGAATGAGATCTTCGGAGTTCATGAGAATTGTTGGCGGATTTCCCAACGTCCAGTGGTGGTAATGTTTTTCTTAAACCATCAGGCATAGTAGTGGTGATGGCATCACCACTGGATTTTTCGTTCATTGTGGTTGAATCAGTCGAGCCAATACCGTTGGCAACACTTGATCCTTTTGATTTAAAAGAATTTATTGGTTTTGAAGGTTTCGCCACACTGGCGGTGCTGGTACTTTTGTCTTCAAACTTGTTCCGTAAGCCGTCGATATCCATAACCTTCAATGAGAGATCTGGCGGTGATCCAATATAAGGTTTACGGCGTACTTTTGGCTTAGCAGAATCGACTTTATCTTTCACAATGTCTATCAATGGCTTGGGTTGGGTAGTGGTGGCTGAGATCGAACTCATTGATCCTTTTTTAATTAGATCGGCAAATGGGTCTTCTGGTGATGAGCTTGCAGAAAGCTTATTCAACGCTGGAGATGATTTGTTTTTAAATTGTTCATTATGGTTAGAAGGATGTTCGTTAAACGTGGTGGTGGAGGTCGAAGTAAGTTGGGTAATGGCAGACGCAGTGCTTGGAATGACGTTATTTGATTTCGCGGAAATCGAAGACGCCGCTGACTGGAGCGATTTACCAGATTGTGTAGACTGTAGAGATTTTCCTGATTTTGTAGATTTGATCGAAGTATTGGATTTGGCAAGGTTATCATTGTACAAATTGGTTGATGCTGCAGATACTTGACCAGAAACATGCGATGGAATGGTTGATGGTTGTTGTGGGGCAACATTAGAGGCTGCAATTGCTGCCGCCTGTTGCTTTTGTTGCTGTAACATCTGCTGGGCTGCCATTTGTTGTTTGAAAGTAAGGTATTGCTGTTGAATTTCTAATGGGATAGGGACGCTCTTCATTTTACAAACTTCCTCCAATACTTGGTAAACGTTTGGTCTCAATCTGGCATCATTGGTGAGTAAAACTCTGATCAAATTTTGAAGTCTCCCAGAATAAACGGGGTATGAAGGGAATGTGAAACTTGATTGCAAGATTGCAGCTTCCCCAGTTTGTTCGAATGGGGTGGTGTAATAGCAAATCTTGTAACAAAACACCCCGAGAGCCCAAATATCAGATTTTTCATTGATGGGCAACCCTCTAGTAAGATCGATCATTTCTGGGGCCCGATATTGAGCGGTGGTGTATCGCAATATATCATTTTGGAGAATTTTCAATTCCTGTTGGTTTCTAGGAGGACGTAATGGTGGACAAGAAGACCCAAAGTCACAAAGTCTATACTCGTTTCTATCATTAATCAATATATTTTCGATTTTGATATCTCTATGAATCAACGGAGGGTTTAAGAAATGGACCTGAGAAAGTCCGATGGTCACTTCGTACATGATTTGCAAGATTTCGGGCTCCGTCAATCTGTTTTGTAACCTGGAGTTCAAGAAATCAATCAATCCATTCTTAGAACAGTATTCCATCAAGAGAAACACTTCGTAAGTGCCATCATTACTCGGCGATCTGGCGGCGTGTGAGTCAATATACGAAACGATACAAGGCTTACCTTGAAGTCGTTTCATCGCATCGACCTCGGCCCTCAATATATTCAATGTGGCTTTGTTTGGCACAAGCACTCTTTTCAAACAGGCAATTTCCTGGCCATTCTCATATGGCGAGATCTTGACGATATAAACGTGGGCAAAACCCCCTTCAGATATATACTTGACGATCATCGCCTTGTGGGACCCAACAGTCAACACTGTTCCAGGAGGATAGGCATTTGGCGGTGGGCTTCCCATCCTTTATATGTATATGTATATATATAACTTTCTATTGCTTGGATAATGGGTTATTTTCAATTTTATATTTTAAAATATCTAAGAATGCCTCGGTGGTGTTCAAAACGTGGTTGATCTATTAACAGTTTTCCATAGCGGTGTGTGTTGTTTATTTTTCGTGGGTGATTATCTTACTGGTGTTTGGGTGACTACAACTTCTATGCGGTGTAAGGGTGTCTTCTTTACGCAGATAACCAACATTATCATAACAATAATAATAAACGACTAATAAATCAAAGAGAAAATAGAAATAATAAACTAATTCAACTGTAGAATTCTAACACAACTAGCTCCGAGTCTACTTGGATCTCTCAAAACAAAGAAAAAAAAAAAAAATAAGCAACAGCGAGAAAATTCATATTTTGTATATATATATATATATATATATATATATATCAAATTGTTCTAGAATGGAGGGTGGTTGGGCTTATGGCCTCGTCTTCATCTTCTTCTTGCTCCTCAATTCCTTTTTCTCCATTGTACATGGCGTAGTTTTGAGAAATTGTGGATTCCTCTTCAGGAATGTTTTCAATATCGCTGATTTTCAAAGAACCTTCTGAATCGTAGATACTATCATCATGCGATACGCTATTGACCATAAAACCACCGGTGGAATATGGACTGGAAGAGTCATTCCTAGAGCTGGCCCACATAATAGAAAATGGCAAGAACATTGCGGTAAGGAAGAACGAAATTTCCGGCAAAGTGTTGGAAGTCCAATCGTTTAGATTGTAACTCACAATGACCACCATCGCCGGAATAATCATGGATTGGAAAGACATAATGAAGAGAATATGATAGATACTGAAGTTCTTCATTCCGCATTGTCTTCTGAGATAAACACAATAAACAAGCTTGCCAATGAGGCAGAAACTTTGGAACCAAAGCGATGTTAAAAAGAGAATCACTGGAACGTTGAAAGTCCAAATTGGACTAGTCTCCCCAGACTCATTGTAGATTTCAATCAATGCAAAAGTGATATCGACAATGTAAAATCCAATATTTACTACTGCCAAAACAATACAAACCCCCAATACCACAAACTTGAGAACATTTTTCGCGTATCCGTTTTCCGGGATCTTGTACAATGTCCATACTTGGCAGATCAAGACGAGCTGAATGCTGGCAACGAATAACACTTGAATCAAATCGGTGACTGTGGTCATGTTTCTATTAGTGACATCGAGCACATAGTATCCTGAAAAGGCAAATGTGATGCTCCCAGAGTTGCTCAAGTAGTAGTACATGTAAAAAATGGATTTCAAGCACATGAAAAATAACGTTGCTTGCAACCCCCAGAACATTGGTTTCATCTTATTAGCCCTCCTGGTGAACATATTGGTGGCCAAAATCATGATGATGCCAGCACCGAGTTTGATCCCTTGAATGATCGACCCTTGGCATTGTCGGTATAGCCAATGATCCAATTCTTGGAATGTTACTTGCTGAACTCCAGCGGGGGTAGTGTAGTTCAACAAGATTTCAAATGGGTTTTGAGACATCAAGTACTCCATATAAGCATCATCTGCGGACATTTTGAATAATTAGTGGATATTAATAGCAAAATTCAAACGGAAGTCTATTAGAAAAACAATATTCAAAGAAAACTTTTTTATTGGAAAGAGAAAAAAAATCCAGAGAATTTGAGTGTTGAATTTGAAACGAGGATCCCAAAGGATGTATATATATAGATGAAATACATTCTATCATTTTTCCTTAATTGACAATATAGGTTAGCCTCATCTAATATTACCCAATTAGAAGCAATCTCGACCCCCTGAGGTCTGAAAATTCGAAGTTTTTCGGAGCACTGCGAATTTTTGATGATCGATGTTGAGAGGTGCATAATTACCGTTTACGGCATAATCAATGGGGAATTGCGATTATCACGATTAATATGGCCCGCCACAAAAGGAGAAGAAAGAAAACACAAATTGCCATGATGTTGTATTATCGTACGCTATTTGGGGCTCCATAGGAGGGGAAACTTATCTTGAATTTTCGTGAACGTGGTCTGATTGAGAGATCATAGGGTTTTATGTTGTCGATCAATCAGCTTCGTATGCTTGAAAAATTCGTGTTGTCCTTTTAATCTTCTCTTGTGGAGCAATGGACATGTATTCGGGAACTTTTTATTTGTGGCTAAAATCTGTTTGAATGACCCAGGCCTGAATCAACATATCTCAGTGAAAACAGGTAAGAAAAATAAAAAATAGTATTTGAATTATTCATACTAGTATCTAGATCAATTACAGCAATCTGATCTTCTATTGAATTAAGATACGAGTGAGCGATAAAAGATCGCAATTGATTCTATGGTTTATAAAATTTGCTCACAGGCAAGGAGAGAATGAAAAATAAGTGATGTTTCTCAATTTGATTTGCTCAAAGTGGGAGATTTCGTCATAATCTTTTAATTGTAACTATAATTATATAATAATTAACTCTTTTTTAGAATCGAACTAAAGTCTTATTATTAGAAGCTAAGTCTTATCATTTATATGCTTTGAAAAAAAAAATATTAGCAAATAATTAAATAAATTTTACAGTGTGAAAAACAACATCTTTGTAAACTAACAAACCTTCATTATAACAATTCGTCAACTGCGAAGAAGAAAAGCAAGTACCAAAAAAAAAAAAAAAATTATATGAAAAAAATAATAAGTGTAAAAAAAGAGAAGAAAAAAAAACCGGTTCAGTGTTGAAAAAAAAAAAAAAAATCGAATTGAGCCAATCAGATGAATTCAACTTCATCAATTCAGCAGCAGCGTCGCCCCAGTGGAAAAGCATCCATTTAAGCAATAACACAAGATTGGGTCAAAACACCACCGTAAGCAGTAAGGTAGACATTGTCCTTTTGCTCATCCTTGTTCTTGGTTTGAGCAGCAGAGTTGGAAGAGGAGGTAGAGGAGAACTTCATTGTGAGATAGCGTAGTAAAAGAGTGAGATTATCAATATAAGATTTGATGATGATGATAAAAAAAAAAGAAGAAGAAATAATAACATTAAAACTAAGAGATCTTTGCAGTTATTTATAATGAATGATCATTATGGAAATAAATGAAAAGGATCTTAACACTGAAAGATTGTCATTGACATTTCCAGAAATGGTATTTCATGCATCGGACCTCTCACGTCTGAGATTCAGTTTAGTATTATCTTGATTTAGCGATATTCTATATTAAGAATTATTTCCCCAAAAGAGAGGAATGAATGAGATCGACAACGACTTATAATATGGTTATTTCCTGCAAAAAATGAGGATTGTGATCCGCAGTTTCCTTTTTGAGTAACATCAATAGAAAAATTTAACAGGACAGTCTTGACATGGAAGGAAGATAAGGTAAAACACTCCCACGAAGAATGCAATTGGACTACAAATATACGATTAATAATATCTAAGACCACTTATCTGGCTTCTAATATTTTGGGCTCCCTATTCTTTTCCCCACTTTTGTCAATTTTTCCTTGACTTCAGAATATTGTTAGATCGCGACAATTGCAGACGATGATTATTCTATTCACCTGCCCCCCCCTCCAGCTATCGATCGATTCAGAAATGTCATCAATTGTCAAATTCCCTATTGTCATAATCATCAACCAACTATGGTTTGAGTGAGATATATATCCTTCACTAACTAAGCCTTTGACAACTAAAACGTGACAACTCATGTGACAAAATGTGCTGCTGCCGGTGGTTTTTTTTTTTTTTCTTCTTTTCTTGGTGGGTGGTGTGTCACTAACAATAACACCCATCATCTCTCTCCCAAGACATATATCTCATATCTCACATAATACACCATCATTACATCAAACTATGCCAAAGTTGGAAAATTGGGAAATCAAAAAGTTCTGGGAGATCTTCAACGGTCTTAGTCCGGCGGATGGGAAATTGGGTGGCGACAAAGTCAGCGCGGTGTTCAAGAACTCCCAGTTGGCCGATGACAAACTTGCAAAAATTTGGTCACTTTCCGACATCGATCAGGATGGGAACCTTGATTTCGAAGAGTTTTGCATTGCCATGAAATTGATCTTTGATACTGTCAATGGGTCGATGAAAGATTTACCGGAATCGTTACCTCCATGGCTAATTCCTGGTTCCAAGGCCCATTTGATCCAGGCGAACGCCGCGGTAGGCATGGGGAAAAACATCGGGACCTCTGCCGACGATGATGATGAAGATGATGGGTATGGGATCAGAGACATGAATTTCGACTGGTACATTTCCCCAGCAGATAAGACTACTTATGAAAACATTTACAACTCCGCCACCGATCGGTTTGGCAGAGTGAAGTTTGATGGATTGAGTAGCTTGTACGATGATTTGGACGGGGTTCCAAAGACCGATATCTCATCTGCTTGGAACTTGGTCAATCCAAAACAATTCGAAACCATTGACAAGGACCAGTGTTTGGTATACTTGCACATTTTGAATCAGCGGTCGAAAGGTAAGAAAGTCCCAAGCTCGGTGCCAGCGACCCTTAGAGCCACTTTTTCCAAAGAGGTTCCTGATTATAATTTACAATCACAACAAGAGAAAATGCAAGCCACGGCCCAGGCAAACAAAAAGAAAGGCGGGTTTGGCGAAGGGTACCTTAGTAAATACGGTTCAGTGAGTGAGCCGACAAAAGAAATTGATTATTCTGATGCAGAATCCGTAGAATGGGAAGAGGCAAGATTAAGAAAGAAATTGATTGAATTAGACAATAAGATCTCGAAAACCGAAAGAGAAATAAAGTCCAAAGAGAATGGCGGGAGCAGCACCAAAGAAACGTCTATTACGAAATATGAACTCGAACAATTATTGAAATACAAAGAGGGGCAATTACGCAAGTTGAGAAGCAACAACAATGATCCAAGTCATCAATCACTTTCTAGTTTGACTGCCGATGTCAACGAAATTGAGCAACAAGTCAATGTATTGCAACAGTATTTACAAGACAAGCAAAGAGAGTTGAGTGAATTGAGACAGCAAGTCCAGGCATAAATTAATGGCGGGTTTTTTTATTTGTTGATTTTTTTTTTCTTTTTCTTTGTTATCTTGTTTTAGTTTTGTTACTTCGATTTTTTTTTTTTTTTTTTTTTTTTTTTTTCCATCTCTTTTATATCTACATATGTGGTTGGTTTGTTTTATTAATATTATTTTGTTCCTTTGAGAGAGACTAAAAATTTGTTCAATTTTTTTTTTTGTTTTCTTATTGCTGTGAATAGAATTTACAATCGAAGTATTTTTCTCGAAGTGCAAAAGGTCAAACTCCCTAATATTTTCTTTTCCCTTTTGTTGTAAAACAGAAAATAGAAACCCCGTTTTTTTTTTTTTTTGATCGTTTATTGTAGTACAGAGCATAATGAGCATTTCAAATATAGTTGACAAAAATAGAGATTTTGAGGAAGATAAAATGATTGTAATTAGGAATGAGGAACAAATTTCCGCAATTGTTGTGGTTGTTTGACCAAGTACATAGAAATAAAGGAGTAACCCATGGACAGAAGAAGGGCTATAGGATATTGCTTGGATGCCAATTGTTATTATTAATATTATTGGTAAGAATTGTCTTTTTGTATTTTTTGTGATGATTGAAACATTAATAATAATAATAATAATAATAATAATAATGATAACACTGCACGATTGTTGAATATTTCATTAGTGGGGGAATGATGATGATAATAATAATAATGATAATGATGATGATGCTGATGCTCCATGAGTAAAATGTGGAAAGAGCATTTTTCAAATTTTTTTTTTTCAGTTGATTAGATGAATATCTTCATCTCCTTAATCTAAGTTATTTCTTCTCCTTACCTTCTTCTTGTTCTGGTTCTGGTTGAGGAGTTGGCAATTTGAAAGATTCTGGGGTAGAGTCCTTACCTGGCCCCACTTGTTCCCAAACACTTGACCCAACGTTGAATTGTCTGAAAGCCTGGGTCAATTCCAATGGTTCATAAACCACTCTCTTCTTTTCTTCGTCATATCTTACTTCGGTGTACCCGGTGGTTGGGAAATCTTTTCTTAATGGATGACCTTCAAACCCGTAATCTGTCATAATTCTTCTCAAATCAGGATGGCCTTCAAAGAAAATCCCAAACATATCGTAAGCTTCTCTTTCAAACCAGTTAGCCCCGTGGAAAATTGGTTCGATCGATGGGACTGGGCTAACTTCTGACGCGTAAGTCTTGACCCTGATTCTTGATCCGTACTTGGTCGACAAAAAGTTGTAGACAACTTCAAATCTATTGGTTCTTGATGGGTAGTCGGCGGCAGTGACGTCGACAGGGTTCTTGAATTGCGCAGTGGTATGGTCTTTAAGGAAAGTACACACTGGGATAACCGCATTAGGACCAATGTAAAGACACAATTCGTCCTTCCACACAGAAAACTTTTGGATGAATTTTGGCATCGCGGTGATCAAATATTTCCCAAACTTGTGCAATTCCTCGCTCTGGACGGCATAGTCATCAGCAGGATTGTGAGGTTCGTAATGTATTTCTTTTGGAACTTCTCTTGGTAATGAACTTAGGTTGACCAAGTCTTCGTAAGTTGGGGTACTGTCTTTTCTGACAACGCAACCGGCAGCAAACCCACGACGGTTGCCCATCAAGGCACGTCTACCGTTTCTCAAGGACTGTCTGGCAGCAGTTCTCAAACCAAACATGATGATGAATATAATATAATGTGATTGAAAAAGAAGACTCTCAAGCTTTGGTCAGAACCTGCTGGTAGAAAATATGATAGCGCCTATTTTTTTTTTTTTTTTTCTTCTTCTTCTTCCTGGTGTTAAAAAAAAAAAAAAAATAATACTAATCGGCTTGCTCACTATTGGCCAATTATGGTTATGAGGCGATGGGGGGCGTCACCAACATTGCAGGTGGTCACAATACTTATCTCACAACTAATAGATATGAGGTGGTCCCCATAGTGAGTGGCGCCAAATAGATTGATTGGATTTTAATGGGGGAATTATTTTAGAAGACTCAGATGACATTATATTATATTGTAGACAATGCAATCATTGGAGTTGGCAACATGGCTATATTCTTGATATGACGTGAATGAATTTGTTCATACGAATAAAAACTCCTTATTGAAATTTACTAAGTTTGATGCTGTTCAATATGATGAAATAAAAGCCAACTTCCTCTCCCCCCCTTTTTTTTTCTTTTTTCTACAGTCAAACAATTTATAATAGTGTATGGCTTAATTTTCCTAATAATGAAAAATTACCATAAGCAATTCAACGGCCTTATATAAAAGGGAGTTTTTTGCATCTCTATAGACGCCAAAAAAACAAAAACATTTAATATAAAATTCTAAATGATGATCAATATTATATAGTACATCGAGAAGGACCAATTTTTAAATTCATGTCTGTTGTCTACTTCAATATTCCTAAACATTTACTTCTTGACATGAGGGGGATGCTTCACTACTTCTCAGGATTACCAATATATATCTGATAGATAAATTATTTAAAACACACTATACATCTACCATCAATTAATATTCGAAAGTTTCCAATCGTGTAATATCAAATACCAAATATAACTCTAATCGGCACAATTTAAAAAAAAATAAAAAAAAAATAAAGCAGCTGTAAATTTCTTCCTACAGGAATATATAATTTAAAAAAGAACAACTCCCTTGATATCTTTCTCTAATTCGACCTATAAATCGTTTCCACATCCACCTTCAATATCAAAATATTACGTAGCAACACAATCATCGTGAGAAAACTCGCCACACCAATTGGCATCACTGCATAAATGACAATGTTATAATAGTTGAAGTACCTAGAAGATCCCGCTACACGGATATTACCATTAAGAATATTGGCAAGAATGTTTTTTTTGGTGCCCCGTAAGATCTTTCTTTCAACAGCAGCGTCTGCATCCAATTCATCATCACTATCATAATCATCATCATCATCATCATCATAATTATCATTATTATCGTCATCAACTTCTTCATTATCTGGATAGCTCACATTCGGTATGTGATGATGAGACCCTCGGCGCTTTTTCGAATCATTAACAATCTTCTCGTTGAGATCGTGCACAAAGAAATTCTGAATAATGTACGTCAATGTCAAGATACAACTGATGAAAATCCAAGTGTGTAAAAGATACGCATCACTAGGGCAGCAAATCACCAATGTCACACGGATAATGGTGATCAACAACACCGACATCGATAATACTCGAACAATCGCCGCCGGCACCGAATACACCACGATCCATCGAACAATGAGCCCATCGAGAACACAGTACACCATGAACGACGACACAAAGCACCACATCCCTGTGATGAGGTACTCTGAAGACCGGGTGCTTAACATATTGGCCAACACAATGGCGTTCCGAGCCATGATCTCATGGTCCATTGATAACCCTCCTTGTTTGACTAACATGCTCACCAGTTCCTCGTAGTTGACGGTACCCCCGGTACCCCATTGAATATCATAAGATTCGTAAAAATATTGCGCCATATAATATAGGCAGAGCCAAAGCGGCAAGTCTCGACAAAACGCTAGTGCCAAGTGTTGCTTTGGGTTCAAAAAGGAAAATACCATGGCTTTCAACGCCTTCATTGAATCATTTGGGGTTTCGTCGGGTCCCTTACCGTTTGTCCCTTCATCATTATCGGGGTCAATTATCGAGCCGGACGAACTTCGACGACGATGGTGATTATGATGATGTGATGAGCTTCGACGGGCCAGCCGTTGTGATAAATTGATGGTGGTGGTTGGGGAAGAGGTGGATGAAGAAGAGGACGAGGAAGTTCGTCTATCGAAATGACCAGCATTATCAAAAGTTAAATTCGACCCGTTTCTTCTGATCGTTGGATAATTCGCCGATAAATGATCTGTCAGAGTGTCTAGTGCCATATTATCATTATTATTATTATTATCCAATGTTTGCCCGAAATTCGATGGTCGTCGCAAAATGTCTTCAATTTCCATCCCAGAGTATTCAACATCCAACAATGGCGCCGCCTCAACCGCCTGAAGGTAATGGCTATATGACGGCGAGCTGGGAAGTGGGATCGGTGGAGGATGGTTGGCGTAATCATCGCCAATATCATTACGTTCTGGAGTGCTTGGTCTAACAATTTCTCCGCCTATTTGTTGCAAAGGTATTTCTTGCCTTGCTGTACCTGAATTCCCGGTGGTTGCATAAAAAGTTGGTATCGTAGAGTATTCTGAGGTAGAACTACTATCTCCAATTCTTTGGGAACTGATGATAGTTTCTTCGGATGATCCACTAGACCTCAATTGGTGATCCATATCGTGAGGATCAGGGTTATTTGATCCCATTGTGAAGAATAGAACTGTCTGTGTCCTTTTCTTTTCTTTTCTTTTCTTTTTGTTTTTCTGTTATATCAAACAATTATAATTATTCTAGAGAGAGGGGGGGAAAAAAAGTGTATGAAATAAACACCACGAACCTTCCCTAATATTTTATGAATAATAAATTGTTATCTGATGCGTGAAAAAAAAAAATGCAATGATTAGTCAATGATTTAAGAGACAATCCATGGGAAGGGCACAGATATATATATATATATGTTAACAAAGAAGAGCACAAACAGGAAAATCAAATTGAGATGATATAATATTTAGCGTGTGACTTATTTCCTTAGAGACTTCTCAATCAAATTAGCAAAGATGAGGTATTCCCAAAGAAGTGAGACCGTTGCTGTGCCCTTTTTTTTTTTTTTTTCTTTTTTCACCTCTAAACTGAAATTAGTTTGATCTCTCGTCGCCTCAAAAAAGCCCCCCCGTCGCGGCACATCCGTACAGGCGCATCCGGTGTCATTCCCCCCCCTCAACATGAACCAGAAATATTGTAATAATTAATTATCCTTGCGAAGCCTACGTAGTGATATTCATAAATATCTATAAATATCTATAACATCTATATTGCATGCTTAAAGCTTTGAGTGTCTCTTCTTTTTCAAAAGATAGCAATAAAAATAATAACAAAAATAATAATAATAATAATAATAATAATAATAATAATAATAATAATAATAATAATAATAATAATAATAATAATAATAATAATAATAATAATAATAATAGATATAATCAACATCCACTATTAAACACCAAGCTAATATCAATCATATCAAGTATTTTCAACATGACTAGTGGAAATATACATATCCAAGTATCGGTAAATTTGTTCCTTTTTTTTTTTTTTTTTTTTGGTGGGGTTTTTCGTTTAGTGAAAAAAGCAAAACTATTTGAATACCCTGATGAATAAAATAAACAAAACCAAGGGGATTATTTTGATATTTTTAAGTCGATTGAAAGTATTCTGATCATTGAAAAATTATGGAAATAATAAGATTATAATCGTAGTTCTTCATATGTCAATTTTTTGTCACCATAATCACTTCGGTATTCAATTTTAATATTTCAATGGATTTTCTGAATCAGTGCGTGGTCCAAGGATATTATGGGTTTTCTCCTACAAATCATCAAAATATAAGTATTTCCAAAAGAAAAGAAAAAGGAGATCCTATAAATTATGATTGAACAATTTATATTGAATTAATTAAATCACTTCATCATCATCTTTTAAGGGGCGTATCCAAAATAGTGTGTTGATATCTTTTCAGTTTGGTTAAACACAAGGGAGGAGGAGAATATTGCTGATAAACACTATTTACGCGTAAAACTTTCACTTTACTGTAAAAAACTGAAAAAATATATATTATGCTTGAAGAAACAAAGACTTTATTTCCCAGAATATCGTTTTATTTTGTATGTGAATTGTACTCATGTCTAGATTACTGCTCATTTTATGTGGATAATACTAGTTAGAGTGTCTAGAACACTGCTTATTGTAAGTGAATTACCCTTCATGTCTTGGTGAAATGAAATATAGTTTATTAGCCATGCATTATATCGATACATTGAACAGACAACAACAAAAATAACAGTTAAATGTTGAGTTTTCATTCATCAGAGGAACCCGACTGAGAAAAAAAAAAAAGAGAGAATCTTTAGTGATGATTGATTGGTGTTAACTGTAAAGAAGAGAAATTAATGGAAGTTTTTACATCTCTTATTTGATGCGCATTAATAATAAATTGAGATATGAATATGGTTGAAGTGTTTCTAAACTGATCAGATCGATAGATTAGATCCCTATATTTCTGTTCTTTTTTTTTTTTTTTCAAAACGATCCAATTTATAACTTATAATGAAGTCATTCATTGAAGGGGCTACTAAAAAAAAAAAAAACTAAGGTGATGTTAATGATCTTGATTAATTGCTGACTTTTAATTCATCAAATGATATATTGTAGAAAGCGTTATTATAAATATCCTTGATTCTTTTCATATTGATATGACGACTTCTCATTGCTTATTGATAGGAGTAAAAGTGGTGATTTCAAATTAGCAGATAGTTGATCGTCAATCAATTTAGTCCTCAAATTAGTAAATGATCGATGGTGATTTGTGCTCCCCAAATTAACAAGAAGATGATCCAAAACAACTGGTGCTCCAACTATATTTCATACATGATCAATAGTTATGCTGGTGGGTTAAAATTAATAGATAATCGATAATCAGCCATGAATGAATTTAAATTAATAGAAGATAAATGATACATCTTGAGGTACCACATGTGCTCACAAATTGAAATATGATTACAATATCATAAGATATCTTTCCACTCAAACCACAAAGTCGAAAACCTCATTTGACATTCACACCAAAAATCAAAATGGGCACTTCGATAAGCTGGAAGTATGACCTGGTGAGATATTAATATCCATCCATTAGTTATGGTTTCCAATTAGTAATGAAAAATCATAATAAAACCCAAAGAAAAAAAAAAAAAAAAAAAATTCAAATAAATAATGAACATTACCATATGGGATAGACCCAATCAATAAAAAATTTTGGTAACTAGCCACCATAGAGTTTTTTTTTATAAGAAAACCCACCGGTAATCACAAAGGATGAAGGAATATTATATTGAAATTGCCAATGATGGTGCAATATGATATTGAAATTGCCAATGATGGTGCAATATTATATTGATATCGAGCTATCTTTATTTCCATTTCCCATTCCCACTATTTCATGCAGATAAATAAATCATTAATCCATACTTAAGAAAAATCTCTTATTATAATATAATCTTTTTTTTTGGTTTATTAAAAAAAAAAAATATATATATATATATATAACAGAAATAGATAGATAGATTAAGAAATAAAAAGAGAAAAACTAGTAATGATGCAAGAATAAAGAAATCAAATCAACAAATTAACAGGCGAGAAAAAATAACAACGAAAATAAAAGAAAGTGAAAAACCAACCACTAGGAAGCCAAGCCAAAAAGTAAAGCAAAAGGATCTTGATTTATGTTTTAATATGACGATGAATGATAGAGAGAGAAGGAAAGAGAGGATTTATATTTGACAAGCGCCCACTTGAAAAGAATTATTTTTGTGCTGCTCTTTTCTTTTTCTTTTTCTTTTTCTTTTTCCCCATCCTCCCCCTCGTCATAATATATACTCATTAATATTGAAACAAAGATATTTGGATATTATACAAAATGTAGGGGTAAGCTAAGCACTACCACACACTTCTTTGTCGATTATTGTTCTTCACTTCTGGCAACTAATTGCTTTGCCCATTGTCTGGCAATGATTGAGACTTTCATGAATTTTCTAGAGGCGTATTTTTTAAAGAATTGCTCGTGAACGATTGGAGACACCAAATATCTAACCAACGATTCGGAAACCTCTGCCAAATCTTCTTGAGTGTAACCGCCAGAGTAATGGATAAGATTATTATTCCAAGGACCACGGCCCAAGATTTTTCTGGCAACGTACATTGCGGTGGCGGCGGCCATCGATGGTAACACTCCAATGAACTCGTTATCGACGGTGAAAATTTCCAACAAGTACTTCCCCATGGTTCTGGTTCTAACTTCGTAATCATCGGCTTTTGAGATTCTTCTGAGGAAATTCATAGGGTTTGGGTAAGATAAATCGAATTCCAATACTTCGACGACTGCTTTTTCAGCGTCCAAGATTTCTTGTTCTACGTATCCGTCATCAGTGACCACGGCGTAGTTTTTCACTGATGGCGAATAAACCTCTTCGTATTTAGCGGCGATGAATAAGCAACTGACGGCCAAGAGTTGGAATTTTTCGACTTCGACGGCTTCGACCGACAAGAAGCGGTCCATCAAGTTGATGGCCAAGAATAAAGTTTCTGGCAACAACTTGAATCTGAGGTGGATTTCCACAAGCCAGTCGACCAAGATTGTCCGCATTTTTGGTTGGATTCTTGGTTGCATGCTAAAATACCAGTGGTCCGGCACGGTTTTTTGTTCTAGTTTGTGTAAGTATTCAAAGATTTCGACAACGTACTCGCTGACCATTAATGGGTCGTCGATATCTTCTTCGTCAAGGTCATCCCAAGTGTAGTCGATCCTTGCACGTTTGTCGACCTGGTCACTGAAGGATTCTGGGGCCGATCTTTTATTGGAGGAGGTTGTGGTTAGCGTGGAGTTATTTATCTGTTTTTCTTGGGTGATATTTGGGTCTTGGGCTTTGACATTGTCACTGTCTTCTTGGTCATCTTGGTCTTGGTCGTCTTGGTCGTCTTGGTCGTCTTGGTGGTCTTGGTCGCGTTGTTGTTTGTCATCTTTGGGGATAATTTTAGATGGGGGTAATTTTTCTGAGGCGGGTTTTGGTTTAAGGCGATGTGATGAAGGGATATCCGATTTGATATGGACTTGACGGTCTTTTCTGGAAGGAGCAGACTTGCGGGAATCTCTGGAGAATGATTTTCTAGTGGTGGTTAATTTTGCTGTTGTTGATGATGCCTGGTTGGTGGATGTTGATGTATTGTTATTGAGGTTTGTTAAGGCACTTCTTCTGAGGAGGGTGGAAGCTAATGATGAAGATTTGATATTTTCTTGGATAGGGACATCTTTTTGTCTGTTGGAGGAGATTGGGTTGGGGTTGACCAAGTTTTCGTTTGTTCTCAGAACGACATTTTTATTCTAAAGAGGGTGTTAGTATGATAATGATGATGATGATGATGATGATGATGATGATGATGATGATGATGATAATAATAATAATATACATACCGTCATGATGATATATCCTGGAGATATTAACGGTGAGGTGGATGAGAAGACAAAAAGTGTACCGGTGTAAGAACAACAACAACAGTAAACAACAAGTAAAAAGTTGTTTTTTTTTGTTTTAAGAAATTTCTAAAAAAAAAAGAAGCGCGATCAGATAGAAAAATTAGAAAGAGAAAGAGAGAGAGAAAGAGAGAGAGAGAGAGAAAAAAGAGACACTTAAAATACAACAACAACAAAAGTGTGATTATAATAATAAAGATGGTAGCAGGTGTAGAGTTGGGGTGTGGAAGAAGGAATGTTTGTTTTTTTTAATTTGGATGATGGGGGAGGGAGTATTGTTGATATGATGATAGTGATAGTACTGGGATAGTATTATTATTGTGATTGTGATTGTGATTGTTGTGTATAGATAAAATGTGTGTTGTTGTTATTATGTAGCACAATTGCCCAAAGCAGAAAATAATTTTCTCACAACAATTTTCTTCCGTCTGTCACTCACTCACTCACCGCACCGCACCGCACGCCGCTGGAAAAAACAACAACGAAAAACAACCCCACGCGTATCGTTACCCGGTGCTTTCGCTGTCTAATTGTGATTTTTTTTTTTTTTCTCACAAAATGAAAATGAAAAATGAAAGATGAAAATGAAAAAAAAAAAGAGTGCACCATCGGCACGGAACACTACACTGCACTACACTGCACTATACTGCACCACCATCCTTATTTCTTCTTTGTTCTTATCCTCTTTTTTTCTCTCTTTCTCTCTCTCTAATCTCTGTCCTTGGCGCTTAACAATAACAAGATAAATATATATATATTATATATATATATATAATAGTAATAGTAATAGTAATAGTAATAGTAATAGTAATAGTAATAATATATATATATATATATATATCATATCATTTTATATTATTTCATATTACAACATACCATATACAATGTACAATATACAATGCAACCCATCCCATCCATCCCATCCCCCCCTTCCAATCAATCGCCCAGCACCGCTAATTTTTTCCTCCTCCCTCCCTCTGCGTGCCTGCAGGAGCACCATATATAATATAATATAATGTAATATAATATAATATAATATGGTTAAATTGTCAGTGCTTAATTTTAAACCTATTCTGTCACCTACCCACCCACCCATATATATATATATATAATAATATTTCTTCCTTGCTCTTGACATCTCTCTCTCTCTATCTCTCTCTATCTCTTCCTATTGTTATCTTTACATGTCCCATCACTTACCATCCCCATGATCATCCCTCTTTATATCCTCCTCCTATTCCTCCCTCTAACATCGTCGTCCCAATTGTCTGTTGCATGGCCCTTCAACAGCCAACTCCCCTTTGTCGCTAGATGTGACTCCCAATACTCATTCTCCTTGGCCTCCTCAACTTTCAACAACTCTTCCTCCTCCCCTGTAGAATACTCCCTCAAAGATAACCCCCAATGGCTCTCCATCTCCTCCTCCGAAGGTATTCTCTCCGGTACCCCCGACTCGTCCTCGTCCCAAATCATCCAATTCGACATCCTCGCCAACAACTCACAGTCAGAACATGCCTCTCTACAACTATCCATCAACCCCCCTCCTCAATTAGTCTCCTCAGACTCCATCATCTCCCAACTATCCCACTTCGGCTACACAAACGGCAATAACGCCATCATCATCGCCCCAGGCTCCCAATTCTCATTCTCGTTCGCTAAACTGCAAACTTTCCAGAAAAACCCTTCCAACGGTAATGACATCGTCGCCTACTACGGTCTCTCCGCTAACCGTACCTCATTACCCCCATGGATCGAATTCTCCACCTCCGACAATAATTTGACATTCTCCGGTACCGCCCCTACCATCAACTCAAATATCGCCCCGTCGATCGAATATTCGTTTGACTTGATCGCCTCAGACTACCCTGGGTATTCCGGGGTCATTGCCAATTTCGCAATCTTGGTCGGCGCTCACCAATTGTCAACCACCTCCATCTCCCCAGTCCAGCTTGAAATTTCCCCAGATCATAGCGATTTCAACATTTCTTTGCCTCTAGATTCAATCCTCCTCGACAACCAACCCATTTTCCGCGAAAACATATCCCAAATTCTTCTCGGTGATACCGCCCCATCTTGGGTTCAAGTCAACCCCTCAAATGCCGCACTTTATGGCGATATCCCTTCAAACACCGTCGTGGAAACCCCTTCAAACTTTACCGTGACCGTTTATGATACCTACCAGGACTCTGTGTCTCTTACGGTGCAAATCGTTTCTAACCTGTCCACCACAAATACCACAAACACCACTACAACCAGCAATAATAATAATAATAATAATAATAATACCACCACCACCAACACCACCTCATCTACTTCAATTTCAACTACATCTCTGTCCAGTACAAACATTTTCCAATCATCGAATGTCCCCTCCGTAGTCGATGCCACAAGGGGAAAATGGTTTCAATATGCTTTGCCATCGTCAATGTTTGTCGACCCAACCTCAACCAACATCACCGCCATCTTCACCAGTGATTGGTTAATATACCACAGCTCCAACTGGTCGTTCACCGGCCAAGCGCCAACTGGAAAGAATTTCCTGGATATCAATATCACTTTGAATGGCTACCACTCCACAGTGTCTCGTAGCGTCATTATCAAGCGTGACCTCGACCAGGTATCATTTACAATCCACGGAATCTCTCATTCTGCAATGTCCAATCACACAAAGTTGGCAATTATTTTAGCCACGGTCATTCCTAGCTGCTTGCTTCTTATTGTTCTTCTCATCGTCTTCCTCACTCGTCGCAACAGAAATGACAACTCTCAAAATGATATTGAAACACAATCCGTCAACTCAACTTCATCAGTCACTAAAGAAAAGCACTTTGATCAAAGCTTCACCACCGATGACCAAGATCTAACTGTCGCCAAAACTATAAGTAACCATTCTCTTAATGATGGCCTGGAATGCAACGAGACTTCGAAAATCGAACAATTCAATAACAGTCTACTCTTAGGATACTCACAACAAATGGAAGATCTGTCGTCCCACGCTGATGCCGGTAATTGGCAAATAGTCCGTGACTCTTCTTCTCTCACAAACAACTCATCAGCCAACAACAACAACAACAACAACAACAACAACAATCATTCCCCAATAACTCAAAAATCGAGAATAGACCATCTTTCTAAAGTGGCTAGCAATATCATCAACAGCGCCGAGAGAAATGCCAACCATAGCGACGCCGGTTCTGTTGCATCTTCTACTACTGCTACAGATATTGCCACTGCGCACGAATTCACCGAGAAATTCGATGATGATTACTACTCTGAAAAGGGACAAAATATTCCTGACTCTCGCGATACTACGGGAACTGCCGGGGCCGACTCAATATCTCACGGTGCCAGTAGCATGGAATCTCAAGGTGATCGATTTGTGGATACTGTCGAGTACCAACAACCAGAAATGCTTTCTACTGACAATTTGCTTGATTTCCCTAGTGAGTTGTCGTCCAATGATTTGGGTGCTGATAATAATGGCAGCCGAGTACCAAAATCCAATGGGTTTAATGCGGTTAATGGTCGAGTGAAAAGTTTCTTTACTGACTCCCAAAAATCCACTGAGAATGCCGGTAGTGGTAATTCCAAGCCTCATGATACCGCAGGGATCCCCCGTAAATCCTGGAGACACGTCGTTGACTCCACCAGACTGAGATTTACTGGGTCTCGACGTCAAGAAAGTATCAATTCTTTAGCCACCGTTGCTACTGATGAATTGTTCTCAGTTCGTCTTGTTGATGACACCCGCCAATCATTGGCTATGAATGACGCCGCCATAGGGGGATTGAACCGTCGGGATAGTGGCAACATTAAAAAGTTGGATTCTGAAGGGAACATTGTCAATAATGCTGCTTCAGTCTTCAACTGCCGTGATTCTTATTCATCAGACACCAGTTCAAATTATCAGGAAAGTAGTATCAGCAGCCCGGACCAACAAGCTAGAATGTCTAATCTTGATGTACTTGCCGAAGAAGAAACTCATAGCGATGCGTTGAATCTAAGTGCGGAAGTGGGCCGAAACGCTAATGACTCTGGACTTAGTGGGGTTTCTGGGTATTCAACCGCTGGTAATAACGTTGCAAAGACCATGCTACTGTACTACTCAGAAGCCGCCAGAGCCCAAAAAGCCAGTCATTCTAGAAAACGTAATCTTAGTCAAACGTATTCATCTTCGCTGAACCTGCATTCGAAAGGTGGACTGAAATCGTATAGTTCTGGTTCCAGCAAACACAACCCTGAAGACTCGTTCACATTTGATGCTGGGAACCCATTGCCAGTTATTTATTCACCAGATCTTGCTAATCATGATGACTCTAATTTTGGAATTCCAAAAAGAAACCCAAGTCGTACCATGAACTCTTCCACTGCTGCCGCCGCTAGAAAGCGTCATTTAAGCGAGGTTTCCAGTAGTACCGGGACCTCAAATTCTGAGTTCAATTCATCATCTTATTCCTCTTCCGATGATCCTGGAGCCCTGATTTCTGCCACTTCCCCACCATTATATCCAACTAACCAAATGAATCCTCAAAACAACACAATCCGCCATCCGAATTTGAGTATTAACTCAGAAGACCTTAATCTTTCTATTCCTGCGTTATCTCCTGGTCTGGAAAATACTGAAGACGAAGTGATGGTTTTTGGATTGAGGAATCTTCGTAATAACCCGGGGTCACCCGAACCAATGCTCGTGGAATTTTGTGGTGAGCAACAGGTATCACATCATAAGAGGTCCAGAAGCAGTATGAATGGGAAGAGAGATAAAAGTGGAAGTGTGGAGTATGGTAATACTGAAGATTATTGATTGAATTTTTTTTTTTTTTTTTTTTTTAAATAAAAGAAAAAAGTCTTTCTATGTCTCCTCTTATTATTGTTAAGATCTTGTCAAATTCATTATAATTATTAACTCCTCATCAACCACCATTATTTATATTTCAGATTTTCTTATTTCAATTTTTTAGCATGAACAGGAATTTGTGCGTTTGTTTTTATTTTGTACAATAATTGGGTGTTTTTTTTTTTTTTATGTCTTTTCTTTTCTTTTCTTTTGTTTATTTGTTCGTTTACTTCTAGATATTGAATGTTTATTTAATGTATTAATAATTATTATATCAAGTTGATTGTATGATGGAAAAGTTTATATCCATTTGTAGTTTTTTCTTTTTCTTTTCTTCTTGTGGTTGATGTATGTTGGACGTTTTGAATTGCTTGAGTCGTGGATTCCTTATTACTATAGTAAACAAGAACGACATTTGTTGTAGTTTTCTAAATACATTAATATTGAATCTATTGCAAAACATATCAGATAAATAAGAAATTCTTTTTATAACCCCCCCAGCTCTCTGATAATCCAATGATATTATTGACGTCCAGTCTACTACAAGTGAGATCCAATTGTGTCAAACAACACTTCATATCATCCAATCCTTCTAATTTCTGTGATGCGACTATGCAACAACAACACTTTTTCCCAACGCTTGGCAACCTTGTAAGTTTTCCAATACATACCGAGATTTTATTTCCCAGAAAGTTCAAATGTTTGGGCCGGCAAAGATTATCTAGACCGGTGATTTGATCAATGGAGTTATCCAGTAAACCAAGCCAAGACATTGCCGGTAGGCCATCGAGCCCCTGGGTCCGCTTCGATAATCTATCATGATGTGGTCGCAATTCCACAAGTTTTGTCAATAATCAAATAGGCCAAGGGCGATGATTTTTCAGGTTATCATGTTTGATGGATAAATCCGAGAAACTCCAAGTTATCGAGCCCTTGGAAACCCAAGATTTTCTTGAGATCGCGTTAGTGGAAAGAAAGAAAGAAAGAAAGATCAAAAAAGGGGGTTCAAGCTTTGCAAGTGGGTGTGATTTGGGAAATATGTTATCGACGATGGAGCACCGGGCCAATTACGAAGTTTGTAACTTTGCGGGGTGTTTGGACCGACGGGAATGGCAATCAATGGCACTAGAAATCCCCTACCCCACAAATAATTTCTTAAGCCCCGGAGAAATTAATTCAAAGGCGGTTTCCAAGGTTCTGGGCCCATTCTCGGTGATTTCTAACGTCTCCCAGAAATCACACCCTGGGAAACATTGGAGGTGTTTGGGTTCGATATTGTTACTGATCAAGTACATTTTGTGCCAATGTGACTAGTGAGATTCGGTAGATTTGGCATCGTTGGTAATCGACAACCAATAAATTCGATAATTTCGAGATCAACACAGTTATGTAATTGGAAATGACCTTTGATTTGCCCCCATCAAGCAAAGTCGCTGCAGATTGCGGAGATTAATTCCTGAGACGAGTTTCATGGTACCGGAGAAATTCTCTATTTGGAGGAATTGTAGTTTGGGAAGGTCCCGATGCTCGATGTGTGATGATTCGAATTGTCGCTTAGGTAAAATTTTCAATTCGATTAGGGATGAGAAAGCATTTCTGGGTAGAGAGTCGCGAGAGATTGAGTGAAGCATGGAGGGGTCAAAGAAGATTGATGGTTTTGATAATCGTGGGAATTCCTTCTCCAGAGGTCGGTGGATTGCAGATTGCATGATGATGATGTGACGACGCCAACGTTTGTAAATTGGTGTGGTTGAAACCGAATTGGTGGTGATCATTATAATTTGTTGGATGATAGTACAAGTTATCAATAGTAGTGTTAAGGCAGAAGTTGAAATTGGTATTGAGGGTTTTTCAAATTGGGGAGACCATCCAATTGATAAAATCAACCACCGCCGCGGTGATTTTTTCTGACGATAAGTTCGGAGATGTTGGTGATGATAACAACAACAACAACAACAACAACAACCTGGTGATAGATGATCGGCCATGATTCAATCGAAACATGATGGTTTTAATGTAATGCTTGACATCACAGAGTTTGTGAAGATCGCCAGACTAGAATTCCAACTGTTGTAAAAACGAGGATACTTGGATATCGATGGTAGTCTGTTGGGGGATCCCGACCACCGGGAGGTATGAGGGTTGTCAGGACAGTGGCAGTTCATTATTGGAAGGAGGGTCGAGCGATGCCACAATCGCAAGCTTCTCAAAGAGAAAATAATCTACTCAGTCTATAAGAGATAGCGGAAGGCGATTATGAAGTATGATGGTATTATGGACAATGACCAACTGAGTCTTATCGACCAGTCCAAGAATCTTGCAGATGACTTCATTGGGAGGAGATCGACGATGGAGAAGACCATAAGAGGAGGAAAGGGGGGTAGAGCCTTTTGAGTAAAAAGGGTGGACGAAGAGGGAGGGAGGAGATGATAGAGTTCAGTATAGCATGCTTTAACAAAAAAAACAACAACAACCCAAGCAGTGATTATTATTGTCTAGTGCAACTGTTGTTGACAATTCTTAACCCAAATAAGGATAACAAAATAAGGTGAAAGTAGGGTGACTATAATCGTGCTATGTACGATAGTACAAGATAGCACATGCAGGGTCCAAAAAAGTGGGCGAATCCTTAATTTTCATCACAGAAATTTAATCATCCTTTGTCATCTCTCTTCCCACTCTCTCTTCCCACTTCACTATATTTTGTTATCAATCGCACAATATATCAAAAACATTAGAAAACAACTAAAACGCAATATCTGAAAATCTTGATATATATGTATATATAACTATGTGAATCAAAGAAATCTCTTCTGAGATTGAGAAAAAAAGTATTTGATCAATTGATCCTGAAATTGGAAAGAACAAGGCCTCCAATGAGCAGTCCTAGTCAACATCCAAGAAAAAAAGCTAGAAAAGGGAAAGAGAAGATTACTCCAGGTATGGAAGAAGCTCCTTCCTCAGACCAAGGAGATGAATCTGAAAAATCTGAAAAATCTTTAAAATCTGCATTTGATGAATTCAAAAATGAATGGGACAAAGGCTCGCTTCCTGAAACCAGTTTTGATTTTTCAACTCTAGGTGCTACTGGGGATCTTCGTAAACAAGCTGCCGAAGATTTCTATGATAGTTTAAGCTACTCTGTGAGACCAATTTTCGGAATCTTTGCCACCTTGAGCTTTGTCTTCAAGAGTAGCTTGTTTTCAAAAAGGGCGGGGAAGGGAAGAAACGAAGAACAACCAAAAAACATAACATCAGGCTCCAATCAAAATGCGAGAACAAGAAGTGGTAAAAGATCCGAAATCAGCTTGAAATCAGTTAAAAATTACAGTGAGGAAAGAACCGCTGACTCAAAACTTCCTATGTTCTATTTTGCACCTTCTGCTGCCAGAAAGTGGTTGCGCCAAGTTGGAGTAATTGAAGTCCCAAAAAATTTCAACTTTAATGGGAATCTTCAATTCTATATGACCATTCGCCGAATTCACTCAGAGAATAATTTTGAAACTTTTTTGTTTTTAGTTTTCTACAACATAAGTGCATTTTTCCGACTGATGATTCTGAAAGATTTTGAATTGACGCCGGTACAACAATGCTCATTCTCAATTGAAGGGAATATTGTTTCAACACCTGATATTATGATTGAGTATGGAGAAATAGGCAAGCAGAATAATGAATATATAACATGTGTCGAGCTTAAATATAAACCGCAATACTCGCTTTCAGAAAGCTTTAACAAGTTCAGAGCAGAGTATAGCATATACGGACGACAGTTGCCACGGTATTTTGGTTTCAGTACGGAAGCGCTCTTCTTCTTGAGAGGTATCAATCAATTAATAATCCAAATTTTGGCCTCAAGGGCTCTCACTGGAATATTGGCTGATGAATCGACCCTTTTTTTAGTGAAATTTGATTGGGAAAAACTTGGAGAGAAAATGGATGAAGTGAAAAAACTAGAAGAGAGCAAGGGAAAAGAAGGAGTGGGTAATGAGCAAATGGATAGAGATAAGAAGAATGCGAGGAAACATTTTGAAATTCTCTTTGATGATTGTGCGCGTATGTATTTTCAATTCCAAAATGACGGGCTAATCACTTACCAAATCATCGACACTTCTGAGACGCCCCTTGGTTGCGCAATTCTACGGTTCATGAAAACAACATTGGAATTGAAGAAGTCGCAGCCAGGATTTGCCAAGAGAGATGAGATTGCGACCTGGTTTATTGGAAAAATGCTTGGTCAATTTTCAGGAAAGCTAAAAGAACAAAGACTTGTTGGCAGGTCCATTAACAGATTGTTGATTTACGATTATTTGAATCTTGTATTTGATACTCCCAAAAAGAGAGTGATTGATTTTATCGGAGAATCATATTCTGAAGCTTTGAAAGAAAAAATTGCTGGAAATTGGAAAATGAAATCAAACGAATATGATAATGATTTGGAGAAACGGATAGGAATATTTCGTGGCAATGAAGAAGGTAGATTGGTGTTAAAAACCATGCCAGAAATGAAACCAGAGATTGTTTTTGGAGGTAAGCCTTACACTTCATGGTCTCTTGTCATAGGTTTTGGGGATGATCTCTATAAAATTTTTGACTATGCCAGATGTTCTCCTGAGGTTCTCTCAACCAAAAAGGGTAGCTTTAATACTCACAGGGATATATTCTATTATTACACTAGTCTCTTTATTAATGAGGTAACATCGTACTCAATTTTAACAAAGAAAGAAAGCACCAGAAATTTAATTCCTACCGTTCTTGAAAAAGGTTTCATTTACTCCAATAATGAAAATACTGATGAGCCGCAGGAAATAAAAAAAGGTAAAGAATTGGTATATACGGAGGGTCCGTATATCAAATTGAAAAACCTTAGTAAATCTGGTTATAATATCTTTGATGATTATTCAATTAGGAGTGAATTTGAGGGAAAGAGATTTTTGAGGTCTGCGTTGATTTGTATCAGCAAAATACACTGTGCGGGTGTGGGACACGGTGATATTCGGGGCGCCAATGTATTTGTCAAAGACCTGGTTGATATCAAACTTATCGATTTTGGATTTTCATCTTCAGCAGCGAATGGAAAAGGAACAGCGAAACATTTGAAAGAGAAAATGGAAAAGTATTCGGCTATGGCGGACAATTTGAAGCTGGTTTTTGAGCGTGATTACATGAAGCTTTTCAAAATGGTTGATAAAAAACTTGATAATTTTTGTGAACGCATAATGGGCGAATTTTGTGATAATACCGTGGAGTTAAATGAAGTTTGGAATATTGGTTCAGCATCCAAAGATTTGCTCACCATTTTCGGAGAAAGAGCGACAGAAATGGAACTTGCTTTTGTCGCTGCGGGCGGAGATGTACAAGATGAATTTTGGGAAATTTTGGAGAAAATTGGAGTCTGAAGAGGGAAGAAATATTTTGTTCTTGAAAGATAATTACCCATTAGTCGAGCCTTTGGGAGAAAAGGCATCATTTCCAGTACCTCAACTCTTGGAGTTCAAAACTGGCGCTGATAAGACAATTCATGAATGCTTAATCAAATGGAGTTTGTTGAACAAAGACCAATCGTATGACTTGCGATTTTTCCTAAACATTGTATTTCTAGGATTAATGGAGCCGAAAAATCACAGTGATAAAGTAATGGAATATGACGATTAGAAATATTCTGGGACCCCATGTTTTATGATCGATGTATCTGAGCTGACTACGAAATTCGCTCTTACATTTGTTGAGAAAAAGGGCGACGATTACAAATTAGACCTTTTCTAAGTGTTTCAAAAAACACGCTAACAATTAATTCATATCCGAAATATTTTTTCTGCTTCCTTTCTTTTTTTTTTGCTTATTCATTTGTTCTCGCGTCGTTTCATTATTTATTATGCTTTTTTTGCTGGTTCTCCTTAAACTGGCTAGGCATATACATATATATTTATTCGTTGTTGTGATGTAGGTAGCATAGGTCAAGCTCAAGGTATCATAAATACTGTTCCATTATAACAGAGATCACTCCAATGATTGCCAATGTCGCTAGAATCAGTGATCATAGTACTATTGTTAATGACCTTTTAGGATGCAATCGGTCATCAATAAACTTTCGTAGCACTTTCTAGCATTTCGAAGAATTCTCTAAGATTTCCAGAACATGCTATGATATTCTATTACTTTCTAGAATTATTTGATATTTCTAAGAGAAGATGGAACTACTGAAATAGAGCGACCTTTTTCGTTTTCTCATTTTCTCATTCTTATTTTATTATTCTTATTTTAGAGACACGCTTAAGCCTTCACACAACATTTATACTTACTTTAATAATTTACTTCATTTCATTCGATGCAACCATTAGTAGATCGAATTGTAATATAAGACTTTCAATCCGTCGATTAATATGAGACCAAGCTTATATTACAGCTCTAGTCTTCACTCGATAAAGTGGCATAGAAGTACGTAAATTAAGGGATATTTTGCAAATCAATAGATTTTTTTGACCATTAAACCACTATTAAAAGATAAATATACCTGATTTAGTCATTTAGCCTCCAGAAATCCTTATATTGGGACGATTAATGATATTGCAGCTGGTAAATTATAATTTGATGTACAGTTATTTCACTTTTTATTCGTACCAACCACCGGAAATATTCATACCGACCCCCGGTATTGTTCGTTCCACCGCACCGGGATTCATTCATACCAACAGGAAGAAAATTCATACTACACCTATAAATTATTTTACGCCTTCAGTATTCATAAAAGACGAACAAACCATGCAGCCCCCAATCTAACTTGTAACAACCCATTATTATTACCTCATAATAATGTCCCAAGATAACTCCAACTACAGCTTATCCGTCACTTACGGACGCTCATACTTCCGCTCCGGTGAACTGAGTTCACAGCAGGAATTTACAATCACAGACTACAATCCATTCAACAGAATTCCGCATACCTGACAAAAATAATATTTCCCGTAGTTTCTTTCGCTCTTGAAGCTAATTGCTCTTTCTTACTCAAGTTTGCTCTTTTGACTTTACTTTTACATACTGGCTCAGAATTCTTCTATGTAATTTAGCCCTGGAGAATAAGGAGGTAAAAATACAAGTTCTAACCCGCTCAGTGCAACCATTAATTGAAGATCACGACGTTTATGAATAGCAGAATTATCAAGAATAAAAGATTTCATATCTTTTAGCTCTTTATTGTTTTCTATTTGCTGAATGACTGACTTTACAAAGTCATAGAAGTGATTAGCTGTAGTACCTCTAACTTTACTTTCTTAGCATTTGTTTCTGAATCAAGTTTTCTCTTCCTATTGAATGGAGCCACTGGTGCTCCCTATTGAATGGAGCCACTGGTGCTCTGACATTTAATTCAATCACAGCCCTGGGCAGAAATTGCGCCAATGAATGAAACATCAAGTCCTCTGCTAACAGGAGCCGCGAGAAAAGCTTTTTCACCTACAGCAGACCATCCATACTCACGCCTCATACTGATGTTAAAACCGGCTTCATCGATAAAAATACAGTTTTTGTTAAAGTCAAGTCTATTCTTATAATCAAGTTTTTTTAAGACTTTCCAACATGAAATCAAGAGTCACAGTAGCATGTTCTTTTATCAATTTTTGAAGGAATTCCTTATGTTGATCAGTAAGAAGAGGCGTACCACCTCGTTTCTTTGGCTGGACAGAGATACTATTTAGTCCATCAACAAGTGCTTTGTTCCAAGGTCGGTCAGTCCATCAGATGACGAGAAGAACTCCTCAGCGGGTGCTGCTGCTGCTGCTGCCGCCTCTTTTTTGTCCTTGTTTGCAGCCCTGGCGGTTGGCGGGGACGCGCCCACCCGATGGTAAAACGCTTCTTCTTCTTCTTGTTCTTCTTCCTGTTCTTCTTCTTCTACACCCTTCTTCTTCTTCTTCTTCTTTTACTGCTGAGTATTCCACTTTTTGATCTCCTCAATCCACCCACCACCATGCTCAGGACTCTTGTCACAAGAACCACCCCTCGTGTGGGCTACCGCCACTTCTCCCGCTCCCTTATTGCTGCCCAAGGGAAACCCGAGGTCAGTGACTACCTTGATAAGGCATCGGAGGCCCCCGATGCTACAGCAACCATCCTCAACGATTTGATCCACGAAGCTAAAAGAATCCAACTGCAAAAAAGCGCCACCTGGTTCCAGGCCTTGACCGAACGTCAGAAACAATTGGCTCTGGGTAAAGTCCTTGACTCATACTCCTACACCACCGCCGGCACCGCAGACATCAAGGAAAAGAAAAGAGCCGACTCGTTCTCGTTCTTGTTGTTGCCATTCAAGGAAGATCAATGGTTGTTGGACTCTTATATCAACGCCTTTGGTAGACTCAAAGTTGGTCAATTGTTCCAGGACCTTGACGCGTTGGCTGGGACCATTGCTTACAAGCACACCTCCCCTGCAGAACCAATGATTGTCACCGCTAGTGTCGATCGTATTTGCATGTTGCAAAGAGTCGACGAGATCTCTAAGTACAACTTGATGGTTTCGGGTTCAGTGGTGTGGGTGGGCCGCTCGTCTATGGAAATTAGCATCAAGGCCAGTTTCACCGAAGACGCCTTCCCTCCAGAATCGGAAATCACCGAAGATTTTGTCAAAGATGAAAATGTCTTTTTGTCCGCCAATTTCACCTTTGTTGCCAGAAACCCAGAAACCCACCGTTCTACCCCAATCAACAGATTCTTGCCTCTCAATGAAAAAGAATGGGTCGATTACACCAGAGCGGAATCCCATAATGCCGCCAAGAAGTTGAGAGCTAAGGATAGGCAGTTGACCACCAACGTCCCAACCACCGAAGAAACCGAATTGATGCACAATCTTTGGAAAGCCTCGACTAAATTGAAGGAACAAATCGGCGATACCGGGATCAAACCAAAGAATTTGGCGTTCATGAATGATACTGTGTTGAAATCCGTGATGTTTATGCAGCCTCAGTACCGTAATCGTCACAGTTATATGATCTTTGGGGGTTACTTGATGAAACAAGCGTTTGAATTGGCGTACTGTAATTCTGCTGCCTTCTCCCACGCCCCACCAAGATTCATTTCCCTCGACGCTACCAGTTTCACCAACCCGGTTCCTGTGGGCAGTGTCTTGTACCTTAAATCTAAAGTGGTGTACACCGAGCATATTCCAGAAAGCGACCCTGAAGCTGAAGCCGCTAACCACAGCGACGCCATTGCTTCCGATCCTCATACCACCGATGCCCAACTCGATGAATACTTCAAACTTTACGGGTCTTCGCAATTCATCAATATGTCTAATGATCCAAAAGATTTCCTTAACAAAGCAGGTACTATTGTTCAAGTGAAGGTCGACACCAGTGTGAGATCATTGAACCACGATGCCCACCAAAAGACCGGGACTTTTATTTACTCATTCTTTGTGCCAAAATACTCTTATGAAAATGAGAATCTCGGGGTGGGTAATCAAACCGTCGCCAGTGGTAGAGAAGTTAAGAATGGTCATTACGCGGTGGTTCCAGAAAGTTACAGTGACATGATCAATTTCATTGAAGGGAAGAGAAGAGCCAAGGAAACTGCCGAAAGTTTTAAGCAATTGAGACAAAACATTTAAAAAAATGATAATAATAAGGATTCAATATTCGATATAATAATATAATAATATAATAATATAGTACATTAATAATATCAGTAATAGAAGATGAGATGTAGGATGTAGAAGAAGAAGAAGACGAGAAGAAAAAAACGGACCGGGTACCGGCAAAGCCCTCCCTCCACTGTCTCCTCCCTCCACTGTCTCCACCTTTTTTTTTTGCGTCTCCCCACTTTTCTGCTATTTCTGACAGAATTTTTGTTGTCACACTAATCATACGTGGTTTTCTTATTAATTATTATCTTATCTTGCAACTCCAGATATATAATTGCCAAAATAATATATATAAATATATTAGATAAAATCCACATACACATATATACACAACATGTCCGCTCACAAACACTGGGACTTCAGTAACGTCGACCTCATCCTCGCTGCTTTGAAATCAACCGTTGCCTCTAACCCCCAGCTCGCATTGATCGAGTCTGAAAAGGTGATTTTCGACAAAAATGCCATCTTGGACCCTCGTCGTAAAGTCGTGGTGATCTCCGGTGGTGGGGCTGGCCATGAACCATTACACGCTGGTTTTGTCGGTGATAATCTCTTGAGTGCCGCGGTGGCTGGGAACATGTTTGCCTCGCCTTCCACTAAACAAATCTTATCAGCAATCGTCACCATCGCCGACTTGACCAAATCCCACGGATTGCCTGCTAAACAATTCTTGATTGTCGTCAAAAATTATACCGGAGACGTGTTACATTTTGGGCTTGCCTTGGAAAGGGCCAAGAGTTTGGGGCATGTTGCTGAAATGGTGATTGTTGAAGATGATGTTTCTGTCGGCAAAGCCAATGGTGGATTGGTTGGTAGAAGAGCCCTTGCTGGGACTGCATTGGCTCATAAAGTGGCGGGAGGTCTTGCTGCTCAAGGTGAAGACCTCAAGACCGTGGTGGCGGCAGTGGAGAAATTCATTGGTAGTTTGGTTACCATTGGGGCATCGTTGGATCATTGTTCTCTTCCTGGTAGAAAACTCACCAAGGAAGAAGAAGAAGAAGAAGAAAAGACCAACAAATTACCATTGGACCAATGTGAAATTGGTATGGGTATTCATAATGAAACTGGGGTTAAAAGAATCAAAATTCCTCATATTTCTAAGTTGGTGGAGGAATTGTTACAATACCTTTTAAGTCAAGATGATGCCGACCGTAGTTACGTGAAATTCAACGATTCTGATAAATCAGTGCTTTTGATCAACAATTTAGGAGGTACTTCTAACGTGGAATTGTTTGCCATTGCCGAAATCGTGTTGGAACAATTATCTTCGATTTACAAAATCATTCCGGTTAGAACTTACATTGGGAATTTCGTCACCTCCATTAACGGTAATGGGTTCTCCATCACTTTAACTAACCTTGACGTGGCCGGGGACGAGGAAAATTTCATTCTTGATCAATTAGATAAACCTTCGAACTGTATTGGCTGGAATTCCGGCATTCAGTGGCCATCCAAAACCCAAGCGATCCCATCGACTCTCAAACATCCAACCACCGATGTCCTGAGCACCACCACCGCCGTGAAGTCTCACTTGAAAATATCCTCGTCCATCACCAGTAACATCCTCAAGTCGGCAATTACCAGGGTTCGTCAACTTGAACCAAAAGTTACTAATTATGATATCATTGCCGGCGATGGTGATTGCGGTGAAACCTTGCTTGCCGGGGCTAATGCCATTTCCAAAGCTTTGGATGACCCAACCTCCACTCTTGCCACCCATTTGGATGATCCTGTTGCCGTGATTTTCGAACTTGCTAATCTTTTGGAAGACTCCATGGGCGGGACTTCTGGAGGATTGTACTCGATCTTCATGTCATCATTGGCCAAATCTTTAAAACAGGAATCCCAATCCCAATCTTCCCTCACCATCGCCACGTTTGCCGCAGCATTATCTGGAGCGTTGGAATCGCTTTTCAAATACACCCGGGCTCGTGCGGGAGATAAGACCTTGATCGATACTTTACAACCATTTGTCGAGGCATTATCCAACACATCGGACCTCCAAGAGGCAAGAAACGTCGCAATCCGTAGTGCTAAGGCCACCAAAAAGTTGGACGCAAAGTTTGGTAGGGCATCGTACGTGTCTAAAGATGAATTGAAGAAATCTTATGCAACGGGGGGTGCAAAGTCTGGGGCCGCAGAGGATTTGGAGGCAGAAGATGATGAAGAAGGGGTTCCTGATCCAGGGGCCATTGGGTTAGCTGCGATCATTGATGGGGGTGTCAAGGGTTTTTTTTGAAAAGTGAGAAATGGAGATTGACAACTGTTTTTAAAATATAGGAAGCTCTTGTGTTGCTTATTTATTTATTTATTTATTTATTTATTTATTTATTTATTTATTTATTTATTTATTTATTTATTTATTTTTTTTCTCTCTCTCTCTCTCTGTCTTTGGTTTTTAAATTGGTTTTTAAAGTGCTTTGAATCATATACTTTGTTCTTAAGTGTATGGTTTTCTTAGTAGTATACTAATAATATTACATTGTTTATAAATACGATTGAATTGGCAGACAAATTGGGTCTAAAAACCGCTCATTAGTAATGATATTATTATCGCTATAAATGAATATGATTATTATATTTCCTGCAAATTTCTCTAATGGATACATATGTATATTACCAAGGTTGAATTTCTTTTCAGTATAAGAATGATATCACAATATATACACTTCTATAATACAAAAATGAAACGGAATTCTATCTTCTAAACCTTCCGAATCTTCCTCCCCCTCTTTTCTTCAATTTATACCGCTTAAAATTCTTATTGATAACCGCTTGCCCAGAGGATTTCAGATTAGAAACTTCCTGAATAACGTCTTCCGCATTATATTCTTCATCCGAATCATTGACTTCTTCCTCACCTATTTCCTCTTCTTTGTAGACTTCTTCTTCTTCTTGGTTTTCTTCTTCCTTCTGTTCATTATAGTTTATAGAGAAAATCGTCTCGGTTTCAGAAACCGTTGACGATCGAGTACTAAGATGGGTCACTCCAGCCAATTGCCTTTGCTTCAAAGAAGCGATCTCCCCAACAATTTCATCATTGTCGGTGATATTGGCTTCTTCAAAGTTTTCTCTACTCTTCATTTTAACTCTTCTAGTTTGACGTTTCACCTTCTTTTTCTTTTTCCAATACGCGGTCTTATGATCATCTGGCCCAACATTATCACCAGCTGTCGATACACTTTCTTCCTTTTCGTCTTCCAATTCATTTTCAAATTCATTTTTAGGCCGTCCCATATCCCCGGTGAGTTCGAACCGGTCTGTCGGTTCTAACATCCCGTTTTCCATATCCTCTCGTTCGATATCTGCTAAAAGCTGTTGCTCTTTCAAATCCAGAGCAATCTCCAATTTCATTTGCTCGTCATCGGCAATACTCTTTTGTTTGAGTTCCTCCACTTCTTGGAATATTTCACTAAGCGACCGGCGCTTAAGACCTTTATCGCGTTTGAAAGTAATGCGGTTTTGATACTTGAATACCGAAGGGGATATTAATTTAGTGTTGCTGTCGTCGCTACGACACGGGCTTTTCTCGGGAGACTGGATTGATACCGTTGCCCCTTGGGATAAGTACCTTGGGGTCATTTCTATCGGCTTTATAGGAGATGATCTATTAGGAGTTTTCACTGGGGATCTGAGGATCCTGTTATGAGTCGGGGTACTATATTTATCAAGGGTCAACTTAGTAAATTTGGAAGGTCTTAAGAATATCCCACTAGGTTTTTTCTTAGGAGTCACTATAATGGTGGAAGTCTCATCTTCGTCTTCGCTATTAATTTCGCTAAAGTCAATTTTCCGTTTTGCAGTTGGGGTGAGGGTGATGATGGTTCGCGAAACCGATGGTGATCCTTCAACATCTTTTGTAGGAGTAGCGAAATCAGATTGCCCGGTAGTTTTTGTTTTGACCATCCCTGATGATTCCTCAAATATTCCGAGTAATCGACCGTTCAATTGTGGGGTTGGTCCAAGTTCCACTACCTGTTTGCTAGGAGACTCTGCTGGTGATTGGTGAACTGATCTAGTAGTGTCAGGAGAAGATTTATCGGGGGTACGTAAACCAAAAGTGTTGACGAATTCTTTTGATCTAACCGGTTTTTGCGATGGATCTTTGAAATGCTGATGGTGCATTGATCTATGATGATGGTCTCGAGTCTCTGGTTTCTCCTTGCCGCCATATCTCAACACTTTATACTCTTTGTATTTCGATTCGATATCTGGATGGGCTTTGATGTCCGCTTTGGACGGTTTCCGATCATGGTCTTTTGTGAACTGTTTTTCCCAATCCTTAAGACTTCGTTTCAAAGTTTCCAACAGCATTGTTCACTAATGGTAATAATAATGGTATTCGAAAGAACAGAAAGAGAAAAGAGAGATGAGTTGCGACGCGAAACTAATTTTTATTTATTTATTTATTTATTTACGTTTCACGTGAGTGAGAAAAGAACGCGACTTTTTTTTCTGTTAATTGTTTTGAAATGACTTCCATCATCAAGATCACAATTGATGCCGCCCATTTATCACTGCAAAAATGTCGCCCAAGAAATACTTCCAAGGGTACAATGTTCTCGTGGTACAGTCGCTGCAATTCCAAGGTGTCAAATTCGATGGGATTTGCCAACAACTAACGAAATTCGGTGCGTCGTGCATCACCACCGCCACCATCAATAAAGATCGGTTTGGGTTATCACATATCATCGCCACCAATACCGATTTCCCAGAGTATCAATTTGCCATTGATCATATGATTCCGATTGTGACCCCAGAATGGGTGGAAGATACGATTTCCCAGACCCGTTTGGCGAGTCTCCGGCCGTATTCTGTCGTGCCGTACCATTTCCTCCGTGGAGTGTTTGCCACCATCAGCGATGATATTCCATCGGGAGATCGCCAAGTATTAGAGGCGATAATTATAGCTCATGGAGGTCATTGTGCCACCGCGGTGACCAAGTTCACCACCCATGTGATAGGAGCGACCACCGGTAGCGATGCGTTCATCATTGCCCTGCTGGTGCCGGAGAAACGAATCAAATGCGTATTGCCCCAATGGGTCGACGAGTGTATTAAATCCAAACAACACGTCAACGAACAGAAATACCTATTACAAGGATCAGAGTACCAACACTTGGAGACCCTCAATGAGAAAGTATATCAACAGAGCACCGACGATGTGGAGATGCAAATTAAAGAATATTTAACCGGGAAACGTTTTTATTTATCTAATGACTTACATTTAGGATTACGAATGAGAAATGTGTTGGAATCGTTAATTATTCACGGTGGAGGCAGTATTAATTACGAGATTACTCCGGGAAACGAGAATTGTTATATTGGTAATTATCGTGCCGGGTTGGATTACGTACGAGCTTCGAAAGTCGGGAATACCGTGGGGAATATGACTTGGTTAATGTCGATGGTTTCGATGGAAAAATACCATTCTCCATTTAATAATATGCTTCATTATCCAGTGAGCAGAACTGGATTGCCGGTATTTGACAACTTGATTTTTGCGGCGACGAATTATAGTGGAGACGGTCGTGGGTACGTTGAGGCGTTGATCGAAGGATTGGGGGCGAAATATTCGAAATCATTAACGACAAAAGTTGATTACTTGATTTGTTCTAAGCCCGGGGGCGCCAAATATGACGCGGGGTTACTTTGGGAGAATGTCAAAGTAAGGAACCATCATTGGTTGGAAAAATGCTATAAAGAATGGCGGATAGTAAAAGATGATGATGGCATGGATATTAGAAATGCCGAGACCGAAAAAGACATGTTGGGACAAGTGAGTTTTGATGAGGAGAGCATCAGGAAGTTTTGGGACGCTAATTATATGAAGGATCAAGATACAAAGGAAGAGGAGGAAGAGGTTGAGAATAGTGATGGTAGTGAAGGGATCATTGATACACAAAAAAATATCGATGATAAGGAAATATTCATTGATAATGACAAAATAATCCAAGACAATAAAGAGGATGATGGAAAACAGGAGGAGATCCTTAACATCGAGGTTGACGAGCAGAAGAAGAAAAAAGATGAAGATAAAAAAGATGAAGAAAAAAAGGATGAAGAGCAAGATGATAAGAAGCAAGAAGATAAGGATCATGATAAGATAGGCAAAGCAGAAAAAACCGACGCCAAAGAGTTGAAAAATAACCAGGAACTTAAATCTTCAAAAATAGAAAATGGGACATCCCCGAAAAATATTATACCAAACGCCCCAACTCCTGAATATACTATTCCTCCTCCTATCTACGGAGGAAGAAAAGCCGCCAAAAAGGCCGCCGAGAAATTGCATTCTGATATGGAAGATCTCAACAAGTTCCAAAAGCAAAGATTAACTAAAAGTATTCCAAAGCTTCCAGAAGAAGTTGCCGAAGCTGAAAGACTCAAACAATTGAAAAGAAAATCGCTCACCTCAGATATCATTAGTACCCCTTCCAAGAAATCCAAATCGAAAAATAAATTGCTCGATCTCCGGATCGTCACCACCGGTTGTGATGACATTACTGGGGCTGATTTGCGAATGCTCCAGTCACTTGGGGTAAGCGTTGCCAAAGACCCAGCCGATGGTAACACCATAATCGCTCCGCGAATAATGAGGACCGAAAAGTTTCTATCGGTATTGGCTAACGGTCCAAAATATATTCTTCATCCGAAATTCATTGAGGATCTTGTTAAAAATGGCAAGGAAATCGATCCTGAAAAGTATCTGCTTGATCATTACGATTCTGGAGCGAAGAATGAGTTGGGGATCACGGTGGAAGAGTTATTGAAAAGATGGCAAGACCGGAAAACCAAATTATTCAGTGGGATCCGGTTCAATATTACCGGGGCGGTCCCAGGAGGTCCCTCGGTGCTTAATCGAATATTGGGGGCCCATGGTAGTCCATCTAAAGTGAAGTTACTTAAAAGTGCTAGTGGGGTAAAGCCTAAGCAATTGGAGTACTGCGATGATGAGAAAACGTGTTATTTGATCAGAAAGGGGGTTGACGAAGGTCTGGAGGCTACGGTGGTGGAGAAGTTCCAACAAGTTTGTGAAAAGCAAAAGAAGACGGGAATTGTTGTGGAATGGCAGTGGGTGGTGAGCTCGATTTTCTCGCTGGAGATGTCGTAGTTTGTTTTGTATACAGGGTGGGTGTATTGGATGATTAATTAGATTGCTTTTATGATAATTGTAAAATAAAGAACATTGAAGTTGTAAGAGAGAAAGAGAGAGAGAGAGATGAATATCCTCAAATGGTGCTAGACGTAGAAGAGATGACAGAGACGACGAAACAGCATATATCAACCGTAATAAATAATCACGCCCTTACACCCCAATGCCAGCGGCGACCCATCAAGAAATGGATGGCTGTTTGTTGGTGCGAGGACCAAAAAGGCTGTCAAAAACCAAAGTGGCGGGGGGTTAAGGGCCCCCTTGATGCCCCACCACCACACAAAAATGTCAGTATAAAACGCTGCCTTCAACCACCACCACTCTCCCTTTTTTTTTTTTGTTTTTTCTTTTCCACTTTTTCTTTTCCACTCACTCTTTTCCACTTCTTCTCTTCTTCATTCCCCTCCCCAGATAGATACAATTCATCACAAAATACCGAAAAAATGCCATCCGTCAATCCTTCCGTGGTCCTCAGAAAGAAGCACGACATTGTCTATGAAGATAGACCGGTGCCTAAACTACAAGATCCCCATTTTGTGAGAATCGCCATCAAGAAAACTGGGATTTGCGGGTCCGATGTCCATTACGTCCAGCATGGTGAAACTGGACCATTCGTGGTCAAATCCCCAATGGTCTTGGGTCATGAATCTTCTGGGGTGATTGTGGAAGTTGGTTCAGCCGTGACTAATGTCAAGGTTGGCGACAGAGTGGCGGTGGAACCTGGGTACCCATCACGTTATTCTAAAGAAACCATGAGAGGTCTTTACAACTTGTGCCCACACATGGCCTTTGCCGCTACTCCTCCTTACGATGGTACGTTGGCAAGATACTTTACAGTCCCAGAAGATTTTGTCTACCCTTTGCCTGACACCGTTTCCTTTGAAGACGGTGCGCTCTGTGAACCTTTGGCAGTTGCTGTCCACGCTAACAAATTGGGAAACACCACTTTCGGGTCGTCAGTGTACGTGTTTGGTGCTGGTCCAATTGGTTTGTTGATCACTGCCACCGCCAAGGCGTACGGTGCTACTGATATCTTGGTGATTGATTTGTTTGACGACAAGTTAGAAATGGCGAAAAAATTGGGGGCCACCGCGGTGTATAACTCGAGCAACGACAAAGGAGTTGCTCCAGCAGAAATCGTCAAGAAATTGCACCAGACCTATTTTGTTCCCCAAGTTGTTTTGGAGGCTACTGGTGCTCCTCCATGTATCCAAGTCGGGGTGGCTGCTACTGGGAATGCTGGGACTTATGTCCAAGTGGGAATGAGCGGGAACGAAGTCAATGGGTTCCCAATTGGTGCCATTGGTGTGACAGAAGCGGTGGTTAAAGGATCGTTCAGATATAATTTCGGCGATTACGAAGATGCCGTGAAGTTGTTGGCCAACGGCAAAGTCGACGGCAGCTTGTTGATCACCCACAGATTTACCTTCAAAGAGGCCATCAAAGCTTACGACTTTGCTGCCACTGGTAAAGCTATCAAGATTATGATTGATGGTCCAACCGACGAGGACTAACGATTTCTCTTCGTTTTATGTTGTTTTTTTTTTGTTTTTTTTTATAATTTTTTTCATTTATTTTTTTCTGCCCCATTGGTAGTATTAAAGTTGTGTACTGTCATTAAGAAACTTGCTACTGATTAATTTGTGTATATTTTTATTGAATGTTCATTTGAACGGCGTATGTGGCCAATAGGTGTCAATCAATAAAGTGTGGAGAAAATGGGTGTGAAATCTGGGGTACCGTAAAAGAAAAAGATCGGCGTTGCCCCCAACCAAAACAAATAGAGACGTCGGTGGTCCAAGAAATAACAATACGATCCAGTATTATTATTATAACGCGGAAAATTCCTGGAAAACACAGAAGTGTCGCCAAAAAAGAGGTAAAAAGTGAAGATATTTCCAAATAACCCAACCTCCCAGAAGCATCACGACTAAGTGAGTCAGTCTCCCTCTGGCAGAGGCTAAAAAGTCCGAAATAGCCTACCTGCTCTACAACTGAAGGTGAAAAAAAGATAAAAAAAAAAGCACATAAAATGGAACGAAAATCTCCTGACAAATCGCCCGATGATGATTAATTAATTAAATAACTAACCATTGTATCACCACCACCACTCCTCATAGAACCATGTCGCTTCTCAAAGGTAACCCTTCACTCAATCCAGCGTTCTTCATCAGAAAGGCAAAGGATACCTATTTCGCCCAACACGACGTCCTCCCTTTGACCAGCCCAAAGGCGGTGCGTGTGGAAATTAAGGCCACGGGACTTTGCGGTTCCGATCTTCACTACTACCAAGATGGCCGCAACGGTCCAAAAGTCGTCAGTGCCCCAATGGTCTTGGGTCATGAATCGGCAGGGGTGGTGGTCGAAGTGGGTCCAGCGGTCACCTCGGTAAAAGTTGGCGATAAAGTGGCGGTCGAACCGTGTGTCCCATCAAGATTCTCCGACGAAACCATGAGTGGTAACTATCATTTATGCCCCCATATGGAATTCGCCGCATCTCCTCCTACCCATGGTACTTTGGCAAGGTATTTCACCGTCGATGATAATTTCGTGGTGAAATTACCTGATCATGTTTCTTTGGAAGAAGGGGCCACCGCTGAGCCATTGGCGGTGGCATGTCATGCCAACAAACTTGCAGGGACCACATTTAACCGCACGGTGTTTGTCTTTGGAGCCGGCCCAGTAGGTTTACTCGTTGCCGCCACCGCTAAAGCTTTTGGGGCCACCAGAGTGTTGGTGATTGATCTATTCGATGATAAGTTACAATTAGCGAAAAAAATGGGGGCCACCGACGTTCATAATTCCCGTGCCGACCGTGGGAAATCGGAGTCTGAAGTGGTGGAGGGTCTCACTAGCAAATATTTTGCACCAGACATTGTCTTTGATGCCACAGGAGTGAAACCTTGTATCAGATCAGGCATGCTCGCGGTGAAGCCAGGAGGAACCTATGTTCAAGTTGGAATGGGGATGAATAATACAGAGATTCCTCTTGGTCCATTGGGAAGAAAAGAAGCCACGGTAAAAGGATCTTTCAGATACTCTTTTGGTGATTATCGTGATGCCGTACAGTTGTTGAGTAGTGGGAAAGTGAATTCGAAATTAATCATCACCCATAGATTCAAGTTCAAACAGGCAAAAGAAGCTTACGAGTTTGCCGGGACTGGTAAAGCAGTGAAAATCATCATTGAAGGACCAACAGATGAAGATTTGCTTTTAGCTAATCAATCAAAACTTTAAGAAATTAGAATTGTATTTTGTATTAAATTGAAATCCTCCTCTTTTGGCTTACCTCATGAATATTTTATGAATTCTATAGAACGTTCACTTTTTTTTTTATAGAATAGAATTTGTTAACCTATTTGCATTACTCATATTTGCACTACCTATATCTTTCAGTACAATAGATATTTCGTCCTTTGTTATACCTATAATATTCTTTTGCACAAAAAAATTCACGTTTTAGTTAAATTTAAGAGGTAGAAAGAAATTAACTAAATTTTTTTTGCCAAAGTACATCACATACCGTCACATCTTCAAAATTTAATAGATTAATATATGATTGATTCATTCTTGATAGGTTTCCAAATCTTTTTTTGATCGATAAGACCATAAAACTTAGGCACTACCACCCAGATTATAGGTACACCAGAAGTTAATAATGCCAAAATATCTTATTACCTTGGTATATAACTTTGCACATTAGCCTTAGTAACTCTCTACAGTTTACATTCCAAATACCGCATGGTATGATGAAACAGGGAAAAACTTCTTTCATTAACACTAAAACAGACTAAAAATAAAGATAAAAATTAAAATAAATATAAATATACACAAAAATTTGCAACTAGGCTACCGGCTGAACCCTGACATGAGAATGATTACCATGCTTTTCAACCAGAAGATCAAGTTTTTGTCTTTTGCTATCTGCTTTCTTGTCACTCTTGGTGTCTTTTTCATCTTTTTCATCTTTCTTTTCATCTTCGTCTTCATCATCATTATCGAACACTATCCAATCTTCAAATCCATCATTGAAAATCTTTTGCAACTTGGTTTCCACTTTGATAATGTTCTTTTCTTTATCAGTAATCTTTTCAAATTGGGCAAACTCTTTGTCGGTAAGCAAACACTTGTCTAAAGCTTTAGATAAACGTTTTTTGTCGATATTGACACCAATGAATACGATCTCGTTACGTCTGTCGCCATATTTTCCTTGCATGTCTCTTTTGATGAGCTCGGCAGCTGCTGGTGGAACGTCTTCAATACCAGTGATTGAGAACCATGGAATACCACCTCTTAAAGTCATCATTGTACCAGCAGAGGACCACTCGCCTCTCATTATATATCTGGTAGCTAACCAAAAGAACCCCTTAGATCTCAACATTGGACCGAATATCGACTTCTTTTTGGTTTTAATAATGGTTTTGTTGACTTTAGCATCATCAACTTCCTCTTCATCATCATCATCATCATCTTCTTCTTCTTCTTCTTCTTCTTCTTCTTCCTCTTCTTCTTCATCATCTTTCATTTCTTCGTCTTCATTAGGTTCCTCATCATCCTCAAAACCAGCTTGTTCAATAATCACGAACTTATCACTAAGAAGTTCATATAATCTTTCTGGGTGGAATGGTCTTCTAGAACGATACACGAAATTGTTGATACCATATTCCTCAGTTTCTGGCTTTGGAGTCAAAGCTGAAGAGTTTTTGGTACCGAAACCTTCTCTGATAGTCATTTCGTTGATACTTTGTAACCAACCGGCAGAAGATGAGGATTTTTCAAAATCAAATAACCCGGTATTGATCACTTCACCAATTGGGACTTTACAATAGTCAGTCATATGCAATTTAGCAACAGGGTTCAACGACTTGACGATTTTGGTAATCTTCTTGCGTTGCTTCTTTGAAATTGCTGATACCTTGTTGATAATAATGACGTCGGAGAATTCGATTTGATCGACCATCAAATCAGTGATGGTTCTTTCGGCTTCACCTTGACCGTTGTCACCGTATCTGTCGGCTAAGAAATCGGTGGTCTCAAAGTTGTCCAAGAAATTAAGCGAATCAATAACGGTGACACAGGTATCAAGTTGGGTTAAGGTGTGCAAACCACCCATTTTGACAATATTTTCAACGGTTTTCTGTTCATCTGCACTCAAAGCCCCTTGAGCTTGCAATAAAGTTTCGGAGAACTCGGTGGTAAAAGTTTCGGCCACTTGCATTGGTTCTGAAATACCGGTGGATTCAATGACGATATATTGGAACTCGCCCGAGGTGGCCAATGAACAAAGTTCTTCCAACAAATCACCTCTCAAAGTACAACAGATACAACCGTTTTGCAACTGAATAAGCTTTTCTTCCTTTTTGGTGACCTTGTGGTTTTGGATCAACGCAGCATCGATGTTCAATTGGGAGACGTCATTGATGATCACTGCAATCTTGTAACCGTGATCGGTGGTCAAGATTCTTTCAAGCAAAGTGGTTTTCCCAGCACCCAAGAAACCAGATAATAGGGTTACCGGAATTGGTTTTTCAAGAGCCTTTTTTGTTGTGGTCATTGTATAAAAAAAAGAAAATATTGTGGGGAGGGGGAACCAGCAGCAGTATCAATTAAAACGGGAACTAGAATTGAAAGGAAATAATTCAATAAAGAAAAGAGAGAATGAAGAAAATGGGAGAGGACAATATTGAGACCATAGTATATATATATATATATATATACATACATATATGGATTTTTCACTGAAAAATTAGTAAATCACCCTTAAGGTTATGGGAAAGCATAGTCCAGAACTGTTGTAAAACAGAATCGAATAACCACTAATTACCAGCCATTGTACCGGTATTGGAAATAATGTTATAAAAATGACAAGTTCCTCACTACAATTATTGTTGAATTTTTTTTTGGCTTTTTTATAAGTACGGTGTTTGAAAATGGTTGAAATTTCTGATAGTGTAGTGGGTATATGATCATATATGTGCTCACCATCTATCGATCTATTCTACATGGTTCATGTTTAGAAAATGCCATATGCGATATTACGTTTTAACCAACAATGATTGGCCGATTCAAAGATACGTCAATCTGTCAGTTTTTTTTTTCTTTTCATTTTTTCACTTTTGCAACTTTGGTGGTCATCTACGAGACCTTTACAGTACTTTTTTTTCTTTCTTTTGCGTGAGTTTTCCACTGCAATGTCCCCCTGCTTTTTTGTTACTAATGTGGTTATGAAACAATTTCATTGGCCAGAACGAAAGAAACCATGTTAATATTCTTCATAATTAACTTTTGTGTTGTGCCCTCTCCCCCACTTCGTATATTTTTCCAGTCTTCCAGTCTTTCCTTTTCCGTACTTCCAACATTTTTCATCAGAAATGTGAACACATTGATTGATCACTAATGATTTAGTGCATATTGACTCATCTCTATAAAATCTATTGAATTTTACCCCCCCTCTTTCCCATTGAATCGCCATGAAATCGATTAAATAAAGATATACCTTCAATATGAATGCCAATTTCTGATATTCCGTTTGTTCGTTCGCACACTTGGCACTTTTATGAAAGATTTATACAAGTTTCAACTTGTCCTTTCTCAGTTTCGTCTCTTTTAAAGAAGAAATTACTTCTTAATTAAGAAGCAATCACAAAATCAGAATATTAAACCAATAATATTTCGTTTATTCATGTCAAAGCTTCCCCCGAAACCACTGAAAGAATCGATGTTGGTGCTAACGAAGTTTGATTGAGTATGCATTCGAAGCCAAGATTTTCTGGTTGAGAGCTGCTGCAGGCAGCTTGGGAAAACAATCATTAATTCTTCCAAACACTCTAGCTTCTGGCTACTGATGCTCAGTTTGATTTCTATCAATTGATGGTATACTTTCAAGGAAACTCATATCTGATGGACTATGGTTTCCCTCAATCTGTAATATGACACTTCTGCTTTCAATCAGATCAATTACGCACGAAGCCTTGAGATTCTGACAGATTATTTTTTTTTTTTTTTTTTTTTCACATCGATGTTAAATCAGAAAACGATGTTGATGTGGAAATGCCTAATAAAAATAAAAGCACAGAAATCCGTAGATACAGGTAATGCTTTATTCAACAAGATCTTCACTAGGGAAAAGAAGACGCCAGCACAAAGATTTGAGGAAACAGTTGAGGTGGGACTCCGCAGGTTACGTTTTGGAATGAAAGTAAGTACAACGATTATTGCCGAAGGTCTTGTTTTTTTTTTGAAGAGAATTGAGACCAACGAGTATTTTTTATATAATGCCATCGAAAATCTACTATAACATGGTTATTCTGTTTTATCTACTCTTTTTAGTTTTCGCACATGTAGAATATGTGGGTGCATTGGTTTGGGAAAACACTTCAATACTAATAAGCTTAAATAATATTTATTTATTGAAGCACAACAACAATCAAATATATATGTACATACCTAGCCAATTTGAAGGGAGAACCACCAAGAAAAAAAAAAAACTAATAAATAATGTAAATGACGTGAGAAGAAATGAATAGGCAAAAAAAAAAAAAAAAGTGGAAACAGAAAAAATAGCACTGGTATGAATTAATTATTAGCGAGCTCATAGTGATAATGTATTGATTTGATTATCAGCGATAGCAGAATTAATTATTAGCGAGCTTATAGTGAGTGCCAATGTATTTATTTGAGTATCAGCGATTTTATAGTAGTGATGTATTGCTTTGAAGCGCCGTTTGACCTTCTCTCACATCCCAAAGCCCCAGCCAGCTGATAGAGATGATAAAAATACTTCATCCGTCTTTAGACTTTAATTTTTTCCAAAATTTTCCAAAATTCATCTTTTAAATCTTTGTTCAAAAAAGCAAGTTCCATTTCTGTTGCCTTTTCTGCGAACAAAATGCGCAAATCTTTCGATTCCGGACCAATTTTCAAACTCTCCTTTAGCTCCAAGGTATTATTAACAAACTCTCTCATTATAGGTGCACAAATACATTGGCGCCCCGAATATCACCGTGTCCCACACCCGCACAGTGTATTTTGCTGATGCAAATCAAAGCCGATCTCAAAAATCTCTTCACCTTAAATTCACTCCTAATTGAATAATCATCAAAGATATTATAACCATATTTGCTAAGGTTATTCAATTTGATATACGGACCCTCCGTATATACCAATTCTTTACCTTTTTTTATTTCCTGCGGCTCATCAGTATTTTCATTATTGGAGTAAATGAAACCTTTTTCAAGAACGGTAGGAATTAAATTTCCGGTGCTTTCTTTCTTTGTTAAAATTGAGTACGATGTTACCTCATTAATAAAGAGACTAGTGTAATAATAGAATATATCCCTGTGAGTATTAAAGCTGCCCTTTTTGGTTGAGAGAACCTCAGGAGAACATCTGGCGTAGTCAAAAATTTTATAGAGATCATCCCCAAAACCTATGACAAGAGACCATGAAGTGTAAGGCTTACCTCCAAAAACAATCTCTGGTTTCATTTCTGGCATGGTTTTTAACACCAATCTACCTTCTTCATTGCCACGAAATATTCCTATCCGTTTCTCCAAATCATTATCATATTCGTTTGATTTCATTTTCCAATTTCCAGCAATTTTTTCTTTCAAAGCTTCAGAATATGATTCTCCGATAAAATCAATCACTCTCTTTTTGGGAGTATCAAATACAAGATTCAAATAATCGTAAATCAACAATCTGTTAATGGACCTGCCAACAAGTCTTTGTTCTTTTAGCTTTCCTGAAAATTGACCAAGCATTTTTCCAATAAACCAGGTCGCAATCTCATCTCTCTTGGCAAATCCTGGCTGCGACTTCTTCAATTCCAATGTTGTTTTCATGAACCGTAGAATTGCGCAACCAAGGGGCGTCTCAGAAGTGTCGATGATTTGGTAAGTGATTAGCCCGTCATTTTGGAATTGAAAATACATACGCGCACAATCATCAAAGAGAATTTCAAAATGTTTCCTCGCATTCTTCTTATCTCTATCCATTTGCTCATTACCCACTCCTTCTTTTCCCTTGCTCTCTTCTAGTTTTTTCACTTCATCCATTTTCTCTCCAAGTTTTTCCCAATCAAATTTCACTAAAAAAAGGGTCGATTCATCAGCCAATATTCCAGTGAGAGCCCTTGAGGCCAAAATTTGGATTATTAATTGATTGATACCTCTCAAGAAGAAGAGCGCTTCCTTACTGAAACCAAAATACCGTGGCAAGTGTCGTCTGTATATGCTATACTCTGCTCTGAACTTGTTAAAGCTTTCTGAAAGCGAGTATTGCGGTTTATATTTAAGCTCAACACATGTTATATATTCATTATTCTGCTTGCCTATTTCTCCATACTCAATCATAATATCAGGTGTTGAAACAATATTCCCTTCAATTGAGAATGAGCATTGTTGTACCGGCGTCAATTCAAAATCTTTCAGAATCATCAGTCGGAAAAATGCACTTATGTTGTAGAAAACTAAAAACAAAAAAGTTTCAAAATTATTCTCTGAGTGAATTCGGCGAATGGTCATATAGAATTGAAGATTCCCATTAAAGTTGAAATTTTTTGGGACTTCAATTACTCCAACTTGGCGCAACCACTTTCTGGCAACAGAAGGTGCAAAATAGAACATAGGAAGTTTTGAGTCAGCGGTTCTTTCCTCATTGTAATTTTTAACTGATTTCAAGCTGATTTCGGATCTTTTACCACTTCTTGTTCTCGCATTTTGATTGGAGCCTGATGTTATGTTTTTTGGTTGTTCTTCATTTCTGCCCTTCCCCGCCCTTTTTGAAAACAAGCTACCCTTGAAGACAAAGCTCAAGGTGGCAAAGATTCCAAAAATTGGTTTCACAGAGTAGCCTAATCTATCACAGAAATCTTCGGCAGCTTATTCACGAAGATCCTCAGTAGCACCTAGAGTTGAAAAATCAAAACTGGTTTCAGGAAGCGAGCCTTTGTCCCATTCATTTTTGAATTCATCAAATGCAGATTTGAAAGACTCATCTCCTTAGTCAGAGATTAGCAAGAATAAAGTTGTATGAAAATTGTCGAAATTTACTACGACAGTGGTATCTAAGCTATGCCTCCAAACAATCCTACGTATCGTATAAAAAAACTGGATTGCTAGTCGTAGACTGCAATTAATAAGCACCGACAACAATACTAGAGGCAAGTCAGGAAACAAAAGCAACAGTCAGGAAGCAATGACTTTCTATAGAGGATTGCTAAATCCTGTTTTTAATTTAATGAGTTCAACCACGAATCTCAATGGCCTGGTCATTGCCCTGAACAATCCAACTAACTAGTCTAATTCTGCTTGCGCTTCTAATCGACAAACGGGTGACACTAGCTCAGCTAGTGAATCCAATAATATTGTACATATATAACCATATCCGTAACATATAGCACATTTACTTTCTTTGATTTGTTACTGTTAATGCAGATTAATAACAAGTCAACTTATAATAATTGTTAAATACGAGCTATTTGTTTGGTCAATACCCCTAGTACACTGAAACTATAGCACAAACTACATGCTCAAAAACCCAGTCGTAACGTCAGTTGATCAGGCATTTGGTGTTTATCGATGAAAATGCGTCTCTCTTGTTAACTGATCACAATAAAGGCATCGATAAGGAATAATTTCGCCTTTTTTCATGTCACGAACTCGCTTTTGAACCCAAATTGATTTACATCACGTGATAAAATATCAAGAAAATATAACCAATTTTTTTTTTAATCCAGATCTGCTTCAAAAAATTACTTCCCAGAATTAGCAAGGGCGTATTAAATCAGGGTCTACAAGAGAGAATCACTGGTAGATCAAGATGTCTGGTACTCAAAAAGCATCACCTACTCTGATGTTCAAACAGTTGGAGATTATTGGGCGGGGGAAGTTTGGTATTGTGTATAAGGCGTACGTGGTCATGGAGCTTGGAGATGTGGTATTGGAATCATTTTCCTATTTTTATTTAATTATTACTTCTTCTTTTTTTTATTCAAACATACGATAAATTGAAAATAAAATTACTAACATTTATATAGTCTCAGTGCCCGTACTAATGAGCTACTTGCTGTGAAAGTTCTTGATGTGGATAAGAACGAAGAAGAGATCAAAGATATTCAATTAGAAGTCAACTTTCTCTCAAATCTTAAGAATTGTCCCAACGTAACCCATTACTACGGATCAATTCTCGAAGGTACAAAACTTTGGATTGTAATGGAATACTGTGCTGGTGGCTCACTTCGATCCCTATTGAAACCTGGAAGATTAGAAGAACGCTATGTGGGGATCATCACAAGAGAACTTCTAATCGCATTATCTTTCATTCATAAAGCTGGGGTCATTCATCGTGATATAAAGGCTGCAAATGTGTTGGTTACGAAAGAAGGTAATGTTCAACTTTGTGATTTTGGGGTGGCGGCTCAACTCACCGCAAATAATTCAAAAAGAAATACCATGGCAGGAACTCCTTACTGGATGGCTCCAGAAGTTATTCTTGAAGGAACCACATATTCGTTCAAAGTAGATATTTGGTCCTTGGGTATTACCGTTTATGAACTTGTGACCGGTAACCCTCCATATTGTGATAAAGATGCTAAGTGGGCAATGCAATTAATTGCTAAACACAAACCTCCAAGATTACAGAGTAACAAATTTTCTCCATTGCTTAAGGATTTTGTTGCTGCCTGTTTGGATGAAAATCCTCAGGAAAGACCTATGGCTGATGATCTTCTCAAAAACAAGTTTATTCGTCATCATAAAAATTCGAGCACGGCAATTCTTAAAGAAATTATCACGCGTTATTTACTTTGGCGCGAAAAGAAAGCTAGCAGAGACAGTATAGCCATTTTAAATCAAAATCCAGATGCATTGAAAGAATTAGAAGATAGGAGAAATTCTTTTGTTGCTGATAATAATTTGGATGTCAAATGGGACTTTGATTCTTTGAAAAGTTCTGAATATGCAATGGAAAACGACATCCACATAGATGATGTTAGCGGGAATGACTCACTTAATGATTCTTTTGATTTTGGTGACCCACAAAACATCAATTATGATACGGAATTTGATAATTTTGGAGGTCATAGAATTGGAAATTTTAATGATTACGAGCCTATAGTGACGTTAAACAATCAGATTGATGTGACGATGAACGCCACCACTTTAAAAGAAAGACAAGAAAAAGAAATCATGACATTAGCCCAATCGACAACTAATGGGAAAAAAGAAGTACCAAAGTCATTCCTTGATCTTTTTGGTGGTGAACCAAGCACTGATGATGGAGCATTACGTCCAAAACCGCCGCTACTCAGTAGTGTTTCGAGTCCAATATTGACTCCTTTCAATAACCTGGAAAAGAATTTGCCTTTACCACCAAGTATTACCGCAAGTCTAACGCGTTCTAATACCACAGTTGCTGAAATTGCGATTCCTACTCCCGGTGAACTTGAAGGTCAATCATCACAACCTCAATCTTCAATGGCAACAGGGCCGCTCCTAGCAAGATCTCCCCAGCCATTGCAACATTCGCAAAGCATGACTGATTCGATACCAATGGTTAATACTCAAGAAATTCAACAATTCTCGTATCCTTCTGCGGTGTTGAATCAAAACCAATCTCAAGCAAGCACAAGAACTCCATCACCTAAGAGGAATGTACTTGATGCTGGGTCGCATGTGCCTGTGACAATGAAACCGATATTGAGTTCATCTGATTTATCTCAACCATTATTGCAGCCCCTAAATAACATCTCTATCAAAAATAGCAATAGCAATATGAATACCTCGCCACTTCACAAAAGAAATCAACTGTCTTTGTCGACACTCGAGGAATCAATTAAACCACCAGTTCCAAGCTCCTCCAACCAAGTTTCTCGGTCGCGCTCGCCTAGTGTGAGCCGTTCTGCCTCGCTCAGTAAGAAGAACCTTAACAATTTGCGTATTGAGATGCCGAAGATGAATCTAGACTTTGATAATTTGGCAGCTCCACTAAATGCCATGTCACCAGCATCTAAGTCTCCTCTTATGAATTCTTTCACAAATACGGAAAACAACGGTGATGTAAATCAGTTTGGATATAATACTTCGGCACTGCTTCGTACCATGACTCCATTGACTGAGAAATCGCTTGAGCAAGCATTGGGTACGATGCTGGAAGAAGAAGGTTCAAAGGAACATACTAAACAGAGATCTTTGTCGCGCACCATTAACAATTCATCAAACACCAGTATCAGTAACATTAATACAGCTAGTCTTGGTCTCACAAAGAAAATGTCAAGTTCTTCTATTGCTACGAGTTCACAACTTAGTGGTACCAGTAGTCGTGACCAGGAAGCCTCGATATCCTCAGCTTCTTCCCATGGAAACACGTATGGAGAAGGTAGCTTTAATTATGGATCTATCACCAATAATTATACCGTTGAGGAGACTAGCCCATCGGTCGTGCAAGTACCGGTGTTGAACCCAGCAGTCTTCATCGATTCAACGCATAAGGCAGAATTGGTTAGTGAATTAGGAAAAATGTTGGCAGATTTTACGAAAAGTTTGGATATCATCCAAGAGCAGTTAAACACAATCACTGAATGATTTTTATAGACCTTACTGACTACTTTTAAATTAGATTTTCGGTATTTTTTTTTTTTTTTTTCTTCTGTTGCGTTGTTGATCAGTTTTTTATTTTCTGGTATCTTGTTGGGCTTGTTAATTTTTTTTTTTAATGTATGCGAATGGGTGTCTTCTGTATTCCTAATTTTAATTATAGCGTTTTTGTCTTTCCTCAATTTTGATGAAAACGGTTTGCCTATATCAATAATATAGGACAATTCAGAGAGAGATCTTATAAGATCTGTAGCGTAGCTTATGCAATGTCATGTACAGAAAAAAATAAAAAAAAAAAAAATATTTATTTATATATATATATATATATTGAGAACATGAGCTTTAGTCAATTAAATCCCCAGAAGCAAAAGAGATAAAAAGACAAACGTATAGGGATATGGAGTCTTTCCTATACAAAGCGTTGCAAAACCACGCCAATGACGAGACTCTGAGACGAAAATCGTGGCTTATTTCTGATCCTATTTCGCTCATCCAACCAAAAACCTCTAATCCTAACCTCCACCATAATATTACCTCAGGATTCTTGATACCGCCTCTGAAATCCCCTAACAAAAGAAAAGTGGAACTACATAATGCTTATGATCAAGAGTTCAATTTCACTACTGGGGAAGAATCAGCAGGAGAATATCTTACTAAGAAGTATCGTGAACTGATGTATTTTTCTAAGATGCCGTTATATTATTTCCCCAAAACCTCGATTTCCAGACTCGAATCTGTGTATTTAGGAAGCAAGAAAGGTGAAGTGTTGAGTGCAAATAAGAAAGATGAATTGAAAAAGTTGATAGAAGCTAGCATTATGGACATTGAAAGTTTCGATCAACGCCACAAAACTTTAGGGATAATCATTACTAAAGGGGAAGATGTTGGTAAATTGGATGAAAAAGAACAAATCTTCCTCAAGAATTTCAGTACTGCCAACAAAGTAGACTATCTTCGAGGCTTGAAATTGCAAAACCTTAACAAATCGGACTCCACTGCCAGCAAAATTGCGATAAATATGATTGATGAGCTCCTTGACAATTACACATTATTCCTCAAAATCAGAGAGGCACAACTACAGGCGTTACTATTGGTGGAATACCTATATCTAGATATATCTGATATTGCTAGTTCCAGGACTTTGGTTGAAGAGAAAGATACCATTATTGGAAATATTCCAACGACGTCATTTGGATTGGGGGTAAATCCAAAAAAGAGAAATTTGATCAGACCAAAAAGAACCAAGAACAAAAAAACAAAAGAATCGAAAGCTTCCAATTCAAAAAGACAAAATATTAAGAAAACTGGTGTGTTCTATCGAAGCTTGCTTAACGCATACATTGATAGGTTTTTGATTTGGGATATCATTCTCGAGACGAAAGTAGGCAATAAAAGAAGTGATAAGCAAAATAATCAAGATGAAACAGGACAGCAGGAGAACCTCGATGGGATTGATACTAATGTTTTGGCAAGTGAATTTGTTTTTTCCAGGAATTATGTTAAGAAGGTAGTGATTCCTTATTTTTATCAAAAATGCCCACATTTAGTAAAGTTCATGAGAAATAAGATTCACGGTGAGCTAGTTGGTGGTTCAAGCCATAACAAAAAAAGAGAAATTAAGAAAGATGAGGAAAAAATGGCGGAAGGAGATAATGGGGAACCTAAGGATACTCAAAAGAATAAGACCCTTAAACGATCGAGAACGGAATTAAATATTGAAAAGCCGAGAGGACCATCACTTCTTCGTTCTAAAACCATAGCCAATAAATTTGCTCTAGAGATCAATAAGAATTTGACAAATAATAAATCACTTAAAAGGGCCCTGTCCACGAGCTCAATGCCAACATCGGGGATCGCCAAATTGTTGAGTAAGCGGGAAGTTGATCTCTCGTCCAAATCTAAACCATCTCCAAAATTACTGGTTGGCCAAAAGTTGAAGGAAATAAGCTCACAATCTTTCACCGATCCACATAGCATTCTAAGAAGACCAAAGCTTCTACAAAAATCAAAAAGCTTGATAGATAATAGTAAAATTTTAAAAACCAAGGCCCCTGCTTCAAAATCAATACAAATTGAAGCTACACCAATCAAGAACAATTCCAGTAATCCATATAATAACCCATATAATAACTCAAATCAGACTGTTTCTTTCAAAAAATCACTCATAAGACAGTTTAGCCAAATAGAAGCAACACCGGAATTGAATAACAGAGTCATTAATGCTCTTGGTGATAGTCCGTATATCGTTGATTCACCTCCAAGCTCAATAAGAATTACTTCATCACTTACGGAGCGAATTTATAGCACCCCCACACAAAATAAAATCCTAGAAGAGATTTTCTCTCCTGATACTCATTTCATGGATGAGCAGATTACACCCCCGAGGAAAACAGCCCCAAATAGATCGTTTCTTGCCGATTTGAATGGGTCACCTACAAATACATATATTAGAAAGCACAACGATACCCAGAAAGATTAATGTGCAAATGTTTAGATATAGTCTAACTGGCCCTACACTAATTATTAATAGAATTATATGATGACGACAATTTTTTAATTTATATTTTATGATTTATGATTTTTTTTGATTTATTTTTTTTTTTATAAAAAAAACACCTTAAGAGACAAGATAAGATAATGAAAATGGTAATGGTGATGAAGATAATGATAGGAATATCATGGCAATGGTAGTGGTATAATATAAGCATGTCTTTTATCTCTATCAGATACCGACACGAAATCTCCTATCCAAGCTCTCGGTATTCTCAACGCCAAAAGCTGCCCGGCCAGAAGATGAGCTGGTCCTCCACACGTTCTTGGGCCCTAAAATAGTATGGGTGCTAGCTTTGTCCAGCTTGGACCATCACATGCTCAATGACAAGATGTCTGGCTTTAAATTAGTTAAAGGTATCCGCAAGAAATCCGGAAAAGGGAACGCAAGCTGTGAATTTGAGGTGTTTGTTGAAATCTTGGAGATCAAAGATAGTACCTCTAGACCACCCATGAAACTGTGTCTACATGTAATCAAGATGAAAGATACAATAAATAGGTTTCCTACTTTCTGCAAAGACCTTACTGAGACTATCAAAAATGTAGAAGAAACAAAGATGTGTCTTTTTTCTCATGAATAAATAAGCCTTTGAGTACGAAGCAAGGGTAAGTATATCTTGTACTACCATATTACCTTATTCAACCTTATGATGAATAGATAGTTACTATAGAAATTCAATGTTAATTTCTGGATTCAATAAAATCATGATAGGCTGACTGGGACCTTAGGTACTACGAGGTCTACTCTATTTGCTAAGTATTAAAATCCCTAAACTCACCAAACACAAAGAGTTGTTTTACCGTGAAGAGCTATATCAGTATTTTGTATCGTTTGATTGAAATATCCGTGAGCAAATGATCTCCGTGCCAAGCCCCTGTGATATTATATTATATAGACATCGTTTCTCCAGATTTGAAAGCTTTACACTGAATTGATATCTGATAATGATAATAGTAATAAGAACAAAGATAATAATAATAATAATAATAATAATAATAATAATAATAATAATAATAATAATAATAATAATAATAATAATAATAATAATAATAATAATAATAATAATAATAATAATAATAATAATAATCATAAGAAGAAGAATAATAAAAATGATGGGCGATAGTTGGATAATACATTACGTAACCAGCTGATTACGTAAGTGTGAGCGGAAAAAACAGCCATTAACAATAATAGAAAAAATAGAAGGTTGTTAACTGAGCCCCTATCAGATGCCACACCCGACTACTTATAATATCCCATCTAATTCTCCGCCATTAGAGAACTACATAGATATATATCAATCTGCAAGCTACTGAATTTTCTGGCTATAACCTCATAGGCCTTATTTTCAGTTCTATAATATCTGCTAGCCACGTCAATCGATAATTCATTATCTATTTGAAAACTCATTTATTGTCAAGAGCATCTTTGCCTCCAAAGAAACAAAAATCAGTCTAGATTAAATAACAAGCAAGTATGTCAAAGAGTATTGTTCGTTCTCTCAAGAACGTGGCCAATGGTTACACCCATTCCCAAGTTTTGGTTAGAAACTGCACTGCCACAAACTCAGATGGCCCAACTGTGGGCCAAATGGAAGAGGTGGCACACTTCACATACAACGAGGTGACATTCAAAGAAGTCATTGATATCATTGACAGAAGATTAAATGATAAGGGTAAATATTGGAAGCACGTTGCTCATTCTTTGACACTCTTACATTATTTGGTCCTCAATGGTTCTGAAAACGTGGTGAGATGGTCAAAGAACAACTTGTACATTATCAAAACTTTGAGAGAATTCATGTATGCTGATGAATCAGGGTATGATCAAGGAGCGATTATCAGAGCCAAGGCCAAAGAATTAACCAGTTTGTTAAGAGATGATGAAAGATTACGCCAAGAAAGAGCCGCAAGAGGTATCAATGACAAAAGAAAAAGAGGAAGAGGAAGAAGAGATAGAAATGGCAGCGAAAATTTTGATGATGACTTGCAAAGGGCACTCGAGGAGAGTAAACAGTCTGCAGTTGATGATGATGAAAGAAGAAAGAGACAGAACAATGAAGACGATGATTTCAATAAAGCTTTGCAATTATCAAAGGAAGAAGAAGAAATGAAGAGAATGAAAGAGCAACAGCAACAAAATTTGTTAGATCTTGATGACGAGCCTCAGATTACCACCGGTACGCAGTATCAGATAGGCTACATTCCACAAACCCAGTATGTCCAATTAGATGTGTTTGGTAACCCATTGGCATACGGTCAACAAAACCCAATGACGACGGGATTTTTGAATAATGCCTATGGTGGCTATGATCCAAACGCATTTGCACAACAGCCACTACAAACTGGAACTAACAACCCTTTCTCAATGTCTAACCAAAACAAACAGAGAGAGGACGAATTGAGACAACAACAGCTATTGGAAGAACAAAGAAGACAACAAGCTCTTTTGGAGGAGCAAAGAAGACAACAAGCTCTTTTGGAACAGCAGGAAAGAGAAAGATTAGTGGCTTTGCAACAGCAACAACTACAACAACAACAACAGCAACAGCAACAACAGCAGCAACCAGTTCAACCTGTCTTGACGGGATCTCAAAAGATGAACGACCAATACTCCGCCTTAAACCAATTATTGGCAGAAGGTACAGGTGTTGACACTTTTGGTAACACTGGGGACTCTAGAATTCCACAAATTCATACTTCTAGTACGCCATTTGTTGCTAGTCAGGGTACTGGTTTGAACATGAATATTGCCGCTAACACCGGGGCAAACAAGAACTCAAATCCATTCTTTCAACAATATACTGGTATCCCAAGCACTGCTAACATGGCTTCTCAGCCTACCGGATATGGATTCGGTAATGCACAAAGTCAAGCTAATGGAAATGGTGCTGTGAATACCCAAAGCTTGATCGATCTCTGAATTGCTCTGCAGTAGTTGCATGATTATTTTTTGTTCCTGATCATGTTTAAACTCAATTTTCTTTACTATTTTATATGTTTATGTATGCTTGCTAAGTATTTGTTTTCCTTTTCTACTTTTTTTTTCTTGTCTATTGTTATTATTTTCTGTGATTCTTTGAACTTCTTATCCTCAACTGATTTTTGGTAATTTTTTTTTTTTTTACATCGATACAGTGTTTTATAAGTTTCCATTTTATCAAAAGTATTTATGGATATATATTTCCATTAAAAAGAGTTCTTTTGAAGACCATTGGAGATTTAACGATAGTAAAATGATCAGAATCTGTCAAATGCTCATAATTTGATATAATAATCTCGAAGAAAATAATGATAGCGATTCTAAAGAATTTGGCTCAATGCTTCCATTATTTCAACAGGACCATGATCGTGCATGCTGAAGAAATAATCCTTGTTATTTCCTTTGTCTTCAGACTTCTCATCCCTATCATCCAAAAAACTTGATAATTTTTCGCTTATTTTTTCGGCATAATATTTCCTAGAGCTCTCGCTGTTGACAGAAACATCTTCAAAAAGCTTTTTGAAAATTGTATCTAGCTCTTTTCTCAATTCGATAGTATTGTTTTCATCGATTTTAGGTTCCTTAAATGAGTTGGCAGTGGAATCAGCTTCCTCAGTAGATCCTTCCTTATCTTTAATAACATCATCTTTATGAGTCTTATCATCTAACCATTTCCAAACATTACTTGCCGTTTCTTTTTCTATTCGCATTCTATTTAGAATATCACGTCTGCCTTTTTGACCAACCTCACTAAAAATAGAATTTCTTCCGCCCATTTCGCCAAGAATACGTAACTGCTCAGTCTGGATCCGATTATTCTCTTGCAACATTTGATACATCCGAAGTTGAAAGAAAAGCATAGCTCCAAGAGCCAGGAAAACTACAACTAGAACCCAATTAGTTTGCAAGATATCCCAAAGAGTTTTCTCAATCTCTTCAATTTCCTCAGAAATCTCATATGCTACAGTTGTCTCGGGCTTCCTTTCGTTTTCTAAACCGGCAGCCTTCTCCTTAGTTTCCATAGCCTCACCGGTAGCAGCTTCTGCAGCACCACCAAGTTTCAATGAAACAGTACCAGAATTCTTTTCTACGAAGCCACTAACCTCTTGTTTGATTAACTTTATCAATTCCGCAGATGCATCGACTTGACCGCTTTTAGTACTCTTTTCAATTATACCTTTCACCCAGCTACTCCCCGTCCAAATCATACGATAGCTGATTTTAATTTTGGTTTTGTTATTAGGACCCCAAGCCGCCAAATATCTGGTATCAACGGTGAATGCACTGCCCGATGGAACTTCTGGAGTCAAGGTCTTAAGAACTATATTGAAACCTTTATCAAAATCTTTCTCTTCTATAGTTTCGATAATTTTGCAAGTGGTGGATTTTGGTCCAATCGCATAATTCAACGCTTTTGTATAAGAATAATACCTTTGCAATTTATCGTTTCTAACATGGGGTTTAAAATTGGCATCCGTTACTTCATCGGCAGATAAATGCTTGTGTGGAACAATTGGGGTAATTTTAGAACCATCCAGAGCCTCGATGTATTTGAGCTGAAATGAATTATCCTCTCCGAAAAGCAAATCAAAAACTTGTGGTAAAGTGGCATCGATCACTTCTTGTTCGATTAAAACAATTTCATCATTTGTAGCAGGATCCATGAGAAAACCTGTTTCTTTATGCGTAGTTTGCGTGGAAGTGCCGGTTTCACTTGATATTTCTTTTTGAGAGGACACTTGGTCCTTTTGAACTTTTCCAGTACTGACTTCATTATCATCTCCTTCATCATTATCCTGTTCATCCTCATCCTCATACTCTTCATCATCATCCTCATCATCATCCTCACATTCTTCTTCGTCTTCCACTTGATTTTCCCCAGTGTCCTCATCACCATCTATTGATAACACCTGGTCTTCAAGAGATTGTTGATCTGATCCAGCAAGAGGCTCTTCGGCTAGATTATTTTCCAATCCTTTATAATTTTTCATGTGATTATCGTTATTATGTATTGATCGCAAGAATAGATCATTATTTGTGATAATTCCAACATTCTTTCTAAAATCGAGAAAAGAATCATTACTCTTCAGCAGCGCCTGGCTTGAGCTTCTTGACACTTGCCCAGAATTAGTATTCGCTAATTCTTTGGTCGTGATTTCTTGTTCTTCTTCAGGATTAAATTCTGGGCCTTCCTCAATCAAATCATTGTGTGGTTTACTGTCGACTGGCGCATCAGCAGGATGGAGCTGTATATAATTCAACCAGATTGTATTCAAAAATTCATAGGTGCTATCACGACTAAGAAAAGTTGCTAGATTATGTTTGGCGGTACGGGTAGTTATAGCAATACCATTAGGAAATAACCCAGCCGTTGAAGTCTTTTCGAAGCTTGTAATATCAGAAAATGAAATGATCAAATTAGTGACCCATCCGAGAATATTAGAATTGAAGCAAAGATTACGATCAGAAACATAAAGTCTACCTTGTAAAAGAATTTCACGGCTGAGGGCACAAGAAAAATCATCGATAAGGCGCTCATCTGGAAGCACAGATTTGAAAAGAATATGGAAATCATTGTTCCTAGCTTCAATGGCATAATGATACTTAGTTTCGTAGGCAGTTTCTTCCGAATATAACTTAGCATTGAATGATGGTGATTTATTAGCAAGCTGATCATCTATATCAGCATTAACCATTTCCGACTCTTCTGTAGAATTTGAAGAAGGAATTGCATTCAAATTAGATGTCTCTATAGGTTCTGGTGGAGGAACGTTACTGGTGCTTGATGTTGATATCTTCCGCGATCTTTTTCTATAAGAAATTATCTTAGGGGAGTTATCATTGGTTGTGGTAGGTTCATCTTCTTCATTTCTTACTTTTCGAACATTTAATCCTAGATCCTCTTCATCATATTGTGGTGCCTTTGGGGTGCGAAGAGAATTCGTAGCAGTGCTCCACACTGAGGTGAAAAATCCAGAGTTTCTGTTTGGTGATGATTCTTGTCCAGTGAATTCTGCATCATCCGCATTGGTATTCTCAGCTGCGTCATTCCTACTCTGCACATCACGAAGAGCTGCTATTGAACTTTTCTTTTTGAGGTCATTACCAGCCAAAGATTTCCCAATCTCCTTGAGATTATCATTGAATGACGCCTGTGCCCGTTTATGGCCCTTGCGTTCTAAGGGGCTTGAGCTTTCTGTCCCTGATGATGATTCACCTTTAGCTAGAGTTGTCGCTGGATTAGCTGGTTGGCCTTTCAACATGGAGTTACCTAGAGAAATGCTTGAGGCGGTATTGATGCCATTAAACGGTATATTGCTTGTAGAGCTATCTGAGCCTTCATCTTGATTACTACTCAGTTGGCCTGATGATTGCTTGATCTCGATCGGCTTTGTATCATTAACTATAAGGCTTTCATTATTCGCAAGAAGATCTATTGATTCAGACAGAAGCCCATCTTTATTGATTGGACTACTGTATATCTTTGGAGGCTTCTCTAAATTGTTACCCAAATCTCCCAAGTCTTCTTCTTCATTCATTTTACTCAATCAGTGGCAAAGAAACAAAACACACAGAAAAAGCAAACGTTGGAAGGGATTCAGAATTAAATTGGAAATTATTAATTATTAAATGATATCTCCGTCAGCTGGTAAGGGTTGAACTGTTATCTTTTATCAGTGAACACTAGACGTTTTAAGAATAAGATGTTTTATTATGCGAATTCGTTTAACAAAAATACATGGCTGCGCAAAGCAAAAATAAGTGTACCAACTTGCAGAAGCAAAATAACTCAATTTCCATCATATTTGTTGAAACAAAAGGGGAAGCCTTAAGACCACTAGAGTAATTAGATTTAATATATGCTTGCTCCTCCTTGGGGTTTGCAAGTGATGATTTCTCAATGGGTTTACAAATTCACAATGTAAACAATAGCGATAATATTTGGTAAATGCAAATAACGAATTTTTTTTTGTCTCAATTGACGTATCTTGCTATTATTTCAATAACCATCAAAGGTAAATAAAAGCTGGAGTTGAAGTAGCAAGATGTGTGAGAATAAACACAAAAATGGATACTAGGAAAAACAACTAGAAAATATATGCTATAAGATAGACATTTGGAGATAGATACTAGCAAATATTTACTAGGACTAGAGGCTAGAATTGGAGACTAGAAATAGACGCTAGAAATAGAAAGAAAGAAAATCATGAGGAATATGAAGAAAACGTGTTATAGATTTGGAAAGAAAAGATGGAAAATAGTAAAGAAGATCAAAACACAATCAAGCGACAACTAAGTTATCAAACAAAACACTGATACTTTCACCGTAGTGATCTCTTCTGATACATTCTGCGAAAATAGGACTCACATCCAAAACAATTAACTTTTCATTCTTTTCGCGTGCTTCCTTAGAAATAGGATAAGTATTTGTGACGACAATCTTATCAATGCATGGAGAATCATTAAGTTTTTCCAAGCAATTGTTGCTGAACACACCGTGTGTAGCAATAACGATAACCAGGGAGGCCCCACAGTTAAGACGACAATGTTCAGCAGCAGCAATGAAGGAGTTTGGCTTGTCAATCATATCATCAAGAATAATTGCTGGGCGATTTTTGACATCCCCGACAAGAGTGATCAACTTCTCTGAACGAGTTACACCTTGGGGCGTTATTTCAAAGCTATCTTCTTGATCAAGAGAATACTGGAAATCGTCGTCGTCATCATCGTCATCATCATAATCGTCATTATTGTCATTATTTTCATAGTTAGTCTCGGTTGTATTACTGGAAACAGGTTTATTGGAGACAACATCATCCCCTGATTCGACAACACTTTGTTGTTCATAGTCATCATCGACAATATGCCCCTTAATCACTCTCGCAGTTTGAAGTTCACTACTTAAAATCACATCACCTGGATCTTCATCTTCATCCTCATCCGCAAGAGCATCGCTATAACCAGCACGTTCAAGTTGCTGTTTTCTAAGACTAACAAGATCGGGATTCTTCTCTTTATTTGATGTAGAAGACGACTGGCGACGTTTGAGTAACTTGAGTTTTTCTTCTTGTTGCTGTTTAAGGAACAAAGCGTCTTGCGCACGACGACGATCAGTATGAATCATAGCAAAATTGATCTTGAGTTTATCAGCTAAAGCAGTTACCCTTTTGGTACCGCCAGGGTTCTTGGAAACCACCACGGCATTTTGATAGTTATCGACATTATTGACGATCCAGTTAGCCAAAATTGGGGCACCATAAAGATTATCAACTGGTCTTGAGAAGAAACCTTGCATTTGCGAAGCATGGAGATCCATGGAAACCACATGGTCTGCTCCGGCCATGATAAGCAAGTTGGCTAACATACGGGCGGTGATGGCTCCACGATGCTTTTTCATCTTCGATTGTTTGGAGTATGGAAACTGTGGAATAACCGCAGTGATCTTTGAAGCAGAACCACTTTTGCAAGCAGAAATAAGGATGAGGAGTTCCATGATGTGGTCATTGACGGTTGGGGAGCCGGATTGGATAATGTAGACATCTTCATCACGGACAGAAGCGCCAATGGACACGGAAGTTTCACCATTTGCAAATTTCTTGAGGGTTGCTGGGGCGGCAGGGCATCCCAAACGTTCACAAACTAGTTTTCCGAGTTCTGGGTGGGAGTTTCCCACGAAAATTTTACACTTGTGCATGGTGCAACCAGTCGATGAGATGGACAGAAGATTAATATTCCTCGAGGGAGATAAAGGAAATGACACAATGGAGAGTCGAAAGAGGGAGATAGTATTGTAGGATCTAGGATCTGGCCAAGAGTACCATTAACCACCGAGCAAATGTCGTGTATTGAATGGCTACCAAAACGAGTTCGGGGCAATTGTATTCTGAGTGGTCATCTCCTAAATCAAATTTTTTGCAAAGGGAAAAAAAAAAAAGCAGTTACCCGGGAAGATGCGCAACGCCAATTAATTGGGGGAAGATCATAGCATTAATTGGTGAGGAAGATCGATGGGCAGTGGTGCGGCTATCCATGTTGTGAAGAACCGTCACCAAACTTCATTCCCAAAGATTTATCAGTGGAAGAAATTGCTGGGGCCGCGTACATCATGTCTAACAGTGTGCAGCGATGGTTAGCCCGTCAGGTATCACTTTTGGTTTGCTGGCAATTCGCAGATAGCAATGAAACACCATGAATACACAATTGTTGTTGAACATTTCAACAAACGAATATACACATACATATAACCTATCGATTACAGTACAAACGTCGTTGTCAATACTGTTGGCATCTGAGGTGATGCTTTCGTATTGCACGTGATCAGAGCTGCACTTTTTGACTCTGGAAATCACCAGCAAAAAAAGTGCTGATACACATGTACAGTCTCGTATTGTCAGCATACAAGAAGCGACAATTAGTATAGAACCATGGTCCTCGAAACAATATATATCGCAAGAGTAAGTATTCTGTCGATCATCGCATGAGTTCTTTGTTTCTCTCACTAACACCCTTCTTTAAGCACGGATTCCGCTCTAATTGGCTCCCAGGACCAGTTCCAGAGCCGCCAACTGGTATCAACAGTGATAATGTTCTTGCACCACATGGTCTCGATCAAGCTAAGGAACTAGCTATCCATGTATCAAGTCTTGAAAAAAAACCAGAAGCTCTCTTCTCGTCTCCTTTCTACCGCTGTCTTCAAACTTCGACCCCAATAGCTGATGCGCTTGGCCTTGAGATTTTGGTGGAAAATGGTATTGGGGAATGGTATAAACCTGATCGTGGAATTATCCCTGAGCCAGCTTCACTCGAGCTTTTACTCAAATTCTTCGATAACATCAACACCGAATGGTCCTCATTGATCACCGCCTCAAATAAAGGGGAAACCGAAGGGGAAATCTTCGCTCGTACTCAACAATTCTGGAAACGTTTTTTCCCAAAATTTGAAGCTGAATTCCCAAAAATTAAATCCATCATGTTTGTGTGTCATGCTGCCACCAAAATTGCTTTGGGAATGTCCCTCATGGGATATTCTGGTGTTAGAGACCAGATAAATTTCAAGGGTGAAAAGTACTTACGTTCTGGTGCTTGCTCTTTGGATACCTATACTCGTGATTCTGCTGAAGGAAAATGGGAAATTGAAGTCAATGGAGATACTTCGTTCTTAAGCCAAGGCGAAGAAATGAGTTGGCATTTCAGTAAGTTTTTATTTTGTTTATTATTACTATTTTCTTTTCTGGTCGGAGGGTTTTCAATTTACTAACGCACTATAGTTGACAAAGTAGAGGCAGGGTCAGATGAAGACATTAAATTGAGAAGGGAAGCAGCTGAAAAGGCTGCTCATGAGAAAGATTCAGCTTCTGTGGATCAAGTATCTCAGGAGGAAGAAATCGAAGTATGTTGATTCTTTTTTTTTTTCTCTGTTTAGAATTTTGTGTTTAGCTTTTTTTAACTCATTACTTTCTGTTTTTATTTCATTTACCTTTTTTGTGCTCTTTCTTACACAATCATTTGATAGAATATACCTTATTTCAATACTAACACCATTTGTAGGATTTCTATGTTACAATTGATGTCCCAACAGCTGAGCTTCGAGCCAGTATCTCGTCCAGCCAGGTACCTAGTCATCCATCACAGGTGCATCAGAATTTTTCACTATATCATGCTCCATCCAATCGTGAGACTTTCAAAAAATACGTATATGAAGGAGAAGCCGGGTCCTCTAATAATAACCCACTTATCACTGCGACAGCTTCTGCATCACAGTACACTCCAACATCAAAAATGCAAATTACCGGTATTGGGACTGGAAAGCCACTCGCAAAAATCGATAATTTCCTTTTTCAAGGTGACTGGAAACAGCTCGTTGGCACGGAGCTTGTATTTTCGGAAAAGGGAGAAGTCATTGCTAAAGTTAATAATCATATAGAATTGATAAGAGGTGAATTGATTACGAGCGAGCAATTCGAAGCCAGAAAACACGATGCTTTGGCTGGTATGAGTTTATATCGCAGAGCTTTAACCATAGCGAGAGAGCGTGAAGGGGTAGCAGAGCCTGGGATTCAAATACAAGGTGAGCAGACAGGAGAACAAGAAGGAGAAGGAGAAGGAGAAGGAGAAGAGGGGGAGGAAGGTGAGAATGCCGAAGAAAAAGGTGAAATTAATATGAACGACGAGGATATTGAAATGACCCAAGATTAGATAGTGTATAATATTATGAATTATAGAGCGTTATGTTTTCGTGTCTAGGAATAGGTCAGGTCAAATAAAACTCATCTGGTAAAACCGACAGGAATATTTTTACCAGACACCGTAGCATCTTGAATCAAGTTCATTACTTGCTGTACGACATCTTTTTTCTCACAGATCCCAAAACCAGAGATATCCGACAATTGTTCTCGAATAACATCTGTTTGGCCCATATCGGTGTCACGAATCAAACCTGGACTAATGCAATTGACCCTAATGCCGACTCTTTGTAACTCACTGGCTAAAGTTCTCGTGAAAATATTCAAGCCACTTTTGGTCGCTCCATATACCGAAGTACCTTTGAAAGGAATTTCTCCCAATCCCGAGGACATATTGACTATTAATCTGTTTGGTGCAGCCTTTCGTACTGAGGGACGCATCATGATTTTGGATAGTTTTTGGGACAATACTATCGGGGCAAGTAGGTTTGTGTTCACAATTTTTGATATTTCATCAGTGCTGGTTTGTAAAAGAAGACTAGTTTGCATGACTCCAGCGCAATTGATGAGAATGTTGGTTTTCTGAAGTAAATGATCCGCCATGGATAAGTTAACCAGGTCCTTTTTAGGTTGAATGGTGAATCGCTTATTAATCTCTTCAATATCGGACAAGTCACAAGAGATAAATGCATGTTTCTGTCCCTCGTGAATAATCGGTAATTTTGATACATTTTCTTGTAGGCTTGATGAATTTCTTCCACACAAAACAACGTTACTGCCTTCAGACGCTAAACTTCTCGCAATGGAAAGCCCTAGGCCTCTGGAGCCACCAGTTATTAATGCAGTGTTATTTTCAAGCTTTCCAGAAGACAGGGAAGATAGATGAAAAAATCTTCTAAAGGGTATTTGCCAGGAGTTAATTCGAAACATTATATATTTCAGATTCACTAATATTTTGACCTCCCCAGGTTTGTATGGAGTCAATCATAGAGAGGAATTCCCAAAATGAAAAAGTTACCAGTGGCTTGGCTCCCAAGAACACCACCGATTTATAACTACATCAAGATTCAATAAAATTAATTATTTCTAAATTCATTCTCGCAAAAAAAAAACTATCGTACAAACAAGAATCTAATCAAATTTAACTTTCTTCCCCTTAAACTCGACTTTTGCAAGAGCCTCTTCGGCCTTTCTCTTTGCAACCCAAGAAGGATGCATGGCCTTATTTTCGTCAACCTTCTTCTTCTTCTGTCCCAAAGGAAGTCTATTTGGATTATTCTTTTCCTGTTCGTCCAAAATTTTCTGCTTAGCTGCTCTCTTTCTTACACGTTCTTCATATTCAAGTCTTTTGGTTTCACGCTCCGATTTGACTCTTTCAGCTTCCTTCTTGACATGGTTGGCACCATGACCATATTTCATTTCCCAAATCTTTTGTCTGGCACGTTGACCACGACGGTTTTTTCTTGGCTTATCTAAATTCTTCAAGATAGGATCGTTTTCATCTTTTTCAAGTTCCGAATCAGAGCCACCTGAATAGTATCCGGCCTGAAGAGAAGGTAAAACAATTTTTTCCTTCTTTTCCTTCTCCTCTTTCTTCTTTTCTTTTTTTTCTTTTTTTTCTTTTTTTTCTTTTTTTTCCTTCTTTTCCTTTTCTTTTTGCTCCTTTTTCTCACCATTGGTTTCATCACCAAAATCGAAAAAATCAGATGATTCATCTCCGCTATCTAACTCCTCGTCCGCACTAGGTTCTTCATCCGTTACCTGGTTGTAGTCAATCTGTGGTATGGCAGCTCCATTTTCTTGCCCCTCTTCATCACTTTCTGCCTCAGAGGCTATAACCATATTGTCGTAATGTGAATAAACGTTCTCATCTTCCTCATCTTCCACATCAAAATCTCTTTTTCTTCCATCACACTCCACATTTTCAGAATCATCGACACTTTCACTTTCACTTTCACTTTCACTATCAGCACTATCATTATCAGCACTATCATTATCAGCACTATCACTATCATCATCACTATTACTGTCATTGTCGCTTTCTTTCTGTGATTCTTTTGGTTTCTCCACTGGTTCGTTTACAATCTTCAAACTGTTTTCGGCCATCTTCATGCCCTCTGCCATGGTCTTATTATTGAATAGTCTTGATAATAGTTTCTTGGTATTTTCGTCTGCATCCCTATAAAATTTTGACGAGTTGTATTCATTATCTTTATCATTGAAAGCATCTTTTACCCAAGTTGGAATATATTCAGGAACAGATTTTTTCAACATGAAGATTTTTTCTATGAATTTTACTGTCTTTTGGTGAGCAATTAGATCAATTGCAGAATCATCAAACTTAGTTTCCAAAAGTTCTAACTCTTTGGCACTGGCTTCCTGATCCTTTTTTGATTTGATTTTACTCTTCATACGAATAATTTCTGCTTTTCTAGCCTTTTTGAGTGCTTTAGCCAAGGTTTCATTACTATAGTGGACTTTTTTTGGTAATATTAAAGATTTTAATTCCAATATTTCCTTCTCAGATTCTTCTTTGGTTGGCAACAACCCTTTTCTTTTTAGAGATGTGACAATCTCTTTGGTTCTTCTATATCTCCATCTCTTCTTTTGGGTTCCGAATTCTAATATATCAAGTCTTAAAAGACCGTTTTTCTGTTGTTCTTGTTGTTTCTTGGCCGCCATCTCACTCATTCACGAGAATTAGCACAACAATTTATAATGATTCTTTTGGAGAAATATTAGAAGAAACAAGAATTTTCAAACGCGCATTAGAAGGAGATGAGAATTTTTTTTTTTTTTTTAATGATTTTTCATTCCTACACGCACGCGATGGATCCTCATGTTGGTTTACATATCTCCAGAAGGAAAATAACATGAATTACGCTTTCACAAAACAATAAACAAAATAACAATTATTATACATATGTTATAGGATTATTCCTATTAGATAAAGAAAAAAAAATATAAAAAACTAAAAATGGGCATCGCAAATTGCAAACATAGCTAATTCAAAGAGCATCATTGAAATGTACTGAATAAAAATTTTAGGAAACTTCAAGCAAAACAAAAAAAAAAAATCATCCACATGGAAATCAATCAAATGGGTCGTTAATGTGAGAGATCAATAATTTCCATAATTTATATAGTTATTGTAATTGTTGCTATTGTATGGATCGAGTCTGTAGGAGCTATTAGAATCAGTTCTATCCAAACCATCATTGACCAAGCTACTAAGCTTTGAAGTTTCTGTGGACAAAGATCGGTCGTGGTATTGGGTGTTTTCAGAATCAGTATTAGAGACTATATCTGCATCGGCTTCAAAGAAAGATTCGAAATAGTTCAAAGTAGCGTACATATTGCTGATGGATCTCTTTTCGGGATTTTCATCATAAAAGTGAACCGGTTCTTCTCTATCATCATGGAACTCAAAAGCTCCTTCAACTTGTTGATTCGTGCTTTCTTGTTGATCACCATTTTCTTTGAGTTGGTTTCTGCAAGTTAAATATACCGCATGAACATTCTGTTTTGTGATAGCTGCGGTAACCGCTGACATTGGAATTGACCATCCACTATCGTCAGGAACCCCAAATAATGTAGCAATTTTCTCATACTCTTTTCTCAAAGTTCTATTACCCAAACTCAATCTGATGAAATCTTTATCAAGTTGACTTCCTGAAATATGATCGGTTTCATCAAGAACTTCTAATGCTTTCTCAGAATATTCCGTTAATAACAACCTTAATAATGGTGAGAGTAAATCGGCACCCACACCTTGAAACTCCTCTCTAGTTAAATCGTTCATTGGGAGTAAATATTTCAATAGCTCCATAGTTTCCAATTTGACCCATTTGATCTTGTTCATCAACAATCCCAACAAGAACACCAAACATTGTGATTGATATTCAGGGAAGTAAGATTCCTTTATGAGATAGAGTGCTTGACTGATAAAGTCTTCCTTCTTCCGGAACTTATTATTTGCTAATGACAACACAATTCTGGAAACCCCTTGTTGATTTTCTGCCAATGCCATGTTACTTAAAATTTCCGCGGCTTGCTGAATATCTTCAGTAAATTCTTGTTCTTCGAAAGCATGCAAAAACCTTGGCATATTGGCCATTAATGCCATCAATAACCTTGAAGGACCAGCAATCACTTCACTAGATGTCAACTTGTTCAATCTATCCAATAATTTCATACTTGGTTCCCAAGCATTTGATGACCTCAATCCAATCATCACAATGTTTTGAAGACCTTCGAATTTTCCTTCCCATTTGGTTGGGAAGGTAGATATCAAACAGCTGATAGTATCTTCAGAATTCAAATCAATTTTAGAGATGAATTTAGATATGATGGAAATGACTTCAAGAAACTCCTTTTCGTGGACCGTACTCAAACAAGCAACTGCCGCCCAGAATAATTCAGGGAAAGATATTAATTTTTCAGCGCTCAATTCAGCGGTGATAGCATTCAAGCTCATAAGGATTTGCATTGCAAATCCTTGGATATCATCATTTGGATCAGAAATTGTGCTGGATAAACGGTGCAACATATCAGCTAACATAGTCTTATCCAAAAATGACAAAAGAGAACGGAATGCTTGGAATGATCTACAAGCGATATGCCTGACGGAGCATGTGGTGGCCCATGATAGTGTAATTCTACTCCAATCAACCTGTAAATTACTGAACTCAGGAACAAGCGCTTCCAAAGAGGTCCTTATCAATTGATCCATGTTCTTCGGCGTCCTGGCTCCATTCCTATCATTATGTAGATCCTCATATGTCCAGACACTCTTAATATCGTGCTTTCTCAAATTTTCAATAGTGGCCATTGCCTTTTCGTCATTGTAGGCCAACTCATGAAGCACTGTGCAGAGCAATTCAACTGCATGAACTCTGACAATAGCCAAGTAATGATCTAACAAGATAACTGAAATATTCAACAACATAGGCAAGTTCTTGATGATTAGATCACTTTGAGGTTTCATCTTCAATAAATCAACTAAAAAGATGGTTGATATTTGGCCTAATGAGAATAAATCTCTGCTTGCCGCTCCCGGTAATACATAAACATAAGGTAGTTTCGTGTTCTTTAGCGGATCAACTGGTCTGCTCTCTGGCGGAATCATAGCCTTTGGATTAATATTCTTCATGAGTTCCTCAATGATGGTTGGGCATGAAAAATAAACATAATTAACAACTTGTTTAGCAGACTCAATTAGTGGGGTGATCCTTTTATGCAAGCAAATTGCAAACATATAATCAATAATGACCAGGGCATTACTTTCTTCATTTCCTTGAACCAATCCAACCCATAAGCTTTCCACTTCTGGAGTATAGATACCACCTGCATGGGTGGTGATTTCTATCAAATTATTCAACACCATTTCAGTACATATGTCCCGACTAGAAGGGAGCAAATAGTATGCTGCATCAAATTCTAACTTCTTCATATTGACTGCTTCAACCCAAGGGATCATGATGGTGAGAATATCCCTCTGAGAGCTTTGTGCCACTTTGTGAAAATATAATGACAACAAGGAAATAACATTATACTTTTCCTTTGAATATTTCACTGAGAAGTATCTTGAAAGATTATCAGCGGCCTTCTTATAAACTGCCTTTGAAGTAGAGCAAATGCAGTCCACTAATTTTTCCACTGAATTGTCTTCATAAAATCTTTTTTCAATGTAAACCAACAATTTCCCAGCCAACTTCCTTGTTTCTAAAGATGGTAATCCAACAGCATACAAAGCTAATACAATAATTTCAAAAGCTTCACAACTGTATGAATTATTCTCCAATAAAGTTTCGCAAATGGTGACAAAGTAACTTTCAGCAGTTTTATTATTTTTGTGTGAAGCATTATAAAATTCTTTTATTGCTTGATCAAAAATTACCTTCTCCTTGTTGAATGCCAACAAATTCTTCAAACCTTTCTTTCCAAGCCTATGAAGAATATCATCATCCGTCTCAAAAATTGCCTTTATCCAAGATATTAAAGATTTATAATCTATGGCCATAACAACAAATGACTTGTTATCTTTCACGATTTGATTCATAGCCCCAGAGCACAAAGTTGCCATTGAACTAACAGCAGAGTATTCCAAAGCGGTGGTTTCTAGTTCAATTGCCGCACTGAATGTTGGATTACTGGAGTATTTTTTATCCATTCTCATTACCTGATATCTCTTTTTAGCAATTCCTGCAGAATCACCATAGCCACACCATTCTTCCAAGAATGTAAAACATCCCAGTCTTGCTTCAAATGGGAACCACTTGTCTGGATGCGGAGTCTTTTGGACACCGGTGAACACGTTTTCCAACAACCCACAGAAATATCTTCTCAATTTCTGATACTCAAATGATTCTTGGACTTTTGACGCCCCCAAAAACAGTCTCACAGTTTTTACATAAGCAATCATCTCCTTCAAAAGCCTTTTATCCGAATAAATCTGTTCTTCGGATAAATATTTCGAAGTCGCATGCAAGATTCTAGTTACCTCAATTCTGATTCTCATATTTGCTTCATTCACTGAGCCCGCTCTAATTTCCGTTTCCCAATTAGACCGAATTGGTTGAATCACCTCCACGAGTGCTTTGAAGATATTTATGTTGATACAACTTAATCCAGAATGAATTGCGTCTGTGATCAATGGTTGCTCGGTGCTCAATAAAGGAATAACTAAGTTAAATAGCGATTTCGCAGAATTTATAGAATATAGCGGAGCTCGGTTGTTGGAGACTTTGCGTTGGTGTGTCATAGCCGAGCTTCCTGGCAATGGTGGTAATTCCTGCTTTCCTGTTGATGTTAGAGATGTACAAGCCACGATCAAGAAGAGCTTCCATTGTTCAATAATCACTTCAGGTTGAGTATCCGTTCCTGAATTTACACTACCACTGAAAAATAATTTGTTCGAGCTACCAGAAGTGATAGCTGGTTGACCTTTTGGTTTCATGTCTGCAAACTCTGAGATATATTCATGAATCTGGATCATTCTAACACACACGATAGAGCGACATAAGGCCATCGTGACTGGATTTTTTTCAAAGATTATGGATAATAGTTTAGGGAGCACCTTAAACCACAAAGTTAATTCAACACCATAATCGGCTTCTGCTAACTTGACCAACAAGTCTTTTCTGTTTCTGGATTTTAATGAGGCTAATTTTTTTCTTTCTGGCATACTTAATTGCAATTTCAAAGAGCCGATCAAATCAAAAAATGGCACGGTCTCCAAAATATGAATTAATCTTGTATCCACATCGGCCGCAAACTTAGATTTTGAGCGAGTATGTTTCCCGTTAGACTTTTCATAAATACCGGCACTGACATCACTTATTGGTCCATTTTCCATGCCGAAGCCCCTTGTAGAAGTTTCGAAGATCACTTCGTCAAACTTTGGAATGATTTTTAAAATCGCCACTGCCAATCTTCTAATAATAGTGCTTCTTGAACAAAGGAAAAACAACCCATTTCCTTCAACTTGTTCAATGGTGGCAACAATAGCATTCAACTCCAAATCTTTATGGGGGTCATTTCCTTGGCCTGATGGATTATCACCAGGGCCATCCTTATTGAGTTTTGTATTAGCCATATTCATCTTGAAATTACCATTCAAAATATAGAAATCATTACCATCATTATTTAATGCCCCATTGTCCGGTTTGGCAGAACTTCTCAAAAATGATAACCAGGACATCAATAAATCCAAATAAATCTTCAACAACTTCTCGTAAGTTTCTGAAGAAGAGGTCAAGAAACTGGACCTGTACTTAATTGCGCTATTATTTTCCTCGGCGAAATTGAATGCAAACTTTGCAAATGTAGATATTAAAGATCCGGAATTTTTTTTGTTGCATAATTTTTTCAAGGTAGCAATACTCACTTTGGAAATCTTTGGATTCTCATGAACGGAATTTCTGGTTAAAATCTCTACTAACTTCTTGTATGGAATGACATTTGATAACTGATAAAACCATGGGATAGATTCTGCCAATTTTTCAAACAAATCAATATTCAACTGTTTTTTGTTGAGCTGTTGAGATGAATCAGAAGAAAGAAATGATGAGAATGGTGATTTGGAGCTCAAAAATGATGGCGAGGATATCAGTGGAGCATCGGAACCTCCTTGAATACTACCTAATTGACCAAAGGCATTAATTCCAGTATTAACGGTGGACCATGCGGTGGTTCCAATTTCATTATCCAACATTAAAAATAATTTGCAGAAATAGTTAGAAATTTCTTCATGGTACAAAATATCATTTTGATTCACATTTTTTGTGTTCAACACCTCTTTGATATTAATGGTGTTAAAGTTGGAACTAGGGGCATCAAATGCACTATCAATAAAATCACATGTGGGGTACTTTGGTCTAGAATTAGATATCAAGTCGTCTAAAATCAAAATATATGATTTCAAAACAATCAATAATCTTTCTTGTGAGATATTATCCAAGGAGATCATATTAAATGACTGTTTAATTAAAGGCAATAATAATGACTCCATAGTATAATTGATATTGGAATATCCAATGGAACGCAACAAAATCACCAAAGGTTTTAATACTTCCAAGTCATAAGTCAACCACTGTTGCTTTTTAGAATTTGTGTTCTGGAAAAACAAAACCTTGAAAATGGCGTCAAGCTTCTTGGTAGTTTTATTTAGAGACTCAGTACATCTGAAAATATACGTCCACACCAATCTGGCTGTTGATTTAAGGAGTGTGATTTTGGAAATTGTGTTCAAGTTGCTGGATTTAGCATCCTTCAACACCATAGAAAATGAGAGGTAATCATTAGGATCTTTCACAATGTTATTAGCCTTTGTCAATTTATTCGACAACTGATAAATGAGTAGATCATACCAATTATCGTAAAAAATAGTTGAAGGTGATACTGATAAACAAACACACATCAATTCAAATGCACTTTCCCAATACTTAGGCTTATCAATGACAGAGTTAATTTTTTTCAACATCGATTTCACCACGTCAGCCCACACCGGCAAATCGGTTTCTGCATTCAAAACTTCACAGAGAGGCAATAATAATTCGGTAAGAGTTTCACAATATGCATTAATCATCATATAGCTTGTAGATTTGTAAAAGAATTTTGCCACTGATGACAAAAACCCACAACTTTCTTCAAATTCTTCTAACGGATAATTGGTCAACTTTAAATTTCTCATTCCTCTAACTAACAAACACAAATACATTTCAGTGCTTCTTGATATATTCGCTGGTGACTTTTCCAAATCAGCAATGAACTTATCAGAGATTCTTGAAAATCTCTTGGCAGAAATCTCTCCAATAAGAATTGTGAGGCAGTTCCAATTAATTAATTTCATTTTGTCATTGAGAACGTTAGCAGGATCCATGGATTTTAATTGATGGTAAATATTTTCTTCTAAAGTGTTGTAAAAATTCATATTTTCTGAATTTAGAGGGATTTGTTTCACTACTTCAATTAATACTCTGCAAACCAAATAAGCTGCTGCATTGGCACGATTCTCGGTCTGAACGAATATCTGCCTTGCTTGTTCGACTTGATTTTCCAAAAACTGTAATGACATTGCATCATTTGGATTTAAATCACTACCGTTACTATTTGATTTCTCTCTGGTGAAGCTCATTGATGAAGATTGACTTGAGCCGTTTCTGCTATGTAAACTCATTTTAGAGGATGAGGATCCATGCAGTGACCCTTTCAATTGCTTTTGTTTCAACAGAAGTAAATGTTTGTTTTTATTGTATGCATCAACAGATGAATCGACTTGGTTGCCTTTAGCTTTTCTCCAATACATCACAGAATCCACCACCTGTTGGGGTTGCTTTTTAGCGATATATCCCAAAGATGTCACCACCTTATCGAATAATGCATCGTTTCCCCTCTTGAGAGACTCTATGTACTTGATGCTCAACTCGCCATCCAAAGGTTCCGTTGCGTTCAATTTCCGCTCCGCCAATCTGATAAATTGAGTGAAGATCATATGTAAGGTGTATTCGGAAGGAGTTTTCAATTCTGTGGTCAACACTCTTCGTACATCTTGAGTGTTGGCTGTGTTCATGTTATTTATTGATTTGGATTGAATTGAATTGTGCGCTTGAAAAGATGGCAAAGGTTGAGGTTTATCTTGATTCATACTGGTTGCACTTCCTTTGTTTCTAATTGATCTGATTGAGCCTAGCCTTGATACAGCTGCTTTTGAATTATTAGTTGGAACATGATCACTATTGTCATTTATCGGTGATTTCAACGGAAAGCTAAAATTTGACATGTTATTACTATTAGGTGTGTTGATATTGGAAGGGTTGTTTTGCAAGTACAGAGCTTCGGGAAGCTTTATCGAATTAGCGATACTGTTTGATCTCATCAACGCCTTATTTGAAGCATCATCAAACTCTGGGATTTCTATTTGGTTGAAGCCCAATCCACTGGTATTATTATCACTATTCGTTCCAACTCTCAAAGAAGTTGATCTTCTTTGAATTTCGTCTAAATCAATCTTCATGTCATTTGTGATGATATCATCAGCTTCGGGGTTTTCTATGATCTTGTAACGATATGACTGTTGTCCAAAATTCTCATACATTGGTCGTTCCTGATAAGTATTATTATTATCCTGTTGATATGAACCTCCATCGGTGTTAGGCTGGGACAGGGGAAACGAAAAGGAGTTTACCGATTCAATGGATCCCTCATCATTACCACTGGAAACAGGAGGAGGAGGAAACGTGTAATTTGACATGATCGTGTATTATCTATGAGGTGATTATAATACTGCGGGGCCTGGAGGTGGGCCTGAGAATAAACAAGCTACTGTGCTTGTTTTTTTGTGTGTGCGTGGCAAAGATGGATGTGGTATAGATCTGCTTCCTGGCTTTTGAAGTAGGAGGAGTAAAGCCATTTTCGGTGGCTAATTATTGATATTGGAGTTGCATGCCTCCGTTTAGCAAACCGCTGCAGGGGTGCGTAACCACGGTGGAAAAAAAATTGGGAACGTCGCCGGCGCGGTGGGCCGATCAACGCAGATCCGTGGCGGTGAGGATAACGGCGGCAGGCAGCGGCGACCGCCTTGGAACGGCACTCACTCACTGTCTCACCCCCCTCTAATTTGTCCCTACTGGCTGATACTAACACGGGGTGCGCGTGCACTTTGATTTATCATACAAAAAAAAAAAAAAAAAATAAAGCACTACTCAAAACATCAGGGAAGTTCGAATGAGGCTACTGATTTGCCACCTTCCCAACCATCAAGATTTTACACAAATATAATATTAACTCTCAAAAGCTTAAAGTCTTGGGAATCTCCTTCGGATAACCAAACACCCATCCATTATAATGCCCAATACTCCCCACCTGTCGACCGATGCACCGGGCTCTTCTAGTAGGCTCGACGAAGAGATTATTAAGAACAATAAATCGCATGCCCAATTGAGTCAGACTGCGAGCAATGTTCGGATCATCAACCAGAACTTGTTTAATGCCACTATCAAGATCAATATCAAGACAATTATGATTGTAACGAAACCAGGGGACATGCAATTGGTGAAGCTAACTAATGCGTTGACCAGCTGGTTATTAGATAACTATGACTACTTGGTGGTATATGTCGACAGCCATCTTCAAAAGCTGGTGAAAGTAAACATTCCAAATAATAATTTAGATGCTACAAGAGGTCAGGCACTAAATAGTTTGGATAGTAATGACAACCACAAGAAGGAACAAATGTTGGGAAGGTTGAAGTTTTGGAGTCAACGAAATTTTGAAAATGATGAAAATTATTGTGATTTATTTGATTTGGTGATAACTCTTGGAGGAGACGGAACAGTGTTATTTGTTTCCCAATTATTTCAAACAGTGGTACCTCCAATTATTGCATTTTCGCTTGGTTCCCTTGGTTTCCTAACAAACTTTAAATTCAAAAATTATCAGAGAATCCTCACCAAGATCCTCAGGCTAAAATACGTAAAAACCAATTTAAGACTTCGGTTATCTTGTGAAATTGTCCATGCTAAAACCAATAATGTGGTTATGTCAAGAAATATTTTGAACGAAATCACAATTGACCGAGGCTCCAATCCATTCCTTACTAACTTGGCTTTGTACGGTGATGATTCCTTAATCACTGTGGCCCAAGCCGATGGGTTATGTATTGCTACTCCCACAGGCTCAACCGCCTATTCTTTGGCTGCTGGGGGATCATTAGTCCATTCATCGGTGTCGGCTATTAGTGTTACACCAATTTGCCCCCATACTCTTTCATTTCGACCAATCATTTTACCTGATAGTATGGAGTTGAAGGTGGTTATCCCAAGAGGCTCAAGGTGTGAAACATCATGGGCTTCGTTTGATGGGAAATCAAGATTCAAATTGAACAAGGATTACTATGTGGTCATCCGAGCCTCGAAGTATTATTTTCCGACCGTGATGAATGGTAATAATGAATATTTTGAAAGTGTTAGCAAAAACTTGAATTGGAATAGTAGGAAGTTGCAAAAGCCGTTGAGATTTGTTGATAACTACAATAACAGTGATGACGAAAGACTTGGTAGCCTAAGCGATGTGGAAGGGGAATCCGTGATCATCACAGATGATGATTTTGAAGAGACTGACACTGATGATAATTCTGACGGTTATGGTACTGCTAGCTTTTATCAACAAAATGAAATCAGTAGTGACGATGATGACTACATTGAAACTCCCACTATTCCTTTCCATTATATTAATGAAGCCTTGGAAATATTTAGTGATGAAGAGCATGATAAGCCATCGAACAGTTCAAGACAATCCTTGAACCTTGATTCACGAAGATCTATTTCTAACCACAGCTCCAGAAAGATTCGTACCAACTCTTTTACCAATTTCAATCAAATTTATAGGGAGAAGCTTCATTTAGATACTTCAAGTGTCTCCAATAAATTGCATAATCTCAAGATTAATAGCGGAAGTTCTTTAAGTATCGGAAGATCAAGGAGCCGAAACAATAGTGCTGTGGTTAGTCCAGAGTCTATTCAAATGGGTGCTATCAGAACTCAACTATTGTCACCTTCTCAAAGATCATCCGGAAACAACAAACTTCTTGGAAATCCGCCACTGATTGCTGGTGCCGCTAGTGCTTCTACCAATGATGTTTCAAAAATTCTGAATGCTGCTAATTCCAGCTCTGACGTTGCTACCGACATTACTACTGGCAAACAAAAAGAAGGGGAGCCAATCAAACAATCCCCTTCTCATTCGACAAATATCGCATTTGAGGTCTAAGTATTACGACTCAAAGTCTCTCTCTTTTATTTTTATTTTTTTTAGAGTGATTACTTATTTTAGAGGAGTTGAATGACTCTTCTCTAATTTTGTAAATTTAAATTTTCATTTCTATTATACTATAGGTCTAGCATTTGTGTTTATATTCAGTTATTATTTTTCTTTAGTTCTCAATCTCATTCCTTTTTGCTTCCCATACCTTGGGCCGTAATTTGTAATACTGGCTTGCCTACTTTTGGCGTTAAAAGTTTCAACTACTTCGTAGTGCGATTATTATTCATAATAAGAAATCTAGAGAGATTGAATAAAATTAGGAATTATATAGCCCAGAACTAAACAATAATATGAAAAAAAAAAAAAAAAAAAGAAAAGAGAACCACATAAAATGACAATTCAGAGCTATATTAAGAGCAATCGTCAAAATCATCAACAACAGATTATCAAAATCATTAGTAGCAGATTATGACGAAAAAAATGGTGGGAACAAAATGCATGAAGAGGGGGACAAAGAAAGCTCATTGCTGTTGGTTGTTCAACACAAAGTAAGCAGCAGCAATAAGGGCGACAAGGATAGTCAAGATCAAAGGCAAAGAAGAGCCACCAGATCCAGCAGCCTTGTTGCTGCTGGAATCACCAGAAGTCACTGGCAAAGAGGCAGGATCAATGTCACCAATGTAAAGATCTTTCAACATGTCTCTGGCGTCTTCAGAGTGACCGATGTCATCAAAAGGTTGGGAGGCATCAATTCCACCACAGTCAATAACTACTTCTTCACCACCTGGGTGTTCTGGTAAGAACTTGGTGCAATCGTACACCTTACCATCGATGACCATCCACAAATCGTCAGCGGTGTTGTGTTTGGCGACTTCTTCGAAAGAAAAAATTTTTACTTCTGACATGGCTGTACTTTTTTTTATTTATGTGGTTATTGAATTGAGGTAGGATAAACGAGTGTGACCTATCTGCTTATTGGGATGCCTAATAGTATTGATTTGTTTTTGTTTTTTTTTTATTTGATTTTTTGCCCAACATTTTATATATGTCGTCTTATCTTCACTCGTATAAATTTTTTTTCACAGAAAGAAACGTGATCACGTGGGAAGATAATAAATGATCCTCATTGCTTTTTTGGCACCATTAGGAAACCTTCTGCTGGGGTTTCGGCCAATCAGAGGACAATGTTTAGTCAGTCATTGCCAAAGTTGACAGTATTGCGATTCTCAGGCAATTGAAATCAATCGCAATGTTTATTTATTGCACTCTTTAAAAAAAATATCTTGTAGGAGAAACCATCTGATGTGAGAAAAAATAAGCAGTTATGCCGGTTTATCTTTATATTTTATAGCAGCTCTTCTTCAAACAGGAGCTCTTAGCTCGCATTCGAAAGAAAAACTAAATAAGATATATATATAACAGTGCGTGAATAATATCCCTTGTTGGTCGTTTCCGATAAATGAGAGATAATGGATGGGAGTACCGACAATTCTGGCTGAGCCAAAATGGACTGAGCACTTACTGCCGATAGCTGGCCACATGTTTGGAACTATAGTTCCTCCTTCAACAACCATTTGCTTCTTTCTTTTTTCTTTATGTGTTTGATTTACGGGGAGCTCCTGCAGATAACTATTGTTGTTTCTTCTTTCTTTTTCACCTGAATCGGAACCTCTCTTTCGAACATGCTACACTGCGAACGTTTAAGTAAATTCATACACTGAAAACAAGTGATGAAAATTCAGTCGTAATTCAAAATAATAGTTAATCTTAAACTTTTTGTATCCTGAATTTCTATAACAAGTGAGCGGGTACAATTCTTATTTTAGGGATGTCAAACTCTATCTATTTATTTTACTTTCATTCAATTTCAAAATGAATTATTTTGCAGTATGAAACACCTTCTTATCGTAATTAAATCCAAGGACTTTTCTGCAAGGCCCACGCAACGGAAACATTATCCATATGACTCGTTGCCATAGCAAAAGCTTCAAAAAAGACTAGCCAAATTGAAAACAGCAATTATCGAAGAAAAAATAACTTCCTCCATCGTGCATAGAACTATTTCATATATTTTTATATTTTTTTTTTCAATTCAAAGTTCGATTTATTAATAAAAATATATATATGTATATAAAATCTTTTTCATCTTTACTAATAAACAAAAAACAAAAAAACTCCACAAAATTCAGGCCTGTGTTTTGTCCAATATGGTCAAGACGTCAAAGGAATCTCCCATCTGCAGGTCATACTGCACTTGAAACTTCATTTCAGTTGCAAAAAAATAAAATAAAACGACTGCATCCACAATACCATAAAAGGGTTCGTTGGAAAAGGGGAAACAAAAGTGCCATTTCCAAAAAAAAAAAATAGGGACGTTGCTGATGATTGTGATAATAAAATATATAAATAATGCCAAAATGGCACTAATTACTTGAATATTTCAAAAATTATATTATAATCATCATCAACAACAACAACAACAACAACAACAACAAACATATTTTTATCCTTATTTTTCAGAACAAACATCAAAAATGCTTTTATCCAAGATCTTGCAAATCACGATCCTTACTATGCTTGCTCAATCTTATCCTCTTGGCTCCTTGGAAGACCGAGAAGCCACTGACCAAGGTGCTCTCGCCAAAAGAGCAAGTGCAGGAAAATCAGAAGAAGTCTTACAGACTCACAAGAAAACAACTGCAGAAGATAAATCTTCCAGTTCTGGTAAAGAGAAAAATAAAAGTGGCTCATCTAATAGTGCTGAATCAAAATCCAATGGCGACAAAGCAAGCAGTGGTTCCTCCAATGGTGGCATACAAAAGCCTGCTAGTGACGACACAACCAACAGCGACTCCTCTTCCAGTAAAAAAACAAGCAGTGGCACTTCCAATGGTGGCATACAAAAGCCTGCTAGTGACGAAACAACCAACAGCGACTCTTCTTCCAGTAAAAAAACAAGCAGTGGCACTTCCAATGGTGGCATACAAAAGCCTGCTAGTGACGAAACAACCAACAGCGACTCTTCTTCTAACAAAAAAACAACCAACAGCGGATCGTCTGCTGACACGCCAACTAAAGTTGATCTGGCTGAGAAAACTGCTACAACAACTTCTGGTGAAAAAACAAACAGTGGTTCCTCCAATGGTGGCATACAAAAGCCTGCTAGTGACGACACAACCAACAGCGACTCCTCTTCTAACAAAAAAACAACCAACAGCGGATCGTCTGCTGACACGCCAACTAAAGTTGATCTGGCTGAGAAAACTGCTACAACAACTTCTAAATCGATTAAATCTAAAGTAATGAGTGGCGTTAAGAATGCTGGTGAGCTTGCTGTTGCTGGTGGTGCCATTGCCGCTTTGGGAGGCCAATTTGCAGACAGTGGTTCTGATTCCGCTGATGCCTCTACCTCTGCTTCTGCCGCAGCCTCATCGAGCACATGCGTTCCATCAGCCGAGAACTTGTGTCCTGTTGGCGATGGTACCTATACCGACAGCGAAGGTGACATCTACAATTCTCTCGGTCTGTTAATCAGTTCTGCCACTGCCACTGCCACCGCTACTGCCACTGCCACTGATAGTGTTACTGACACTGCCACTGCTACTGCCGCCTGAAAGGAACTATTTACCGTATCTATCTCTTCAGATTCAAACTATCATCTTTTATGAAACTCAATTGCGATTTTTGTTCAAAATAATTTTTTTTTTTTGTTTGCTTTTATAGAATTACTCAAATAGAAAATACATACATCTCTAATATGCTTTTTAAATTACAATTTTCCCATTTTGTTTTGGTGAGAATGGGCCGCATTATTTTACAGAGATAGAAGCTTGTACTGGTTTTCTATCTGATCTAGATATTTCGAAATTTGTTATTGTTACTTGCTATTGGATGTGTATTGAAAACTTTCCATGATCAACAAAGCTATTCTTCTAAGACATCAATGAATAAGTAAACTACCAATACATAGTATATTATATATGTTACGATCCTCAGAAGATTCTTAAGAAATGGCATATCGCATAATGAAATATTATGGTTTGTCTGTTTTGTTTTGTGTGGTCTTTATTCCATTCGTAACGCATCTCTATTGTTCTTGCAGCAACGTTACAGTTTCAAGTTAATGGTGGAGAAAAGGATAAAGGTAAGCCTAATTGTCATCAAAATGGTCTTATCTTTTAAAATAATTCGTTCAGGGACTCAGTTTGAAGCCAATCAGCATAAGATAAGACAATTTCTCCAACCTTTTTTTTTCTTTTTTCTATCAAATACAAACAATAGTGGTTTAGAAATGTTCAATGCGGAAGCCCATTAATATCACTAATCAATCTTGAAAAACGCTTACACTGGGATATATAATAGCCATACTTCACCATTTTAATTACACCGGGTAGAAACTAGATTAAATTAGTCACTATTAATAAACGATAAACTATTATTGCGAGGGAACTATAAAATACTGGCTGATAATAGTTGGTTACGCAAAAAGAACCTACCAGTCTACACACGTGACTATTTTCTGTATGATGGCGTTTGGGTGAAATTTTACACACTCTCCATCATCTGCCAGTTCCAACAGTGTGACAATGATGGAACGCCAGGTTTTAAATTATCTCCTCCAACCATAATTCTATAAGATATCACCCGAGCACCACCTCCAGAATGGCAACGGTAAGTGGTGCAGCTATCTTTAAAAAGAAGAATGGGTTGCTCTCTATATACGAGACGGCTGACCCACCCATGCTCAAATGGATTGCAGCAGATCAATCTGTTGCCATACCCAGGCTAGATATCCCTCTTCGATCAATAACGAACCTTCAAGCCTCGCCTGCCACATCAGATAAACTATTAATTCGTTTGGTTCATACGCTAGAGGGTGAAGCAGAACCAAGTAAAACCGTCTTCAGTTTTACCAACAAGATGATTATGGAAACCATAAAAGATTCGCTCCGATTGATTGTCGAACGGCAAGAAATGTCCAAAGAAACTACCAAACAATCACAATCGCTACAAATTCAACTAACACAATCAAAAGACAATCTAGAAGAAATATTGGACCCAAAGAAATTATTGGACAATCTAGAACTTCAACAGCGATTACTCAATAGCGAACCAGGTCTAAAGCAGGTTTTCACAGAAACTGTTATTAGAAATAAACTAGATCCACAAGAGTTTTGGAAAACCAGACTCCATTTATTGGGTACATTTGCCTTAAAGAGCAAAGCAAAAAAGGGTCCATATAATGTTTTGAGTACCATTAGTTTGGTGGCATCCAGTTACAACAGTGTCGAATTGAATGTGACCAGAGAAAAAATCCACGCAATCTTTGATCAATATCCTATCGTCAGAAAGGCATACGAAGATAATGTGCCTAGAATTCCGGAAGGGGATTTCTGGTCGAGATTTTTTGCGTCCAAATTGTTTCGTAAATTACGTGGGGAGAAACCCAATAAGAATGAAAAAGGGGATCTCATTCTTGATACGTATTTGAAAGTGACCGATGAAGAACTTGCATTAATGGATGAAGAAGACAAGAATGCCAAACTTGCCGAAAGAGGAGAAGATGATGTTAATATTGATGATATTGTAATAAATAGATTCTATAATGTGGAAGGCAATGAGGATGATAATTCACAAAAATTGGGTAATCAACCCGATTTTACAATGAGACCTGATAAGGATAAGGATATGATTTCTATTATGAGAGGGTACAACAGATTGAGTAAAAAATTGGTGGCTAATGTGGAAGATGAAGAAAATTACATAAAGGCCAAAAGAAGAAAAATCTCACCAGCAGCAGAATTGGAAGAGGAGATCAAAGAAAAAACAGAAGAGCTTCGTTTCGAAGATTTGGGGCAATCAAATGATGCAGAATTTGTGGAATTGCACGTAAACAACTTCAAGTCAGTGCAAATTAATGATAAATCCAGTACCGTCGGTGATGCTGAGGTGGCGATGGTGGTTGACAAGATGAAGAATTACTTCCCTGAAGGATCAATTGATTTGAAATCGGTTTATCAAGAAAAACAGTCCATTGATCTTGTGAATAAAGAAATCTTGTCTAATCTCATTAAAAATGCTAAACAGTCAAAACAGAACTGGCAGGTTGCCCAAACCATGGAGCGGGATTTCATTGGCAGCACTATTGCTGATCCTACAACAGCCAGTATGTCTGCAGTTGAAAATATAATGAGCGCCATTGGGTCATCGACACAGGTTGATCAAGTGTCTTCTGATAAGCTCAAAATCCCAGGGCCGCTGGTGGAAAACCTTAGATTGGTCCATATTACGTCTGAAGAATTTCTCAAGCATTTTTGGCTACATTTCAATAGCGGAGATCCTGCCCAAGTGAACACCACAAAAAGATTGTACAATAGTATCAAAAAATGTGTGAAGAGAGTTTATGCTGCTATCAAAACTGTTAAAGACTCTGCACCTCCTGAAAAAGCTACTGAGCATGAGGAATATGCTAAAACTTTATTATTGCCAGTGATCAAATCTCTTATTAAGGCGAAAAAAGAGTACGAATTGGCAGAAGCCAATGCAAAGGAATAAAATATTTACCAATTTTGTGAAGATTTTTCCTCTTCTCCGTTCTCTTTTATGTAATATTAATGTCATAGTATGATAATTTTGGACAGCATGATCTTGTAGAAAAATTGATTTTTTTATGGTTATGGTGTTGCCGTAGATTAAGGTGCCAAATGCCTTCCTTGCCTGCAGGGTAAATGGAAAAAACCTGTGATGGGATATATATAAAAGCCATCCCCCCATCGCACACCAAATGAAAGAGAATACATACACACAAAGTCAGCCTTGAGAAATATGTCTTCCACTAATTTTGAATCACTTGTCAAACAATGGCTTGATATAGATATTAATCCAATCACCCGTGGGCAAATTGAGAAATTATGGGCCGAAAAGGATACAACCACATTGACCCATCTCCTAGCCTCAAGAATCTCTTTTGGTACTGCAGGTTTACGAGCCAAGATGGAAGCAGGATTTAATCGTCTTAATGATGTGACGGTACTTCAAGCGTCTCAAGGGCTTGCAAAATACGTTCAAGAACAGATTTCCCAGCCGCACAAAGGAGTGGCGGTGGTTGGTCATGATCATCGTCATAATTCTAGAGAGTTTGCTAAGATCACTGCGGTGGTATTTGGGATTGCTGGATATAAAGTGAAGTTTCTTGAATTCAAAGATGATTCAGAAGGTGCCAGTAGTACGCTTGTGGCCACGCCGTTTGTGCCGTTTGCGGTGGATTTATTCCATGCCGATGTTGGGGTAATGATCACTGCTTCACATAACCCCGCGGCAGATAATGGATATAAGGTTTATTGGAATAATGGGTGCCAGATAATCCCACCTCACGATTCCGGAATAGCCAACGCGATCCTTGAGAATTTGCAACCTTGGAATGGAGTGTGGGAGTCGTATAAGAATTTTGATGATTTCCAGGGAGATATTGAATTTGTCAAAGAATCGGTGACAAAAGATTTTTACCAAACTTTGAAAGCTAAGGTGGTTTTGGATGTTGGGTTCACAAATAATGACTATCAGCAATTAAAATTCGTATATACCCCGATGCACGGGGTGGGACATGAATTTGTGGTGCCGATTTTTGAAGATTTGTTCAAATTATCGGAAAATATTAATTATCATGTGGTAAAAGACCAAGCTTCTCCTGATCCTGACTTTAAGACAGTGAGATTTCCAAACCCTGAAGAAAAAGGAGCGTTGGATTGTGCCATTCAAACCGCCAATGATGAAAACGTGGACCTTATTATCGCGAATGATCCTGATGCTGATAGATTCAGCGCTGCAGTTCGAGATAAGGAAACTGGTCAATTTCGTCAATTGACCGGTAATGAGATCGGGTTCCTTTTTGCTAACTATGTAATTGACCAAAAGGTTGCTTCTGGAGAAGATTTATCTAAAGTTTTTATCGTTAATTCTACGGTATCTTCTCAAATGATTGGATCGATGGCTAAAAAACTAGGATTTAACTTTTGTGATACTTTAACTGGATTCAAATGGATTGGTAATAAGGCCATCTCATTAATTAATGAAGGCTATGACGTTCCATTTGGATATGAAGAGGCGATTGGTTTTATGTTTGGTAATGTCCACGATAAAGATGGTCTTGCAGCTACGACGGTTTTCCTACAATTATACTACCACTATGTTATTAAACAAGGAATTTCACTTACTGATAAATTGGAAGATGGATTTAAAAAGTTTGGGTACTTCAAAGAATTCAATGGGTATTACAAATTTAGTGACTTGACCATCACTGAGAAAATCTTTGGAAAAATCAGAAGTTCTTATGTTAATCAACCCCAAAACATTGGTGATTTCAAGTGTACTTATTGGCGGGATTTGACTATCGGATATGAGAGTTTGACACCTGATCATTTTCCTTTATTGCCGGCGGATAGCTCTTCACAAATGATCACCGGGATCTTGGAACCAAAGAATGCTGATGATGGGCAATTTGTGAGGTTCACTGCCAGAGGCTCGGGTACGGAACCAAAGTTAAAAGTCTACATAGAGGGAAAATCTAATACCGAAGCTTCGGCTGCTGAATTTGCTAAAAATGTTTGGTTTACATTAAGAAAAGAATGGTTCAAACCAGATGAATACAATTTAGAGGAAGTTCATCCATGACGGTGTATTTTGGCTGATAGTTACCTCCTGTCGAGATGATGATTGGTATAATACTAAGATTATTATATAGAGAACTATAAAAAAAAAAAAAAAAAAAAAGTTTCATAACATACACAATTAATATAAGTTTAGAAACGATATATTTAGGAGCTGCCTCCTCGTATTTTTTTCCCAGATTTCAAGAGTAAAATAATCTAAAACCGAATTTGGTTTCTATAGTTGAAAATATGAACTGTGTTTGATTATAAAAAGACAGTAAGAGAAAGTATTTATTTGTGGTTATCAACAGAGAACGCGAAAAAGAATATAAATTTATTATCATGAAATTTTAGAGAAACACTCTAGTGCAATCTTGAACAAAATGTTTTTGGGCAAACACTTCATTTGAGTTCTCTTTTTGAGACCAACTTGCATTGTTCTCTCATAGTTATGGTGTTGACCACGTCTCATTTCAAATATTTGAGTATAATTCAATCCTTCGGTTCATGATATACTGTCAACATTCTAGTGTAGGTTATGATAATGAAAATCATGGGCTGGCCAGCAGCTCTAAGTCCAAAATAGACTATAGTATTAAAATTGCTTGAAAATAATACTGGATTCCACTCTTTTGATTCATTTCAGAATTATTTTTTTTCGGATCATTGAAATTGTTGCCGTTTAAACTTTTCATTACTTTTCTTAAACTCATACCACCTTCTCGTACCATTGATGAAACTCTAATGGACCCACTTCCACCCCTTTAATCGACCTGAACTGTACTTTCATCCCTTGTGAATCGTTAGCCACCGCTGGGTTTCGATGAGTTTGATCTGATTTATTAACCAATTGCTGTTTAGTATCTAGCATCCAATCCTGGCTATAATTTGTTATGCTTAAGTCTTTATGGGTCTCAAGATACACATCGTAAGAGAGTTCGATGTCGTAATTATCCAAGACCGTTCTATTTTTTTGGGAATCAGTAGTAATTGCCGATGATGATATTTGATTAATATTCTCAGTAGCCGGCAAAGAGTGTGCTTTAATACCTCCTTTAGCCAGACTTTCTAATGATGATCCAAAGGATCCCAGAAATTGGTCAAATGGATCATTTTCAGGTTTTTGTGGTCCTAGATCAGCTGGATCACTATCATTTGCGATTCTCAATTTAGCTAATAGATCCATTACCGCAGATCTGAATTCTTCATATACCATTGACCAGTTGAGGGTATTGGTCGCATCGATTTGTTTTGTCAAGTCGTCATTAGAAGGGATATGTATCTGGGATAAATCAATAGTGAATTTTTCGATGGGGATCGGGTCAATTGATGGATTGAAGCCCTTGGTGTTTTTTTTCGGAAACAAATTCTTGAAAATTATAAGCGATACGCTCTTGATTCTGTTAATGGTTATTGATCTGTCATTTTTATTGCTGATTTCAATATCATCATCGTCATCTTGCAGATCGAGTATCTTATCAGAGAATCTGTTGATACTGGTTTTTTGTTGGACATCCACCAAAAGCTCGAGTATCTCTGCAACCAAATCCTTCTGCCACTTGATTACATTGGGATGTCTGCTCATGGGAACTATGATACCAAAAGAGGTTAGTTCATTGGCGTTGAATGATTCTGGAGGATATAATTTCCTATGGTAAGAAATGATATTGAGCCATGACAAAATGAATTCCCCGAGGGTGAAGTATAGGTTCTGGGGAGTGAATGGAACATTATTGTTTGACATTTTATTGTATTCAATACTAATAAAGGGTATCGAGTAGAGGATATATATAAAGAAGCAGAGCAGAAAAATTCTGGAGTTGAGAGGAAGCATTGTGATCTAAACGCACGTCGCCATCCATCTATATGTGATGGGGCAAAAAAAAAAAATAAAAAAAAAAGTGATTATAACACCATGAAATAGATACTCTGTCATAATTGAAAAAATAAAACATTAAATCATGTTGGACAATTGAATTAAATGACAAGACCAACCGATATACAATCATTGGTGCTAATTCAAGACAAGCAGTTACCCGTGGTTTACCTGAGGTCGATCGCGGTTATCTCCAACTTTGTGATTACCCATGATACAAAAGTAATCATTCTTGACTTGTTATCGCTGTCTGGTGATAGATTCCCGTATGGGGATTTGGGACGCCATATCCAGCAGGAATTACTAAAATCCAGCCAACTTTTACAGGATGAGTACTTGGGACGGCTAAATAAGGTACTAGGCTCGATAAGTTACTTATCCAGCGACTCACTTGTTGATTTGCTAGAGCAATTGAAACTGCTCAAACTGGAAGGATCATTGGCAGGTATTGGTCAGGTCGTGGTGAATGGGATGAATAAATGGTATCATCAGAATATAAGTGCAGGGAAAAGGGCGATGGAGTACTTACGGATAATGATGATGTTGAAGGAGATTAGTGCCAACACCACCACGCAGATTATTATGACTGATAATGAGTATGTGGGGGCTCAATCAGTGATGGCGTCTTAATAAATAAGATATATACATATGTCTTCTACGTTTAACAATTATTGGTGGGTGGGTGGGGGATCTGATCTATCACAATGATAAAGCCCAAAGATCTTTTTGTATGTGGTCTCACGTGCCAGCGCGCCATTTTCCCACACTTTTTTGATGGTTATAAAAGCATCGATTGCTGCTGCCACCACTTTTTTGACGTTGGCTCTATTATTATGAATATGAATACTGTTATTGTTATAAATACACACCATGTCATCCCCGGCAAATAACGACAACGATGCCAGCAACCTTTTGGATACCAAAAATACCATCAGCGAAATCTACTCGAACTCGTCGCTTCTCGAGCAACTCGTCTATGTGGAAACATTTATGCCTGAACTAGACCATCCAGCATACACTGGCCCTGCAACCAACCACAGCAATATGGAAGACGATTTGAAGTCATTTGTTGATAACTCATTTATATTCACTGACGAAGAAAAACCAAAATTCAATGGCTTTGGTCAAGACGGTTACCCCGTTTCCCCTCGTGCCCTTAACAATAATACCACTAACGATATCAACAGCAATCCTCAGACTAATAACTTCCATTCTTTGACAAATAATAGTGACAATGATAGCCACAGTAATGCCTCCCTTCAAGTTCATATTCCTGCTGGTGCTAGAGCCTCATTACAAAGAGCAGGCTTAACAGATCATCAGATATCCATGTTGGCGTCTTTGATCGCCAAAGAAAATCCTCATTTAGCTCAAAATAATGATAATAATAACGATAATAGCCAAGCCATATTATCGGCTCTAACTTCTATTACCGGTCCTATTACAGGTTCAACAAACCCACTTTCTAGTTCCACGAACAGTGACACTCTCAATAACAACTCTGCAATCTCCCCAAGGACATTTTTAAAACCAAGCCGCATCGAAAAACTTAGCAATTTTCGCTCATCTGCTCATGGGATTTCTAAAACCAGCGTACCATCTAATTCCGTAACTGCCGGCAGTTCTGTCGATGGAAGCTTAGATTCCATGAGTTCTAGGATGAGTAATGCCGAAACTATGCCTTTAGATAACGATGATATCAAGGAGAACTCATTTGCCGTCACCGAACAGGATAAGCGCCGCAGAAACACTGCCGCCAGTGCCCGATTCCGTATCAAAAAGAAACTTAAGGAGCAGCAGCTTGAAAGAGACTTGAGGAATCTACAAGAGTTGGCGTCAGATTTGGAGCTGAAAGTAAAGAACTTGAAAATGGAAAATCAGCTATTAAGAACTTTAGTGGTTGAAAAGAATATCAGAAAAGGTGAGGAAGAGGTGGAGATTATGAAACGGAGGGCAAAGAAAGATAATATTGAAGAAAATTAGAATTTTGGGTTTAATGGTCAGGAATTGTTTTTTATTGGTGGGTATTGTTTTGGTTTATATTGTATATTAGTTGTTGTTTTTTTATTATTATTGTGATCTATAACTTAGGAGAGAATTTAAAAATCGATCGATTTTGAAATAAATTGTTCCATACCACAAATAGTATTCATTGAAATCTTGTAGAATAAAAGGATTTAAATACAAATTGTTGTTTTATACGCTGTTTTTTAAAAGGCAATTGAAAAAAAAAAAAACTTATATTTGAGCCAACTCCGACTACAAAGTCAAGAGAAAAATCAGTGCCAATGCTAATCCTTCCTAGGCAGGTGCTTTGTAATTTTTTAAAAAAATAGACAACCACTTAAACAGTCGGCATTTTGTAATCTTATTAGGGTTTGACTTAATTACTATCAAGAAATATATATGAAATTCAGAGTGAATGTCTTTGGGATTTGCTGTTAGTGCTTGGTTTCTTTCTTTTAATCCTTCGCTTCTTCTGACCTTCACCTTGGGAATGTTTGACTGTAATCGGAGCCCCTAAGTCTGATCCATCTGATTCATAAATTTTTCTCTTTTTTGGACTAGTATTTGCGTCCATCTCATTATTTTTTGTGATAGGATTATCATTTTCTTGTACTGTGGCCGTATTTTTGACATCATCTGTAGAACATGATCTGCCAACTCCCACTTTTGTACTTGAACTTTCTCTATCCTGCTGTTCTCCTTCATCATCTTCATCATCAGTACTATCAACCAACTCTATTTCTTTAATCATATTCCTGAGAAACGACACATAACCATCTAGAAAGCTTGAACTATCCTTGAAATGTCTGTCAAATCCTTTGAGAACAACGTTTCTATCCTCAATTTTTTCGACCATAGTATCTGCCACTTCTTTATCATTATCTGATAATTCAGAATCCTCATCCGGTGATTCATTAGCATCACTTATTTCTGTTGGATCATCACAATCATCCTCGAGTAATTTATATACCCTATATCGGGTGTAAGTTTCTCCAAAGTTACCACTAGTTTCTGGAGTTGGCGTTGATTGGGAAAAATTGGAACTCGAATCCTCATAGCTTATATTTTGGTCACCAATTTCGGTGGTGCCTCTGGTGGCAGCCCGGCTAGTCTCTAATCCACCACCACCGGTACTCACAACCGAACCAAGATCTCCGTGTCTTTGGGAGTTCTGCTGTTCAGGAATGTAAAAAGTACTATGGCTGTCAATTTCTTGGTAATGGAGCTGGGGCTCGGTTTGGTACTGATGTTTGTATTCTGAACCTTGAGATAAGGGAAAATATATCATAAACTCTGGGTTCTGGCACATTTTTTCATTCGATTGATTTTTTAATGTTTAATTTCTTTGTTACTCTCACTATTTTTCTTTCGTTATATAAAATCACTGTCAATGGATTTCTTGTCTGTAGTTTGTGTCCTCAAAGCCTTTGACCTGGTTTTTGGTAGGGCGCGACTAATACTGAAATTTCAAAGATTTTTTAGAACGGTTGTTTTGTTTTAGGAGTTAAGGTAAGTTATTTTTTTAATTTCTTCCTCTTATGGAATATCTTATTAGCAAGTTAGAGGTGGATCTTAGGACAAATGTTTACACCATAGCCAAAGAACGAAGATGCGAAAAACAAAATACAAAACCTTTCACTGAGAGGAATTATCTGCAGCGAATGCCATAAATTTACTAACTTAATGATAAAATTGAAAGAATAATGATATTTTTGTTTTGTTTTTGTTTTTTCACTTTAATGAGAACCTGGTCAACTAGATATTCTATAGTTGCTTTACATTGTATGTTCGCTTTTATCATTCATTAGTTTATTGTTATAGTTTGCTGCTAATTATCTTTTCCATAGAGATCCTGTGGCATTTTGTGTTTGTGGCATTAAGAATCTGCAAAGTTCATCAAAGCACCATCCCGTATAACAAACTCATAACCTTTTGATTTCATCGATAAAACTATTTTTTTTTTTTGGTGAAGATGGACGATATGGCATGTTGAGAATCATGCAAGAAGGATCTTTGTGACACAATATTGTCTGAGTTACTCACTTTAAGATCAGTTTTCCTCTCTCTTTATTACTGAACATAGCTCAATGATATAACTCCAATAAAACAAATATTTCCTATATTTCAGACTACAGGCAATCTTTGGTATTAAAGACTCGATGACCTTGAAAAAGCTACATGCGCTACGACCCTTGCCCAATGAAATATCTCTAGTTTTTTTTTTTTTACAAAGGAAACAGAGGCCTAGCAACACTTGATGTATTCCATCCTCTAGCTTCTGATTTCATCTGTTCGATTTACTGTGTAGAGTAAGAGTGAGTCTAGAGAATAATTAACAAATCTTGAGCTACAACCATATTTTCAAATGGAGACATTTTTCTTTTCCCCATATCCATTATAAAAAATCACTAATAAATTAGAAAAAGTGATTGACTAAAATGAGTTATACTGTGTTTTTATCTGTTTGGTGTGATTAATTTTTTCTGTATGATATGTGCTAGTATCGCCAATAGTTCTTGGGCTTTTCACCTATAGGGTATTTCCTGGAGAAAAAAAAAAAAAAGAAAAAATCACCTCCGTTTTGATACAAATTTAAATTGATCCTATTACAAGCTGAAAAGTAAGGCTGCTTAATTTCTGAAACTTGAAATACTTCTGTATTGCTCCAATGAGCATCAATACTCAACAGTTGAAGCTTGGATACAACGAAAAATCTCGAAGTGATTCTTAGTTTATTCTTACAAATGGAAAGTAAAACTTCCCTCTATCTTGTATAGATAAGACATTATGATTGTAGATTAAAAAACTTAAATTAGCAATACAGATTCAAGATAAGCTTAGTAACCGAGAGCAGCCAATTCTTTACCAACCTTGGTTTCGGCAACGGCAGCGACGGCAGCGGATTGCTTCTTGATCAAAGCCTTCTTCTTGGCGTAATATTCAGCAGACTTAACCTTTCTCTTTTCTTCCAACTTGGCGACAACGTCTTCGTATTTCCAGCCAACTTCGGAAGACAACTTACCAATGGTGGTGTATTTTCTACCTGGCTTCAATCTCAAGACTCTGAGAGCTTGTGGGACAACAACTCTCTTCTTCTTGTCGTATGGTGGTGGGACACCTTCGAAGACCTTCAATCTTTCCAAAGCAGCCTTACCTCTGGCAGTCTTGTGTTGGACCATACCCTTGACAGCCTTGAAGAAGATTCTAGATGGGGCACGGAAGTGGAATGGACCACGAGTCTTGTTGAATCTGGTACCCTTTCTCAAGTAGTCGTAGTACTTCAACTTGTTTCTGAAGAATTCACCAGAAATGTTGAGAGATTCAGCTCTGACAACAACAATCTTTTGACCATCCAACAATTGCTTGGCAACAGTGGAGGCGAGACGACCCAAAAGGTGACCCTTACCTGTGAAAATAGTTAGTATTAACTAGTCATAATCCCAAAGTGTTGACACAGCCGTTGTGAAAATGGTAATCGTAGTGGATAGATGTCTTGAAATTTTTTTTTTCTAATGCTTGCCGTAAAAAATAACCAGCCACAAGAGTAAAACTTGATCTTTTTGAAATGAGAACTTTTCACTAATGTGATTCTTTGTTGTTGAATAGCTCTAACATATGCCTGTTGTGCTGTAATCTTCATTTAAAGTGAATATTTATGATGTTCAATGTACCACATTTTTCCAACATCTTCTTCTCATTATTAAATACTTCTTAAATGAATACATAATTGGGTTTGTATTTAACTGAAATATGATTATATCTTCCCAATAATATTCATCCATTCATAATAAAAATTTTTCAATAGTCAAAACATCCCAAAAACAAACACTATCCAACGGGTTTACCAAATTTCCACTGCTTATTGTGTGTATCTGAATTATTATTCTCAAGTCTTTTACATACCGTCAATGACAACAACTGGTTCGAAAGTACTCATGTTTATGTTGATACTTCTGTAATATAGACTCTCCAGTATTAAGAAATCAATAGAGTGAATTCTACTAAAATTTTTCAAAGTGTAAGAAAGATTGATTTTCCCAAGGTCGGTCAAGCGACCGCGTGCTTCGTAACCAGAAAGGCGAAAAATTCCCCCATCGCGCACCCAGCGTCGGTGCGCCTGCGAATATGGTATACTGTGTGATATACACGTGAGAGTGTGACACCACATGTCATGAAGATTTGTAGGGCTCGTTAAACAAGCACATGAGCAGTGCATGATACTTATTTGAACACAGCCCTAACAAACACAGTAGCATCAAACACCTTTTTGGGTCTTTTAATCTCTTACACACAAATATATATGGCGATTATATGAAATTATATGGCTCTATGCCCTTTGGTGGAACTTTTGATGGATTGCATTTCTTTGCTTTCTTTCTTTCTTTCTTTCTTCCTTCTCTGGTCTTTTTGTTGAGCGATTTCAGTGTGGAAAATTATATTTTTGGATCCTCGAGCCAGGAATGTGCCGGGACGTTACTCTGCTGTGGATCCACCATTGGCAGCCGCGATGATAGCGCCGATGATAACACCAAACAGCCATAAATGGGTAGAAATGTAGGGGAAATACAAGGCTTGATATACAAACTTATTGCTTGTGTTAGATATACCCGAGGATCTCTATTTTCAGTGAGCAAAAGAACATGATAATTGATAAAATCATCTATGCACACGATCTTTGTAGCTATTATGTATTCCCTCTCCCATATCTCTTTTGAATGACCTCCCAATGAATAAATAAATAAATAAATAAATGAATAAGTATATATATATATATATATATATATATATATCGACCATAATTCATTTAATAATTATCAATTCCTTAGTTATTACTACCTCTCCCCTTTTCATCATTGCCTCATCCATTTTTGTGGAAAAAGCCTGTCAAGCAGCATCACTGCTACCGTAGCACGGGGGGCCGCCTTGACTGTTTCATAATTTTCTGGCGCATAACTGATCGCTGGGACATCATCTTAAGGCTAAACAGATATATATATATATAACGCCTTCAATGGATGACAAAGATTATTATATATATATTATGTTTTGAAAGAATTAGAAAAAAACTTAATGTTTAATTCTGTTTCTCCCTCGATAATATAATAATAATAATAATAATTACCCAGTCCGAAAAAAAATATGTCTGCCCTCATTCACTATTGTCATTCTGACAGCTTATCTTCGAACGAATCATTTTATTCTCTTGAATCCGCATTCGATGAACCATCCCCCCTTACAAAACCTCGCACTACCAACTTTGGAACCTCTCCTCGCTTCTACAACTCAGTATCCCGTAACTCATCTCGAGTGTTTGGTGCTTCTCCATTCACAATGAACCACCACAACAAGTCCACCACCAGTGTTGCAACTTCCATCTTTGAACGTGATGTCGAAAGTCCTAGCAGTAGTATCTATACTATGAGTAATGCTTCTCTCAATTCTATCCCAATGCATCATAAACAAGATGACCTTGTTGCTCCAGCGTTGAATGCCAGTGTCGAAGCCTTAAGCTGTGACAAATCAGGGTTTAAGAATATTGATGTCATTTCTTCTTCCAATACCAGAACTGCGGATTTGCTCGCCAACTGTTTTGCTAAAAACCCAATAACCAGAGCCAATTCAATGTTTACCAACTCTCCTAGAAGAAATTTTACCTCGTCGCCTCACAGGATACACTCGGTTTCCAGTAAACGTACCAACGTTTCCGTCGAAGATTTGGTTCGTGATCGCAAGAATTCGGTGGTGTCTTTTTGCTCTTATAATGATTATTTGGAATCGGAATCAAAAGAAGCTGGGCAACCAATTGAATCGAATAATTTGTTTTCCATCGATCTTGATTTATCCCCTAGAAACGCCTCGATTTCCAAGATCTTGTGTAAAAACTCCTCCACCGCTAATATCTCTTGTGCTGGGCTTGCTGCACCGCCATCGGTGGTGGGGAAAAGATCTACTGCCTCGGTTAAGACTTCTTCATCGCCATTGTATAAAAATTCCAATACTTCCAATATTTCGATGCTCGAAGAACTCAAGTTCAAATCGTTGATGACCCGCAAAATGTCCAATCTTGACAATACTCTTGCGTTTTCTTATTCCGAAGAAAAAGAATTCGACGTCTCTCCAAAGATGACAATGACACCAACTGCGTCTCCCGTGGCTCTTAGCAAAGCTTACGAACCAAGCAGTGCCGTTTCTTCGCCATTAGAAGATGACGAATTGGAGTTCAATGCTCACGATGAGTTTGAAGAATTCGAAACCGTGTTAGAATCAGCGTTTTCTTATAAGACAGTGAACCAACAGCCATTGCTGAGCTTGAATGTTTGTTCTTTAGATGATACTATCAGGGAAACTCAAAAGGAGTTATCCTTCAGACACTAATGGTCTTTTTAATTATTGCACAATTTCATTCCATTTTTTATTTCAATTCTTTGATACCTTAAAAATTTGATTATATTTTAGGACTAGCTTCTAGTTTAAGTATAGTTTTTCATGTTTTTTTTCTTCTTCTTTTCTTTTTTTGATAAATGGTTTTTTAATTGATTTTCATTTCGTTTACAACATCAGGTTTTTTTTCTTTTTATTCTTCTAAACATGTGTAGATTGATAAAATTATATTGATATCACATTATTACCATACCACAAACTTGATACCTCCAAGTTTTCCAAATCATTCTCCAGCGAATCCTTCTTCTTGAAATAACTGCTGACATTATCCCCATAATCAATCTTCTTCAATTTAATATCGTCTTCCCAAACCACGACCGTAGTTTTATCGGTCAACAATGTCTTTGCAGTTTGCCAACTGTAACGAATCACTTGGTTCCAGCCAAAAATATCATGGATTTTCCCGTTTAAATATCTAACGGTCTTGGGATCACTAGGGTATCCTGACCCCATTTCGGTATTGTCTGGGTTGCTTAGCCTTTGTAGTTGTTGGTACTTCTTTAAAAGCACATCTCTGGTGACCTTTGCTACCACTGAGGCCGCACTGACAATGGGATATATAGAATCGGCTTTCTTTGATACCGTAACGTTCAAAGTTGGAAAAATCTTCGATAATTTGTCCTGATACGTTTGTGGAGGACCCACGGTATCGATGTACACCTCGGTGACTTTGAACCCATCTAATAGTTTGAGAATATTCTGGATTAACGCAATCGTCGTCTCATGGGCCTGGTTATTCAAATTATTGAAAGTTTCGGAGTTCAACATCTCCAGAGAAATATCCCTGGCAGTCAAATTGGTCATGGCATATCCGATTTCCCCATGCAATTGTTTTTGAGGATCGGCAGCACTAATATGAGGATCATCAGGATCAGCAGTGATGGCATACAATAGCTCGAATCGTTTGAGATCTGTCAATTTCTTAGAATCGTCAAAATCAGTATCACTGAGTAAATGGAGTGCCGGCTTCCGGGCATAAGCAATGGCATACACCATCGACCCCAACACCGGTCCACGACCTGCTTCATCGATTCCAAGGATTATTTCGTCTTCTGGATGGTTTTGGATTTCCTGGGGTATCGAGGAGATATAAGTGTAGGAATCATGGACCGACAACTGGTGGGCGGTAGAACCAGCATTGGTGATGGTGGTGGCTCTCAAGGCGTCGTTCACGGTAGGTGGGACATATTCAATAAGATGAGGTGGGTACTCATTGTTGGAGGTCTTTTTCCTTTTCGTTGGAGGAGCACTGGAGTCGGAAGTCATTTTATTATCGTTATTGTTTCGTGAAAGTGTAGAGTTAATCATCATTTAAAATATTATAATTTATGGTGATAATAATAATGATATAATTTGACGCGTCGCGTTTGTGAGAGGTGGTGAGCCCCGCTGGAGGGTGGCACAGTATAAAAAGAGGGAAATCGCCGCCATTTTATCAAATTTTTCACACTGCTTTCTTTCTAACATCAGTCAGGACTGGGACAGGATCCCAATCCATTGTTTATTATTAGGGTAAGTGTCATCTCGAAGAACATGTCAAGTTATTAATCAATTAATATTCACCAAATGATGAGTACAAATCTGCGTTATCGTCTTGAAATTGTAATGAAAAGGAATTTAAGATACCACTGAAAACTTTGTGAATGAGATTTATTTGACTACTATTGGGTTTTTCACTATTGTGCAACATAAACTAACTTATTATAGAACCTTTGATTTCTGAAGCCTAGCTATATCGGATACCTGGCGCTCACATACAAAGTAATAAATATGGAATACTGAACAGGGAAATGATTTTGAATATTTGTAAGCATTAGTAGAGAGATACAATATACCAGAATAATTTAAAGAAGGAAGACAAAATATGTTGATTTATTCTTGCTATTTATCATCTGAGTGATGGCTATTAATTTATGGTTTATCCATCCAACTTGGCTAGCGCAGAGTGTGGAGCACTAACCCACTGCATTGATAATGGACAAGGACCCCCCCCCCCTCCTAGCTCTTTTGTAGGCTCTAATAAACGGCTCTATTATGGAAATACTCAACAACTAAGCTTTATAAACCATTATTTTAATAATGAATGTCATCTAGGACATTCGTTTTGTCTATTGCTCCAAGAATCATTGGCACACGCAGCGCCAAAAAAGTCATCAGAGAAAAAGCGATTTCAAACAAATCTCAAAATCTCTATCTCATCTACCTTCGACCATTACATGCCTCGCCATGTTGAGATCCTTCATTTCGTCTGTATCTGGTAAAAGATCAACTGCATCACTAAACAATGGACTATTATTAAAGTCCCTGGCTCGTTGGGGATCAAATTTGAGTAAGCTGGATACTTTTTCCTACGAGCAGCGAGTGGAGATCGTCACCAAAGATCATGACAATCATTATCCTTTAATTGATAATATTCGTGATGCTGCTCCGAAATTGACCCAATCTCAGCTTTTACGAATTCCACAATTCAAAACAAATTACCAGTACTTGACCAATGAACAATCAGAAACCGAGAAGTTGCATCTAGTGGAAGGGAGAATCACTCGAATTAGAAAATCCGGCAAGAAGTTAGTGTTTCTCGATATTATCCAAGATTTCCAAAAACTTCAAGTAGTATATTCTCTCACCACTATTGCCGACCAGTTGCCAGAGTTTTCGAGGGATGACTTTGTCTCAACTCACGAGTTCCTCAAAATTGGTGACGGAGTCTCCATAAAAGGGATCCCCTTCAGAACCAAATCTGGAGAATTATCAATTAGAGCTCATTCTCCTCTCAAGTTATTGAGCAATTCCCTAATTCCTGTGGCTCAAAAGACGACCATCGATCTCGATAGCAGATACCCTAATTATAAGGTCTGTAATATGATCATGCAACCACAACGACTTGCCCCGCTAGTGGTGAAGAGTCTTGTCACCAACTCTATGCGGGATTTCCTCATTAATAAACACCAGTTTATCGAGGTAGAAACCCCGATTATTGCAAATACTGCTAATGGGGCCAACGCTAATCCATTTGTCACCCAATCAGAACACATGAAAGGTCAAGACTTAACTTTGCGAATTGCCCCAGAATTGTTCTTGAAGAAACTTATCGTTGGTGGATTTGATAAAGTATTTGAAATCGGTAGGGTATTCAGAAACGAAGGTATTGATTCCAGTCATAATCCCGAGTTCACCACTTGTGAATTCTATCAGAGTTACACCGATTTAAATCAACTTATTGAACTAACAGAAGATATGTTAGTCGCGATCTTAAACCATGTGAGAGAATACATTAATAATACCGGGAATATCAAAGGCGAGGAAATATTGAAGAACATTGATGAAATCTTAGCCAAATTCAATTCACAACAAGAACAAAAACAGGAAGATCTAATCATCAACAATGATGGAACCATCATCAAATCGCGGTACTTCAAGCTTGTGGAATTTATTCCAGCAATCGAAAAGGTGACTAAATTTCCATTACCGGAAGACTTAAACGATATTGATTCTCTTAAGCAATATTTCCAGACGATTAATCTTCCATTACCTCTGGTGATATCGGTACCGAGTCTTTTGAATACGCTTGCCAGTGAGTTTGTGGAATCGCATTGTGCTGAACCATCATTGATAATCAACCACCCAGCAGCATTGTCGCCGCTTTCAAAATGTTTTACTAAAGAATACGGCACCAGGAAATTCGAAGTGGCTAACCGATTTGAAATGTTTATTAATGAAAGAGAATACATGAACGCCTACGAGGAAGAAAATAGTCCGTTCAAACAATCATTGAATTTTCAAAACCAATTGAAGTTCAAAGAAGCGTCCGCCGATACAGAAATCGCGATGATTCCTGATGTCAACTTTATCAAGGCGTTAGAATATGGGATGCCACCAACTGGAGGTTGGGGTTGTGGGATCGATCGTCTCACAATGTTAATTTGCGGGGTACTGAAAATTGGAGATGTTCTTAGTTTTGGGAACTTGAAGGATGTGATAAGATATTAGATAGTGTAATTTTTTTTTCAATTTGTAGATATATGTATTATGTATATATTAGTGAAATTATAGATATATAACTCCTAAATGGAAAACCAAAACATGTTTATGTAAGTGAGTATTTAGTCTTACAAAGCCATTATAACATAACCGACAAGAATATATATTAAGAGGAAACAATAAACATTAATATGGAATGAGAATATCTCAAAGATACTTCTTCAACCCTCTCAACTTTTCAACTGCTTCTTCCAAATACGCATCATCTTTACACACGGCAAATCTCAACAAGGTTTCAGCGATATGTTGATTTTCCTTAGTGTAGAATTCACTTGGTGGGATGGCCACCACCCCTAATTCTCTAATCAACCAATAAGCCAACTTGAAATCGTTGGCACGGCCTTGTAATTCTTCAGGGAACACGTAGTCTTCTGGGATCTTCACTTTTTTGAAACTGACTAACAAATAGTACGCGCCTTCTGGTTTAGTGTATGGCAATCCCAATTCGTCAAACCCTTTGCATAAGATACTGAATTTCTTCTTATAAGCCTCACGGTTTTGGATCATGTAATTATTTGATGTTTTGTCATTATTGACCTCCTCGAGGGCTTGAGCAATTTGCATCTGCATCACCGATGGCGAACTGAAACAGATTCTGGTATGGGCTGCGAGGGCGTACTGGATCAAATCCGAAGGCCCCACGACCCAGCCAATACGGTACCCGGTACAACAGAAGGCCTTACCAGCAGACCCCACGGTCAATGTTCTTTCGTGGATTTCTGGAGCTAAAGTGGCGAAACGTGGGAAACTATCACCATAATACAAGTTTTCATACACTTCATCACTCAAGATCAATAAATCGTGCTTGATCGCCAATTCTCCAATTCTGGTCAATTCTTCAGTAGAGAAAATCTTACCAACAGGGTTCAATGGTGAATTAACCACAATGATTCTTGTCTTGCTGTTCATCTTGGACTCCAATTCTTGGTAATCAATCTTCCATTCTGAACCTTCAATGTTACGTTCATCAATATCTTTTGGAGGGTGTAACGGGACGTACACCACTTTGGCACCTGTCAATTCAATGTTAGAGATATATTGATCAAAGAATGGTTCAAACACAATGACTTCATCGCCAGGGTTCAAGAATCCGAAGAATACCGCCAACATCCCTTCATTGGCACCGGTGGTGACCAAGATGTTATCTGGGATCACTGGTCTTTGGAATTTATTTGTGTAGAATGTTGATAATTGCTTTAACAATTGGGGTTTCCCTCTGGCAGGAGCGTATTGGTTATTGGAAGGGATATCGAACGCCTGCTTACCAGCATTGATGACAAAATCTGGAGGAGAATACGAGAAGAACCCTTGACCTAAGTTGACAACCTTTTTGCCTGTTTCCTTTTCGGCAGCAGCCGCAGTTTCATTGATCAACGACCAGACATCTTTCGATGCTGCTTTGAAGTAATTGTTGTGGAAAGCGATTCTAGGAGCCATTTGTGGAGAGGAAGTATATATATATATATGTGTGTGTTTTTATTGGATCATTATAATGAGGAGGAACATCAAAAAAAAAAAGGAGGGAGGGAAGGTTATATATACTAATGAGTAATATCAGTGTGAGTGCGCGATAAGGGCCCTCACTCCCAATCCGGAGGCCGTCGCGGTAATCTCACGTGCCATGACAACTGTACCACCGTGACGGATCACCATCACCATCATCCTTGACGGTATCCGGCCGGACAGGAAAACCGTTCTACTGCTTTCATGTTCTCATTATTATTGACCGATAGATAAAGAGACAACATTCATTCTATATTGCAACCTATATATTATGCTGCTTCCAAAGCTTCTTCAACAACTGCTCTAGTTCCCCGCTGGCCAAACGCTGTGCCTGCTCAATGTACTGACAGCACGCCAACGTCGTCACCAAATCACCGCCTTTAATCCACACTTTGCCATTGACCCCGATGGCGATCTCAAACTGGCATTTCTTACTTAAGTGCTCGAGCACAGGATTATTTTCATTGAACATCAAGTACCGGGCAAACCCAAGATCAACCTCGACCACGGTGCCTCCTGTCAATTCCCCAAACCCTTCGGCTTTCCCCGTGGTGGGGTTGAAACATTCGAGTTCCACATCAATATTAGGATCATAAGCGCTGATTCTGGCGTACACCAATGATCCAGTCTTCAAATTAGGACGGTTTTTCTTGGTGGCATTTTCAAATGCCATGTATGACAAGATTGCCGGTGGTTTGTAATTCGAAAGCGACACTTTAAAAAACTCTCCAAACCCCCCGAGTACCGTACCCACAATCAAGTCTCCTACGGCAGGAATATAGTTTTTCGATGATGATTCAACGGTAATAAGTTGCTTTGTCTTCTTTTCTTTATGGGTAAAAATCCCCGCGTTACTGATGGTCATTTGGTTGTCTAATAGTGGGTCGACATAAATTGATGGCCCTACCGTGAGTTTCTTGCTATTAAGAGTGGTTTCATCCACCGGAAGCTGGTCCCCGGGTATTATTATTGACATCTTGTGGTTATTTAGTAGGTAATATAGTGTATATTGGATGAATTCCACTTGATAATAGTATAACTGCTCTTCACTTAAAAGATTTTTTTTTCTTCTTCTCCTTAGTTATTTACCCGCCCTGGAATCTTCACTCCTTTCTCAACCACATCCCACCACTTCAACATTAAATCCTACAATCCATCAACAATTTCTAAAATAAAACGGTTCATTTACTCTTATGGAAGATTGATTCATTCTAACAAACTGAAATGAAGAAAGAAAAAAAAAAAAAGAAAAAGAGAAAAAAAAAAAAAAATTAAAAATAACATCGGCTCACTCAAGCATCAACCTTGGATTCCTCATTAACTTCATTATCATTAACATTAGCACTGTCTTTATTTCCCTGCTCACTAACAACTTCAATTTCTGCATTCTTGGTTTCCTCATCATTATTCTGTTCTTGCTCTTCGCCCTCCTTCTTTTCCTCATCCCCTTCTTCCTTCTTTTCCTCAGGTTTTGGCGCTTCATCAAAATTGAAGGTGGTACCATCACCGTAATCTTTAATATTCTCATCTTTTTCAGAATCTTTCAATTGTTTTTGGAACTCGGACATATCCCAAATAGTACCGTGTTCTTCATCTTCATTCTCATCGTCATCCTTAATACCAGACATCGCGCTGGCCAATTTACCACTTTCCAATAATTTATCTCTGTATTTTTTCTCCACCACTTCTTTCCCGGTCAATAACTTTTTACCATTAGCAGCAATTCTCTTCTTTTCGTTCAATTTCTTCAATTGATGTTCTTTCTTCCACTTGACGAACGATTCTGGAGTGATTGGTATCAAATCTTTACCCAATTTTTCCTTTTCCAACTCGATGAATTCTTCTAAACTGATCTTTGGCGCGGAGTCTGCCGCCAATTGTTCCAATCTTCTTTGTTCTTTGGTCCTGACCACATAGCCCTCAGGCACCGCGTGTCTATATTTACAATTATCCCCACCGTCAGGACATACCCAAAACCACCCGTATGATCCATTTTCCACCGCTTGGAGGAAATTCTTACATATCTTGTCGGTGGTGGTTCGAAGGTTCCCGTGTTTTGAAACTTCTGGTGTTGCTGTGGCTCCTCCTTCAGCACCCGCTTTGGCGTCTCTTGGATCGGTGTAAATGTCTCTTTTTTCCGATTTTCTTCCCACATTCATATCATGACTAAACTTGCATCGGGCTCCCTTGGTACATTTCCCTTCTTTGAAAAGTACACATAGAACCGACCTTGGATCAACCCCGAATGGCACTTTTTGTTGCACCACGATCGATTGCGCCAATAAAAGGGATTCTTTTTTGGCAAGTTCTGCGGCTTTCTTTTCTTCGGCTCTACGTTTAGCCATGGCTTCTTGTTTCTTCTTATCGACACTTTGAGATTGCATTTGTTCGACAAACTTCTGGACCTTTTTCGATTTGTTTTTCTATACAATTGTTAGTAAAATATGTTGAAAAGAGCAATTATAATGAGTATTAGGGAGTATTCTTCAAACAGTGGACAAGATTTATATGTGGTACAAGATGCTTTCTGTGTCATAATGATAAAATGAACGCAAACGTAAAAAAAGAAAAAAAAAATCAATGGAGCGAATCCAAGAAACCTTCAACATCCTCTACAACACACACACAAAACATTAGCAATCTTTAGCATTATCTCCTGTCAAATCAAATATATCCAATTTTCTACTAATGATTTATGATCCACAAAATTCTCGCGTTTCCAAAAAAAAAAAATTGGTTGCTTGAAACTCCCAGAACAATAAAAAAAATACTCACATTCTTCAAACCAAAAGTCTTGTCTTCCACATCCTTGACCCTCTTCTTTTGTTGAGCCTTCTTGTCATTCTGTTGAGCCTTCTTCTTTGGTGGCATTGTGACTTTTTATTTCTGCTTTATCTTTTGATTCCTTCAAAAAAAAAAAAATTATGATATGTTTTTTGGTTTTACTTTCTATTTTTTGAGCTTCAAAACCTCAATTTCAATAAAATAGTCTCAATAACTATTTTTTGGTAAAAAAATATCTAATGAATCTGAAGTCAAATTAACCAAAAAAATAGAAAAAGTTTGGTTCGCTCATCCTCCAACGAAATTTTTTTGTGAAAAAAAAAAAAAAAAAAAAAAAAAAAAATTTTATGGCAGATTGTCAATCGCATCACGTGAGTATCACTAACGATGGAAGCTGCCATGCATTTTTATCATATTACTATTACAAGCATCACATATAATACAAAGAAAAATCCAAACTTCAAATTAACTATATAAGTTTTTAATAGACCTAAGTCAATTAAAAATAAAAAAATAAATAAATAAATTAATTAATTAATTAAAAAAAGACAGGGTAAAGAAGAGAAAAAAAGAAAAATCCATAATATCCATTCATTCATTCAACAGTAACAGACTTTGCCAAGTTACGTGGGAAATCAACATTAATATTTCTGTTGACTGCTAACCAATAACTGATCAATTGTAATGGGATGATGTTCAACAAACCTTGCAAACAATCGACAGTGGTTGGCACCTTCAAGATAGCCAATAACTTCTGAGCATCGGCAATGTCATTTTCGTCATTACAAATGACAATTGGTCTACCAGAACGAGCGGTAACTTGAGCGATAGCACTCATGACTTTAGGGAATAGAGAGTCTCTAGTGGCAAAGGCAATGATCGGCAATTGGTCGTCGACAAGAGCTAAAACCCCATGCTTCAATTCCCCAGCCAAAACACCTTCAGAGTGCATATAAGAAATTTCTTTAATTTTTAAAGCACCTTCCAAGGCACTAGCATATTGATAACCTCTACCTAACAACAACAAGGATTTTTGGTCATTGAGGGAGGAGGAACACAAATCCTTGACAGTGTCTTCCAATTTCAAGACCTCCTTGATTTGTTGAGGGATCTTCTTCAAGCCGTCAATGATTTCAATTCTTCTTTGAGTCTTAGAGATTCTATCATCGGACAAACTCAAAGCAATCATTACGAGAGCAATATATTGAGAAGTATAAGCTTTAGTGGAAGCCACCCCAATTTCAGGACCAGCGTTGATATGGACACCACAGTTGGTTTGTCTAGAGATAGATGACCCAACACTGTTGACAACACCAACCGTAAGAGCACCTCTATCGCTACAGTATTGTAAAGCCAAAATAGTATCAGCGGTTTCACCAGATTGGGAAACAAACACACAGACATCATCTCTAAAGACTGGTGATTTTCTATCGAGGAAGTCAGAAGCCAATTCTACCACCACTGGGATCTCTGTCAATTCTTCAAAGATAGATCTGGTGGCAATACAAGAATGGTATGAGGTACCACAAGCAATCATAATGATACGCTTACTTCTTCTAATACTAGAGAGCCACGATTTCAAACCGCCCAATCTAACAGCGTGGTTGACGAAATCAATTCTACCTCTCATAGTGTTGAAAGTGGATTCTGGTTGTTCGAAAATTTCTTTAGCCATAAAGTGCTTGTATGGACCCTTCATGATTTGAGCCAATTCCATTTCCAAAGTTTGAATATTTCTGATACCAAGGTCACCGGCTTCCTTCTTAGCTCTGTGGATGTGTAATTCACCATCGTAAATGTGGGCAATATCATCATCTTCCAAAAACAACACCTTCTTGGTATGTTGAACCACCGAGGCAGGGTCAGATGAGAAGAAGAATTCGACTGGTTTTGGAACACCATCTTCGGACAAGAACGCTCTAGATTGAGATTGTCTAAGATGGTCATGAGCAGTCAATGGAGCTAATAAATTGTTGGAAGTGGTGGCGGTAGCGGCAAAATGAGGGGACAAGGTTTGCTGTTCAGAAACGTCTGGGAATTCGACATCAACAAAGTCAACCTTCAACTTTTGGTCAGATTTGACCCCAATCAACAATGGGGAACCTTTTCTGGTACCAATAAGTTCATTTGGAAAATGTGAAGATTTGACCAACATACCATAAGAACCTTCGAGTTCTAACAAGACCTGTTTCATGAGTTGTTGGAAATCCAAATCGACATTGTTTTTGATGTTTGTATCGTAAATGTGTTTGCACAATTTGGCGATACATTCGGTATCGGTGTCACTTTCAAACACAAAGCCCTTGTTTTGCAAAAGGGTCTTGATGTCTTGATAATTGGTGATGATCCCGTTGTGAACCACCAAGAACTCAGCGGTTGGGTCGGATTTTTGAGGGTGGCAATTTTTTTCTAATGGTTCACCATGGGTGGCCCATCTAGTGTGAGCGATACCAACGTGGGAGTTGAACAAAGCTTTTCTATCAAAGTCTTGGGCGATGATCTTTTGTTTGAGGGCGGCAACCTTACCGGTTTCTCTGAAGATCAAAGCAGAGCCTGGGGCGTCACCGCTGATAGCCAAACCGGCGGAGTCATAACCTCTATATTCTAATTTTTGCAAACCGTCGGTTAAGATATCGATGATTTCTTCTCTTGGTTTTTCAACCAAGTAGTTACAATAACCAAAGATCCCGCACATGATAGGTGATGATGATGATGAGTGATGTTTTGTTTTTGTTTTATGCTTTGTGTTCTAACAAGAAGAGATATAAAAACAAAGATGAGCAAACCAAAAAAAGAAAAAAGAGGACTTGGGGATTCTTATTTAAGTTGTGCTGTAAATGTTTTTGCGGGCGAAAAGCAGAAGAAAGGAAAGATGAAACAAGCTTATGTGGTTTCTGAAACGGAGGAAATTTTGAGGAATGTGTTGTCTTTTTCTTTATTTTTTTATTTTTTTTTCGTACTTTTTTCTGTTTGTTTGTTGTTGTTGTTTTTTTGTTTTTTTTTCTAGAAGAAGTGCTATTATTATTATTTGACAAACAGGAAGGAAATAAAGGGCAGATTGCTGTGGCTGTTGTCGGAGGGGTGGAAATCTAAGGGGAGATTGTAGCAGGTTCTAGATCTATGGGGACGGTGATTCTAATAATATTATATTATATTATATTGTATGTGTATATGGATATCGGGTATCTCGTCTTTAATTTAGGATAGATGGATGTATGGGTCGGCCGTTACGTCAGCTTGGGATTTTGTTAGTGGCAGCGGGTGATGGTTATTTTTAGGATGGACACAATAACCAACGGTATATTATGCTAGCGAGGGTGGTGATAGTAAATAACAAACGTCGGATAATTTAATATGGAGAATAGACAATCCGTAACCCAGCCCCTCTAGCCCTTTATATATATATATATATACATATTGTATTGTATTGCAGACACTTGTTACCACTTGCCAGGGCCGTCCTGGGCGGTGGATCCGAGGCGGCTGTGCATGGCCGTTTGCAAAAAAAATTATCACCGGCGGCCACTAAATAACCACCACGCACCGCTAATAATAGAGGGATACTCGGTACCATAAACTTTATATTCCCAGCCCCCTTCTTCAATGTTCGCTTCCATACCCTCCTCATTGGTGGCTAACTCCGCCTCAAGAAACTACAGTGTCCTTGCCCCTCCAGCGTACAACCTCAAACACATCATCGCCAACCTTCCCCAGTACGCAGATGCGGTCAAAAGAAGGGAGGTGGCCAACCATCCAGACTTATCGGCGCTGAGTCTCCAAAAACTTCCAATCCACTATGAGAACTACATGTTTTACACAGAACATAAAAAATTGCTCGTTGAATTAAGAAACAGGTTACAGGATTTATACAAACGACATGGCAAATCGCCAGCCCTCAAGCAGTTTTTGGAAGACCATCCAGATATCATTTCTCTCAAAGATATCAAGACTCAATTGAAACAAGTCGAAGACAAGTTGAATTCGCAGAAAGTCCCGTTATTCAAGGTTTGTAGTGCGTTGCCTAATTTGATCGATGAATCGGCCCTTGACTCTGAATTCCAAGTAGTCGAATATATCAATTACCCAGAACAACAGTCAAATGCTAAAACTATTGATGAGAAGGCCAGTTTTTTGGAACAAGCCCTAACCCAACAAGATAAATTTGATCATAAAACAATTGTTGAAAAATTCGGGATTGTCGATTTCTCTACTGCCTCGAAAATCTCAGGGAATTCCTGGTATTATCTTATCAACGATGGGGCGTTGTTAGAGCAAGCGCTCGTGCAATACGCCCTCAAAGAAGCCCGGAAGGCCGGTTTTACAATGTGCATTCCTCCATCGATAGTCAAAGACGAAATCAGTAACGCCTGCGGTTTCCAACCAAGAGATCTAAATAATGAAAAACAGACGTACGAATTATCTGAATCTAACTTGGTGCTCACTGGAACTGCAGAAATCCCTTTGGCAGGTCTTTCAATGAACAAGTTGTTCCAATATAAAGAATTACCTCAGAGATTGGTCGGGGTAAGTAGAAGTTATCGTGCCGAGGCTGGGGCAAGAGGTAAAGACACCAAAGGTCTTTATAGAGTTCATGAGTTCACTAAAGTCGAGCTTTTCACCACCTGTGCTGGTCAGGGCTCCAAAGAGGAATTTTCCAAGATTGTGGAATTCCAAAAATCCTTAATTGGCAAGCTTGGATTATTGGCTCGTGTAATTAATATTCCTGCCAATGATTTGGGTGCTCCGGCTTACCAAAAATATGATATTGAAGCTTGGATGCCGGGTCGTGGGTCCTGGGGTGAATTGACGTCTACATCTATTTGTACTGATTTTCAATCTCGCAGATTCCACACTAAGTATGTCGATCAACAAAACAAGCGTCAATTCGCTCATACTTTGAACGGGACAGCAATGGCAGTTCCAAGAGTCATAGTGGCGATTATTGAAAATAATTACGATCCGGAAAATGATTGTATTTGGGTCCCAGAAGTGTTGCGTCCTTACATGGATGATAAAGAGATGATTTCTTTGTGATTTTCTCAATGGATAGTTGTTCATTGAGGGAACGCTTTATCCAAGAGAAAAAAGAAAAAAAAAGAGTCTCTGTGTATTTTAGTTCTTGTCTTATATTTATTTATCTAGACTTAGCCCGTTTTGTTTATTCTTTCCATTTGCTTTTACTGGTGAAACGCCTGTGGCCTTGCATCTTAGTATCTCTTTATAATATGCTAATAGAAAGCTGGTACATATGTGTATATATCGTTTTACCAAAAGTCTTCTCTTGCAAAAAACATAGTTCTGTATCATAAATATCATTGACTGTAGATAACATTGTTCAAAGCAGTTATAATAACCAATAATTACACGTGATAGGACGGTTGACGATGCCAGGTACCCTGCCTATCCCAGGAAATAAGTGGCTTTCTTTTAGTATTACATAATAGAGCACCAAGCCTGTTACTAGGACTCTTCCCTCAGGGTCTGTTTTAAAGTGCCCTACGGTGTGGACATTCGATCTTCTTTCATGTGGTTTCGTAGTTGTGCGTGTGTACAAATCATGAATTAAAACTCCCCCATGCAAAAGAAAAGAAAAGTGCGATTCCAAAGGAAAAAAAAAAAATCAGAAGGAAAAAGAAAAAAAAAAAAAAAAAGAAACCACAAATCTAACCCTCTCAAAATTTTTGACGGATTTATTCTTCGTTCTTCTCATCTCCAGAATAACTATCGTGCCATACCTTGTATTACCAGCAAACAAAAAGGTCCTCAAGACAACAAATACGAAGGTGACAACTTGCCTGTCATTTTTATTACGTGTATAAAGAGGTTACTAGTGCTTTCTTGAATAAATTTTGCTGTTGTGTTATTTTATTTATCCGTCGTGTGCTTCTAAACCCAAACCCGTGGCGTTGATAAATTGATTCCTTTGGTTCACTCATCTAACCACAAGTTGTTTCTTACTATTATTACTATTTATTGAGTATCACTCTGATCTCTCAATATTACAAGTTATATTTGGTTTGGTACTTGCAAGTCATCATTTTGATCTGTTATAAGGGGTTGTCTTAAGAAAATATCCCAAACTGAAACATCAGAATACCATCTCTTCTGGTTTTACAATCAAAAGGAAATCTTCGCTGTTTGATTTTCCCTCCCACTTACTCTCCTTTGGATAGCTAGCAAACTTTATTTACCAGTGCTCTTTTAGCCCTTTTTTTTTGTTTTTTTGACATCACCGCGATACAAAAACAAAGGAAGAAAAAAAAAAAAAAGAAATCCAACTGATATAGAGATAGATTGCTTTCCTCAGCCAGTTGTTTTCCTAAAATTTCACTCCTATTGCCTTCAAAGACTTATACTTGCATTTCAATTATTTTTTCTTTTGTTTCTGTCTTGATGCCAGGTGATCAAAGCGTTCGTCCTTTAATCAATACCAACACCAACCAGCAAATATCACCTTCTAACAGCAACCGTCTTTCTTCTATTTTGAACTTGGGTGGATGTCAAAGTAATACCCCAGTTAATCGAAATCCCAGCCCACATCTCACCGCTCCCGTCACTTCTACTTCAGGGTCTCAAGATCTCAAAAAAAGACAGCGCGCTTCATCATTAACTTTTGGTTTGCTTCAATCAGTAACCAACTCAATAAGAAACACAGTATTGTCGGATAATTCCAAAAGTACTGAAAACGTTACTAGCAACATGAATGGCAACCTATCACCTAATAATGCGGAACTCTCCGAACCAATAATGATTGGTCTGAACAGCGATCTCGAAGTCACTGACAACCAAGTAAGCTCGATACCGAGTCCTGATTTAAGATCCACTGGTAGTGATTTGCATCTCCATGTTGAAGAAAGAGATGCTGATCTCGGATCGGACAGTGACCTAGGAGACTTGTCGCCACCAATGATTCCTCCAAGTAGCATTGACGGAGTTATCACTTCTCAGGCACATCAAACACACGACCATAATAATAATTATGGTGAAGTTCCAAAAAGAAATAAGAATGGTACATACTCTATCAGATTGACGCCTTACGTTGATTCTGCCTCTGCTTCGGCAGCGTTATACTTTGGTCCAGTAGTGCGAAGATTAAAGCCAGGAAAGACCATTGCCATTGGGAGATATACCGAAAAAAATAAAGAGGCATTGACAGCCCTGCCAAACTCCTCGAGTCCAGTGGTTTTCAAATCAAAGGTGGTTAGTAGAACACATGCAGAAATTGGGGTTGATGAAGAAGGAAATTGGTATATTAAAGATTTGAAATCATCGTCAGGAACTTTTCTCAACCATAGAAGATTATCATTGGCTAATCAAGAATCTGACAAGACATTATTCAGGGAAGGTGATTTGCTTCAATTGGGGATGGATTTCCGTGGAGGTACTGAAGAGATTTACCGTTGCGTGAAAATGAGAATCGAGTTGAATAAATCTTGGATCAGAAGAACTAAGGCATTTAGTAAGGAAGCCCATGAAAGAATCAAGCATTTGAATCCTGACAAGAGTGGTGAGGAACAGATACAGTGCGTGATTTGCTTGGATGATATCAACCCATGCCAAGCGGTGTTTGTGAGTCCTTGCTCGCATTCGTACCATTACAAATGTATCAGAAGAGTGATTGTGAAAACCTATCCTCAGTTTTTATGTCCTACATGTCGGGCATTGAGTGACTTGGAAGCCGATGATGATGATGATAGTGAGGAAGATGAAACCGCTGAGGAAGATGTGACTAATTGAGGGATATATTTTTCTGTTTACTGTTGATCATGTCTTAATCATATGCATGTCGTGTGCTTATTTTATACTATTGATGACTATTTATTATCTGTTTTGATTAATACCTTTCATTATTTTTTTTTTTTTATTTTTTGTTTTCTGTTTTGGTACTCTTTAAGTGTTATTTCCTCATTTTTTTGCATAGTTCACATCTCTTTTTTTTTTTCACCTGATTGTATTTATCTTTTTTTTTTTCTTGACTTTTGACTAGGTTATCATATCTTTTATTATCATTAGTTCTCCTCTCATAAACATAAATGAAATTTTGAAAAAAAAAAACTGAACATTTATTATTGTAAAGGTCCCCAATTATTGTTGTAGATTGTTAGTGAGATCACGAGGGGAAAAAATGCCAAATTTTTTTTTTTTTTTTTTTTTTTTTGGTAAACAAAAACAAACCATCTCCAACTGATACATTTTCACCATACATATCTACATTGACCAATATTGGTGCTATTTGAGATATTATATATTACTATTATATATATATATATTATTGTGTTTTGGATTTTGTAGCGTGGCTGAAACAAAAATACCATGGACCGTCCACTCACCAACGAAGAAATAATTCACGAAGAGGAAGCATCACAAGATGAGCCACCAGCACTGCAGCTGATTATTAAGGGACCATTCAAACCCAGTGATTTCTATTGTGTATATCTTTTAAACTCGATCAGCCGCCGCCGAAGTTTTTACGTCGGGTCAACGCCTAACCCACCACGGCGATTACTCCAGCATAATGGGCATCAATCGATGGGGGCCAAACGGACCAGTAAAGAGGATCTACGACCATGGGAGATGGTGGCGATAGTACATGGGTTCCCCTCAAAGATTGTGGCGTTACAGTATGAGAGAGCATTACAAAAACCGCAAATAACCCGGTTCATCAAGCACCACGAGCGGATCTCGGGAAGTAGCAGCAGCAGTGGTGGTGGTAATGCCTCGAGAACGGTGCACCAGTATTTGGCAAACGTGCGACTTTTGTTGAAATGCGATTATTTCCGGAGGATGAATTTGAAAGTTGATTTTTTTGCTAATGGTGGGTACGACCAGGTGTACGAGCTGTGGATCGAGAACAAGTACGGGGTGTTTCTTGGAGAAGAGTACCAGGTGAGAAATTCATTCAAGGATGTTGGGGAGTGTTATTTGGATTGTATGGGGACGTTAAAGAAGCAGCGACAGAAATATTATTATAATGATGAGGAAACGGTTGTGGGGAATGAGAAAAATTCGGATTGTGGGGTATGTGGTGGGATATTGGCGAAAGATGGGATAGGACAATGGAGATCATTGGGGTGCTATCATGAGAATTGTGAATTTCTGGGACATCTTCGCTGTATTGCCGATAGTTTTCTTGAAGTTGAAACCCAAATAATCAAAGAGGGATTGAAAAAGAATAAGAATAACAAGAAAAATAAAAATAAAAATAAACCACCAGGAGGAGGTAAATCAAAGTATTTTGGGTCATCGTATTCCCAATTGTCTCAGTCGGCGAAATTATTAATCAGTAATCAAACCATGGATAAGGGAACCGAAGGAGTGTATCCGATTTTGCCTTTCAGAGGGAAATGTCCAAGTTGTGAAAAGATGTTATATTGGAACCAACTAATCAAAAGTAGCTATCCTGATGGATGATCGAAGTATATATTTTTCCGCCAATCATGGACGGGATCTTGTGATTTCTTTGGTGCCTCTTCAGAAGAGATGTCAATTTTATTCAAAAGAATATCTGTCTATAAATACCTTCCAAATATTGAGAATTAAATGGTGTGAATCATACTCAAAGTGGTCCATCTTTTAGAGTTATATTCCAGATGATTCATATTTTGGTTGGTTTAATGATAATGATGATTTACTATATGGTATTTTTGAAGGAACAACTGATGGAACAAACTTGTTCTATTTATGATCAGTCATCACAATAAAATCAACAATCAGAAAAACGAATAAAAAAAAAAAATGGAAATGGAAGTTGATGAATTGGGGAGGAGGGGATCTTAGTGATCTCAATGAAGTATACCTACCTACCTACCTACCTACCTTGCAAATTCCATTGGAGTGAGTCTACCCATGTATAAAGATATTTTTATTCAATCTTAATATGTCTGTATATGGATTTCGAAGGCAAAATCTTTCGTCAGCCTCGGCAAAAAAAGCTAGAATGAAAAATATATAGTATATATTACCCCGTCATTTCCAGCCGTATATATTATATATTATATACGGCTGGAAATGACGGGGTCCACATCAGCAGAAAAGAAAACCGGCGTAGTCCTTTATGATTAGTGACAGATTTCTATGGGGTTTTTGACGGTGGTCACACAATATTTCTATTCGTAAATGATAATGTTTGGAGAATTGTTGTTTATGTAATAATGTTAGGTAATATAGGAGGAGTTTCAGTCTCCATTTGTGTTATTGGATTCCCCAGAGGTTAGTATTTAAATAGTGATACGAACTTCCTTCCATTTCACTTTTCCTTTTTCCTATTAGGATGGAAATGATGGATAATAATAACAACAAGCGATACGAGTTTCTGTTTGGTTTTTTTTTTGCCAGTTTAGGTTGTTTGTGTGGGGGAGACAGACATGACATATCACTACAGCCCCCGGGGAGGGTGGGGGGGTGACGATTATTTGCTTATTAACGAAATCGGTTTGACTTGACAGGCAGGGTGACGCCTTTCCCTGTTGGGCGTTATTTCCAGCCAGGCGCGTTGGTTGGGGTGTGTGCGTGTCTCTTATCTTCGCATTCTCTGTGTTGTTTTACCTTTTTTTTTCCTATTTATTTTTTCAAGTTAACCGTTTCCAGTGCATACATTATTACATACCTTGGAGGTTAGGTTGCGGGTGGGTGGGTGTGGAATCCACGGAGTATGTGTCAAAATCTGGCCGGCCATGAAAAAAAGAAAATAATACATCTATCTGTCTATATATGACCGACCCCCCCAGCAGTGACTTTCTATTGTTGCTCCCTCCATGTGTCTGCCCATGGGTGTTTCTTTTTCCCGTTTCTTGACGTTACATACACCCCACCCCTCCCTCCCTCCCTCCTCCACAACTGTTTTCTCGGCAAACACAGCAGTAGGAGTGCCACGTATCATATGTTATTATTGCTGCTTTAAACCAACCACCGCCCCTTGGCAGCAGAGATAACTGTGGGCGTTCACCATGAAATGTCACGAGCTTATCACACTGTGGGTGTTTCTCAGCTATTTCCGTCGACGCAGACATATGTATTCTCATGCAATACCGTTACGCCCACCGCATTGTTGCACCGCCACATCTCCTTCACGTTTCTTTTTGTGCAGCGTCCTTCCGTGTCTGCTGTCCCCGGTAGGTAGGTAGCCCATACAGTGCAACCCACCAGCAATAGGGGGGGAAGAAAAAGAAAATTATATCAGTTAAAAAAAAAAAAAAAAGGCCATCAGCTATGAGGAAAACAAAGGATTGTTCAATATATAGAAGTAGATGAGTACACATCGATGTTATGGTTGGTTGTCTGGGCCCGATTGCCACCCCCCATTCGACGGTGAGTATTTTGGGAGTATCTCCATGCAACGCGCTGTGTCTTCATGTGTTACGCACGCTAGCAGTTTTTACGGTTTTGTCAATAGGAAAAAAAAAAAAAGAAAAAACCACCCATTATCGGCGCTGATATATAAAACTGGTTGCGGTTGCCCATCGAGTCTGTAAATTCATTTTTTTTTTCTCGAAAAAAGAAAAAGGGGATCCATTTTGACAGCTTATTAATTCACGTTTTTGCTTACCATCCAATAAGCAATCCTAGTGGGAATATTTCATCTTTATTAATCGCCAGATATTCTTGTAATCTTTCATTCACCCAAGAAAATTCCTGAATTATCAATCCAACAGCTATTTGTTTATATATACATTTTCATGTGTATATATAAATATCAGCAATATATATAATATATAGTAGTATATTATATATATTGTATCCCACCCAATAGATTGAACCAACAATAAATCTATCCATTTTATTAGTGTTTTTTTTTTTTTAACCACCAAATACCACCACCCCCTCGAATATAATTATGCAAAACAGTGTTCCATCACGAATCCCAAACCTCGATACCATTCTTCGAGCCCAATCGTTGGCTCCATACTCACTTCATGAATTCCAAGTGTTTCTTAAAAAATCCCGGTGCTTTGAAAATTATGAGTTCATCCAAGAATTAGACTCACTTCATCAACTCCCCAACATCTCGGCCAAAAAAATTGAATGGCTAAGGATTCTTCGATGTTACGTCGAGGTGTTTTCAGAATTTGAAATCAACTTGAATGGCGAACTACGCAGCAAGTTGTTGGGCAACTTTGATTTTTTCAATAACGATTATTCTCAACCAGAAGACTTGGGAAGATTGGATCTTCCGGAAAAACTGGTGCTCAATGAAGCCAGAAACGAGGCCTATTGTCTTCTACACGACGCTTATTTACAATTTTTGAAAAGTGTGGCCAATCGTGAGGATAACTCGGTGTTTATCGACAAGTTCAATATTTACAACCATCTTGAAGAATCGGGGAGTATGCCTATCTCTAGCGGTAACTATTGTTTCAGTACCCCTCCCCCAACTTCTGGCTCTTGTCATAATAAGCCACCATCCAGTAATAGCCGTGGTACTTCTATGGATGAGATTCCTGGACTCGATGTTTTTCTCAACAGTTCAAGGGTGTCGTCACCAGTGTATCTCCAATCGTCTATCACTAGCACCGCCACCACCAATACCGCCAATTCAAGTTTGCCATCAGTTTGCGAATCACCAACCAAGCATTCTTCTCCTTGTACCCCAAATACCGTGGTAAACAGCCCAATAGTGATTCCAAGGAAATTGTCGTGCAGTAATAATACTCGTGGAGAAAAGGTGAAATCAATGATTAGTCAAAAACCCCGGTGGTCAGCGGGGCTCTCAAAGGATGTTTCCAACGGTCCAAAGATCGACAGTGGACGTCGTGATTCCGGATGGAAACGAGTTGGAAGAAAATTGAAACTTTTTTGAGAGCTGGTCTTGTGTTTTTGTGTACTTGTTTTTGGTGGGAATGATAGAATTTTGTTGGAACTAGGGTTTTTCGGTTGCTTTTGCTTTTATTATTATTTGGCTGATGTTTTTTTTTTTTTTTGTTTAATTTTCCTTGTGTATTATACTATTTGTGAAGGGATAATGATTCGTATTATTAATGTTATTAGGGCCTACTGTTTTACTTCTTTATTATCATAATATGGTTTTGATAAACTGGGTGATCCTTCTTGATCCACTTTTTTTTTTCTGTTAATAATAGATTCTTCTTTTTTTTTTTCTATTCTATTAATTATGGATTCTTCTTTTTTCCTATTCTTACGCTGCTTTTTTTTTTACTTTTAGACGAGTTTATAAGGGTTCGATGTTATTTTATGATCTATATTTTATGATCTATATTTTATGATGCATACATACGTTTTAATTCCCGATGTATGATTGGATGACTTTGTTTATAATTTTTAATGTTTGTTTTCGAAGATGAAATTTGTTGCAAAAGCGTTGTAGATTGTTATTTGCTGGATAAACAATAGCCTGTTTTTTTTTTGTTGTTGTTGTTGTTTTGTTTTGTCTTTTTTTCAGGGTGTGGACCAGGATTAAGGTTAATTAAACGTTGGAAATGTCAAACGGTGTGAAAGAAAAAGGGGGGACAAAAAGCGTTTTATTCGTTTTTTTTTTCTCAGCTGGGATGATAAATTAATTGTTACTTACCCCCAAAGAAATTGTACACACCGTGGCTGTTTATCTCAAATTAGAGATGGTTCTGTACAATCAACACACACACACAGTGGCTGATAACAGCAATATACCCAACTTAAATTATATTCGCCTTTTTTTCTAGATGTAAGATTTCTGGATCACTACTGTTTGAAAAAGCCTGTGAGTCCCGAGTCATTGTGAGGTTGGCATGATGATTCATTCACACGGTCAATTGCGGGGAGTTAGAATGGAATATTCTCTTAATACACAAAATGAAAAAGAAAGAACCCCCAAGGGATTAATTTGCTCATCAATATGAGACATTTATTAGATAGGAGTGTCCACAAATATCTCAATTTAGGAGTGGACAAATGAGTTGCCCCCCAATTTATCTATCAATTATGGTTTGGGGTTTCTGATAACCATCGGGAAACCAGAACAGACACTCACAGGACTCGTATTTTGTTCTATATATTTGTAGATCATTCTATTGTAACAGTTCTGGCTCATCAGCGGGGATATCCCACTTCGAAAAAAAAAAAAAAAGATAGATAGATAGATAGATAGATAGATAGATAGATAGATAGATAACCTACCATTCTTAAAATTCCTCCTCCTGGTAGTCATTATTATTGTTATTGTGCATTCGTCTACAATAACAATCAATTAAGTTACGAATGGTGCGATTGATATACTGCGTCCATGTAAAGTCCTTTATTATTAATCTTAAATATACACAATTCATTCATTCATTTATTATTAATACAATTCAGATCTAGAAGCTAAGGGCCCCTTTACGAGTAGTGATATTCCAGGCTCGCAATATTAGGGACTTTGATTTTTTGCACTTCGAGAAAAATACTTCGAGATAACAAAATTTTCTTGAGCAGCGTGGGTGGTGGGGAAAGCAGATACTTCAATTGCTTATTAACGTATATATATATATATATAAGTTATGTAAAAATAACCAATTCACCATATGGTAGATCTCCTAATAAAGCAGCTCAGGGCCTGTCTTATGTCCCAGTATACTGTGAATTCTCATAAAAATTGAAGGAAAGAAACTGAGACCTTTCTCATATGTTACCAATATGGATGGAAATGAAAAAAAAAAAAAAAAGAGAGAAAAGATACTAACTGAAAATACAGTTCAATCTCTTGAGGTTATATCTGTAGAATAATAAAAAAAATGACTAGAAAAGTAAATTTGACAACCTAATCCAAAAGATTAATGTTTATTAGAAATATTCAGAAAGGAAGAATCAGTAGAATAACAATTCAAATTCATCAGTAACTCTCTAAAATATCATCTCACAGAGAAGTATTAGTGTCAAAAAAAAATATATCAAGCAACCTAATTGAGGATCACTCACTTTTTGATCAAGAATCTCTTTCTTATGTTTGACGATCAATTCATATCTTCTTCTCTTTCTACTGAACGCCCAAAAAATCTCTTTCGTGTGAGGTAAGTTTTGGGGCTCTTGGTATAACGTATTAAGCATCATTACAATCTTCGAATAACGAGAGCCATTTTGATAAAGCACCACCCGTCTTCAATGGCATAAAATTGTTGTTCACTAAATAATAATGCCACTTAAACCAATTAATACACCACCACTTATCATTCGGTGACAAGTCGTGGGTGCAAAAAAAAAAAGGAATGAAAGTTTTTTGTCATATAGTGGGTCATAGCAAACCTTGTAATTTAAATAAAGCCCCATTTGGCTTCATGTATTGGAATAGTTAACATAAGAGCATCGGTTACCCCTTTAATAGTGGAAAAAAAAAAGAGAATTACCTTGGTATCGGACCTCACCTTGTTACATACCTCTGTATAAATCATTATGAAGGAGAGACAGAGCCAGAGAGAACAAGAAGAATGCTAAAGATAAATACTAAAGGTCAAGAATACGAGAATATAATATAAAACAATGTTAAAAAGGAAAGAAAATGTAGAACTGAGGGGAATAATAATGGAAAAAATGGGAAAAGTGATCGACTATTGGACACTGATATGACGTCTCACAGAACTCAATATAGCTAACTTTCAGTTGAAAAATCGGAGAAAATTCAAGAAGGGTTTTCACAAAAAGAAACTCAATAAGATATCAAACACAAAACATTTAATCATATTGATACAACCCGAATTATAATTTGCTTTCTCTTCTTTTGGGCAACGATTCACAAAACATCGGATTCCCATTATTCTGACAAATCGTCCGGCACTTTTCGCTACAATTAAATGTAATTCTTCCTGAACATATCCTTTCAGAAACACTGGTAAGAGCTTCCAATTTATTCTTAATTTTCGTTTTTAAATTCCAGGACCAATCGATAAAATCAAGAAATGAGGTCCCATCGTAATAATTAATGATGCTACAATGCATGCCAACGCAATATCACGCACAAATCTCATGGGACCGATGAGGGTAAAAAAAAAAAAATTTTCCTCTGCAAAAAAAATAAAAAAATTTCAATATCAAATTGATAGCTAAGAATACTTCCATTAATTGTGACCATTCTATATTGATATAAAATATATAACAATGGAAATTTCTGCTCTCCCAGATCATCAAGATCTCCTCTTGACAGGAAAGAACGTTCTCAATGAAACCGTCCTCGACAAGTACCGTCTTGCCGGACAAATCTCCCAGACTGCTCTCAAATACATTATCTCATTAATCCATGATTCGTATCATTTGGGAAAAACTTCTCCTCCATTGACTCCTGTCGAACTTTGTTTGTTGGGGGACTCTTATCTTTATACCGCCTTATCCTCAGTTTACCAAAAATCAGTAACAGAAAAAGGGATTGCCCAACCAGTTTCCATCGATGTCAACGATGTCGCCGTGGGGGTTTCGCCGGAAATTGGCACCACCGCTGAGAAGATCAACAGAGCTTTTGTTCCAGGAGATATTGTTAAGATCTCTTTGGGGGCTCATGTTGACGGGTACACCGCTAACGTCTCCCATACTATTGTCATTTACCCACCAAGTACTGACGCTAGTGAACCAAAACCTTCTGGTCCATTACTCGGGTCTAAAGCCGACGCCATTTGTGCTGCTTATATTGCCACCGAGGCCGCCATTTCTTTGTTAGGATGTGCCCTTAGTCCAGAAAAGTTGCCAGGTGCCTATGCTGGCCGTGGTAAAGTTACTGGTCAAATGCTCAGAGAAGTGGTTGATGGGATCGCCAAAAGCTTTGGATGTGTAGTGGCCCCTGGATCAAAGATCAGAAGATTGAGAAGATTCTTGGCTGGACAAGCAGAAAATATCGTTGCCGAAAAAGATTTCAAAGGGGTGATTTGGTCAGAAGCCCACCAAGAATTTGCGATGTTGCAAAAATCCCAAAAGTTGAACTCTGAACAATCTGCATTGGTGTCGGTGGACAACCATCAGAATTTTAATAAATTGGGGGTTAGTGAATCCAGTGCCATCCCAACTGATAACTTTGTGGTGGTTGCCGGTGAAGTGTACTCTGTAGATATCCGTATGGCCTCAGTGTCGAGGTTTGAAGCGGCAGGGTTGGTGACTTTGCAGAATATCGACGAATTCAGCGGGAAAAACAACAGCAAGGACGATATTGTTGCGAAATCAGACGTCTATATAAGAGACTTTGCCATGAACTATACTCTCAAACTCAAATCTTCCCGTTCGTTGTTGAGCAGAGTCGAGAAGACCAGTTCAGTATACCCATTCAAATTGGCCCACTACGCCGACTCTTTCCCAATTAAGACCACCCTTAGTGTCGATGAACAAAGATCACTTTTGGACCAGGTCCGTAAAGACATCAATAAACAGAAGTTGGGGCTCAGTGAATGTGTGAACAACCATTTGATCGTTGCTAAAAAAATGCACTTGGCCAAGTTCTTACCACTCGATGTGATTTTGAATAGCAGTAATGAGAATGCCAGAAACTCTGGGGCTGACTTAACCTTGATGCACAACACTTTGCCAGGGTTCGAAGTTCCTTTACCAAAACTCGGGATCACTCACTTGAAATTACGTTCCCTCATCAAGCATGCCGAACCAATCGATGTGGCCAGAGAAAGCGCCACTGTGGTATTGGACAACTTTGACAACGAAAAGAGAGTTGTACGTCTTACTGGTAGCACCAAGTTTTTCCCAGCTAACTGGGTTCACTCAGATTTCAAGTTACAAGACGAAACCACTGAAGCATTGATCAAGTTGACACAGGACCAAAGATTCGGGATTAAGGTGAAGGAGTGTCAACCAATGAAGTTGACTGATATTAAGGGTGCCGCAGGTGACCAAATGGCCTTGGATTGATTGAGGAGATTTTTTGTTTTGATATTTGAAATGGGAGAACCGTATATTATATTAGACTTTGTGTAATGTTAATTTCTCTTTGCTTTAAGTTATTGGTTGTAAGTTAGTTCAGTAATTTTTTTTATTCTCCGTATCATCATAAATGTTGCAGACAAAAAATATTGAAAGCACCTTCACTATTTAAGTCTAAGTACATTCGACAAGTTAATAATTACGCCAGAACTAAAAAAAAAAAACCTGTCAAGCATATACTAAAATAATAACATCGTTTTTACAATATCCTTTATCCTATCCTAGAAATTTTTTAGAAGCTTTATTATCAAACTGTATACCAATATACATTCAATGAATATTATTAATCAGAAAAAAAAAAAAAGAGCGCAATAACATATAATACAATCAGGGTCCAGCGCTTGTTCAACGGAATTCCTTGATTTCGTAGTCGGCAAATTGCTTTTCACCAGCTTCACCAGCTGGAACCCCAAAGGCCAATTGGGCAACGACATTCCAGGAACCATCAACCTTGTCCTTAACAGATTCTTGGACCCATGGGTTGAAATGTTGTAAGTTAGCGCCTAAACCCATAGCAGAAATAGCCTTCCAAATGTCGATTTGTGCAGCCCCGTTGGCGTTGGCGGCCCAGATTGGGAAGTTATCTTTGTAAACTTCAAACTTCTTGGAGATTTCATCAATGGTGGTTTGGTCATTAAAGAAGACAATAGTACCATAAGAGGTTTCGGCAAGGGATTTTGGTCTACCAGAGAATGGGAATTCTTTAGTGGCTTCGTACACGGAGCTCCACAACTTCTTGTTGGCGTCACCGTAAAGAACGATGGCTCTGATGTTTTGAATGTTGAAAGAAGTAGGAGTGTGTTTGATAATGGCAGAAGCGAGGGCGGTGATTTCTTGCTCGGTGACACCAGTAGGCAATTCTGGTTTGAGTTCGTAAATAGTACGACGAGCTTTGGTGAGGTCGATAAGGGATTTGATGGAGGCGGACATTGTAGGATTAGTGGTAAAAGAGAGAGATCTGGAGAAACGTTTGATAATATTGATCATTAAAGAGTGGGAAAAAGAAAAATTGACAACAAGAACTGGTGGAAATCTTCAGTTATTTATAGCGGAGTTGGCGCTGATGCTTAGTTAAGGATCGGTAATAACATATGGTCTTTGCGCACCACATTAGTAATGATCGCAAAGCATTAGATAATATACCACAAAAGCTCTTCTTTCACACTATGCTGTTTATTTAATGACGACATATTATATACAAATGACAGGAGTAGTGATGGTGGTGAATCCATAATAATAATATTAATAAGAAAGATAATAACAATGATGATGACAAATAAGATAATAAACAAAGAATATAACGATAATAATATGATGCCCCCCAGGTTTTCAAAATGATATAGCTTGCAAGAAAATCTCTATACTTTTAGAGACCCTCATCTACAAAGCAGCAGCAGATCAACCACTTCTGTTCAACTTATTCAACTTTTTGGCGGTTCTCCCGTTATTTCTAGTGTTCTGCCCATGCACTGGGAAACCCAACAAGTGTCTAATCCCACTGTAAGACCCAATCTTTCTCTTGAAAGCAATATTTTCTCTCACGACATTTCTAGCTTCATTTTCAATCGTCAACCCCGCCAACTCCTTGGTGATAGACATGATCTGTTGTTCGCTCAACTGGTGCATTCTCATCTTTGGGAAAAGACCGACTCTGGCACATATTTTCGAGGCCTCTTGAGGACCGATCCCGTAGAATGTCTTGAAAAGCCCTTCTGACACAAGGTACTTGGCTCTAATATATTTCCCGAGGATATTGATTGCCATGTTTGTTGGTATTTCTTATTATAAGTCTCTGTTGTAGTCCTTCGACCCCAAATTTTTTCATCAAAGAAAAAAAATTGGTGGGAAAAAAAAACCCACCGAATTGCTAAGCGCCGACAACAATAACCATAGTTAAGGTATACCTACAACTTATCGATCATTATTCTATTGATACAAAATATAATATTATAATACATTTTCAGGAAGAGTCCCCTGAGAAAAATTTACAAGTAGTTCCGAACGTGCTCGTAAGTAATAAAGGTGACACAGGTGGCCGGCAATGCCCTCAATAAATTCACGTATAGCCCCTTATAGAACCCACCAATCCCTTCATTAGCAAATGTCTGGGCGATTACTGATCTGAAATGGCCTTTAGTGCTCGCCGCTTGTTCAGGCTTGTTAAAACCATATGCCTGGAGACGTGCCTTGAATAGTTGAAATGGGTAAAACACGGTGGTGCTGATGATTTTAGACGCCGAGGCAATGTAAAGATATTCCCAAAATGACAACTTATCGTTCTTATGTTGAGTATTGCCGTGATGATGATGATGATGATGTTGTTGTTGTTGTTGTTGTTGTTGTTGTTGTTGTTGTTGTTGTTGTTGTTGTTGTTTGGCATGATACGCCTTCAAGGAATCATAAATTGTAAAGTGTAATGCCCCTTGACACACCTGGATCAAACTGGGAGTGAAGCCCTTGAAAAATCCCGAGAGTCCCTCGGTGCGCCAGATACTGGCAACCCCCTGCCCAATGGACTTGTACGCGTTAGGTACATTCTTGTTTGTCGACAATAGCCGGGTCTTTAACACCCAGATGGGGTTCGTTAGAAACGCAGTGAGCGATCCAGTAAGTAGCGAGCACACTAGATAGTTATAATGCTGGTGGTTGGGACTGTGTGTGACGTGGATGACATTTTTCAAATCATCGTACAAGGTGAAATACAAGCTCCACGCCACGGCGTTCCCGACCAAATTTATGGATAGCCCCCGATAGACGTTAGTAAAGGTACGACCAAAGGTTCCAGAGCGGCTGGAAGGGTCCTTTGAGTACAATTGTCTCAAGACATTTCGCAAAGACTGTAATGGCGACAGCACCGACGAGTCCAACTGTAGCCGGACCTTGATCAAGTCTAGCGGGTGGTTAATTGCGGTGGTTACCACCCCAGCGGTTAGCCCGGAGATTATGTTCTTCTGCCGTGGCGATAGAGACGATGATGATGGAGACTGGTTAGCCATGGCATGATAATATATATATATTGGATTAACCTTTGCTAATTGCCAATCATCATCCGATCAACCCAATCATCGCAAAAAATTCTCGTGGACCCACGGAGTGCGGCTGTCCGGAAAATCTGAAACCATCTCTCTGCCGGCATGGGCTTTCCTGTCCGGCAACTCACACAAAGAAAAAAAAAACTTCATTAATTGTACCACTATTTATCTTGTTGGACAAGAGGCAGATTGGTGTATATAAAAACATTATAGATTCTTCCACAGCTAATTAGATTGAGTGGTGTGTACCTTCTCACTAAACTTTCAGTGCTCCTCTTGCTGATCATTCGCTTTTGTTACCCCGTTGACCAATAACATTGGTAGCGTTAAGCCGTCGTTCCTTAATTTCTATCTCCTTGCCACATCTTATCAAGATAAAACAAAAAAACAATAACTAAATTAACAAACTCTAACAATTCATGTCTACAAGTGTTAGGTCATAATATTTTAATATTAGCACCAACATTCAGCACCCGTATATGCTCTTTTCTCCCTTCTTTAAAACACCACAAATTATACCATCATCATGTCTTTTCCTGAAACCATAACTATACATCTAATATTCAACTCCCCTCGTCAGGAGCTTCTTCAAGACCTCACAATCAACAGCACGTTCCTTGCTGTGAATAATTTGCCATATAGCCATCCTTTGGACATGACCGTTGCTGATGTCTTACACTTCCTAATTGCCAATTGGCAACCAAAATGGGGTCCCAAACCAATGAATATCGCCCAAGTTCGCTTCATTCAACTGGCACGGTCGCTTCGGTCTGGGCTCAAGTTGGCGGATTTGAACCTCGACAAGAACCTGACATTCCATGTGGCAATGCGACCAATATCTACAAAAGACCCAAAGGCTAACCGACGTGCCTCATTGCTTGTGCCAACCTCACATAACCAGCGGTCGGCCAGCAACTCCAATAGTCCTGGAACTCGTACGTTTTCCGGGGGTAGCCATCCGCTCGCGGTCAACACTACCGACGAGTTGAACTTCCATTTAAATCCTGATGGTACCACCACGGTGACCGGTGCCGAACAAGATTTATCCAACTATTATAACGGTCGCTATGGACCTTCGTCAACCATGACTGCTGGCACTAGAGCAAGCTACGCCGGTATAGGGTTAGCTAATAGAAATTCTTACTACCAACGTTACTCTTATGTCGATCCTAGTCTGAGCTCTCAGACCTATTCTCTCAATAGAAATTACCATCGCTACAGTGATACCAGTAACGATGATTCAGAAGTTGAAGAAGATATGATGAACCATCCTGAGTTTGGGATTCAGAACCAACAACAGCATTTCCACCATGTTATAACCACTGAACGAGGGAAAGCTCGTTTAGCGCAACAGCAAAAGCAGGAACAAGAAAAGAGAAACTCTCAAATGATCCAAAGCCCACGCGAAAATCAGTCAAGAAGACTGTCGCATGCCGCTCAGCGTAATGTCAACCAGAAACCTCCACAATCTGAAGGAGGTTGTTGTATTATTATGTGAATGAAATGCGTTAGCATGCTCACCCAACAAGCCTAGCGTTCTGTTGTTTAATTATGCTCTTTTCAAATATGTTTGCTTTTCAATGTGCGAAATTATAATATTTCATTGCCTCCTGTTTTTGACCTCAGTTTTATTTTGCTGTTATATTTCTATTAAAAAAGGTGAATAAAAAAAAAAAAAAAATACAAAAATGGCTAGAAAAAAACAAATAAAAAAACATCCTTTTAATACTTTTTCAATTCGTCTCTTTTCCCTCACCACTTTCCCCTCTTTCTACGGGCTGAAGATTTGAGAAAATTGTTCATTTCTATATGGCTGGGAGTTTTTCATGCTATTTCTATTTTGAGATTAATTGGTCTGCTTTCACCTCTTTAACATGTCAATGACTTTTTATCTATTTTTTTTATACAATATTTTCAATTTTACAGTTTCCCTGTTGCTTTTTCCTAATTTTTTGCCCATTATTTCTGTTAATAACTTTTGTGTTGCTGATCCTACTTTTAATTTTGTTACATCCTTCCTATCTCTCTCTCTCTCTCTCTCTCTCTTTCTTTCTTTCTTTCTTTCTTTTTCTTTGTTTTTTCATACCAAACTGGACTTTAATATCCAGCCTTGACCTATGTCCGTATTTACTCAAAGGTTTGCTTATTATAATTATAATTATTGTTTTCTCACGAATTATTACTCGTTTCATGATTGTTTTTGCCTTTTTTTTTTTTCTTCTTCTTCTTCTCTCTCTGTTCTTGCTACTTGTGGTTCTTGTTCTTAAGAGGTGTTTATTCACTTATTTTTAATCGTATATTTTTCCTATATTTTTATTATTTAGCTAAATTTAGTTTCTTCTGCTTCTGCTTCTATTTCTTATTTTTTGCCAATTTTATTATTGTTGGTTGCTCGGATTCTCCTTACCATATCTTTTTCTTTTTAGGCGAATTTAATATTCCGTAGACATATCTTCACTTTTTATCTAATTGAATTTGCAAATGCTAAAATTCTTCAGCACTGATTGGCGTCCATGTGGCTAAATAAAATTTGTTTTATACAACGTTCTCCCATGTTGAGAAATTCCTAAGTGCACCAGTGCGTGCTCATAGTATATGACGATAGAGTCATGGATTAAAGAGTCTTTTTTTTTTTTCCTGCTATAAAATAGTATCTGGCAATCGCTAAATCATCTCCAACATCACCAATTTATACAATAAATATAAAAATAAAAATGGCTGCCACCACGGTCCTCAAGGTTGGGTTTGTTCCTGAACATTTTTCCACCCCACTTCAATTTGCCCAAATTTACCAAATGTATGAAAAACATGGGGTCAAGGTCGAATTGATCCCGTACCTTGCGGGCTCGGGACATCTTATTCAATCTTTAGGAGATGGATCAATTGACATTGCCGTAGGGCTTACCGAGGCTTTCATCCGAGGCATTGCCAATGGAGAAGAAAGTTATCGTTTGGTAGGGACCTACGTTGATTCGCCACTTCGTTGGGCCGTGAGCTCGGGAGCTTCGAGAAGTGATATTATCAAAGTCAGTGATCTTCAGAATAAGCGGATCGGGGTGAGTCGTATTGGATCAGGGTCGTACGTGATGAGTTTTGTTTTGGGATTACAACAAGAATTCAAGGCGCCATTTTATGAAAAATTCCCGATATGTTCGACTTTCAAGAACTTGAGGGACTCTGTGAATTTGAAATCTGAGGATCCTTCAATGAACAGTGATGCGTTCATGTGGGAGTATTTCACCAGTAAGAAGTATTATGATTCAGGGGAGATCAAGATGATTGGAGAAATCTACACTCCTTGGCCATCATGGGTGATCAATGCCCGTACTGGGGTTGATCAAGGCGCCATTGACCAGTTTATGAACGCCGTTAATGAAGGGGTTGAGTATTTCAACCAACATCCCCAAGAAGCCATTAAGTGGATTTATACCAATTTGGACTATTCTGAAGAAGACGCTTCCGAATGGATCAAGACAGTCAGTTTCAGCAAGGACGTGACGGTGATTGATTGGGATAAAGTGGTGGTGAACACCAAGAAAGTGTTGCAAACTGCCGAGGTATTGAAGGATGATGATGAGGTCATTGAGTCAAGATTGATGAAATTCGTAGTTAAGAAGTAGATTCTGTTTTTCTTTTTTTTTTTTTTTTTTTAATTTTCAATGAAGAATAGATATATTGAGTATAAAGTACTATGTTGCATTTCTTTTGCTTATTTATCTCCAGGTTGTAAGTGTTATGCCGCTACCGACAATGAAATATTATTGGAAGTCCTGTCCATGACTTCTCTAGCGTTCGACCAATCTCATAAAATACTGTATGATTTCATACTTCCCATCACCAGTGGAATAAAGAAAAACTTAAGGCTGTTATTGATTGATTTCGCGAAAAGAGAGCAAAAACTACAAGCAATAATAACATAGATATCATAATTTTAAAGGCAAATATTTATATACTTGTTACTCCTATAGCCACCAAGATAATAAAATCATCAAATAAAATAAAAAAATAATAATAAAACACTATAGATATTTCAACAAAAATCATCAACAAAAATAACAAAAGAAAAAAAAAAACATTTCCAGGTGACTATACCTTCTTCTCGGCGCACTTGACAATTTCCAATTTACCCAAAACACCAATTTATTGTGTCAAGTCATGTCTATTCCACAAATAAAGATAAAAATAACAATAGAAAAAGCATCAATCTTTATCTCCTATCATCACAACAAACCTTCAATCAAAGATTCAACAGTCGCTTCCAATTCATGAATCAAGGCATTGGTAATTTCTTTAGCTTCGGAAAGAACCATTGACGAATCAACAGATTGAGATTCCAATGGAGCGCTAGCCCAGAATTCGGACAAGTCGCCACCAGCACCATTATAAGCCAACACATTTGGAGAGCCGTTACCAATATCGCTCAACTTATTTGGAGTGGAATAAGCAATCAAGTTCTTCTTCAATTGGGCTGGGGTGATTTTAGTGGCGGAGCCAAATTCAGAAGACGACTCTGGGGTCAAAGAAATAAAGTAGGCCAATAAACCAGCAACGTGTGGAGAAGCCATAGAAGTACCAGATAATGTGGCAGAGGCCTTATTCGAGCCAATATAAGTGGAGAGAACGTTCAAACCTGGAGCAAAGACATCGACGCACTTACCCCAGTTAGAGAAATAAGCTCTTGTATCTGAGATAGTAGAAGCACCGACGGTGATGGCCAATTCAGCAGAAGCTGGGGAGCTGTTACAAGCATCTTGGTTTTCGTTACCGGCAGCAACACTAAATACCAAACCAGCACGACTGGCGGCATTCACAGCCATATCCAAAGATGGAGACTTACCACCACCAAGAGACATATTAGCAGATGCACCCTTCAATTTAGGATTCTTCTTCATTTGTTCCAAGTAATCTTTAGTGGCAACTTCGACACCCTTGACAACATCACTCATACTACCGCTACCGTTGGCACCCAAGACTTTAACCCCTCTAATGTGGACTTGCTTAGCAACCCCAAAGGTCTTGGAACCCATAGTACCAGCACAATGGGTACCGTGTCCATTGCCATCAAGGGCACCGTCATTTGGAATGTCGGCGATCAATTTGGCTCTACCTTCAAAGTCTTCATGGGTGTCTAAAACACCAGTGTCAATGACATAAGTCAAAGTGTCCTTACCACCTTCATTATCGTACACGTACTTGTTGAAAGACCCCAAGTTCAAGGAATCTCTGTGGGAAATTCTGGCTAAACCCCATGGGGCACCATGCTGGGTGTCGAAGTCCTTGATTGAAACAATGGAATCTTGTTCAACAAATTCAACTAAAGGAGATTTCTTCAACATTTCGATGGTGGAGTCCAAAAAGTAACCAGCATACCCGCTCATGACATTCTCAATATCAAAAGAGTGTAAAATACCACCAACAACATCATTGGCACCGCCAGCAGTGGTGGCAAAGAATTGGTTGGTAGGGTCTTGAGCAAACAACTTACCAGCAGCAGAAACTTGTTCAGCTTGGATCAATTCTTGGTGGAAGCTGATTTGTTCCGGACTAACGTTTTTCTTGAAAACAACCATGTAGCGGTGAGGAATGGTTTGTCTGTCTTGAGTGTTTGTGAAAAACACTGGAGCATCATCATCATCAGAGACAGCCTTGTTGTTTGGGTTAATAGGAGTAACGATACCTCCGATGGCCGCTTTTGGGTTCTTGTTTTTGGTGGAAGGCGAAACGACAACAACGTTTCTAGACGATTCATGGGTCAATTCCTCGGCGATGTGAGACCCATCTTCATTTTTACCGATCACCAAAGCACTAGCAGAAGTGGCAGCTGCAATAGAGATCAAAACAGAGTTGGAGAGCTTCATTGCTGAGGTTTGTTTAAATAATAGTAGTTGGTATGGAAATAAATAATATGGGAAAGTATCGAATATATGTTAAGCTAGAAGGGTTTCTTGATAATCTGGGTTATCTTATTTTTGTTTTTGTTATTTTTATTTTTTTCTTGTTTAAGTTTAGATAATTGGGCGTTGGTGGGTATAAAAAGAAGTAAAAAAAATAGGCGGTTGATAAGATAAAACCAGCAAAAATGAAATGGCACCTCATCGCTCACACTATCAACCAAAACAAAAGAGGCGGGAATCGATGGATGAGACAGCCGGGTAAAACTGTTTCTCCACGTCACCACTCTAGTGCTAGACCTTTAATGGCACTTAATAGGGTCATCTCTTCACAATCAGGATGAAGGGGACATTGGGCACTGATAATAAGGAGCATAAGATAAGAGGATGATTGCTATCGTAAACATACTGACTACGATGAAGGATGAGAAAGAGGCAAATGAATGGACTTGAGATAACCTCATCCTCATCTAGGGGGTATATAGACCCCCGTTTAATGGTTTCGAGCGTTTGTACAACACTGGTTAATTATACACAGATAATTGTTATTACACAGACAAAGGTATAAATAACAAAAGATGTGGGGGGAGGGGGGTAGCTAACTGTACAATTATATAGATGTGTTGAAATATGAAGCAGTAGTAAAACATTGAAAGTATTGTTTTAAAAGCCTATACTTATTTATAGAATAGTAATAAATAAAGCAATAAGTAAATCAGTGTGCAGAAGCAGAAGCAGGAGCAGGATTTCAGTTTTTGTTACTCTTCTATATACGATTGAATACTGCCGGGTTTTAAATAGCCTCGAAAGCGCTACGGCGTAGGAAACGGCCTTGCTTCCATATATATGATCTCTATCTGGGCCAGCATTAAATGCTGCGGATTTTGGAGCTCATGCTATTTCCTATGGGGAACATGGTTCAACCACAAGCTCCATCGAGATATCTTGGATAAATAATTCCCCAGTGACTCTCATTATGCTCAGTATACAATAAAGACTAGCCATTTATTCTTTATCATGGAATACTCGTGTATATAAGACAATATAAATGTGTTATATGAGTAGTCCTGTACATTCCATATCATGTGACTGTCATAACATGTCCAGTATAATAATTGTAATTTTATAAGCAGATAACATTGCTGTTTTTTTGCTCAAATTCGAGCGTCCACTTTCTTGTTCAAGCGCTATATATTTTAAGCGAGAATTTTAAAATATTTTAATAATGCAATAGCAAATCATAAGGGGGGCTAAGAGTAACAATGCAGAGTCCAGAAATTATCAACGAAATTCGTGTAGCCATTCCAAGGTGGTAGAATATATATCCATTTTGTTACAAGGTTCTTCCTCATCTATACTTTGATACATCACATTAAATAGATAGAATCTTTTTCGAAGAAGTTTATGTTTTATTATCTATCAAATGTCTGTTGTACGGGAGGGGGCTTGGGGTTGGTGCTCAAATTGTCATTTGGTAGCATTGAAACTGCAATGACAGCTTAGTGCCCTTTTATTACATGAGCATTTTTTTTCTTTCTTTTTTTGTTTCGCAATGTTTTAGAAGGAGCTTATTTCTGGTGCGTTAGGCTTATTTCTGGTGTGTGGCTTATTTTTGGAATGTGAATGATCAATACGAAAAATGAGCTGCAATCAACTTCGAGGACGCTTTTTTTTTTTTTTCTTTGAAAGAGATAGAAAAAATAGATAGACCAGCTAGTAGATGAGTAAATATGAGTGCAACCATTGAATATTGCCCATGAAAGAAGTAGCCTTCTTGATATTCAAATGTGACATTGAACATCACTACAGTAGTAACTTGAAATAACATTTTGGGTAAGCTTCGTGTTTCAAAAAGATCAGCCAGTGAAACAATATATCTAGCACGTCATCACATTTGCAACCATGAAGCCATCGCGATGGCACTAATGATATATGTAGTTCATGAGTACCCACAAGCAAAGTACATGAGTACCCACAAGCAAAGTCCAATAGTAATCACTAATTTGTAGATCCTTTTTCGATGGCATGAGACAGCGCAAGTCACCAAGTCTTACTTTCTTGTATACGCCTGTAAAATACATTGACCAAAGCAAAAAACAATTTTTTTTTCTTTGTTTGTTCATTAGGTGCTTTATCCATGCACTTATCGCTCATATTTTAAGTTGTCGAAAGCTTGTTTTATAATCACTATCTTTCTCACTAGCTTTATCCTTCTATGTGTCTTTGGTCGAGTCACTACAAGTATCAAGGGTAATAAGGTCTAGGTTTTTCAAGGTAGCATCAATTTCCGTAAATTCATCCTTGATTTGTATTTTTGTAATATGTCCAATATCTCTAATGCCTAAAAATAGAGTATACACATAATCGCTTGTTTTAAATCACCACAGGAATTTTGCTTTACTTACTTCGAAAGTATATTATAGAAGCCAATTGATTGATACCAATTTACAGTTGATTAAGCAATACGCACCTTTATATGCCAACAGTGGTAAAAAATATTTTTAAAAAAAAAAAATATTTTTTCATTTTTTCGTTTTTTTTTTATTCCTCAATTTTCGATTTTGTTCTTCTAAGTTTAGGTGCTGCTGCAGCATTAATTACTGAGTATTTTGCAGAATTACCTTCGTATCGGCATTTGCTAATCCATTCAGTATCTGGCTGGATATATGAAGTGGGTAAATAAACTATTTTTTGGACACTTTGATGTTCAAGAGATTATTTTTATGGCCTCCAAACGGGAAGCCTATTCGCTGTGAACTTCTAAGATTTTTCGGGATGTATAATGTATAATACCCAGGAATAGCTTTAAGCTAAACATTATAAAACTGTCACATATTTAATGTTCCGGTACATCTCTTATTATTATTATTTTTCCGTTGTTTTGTCTCGTAAAGCAGCCTTTTATCGTCTGTCGATCAAAAAGAGGAATTGCAAAGTATGATGGTAGAATTTCCGACGGAAGGAAAAACATTCACATGCTTATTTGCCAACAAATGATTCAGGTGCCGTCCGTCCTTGCATGTTGATTGTTTTCGGGGAATAACAGGAAACATTAACATTAAGACTAACTACTATTGATGATATGGTTGATTGCGGGACTTGTTTCAGATTGTTGTGCCAACCAAACCAAATGGCTTACAAAATAGTATGAGTTAGCGGATAAGGAAAATGATTAACAACAAGTCTTTTCGAGACAATAATTATCTACTTCCCTGGCTTGTCCCCCTTTTGGCCTTGTAAATCATATCATGTTTACTGTGGAAATAACTGTCGATCATATGTCGCCAATGGCCGAGTCATGGCGTAGCACACCATGTACAATAATGTACCTAGGGTAAAATTGTCCCTAACAAACAGGGCAGTAGAACTGAGTGTTACAGTATAATAATAATAATAAGAGAGCCCCAAAACAAAAGAACAGAAGTAGCTCAAAAATGGAAATCTTTGTGTATTTTGTTGCTAGTAATTCCTATCACAAGTGTAATACTACTTCCTAACTGTGATATCTATTATTTTGCTACCAATTTTTTTTTTTTTTTACGAAAATAGCAAGCAAATCGATTGTTTGGGGTGCGGTGGGGGCATGATCTAACGAGTATACTATATAAAAAAAAGGTCCCATATTAAAATTTTTCCTATGCAAAAGCAAAAATACTGACGTACATACGTCTGAAAAGGGCAGCTCCGAGAAGCGCACATCAATTCCCCTAATTTTTATTTCTTTCTATTTTGTTCTTTTTCTTTCCATCACTTCTGTACTGCGATTATGTTAACGTAGACAAACACGTAGTTTTTTAAATCAATCTAAGCACACGAAGCCTGAAATTACTCTGTTATTGTGATTTTTCTATCTATATATGGAAGAATTCAAGCTCATGAAAGGGTATTAGCTGATATTCTGAAAGGGAGGTTTCTCAGTGCAGCCAGACGCATGAGCTACCTGAATAAAAGGGCGAGCACCGAAAAATAGAGCCTATAGTTTGTATTCATATCTTTTCCGGAATGTGCTACATACACAGAGGTGGCTCGGGGTTATAATGTTGATACAAATGGCATTAGTAAAACATTGTTTAGACTTGAGGTTTTATAAGCCTGGGAGTAGGATATAAATTGCGCATAATTTATGCATGGGTTAATTAAGATTGTTAGAGGAAAACCTTAAAATTCACGAGTAATTGTTCTCTCCTACTGAATTTGTAAAACACATTCTGCCTAGATTTCGCTTTACTTCAGCTACTAGTGCAACGTTCTTTCTTTTCTCTTATTCACCACTTGTTGTCAAATCTGGAAAGATTTGCGGGTGTATGTATGATGGTGATCATTTGTGCAGTTCACCTTATATTATTTTCGTTTGCGCTATACCGAGTATACTTAAAAAAAAAAAAATAAAGATACACTCTTCCTTGGTAAAAATATGGCAGCATCTCTTTCTGCTCGGCTGATTCAATTCCATTATCTGATATTATCAAAAGACTGCGATTCTTTAAATATATTCCTTAATATTTGGAAATCCGTTAATTAATCGCTAATTAATTCTTCCCAAAAATGTAAGTACTTGCTCTTCAAACTAATGAGCTAGTTTCCTCCTCATTTCAAGAAACGCGTTTTACGCAAGACCTTAATTTTTTGTATCTGCAAATTTTTCAAGATCGTTGCTCGGGCACTGTCACTCCATAAAAAAAGAGATCTTCACTGACAAATTTTGTACCTTTCTGCAAAAAATAGCTCGCGACTGAATATTGTTATTCATCATTTTCCTTCAAGATCAATGCTTATTATGCTTTACTGCTATTTCCCCCCGTCCATCTCTTGTGATGCGCGGAGTTAACCAACTCAATCGGCAGATAAGAAGAAAAAAAAAAAAAAAAAGCTTATTGTATGTCGTGCCCCACTGATAGCAGTCTGATGGTGGAGGGATCGTCGATATGTTAATTTGACCTACAAGATGTAGTTTTCGGTTGGCTGCTGGCTGCTTATTGTGTTAGAGACCATCAACTAATTGTTCCCTTTTTCATTCAATTAAATAGTTTTTCCTTCTTTCCTCAATAGCTGGAACCTCCGCAAGAATATCTAAATACCCGTTAGTGTTATTATGCACTGTAGTACTGACCCAAGGCCCACTGTCCACCCAAGACATCACTCTTCAGTTAAGTGTAAGGCTAGTAGTTGTCCATTTGTCAATGGGGAGGATGGTACCACTGGTGTGGCACACCCTGTCTACCCTTTTAAGGACTTTTGAAACCAAAACTTAAATTTCATTTGAATAGCATCTGTGAATTGTTATTATAATGTCGAATTCACAGCACAGATATCATCTTAACTTTTAGTTCATCTCGTTATTTTCCGTATGCTGGACATTCATATCTTCTTTCTTTCCCCAAGGTCATCATCAAACATCAAATTCGAGGTCAAAGGAATTGAGTAATATATTTCCAACACTCAGTAATTAGGCCAGATTTTCAACTGCTTGTTTTATATTTTTCTTTTTTTTTTTTTTTTTCCCAATTTTTTTTTTCTCTCGCTTCTTTACTTATAAAAGATCATAACAACAACGACAGTTAATAATTTGATCTCTTGGCTGTCAAAAAAATTGACTAATAATCATGACCCAGTCTCGCTTAACAGATATAGAATATGATAGGTTGGTGCTGCAGTTTGCCCACGATAAAAATTCTAAATACTACAAACTCTGTCATAACCAAGAAATCGTGAATTATCTCCAAATCAACAGGAAAAGAGGGCTCTATAATTGCAATCATTGCAAACACAGCTTTGCCAATGTTTATGAACTAGCTTTGCACTTTGATTTTTACAATGTCAACCGCCAATACTACTGTGACTCTTATGGTTGTCCTTACGCCATTTTGGGGTTTGCCAGCAGCAATGAATGCAATCGTCACTTGAATTCTGTCCATGGTGAAAAAAACCATGTTTGCTGTGAATGTGGGGTTAAGTTCAGTAGAATCGACCAATTGAACGCCCATGTATCAAGGACTCATAGGAACCCTCATAGTCGATTCAACAAAAAATTGTCAAAACAGAACTCCACTGGTAAGTTTCGAAATAACTTTCCTGTGGACTCTTTATCATCATCAATTCTGGCACCATCTAGCAGTCCATCAATAATGATGCCACAACATCAACCTTTGTCCCTTAAGACCCCATATCCATCTGCTCCTTCTTCGCCTTGCTACCCTCAAAGCTACCAACTACCCCCAATTAACCCTCACTTTACAGGTATTGACAAGTCTACAAATGTCTTGCCGTCAATTTCTACCCTCGATTCAAGATTGGTATCTCATCCAATGAGATCGCATTCTAATCCCTTAATTGATTACTTTTCTACAATACCACAATCTGTGGATAATACGATGCCACTAAGTGGCACTGGTTTTACCTACTCTGATCATGATAATTCTGCGAGCCACCAAGAAGATCGGTCTAACATTAATGGAACGGAAAGATATCACCATTATAACACTACCAAAGATAAGAAACGAAATCAATTGGTAAAGAAGACCAGTAAATTGAAAATCAATTATCTAATCAATTGATTGTTGTGAGCATTTTTTTTTTCTTTCATTAACAGTATTTTTGGGGGGTTGTAGCATCTCTTACGTTTTATTTGTGACCTCTTATCTTTCTTTTTTTTCTTCTTCTTTTGAATTGAGGCACTCCATTCTCTTATCTTTCGCTATATTTGTGTCTATGTGTGTATGTATGTTTTTTATATGATTGCAGTAGTGCTAAAAGTGCCGTTTTACTTTGTTTTGTGTGTTTTCCTTCAATTCTTTTTTGTTTAATTTATCATCTATGAAATTATAGTCGCGCAATAGTGGTCATATTGTTAATTTCTTTTTTTGTGGAATTTTTTTTGTATTTAGAATTTGAAAGTGCTTTTTATTCGAAACGCTTTTAAATGAAATGAGACTCGCTTATGACCAGGGACATACATGTATATGCAGCGATATAACATGTTGTTATTCTGGCCTGTTTGCTTTCTATTCTTCTCAGCTTTGTGTTTTACATTTTGTAGGCATTCAGTAAATCTCAACACTTTATACCCGCGAATGTCCTTATTGTGATATGACAAAAATTGTCACATTTTGACATTGACAGGCGTGTCTCTCCTGGTCACTAAATTCTAATTGTCACAGTTGTCCCATTCGGACAACAATCCTAATCTCACCCATGCGCGTGAGGGGGGGGGGGGGGAATATAGGACATTTTGCATTGACCGGGAACAACAAGGCCAAAATTGGATCGAACTTCAAGGAAAAATTTCCTTTTTTTTTTCTCTTTTCTTTTCTTTTCTTTTCTTTTTCATATGAAGGCTGTTACTTATTATTATTCAGTGGATGGTGAATGAAGGAATGTGAAGGGGAAAAGTATTACTGACATGCAGCCCCAAGCTGGTCTCAAACCCTCCTCATCTTTGAAAATCTCAGACGGTTTTTCACTTGGCGAGAAAAATTTTTTTTTTTTTTTTTTTAAAAAAAAATAAAAAAAAAAATCGGCGAATCGGCCGTGAAGCTGCCAATCATCGTCATGGAAACTGTTGATGCTTAGACAGACACAGGCAGTTTACACAGAGATCATCACACAAACCCTTTAAATGAATATCATCTACGACAAGTTCGAAATTTAAAAGTAACAGTAGTTTCTACCACCAATGAGTGGAAAATGCCGGTTGGAGAATGAAGTATTTTAGATGAGTAAACAATTATCTATCAAACTAAGGAAAATTAAATATTTTATGTGAGTGTACAGAGAGAGAGTAAATGAAGAGAAAACAAACCCTCAAAGTTGCTTCATAATCACATAAGTTACGACAAACGGCAAACTCACCGCCAACAAACAATACTCCATTAATAAATAGACCGATAAACAGTCCATCTGGGTGGTATCTTCAGCATCGGGGTCGGTGTAACTTGCAGTAAAGTAAAATTGGGTGGTGGCCGACGGCAAGGAAAACGTGATGCAAATGACAAAGAAAATCATTGAATCATTGAGCCATCCCAATTCCCGTAACTTAGAAGCCCACGACACACCAACAATCGGCACCACACAAAGTTTCAATACCACTAAACAAGCGGCACTGATTAGGAATTTGGGATTCAAACCAGAGAGATCTAACCTGAATAACGTAGTACCCAACATTAACAACCCTAATGGCACCGATGCTTGACCAACGTACGCAGTATAATCCATAATGAAACTCAATGGCGGCAACTCATCAGGAGCATTAGGCATATTTGGCACTCTTGGAGTAACAGTGAACAATGCCTTTAGCCATGGGATCAATGCAACAGCAAGAGAAATCATGAGAACCACCGAGCATGGTCTTAGGAAATTTTGTAGGATAAACACCAAAAAATGAAGGTTATATTTCTCCACAAATGGCAGCAGAGAGCCAGCAGTTTTGATATCCTGACGTGACGATGCCCCCAATTGGGTGGTGGCAATTCTTGTCAATGTACTCATCCGATTGATGACCGGTTGATTATTGGCACGACTATATTCATCTATAACGTGCCTAACATTCTGTGATGGTAATGTTCTTAACTCCAACGCCCTTGATTGGACGTGACTTAATGATTGATTGTAATCTCTTGTAAATCCTGAGCTATTGGTGGTGAGCTTTGTCAACGCGCTGGCCATCCGTATTAATCCATGATTGTGAGTTGATGCTCGTCCCAAAGACTTATCATCATTTAAAGAAGCAACCCTCTCTTGTTGGTTCACATCGGTGACATTGACCGTTGGAACGTATTGCTCATTGACGGCTTCTTCAACGTCTGAATTATCTGCCGCCGAAGATGAAAGACTGGTTACCACAGATATGTCATCATTATTTGTAAGACCAATTTCATTATCAGCATCTTCCTTTTCACGATAATTCAAATTCTGGGTCAGCCTAGCGGCCATTGAAGGGGTTCTGCTTGTTTCTGAATCATCATTCGCGTGATTATTTTTTTCGGCATCGCCATCACCATGTATAAAATCATATTCGATCAACCTAAACCCACCAATGTTGAATTGGCAAAATAAAAATGTGGCAAGGAAAATACAAACGTAAGCCACCCCTTTATTGCCTTGAGCACTAGTAAATATAAGCCCAGTGTCCAAAGTTTGGATATATGCGATGGGTAGATCTGAAATGTTTGGGAAAATCCCCCCTGCAAAACATCCTCCTCGCCATTTCTTTGGCACTGGGGTGGCTAGTATTGTTAGCAACGAACAAAAAGCCCCTAGCGAATACAATATGGCAGCACTGAGACATATGACACCAATTGATTTCAAATCGCTAATAGATATGCTGCCAACGATTTTATTGAAGGTCAAGCAGGGCAAAATGAAGGTGACAATCATATCTGATAAGTTTCTGGTGACCTCGACTGTCAAGATGTTCATCCTTGCAAGAAGGAACCCCGAGCCAATGATCAAATAGATCTTGAAAATAGGTTTCACTGCGGTGTATATCACACTGCCAATGTCTAATATGGTGGTCATCGCGGTACTATTGATAGGTGATGATGAGTGTGCGGTTGATAAGAAGAGTCGGCCCAATCAAGAACGATCGATCTATTTCCAAACGAGTGGAGTGGGGCCTGTATATTTTTTAGTTTTTTAGAGGTATTTCTGCTATTTATTGTTTAGCTGCCTACTTATTAGCCACCTGCTTATCGCTATCCATGTCCATCGTTACCGTCACGAATATCCCCGACATGAGATAAGTGAAAAAAACGTGAAAAAAAGGAAAACCCAAAGAACGCTTCGGGTATGGGCACCCGAAGAGTGCACCAAGGGGTCACCCTGACATCAAACAAGATAAGGGGGTGTTCCGGGGGGTCTGGCCAGTTTGATGGAGTTTTGGCCCAATCGAGGAAGGGAAGGCCGGGTGGTAAACCACCTCGTCTACCGCCTTCGAAATGTAAATAAAACAGATCCGTTATATGTATAAGTTACAGGAGATCTACTGCCAGCCAGTCCATTACCGCATTGTTTAAAAGTATGTGGTTTCCCAATCCCAGTCTTCCTATCCTGACACACTTTCATGGCAATTTTTTGACCTCTATTCATCACCTCAAATCACACCCTTAGATATATATATATTATACCAATACTTTGTCTTATTATGGGCCTAGGAAATCAATTGATGGTTTGGGCCACAGAGCAGGATAAAAGAAGATCAGCACCATCCAGCCGTAGTGGTTATGACACCGAACAAGATAATGATACAACGTGTGCTCTGTTCAGATCAAAAAGATACGCTTCGGGGCTAATACCAGGCGACGATAATTCAGCCATCGGATCATTCGATGGGGCTCTGCTGCTGCTGCTGGAAAACTCACACCACGGAATGTTTGAGACATCCTCAGAAAAAATCAACATCCTTAATAACAACCGCAAAAATTTCGATCTGATATCAGAAATCGGAGTGGATATCGACAATTTAATGGAAGCCTACAAAGACGAGAACAATATAGCCTCAGGAAATTCTGACGGTGAAGACGATTTCCTAATGAAAGATCATCGTCGCCTTCCCAAGAGACGGAAAAGTATCGACACCGTGGTAACCACCGGTTTTTTCCATGACAAGTTCATTGAAAAGACAGCGTCTGCTGGCGAAAAATCTGAGCTATTCAATCGCCAAAACTTGCAGTTTCCAGAATTTGGAAAAATGTTAGATGAATTATACGCGTTCTTCGAAAATTCTAATTATATCAACACTTCCTCCGACAAGACTATTCACCTTCAAAGTTTCGTTCTTGGGATGGCTGTCACAATCGTTGGATTTTTTCTCAAACCTTTAATAGTATCGTGGGTTGGCTGGTTCTTATATGTTACCTACCAACTCTTCAAACATGTGGCATTCTGGCTGACCGTGGCTGGGGTAGCCTATCTTGGGTACAAGGCCTTTATTGTTATAAATAAACTCAATAGCGACACCAAAACCAACAGCTCAGCCGTGAAGTTTGCTTCCTCGAATACTAGACAGGGTCATTCTCCAAGTTCTATTGGTAATGATAAAGCTCATCCAATTGGGAAAATACCTTCACCTTCAAACAAACACCGTCCATCCCCTAAACCGATGTTTACTGCAGTTTTGAGAAATACCCAAGATATTCAGCAGACAAAAACAGAAGCTCCAAAAAAGAGGGATCTCAACGTAACCGCCAATGAATTGAGACTTCTTAGGGAGTTAGTAACCGCAAAAAAAGGTGGCCAATCATTATCCAATACCACTGAATCAATGAGAATGTCTGCACCAAATGGGGCCCGCCGTCCACCAGATAGTATGAAAATTTCCCAACAATCAAGACAACAAACACTGACGGGAAACATATTGAAAAAAGAAGGGTACGATGAGAACCACTGTGAAGCTCTATCATCGAGGCCTTCATCGAGGCCTTCATCTCGATCTAGATCGCCTCGCAGGCTGCTAAACAAAGAAAGACTTTATGATTATGCTGATTCTGTAACGGAAACTTGCACTATCGATCAACTGAGTACTAACGCTAAATTCCTATTGTTGCAATCGCCATTTTCCACCACAAAATCACCTTTGAGAAAAGCCCCAAACTCAAGGACTCGAAGCTCTAGTCCAGTGAGAAATATCATGCCTAGTAATGGCAGAAGTGTCAGCCCAATGAAAAACACCAGATCTGGTACCGATAGAAGTGCCAGTCCAATGAGAAAGTTGCCTGTGCCACATCATGCAGAGGCAAAATCGCGACAAGACTCGGTGATTGACATGAATTCATTTAACGACGATACTGATAGCGTTATCAGCAGGTCGCCCAGCAACATAACTGGTAAATCTTACACATCATCTAAGTACACTGATAACACCAATCTCAGTACTGACAACTTCTTTATCAATAACAATAATTCGCCTTCCAGGAATAATGATTTTTCGGACACTGCGTCCGTGACAACCAGAGGCTCTAACTTTTCCAGGTATTCTGGGATCACCAATTTGTCCAGTGAATCAGCAGAAAGTGGCTATTCCAGGGCTAATACGATTTTAGGCTCCAAGGGGAATTACAATAAGTTTGTGAGAAATGCTACTACTGGCCCTAGAGTTGCTTGAATGCAATAGTGGTGTGGATCTGCCTAAAAAAAAAAAAAAAAAAATCTTTTTCACATCCTTTCATTTTTGGTTCTATTTGCAACAGAAAAAGGAAAAGTCTATGTGCTATACTATATAAAAATTTGCATTATTATTATTTTACTATCTATTTGCTACTTTACTGCTTTCTCCTCTGCTATAGTTGTTCTGATTTAATACTAATAATCTATTCCATTCCCCGCACGTGCAATTTTCGGGGTCCACCAAAAAAAAATCACAAAAAAACGTTCCTAAATTATGACTGACAGCTTTATTAATTGCCAGTTATTTCTATAGATATACATTAAACCGACCACCCAGAGATATTCTCTGATCACACTCTATTTGTCTCTGTGGACCTCAATATACCTTCAGTTTTATGTTGAGAAGCCTTTCTTGTGTTTTACCTCTAATCAACCACAAATCTGTCTCCACTTTTTTACCCCGGCCATTGAATCATCAACTCACCCGCAAGATGACTAGTAAGTTGAAGCAAATACATGAATTACCACCATTATCCGATCCTTTGGAATCGGCTAAAAGAGTAGCTGCTTACAAGGCGGTGGATGAAAACTTTCCTCACGAAGCCACCGGGGAAGTCGTTGTTGGTATTGGGTCTGGTTCTACAGTAGTGTACGCTGCAGAAAGAATCGGGCAATTGCCAAACAAGGCCAACTTTGTCTGTATTCCAACAGGGTTCCAGTCCCAACAACTAATCATCGATAATGGCATGAAGTTAGGGAGAATTGAGCAATATCCAGAAATCGAAATTGCCTTTGATGGGGCTGACGAAGTCGACTATCAATTGAATTTGATCAAGGGGGGAGGGGCCTGTTTATTCCAAGAAAAACTCGTTGCCAGCAGTTCGAAGAAGTTCATTGTCGTTGCTGATTTCCGTAAGAAATCACCAAAGCACTTAGGAGTTGCCTGGAAGAAAGGGGTTCCAATCGAAGTGGTGCCAGTTTCCTATGCCAGAGTCCTTAAAGATTTATACAAATTGGGAGCCGTCAAGGCTATTGTTAGACAAGGTGGATCCGCCAAAGCAGGCCCAGTGGTGACGGACAATAACAATTTCTTAATCGATGCTGATTTTGGTGAGATTTCCAATCCACAAAAGTTACATAATGATATCAAGGGCCTTGTTGGGGTGGTGGAGACTGGGTTGTTCGTGAATGGAATTGCTAATAAGGCATACTTTGGTGAAAGTAATGGTGAATTCACAACCCAAGAATGAAGGGCCTACAGCCGAATATCTTGTGTATCATTATTCTAATAATAAATTATCGTTTGCTTTGCTTATTTTCTTCTGCTTTATTTTTGGCTAATTAGTTGATTATAATTGTAGATCCCCCTACTAACCCAAGTATTGGTAACATTTTTAATTTTCATTAGCCCTAATCTGTCACGTGCTATCATATAGGGCAAGTCACGTTATTGACAGCCCACTTTCTTCCCTTTTTTTTTTTTCTTCCTCTCGTTTTTTTCGCTACTCGCACACCACACAGACGGAGGGTGGGGAGAAAAAAAAATTGAACTGGTTTAACCAAAAATTGTCAAACAGACCTAATTGAATAATTGATAGCAATAGGAAAAACATCATCAACAATGTCAGCCCAAGCTAAGATCTTATCTTCTGAACCAACTGAACTTGAATTGCAAGTTGCCCAAGCCTTCATTGACTTGGAAGCTCACACTCCAGAATTGAAGGCTGATTTGAGATTGTTACAATTCAAATCCATCAAGGAAGTAAGTTTTTTTTTTCACATCAATATTTGTTACTCGGAAACTATCAAATAAACCATGGTGTTGTATTGTACTGGAAAGAAAATCAAGGGGGACTCAAGTGTTATTAAATGAAGTATAGTTGGATCATTTTTGGGCAGTTTGTAAATTTTCAAGGTCAACGGAGTTTCAACAGAAGCGTGTTAGTACTGCTATTAAATATCAAGTAATCATATGGGTCATGAAGCAGTCCAAAAAAAATAACGATCGTCGAATAGTTGTCAAATCATGACGTTGAAATTTGATCGTATGGAGGACAAGAAAGAATCCAAATTTTTCATCACATCAATGTATTAATCGTCATGAAGCCTCTTATTTGACTGTTGTGCGATTCGAAAGTTGAAACCGCTGGAGATGTGAGAATTTTTTTTTCCCTGTGGGTTGATGATTATCTAGTACATACAACACTATTTTATGAAGTTGGTATTGCTTCTTTATATAAATCTAGAGAGATTTGTATACTAACAAGTTTTTCCTTTTTAGATTGATGTCGCCGGTGGTAAGAAGGCTATTGTTGTCTTTGTCCCAGTTCCATCTTTGAGTGCCTACCACAAAGTCCAAATCAGATTGACCAGAGAATTGGAAAAGAAGTTCCCAGACAGACACGTTGTTTTCTTGGCTGAAAGAAGAATCTTGCCAAAGCCAGGTAGAACTTCCAGACAACAACAAAAGAGACCAAGATCCAGAACTTTGACTGCCGTTCACGACAAGATCTTGGAAGACTTGGTTTTCCCAACTGAAATTGTTGGTAAGAGAGTCAGATACTTGGTCGGTGGTAACAAGGTCCAGAAAGTTTTGTTGGACTCCAAGGACTCTTCCAACGTTGACTACAAGTTGGAATCCTTCCAATCCGTTTACAACAAGTTGACTGGTAAACAAGTTGTCTTTGAAATCCCAGGTGATTACTAAATGTTCGACTCAATGTACCAAAAACTAACAAATTTTTAATAAATTTTTCATTCTCAAACCCTGTTTTTTATTGGTATTTTTTGTAGGATTTTTTTTTCTCTATGATATAGTTTGATGTTTAACGAGAATTTACTTTTATTAAAAGAATAAATCTGTACTTTCAAGGTCAAGTATCCTATTGGTTTTAAGATATATGAAAATGGGCACAGGTTTTGGGTGATGGGAGTTTATACTTTTTCAGTTATTAGGGTATATGGGACGCAAGAGATACAAGAATGCTCTGGTGTCAATTAAAGCAGAACGAATTAGAAAGCGAATGAAATATTTGAAAGTAATAAATTTAAGTAGAACATTAAGTAGATATAAATGAAGCAAAGAAAAAATATTAGGGTATAGTATGAGAATCAGAAAAAAAAAAGTAAAGAGAAAAGTTGAAGAGGCTCCGAAGAGTGAGTCAAATGAGATAGGAGTGAAAAAAAAGAATAAAAAGAGAAAACTGATAATAAATTTGCTGTTTGCCCTGAGCTTTCCTATTGAAAAGATACACACAAAAAAAAAAAAAAAGAAAAAGGCGGAAAAGAACGGAAAAAAACATTGGATATACGATAATCTAGTTTAAACAAAAATCAACAAAAGGATTACCAAATTAAGCAAAAGATAACTAAGTAGAAAGAAAGCACACAGACAAAAAAAAAAAAAAAAAACACGCACAAGCAATAACCAAATCATTCAGCAAAACCAAAATCGAGGTGAAAACTCCATCCCCAGGTCAAAAGTTATCAGGGGATTTGATTAGTTCGCATCCCTTGAATTATTGGATATCCAGGACAAACCTTCTATCAAACCTTGCCCAGTCAAAGCATTACTGGCAACCACACACCAAATGTGGTCTTTTAAATTTTCTAGTTCTAATCTTCTGGTAATTTCCTGAGGTTTCAAAGCATTTGGCAAGTCCTTCTTGTTGGCAAAGACTAACAATAATGCATCTTTCATTTCTTTATCGGTGATGATCTTGTACATTTCCCTTTTGGCTTCGGCAATTCTATCAATATCGGCACTATCAATGACAAAAATCAATGCGTCTGTCCCACTAAAATAATGACGCCACAAAGGTCTGATTCTATCTTGTCCACCAACATCCCACACATTGAACTTGATATTCTTATATGTCACGGTTTCAACATTGAAACCGACCGTAGGTACGGTTGTTATGCCTTTGTTTAGCTTCAACTTATATAAAATGGTGGTCTTACCAGCAGAATCCAACCCCAACATAAGAATTCTCATTTCACGGTTGCCAAACATCTTTTTCTAACAAGAATTGTTAGTAATTGTCTCATATTAAGTTATTATTATTTCAGGATATTGAATTCCTTTGTGAGATACCAGTCACCATTACCGACAGCAGAAGGTTTGTTTAAAGAAAAAAAAAAAAAAAAAGTCAGACAAAATATAAATGAATGAATACTCACTAGCATTTTCGATATAGAGCCACCCATGGTTAATTAATTTCTTATATATCTCTATTATAAACGGTCCTGCCTCTTTGGAATTTGCAATGTAATGTTTAGGTTATTGTAAAACGTCCCTTTTGTTTATGATTAAAAATGACTCTATCAGGTGTCAAACTTCGGACTCTGGCTATAGAACGACAATTGTAACAGCAATGTTAAATCTATAAACGTGAAATTGATGATTCTATAATAAATTGTGAAAGGAGCAGAATACACACACGCGCGCAAACACCTCCAACACTGGAAAATTGAAAATATGTTTTCTGTTGTGTCCAATTACGAGTCTTTTGATAGTGATTTGTTCTTTTTCGAAATTTTTCATTCCCGCTCTGCACAAACTTACGGCACCGGGCTGCAAACGTGATCCATTGCGATGGGTCGTTAAGGGACATTTTCTACTACTTAGCTCTTATTTATCGTGGGCCTCACTAAATTCAGATATAAAGGATCTGGGAAGCTTATTTATTCCAAGTAGTCAAGAAAAAGTAATAAGAAAAAGAAAAAGAAAAAGAAAAAAAAAATTACACATCGCATGCTTAATATGTGACAAATCATCAAATATTTTTAACTTTTTGATTCTATATTTATTCACAAAAATTGGACATAACTGGTTGGAAATAACCCCTTGGCACCCTTCAGTTCCCCCATAGTCCATCCTGAACCATCATCCGCCTCTGTAATGGCAATTGTTTCTCCAGCAATCAAGGACAATTCATCATCACCTTCCGCTTGGTATGCGTATAATGCTTTAGCCTGAGGTAGCTTTTTTGCACCCCTTTTTGGGGCAACCTTTGGAGGCACAGATGATTTCCTACTAGGTGGAGCACTAATTCCTGAAGGTGCTCGAGAAATTGTTTTCTGAACTTTGTTGATGACAATGTACGAAGTTGGTACTAATCCTACCGTACCATTATCTTTTTTGATTTTGGTCCATCCTGAGCCATCATCCGTTTCTGTAACCTCAAAAGTTTCTCCAGCCTTCATTTGCACTTCATCATCAGCGGTAGCCTGATATTCGTACAAGGCTTTCCCCTCATCAATAGTGATTTTCTCACTTCCACCAGATGGCGCACTTGAATGATGAAATCTCGATGCCATCATTGACTTGATTCCACCGCCGCCGCCTCCACCGCTGACACTTCTTCTTTCCGAAGCTAATGAAGCAACTTCACCACTAGTGTTAGTGGAAATACTAGCGACGTCGCCACTAGAACCATTGGTTTTCGTCCCTTGTTTATTGCCTCTTTTGAAAAAACTCAAATGGCCTTTTTTCTTTTGTTCTATCGGCCCGGTTATGGTCAAATCTTGGTCACCAACGTTTGACTGGATATATTCAAGCTCCACTTCCGCAGAAACCTTCTTATTATCACTGACCACAAACAACTTCAAACATTGAATATTTTCGTCAAGATAATACGAGAATTTCTTGTTATATTTTTCATCAACGTTCCCATTCTTTTTCATGTCCATCTTGATTTGATTGACTTCGCTGATTTTGACTTGAAGATTTTCGCAAGTACGATCGCATTCCGAATATTTTTTATTTGCCTGATCCACTTTTTTCTTCAAATCATTTAATTCGTCAGGCTTCACAACCATATCATCATCTTCATGCCATATTGGGGATGGTTCATAATAGAAATCTGGTGGTTCGTTCCATTGTGAAAGATTGTGCTTGATAAACATGATAGTATCTAACTGATAATTATTCTTATCAATTATTTCCACTGATGATTGTAAATGTTGATTAAGAGAGTTATTACAATCGGTTTCCAAGGTAATGCAATCTTTCCAAATCTTTCCCAATTCAATGGTTTTGAACTCATTAAGATCTTGTAGGCCATCCAAAATTTCTGGCAAATCTTGATAATAGAATTTATCTTTCAATCTATTAGCTTGATTGATTTTAATCAAGTAAGAGTTTTTACTAATATTCATTTTCACTTCTTTTTCTCCCAATTTCTTCTGCAATTTTTCCTTCAGTGATTTCTCGATTTTTGATCTGACATGCTCCACATCTTCGCAAGAACTGTCATATCCGTGTTTTGCTTTCTTCAAATCACTCACCGCAGTTTCTTTTTCCTTGATAATCAAATCATTTAATTCGCCGTACTTCCTTTGTAACGTCTCGGCAGTTCTCTTGAAATTTGTGATCTTATCAGCAACGTTGACGTTCATATCATTGGCAAACTTCATCTTGTCTTTCGAAATCAATTCTGTTTTATTCAAAATCTCATTCCAGACAACCATGGTAGAGTTCTCAAGTGATCCGGGAGTGATTGTTGGCTCGTCACCCACGCTGACCACGGTGGTGCATTTGGCCTTTCTTTTGAATGATTCCGAACACAAAGCTTGAAGTTTGGTGGCGTATTCTTTTTCAATGAGGGCACGCTGTTTGTAGAAATATTCGATATCTGTCAACCACGATAGATTGTTCAGAAGCCATTTATTAGTGGTTTTGAATCCATCCTAAACGACAAGCAATGATATTAGTATTGAATGATCTTGATTTTGAAGATAACAGAAGGCATGTTTCCATGCAAGAAATGAAGAAGGACAGAAGGGATTAAAAGACATACTTTCAACTCAGTGCCAATGCTAACATTCTGTATTTCTGTCATTTTTTGTATACTTTTATTTATTTTCTATTGTAGTTCCAACCAATTGATGATCTCTCAGCCTTCATGATTGTAATTATTTAGGCGGCCCTTCCCCCAAGAAACGGCTATTGAGCAAACAACGCTCATAACAAAATACATTATCACAGGGTATCACACCCTGTATCCCTGGGAATAACCACGAAGAAAACAGATTTGTTTTTTCTCTGCCACATGTTTTTTTTTTTCCTTCATAGTTCGATTTATTAATAAATATATATATAAATATATAAATATATAATTATATAATTATATATATCTATGTAAAATCTTATAAGCTAATGCTCACTATATATGTTAGGGAAAACCATATCATTTGGTGAGAAACCCTTTAGTGATAATTGTTAATATTTAAGTAAAATGTTTTTTGTTATTGTTTTTGACAATTATTTTTTTTTTGTTTTTGTTTTTGATAATTTTTTGTTTTAATCGACTAGTCAGCTCCCATTAGTAATGATATAAATCAAGTTGTTAATTGATGTGTTCCAATTAATTTGGTTATGATATCTTAGACGCGAGAGTTTGCGCTGATAGCATAGATAGCGGTCGATCTTTTTGATTGTTGATTCTGAATGATTGGGAGCGATTAAGTTATTACACGCTAATGGAATTGAGATTTTCAATCTTGACCATAATTCGGTTGATAATGGGCATTGAATTAGGAAATGGGTCATTTTGATCTTGACTTGGAGTTCTGGTGATTCATGTTGTTGGTCTTGAGAGACGGTTTCGAGTCCGCAATAGTGACATTTTCTATGTTGGGGATCGTCCTTATATTCTTGTTCTTCAATATATTTCAATTGTAGAGTATTAATCCTTTGTTTATCTTTTTGTTGAATTCTACTCAATGGTAAAAAAATTGTTCAGATCCTAAGTTGAATATGTGTATGTTTTCAAAGTAACCTACTTTTTTTAGTCCTCATTCAGTGAGGATATATAAATTGATGCCATTGCTGCTTAGCAACCTTTGAGAGTAATTTTTTATGGATTGGCAAAAATAATATTTTAACAGGAAAGACTAGAAAATCTCTGTTATGATTGGAATCAATCATAAAGATTTCTGGGGGCTGGCTTGGTGGGCTTTCTTTTATTTAAGTTAGATTTGCTGATACAATCTTTAATTTAGGGGATATGATGAACCCATATTTTTTTCTTTTTATCTTTTTTTTTTTTATTAGCATGGGAAAGTTATAAATAACCCTTGCTCAAATATTATATGATGTGTGTGTGCTGTATAATGTTATAGCGTAATGGTATTTTGTTGGATTTTAAGCTAATATTACACTGCCAGAGGATTCGGTATGATTTATTGTTGTATTCATCATCCCGTATAAATTTCTGGCATCATCCATCACACCATCTTGCTGTCAAATTAACAGTATTGATGTTTATGACAAAATTATTTTTATTGAAGTGCAGAATTTTATCATTTATTGTTAAAACCAAAGTACCTCCAGCGAGATACACAATAATTGTTTAAATTAAACAAAATATGAAAATATTTAGCAGTAATAAAATTAGAATAGACAGTATCATTGATATTTAAAGAAAGTTGTCATCATATATGTGATGCAACTATGTATTTTTATCATGTTGAGCAAAATTATTAAGATCTACGACTTATAATTCTGGTAAAACAATAGAGGGAGGGGATCCTTAAGAAAAGTTGGACTTTGGGATAGAAAAAAAAATGAAATAAAAAGGAAGATTTGTTGCCTATAACGGATAAATAAAACTTTTGTTTTCGAGATCAGTAAGGTCTAAGTTAGCAATGTTGACTTTATCAATAATTTCATGACCATTCCCGTCGGTTTTGACAACAGCACCAAGAGACTCTTTACCTTTAGCTTCAATAGTGGCCAATCTCTTCTTGTTTCTACTCTTCAAAGTGAAGTGAATGATCCAAGCAATAACAGGTGTACCGATCCAGGCCAATACAATTTGAATAACCCAAGCAGCATAGTAGCGGTTGACACCATCTTTGTCATTTCCCTGATTACCTTTCCACAATTGAGGAGAGATAATATTGGCAATACCGTAGGCAATCATGAACATAAACTGACGGAAAAATCTCTTAGTGTTACCAGAACAAGAAGAAGTGGCCCAACCAAGACCAACAATGTAAGCGATACCGTACGTGTTGGCAGCCAAGACAAGACAGGCCAAAAGCCCCATCTTGTTTCCCCATGGAATAGTAATCATAGCAATACCACCGGCAACAGATGGAATACAACCTAATGTAGTTATAAGGGCACTACTGTTTGGCCTAAAGTAGATAAAAGCAGCACCAGCGAGATGGAAAACAGAAGAAAACCCACCACCAGCAACGGAAACCAATGTGGAGCCCAAGTTAGTAACACCAAGACTGACGTATAACAAGTTTTGTTGATAATTCAAGTTATTAGCCAACATGAGAAAAAATGAGAAAAAGGTGAACAACCAGGAAATCGGATCCTTGATACACTCAATAATTTGTTCTTTCTTGACGACATGTTGCACAATTGATGCCTTAGATTCCCCTTGGATCTTTTTGATCAAGAAGTATTTCTGTTTATTACTCAAGAATTTAGCACCAACTGGGTCAGATGGATAAAAGAGAGCAACCCAAATTGCGACAAAGAAAGTGGAACCACCGGTGATGATCATAAAGATTTTCCAAGGAGCAATTGTATTTTTGGCCCAAAGGACACCATAGGCAATGAAACCAGCAATAATAACTGGACTACCAACACAAGAAACCCAGAAAACAGGTTGTAAAGTAGCTCTCTGTTTAGGAGTGAAAAATTGGAGCATGGTGACTTCCAATGCTGGGACAACAGTACTTTCAATTAAACCGAGGATGAATCTAAGAACAATAAGACCTCCGAAATTATAAGCACCACAATGACAAAAAACAATGATGGACCAAGAAAAGATGATGTAAGTCATATATTTGGCCATATTGGATTTTTGTAAGACAAAGTTCAATAATTGACCGATAGTGTAACCGGTGTAGAAAATAGAATTCAAATCATCATATTGTGCGGAATTAATATTGGTGGATTCAAAAAGCCCCAAAATCGAAGAGTAAGATAGAGTGGCCTTATCAACGAAAAGAATGGTGTTTATCACGAAGATTAATGGGAAAAGCCATAAATAAAGATTCTTGCTCAACTCTTTTTCGTCGGCAGCAGTAAACTCAACATCTTTGAATTCTTGTTCATGATCTTCAAGGAACTGCAAAGAAGAATCAGCATCTTTTTCAGTAATTCTAATTTCTTTGCTTGAAATATCCAGCTCTGAATCAACGTTGATGAGGATTTCACTCACAATTTTTTCCTCGGACATCTGAAAATAATTTATTTTGTTGCAGTTTAGACTGGACTCTGATGAGTTGAGGATGTAATAAACGAGCAATAACCAATTGAATTTCTATGGAAAACCCAGAGCCAATTAAGGATATTTAAATGGATTTAATCCATCTGCATAATCGTAGCCAATCCTGATTGTGAAGGTGGTTCTAATACGATATGAAACAATAGAGTGGAACACACAACGCGGTATAGCCGTTAGCCACACATGAACCACACTTTTCAACCACCGAAGAATGTGTGTGTATTTACTTTACTTTTAGGATGAAAATTGACGCACAATAAACCCTGAAGTTTGCCAAAAAAAACAGCCTAGAATATCAAAGAGTAAGAGTACATCTTATCAGAAACAGAAACTCCCTCAAATAATCGCCCCTTAAAATAAACCCACCAGTGAATGTAAACTCTTCTGCCGGTAGCTAGTACGAAATGTCGGAGTCGACCACACCCGAACATTATTATGATGCCAGATTGCTATTGAAACATCTTAATAATTTATGAGCAAATCTCTCACTGATTACCTTTTTGAGAAATGCAGAAACTGTGGTTCAACGGAAATTCTACCTTAAAAATTAATAAGCCATGCCTCCTCTCACACCAAGTATTTCCTTATAACTCTGCGAAATCACACAATAATTGCTTAAAGGCTTACCTTAGTCTTTCTTCATCCCCTGAAAACCATTTTATCATTGCCAACTCCTTTCTTTTCATCTTTATTGAATTTTTATACCTTTACTGTCGCCACATAATGATTGAAATCACTAGAGCTCCACTACCAGATGCGCACATTGTTAATGGTAAAGAATTTCCAGCTCTTTACAATTTCAAGGAAAGCGGAAAAGACTTGGATATCTTCTTGAGATTTTTGGCTGATAAAGCAAAGACTGGGTTTTTTGCAAAAGCGTTAGCTGATCACGGAGCTATCGTTCTTAGGGATTCAGGGTTTATTGATCCTGAATCGCTCAGTAAAATTGTTGAAACCATCAGTGTCAACAGCAATAATAAATTTTTTTTTCAGGCAGGATCTACAGCCCAAAGAAGTGATATTGCTAAATATATCACCAGTGCTAACGAAGGGGATCCTAGCATCAACATCCACCAGCATAACGAATTTTCAAGGTTTGACACTTTCCCAAGGAACTTATTCTTTATCTGTCAAGACATTGATGACTCCACCATCGGTGGGGAAACTCCATTGGTTCACGGTTACGAGTTCTTTGAAACATTGAATAAGATATACCCGCAATACGTTAAAGACTTGGCGGAGAAAAAGCTCTACTTCAAGCAAGTTTGGAAATACCGGTCAGATAACAATACCAGTTGGGAGAATAAATACTGCTTTGGACAAGACATTAACCCTGAAGATGATATTGCCACTAAAAAGGAGAAAGCTGAAAAGCAAGCTTCTGAGAGAATCACCAAAGATTGGGAATGGGACGACGACAACAATCTTGTAGTTCACCAGCACACTGTTCCAATCAGATACTTTTCCTCAAAGTACAGAGAAGATAATGCCAAATATCCTGTGTTTTTCAACTCTCTAGCTACTTATTACTATACACAAAAGCATGGAAAATTTTCATCTACCATTCAATACGATAACAAAGAAGACATCCCCACTGAATTCTTGGAGGCTATCTTGGAAAATAGCATCAAATTGGAATATAATCACAAATGGAAAAAAGGAGATATTGCTATTGTCGATAACTACCAAGTAAGCCACGGAAGACTTGGGTGGTCCAATGGCTCTCGCAAGGTTGTTGTCAGCATGTGGGATGACGTGGAAAAGCTTGATTATCCAGCATGGGTGCCCGGTGAGCACTCTAAGTAGATAACTATATAATTAATGTCAGAGCACCATCATACAATCCAATAATATTTACAGTCAGGCTCATTAAAAAAAATTATTTTAAATTAGTAGAAATTAATATTGCAATGAACTTGTAAATTGAAAGATATAATCTATTCGTTAGAACAAAGAAACAAATTTAAGAGAAACTTAACTTTATGAGTAAGATATAAATAAGAAGAAAATATTTATGGTGGGATTCTGGTCACCCATTTATTGCTCATAGTGGATAAATAAATCGCTTATTTTCAAGATCAGTTAGGTCTAAGTTAGCAATGCTGACTTTATCAATAATTTCATTACCACTCTTATCAGTTTTGACGACAGCACCAAGAGCATCTTTACCTTCAGCTTCAATGGCAGCCAGCCGTTTATTATTTCTGCTTTTCAAAATGGAGTGAATTACCCAAGTGATGATCGGGGTCCCAACCCAAGCCAATACAATCTGCACGGTCCACGCAGCATAATAACGTTTTTCTCCATCCTTGTCATGCCCTTGATTACCTTTCCATAATTGAGGAGATATAATATTGGCAATACCGTAGGCAATCATGAACATAAAGTGGCGGAAAAACCGCTTGGTGTTTCCGGAGCACGACGATGTGGCCCATCCGAGACCAACAATATAAGCCGTTCCATAGAAGTTACTTGCTAAAAGAAGACTTGCTAGAAGACCTAATTTATGTCTCCAAGGAATAGTAATCATTGCAATTCCCCCGGCCATACTTGGAAGACAAGACAAAGTAGTGACCAACGCACTACTATTGGGCTTATAATAAATTAGGATCGCGAATACAATATGGAGAGCCGACGAGAACGCACCAGAGGCAACGTTAACCAAAGTCGAGCCCAATCTACTGACCCCAAGACCAACGAACAATAGGTTTTGCTGGTATCCCAAGTTGTTGGCCATCATAAGAAAAAAAGAGAAAAGGGTAAATAACCAAGATATTGGATCTTTGAGACACTCAATAAGTTGCTCTTTCTTGATGACATGCTGGACGATGGAAGCCTTGGTCTCACCTTGAATTTTTTTTATCAAAAAGTATTTCTGTTTGTTAGTTAAAAAGTTAGCACTCGCTGGGTCAGATGGGTAGATGTAGGCCACCCAGGCAGTGACTATAAGGGTTAATCCACCAAGAATAATCATAAGAATTTTCCAAGGCGGTATCGAGTGTTTAGCCCAAAGAACACCATAAGAGATGAACCCACCGATAATAACAGAATTACCACTTGAGCACCAGAAAATCGGCTGTAAAGTAGCTCTTTGATTAGGAGTGAAAAATTGGAGCATGGTGACTTCCAATGCCGGGACAACAGTACTTTCGATTAAACCGAGGATGAATCTAAGAACAATAAGACCTCCGAAATTATAAGCACCGCAATGACAGAACACAACGACGGACCAAGAAAAAATTATGTAAGTCATGAATTTGGCCATGTCTGTTTTCTGTAACACAAAATTCAATAACTGACCAACAGTGTAACCAGCGTAGAAAATAGAGTTCAAATCATCGTACTGGGCAGCATTGATATTGGTAGATTCAAAGAGCCCCAAAATAGAAGCGTACGACAATGTCGCCTTATCAATAAAGCAGACGGTGCTGACAGTTAAAAGCAAAGGGAAGAGCCATAAGTAAAGACGTTTGTTTAACTCTCTTTCTTCGGCCTCACTAAATTCTTGGTTTTCGAATTCATTCTTGTACTTCTCAAGAAACTGTAATGATGGATCAGCGTACTCTTCCGTGATTTTGATATCTTCACTAAAGGAATATACTTCCGAACCAATGACGGTACTTTCATACAAGTCCTTTTCCTTAGACATCCTTTGAAGTAGACTATTGCTTTGATCGATTGGATATTTTTGGAAGCATCTGAAATGGCTGGAAGTCCGACTATTTTAAAGCAATTTGCCGCAAACAAAATTTTTGAAAAGGGACGATCTCTTAGTGCCACTAATTTTTTTTTTCTCACCCTAATTTATGTCCATACAATCATAAGCAGATAATTCATGATGCACAACGAAGAGGAATAATTAAATCAGTGACACTGTACTAAATATGTGTAAAGCGACCATATTCTGAGATTCATGAAAAAGTTTTGGAAGCAATCATTACCAATGTGAATAATCTAATAGTTGGTTCTCACTGCACTAAGAGTTTTGAAGGCTCACAATATATCCTATAGTAATCATATGCCCACCCCGAGCGCCAATTATTCAGCCAGTTCTGATGCAAGAAAGTGTCAGACAGTGGATTCCGCGTGTGTGAATATCTGCGCTCTTGAAAAAAACACAGTGGGATTGCAAATATTGCGACCAGATGTCGAATCGCACATTGCAGATGGTAAAGAGTACCAGCTCTTTATAGCTTCGAGGATAGCGAGAGCGACTTTCTTAATATTTGAGATCACTGGCTAATACAATAGAGGCTGAATAATTTGCAAAAACTTTAGTCGACCATGGGTCATACTTTCTTAGAGATCCAGGATTCCCGGTGCCCTTACATGCAGGCCCTCAAAAGCCATTATTGATCTCCATGAACATTGAAATCTCACAGTTTCAAAAAAGAAACTGATTGTGTGATTTTGTGTATTTGTGTGTGATTTTGTGTGTTTGTGTGTGATTTTTTTTCTTTCTGTTTTTTTTTTTTCAATTAAATCTTTGTGTAACAGATATACTGCCAATCATATAAATGTGGACTGTAGCAGCTCTATGATGTACTTTAAGAATTTTTTAAACCATTTCTGAATAAAAAATAGAAATTCACATTATTTTTTTCCAAATTTATCTGCTCTTTTTCATCTAGATATGTCTTCTTCTGTGAATAAGGACAAAAAAATCGCGATTATTGGGTCTGGTGTCTTCGGTCTCTCATCTGCTTATCACTTAGCTAAAAAAGGGTACAACCACATCACCGTTTATGACAGAGGTGACTATGATAATAATCAGTTTAGCCCCTTGAGAGGTGCCAATGGCGCGTCAACCGATATCTCCAAACTTGTGAGATTCTCGTACCTCGATAAGGTCCATTACCAAAATCTTGCCCTTGAAGCCCTTGGAGTATTCAATGAATGGAATAAAGAATTGGTCGAAGCAAAAGCCACCGACCCTAGCTTTCCAGAAGCTTTAAAAGACATTGATTCGATCTATACTAATAACGGCTACTTAAGGCTCGATGATATCGATAACGGTGAGGAGAAGGACAATCTTAACAGTTTTGCCAAAATTGGGCTTCGTGATTTCTCATACGATTTAAATAATGAAAAAGATACCTGGAGAGCCAAACTCACAGGCTGGTCTGATAAATTGGACCCATTGGATATCGCTAGCAAAATTGATAACCTATACGGTGTGTTGGATACTATTTCCGGTGTGGCATTGGCCGATAAAAGCTTGGTGTGGATCAAGTACTTGTCCAAAAAATTGTCGAACGGAACCATAAAGTTCTTGTATGGGCCAGAAGTTGGTGAAGTTATTGAATTAATAAACAAGAATGGCGAAGTAGTTACCTCCGCTGTAGAAACATTCGGTGAGCATATTACCTCTGTCAAGACTAAGGATGGTACACTTCACGAAGCAGATTACGTGGTGATCGCTGCTGGTGGATGGACTCCAAATTTCATCCCAGAAGAGATCTTACCAAGAATTGAATCGGTCGGTTCTACTTATATCCTACTAAAAATCTCCGACAAGTTAATCCCAAAATACAAAAATATCCCCCAAATCAACTGGAGATTACAATACGCTAAGGAAGCTCCAGAACGTGGCGGGGTTTACATTTTTCCATCCACTGATGATGGGATCTTAAAAATAGGCGCTGATGATCATTATTGGAGATACTTTAGTTGTAATAATGGCTACAGTGTTCCAAAAACTGAGATTTCTTCATTACCTAAAAAATCTCTTTTGGTTTATCAAAATTTTATCCGGGAATTTTTACCGGACGTTGCTAATGATGAAGACTCTTATGCTGTTGGTTTTAAAGTGTGCTTTACAGCTAGAGGCCAGCGTAATGAGCTTATCGTTGATTACGCTCCAAAGAAGTTATTTGATAACTTGATATTTGCTTCGGGCGGAGGGTTTCATAGTTACAAATTTTTACCGGTTATTGGTAAATTTGTGGAAGGATTGATCAGTGGCGAAACTTACGAATACGCTGAATTGTTAAAATTCGATGCCATAGATGCTGATAGATACACTTACAAAGAAGTCAAAGACCCGTATGATCCTCGGGCTTTGAACAATACAGAGCTCTCTACATTTAAAAAAGATACCAGCCCAGTTCCTATAAAGGAATTCCTATTCCTTCAATAACAAAGATATACGCAGATATAGATAAAAATAAAAACTAAATATCTTCCATCACTGTAAGTTTTTGCAACTTTTTCATTGAAGCTTCTGGTTGTTACATGTTTCTCAAAGTCGAATTTGAAGCAAAAATATCCATAGAAACTATCATTTGTGTGCTGATTATTTTATTGTGGGTGAGTGTTTCTCCGAAAGATTTAAAACAGGAAAGGGGGGCCGAGCGTCCGATTAATTCCCCCTGAGGCGATTTCATAAATTATTCGCAAACTTGAAACATCATGGCAAAATGCTTGACTTGGAAAATCATTCTCAAAGAGATCATGTTTAAAAATAATTTAAAGTGTAGGGTTTATGATATAGCATATTGTATTTAATATATGCATATAGGCCACCTCAAAAGTTGGGTCGTAACCTCCATCGAAGATTTTCTCAGCTCCTTACACAGCCTGGATTCCAATGAGAAAGATATGGCGAGATATGAAGATAAGATGTCAAAGTTAGAGGATAATTAGTGGTAATTACCACAAAAAAAAAAAAAGAAATAGGCATACGTATGTATATCCGTGCCTTCAGAAGAGAAAAGGATTGCATGACGCCGAACCATAGAGTAGTTTATTCCTACGAATGATAAGGAGACCAGATTTCCAAGTTTAATCAGTATCACTTGATTGCTAAACACCTTGCAATTTGAGTTTTGGAGACTCAAGTTAGAGAAGTCCCTCAGGTATATAATAATAATCGCAAAACTTACCAATAATTGCGAGAAGATATATAGTAGCCAAAGCAGCAGTTCAACGATTGGTCAGGCAAAAAATAATAAATTAAAAAAAAAAAAAAGATTCAAAGTCAAACCAGTAGATGTTTTTCACTCATTGACTTCCGCTTGACAATTTTTTGAGGAGAAAACAGGAATATTTTCAGTTATTGTAGATGATACGTACGATATATCTTGCGATTAATAATCTTATACAACGCAGATCTTGTAAACGACCCCCCGATCAAAGACATTATAAGATCTTTTGTAATTAGGAAGCTAAAAATTAAGATTTTTGATTCCTCGATCGAATGATTCAGGAGCATTTGACGGAGCAATGGGGGTGGTGACTGAGATCGTGACACGTACGTACAAACCAAATATTACTATTGTTTCCACCGATAGGGGAATTGGAACTTACGATGGATGAAACAAATCTATTTTTCAAAAATGGGTTAATTTTGTCGATTTCTATGGTATATCTTCTAAGAAATGGTAAAATAATAGCAAAGGAGAAATAAAGTTTTTGTCCAGTGGCCATGCTAATTAATTAATTAGTATTGTCATGATTATCATGCCATCTTCAACTTTAAAATTCCACGCCTGAGCGACATGTGTGAGCTTGACATGTTAACACAGGTACCAATCATATTTAAATATATCGTATGATTATGTTGAAGCCATATACGAATTGTTATGTTTTTTTTCAATATTCCCCTAATTCTCATGGTTAGATAGCGCAGAATCCTTCATCATTTATTTTGTTGACTTCTTCTTTAATCTCTCTCTTTCTCCTTCCGTTTTCCTCGGATGATAGAATCCTAACCGCAAGAATTAAATTAGATACCTCGAAACAATAGCAAGCAAGATAAATTACATTGTAGCTTTAGCGAGGCATGGGTTGCTGTTGCTTCCACAATAATATATATAACCCTTACAATGCCATGTGATAGCATTAATAGTGAAATACTAATCCTTTTAACTATCATCTTCACATATTCCTTTAAAATGAAACCGTTTGATACACCCCAACCAAACACTACAAGGGTGTGCGAAACCGGATTGAGATATGTGAAATGTCAAACGTATGATATACCACCAGTTAAAATAAACCCGAGGAAAATAGCCTTCATATTATGCACGTAAATCGTTCTAAACCTCAAATAAATACTACCCGGTAGATCTTTCTAAGAGTAGCTGTTTTATGTCTTAACGAGACGTTTTATGGCAAACCCATAGATAATGTGCCGTGTTACAAGAAAATACCCCATTGGAAAATAATCAGGTCATTTATCAATAGGTCGAATCCTTATTGTTAGATCGTACAGCAACTTAGTTCAAAAAAAAAAAGGTGAAACAAATCGTCGATCTATACATTTAATCTACCGGTAACAAAATTGAGCTGTAATACTACAACCTCATAGACGAGTCTCACAATACTAGATATATTGAGTTTTGGGTGCCGTCCGAGTCAGCTTTTACAGACACAAAGAAACCTTCCTCTCCACGGAAACCCATACAATAAACTTGAATGGGGTTTTCTTCTTTTTTTTTTTTTTTTCATTTCATTCTTCAATAATTGGAATATGAGGTTTTTTTTTTTCTTCTTTTCTTGTTCGAAAAAAGAGACATTCAACGGAAAATTGGTTTCACACTTGAATAATCGCACTAATTTGACAGGTGACGGGCCTGCCTTTCATAATTATCGAGATCTCAACTACAGAAAAAGAAAAGGTGCAACGCAAAGTTTTGCGTGGCTGTCTCAAAACGGCAGTTGTCAGCATCGAATTTTTCACGTGATAGAACACGTGACTTTGATTACATCACCCTGTCACGTCCATATATGGAAGTCGATATACTACTGAACAACGTTGTCCGATAGTTTTGAGATTCCACGGTTGATTTACAACTTATCAAGTGAGGATGCACGAGGAATTGATACAAATGTCAAGGTAGCAACTAAAAGTCCTTCAATATAGCTTTATGTAGTGTATAATTGTTCAAAGTCTTTTTGTATGTAGTCTATCAAGATAATATCAGATTCACACAGGCTATCCATTAAACCCTGTGAAGCCAGATAATAAAAAGAACTTGAAATATTCGTACTTGTGGATATCATTGGCCCATTCCCAAGTGCTGGTCAACCTTCCATCAACACAAGACCCAGCGGAGAAGAAATCATTTGCTCCACTACCATTGAATGCTTTCTTAAAGAAATGAGAACAAATGAGTTTCAACAAATCGTCAACCGATCCAAATTCCTCGCTAATCAAATTCATCAAGAATTCATCTTTTGGAAAGTCAGCTTCAATTTGTGATAAGCAAGTGTCGATTGGGTTCAAAATCTTTGGAACTTGTAAGTATTTGTCAAGGAAAAATAGGGCATTAGGAACTGTCGAGTCACCTAAGTGAATATAAGAAGAACCTATCCAGTATCCCGATTTCTTTTTCACCAATTCGACAATGTTGAACATCTGACGATATAATGTGGGACAAGATTTCACACGATTCAATCCTTGACCGGTTTCTGTTAATTTATAAACATTGGAATTGTTCAACAAGTCATCATCGGCCAAAGACCACAAATGAATCATTTCTTTCATAATGACAGACCATAATTTGAGTGACTGTAGCACATATTCGTATTGCTTATCATGATCATGGGTCAAACGAGCACCATCTCTCCCAACCCTAATATTAAGAGAGTAATTTGCATGCGATTTTTTATCTCTGAAAAACTCCAATCTTTTAATCATTCTATTGACAGAAGATCTATTGGAATTGATATAAGCATTGAAATCCCCGACAGAATACAAAACTTGTTTGATTTCTTCTTTGGAAAACCCTTTAGCAGACGAATACTTCTTTGCAAGTTTTTCAATCGACAATTCCTTGATTTTGATTTCTCTATTAATTTGGGACCGTGGCTTGCCTTTAGAAATAATTTCTGCCGTGGCATTGAGTATCAAATCGTCATCAAAAATCCCAAGAGCTTTGCCATCATCTTCTGGTCTGGATTTCAAATAACTATCTAATGTTTTAATTGGTTTATACAAATCGAATTCCATATGCGACTCGATTTCTGGCAATCGAGAGTCCATAATCATATAAATCAATTTTCCAAAATTATCGAATCTATTCGGATTGATAATCTTGTATCTTCTACCAATTTCAAAGACATTCTGGAACCATTTTTCATTGTCTTTAAAATTTTTATTGACAATCAATTCCGATCCAATCTTCATGTTTTTAGATACCACAAGTCCTAAAAGGATGGAACAAATTTCTTTAAGTTGAGTGATGATTCTTTTTGACTTGGATGTGTACGAGAAAATATCAATCTTGTTGGTGTAATCACAGACATTCAATGCAGAATCCAATAATTTGAATAATTGACGCTCTTCGGCAGTCAATCTTAATGGAATGTACTGTGATTGCTTTTTGATCTCTTTTAAAATCATTTGATTAATATTTTGCTCTGAGCCGTTATTTTTATTTTTGATGGCCAATAATTTATCCAAATCTTCAGTGGTGTATTCGTTTTCTTCTTTTTCTTCATCCATCACCACTGGTTGATTCAATGTTTCATCCTTGATGTCTTGGTCAATGTTGATCAAAGAGTTTTCAATTTTTTCTGACACATGCTGCTTTCGTTTCCCTGAATTATGGATTACTTTATAACAAACATCACAAAGATTGTCATCGCAATTAATACAGTGCAAAGAGCTTGGCATGTCAGTACATTCGACACAAAATTTTTCAGAATCTTCCTCGCCAACGTTATTATTATCATCGTCAATTTTGTTGTTCAATTGCGAATCATCGATATCAGCAATTTCGACATCATCTTTTTCGAGGATATCATTAAGAGTCGGCTTATCGCTCATAATTCTCGAGTTTATTGGCTAGATATATTTTTCTTTGATTGAATAATTTCTCTATCTTTTTCTCTTTTGGTGTGTGTGGGTATGAATTTAAATTTCAATGGGGTTACGAAGCCTTGACAGGAAGGTTACAATAAAACATTATAAACTACATCGATAATCACAATAAGAACAATAAACAATAGCAATTATGGCTAAGATGAAACGTTTTTATGAAGGTAGGTTCTAATAATACAATATATGAGGGGAGAAAGAGTGGGGGGGGGGGATATGGAAATGATTGAACAATAGCAATTCATGAAATAACGGTCTTGTAATTGTTCAGGGCGACCGATTGAGAGAATTTTTCTTCGACAACAGTACACAAACTGGCCAAATCATCCAAACCCTTATGAAGGGCTTCAACGGCAGTGATGTTACCGTAGGTTTGGATTCTGAGGTGGAGTTTTGGCTCGGAAGGATGAGGAATCGAATACCCACAGAATTCCACTTCTGGGTTCTTCATGATCATCAGCTTCAATGCGTTACCCAAGGTATGATCTTCTTCTATTATTTGGAAAGAGGCGGCTGTACCATCTTCCGAAGCTCCTGGCAAGATCTTGATTTTTTCAACGTCTTGGTCATCTTCCTCTTCTTCTTCGACAGCTACCTCTTCATCTTGTGCTGGATTATTGCTGTCGATATCCATTTTTTCGTGAGATTTTTCTTGGTTGTCTGCTGACATTGTGATATTATTATTATTATTATTGTTAGCCGCAGTAGTAATATTGGTATTTCTACTACAACTCTGATTCGAAGGGAAAACATCAAAAAAAAAAAAAAATTCTCATCACAGAAAAAAAAAAAAAAAAAAAAAGAAGAAGAAGCGATTACCCTGCAAACACATCTGGTAATCAATTACATAATCGATGAACAGACAACCCGAAAAAAAAAAAGACTTGGGAAAATAAGGTTTGGTACTGCGACACAAGCACACATTGCAGGTGCATAAGAGACAGGCAGACCGGCAGCCTGTTGACGCATAACATCGTCCCACCCCCCAAAGAATGTCTGCCCGTTGACAAAGAAAATTCCTAACGGCAATTAGTTTTTGCATCGCCAATCATCAAAAATCAGAAAAAGAAAAAAAAACATGCGGCGACTCTCTTCTCAATCATACGACTTTGATCGACGCTAAAAAAAAAATGTCCTAAAACACCGGCCCATATATTACAAAACAATTTATATCACACATAAATATAAATATATATGTATATCTATTGGCCGCCCATCTATCAGATATCGTTAATTAATAATTCAGTTTGCCGTTTCGTTTTAGTGATATTCGATTTAAATACCCACGTTATCCGTCAGACATCCCAATTAATCTCTCAGAGTATTTTCTATCGGTCCTCCATCTCCCATTAATTTACTCATCCACCCACAATACCCAAAAATATCTACAGAGTAACAGCCAGGAGACCAAGGAATAAAAAAAAAACAAAACAAAAAAAAAACACTCCACATTTTTTTTAATACTCCTCCCTGTCTATATATTCTACCTATCCCCCTATTATTAGTAATTGGTTTAATATTTCTGAATCAATATAATTAGTTATAAAATGCCTGGGGAATTTTCAGCAACTTTCTCAAAACTAGAAAGGGTCATTGGCGCTTTACCTTCACTGCTTCCAGAGTCAATAAGTGACCATCCTAATGAAGTCTCAACATTCCAGAATTTATTGGAGATTCATCATTCTTGTTTGAAATTGATCCATGTTCTTTATAAATTCATTGATTACTACTTATTAGTCTTCCCTAATAATAGCACCAAGCAAGCAGATTTACAGCATTTAAAATTAAAGTTTTTATTTCCATTGGTCAAGATATTCCTAAATACCAATGACTTTATCAATTCCAATCTTCAACAGCAATCACTCAATGACAATGCACTCATAAAATTCCATAAATTGTCGATGAAAAACTTATCGCAAATAACACAATTCTTGGTATTGGTGATGTTCGATTTTAACAAGTTGATCAAAGAAAATTTGCAAGTATCTTCGATTCTTTTGAAAGATAAAGTTGTGGATGATCAAGTTTATAAGATCATTGATTATATTATTCTCGACGTCAGAAGAATCAACATTTTGATATCAGCAACAAGCCCTGGCTCAGCTATGCCAAAGTTAACTAAATTGTTTTTGGAAGAAAACAGTTATTATAATCTCAATGGCCATATCAACAAATTTCAAGAAGGCTTTCTCAAATTGAAGCCAATCAAAGGATACTTGATTGAGAAGTTTACTTTCCATAACAACGATTACAATATTTTTTTGAAAAATGCCAGTGATCAGCAAACTAACGGAAATAACTATTTGATCCAAGTGTTTAAAGAAGCTAATAAAAATGACTTGGAAATTGTTGCTGCTGATTTGCAATGTTACATCAGAGATCCAAAGAATTTTAATATCACCGAATTCCATGATTTTTATAAAATCAAATCCCCAATGGATTACGCATACTCCACCAACGAAATGGGGAGTGGAGAAAATCATAAATCATTGCCTATTAACAACAGCCATGTATTGGTTCCCGTGGTATCTTCAATAAACCTATTTGTTAGTTTGATCATCAATTTAATCCAAATCGTTGATTCATACATCATTTTAAATGATGACCTTTGTTTGGCCAATCTTGAGGCAAAATCGTCAAGCGATGGCAAGTACTATCTGAATAATTTTTCGAGAATCAATACATCATTTAAAAAGTTCATCAAAGTTGCCAATGACACAGTTAATGGAACTATGGAAAAGGATCTCTTATTTGATTCTTTGCGTAATTGCTTGGGAAATTTCTTGCAACTTAATGATTTGGTGAATTCTTTCAACACCACCATCATTAGAAGAATTATCGAAGACTTTAGTGCCGTTGGTCAGTATAATGCTGACAGAGTGGTTGACGTTCGGGTATTGAATTACTTCTTGTGTTGTGGGATCATTGACAGTTTCGCTATCCAAAACGACGCTATCTCTTGTGTTTTATTCGAACAAGCTGACCCCGTTAGATCTTCTACTACCGCCCCTTCGCCAACTTCTGCTGAAGGATCGAAAAATAATAGTACTGTGCCCCCTAACACTATCTATCATAAATTGGAGAGACTCATCAAAGATAATTATTCAGAGGAGATGAGCTTACTTGATTTCTTGATCAATTCATTCAAGCTTGAACGTAACTTGAACTACTTGGCGGTTGGTATCGTTCTCAGAGGTAGCGATTGTCCCCAATCTTCCAACAATAACATTGTCAATGATGATTTGAAAGTCGATTTCATGGATTATTTGCACAACATGATGGAATACGGTGATGGCAACGATGAGGCGGCTGTCAATGAATTAGCCTTTGCTAACGTGTTTGGTAATGATTATTCTCAAAAATTACTTACAAACGATTTATCGCCATTCAACCTCAATGACTTGCAACAATTTGAATCTCATGTGTTTGATTCTCAATTCACTTTGAATTTGATGAATAAAATTCAAAGATACGCCTTTCAGGATCCTAATTCTGTCGCAAAATTCAAGAATTTCGCCTTTGATGAATCGGATTACTTGATGATCAGATCTATCGCTGAACAAATGTTTGACGAAAAGAATTTGATTTCTTTCAGAAATTTGGAATTGGAAACTCCAAAAAAAAAAAAACAAAGATTGGCTGCCGCCATCTCTAATAATAACCACAACGGCCACAATAATAACAACAACAATAATAATAACATAGAATTCATCGCTTGAATTGACTTTGCTGCGATTACTATTTTCAATTTTTTTTATTTTTTATTTTTTTTTATCTGCTTTTCTTTCTGCCAATTGTACACTTGTTTAAGGGGGATTAATTTTAATTATTTGGTTTTCTTCTTTTTATCCTTTTATTTTTGCTTCTTTATTTGCTCTACCTCTTGTGCTATACTAGTATATTATATCTTTACCGCATTTTAGTTTTTCAAAAATCGTTTTAACAGTTAAATATAGATCAATCTTAAAATATATGATTAAAAATAAACATATATTTGTATTAAATCTTATAATCTATATATTATACCTATTAGTATTGTCATATATTTGCAACTGTTAGGAATGATGGTGGATAAAGATGGTACTAGTTTATGGCCCTTTTTGCTCTTACTTTCTTTTATCGATTACTGAATTATAATATTAGGTATCGTAATATTAACACAATTTACCGTCCCCCCCCCCCCCATTAAAGGACTCGAAACCAATCCAGATTATTTACTGCCTATAGATCTCCATGTAGCCTTTTTTTTTTCTTCTTTTTTTTTTTTGATTGGCAATGATGGGTAGGTAAGTATCAACACAAAAATTCACACAGAAAGTATGGGAACACAAAGGAAAAAATCAGTTTATAAATTATAGTACAAGTGAAAAAAAAAAATGAAGCAAAAGCAAGGCAAACTAATAGGATGAAACTCAAAGAAGAAGACATAGTGAAGAAATGAGGAAGATAATAGTAAGAAATATAGGCAACAACAGCAACAAAAGAGAGTTTCAACAAGAGTATCATGAGAAAGAAGGACGAAAAGAGTAAACTAAGGGTTAAAAAAAAAAAAGGAAGATTGACTCATTCGAAATAATTTCAATATCATAAATAACCAATAAATGTCATTTTCGGGATGCAACCAACCACTGAGCAAAAAATTAAATAATAAATAAATAACCGCAATCTCCTAACGCCCTCCAGATGTAGACACTTCGGACCTTTTAACAAATAAATAAGTGAAATCCTTAAAATCAAGACGCTTTCCTTGGGGTAAACAATGATGAATAATATAGCCAAATTTGAGGTAGAGCAAATAAGAAAAAACAACAACGTCCTGGACCACATGGGTCAAGCTGATCCTTCTTCTTCCTCTCTTGATAAAAAAGCACAATTTTTTTTTGCCCTTTTTCTTTTATGTTGAGTCAATTTGTCACCTAGTTTATTTTATGTATTTCTGGGCTTGCTCCTTAACCTTTTTATCATAAGTGGCACGATCTTTACCAAACGCTCTCCAAGCTGGTTCCTGAGCAGGAGAATCAGGGTTTGGGGAGCCCAACAATTCTTGAATCCCCAATACAATTTGTTTTAAAGTGATGGCAGGTCTCCAATCTTGCTCTTCATTAAGAATACTCAAACAAATAGTTCCCGAAGGATACACATTTGGATGGTAGAAATTGGCAGGAAACTTCACCTTTGGAGGTTTCGAAGGATAATCATCAGGAAACGTTATGGAAATAGGATAGACCCCATCGGCCCAAAGAGTATTTGGTTTACCTGGAATACCAGCCGTCCAAGATTGCAAATTCATTGATCCGTCAGGGTTTTTAGCTGGCTTAGCAAAGAATCCAAACGGATGGTCCTTACGCCATGATTTTCTACACCCATATGTTAGTACCAATATCTATTGAATGTTTATGAGCCAGGCATTCATGATAACTAGCGAATATCCAACACAAACACACACAAAAAAAAAAAAAGAATAAAAAAAGAACTCCAATAAACACCCAGGAGGAAGGGTATATTTCTCACTTACCTTTCTTCTTGGAGACGTGCCAAACGTAAGCTGCTCATTTTGTATTATTGTAAACTGTAGTCAATGAGTGATTTTGTGTGAATGAATCTTGAACAATATAATGTTGTATGTTCTAATTTTATATAAATATAAATATGAATTTATATATATATATATATAAATATATTTCTGAATATAATACACTACAATATATATCAACTTGGATCTAAAAAATTAATTCGAGAAAAATCGCCAAAAATTAAAATAATTAAAAGAAAAAAAAAAGCAATTACCGCGCACTGTCACGTGCAAACACAAAAAGTAAGAGACAACGATTTTTCTTTTGACAGAATATTTTGGTACAGTGGAACCAGTAGATTACTCGAGCAGTGACCGCTGACAAAGACAATGGCAGATAACGACGATTTTGACGATTTGGATGATTATTTAGACGATTTTGCCGACGAAATATTAGACAAGCCTTACACTGTAGGTGTCGAACATGATGGTGAATCAGCTCCTGCAAAAAATGATGCTGATCAGGAAGGCAACGATGAGCTTACTGAACAGCAACTCGAAAAGGAAATAGAGACACAAATGGCATCGTTATTCGGGGAAAGCTATAAGGATCCACAATCGAAAAAACATTTAGATGAGTTGATGAATCAATTAGCTTCGACGTTTGATTTAGGAGGACAACAGCCTGCTGATGATAAGGAAGAATCAACCAAAAAGGAAGATATCCCAAAAGATTTCAGCTCAGTGATCTCTGGAACAATGTCTAGATTGAAAGATCAAGATGCAAAAATTGATCAATCAATAAAGAAAGAAGAAGCGGATAAACAGCAGCCATCGCTTTCCAATCAAGAGGATTTGTTGGCCAAATTGATGAAGGATATGAATCTTGATGAAACTTTGGGTGGTTTGGGATTCGATCCTTCAGAAGGAATTTCTGACGAAGGAGGTCTAGAGCAGTTGTTGAACAATATGGTTGTGCAATTGACATCTAAAGAGTTATTGTACGATCCAATGTCAAAGCTATCGATAGGCTTGCCTAAATACATTGGAGAAAACGAAACTAACCCAAAAGTCTCCAAAGACGATATGGAGCGTTACAAGTCACAGTTAAAACACGTTGAGAAAATCTTGAGTATTTATGATGATCCAAAATTTGACGATAAAAATGATGAATATCAAAAATTGATTAGTGATAACTTGGAACAATTGCACGAATGTGGGCTACCACCACCAGAATTAATGGATGATATGCCAGGTGCATCCACAGGTATTCTGCCACCAATGAATTTTAATCCGGAAGATTTGGAAAACGCTCTTCCGACTGATGGTTGTGAACAACAATAAATGATTATTATATATTTGCAAAGACACCTACATTTGTGTTTAGAAAAATTGACGATTTGCTATTTACTCTGTGCTCTCTCTCTCTCTCTCTCTCTCTCTCTCTCTCTCTCTCTCTCCATTTTCCGTTATTTAATTCCTGTTATTTACAAATTCTTAATTTGAAACGCTTTACACGAACATCTATGATAAACTACGAAATTCAACCCAAAGATAAAAACCCCAATGATGAGAAACATAAAGAATTAAATTCGCATATATACAGAGTTGAAACGAAACATCTTGCCACTAAGCTTAGTTTTCGTTCTTTATACTAATTCACCTGACATTAATCACAGTATTACCAACCAATAGAACAAAAAAAAAAGAGCCAAGTGAGTAACAAAAAAATAATAATCGTGAAAAAATAGTAATAATTCATATAGTCATATCATCACCGGTAATCCATCATTTAAACCATTTACATGGCTGGGAAAGGAGATAAGAGGTTAATCAAGTTTGGCTTGGCATCAGTGTTTTTCCAGCCCAAGTAGATGACAAATGGAATCCAGCAGTAGTGAGCAATGGTCTTAGAAGTGTCCAAGAGTTTGACAATTCTTTCCTAATCATTTCGTTAGTATTTGATGAAAAGTACATGTTTAAAAATATGAACAAGCAGCATATGGACGGTGAGCACATACCTTTGATTCTTCAGATAAGTTAGCCATCTTTATTGAATTTGTAATTGATTAGATATTAAGTTAAATACATCTAACTGCAATCAACCCTTTCTCTCTATGAAAATTCGTAGAAAATCTTTTTCTCACAACGAGAAAAAAAAAAAGTCACGGGATGAGACACGTGAAACTTCTTTGATGTAATCGATTACATAACCAGAGGCCCCCCACCTGCTGAAGAAGGTTTTCCTGTTTATATGAAGTTTTCGTTGCTAACGAGCTCACTATTCAAAAACATTAGAATTCTTTATGGATAATACAGAAATACATATAAGTGTCCGTTGCATGTAATTATCCCAGTGGGCTGGAGGTTTGCAGTTCTTAATTATCACAAAAACCGCCTCCGCTTAATCCGGGGTTGTGTTATCCATTGACATGATGAGCCTAAAAAACAATTAATAAATCATTACATACACTCATTAAAAAGCTTTTTCTGAGGGGATAATAAGCGCTTTTCACTACGATTTTTCTTCTTATAAGGGCATTGCTTCTTCCTCCTGACTTCTGTAAATAACTGCCTTCACACTTGAAGAAAAGGCGCTTCAGTAATTTCAACGTTCGGACGGTTATACACCTTAATTTATTTTTTGTATACATAGAGTATCTATGTAGTTTTTTTTTTGTTTTTTTTTTAGCTTTGTTTTCCTGAGACAACAACCTGTATTTTCTAAAACAGAAATCTTGCAATCTCATTAAACAAGTAAGGTATTGAAGCGAAACATCTGTACCTTATGTTATATTGTATGCATGTCCCTTGGCTTCCAGGATTACTTCTACATCAACACTTCAAAACTTAATAACAATAGAATATTATCATCCCATCATTATCGCAAAAATACCGCTAATAATTTGGAAATAGAAATGAAAAAAATATAGTCAATAACATCAAATCACCCCCTTTTTTTTCCTTGTTATTTGCGCCGCATTTCTTGATTGATACGAGCTTCCAACGTAGTAATAATCCTTAACGGTTAAATGCTCATGCGTGGAATATCTTATTACAAAATGCTGGTCAAAAGAAAATCACGAGAAAAGATACACATATGATCTAGAAATCGCCTAAAATATGGAAAATAAGCCGACAACTGGATCCATATTTGAACTATTCAGTTTACACCTTTCGACGGCTTATAACTGGCCTCTCTTATCACGTGTATAGATTGATCTTCCAACAGTTTTTCTGGAAGTCTCAAACACCCATATAACATTTGGCCTCTTTTTCTTTTTAATTTTTTTTTATCTCATTCTATTTTTGAGGTTATTGAAACATCGTCGTGATTTGTCTTATTATGAAGCTGCCCCATCTTATACCTCGCATACTCAGTAACATCCTGTTCTCACAGTCTGATGATGGGGAGACTTTGGACTCATCTAAGTCACTAGCCAATGATACTACTAACGATGGTAGTGGCCGGTCAAAATTGATGAATGCCCCAGATATCGTCAAAGAAACTACAAAGAACATCAAAAATTGGCTAGAGACAGACTCTCCAAAACCTCAGGGGAAAATCTCCACCGTTATCCCATGGTATTTACAACAAGCCACCAAAGATCTCGCCGATAATTTTGAAACTATCAAGGGTCTTGAAGATCAACGAATTCATGAAGGAGTAGTGTTGGGTAACAAATCTCCTTGGAGTTTGAGTGATGGGGTACACAAAGATAATGGATTGCGCAATCGATACTCCAACGTATTACCGTGGGATAAGAACCGGGTTAAATTGCCAGTGATGGGGATGTCTCTGCAATTTTCGGACTATATCAATGCTTCGCACATTAAACTTTCAATTCCTCAAATCTCCAAATTCAAGCGTTATTACATCGCCACTCAAGGGCCAATCGAAACTACAGTACCTCATTTCTGGCAGATGTGTTATAATGAATCAGACCCGGCCGATGACTCCAAACCGATCATTATTGTCATGGTGACCCCATTGGTAGAAGGGACTCGTGAAAAATGCTATCAATATTGGCCAGACCAAAAGCTATATGATGAAATCTCTTTGGATTCCGAGAATCCATATGATGAAGGATTTAAGTGTTCACTAAGCTTATGTTTTAAAAAAAGTGAGGCTTTTGATTCTTATACCGTGACGGAACTTACGCTTGCGCCCAAAATCAGAAAACACGGAAGTCCGTTTGAAGTTAGTGGCTATAAACCAAAGAAAGTATATCATTTCTATTATCATCAGTGGAGTGATTTCTCAAAACCTGATGGATATGCCACGATTAATGAAATTTCCAATAAGGTTTGGAAAATAAATGGTGAGAATTGTCTTGGAAAATTCAACACTAACCCTGTGTATGTCCACTGCTCGGCCGGGGTGGGACGCACTGGTACTTTCATGACCTTAGACTATTTATTGAATTGTTGTGATATTTTTGTTACTCCAACTACCGAGAATGTTTGGGAAAAGGATTTTGACTCTAAACCCGATCCAATTAATGAGATTGTTCAAAATTTGAGACAGCAACGGATGATGCTGGTCCAATCACGAACCCAATATTTATTTATTTATGACACTGCCGAAGCAGTTTATAAGAAAAAGATAGAAGAAAAGAACAATGTTTAATATTCTTCTTTGCTTTCTTCGCAGGTTTCACTCAATTTCCAATTATCTTCAGGATAATATTATAGAGGAAAAGAGTTGCTAGATCTAGATTTTTTTTTGTCTACTGATTATTATTATTATTATTATTATTATTATTATTATTATTATTATTATTATTATTATTATTATTATTATTATTATTATTATTATTATTATTATTATTATTATTATTATTATTATTATTATTATTATTACTACTTTTATATATCTGTTTGTTTGTTTTTTTTTTGCTTTAAATGACTTGATGAACTTTTTTGATTTTGTTTCTTTGATTTTAGTTATTACCTCTCTTTGGCTTTCAATATCCGTTGGTTTCATAAATTCTGCATCAATACATTTTGGCTAAACTGTCACATACCTTCTTTGAACTTTTTTCTTTTAGACTATTTTCAAGAAGCGAAATATCTACTTAATTATTGCAAAAATATCTCTCGTGGTTAATTCTAATACCTTCGTTAATGCTCGCAGGGCAGCAGGATAACTCTGCAAAACAGCATTACAATTCTGAAGAGCGATGAGCTGCACGTGCCTGGAATTCAAAAGTAAACATTTAGCGACCCTTTGCACTCAACGAACTAATGCCGACTCGTCTTGTTGCAATTGTCAAACGTTTGGATTAAGTTGGCCGAGGACATTATGGATCGGGAGAATAAAACTCCTGAAAAAATCGATGACAAGCTATCCGATTATATCAAGCCAGACATCCTGTGCGACAATAACATCAACAAAAGAAACAATTTCATAGACACTTCGAGTCTCACTACGAGTCATGAACACTTGAACCACTTGAACCAGATTACAAAAATTATTAACCGTCAGTTGGAGTTTATTGAGAGTACTAAAAGGCACATTATCGCTGATCGGCTCAAAAAATCAACGACCGATGGGTCATCAGTCTTGGCTGCCATAGCTTCTCCCTTACATGTTCCATCAACCGCAAATAGTCCCAAAAATGTGACAGGAAATCCCGATAATGATGACAATCATATTAAAAATGGTGGGATCAACTTGCAAAGCTCTATTGATGGAAATATGCCCAGGCAAAGTGAATATGCTAATGCTTTCCATATTCCGGATAGAATTTTAAGAGTCAATAAAGATATGGCTTTATCCTTGAATGTTAAGCCCACAGATAGATATTTTGTGTTTTGGTTCACATTATCTTCATACTTCCCATTATTTGCCTCGTGTATTGGACCATTGGCTAACATGATTTCTATTGCTGCGTTAGTTAATAAATGGAGAGTAGATAACAATGGAAATTATATTAATGACCCTGCTTGGATCATCGTTGTTAATTCATTAAGTATTGCTCTTGGAACGATATCTGATCTTTCGTTAATTATGAATTTTTCAAAAAATTTGAATTATATGGCCGCGCAAATAATTTCCATTATTGGATGGTTCGTTGCTTCGATGCTCTTAGTTGCCATTATCATTGCCGAAAAAGTTTATCTTCGGAGCCCTGCCTACTCTGATGGGAAAGTACACCAAACCGAAGGTTTTTACTATGCAGTTCTCACTGCGTTCCTTTATTTTACTAACTCTTTTTTTCTCTTATGCAATTTCTCTGGGTATCTTCTCAAGAAATATAATGATGAATTCAATCTTAGTACTCAACAGCGGGGTTTGATTTTCTATGTGGTGATATTCGCGATTTATTTATCGGCAGGTTCAGGAATTTTCACTAGACTCATGGATATCACATATGGGACTGCACTTTACTTTTGTGTGGTTAGTGTCACTACTGTCGGTCTAGGGGATATTGTTCCGGAAAGCGTTGGGGCGAAAGCTTTTTTGATGATTTATGCATTTTTCGGGCTTTTAATATTGGGGTTGGTTGTTTCTACCGTTAGATCAATGGTTTTTGGTAATAATGATCCTATAGTGTTTTGGAGTCAGGTTGAGAAACGCAGGAGAAAATGGTATGAAAGATATTGTAAAATAATTCAAAAGAAATATGAGCAACAATTGCAAAGCAAGCAAGAGGTGCTTCCATTAGAACAAAAATTAGGAGGCGAAGCAAGTAAAGAAGAAGAAGAAGAAGAAGAAGAAGAAGAAGAAGAAGAAGAAGAAGAAGAAGAAGAAGAAGAAGAAGAAGAAGAAGAAGAAGAAGAAGAAGAAGAAAATAATGAAGGTGATAAAGACTGTGAACACAAAGATGAAAGAGAAGACAATGATGAGCACGAAGAAGGTGACGAAGAAGAAGAAGAAGAAGAAGAAGATGATGATGATGATGATGATGATAATGATTATGATGAAGATGGTGACTACGATGAAAGGGAAGAAGAACAAGTAAATCATGATCACAAAAGTGAAGAGGCTGGATATAATACAATGATTCATAATTCTGGCTCATCTTTGAAAATTAAGAATCCAAATGAAAGCTACAAAACAGGTGCAGAAACAAATGATGAAGATTTAGGCAATCTTCATAGAGTCAATTATCATCAGAAAAAACCTAAAAGCAAAAAAAAACATCTTGATGAAAATGAAGTCATTGAATATAATGGTGATCCGGAAAATATAAATAACAGTAACAGATTGCATCATGATATATTGCATCATGATCTTCACCATCATTCCAACAATCATAAGATTAAATTCGATGAAGAAAATTTCACCGATGAAGATATGTTTAAACTTATGGAGCTAATTCGAAGAAAATCACATAATTTCCAGCGTTTTCTTTCATTGTTTGTGGTTCTGGGGGTTTTCATCTGTTTTTGGCTTGTTGGTGCGTTAGCATTCAAGGAAATGGAAGGCTGGTCATATTTCGATTCTGTCTATTTCTGCTTACTTTGTTTGCTCACCCTTGGTTATGGTACTCCTTCACCGACTTCTGCATTTGGTAAATCATTTTTTGTAGTGTGGGCACTTGGAGCCATCCCATTGAATACCATTTTGATTTCTAATATTGGGGATACTTTATTTATCATTTGTGTGGATTATTCGGATAAGTTTATGGAATTTATACTTTTCAATGTCGATTATGGCAAAATTGTTTCGTTTAGGAAACACGGAGAAACCATCAATGATTTAGAGTCTGATATTGGATGTACGCGCTCTAATTTTTCTCATTCAAGCATAGCCACTGCCAAATTAAAAGATGAGAAAGATTCAGCACTTGATCAACTTGCCAACATCAATGACCAGTTGAAAAGTGTGGTGACTCAGGAAATTCAGATGACTTCAAATTCGATTGTAGACGAGGAAGAAACATTTGACAGACTTGAAGAAGGGTTTGATAAGCTTGGGGTGGATTCTCATTTGCTGAAGGTGCTCATAGATAACATTTCCGACTCATCCAAGAATAACATGAGGATTTTGAAATCAATTTTGAAAAATCAGCGGGATATTCTCGATTTGGTAGAAGTTTTGGGTGCAATTGAGATGTTACTTGAAAACCAAACAACATCAGGCCTGGATAGACCTACAATTCACACATATAAAGAGTGGATGCATTTGAAAAGAATGGTGGGCACTATTGCAAATTCCGAAAATGAGTTGCCTGAAAATGAGAAAATGTTTTGGATTAGTGAGAAGAGTCCGCTTAAGTATCCTTTGGATGAAAATAATTATTTCTTGTATCGTTATATTAGGGTCTTAGATATTAAGATGAGCAAAGTATTGAGTAATCATGTTCAGAATTACAATGAATTTTTGCAAAATGCTAAAAGTCATCATGAAAGTTTTAAAAAGGAGATGATGTGCTTGAAAGATTTGGCTGACAAAAAGATGAAGACTGTGTGAATGTAATTTTTTTTTTTCAACTTGTTGTGCTCTTATTTACTTTTATATTATATTTTTATTATACTATAGACTTTTAATATTGGAACTTTTTTTTTTACTTCTATGTGGCACTTTTCATGATCACTGTTGAGAGATAGAGAGCCCATTACAATAGGAATATGACTAAGAATATATAAAATTCTAGCAAAAGAGTCCCAAGTAGAGGCAACAGAAGTCATTTTGGTTTTACCTTTTCTCTACAGTTTTTTTTTTTTTTTGTTGCCAAAGATCCGAGGTTGGGAAAAAAAAGCGATTCATCACCAGGAGCGTAAATTAGGCAATCAGATTTTATAGTCTAAAAATTGTGTGTTGGGGGGGGAAATCTTGCGCAAATTCAAGGCTTTGGAACTGTGTCAGAAATATCTATTGTTTACCAGATGGTTCTTTGGATTATTTTTTTTTTCTTCGACCTATCAGTATATATATTAAAAGTACTCAGTATCCAAAAAGATTATTGTTAAACAATAATACAATAATCTTTGGATGTATAATCTTTTTTTTTTTTTTTTTTTAGTTATGGTGAAACTGTGGCACCAGCGATCAACAAAGTCAGAATGATATAAGATAATATTATTCATGCTATGAATATAAATATAATAATATACGTCTCTATGGATTTGGTGTTTCATGTTCAATTTTTTTTTTTTTTCATATATCATACAATAAATTCTGTCTAGCATGGCAATTCCTTGGTATATCCCTCACAAGAGACATATTGTTGATACTAATGAATACAAAAATGACAAAGACCATGACTCTATGTCCCGAAATAGTGATGTATACCCAGTTTTAACTACTACTGAAGGCAAATCGTACAAAATCAAGGAGTTTAGAGATGAAGCCAAGAGACCTTGGTGGAAATTCTTTGATGAATTCGAGTATCGTGATTCAACACAATTGACAAACCAACGGAAATGGTACCAATGGTTTGAACCAGGGGCAACCCCCCAAGAAAAGAAGCTTATCCTTAAGTTAGATTTTTTGATTGCCTTTTATTCCTTCTTGGCCTATTGGAATAAATATTTGGACTCAGCTAATCTTAATAACTCCTACGTTTCTGGGTATGTGAATTGTTTTTCAATACTATAACCAACCTTTCGGAAGTATACTGACATTATTCTATTAGAATGAAGGAGGATTTGAATATGAAAGGCAATGATTTAATAAAAACTCAAGTTTGCTTTACTGTTGGTAACATCATTTTCGAACTTCCAATGATGTATATTCTTCCAAGATTGCCTATCAACTATGTATTGCTTATTAGTGAAATGGGTTGGTCAATATTCACCATTTTTTTGTTTTCAGTAAAGAACCTTTCTCAATTACAAGCTCTAAGATTCTTTGTTGGGGCTTTTGAAGCAGCTTATTATCCTTCAATCCATTATGTATTGGCCAGTTGGTATAAACCTACAGAAATATCTAGACGTGGTGCTCTTTTCTTTTCAGGCCAGTTCTTAGGAGTATTAACTGCTGGTCTCATACAAGGCTCTGTATATGATACCCTTAATGGATACAATGGTATGAGTGGTTGGAGATGGTGTTTTTTGATTGATGGAATTATTTCCGTGGCAATTGCTCTTGTTGGATTTCTTATGATTCCCGGGACCCCATTCTCCTGTTATTCTATATGGCTCACCGACGAGGAGATCTTACTCGCTAGAAAACGCATGCATGATAACGGCAATGATATTTCAACTTCTACAAAATCTTTTTTCAACAAGGAAGACTGGAAGAAAGCTCTTGGTACCTGGCATGTTTATTTATTATCAATAATTCAAATCCAAGGATTCAATTCCAACAGTGCATCTTCTGGGTCATTTCTTTTATGGCTTAAGTCCTTAAACAGATACTCGATTTCAAAGATTGATAATTTAGGTGCTGTACCCCCAGCAGTTGGGATTTTTTACGTGTATTTAGTAAGTTTTGGAGCCGACTTCACTCACAAAAGATTCGGGTTTACGATCTTTTCATTTCTCATGAATTTCATAGGGAATGTGATTCTTGCAATATGGGATGTCAAGGAACTGGCTAAATGGGTTGGGTTCATGTTTGCTTACTGGTCTTGGTCTCAATCTTCAGTATTCAACACTTTAATTAGTGATTTCTTTCGTCGTGATAATAATGTTAGGGCAATTGCCTGGATGATTCAATATATAATTGGGCTCCAGTCTACTGCCTGGATGAGTTACATTCAATTTCCTACCGTCCAAAGTCCTCGCTTCCATCGAGGGTTTCTGATGTGTGCTGGTTTTTCCATGGGATTCGTTATCTGCTTTAGTTTTGCCTACCTTCTTTATAAACGTGATGAGCGTAGAGAGGCACTAGAGAATGGAATTTATCTCTATAATAGTGAAAAGGAAGAAATACCTGATTTCGTCAGAGAAAACTTCCATAAAGCATATCCAGATAAAGAATCTCTTGAGGAACAAATATATCCAGAAAAGCAGTTAATTGAGGATCAAGATATTAAGAAATCTACTTTGTCTAGCAAAGAAAATTTAGATTAGGTTTTTTTTTTTCTTTTCTTATCTTTTTTTCAGAATCATTCTCAATCCGACGCCTTTTAGAAAAATAAAATGAAATCAACAATAACAACAATAATAATAATACTACTTATAATAATAATAATAATGAAAAAGTACAAAAACGAGCGATACATGTCATATTTCATGTTGGAGGAATAACTAACCGCCACACTACAGGAGACAAGATCCGGGTAACACATGAATGAAGCACCTGGAAAATTTTTTTTATATTTCAAACAAATCACTGTAAGGATGAGTAGTCAACCGATAGGTATTATTTTGCTTTCTTCGAAGAAGATTTGTATTGTTAGATCGTCAGCAGGTATTGATATATACAGTATTCAAGTAATTCCAGGGGAAAATTGAAATAAAGGAAAGAACTAGTACCAAAAAAAAAACACAAAAAGACAACACAATCAAACACAATAACATTACACAATGTCTGAAGAAATATTGAACTTGGTGAGACCAAACATAGCAACACCAATTGCCAATGCAAGTGTATCTGCCTTCTCCGTTAATCCACTTACTGTCAAGATCCAATCACCGGCTCTTTTGTCTATTCTTGAATCTTCTTTGAGATCCGAAGACAATATCAGAACTATCGGTGCTCTCTTGGGTACCAGATCAGACGACGGATCAGAACTCGAAATCCACGACAGCTATATCATTCCTCACGAAGAAAAAGATGATGAAGTTACCATAGACGAACACAACCACAAGAGCTTATTCCAACTTTACAGAAGATCTAACCCAAAGAACCAGATCATTGGGTGGTTCCAAACTTCTAATAGCTTAGATACTGTTACTTCTTTGGTCCACGACTTTTTTAACTCTGCGGATGGTACTTTCCCACATGCTGCGGTTCATTTAACATTACAATCTAGAGACCAAGACAATAATGCCATTATCCCAATAGTGAACACATTTGTTTCCACTTCAGTAGGCTCTGGAAATGCCGAATCTGGCTCAAATAGCTTATTCACCCAAATACCATACGAAATCACTTACACCTCGGCAGAATCTTTGGCTCTTAACCAGTCAATGAACTCTGGGGAAGCAAATTTGATTGATTTGCACAAATCCTATAATGACTTAGTTCAAGTTGAACAGAATTTGGCCAAGGTTAATAAATTGTTGGATGCTAACATTACATACGTGGAGAAAATTTTGGCTGGCGAAATTGAAGTTGATGGCAAGGTTGACAAGATTGGAAAATTCTTGATCTCCAACTTGTTGTTGTTCAGCTCTAACTACGAAGGCTTCAACTCCAACTTCAACAATTACATCCAAGATACTTTGATGATTGAGTACTTGGTCAGCTCGATCAAGACCCAAATTGAATTGTCTGCTAAATTAACCACTATTGTTTAGTTATCCTGTACGAATATCCCTTGTTTTATTTTTTCTCCTTCTTTTTCTTTGTTTATTACCAAATACACAAATAATCTTGGGTTATCTATATTCAGTACTCTTATAGTACAGCATAAGGAAATCCCCTTTGTGCATCCGCGCACTGCGACGGACTTTCGTTGTTGTGTGCGTCTCTAATGTGTGGGTGTTTACGTAAACAGCGATTTGTTTACCATTTTTAATTTTTTTTTTTTTGGGAAAACAGTATACAAAACAAACATGGGTGCCAACATTTTTTTTTTTCTCTTAACCCATATATGTGGAAACGCCTATACTCAGATTATCCCTAAATTACCATCTGAAAACACCGACCAATAATCAATTCAGATAGATTTTTGTTATTCATGTTATTCCTGGTAAGAGAGGAAGAAATATAACTAATACAAATAAAGAAGGAAGCCTACCAAAATAAAGACTCTATTCCCTAATGATTAAGGCATTCCATCAAACTATCGCCTTACTAAAGGGATATCTTCCGGAGATGAGCCAAAAGCAGATTATAGAGATACTAATAGTATCAACAATAGCTCGTGTGGCGGTATTTAGAATGCATTGGAACTCATGGAGTGGTATTTTATTAGTATGGGAATACATAGTTAATATGCTAATAATTGTGAGTTGGGCATCTCAAAGTCAACGGTATGAAAATAATAACCATGATGACGATGTCAAAGAAGAAGCTGATGCTTCCATTTACAGTGATACCCTGGACACTCTTGTAGAAGAGGTGATTGAAGAACAAGAACACAAAATTGATGAGGATGAAGAACGGTTTAAAATTGATGAGGAGCTTAGAAAACGTAACACGGATAATAGAATTCAACACCAGCAAATAGTTGATCTTCACGAGGAGAACAAGGATTTGATGGCAATGATTGCCAAACTTCACGATGTTCATGAGTCTTTGAAGAAAGAAAATAAAATGGTCACCGATGAGAATCAAAATCTTAGAAAAGATATTGATCGCAGCAAGGCGAAAATCACCAAAATAAAGGGAAAAAATGTCAACTACCTGACTACCAATAGTAGACTCAAAGTCAAACTCCAAAATTCTCTTCTTGAAAATAAAAATCTAAGGAAAGATCTTCAACTAGCCAGACAAACCAACACTGATCATCTTAGATCTATGAACCAATTGTATGAAAAGGTACATTTGTTGAAGCATCAATTAACAATCAATGATGACAAGCTCGCATATCAAAATTATGTGCGTATAAAGGAAGAGGAGCTACAGCATAAATCGGCCTTGGTCGCAACGCTTACTGAATCAAATGAGAACTTACAAAAAGAAATCGAGGACAAAATGACTGATTATTTGAGTTTTCTCAATAAGCTTTCTGAACTTCAATCTTCAAACGACTCATTCAAAGAAGAGGTATCTAAATTAGAATTTAAGGTTGCGAGATTAACGGAAGATAATCAAAGGGTGAGAAATGAAAGAGCTGAGTCCAAACAACAACAAGAGGTCTTGACCAAGAAAATTTCAGAATTAATTGAGGAAGTGAAGATGATGGAAGAAGTTAATCATGATTTAAATATACAACATGAGGATCACTTAAAGGTAATTGAGTCTTTGAGAAAATTGAATGAAAGCACAACCAATACCCAAAAGAAGATGAGAAAGGAACTTGACAACAGTTTGATCTCAAAACAAGACGAAATCATCCGATTGAAAAAAGAGATTGAAAACTTGCAAGATACCAATACCAATATCAACCCTCAAGTGGCGCTCAACGAAGATGCTAAGGAAAATCAAGAATTGAACCAAAAAATTATTAGAATGTCATCCACTATAAGTCAATATATTGTAAAGTTGTCTGAAAGTCAACTTTGTTTGAAGATTAAAGAAAGCAATGTTAAAGCAATGAAGGAAGAGCTTACCCAACACCGAGACTTTTTTAATAACTTGGAACCATTTATTGATAAATTTAGTCAAGATTTTATTACACTTGTAACTGTTGTCCAAAAAATTGTGCCAAAGTACAATGAGCAAAAGATGTTTCTTAACAAGTTAATTCAGATGGTTTCTGTTGAGGAAAAGAATTTTATCATGCTTAATGAGCTCCGTGACAAAAATTCACGTTTCAAAAAGCTTTTAAGACGAATTCTTGATGAGAATCTCAGAGTTAAAAATGAATTAGAAATTTCATACTTAGAAATTAAGTCTTTGAAGGATCAGTTGCTACTAAAGGATGAATTTATCACAGTGTTGAAGTATGGAAATGATAATAGTGCTTTGAATCTACAATTCTTGGTTAACCATGCAACTAATCATGATGATTGTGAAAGGTCTGTCCTGCTTAATGATTTCCAAACCAAAGATATTTTCATTAACGATCATCCCGTTGTTTCACCATCAGATATTTCTCTGATCGATGAAAATAGTAATTGCCGGCTTTCTCCTGCGCTGCAACAAAGCGATATATCTGAAACAATGTCGACCATTGACTCTATTGCAACTCGTGCAAGCTCCATTCAAATCAATTTGAATGACTTGACGTTTTTTGGCCAAAATGAGAAATTTTCGGGGCAATTAACTTCGTTTTTAAAAGGTGGTGTGGTGGATGACAATGATAGAGACGGAGACGCCACCTTTTCATTGGATGATAATCATGAGGAAGAATTTCAGTTACAGAGATTGATGGACTCTTTGAACCCTGGAAAAACAAATGATGAGATTTTTGCCATGAATGGTTCTGATCTTAACGGTTTGACCAGTAAGATGGATAAAGAAGTGCAGCAAATCAAACGCTTTTGCATTTCTAAGACTTTGAAATCATGCTCACTTCCTAGACCGAGTAGTGCTGGAGACTCTTATTCGAATCAGTTTAACAATAACAATACTGCAAAGCCTCCACAGCTTTCACTTCAAATCCCTAAGAAATTGACGATTTTCAAAGATTCTGAAGGAGATACTTCTGCAGAATCTTCCCCAACATCATTATCCTCATCATCTCCTGTATCTTATACTTTTTCGAATGGATTCACTTTAGGAAAGCCTCGAACTTCAAGGCGCTCTTCTCTTCATTTAGAAAACCTGTTTTACACAACTACCAAACCTCAATTCAAAACCCTTTCATTGAATAGTAATGGCCGCTCCCACGATTTGAAGTCATTTGGTCTTACTCCAAATACTAAAAACCAAACTAACGTTAAAAATAGACATAGGGTTTCAAATTCTATCAGTTGATATTAAACTCTTTCTTAAAGGATGGAATGCCATCAAATATTTTTTTTTCCCTTCTTCTTCATACCCTCTTATATTATAGTTCTTGCTTATGATCTGTTGTTTCTTTTCTAAGCTTCTCTTTATTTTATTTTTTTGAGACAGTGCTTGATACCATTATAATTTTTCATTTCATTTCGTTTCTTTTTTTTAGATTACTCAAAGTTATTTGTTATTTTTATTTCTCAGCTCTTCCTTTTCTGTTGTTTTTGTTGTTGATAAACTTGTTTTCTTTCTGTTTTACGTTTGCTAGACTGTTCTACTTGCTTGCCCTAGACTTTAATATATTAATACGATTTGGATTTTTGTTATAGTTATTGATCTATTTACACACGTAAAAGGGGATTTCGTAGTCTATGGAAAGAGCGCCTGGACGTTGATGGTTTTTGTTATTATTATTTTCTCCAGGAAATCAATATCAGTTATTGGCTTTTAGTTTCTTGAAGTTTTTCTTTCAATGATTCTAATTCTCTTTGAACATCTTTTCTGTTACCATCAGCATCAAATTCAGGAACTGGAATATCGCTTCTCAAGTTACCATCTTTCTGTAATTGATCTCTAGGTCCATTGTTAGTAACAGATAATTCTCTCTATTGTGGAAAAAGTTCGATACTTGTTGATGTGACATAATATATATGTCATCTCCTGCTAAGAATATTGTGGGGGAGAATAAACCATAATGCATGAAGCAATAATCTATTTCGCAACAATAGTAGGACAAAGCCTAAGCCATTTGCGGGGAGGCTAAAATAACCAGAAGGATACACTTACACCACTAATGGGGTGAAGAACTTATTGCCTAAAACAGATACATGTTAGTGACTATTATTTATTAATTGATCCTATGAAAGAGTGTGGTGGCAAGCGTAATATAATATATCACATACCAGTATAGATCCCTACACCTATACACATTGCAAGGGTAACTAAATCAAAGCCTCTAACTCTAGACATATTTTGTTTAAACTGCACAGTAAGTTGATGATGGTGGGGCTGATATGGTCATTATCATATCATCGCCAATTTTTTTTTTTCGGCCTCTTTTTTTTTCTTTTTTGGTGGAGGAATTTTTTTTTCCCCAGACTATGATGTAGCCCCACGTCTCACCATGCGGGAGAATGTACACTGCTTGTTAGCAGAACACCCTCATTTTTATAAATTATCTTATAAATATCATCGACGGTAAAGATCATAATTCATCGATTTTTTTCTTTTCTTTTTGGTTCTTTTTCATTCTTTAAAAAAATCTTGAATATACATCCAAGGAGATATACTTCATATCGTAATGGAAGATCCTCTTGATATAAAAAACGACATCCAACATGTCGAAGCTTCTACTGCTGCTCCAAAATCCAAAGATGACGCTGGCAATAATGACTTTATTGCTAACTACATTGGGTTGGCTTCAAACGATGCTAGAGACATAAACGATGATGAAAAAATCATGAGCCTCAGTACCGGGTTGAAATTATACCCAAAAGCCATCATGTGGTCGGTGATTGTTTCTTCATCGTTGATCATGGAAGGATATGATTTGGCGTTGCTTTCCAACTTCTACGCTTTACCGGCTTTCAAAGATAAGTTTGGTGTTCTTGGTTCTGATGGTACTAGAGAAGTTCCTTCAAAATGGCAGACTGGTCTCACTATGTGTGTCAACTGTGGTGAGATTATTGGTTTACAATTTGCTGGTTGGTTTGCTGATAATTTGGGTTATAAGAAAACCATGGGCACTTTCTTGGTTTTTGTCACTGGATTCCTTTTCATTTTATTTTTTGCTCCAACTTTGGCGGTGTTGGCGGTTGGTGAAATCCTTATTGGTATCTGTTTTGGTTGCTTCCAGACAATGGCCGTGAATTATGCTTCTGATGTTTGTCCTTTGGCTCTACGTTATTACTTGACCACTTACATCAACATCTGCTGGGTGTTTGGTCAATTAGTTGCTTCTGGAGTATTGCGAGCGAAGGCCAATGACTCTACTGATTGGGCTTATAAAGTTCCTTATGCCATTCAATGGATATGGCCGGTGCCAATTTTCATTGGGATCCTTTTTGCTCCAGAATCACCATGGTGGTTAGTTAAAAAGGGCAAATACGCTCAAGCAAAAAACTCAATCAAGAGATTATTGACCCAACATGAGGATCAACCAGATATCAACATCACCTCTGAAAACATGATCAAGTTCATGAAATTGACCAATGATTTGGAAAAGGAAAAAAATGAAGGGACTTCGTACTTAGATTGTTTCAAAGGGGTAGATTTGAGAAGAACAGAAATCACCGTTGTTGCCTGGTTATTCCAAAATGAATGTGGTAATGCTTTGATGGTTTACTCTACATATTTCTTCCAACAAGCCGGGTTGAGTACTGATTATTCCTTTGATTTCACCATTATCATGTACGCCCTTGGTATTGCCGGATGTCTTTGCAGCTGGTTCCTTTCTAAATTTACTGGGAGATTTGAAATCTATTTCGGTGGGTTGGCGACAATGTTTATTCTCATGTTTGTTACTGGTTGTTTGGGATTAGCACCAAAGCATTTGGATGGGCCAAAATGGGCCGTTGGGTCATTGCTTATCATTGCATGTTTTGTTTATGACATGACTTTGGGCCCGGTTTGTTACGCTATTGTTTCTGAGATGGCATCCACCAGATTGAGAATCAAAACCGTGATTATTTCCAGAAACATTTACAATATCGGGGGTATTTTCAATGCCATCGTCACTCCATATATGTTGAATCCACAAAGTTGGGACTGGAGTAGTAAAACTGGGTTTTTTTGGGCCGGCTCATGTTTTCTTGGCATGATTTGGGCCTGGTTTAGATTGCCGGAAACCAAAGGCCGTACTTTTGTGGAATTGGACATGTTATTCGAACATAAGGTTCCAGCAAGAAAGTTCAAGTCGACCGAGGTTGATCCATTCAGTGAGGAACATTTAACCAAATTGAAGAATGAAGAGGACTATAACTTGGTCAAGAAGGAGATCGAGGATTTTTCTTGAGTATTTTTATTTTCGGAGCTTGCTGCCTTTTTTTCTTAGCGTTTTCAATTAGAGCTTTTTCAATGTATCAGTTTTTTTTTGCTTATATTGCTGCACCCCCCACCAGCAGCACAGCAAGTAAAGAAACGTTTGGGCCATCATCCCCCGGAGTACCTACCTACCTATTGCAGTACCCCCCACAAACTTAAATTCCTCTTTTATATGTGTTACCCTCTCGCTAACCACATTCTCACGTCCGGGATTTATCGTGAATCCCGAAACAACAATATTTGGACAAGTGATGGGAAAGTGTTGGCACCACCAGAAAGTTTTTGGTAAATTGGAAAAGAAATATTATAATGGGGACTTATAATTAAATACTACTATTCATGAAATGATTATGGTGATTCAATCATTACATGAATGTGATAAAGGGATATAAATTTATAGTACAAGTATATAAAAACAAGTATCTTGCCGGAAGGTAATATAATAAATCGGATAACACCGACTATACAGTCCCTCATACATATAGTGTAGTGTATATGGCGTTATGACAGATATAATCAACCAGGTCGGGATGCTTCCGCATCGGAAAATCCAATAGTGCGATACCCTAATACTTTACGTAATCCCGATGACTATCGACCGGGTAAAAGAAGAGGAGTAAAGATTTTTTTTTTGAAAAATTCTACAGTTAGATCAAATATTCGAGCCCAGAAGTTTGGTAAAATCTGGTTTTTAATTAAAAATTGACTATTCACACATTATATATTACTAATGGGGAAAAGCAAAAAGAAATCAAGAATTTCCAAAATATTAAGTGGCGGTAGCCCGTTCCCTACTGTTGGACAATCAAATGATTCAACCACTAATAACCAACTACCAAAGGAATCAAAGCATTATAGTACGGTTCACAAACTAATTAGCCAATTAAATTCTACTATAGCCTCTCCTAATGATAAAATTATTGCCTTGAACTCCATTGTCGTGATGTGTAATGACCCATCTTTGAGAGAAGAGTTTTTCAAACAGAATATTTTGGGATTATTGTTTTCCAATGATCCTCTTGGTCAATCTACATCTACATCTAAAAATTATAATAATGATAATGCCAAAGATGGCGAACTTCAAGTATGTTTCCTAAACAGCAAGAACCTCGACATTGTGAACCTGACGTTAGAATTACTCAAGATCATCGTATTCGAGGACGGGTATGCCATGTCTACCCATTTATGGAAGAAGAGAAGAATTTGGAAGTACATTGATATGAATTTGAACAACTTGAAGAACTCCTTCAATGAGTTTTCTATGAACATGACAAGTTTTAATAATAGTCAAAAAGTTTTATTGTTTGAATTGACAGAAAATATCTTTGGTTTGATCATTGCGTTAATTAATGGATCAGAAAGTATTCTTGATGAGATTTTGACCAACAACGCTGATAATGAAAAGATGAACTCCATTGCGGAATTCGCAGTGAATTTGCTCAAATGGTGCTTGATCATTGACGATGAAAATAAAAACTTGAAAGTGTCGCTTAGATTGTTCAATACTCTTTTAGATTTGATTTATGATTTCAGTTCGGAATCTGGGGATTTCATTGAACGTTTGATTTTTAACTATGGCTTTTCTTTGCAGAAATTAATTGAGTTTGGAGCGATGATCGACGATACTAAGATCAATAGTGTCACCAGAATCTATATTGAAAACATCAAATTCCAAGTTTTTGAAGTGGCAGGGGTCCAATTGGCCCTTGCAGGAGCCAGTGCCAATGATGATCAAGATCAAGTCGTTAAAGATTTTGAAGCGAAAAGAGACCAGATATTCATTGAAATTTATCAGAATTTACTGGGTTATTTGAAACAATCTTCAAAAACCTTGGATGTCATGTTGGCAGCAACGCAATTGAATCCTGCAGATTACGCTAATGTCGATTCGCCAGAATTTATGGCAAAGCACAATGAAAAATCAAAGGCGAATGACGAAATCCAAGCCATGGAGATTTCTCTTGATTTAATCGCCACGATCGTTGAATTTGCTGGAACAAACCCGGCATTGGAACAATTGATTGAATCTTCATCCGACAATGACTCCCAAATCATTGAATACTTTAACAACAACAAACTCATCAATTCTTTTCTTGACGCCGAATTCTTTGAGTTTTTGTACCAATGTCTTGTGAATTACAATTACAAATTTGAATTACACGCTTTGGACTGTTTTATAAACTTGGCGATCTTATTTGGATCCCTATCGACTACCGATCTTCCCTCGATATGGAAAGACCAAGCCGAGAAGTACTGGTCTTCCTTTATCACCAATCAAGCGACCTCACCATTCTTCAGAGCCCTTAAGAGTTTCAATGGATCTAACACTGTTGATGGTACAGTGATTTACAATCTACACACCCAGATCAAGACTTTTGGCTTCCTTAATGCCTCAGTCAAGATATTACAGACCACCACCGCCAACAATGAACAACAAGAACAAAGTTTGATCACTTTTGTCCAAGCGCTTATCAACAATGGTAACTCATTTTCCACCATCAATTATCACATCCAACTTTTACAATCACAGCCAAAAAAGAAAAAGAAGTCGAATCATGCCAATTCTGCCGAAAACAAAGAATTTGTTGAGTTGATTGGGCAGTATTACCAAGAGTTCCTCCAATTATTGGTAGTTTTGGCACAGTTGCCACTTGTGAATTTAAATGGAATCATTGGTGACTATTTGTTCAACAAGGTATTGAACCCAGTCTACCAAAGTGCAGCCGCTGCTGATGAAGCTCCATTCGCCAAAGAACCAACATCTATGTTAGATATTTTACCTCCTCGCATTCTCATTGACCTCATTTCGTCAGTGTTTGATATTTACAGTGATAAGAGTTTTGTTTATGACGGTCCAAACTTTGTCAATAAAAATTACAGTGGAATCTTAAAGAGCCTCAAGGAAGTTTTGAAGTCAGATATCTTTAAGAGAAAAATTGACAAAAATGTCGATGCTAATTTGAAGGCTTTGAGTTATGCTACCATCAAGGAATTAGACAGATTTATCAAATATAAAGATCATGAGAACTGATTTTGATATATAAATGAAGGTATAATATAATATATTACATTTGTGAAAAAAAAAAAGAATATCTCAGTGAGTTCAGCTCTAGAGAAAAGAAGATTAAGCTGAAGAAAAGAAATTGCCTCGATAGTACATAAAAAATAGTTAGGCCATAGGCCATAAAAAAAATAAGATCCAACAGTAAATAAAATTATCGTATTCAAAGCAATATAATAAAATAATATGAGAGATGAATAGAACAAAAAAACATCATAATCTTATTTGCGCAACAGTCCCATCACCAGAATAGTCCATATCAATATCATAATCACCAATCTTCAATTGAAATTCTGCTCTGCTTTCTATATCTAGCTTTCCATTGATTGCCTTACGTAAAATATCTCCAGCAACGCCTTTAGATTCATAAGTTATTGGTAACCTTGGTGTCCTATAAACTCCTGGTGGTATTCTTAGTATTGTATTCGTCTTAATATGTGCCAATTCAATTTCTATTGGAGTTCCATCCTCATTAGCATCATGATATATTGCTTTCCCCGAATAAATTAGAACATCCACAAAAGAGTTCACAATTGGATTGTGTACTTCAAATTCAATCTCAGACGTCATAATGTGCATAGTAACACTAATAATGAACCCACCAGGCAGACTTTTACCAAAAGTTCCTGGATCTCCAAAGTGCTCCCATATGTCATTTGTTAATGATAAGCCTGTACTTTCTCCACGATTATCATCCTCCTTTAATGTCGATAGTAGATACTCATGCTTATTCGTAGGACTCACTGGACAATTATACTCAGGTAACTGGAAACTAATATTCACTCCTTCAAGAACCTCCGATATCTTTTTGGAAGATGGAAAGCTCTCTGAATGCCCAAAGATTTCAATTTTTGGGAACTCATTGGATATGAAATTACTCAATAATTCTCTAACCATTATCTTGCCCAAACCATCTTCTCCATCAAACGATGAAGGATTGAGGTCAACCAATATCGAGACATTTGAATACAACCGACTAGAATTAAAGTCCATTTCCTTCATAATAGCATGTCCAAGCTTGGTTCCATTATAACCAAAATGCAAATCAATCAATTTTTCGGATATATAATCCGTAATAAGACTATATTGTTTTGAAGGATCATCATATAAGTCATCGGGAGTGAAAATCTTCAAATTAACAGCGACAACTAAAGAATCAGAAGTAGATGAAATATAAACAATATCAGTGATGTGAATAATAAGATTCTGAATCATGTAGTCTACCAAAGACGTAACATTGTGATTTCTGACAACGGTGGGTATCAAATCAGAGGTATTGAGGTTATAGTTAACCGAGAAAGGAATATCCTTAAATTGAAACTCATCACCACCATTAAGTAGAGCAAATTTACTTATGTTAAGGCTCACTAAGGGGGCAAAATTAAAAAGTAATATCTCCGATTCACCATCACTTATGGTCAGCAAATCGTTCACTAAAATTAGATTCAAATCACTGGAATTAACAATTACTATCTCGTTATCTGTCAAATGCAAATTCATTGTTACTGACTTGTTTACCAAATAGTCAAATTCGATATTCAATGATTGATTATTTATAAATTCAACTTCTAGGATATCTATTTCTTTTTCAGAATCACAATGGCAAATTTCCAAATCGCCAGAGAACGAATCTACTTGAAATTCAATTATATTATGTGTACTGTCAATGAAATCAGGTATTCTAAATTGAATGGTACTTTCCAAACTGGTCAACACTGGATTAATATCATTTTCAGAAACTTGTTTTGGTAAATAAAGCTCAGATTTGCTGAGCTCAAAATCGAGCAAGTAATTGCTAATAAAGTCTCCCTTGGCAGCCATGAAGTTGTTGCTATTAGTAAAAAAGCGTTTCAAAAAATTGATACTGATTGGAATTTCCACATTGCTAAGGACGTAATTTAGCCACGCTGGGTTATTGGAATGTGAAGCAGATATAAATAGCATCAGTTCATCTAGAGGGTCATAGTCTTTTAATACGTTAATAAGCAAAGAATTTAGAATTGAATAATGGTCACCACAATCCTCAAGCAAACTATTAGAAATTTCTGGAATTTGTACTTGTATCTGTAGGCTATGAATTCTTTTATGCATACTCACTTTTTCCACCTCAAGTTTCCCAACATTAACAGCCATCAAATCCACAAGTTTTCCTTGGCAATTCTGCATCTTCACAGACCATAAAATCTCATTCAATCCAACATTATAATCAACAATGTCTTTCTTAAAATCCACAGATGACTCAATATTAGCTAATATTTCAACTTGGGGCACACTGGTACTAGTGATTGAAAATTCATCAACAACAACCGAAAGTAAATCATTATCAATTATAGTGAATGGAAAAGTTTTACCTATAATATCTGACTTTTTGATATCAAAGAAACGTTTCGATTCTTCAAGATCTAATTCCAATAAAGGAGACAAAGAAGTGCTAATTTTTTTGCGAATCTTAAGTCCTAAAATTGTTGACTCAACATCACATTGCTGAACATCCAAACTGACCAACATTTTCAAATTATCAACTTTATAGTTGTTACCACTGTATATGTCGCCCAAGGCACTCAAGAGACCAGCCATATCAGTTTCTTTGATTTCAATATATTGATTAGTAATATTCATTGGAGAATCTGCTAAAAAGTCTAGAGCAATTGGCTTTGTCAATTGAAATTCTGCAACCTTGAAAGTATTTTCATTTATAGCATTAATATCATCAATAATGACCAACTCTATCGCCACACCAACCTTCTCAGCCTCAATAACACTAACTTCTCTCACAGTGCTACTGAAAATTTGGCCATACCAACGTCTCCAGCCATGAAGATCTTCAAAGTCGAAGTTCAACGAGCCATTGGCAGCTATGCAAACACCAGAATTGTCTATTCTTTGTAGCCGCACATTATCCACTTGAAAATTTGACACTGAAGTTATAAGAAGTAGAGTTTGATGGACGATATATTGCCAGATTAGTAAGCCAGCAATGACGATGATAAGAATTGAAGCCATCCATTTCCCGCGGGTAGGCCATTTGCGAGAATGGTTCCCAATAATATTAGGTGCAGTTACCGGTTTTGGTAATAGCGAGTTTCCTTCATCCACATGAATATGATTACCAACCAAACTTGATGATTCGGGTATATCAACTATATTTATGGCCCCGTAGCTCTGAGGAGACCTTAGAAGAAGAATGGTATCGTCGATGACAGGATATGCAGGATGAGATAACGTAGTATGTTTTGCCTGGCCTCTAGAATTATCCTGTGTTGATTGTAAAATTGGTTCTATTGAATGTGCATCAATTGAAGTTTCGGCATCTTTAATATCGTTAGTGTTTCTGGGTAAAAGAGGTGCACTTTCCTCTTGTCTTTCCTGATTTTCAGGGTTTATAGGAATATTATTTGACACATCATTTGCAAGTTCCTCCTGTTGTTTTACTTTTATTGTTTCTTCGGGATTTACTACTTTCTCTAGTTCAGCAGCATGGGGTATTGGATTATTTATATTCTTATCAATTGTATCCTTATCAACAGGCTTGTCAGTGGCAGCATAACCTTCAATGTCTGGAGTTGTCAGCTGTACATCATCACTCAACACCAGATAATTGTTCAATGTTTTATCAGGACTACCCAGGCTTCCCTCACTATTATCATTGTCATTGGAACTTCTCAGCTTCGGCTTCAGTTTATCCCTTCGAAACTTGCTTAAGATTCGACGGGTGGAGAGCTTCCTTGTGAGGTCGGAGGATACCGCTCTTTTTCCCATGCTCTTTATACTGTCAACACGGTAGAGAGAGGACATTGTTGATGTGTTTTATTAGGCAATTGATGCTGCTGTGGTCACCTTTCGTTACTAAATCAATGACAAAATAGCCGCCCTTGTTCTTTTTTTTTTGTTTATCATTATTTTTTTTTTTTTTCCTTATGTGCCTGTCAACTAAATTGATCTGTCGCACATGACAAGGATTGCTGAAAAAACCGTTCCTTTGGCACACCTTATAATCAATCAAGACGCGTAGGTTAATTATTATCATTATTATCCAAGGTGTCGTGAGTGCAGTTGAAGGAGAAATAATAATGGGTATTTCTATTAGGACATTTAGCATGTTTCACAAGGTAACTTCCAGTTCAGCCGGCTTTGGGCATTGCAGGATCTATCTGTCTTCACAAGTATTGAAATCTCATCACTAGCTAATTCCCTTCGAGTAAATAATCTTCAATCGCATTGTAATTGTCAACCCAGATATCTGCGATTCTAATGAATAGCTAGTACGTTACATTATTTTCTTTTATTTTTTTTTTTTTTTGGCCACAGTGAATTTTGAACAAATTCCAAAATAGTCAAGTCAATTTTAAGGTAATTTTTCAAGCGGTTGAAGAAAAACACTATCCCTTCAATTGTAGTTCTATCACTGATTTTCACGATAAAAGTAAATGGAAAAAGGGTCATGGACAAGGGCAGGTCTTCATAATAATAAACCCACTACTGTCACTAATGTTCTTGTCCCACTTTCTTCTTTTCTGTTTTCAAAATTTGCGTGATTTTTTTTAGCAACTTCTTTGCAACTGCCATCCAGGTTTATACGATGTATAGCCACCTAAATATCTATCATGTACCTGGACAAGCACTAGTGTAGCTCATGTTTGGCAAACAACAGAACTATTATTATAGGATACAGTGCGTCCTGCGAAAGGCGTTAATATAAAACCCTAAGATCGCTAATACCAACTGATTATTTTATCTGTTCGAACAGGAATCGCAGAAACAGCAATTTATGGACAATATAAATCACACCATCGCATAACAATAATCAGCGTGGTGAATAGCTGTGATCTGGAAGCATGTTGTTTGGTTTGTACGGCAGGGCATTGGCGTGGGTGGTTGATGAATTTTAGAGCCCTCACTAGACTAGTGCGGCCACCTGAAACATTGCGTACAGACCGGGTGGTACACCAAGTAGACACCCTCATGCACCGCTCTGCCACCAAGAAAAGTTGTGAATCAAAAGGGATTTGTCTTCTGGCCTGAGTGCCGACGGAGGAGCCATGATAAGATCGGTGTTTATTTATATACTTTGACGAATCCCATTAGAAAACTCAATCAGTTATTGTTATTACTTATTTTCTATTATATTAAGGATTTATTTTGTCTTTCTTCCCTCTCATTTATTACTCATAGAAAAGATTTTTTTTTTTTTTTTTCATTCAACATCAACATTAGTCATTGTCATATACGCTATATATTAAAAGACCATAGCTACATACTACATCGAGAATTAACGCAAAACACTTTTTTTTTCTTCCATTACCTCTCCTCAATAAACCAAATAACAATCGATAATGGGAATTCTATTTACATTAACCTCGGTGCTATCGATAATGAAGATCATTGAAGTATCAATGGGGGAGTCCGCCAATGCCACTACCGAAGTTGCCATTCCTGATAACCACCAGGCTAAGAGAAGAGCTTCCTCCATCAAATACATCAGTGATGCCGGTGGGCTAGTGAGAAATAAGGCAAGTGACGACATGATGTTGGGATTATCGATATCACCCCCATCAATTACTGCCACCAATATTCACTATTACCAAGGAGTCTCACAGATACCCAAAAGAAAGCGGTTTGATTGCAATCCTGCAAAAGTGTTGAATTGCCGCAGCACTCGTTCGAACGATGTCTTGCGGAAGGCAGTGATTCTTGAGCAGTCGTTTGGGAGTAGCAATGGCAAGTATCAACAATTTGTTAAGCAAGTAAAACGAGAATGTTTACTATAATCCACTCCACTGAAACGGCAAGCAACGCTGCTTCCACCATCCCAATCCGCGCCGGCCGCACTCTGGTTACTCTTATTTTTCACTTCTTCCTGCGCGGTGACACCACCGCACCACCGCAAAACCCCCGGGGCATAGCACCTACTGCTTCCACCGTTACCCACATTTATAATATATCACTTATCTTATATTCTCCCTTGTTAATTATTTAATATTATAATATCACATTATTGTTCATCATTATTGTATCTCATTTATACTGTTCGTAGTAGCCGCCAATTGCGAAATATCTCTTGAAAAAGCTCCGGGATGCTGTCGCCTGGTTGCTGATCATCTGTCAAAGACCCAAGGTGGCGGCACCCCCCGACCCCGGACTCCAGGCACCACAACTTTTGTATATATGTTTTTCTCACATAAAGTAAGCGATTTCTGACTTCCCGGATCCTTTCAGACCCAAAAAAAAAAAAAAAAAAAATATATATAAATATCCCAGCAAGTTCCCGCTTTTCCTTCACTTTAATCTCTTATAATAATATTTCTCTATTCCTATAACAACACACACACACACACACACACACACACACACAACATGGCCCAAACAGTATCGTCCCTCGCCAGTGATGAAAACATCCAAACAGATCTCGTCACTCTTACAAGATTTATCCTTGAGCAGCAAAGATCCTTGGCCAAGCAAGCTTCGGGTGAATTGACTCTCTTGTTGAACTCTCTTCAATTTGCTTTCAAATTTATTGCCCACACTATTAGACGTTCGGAATTGGTCAACTTGATTGGTCTTGCCGGTGCCACCAATGCCACTGGTGACGACCAAAAGAAATTGGACGTAATTGGTGACGAAATTTTCATCAACGCCATGAAGGCCTCCAAAAACGTGAAGGTCGTGGTTTCTGAAGAACAAGAAGACCTTATTGTGTTTGAAGGTCCTGGTAACTATGCAGTGGTTTGCGACCCAATCGATGGCTCCTCCAATTTGGACGCAGGGGTGTCGGTTGGTACAATTTTCGGGATTTACAAACTCTTGCCTGACTCAAAAGGTACCATCAATGATGTTCTTCGTAGTGGTAACGAAATGGTGGCTGCTGGTTACACTATGTACGGTGCTTCTGCTCATTTGATGTTGACCACCGGTAATGGTGTCAACGGGTTCACTTTGGACACTTCCTTGGGTGAATTTATCTTGACTCATCCAAATTTGACCATCCCTCACACTAGACCAATCTATTCCATTAACGAAGGTAATGCCGCGTATTGGCCAAAACACATCTTTGACTTTGTCAACTCGCTAAAGAAACCACAACCATCCACCGGCAAACCATATTCCGCTAGATATATCGGTTCAATGGTGGCTGATGTTCACAGAACCTTACTTTATGGTGGGTTGTTTGCTTATCCTGCTGATTCCAAGCTGAAGAACGGGAAATTGAGAATGTTGTACGAATGTTTCCCAATGGCCATGTTGTTGGAACAAGCGGGTGGCATGGCCGTCGATGATAAGGGACAAAGAATATTGGACATGGTTCCAAGTGCAATCCATGATAAATCTGGGATTTGGTTGGGTAGTACTGGTGAAATCGAAAAATTCTTGGACTCCACCAAAGGCAAATGATTATTATTATTTGTGATATAAAATTTGCCCCTTTTAATTCCTTTCATCAACTAGTACTATCTGTAACCTTTTTTTTTTTTTTTCTTGGTCCCGTTTTTTAGTCTTTCTCATGTCGCTTGCTCTTCATTTCAAAATTAAACTCATAATTCCTTCATTTTCTTTTAATATTACCCGTTATGTTGTGCTATGTTATATTCTCTGTAGATAAGAAAAAAAGGTAACCGGTGCAGTGCAGCCTTGGTGGAGAAAACTGGGATTGGCATGCATAAAAAAAGATTTTGGAAGAAGACATGATCACTATTTACCGTCCTTCTTTTTGAAATGCTCAAGGAGGGTGGTTCTTCTGATTAATACTTACATAATTAGTGTCTTGAAACTACCATTGCTTATTCGTAGACAATCTGCCCTCATTACCAAGTTAAGCGGAATAGCAGCAACTGGGTCTCCTCCATCACTACAACAGCACCCTTAACTTTCAATTAATATTACTTGCCACGGCTACACTGAAAATGTATAATTTGCTTTGCTGCTGTAAGTAGATAGCACCGTCTTCAGCACATGTTTACTTCAATACAAGTTGCGATGAGGAGCCACTTCCCTTATCTGAACGAGAAAACAAAACTATAAGCTTCTATTGAAAGGCTAAAATACATAAAAACACCATTTCGGCAAACAGCAATCAATAATTAAGAACGGCATAGCCATCAAAATCTTTGATGACTGGGGTTGGGATAACATCTATCAAATATAATTCTCCTTGGTCATTAATTCTAGTACGATCATCTTCTGTCATACTATAAATTTCTGCCACATTATCCTTCAACAATAATAACACATCTTCAAAAGATTTCTGTAATTGATAGGCTTGTTCAAACTTCTTCAATCTGATCATCCCCTCCATCAATCTTTTAGCTTCAGGCTCAGTCTCACGAAGACGATCAATCAAACGCCCCACAGAACTAATAAGATATTCCTCTTCATATATGGTACCCTTCTTCCCACGGGCGCGTTTCCTTTCTTCCCTACGACGATTCTTAGCAGTTCTTCTAGAAGCTCCAGTCTTGGCAGTACCTGCAGTCTTACCAGTATATCTAGTGAAAAACGATTCTTTGGTAGATGTTTCTGATGCGACAATTGACACATCATCTGGTGTATCGAATTCGCCAGCCCCACCATTACCAGCAGCTTCACTAATTCCAAAAAATCCATATGGATCTTCCTTCTTCTTTTGTCTCAATTCACGAAGTCTCTTTAATTGTGACCCAATCTGAGCTTTACAATCGCTGACCAACTCCACAATAGTTCCAAACCCTTCACCAATTAAAGGATCGATGATTTCACTGATCAATTCAAATTTCTTATTTTTACTGGTCATCAAAATTGCCTCATCATATCGGTGATCTTTACAATATAATTTTATGGCCGCTTCAATGTTATTAAGGTACTGGAACTCAATAATTGCGGCCTCTTGATAGCGATGAGCTTCTGTCAAACTCTCAACAAGAGTATCACAAGTCTCTTCCAATTCTTTACCAAATTTATCCAAGTTAGAATTGATAATGCTCAAACAATTCTGCCAATCTTTAGCTAAAATATTTGATTGAATAGCATCTTTGTAGTATCCCAACATTTCATAAATTATTCCTGACTCGTGATATTCATGATCATTGTACAACGCGTCAGCATAATGTTTGAGGATTTCATTTTTTCTATCATTATCATAATGATAATACTTCAAGGCTTGTTTAAATAACCCATGTAAAATCATATAATTATCAAATTCTTCCTTAATTTCTGCAGTATTTTGTTGCTTCTCAATTTCATGTAGACTACTGAGAGCTTTATCATGATTTTTCAAATAATCATCAATCATTACTTGCTTTCTCAATTGTTCTTGTTCATGTAAGTTCTGCAAGAATGGTAAATATTCTTTTGGGTCCTTTTGAGATTGCTGAGCAATCAATAAGGTCAACGGAATATCGTATAATCCAAGGGCAGTCTTATATAATAAGTTAACATCTTGAAGAAAACACAAATATTCAATGGATTTTTCCTTTTCATCATTATCAGAGAAGCCAGAAATCAATCTCAAAGCATCGTTGAGATTAGGTGGGGTTTGGGACGCATAAGCAGTAATAATAGCACGTAAATATTTTGTTTGATATTTTGATGTCAACAACACTGATAAAAGACTTTCACAGATTCTGTTAATCTTAGAATCGTGGTTAGTTGTACCAATGGCATTATTTGAAATATCAACATGGGCAATTCCATCATTAAGAGACGATGGTAAAGCAGTCGTTTCTCGGTATTTATTTTCACAAACATCTTCGGCGCGTAAGGTACCAATGAACAAATTTAAGTATTCTTCATTATCAATTTCATCAATGAAGTGTTCCAAATTCTTAAAAAACAAACCTGGTGCGTAGTCATGCAAGATATCTAAATCAATTCTGTGGGTTCTGCACGTAATGAATGCTGCCTTGTAATTTTTTGACTTGATATTCTTCCTGATATCTGACAAGACCATAATTCTTGGATAAATTGTCTCCAAATTACCTCTTGGAGCTTGCAAAACCACAGAAAAATTTGAAGGCGATACAGAAACTAATAATGAGCCTCTTTCAATAGCTCTAATTCTTTCATCTTCGAAGGAAATAGTATGTTCATTATTATTATTATGGTTTCCAACAGCAGTCTTCTGTGAAATATTCAACTCGTCATCAGTGACCTTGTAGGTAGTAAAATCATTGTTCAAATGAACAAATCTCAATTGATGTTGAGCAGTAGTCAACAATAAATGCGATTGGGTAACCTTTATTGAAGTTATCGCACTGCTTATTTGTCTATCATTGGCGTATAACTTACCATTAGAAGCTAAACCAAATACCAACAGGTCTGCCTCGTTAATTAATTCATCGCCAACTTCCGTTGACTTGCAAACGATGTGATATTCATAACATAACTGACCCAATTGAGAGATAGCATTAATTGAATAATCAATAGGATTGATATTATATATGGTGGATCTGATAGTTTCAAAAGTGATTGATTTATAGCTAGAATGTGCCTTCATTAAAATAACTTTTTCTGGTGGGTCAAGAGACATAATAACATTTGGAGCCTTGATATCAGATAGATCAATAATAATGATTTTGGAATCACCATGTGGCAAAATATCCGCTAATACGCCCACAGTGTTGTTTCCCGTAAAGCAAACTTGCCTCAAATTGATATCAGAGAATTCCGGCAATAGCTGATCTTTCGTTAGGGTTGCAAAAATTTTTGGTTGATTTTTCTTTTTTAATGAAAATCTTGCAAAATAGATATCATTAGCTGTAATAATTGCAAACTTATCATTCTTCAAAGAAATGGCGAAGTCATTAACGTTATCTTTCACTGTAATTTCACGGAAAGCCATTGGTGGTGGAACATTAGCAATTACTAATGGTGTTAGATTACAAGTCTTTCCATCAATTACACCAGTCATACTAACATCTGTTGGGGAAACCGTTGGGCCAGATATAATATCGTAGGCTAAATCGATAATCTCGACAATCTTTTCAGTAACAAGCATAAAAGTTAAAGGCTTTTCACTATGCCATGTCAATGAATGAATTTTGTAATTCTCAATTGAAAAAATCTCCTGCTTTAAATACCAGTGATAGTTTTTCATAGTCCACAACTGAATAGAGTGATCTAAAATGATTGCCAAAACTTCAGAGCTGCTATTCCATGAAATGTCCTTAACCTTCGTATTCAATGGTAATCTTAAACTGAATTCACCATGACGCAAGCCATTTCGTTCAAAAAATACTAAATCCAAATCTTCGAGCTCTTCCTTTTGATCAACGAATTTTGGATTGATTAAAATGTCTTTCACAGTGTGATCATTTTTATCATTAGGATTCTTTCTTTGAGTTGAAGCAATTAAAGAACCCTGTGGCTTCCAAGATAAATGATCTTCAAGACCATTAACAGGCTCTGAGACAGTATCCAAATTCCCTTCACGATCAAACACTCTGATTAAACGATTTTCTGTCTCATTAATAATTTCAATCATAGAGATAGCAAAAAATTGGCAATCCCCTCTCCAAGAAATAGAAACTTTCCCAGTATCAAAAGAACTTTTTGTACCTTCATCTACTGTCGCAGGCATAGTTGGGTCTCTAATAGCCTCGCCCTCTTTCAATCCTGAATTCTTAAGACTTTCAAGGATAGCTCTTTCGGCAGCCTTTGCACCTTTACCCTTAAATTGTGTTTCTCTTTTACCCCAACCAACACTAACATGTTTTGATTTATTAGCATCATCCGAGGCCAAAGCTCTTTCAGCAATCGGCTCAAATTGTCTACTTAGCAAGATAACATTCTTAGCTCCGGTGACCATGGATAAGGTTTCCTCATCAGGAGACCATTGGGCAGATAAAATCCCGTCGTCGATAGATCCAACAATTTCCACGACAACAGAATCGAGGTCCTCAATATTATTTGGATCGTAACTAGCGGTTACAATATCACCTTGAGCGAAAATGAAAATCAATTGGCAACTATCAGCAAAATGACTGAAGCAAATAAGTTTATCTTGAGGATCTACTTCAAAATTAGCCAATAAATTTGCTTTTCCCGTTCTCTCGTATTGGTATACTTCGATAGCACCATCAAACTCCCCTGGGCCAAGAGCGACTGTCATGCTATTGGTAATAATATCAAATACAGAAGCCGCCAAAGGAAGATCCGGGGCTAGTGTAGACTCGGGGCGGATCACCCCTCTATTTAAGAAAACTAAATTTCTCATTTTTTCTACCGCCAGGAATTATTGAGTTTAGATTGCTTTGTAACAGAGGTTTCTAATCGTCATGATATAAATCAAAAGCCTTGGAAATTTGCACAAAAAAAAAAAAAAAAAATTTGAGAGAAAGATGAGATATGCACGTGATATGTGAATGTGCTTTTATGTATTTGTATGCGTAAATCAGGCAAACAGAAGGGTCCTTCTTCTGGAAAAAATATGGGTTTTCGAGTTAAGGATATCTCTCAACTGCAAAAAGTAGATAATAATAATCAGCTCGATAGTCCTTCGTTTGCTTTCTCACCTTTATTCTCATACTACTTAAGTATTAAGCTTGCCTTTTCAACGGCTTACTTTCAGGCCTACTTTCATTTTATTCAAAACGGAGATGAAGTTAATCACATTCAGCACTTTATTTTTGGCTATTGTTTCTTTGACAAACGCAGATTCTCCTCCGGCTTGTCTTCTTGCCTGCGTTTCCAGCGTTATTAAATCTGATGGTCGATACACATTCAACCAGCAACAATCAATTTGCAAAAACTTATCCAGCGACATTGTGGAATGCTTCAGTTTCACCTGCCCAACCAGCGATCTTGCCGATGACGCAACTAGCTACTTGAAGTCTATTTGTGGTAGCAGCATCTCGTCGTCTTCTTCTTCTTCTTCTTCTTCTTCTTCTACTTCTTCTACTTCTTCTACTTCTTCTACTTCTTCTACTTCTTCTACTTCTTCTACTTCTTCTACTTCTTCTACTTCTTCTACTTCTTCTTCTACTTCTTCTTCTTCTTCTACTTCTTCTACTTCTTCTACTTCTTCTACTTCTTCTACTTCTTCTACTTCTTCTACTTCTTCTACTTCTTCTACTTCTTCTACTTCTTCTACTTCTTCTACTTCTTCTTCTTCTTCTTCTTCTTCTTCTTCTTCTTCTTCTTCTTCTTCTTCTTCTTCTTCTTCTTCTTCTTCTTCTTCTTCTTCTTCTTCTTCTTCTTCTTCTTCTTCTTCTTCTTCTTCTTCTTCTTCTACTACTACTTCTTCTACTTCTACTGCTTCTTCTACTTCTTCTACTTCTTCTACTTCTACTGCTTCTTCTACTTCTTCTACTTCTTCTACTTCTACTGCTTCTACTGCTTCCTCATCTTCTACTTCGAGCTCGAGCTCCTCTGTGTCCTCATTGAGTACTCTTTCGATATGGGCTACTTCTCTCGCTACTTCTGGAGCGTCTTCTTCTTATGATGGCCTATCTACTGTTAGCAGTACTTCTGAAGCCGTTTCTATGGAAGTGACGTCTACTTCATCTCCTTCTGAATCCGCTGCTGAGGCCAATATGTTAACTGGGCACCTTGGTGCCTTGATCTTGGGGGGTGTTGCTGCTCTCTTACATTAAACTATCTGTGATTGATGTTATTTTTCTTTTTATTTTTTCAATTTTTCGCTCACCTACGCTTTAATAGACTTATAGACTTACAAATTCAAATAGAAAAAAGAAAGTTTACTAAGCATTTCATGCTTTAGATCTAAAGCTTTATAGGCATAAAATTGTCTTTTTACAGCTCCTAGTTATTATTGATCTTTCTTTTAAAAGAGAACGCATTTTATTATTTATTTTTTTAACTCCCCTCAGACTTGTTACTGAAAGGATACTATTTCAATGCAATGGCTAATATTGACAAGAATGAAGCTTTCCCAAAGAAATGATGTAGGCGGTTGGTTCTTTGTTGTAATAGATGCAGGATGAAGAACCCTATATATATTAAACGATCTTTTGAAAAATCTCTATTACGAGGACTGTGCTTTTTCTTTTTAACTGACTCTTCAGAATGAGAAAAAAGGGATCTCATCTTTAATATTTTTACTTGATTTTTATTAGGATAATATACTAGTAATAGACGATTTAGCATCTCTTTAAATAAATGATGAGTTTAGAATAATAATGATAAGATGAAGAAATGAGATAAAGAATTAGATAAGGAACAAGTGAATTAGATAAGAAATCAAGAGATGAAGAGAAAGGATAAGATAAGGAGTAATTGATTGGGTAATGAATGAAAAATACTTGTGGTATATGTTACATTATTATTTGCATGTTTATTTAATCTGATTAGCGTTTAGAGCCTCTAGAAGTAAAAATAATGCACCTTTTTTTGAGCCATAACCCTTATCCTAAAGTTCTTTTTTGGTAAAAGGGAATAATATTTTTTTTTGTAGTTAAGAATAATGCTTCCTACGAAAAGATTTTTGAGAGGACTCCATAACTTTATCTTGAAGATTAAAATGAGTTCATAAAGCTACCTCTCTTGTACATTAGTTACTATCAATATACGTAGATATGGTTTCTATTTTAATGAATAATATAGGTACCAATTTAATACTAAGACCCCAAATCCTGTCCAGCCAAAATCAGAAGTCATAATTTCACAACCTTTGCTTTATTTCCGTTATACAGCTTTTCATAACAGTGTGTATTTTTAGTAAATAAACAATTATATTAATACCCTAGGCTTTCAAAGACTGGTATTCACTATTCTCTCATTTGCTGAAGAAATTCAGAAAAATATGTGAAACGACTGTCACTAAACTATTAATTATATGGAAACACATGTTGGACTGCTATGATGCACTGAACATCCTTGCCAAGCATACACCACAAATTTGTTTGGTCATTACTATCAAGGAATTATGATAAAAGGAATTATCTTTATGGGTTTAAATAAATAACAGAGTGGAAACAGAATGTAATTTTACGAAATTGCTTTATTTTTTTGTTGTCACCTTTCTTTATTTGCCGAGATTTTGTTTCAAGACTTAGAGAAAATTACAGTATAATTGAGATTTCAGCAGCATAACTGCATAATAAATATATATCATCAGAAGTAAGTAAGGATAGAGAGTATACATTATAACTTAACTCTCTCGGAAGAAAGGCCAGGTCATTGTAGAAAACATACGGTTGCTCTACCATCAAATCATGATTACGTAAGATTTTTGGCACATGCTCGGATTTTCAATTTCTTAAGATCTGTGAGAATTGGCTTACATTCGCTATGATTGATCCGAATTCCTCAGTTAGCAAATATTAATAATATCAAAAAAGAGAAAAAAAAAAAAGATAACTCTAGTTCATTAGATTTAGTTTTTAGATTGTGACCCCTTTGCCTTTCAAGTTTTATACATTTTGTTTACGATTTCTGTCAACCCAAGATTTAGCCCATCATGTCAACAAGAATCCCTGGAAACAAGATCGCTTTGCTTCTTGCTGTGACTTCATCATTGATCATTGGCTACGGTGTGTACTATGTTAAGACGATTAGAGCTGAGTTTTTGCCAGATCAGTTGAAGGAAGCCGGTTTCTCACAATTTTTAACTAATCTTTCAGCAGTTTTGACATTGGTTTATTTTTTCACCTCTATTGTTGCCCATGCTTCAGGAAGTTCAGCAATATTTCATGCTAAGAACAATTATATTTTGCCTGTGGTAATTTCCTTAGAATTCATTGTAACCGCTGTTTATTGGTCATTGAAGATTTTCTTTACTCATTTGATTGTGATGGTAGATACCGTGCCAATCGCCGTGGATTTCCCACTCCATATTACCCCATTTGTGGCTTTGGTGCTTGATTACTTTTTGTTCAATCCTCAGTTCACCATTCCTTCTATGGTTGCATTGATTCTTTGTGCAATTTTAACAGCTGGTTATTGGTATTGGTTAGAATATCTTATTGATATTGAAAAGGGTCAATTGTATCCTTATCCATTCTTGAACATAGAGCATAATAAGAGAGTGGGAATTTTTGTTTTTATAGGTCTTCTCGCATTTGTTGGATTTGCGGTGTTGAGATTGCTCTATGATGTTATCATCGGGGAGAAAAGTATCGAGGACAATGAAGGCAAAGAAAAGAAAGATTAAATTGAAATAGATGATTCATAGATTTGTTTGATCAGACTTACGATTGTGTAAATGTGACCAGGGCTGGTACCAGCCCTGGTCACATTCTGGGCCATGTCCATATTGTAGCGATTGATTTACTTGAGCAAACGAATGCTTCGAGCTGCTATCAAATTGATAAGTAGCATGTGAGAGAAGACATAATAAACATAATCTTTATTAGTTTCACCTTCCTACACATCACTAGTGGCCCCAAAGTACAAATAACACTAGAGGGTTGTACGTCAACTCTTCCTGCCCCCCAAGAAAAACCCCACCGATTGTGCGTCAATCTTTAAAATGGAGTGCGCAGAGATATTATTTTTAGAGTTTATTAGGGCTATATTGTTGAAACTAGCACGTGATAAATGACTGTGACACGTACATGTGATAACAAAGCCCTGTTTTTCTTGCTCACACTGTTTGTTGGCTGAAAAAATTGAGTATGGTGGATGAGAAAAAAAATCAAAATTCCTAAACTTCGCATATAGCATCTGAGAAGCTGATACATAATATTCAATAGCATAATAATAATAATCAAAGATGTCTACTGAAACTTCTGTCACCGCCAGCAAATGGAGACTCGTTGAAGCCGGTCGTATTGTTTACATCAACAAGGGTAAATTCACCGGTAAATTGGCTGTTATTGTTGAAATCATTGACCAAAAAAGAGTATGTATCGATTGAAAAATTTGAGGATTAGAATAGGGAATAGTAAATTTGAATAGTGGTATGAATATTTCATATGGGAATAGCCAGGAAATGTGAATTATCAGAGTTTGAACGCTTCGTGTTAATGTGGTTTACGGGCTCGAGAGAAGTCGAATAGTCAACATCAAAAATCAAAAAACAATAAGGACGAAAATAATAATCATTAAAATCAAATAATATTTATTGAGATCTGTACAAATTATTTATGGCAACTGTTTGGATATATGATGGTTAGGGGATATTTTCACACTTTCTCAGGATTTGCCTGAAAATATTGACAAAAATTGAAGCAGCTTAAAGGTAATGATATTCAAGCACAATTATTATAGTAGATGACTTTATTCTGATTGGAATCGGATTTTAAACCCTGTGTGCTTATTGATACCATGTTCAGTTTATTATTTTCACTTCAAAATATAAGCTCTTGAATTATGTTTGGTACTAACATGTTATTTTTTAGGTCTTGATTGACGGTCCATCCACCGGTGTTGCCAGACAAGCTTTCTCTTTGACTAACTTGGTTTTGACTCCATTGACCATTGCCAAGTTCCCAAGAGGTGCTAAATCATCTGTCATTGCCAAGAAGTACGCTTCTGCTGAAATTGAAAACAAGTGGGCTGCTACTTCCTGGGCTAAGAAGATTGCTCAAAGAAATGTTAGAGCTTCTTTGTCTGACTTCGACAGATTCAAGGTTTCTGTTTTGAAGAAGGAAAGAAAATTGGCTGCTAAGAAATTATAAGCATCCCGAAATTCTATTCCATCAGCAATAAATTAAAACTATCAACCCCATTATCCCCACTTACTTTCTACTCCTCTACTTTATTGAGTTAATTTTGAGAAATTGATAAGTTATAGTCATGTGTAATATAATTTTGAGAAATTTTCACAATATATAATGCCTACGTTACTTTTTTCAAGTAAAAACAGTGTATCATAAACTGTCAAATATTTATTTATTTTGTAGATATATATGATTTTAGATATTTTCTTGGACTTCCAACATTGAGACAGCTTATAATAACTATTGAAATGATCGCACACATTCGTGCTAATCACGTCAACAGCATTAGCTTAAGGTGCCTATGCAAATACCTTTTGTATTACTGATCACGAAGTGCCGGGTATTTCAGGGTCTTCGAGTAAAATTTTCTCTAAGAATAACTAATAGCTATATTAAAAAAATAATTGAAGCAAGGGAGATAAATTGGGTCATTATAGAACATAATATTTATTTGAACTTCAGAAGCTAGCTATGACTAGCAATAAATTATAATATAAAAAGGGATAAATAGAAACCAGAAAAAACCACAAATAATACTAGGAAAATACAATACTTTCCCACATAACGAAAACAAGTTAGAAAAAAATACAGTGAAACAAAAAAAAAAAAATGATATGAACAATCGAGGGGGCGGTAGATAGATATAGTGTAGATGATGATGATGATGATAAAACACAACAAATGGTTGAAAAAGAAGAACTATTACAAAAAAAAAATGCGCTACATTTGAGTCATTCAGGCAGCAGCGCGAGCTCCAGTAGATGGACTCACTGCATCAGGGCCCAATGTTGGAGTTTTCTTCCCTTTCTTGATTCTGTAGTCTTTAACAGCGGATTTGATGGCATCTTCAGCCAACATAGAGCAATGTAACTTTACTGGTGGCAAAGACAATTCTTTGGCAATAACAGTATTCTTGATTTTCAAAGCATCATCTAAACTCTTACCCTTCAACAATTCTGTGGCAAAAGAAGAAGATGCAATGGCAGAACCACATCCAAAAGTCTTGAATTTCACATCTTCAATGATCCCGGTATCATCGTTCACCTTAATCTGTAATCTCATAACATCACCACAAGCAGGGGCACCGACAAGACCGGTACCAACACTGAGGTCATTTTTATCCATTGTACCAACGTTACGTGGGTTTTGGTAATGGTCAATGACCTTCTGGTGATAAGCACGATATTGCCCCCTTGGAAGATTATTGTGAATTCTCTTTGTTCTTGAGGCAGCAACGGCCAATGATGGAGTACTGCTAACAGCAGTAGGGACTCTGGTGAAGACTGTTCTTGCTATAGTTCTAGAAAACATTTTATAATGATGATTCAAATTGATTTGTGCTTAAGAAATCTACTACTACTATCAAGAATTTTTTTTTCTTATGGTGGGGATTGATAAGTTTTATACTGGCTTTTTTCTTGCGGAGAGAAGTGTTCAACTGGCAGGGTTAAGCACCCCTGGCAATGCGTCGCCGAATCGGAGAACGACAAAAATACCGCTTAAGTCCTATTCCCGTGTGCTCGACACACACTTGTTTTTATTCTTGATATTTTGATATATCAATAGATGTCTGGAAATTACTGGTAAAAAAAAAAAAGGTAAAGAACAAACCGATTTAAGACTCACATCAAAGAATTCCAACTCTTAAAATCCTACTGGCGGAAATTCGCTTTTTTGGTGGTTAATCCTACTGAAAATCTCCTTGGATGAGTTCGGCAATGATCTTTGATTCTTTGAGAAATTTTGGAGTTTCTTCTGCTTCAGTGTAACCATTTTAAGAGCCAGCCTTTTTCAAACAGCTCTTGTTTTTCGAGTTCAAACTTTGGTGCACTCCCATTCAGTTCAAGTTCTTCCAAGCTTTCTAATGCATTCAACTATGGTCTATAAACCATCAAAAGTGGTTTCAGTTTCCTGTAATATTAAACTTCGGTCCCTGACTTCCTCCAAGTTAATTTCCAAAGAGATTCCGCTCCTCGGTAAATCATTGTGGTTAAAACTTAAGCATATGCCGGCAACAAGTTACCATTTAAAATGTGTCGAGCACTTTATTAGTGTAATAGAGTGGTTGAATGAGCCACAAAAAACTCTTGGATTCAAAGCACACGTTGAAAGAACTTTCCACAAGACCTTGCTATATTCCCCTTGAATTGATTAAATTCGCCACCGGAAAAATCACATTCATCAAAACACTGTAAGTACAGTAACAGCTGAAGAACATTGAGTTGCTTTCTTGTTGGCATGTTGGGATGAGTTGGAATATGGTTGCATGTATACAACAGATAAAGAAAGAAATAAAAAAAAAAAGAAAAGAAATAGATTAAAAAAGAAATAAATAAAAAAAATTTGTGGAATAAAGGGAAATCAAATTGGCGGGAATCGTCTCCATTTATGCTGCTGTCACATTTTCAAAGTCACAAAAAAAATCACCTTATAAGTTACGTTAAGTTGCTTCTGGCACCACACACCTAAAAAGTGAGACACAATAGAGTATACAAATAGTATCGCTGTCACTCTTTGACGTATATACACGAATATTATTGCTAATTTCGCTCTTTTATTCACTCTGGATTAGCATTATTACGATATATTGATCAATCCCCCTCCATCCCATCCCATCCCGCCCAATCCTTCACCTGCGGTCAGTGCACGGGCTGCATAATCTCACTAAAAAAAAGAATAAAACAAACTGCAATACTTATTGTGATAGCATAGAGAGAATAACCAAAAATATTAGCATTTAACTGCAAAAATGTTCAGACTGTCTGTGACGCCAATTTCCAAGTTAGCTGGTCTCAAAAGCGCTCTGTTTTATCAAGTGGCTTCCCTTGTGCATGCTCGCAACTTCTCTAGATATCAACACTGTCTAAATAACAATAAGAATAATGTCGATCAAAAACATTTGGAACAATTTAAACAGCAATTGCGATCTGAGCTAGCTCAGGAGCAATCCTCTTCTAGAGTTTCACAGGATCAGAACCCCGAAACAGAGAAGAAGTCCCTTCACGTATGTTATACTATTCTATGATATTTATTCTATCGTACCACAGGAAATACTAACTTCTTTTCCTCTTGTGTCGTACAGACTGCTTTTTATAGACAGGTAGGATCACCATTCGCTAAAGTTGTGGCATTAACGTTCGTTACCTTCTACTCTCTAAGATTTTTGTGGGAATACTTAGATGCCACTGATGACGAGACCATAGGAAAAAAAAGAGCAGAAAATCTATCTCACGCTGGAGAAACCAAACAATAATACGAAATGGAGAAGTCTATTTTATACCTCAAAAAGAATCAAAGAATGGACTCCCCTTTTTTATTTCAATACTGTTAAAAATACAATGTAAATAAGCAATATATTAGTTCGAATATATACACATATATATATATATATATTTGTAGTGGCTAAATCATTCAAAATGATTCTATGTGGGACTCATTGGAAGGCAATCAAGAAACCATGTGTTTCAATCTCAGACTGTGTCATCATATAACTTGGATGTCTTTTGTCTTTCTCATGTTGGAAGTCATTAGGGCTATGAATGCACATGCAATCAACTCATGTGTTTTTGTATCATGTGATCGTTTATAGGGCACAAGTGACTTTATCTTATGAAGTCACCTGCTACTATTTCACGTGACTGTGTAATTTTTTGGAGAATCAGTGAGTGTCGGATTGTGTGTGTGCGAAAAAAAATATCTTCAAGAGTTAGTTAATAGCACTAGCATTAGAGGTTTGAAACATATCCAAAAGTACTTAAATAACAGTATTGTAAGTAGTGGAATGATCTGTTATGATATAATATTGATGCTACTGTGTTAATGCGACTTAGATTATTATGAATATGAGTGCCCAAATTTTAATTCATGTGAAAGATTGTGGATAATTATGGTGACTGGATAATTTTTGAAATTGTGAATTTTAAAAGGTGAAACGATCGCAAACGAAAGAATATGTACTACCTTTATGATATTAGAATTGAAATTTTAAGAGATTTATGAGTTACGAAATGATACTATGCTCCCTGATAAATTCTAAAATTAAAATGATAGAACGGCTATTTGATCTTGGACAATCGTGAGAATTATGGTTATCGAATAACAAAGCAATTGGATAGTTGGATGTTTTTGTTTGGCGGAATGAATTTTAAATAAAGCAACGAATCATGCGTAATAATCAAATGAATTATATAACTAATTTGGAAGAAATGGGAAATGCTTTGTCACCAATCTAAGCCTTCTTGATTAAACAGTTGTATCTTATTGAAGCACAGAAAGATACACAAATCTCACAACCACAAATTACTAACTTATAATCTAGCAATATGGCTCACGAAAAAGTTTGGTTCTCCCACCCAAGAAACTACGGTAAAGGCTCTAGACAATGTCGTGTCTGTTCCTCCCACTCTGGTTTGATCAGAAAGTACGATCTTAACATCTGTCGTCAATGTTTCAGAGAAAAGGCTAAGGACATTGGTTTCAACAAGTTGCGTTAAGTTCATCAAGCTCAATATTTTTTTGTACCAATAAACTAAATGCTGCCCTTTTTTTCTGAACACAAAAAAACCAATCAATGATGAAATGTGTTTCAATTCAATGGTTATTATTTAATCTTCTTTCGTCTCTTGATTATAATTTAGATGATGCTATCGAGTGCCATTCTATTATTATTTGTGGTCGGTTTAAATATAACTTTCTTTTGTCATTAAATTATCATTTTTTATTTTTAATTGTACATGTAATTTGTCTTTTGTGTAATTGAGTTCGCTGTGGATCCTCCTTTTTTTCAACTCTATTTTCATTTTACTTTTGTCACATATGATTGTTTGCAACACAAGAATGATTCTGAGAAATGTGGGACTTGCAGGACCAAAAAAAGAAAAACGGCAGAAGCTCAACATGCAATGAACGAGTTTACGAATCTTAGAGCTTGGTAATACTGTTCGCAATTCATTGACGAGCCTACAATCAATCAGGATACACAATATACAATGCAGACTTGTGCGTATATAAACAACTCATACTTTATTGCGGGGGTAGCCATTATTTCTAAACAAAAATAATATTGGTACCGAACGTAATCCTGTTAAAAATATTATGATAGTAATCAGTAAAGATAAATACCTCTAATTAAATGGAATCAACAAAGGAAAAAGTTGTTTTTTATTAATGGGCATTGTAAGATCATTCAGCATCTCTACTTGTTATCATTCTCTTCTATATCAATGAGGGAATTGCAACTACAAAGTAAAAAAAGAAAGAGAGAAAATAAATTCAAACTCCATAAACCATAACTGGTGAATAAATAATAAAGAAACGTTTAATTAAATTATTATCTCCCACGTGTATATGATTTTGCTGTTTTTTGAGCTCCAGATTTTCCAATCTGCTAGGATCAAATATTAGCGGAATAAATTCTGTATGATCCGTTTGCATTTGAAAGACATAAAATGTCATGTTTGAAGCCAGTAAATATTGTTCCATAAGTAAGTCTTTTTATCTCCAAAAATTAAATGGAAACAGTTTTTTCAAGAATAGATAACATTAAACAAGATGTAAAAAAAAAGATTCACTCAATCCACAATTTATTTATAAAGAAGAAAGAAAATATTGAATTATCTATTATACTAACGGCGCTCGGAAGACAGTTTACTTTCTTATATTAATAAATGAGCTAAAAAAGAACAGTATGTACTGAAAGGGGTATCACCCTTTTTTATACTTAATTTTTTCAATGGTCAGTTGGTGAATTACATTGCTACTTCTAATCATTGGTTGATTTTCCAAGATCGCACCGTTTACCAAAAAACGCGTAATCTTCAATTTCAAAGTGAAAGAAAAAACAAAGTAGAAAAATAAATTAGAGAAAAAATATTCTGAAATTGTATATATTATAGATTTGGTAAAAAGGAAATGATCTGTTTGAATAGAAATAGCCACCCAAAAAACATAAATAAGTGACGAATACAAAATTTCCCGACAAAAAGTGAAAGATATCATTATCCAAACAGTGCCACGGAAATGAAAGAACATCTCAAAATACCACAACACTGTGTGAAGTAGGTATAGATAAATTAGACTTAGAAATTTTAGAGGAAGGGATGAATAATTCCAATTTAATAAGAGCTAGATATGAGACTATAGAGTATAGATAATGAAAGTTGAGAAAGTAACTGACAAACCTTTCCAAGATTCCAAGGAATATCTACTGACAACAAAATCGGACAGGAATGAATGAATCTGTGTTTGAGTAGTTTGTTCATTTACCATAGTTGTTGAGATGAACACCAGTTTGCAGCTAGCAAAAAATAATGGGATTTTAATTTCTTGGAAACACAAAACTCTATGACACAAAGAAAACATTGGCTATTTGTAATTTCAGAATCAGTGAGCGCCATTTAGTAAATCATTTGTTATCTATTAACGGTTACTGCTCATTAAAATTTTGAAAATCGAGAAATCTCTGTAGTTATATTGAAAAATACAAAATCCATTTTTCAACACCCTAAAGCGGTGTCATAGTTAATTTGAACTATACTTCAATATCTCATAATTTTCACATGGATGTGTTCATATGATTTGATACAAGGCCAATCTTACATTGTTATTGCTTATTTTGATAGCCTTTCAAGCAATCGACCTGTTATTTAAAAGGGTTGGGTACATTTCTTTCTCTTCAGCAATATTGCTCATGCCTGGATCTGGATTCGGTAGATTTTTTTTTTTTTCTTTTGAAAAATAGATTAGTAAAATGGTAGTCGCCAATACAAAGAAATAAACCTCTAACTAAATAAATTACGAAAAATGAAAGAACATTAGTCTATTCTAAAATAATCAAATAAAACCAAATGCGTTACTAATAGGAAAATGCAAACGTGGAAAGAAAAAGAAACAAAAAAAAAAGACATCAGTAGATTACTGATCTATCAAAGAATCTGAGGTAAATAATAATGCAACTCAAAGGTCACTGGGATATAAGCAGAAAAAAAGAGATAATATAAAAGGACGAAGGACAAAAATAGAAAATGCCCTTTAGAGTTTTGAGTCCAAATCACCATCATCATTGGTTCTATAGCTCTTATAATACTCAATATCCATAAGTGGTCTACCAGAGGCAGATAATGAGAAGCCACTCTTAAATTCTCCAACATTTGTAATTAGCTTACCTTCTGGGAAATTAGCAGGAAAATCAGAACCGTCGACTAATTTCTTTTCATTTTTGCCCTTGAGATGGACGATTAACCTTTTAGAGGTTGAATCATTCAAAATGTATTTATCAAAGACATCAATAATATCTTGTTTGGTAAGGTTTTCCAAATTATCCAATTTCAACTTGTTGGCATTAAACTGATACATCCCGCCGTAAATTTTTCCTGAATAAGCGTAAAATTCTTCATTTAAATTTTTGAATTTCAAGCTATGCTCCAAGGAGTTTCTCAACGAGTCAATGGTCTTTTTGAATTCTTCATCACTCATATTATGAACCATATCCTTGAGTCCATTATTGATAAAATGCTTGATTCTAGACTCTAAGTAATAAGTCGATTTAACGCTGCTCTGCACCAACACTCTGAACCCATAGACAGTTCTTGAAATTTGTGGGGAAGCAAAAACGATGTAACCTAGCTGTTCTTTGGTACGCAATTGATCAAAGAAGGGTTCTCTAAGAAAACTTTTTAAGGCAGAAAAAGCCAATAAGGCTTTACCGGGAGAAATATCGTTAGATGGTTGTTTTAAAGCACCAGTAGCAGTGGAACGAGAATCCGGGTATTGCAAATCAAAAAGCATTGGGTAGACTTCTCCAACCTGGAAATAGTAGAATATACAGGAATTCGAGTTTTCAGCATCAATTTCATACCTGTTCACTAAACCTTCATCCAATTTAATAGTTCTGCTAACATTACTTAAATTCTGGGCTGCGGACACATTTCTAAAATTAACTTTCTCATTTTCCAAGAAATATTCCTTGATGGTATTAATGAAGCTTGGAATAACTAACTTTTCATTGAAATTACCAAGAATCAAGGAAGTAACATAGGCATGCTTCAAGAATGTTTTCAAGTAATTATTGAAAGTTTCAAAATTCACATAGTCATGAATAACTTCACCCGTTTTCCTATCAACAAGATACTCCAATTTGATATCAGAATGATAAACATCTTCATGTACCAAAATTTGATAATGAGAGTCAATTTGAGAGTATGGATTGATATGTTTAAAATTCTTGTATCTTTTGATAAGCTGGTTTTTGATCAAATTAAATTTGTCAGCGTTGTTGAAGTCGGTATCACTAGTTAATAAATCAATGAAGTCAACAAAGAATTGCTTTAGCAACACCAAAAGCTTGTCAGTGTATCCGCTAATGAAAATTTCGTAACCCTTGGAGGTTGAGTACATTTCCACTCTCAATCCTACCAAGGAAGCTTGATAGGAAATATCATTTAACTTCAAATTCAATAGCTCTTTGAAGATTGTCATCATAATAACATTAATTGGAGTACCAACAGCATTAGGCAATTGCAAAAAAATGGCGATGGATCCCTTTGGAGTATAAAATCTATCATCTTTCTTGAACCAAATTTCCATTTTAGAATCCTTAGAAACTAACAAGGGTCTACTTTTAGGCTTCTGAGACTTCTCATTTTGGATTTTGAAATCTTCTGGAATGAAAGGATTAGGCAAAGGTGGTAAATGGAAAGCTTCTTCAGATCCGACTTCCCATAATGATTTAATAAGTTGATCATCAATAATTTCAGTCGAATATTTGGTACCATACCATGGGTCAGTTGCTGACAAGTCAGATTCAACGAATGAATGATTAATGTTATAAAGCAAGAAGTTGTCCGGTCTAAGATGACCCAAAATTTCCTTAATCGAGGCAAAATTATATTCTTTGTTGAAAAAGTAAAAGTAACTTAAATATTTATGCTTTTCATTATCTTTTAAGAATTTGCTTTGCATGGTATGCGTATACCCAGACACAGTATTCATCACTTGCCCACTTTTTTCCTTGAATTTAAATTGAATTTTTGTGATATCAACCAACTCTTGATAGACTTGATAATAGTCAGATTCATCAAGCGTCTTTAAATGATTAATGAATTCAAAAACCTTGGCTATAATATTATTAATGTTCTGGTAGCCTTCATCAGTGAGATCAACCTCAATTTCAAATAAAGAGTTTCTGTCACAGACCATCCTAAAGGAGGATGACAACCCAGTCGCCCAGTTCTTAGTAATCTTGAAATAATATAACAAGGAACCTTTGGATTCATGACCTACAAGGTGGCTAATATAAGCGCCAGGCTTGAGATGGAAGCTTTTTTCCTCATCTAAGGGAACAAAAAAAGTAAAACGAAGGCTCTTAACATTCTTCACCGGTTTAACCTTGATAAGCTTTGACAATTGGCTGGAAGTCAAGTAACTCATATCTTTAGATTCTTTGTTAAGTTGATCCAAGTTGACTTTGCGATCTTCAATTTCTGAGAAATATTCAGCAGCAAAATTGGATAAATCATCTAAGGAATGCTGACTAATAATACATAATTTCATAATATTAGAAGAGTAGTGTGTCTTATACCAATTTAGTAATTCATCTCTTGGATTAATACCAATTTTTCCAGGCTGAACTCGTAAAGTTTCCAAGTTACCAGTAGAAAAATTGGTATGAGGATGTTCAGGATTGGCCACAAGTTTACCAAGTTGGTGCATTCTCCAAATGTCATTTTCCACATTTTTATCGTGTTCAGAGTTGATGGCGTTAATTTCTCTTTCCTGACCGTCTTTGCTAAACAAAGGATTGATGAAAAACTGCGAGAATCTATCCAACGCACCATTTAAATGCTTCCAGTCGACTTCAAAATAATAGTTTGTACTGTTAGAGGCGGTGAATGCATTAGATCTTCCGGAGTGTTCTGCCAAATATTCTTGATATTCATTCTCCTTTGGAAACTTTGATGTCCCCATAAACAACAAATGTTCACAAAAATGGGCCAAACCCGGCAAGTTTTTTGGGTCATGGACTGAACCCACATTAACATCTATAGCAGCAGCAGCCTTTTCTGAAGTAGAGTCGTGGATTAAGAGTGCCTCTAAGTTGTTTGGCAAGCGGATGACACGGTATTGTCTATCATCCAAATCTGATTTGACAAATTCCTTGTCCTCTGCAATAACCTTATAAGAGAAAGTATTAGTAGCGGTAGACATGGCAGCAGAGAAGTACAGCGGCAAGCGAGGGCAGAGTAAAGAGCCCGCAACAGGAAAGTGGTGGTACCTGAAAAGCAGAAACAGTTTGAAAGACAGGAATCGCACTGTTTTGGTGGCAACCTCGTGGTTTGAGTTAACCGCGGTGATGATGTGTGGAGCCTTTTTCTTTTTGCGGTGGGGCCAGTCTTACCTGACAGAGTGCGCAAAGACTGTGCTGCTGAGCTGAGCTGAGCTGTGCCGAGCTGTGCTTCACTATACTTGTTTACGAAGAGACGGATTTAACCTTGCGGGTAGCAGAGTTCTTCGATAGCCCACCTTCAACATACGGTACCCAGGCATTAGTTAAAGTCCATATTATATTCCTACCTCTGTTTTTCCTAATATTACAGAGGGTAAGATTTTTCTACATGCCGCGATATAAGAAACACACCTCATGTAAACTATGGAGCTATAAAATATAAACTTCAACAATCTCCAATAGAATCTGGTAGGAAAGCCTCAATAAGCTTATCCCCATTTATTATTCCATCCGTGAGTATCACAAATCGTTTGTTAATCCCCTTGTTTTGCAATTTTTTCTCTATATACCGAAGTGTTGCAACTTCACCATATGTTATACCTCCAATAAAGACAATGAAACACAACGACTGTTCATCATTAGTAGGTTTTGTGCCAGAAATGCCTTTGGCATTGGGTAGATTTCCCGGCTTGTCAGAGTAGTAGCTGGTTTCCAATTGATCTCCTGCAATAAATTTCCATAATTCATCAATCCCTTTCCAACTAGGAGTAGAACTCAAATATCTAGAGTGTGACTTTGTCAAATAAGTTGAAAGGGAAGAATTCATGAAGCTTCTATCGTAAGCGGATTGAATAATTCTCGTAGTTATAGGAACAAAATTAGGATAAGCAAATGAAGCGTCGTGTGGATTCTCAGGGTCAGGCTGAGAATTGGAAATGTTTTGAGAATTCTGTATATCACTGTCATATTCCGACGGGATCAAGTTCAAATAGTTCTTGATACTAGAAAAATCTTTAATGTATGAGACAACAAACTCGGCATCATCACCATTGTTCTTAGCTTTCGAAACATCATCAGAACCAGCTGACGCAAGAGGCAATAAGTATGAAATAGATTCCTTGACATAAAATAGCTTCATTTTATTCAAATTCTGCAAAGTAATCAAATGCCTAATACCGTAATTGGTGATGATTTCATTTTTCAACAAGTGATAATATTTCTCAGGTATTCCTTTATTGACTTTTGATAATAAACAACAAAGCTTAAGGGTTCTGTTCAAGTCCGAATTATACTCATAGATCAAATTAATAATTGAATCCACAGATTTTTTTAAATCATAGTAGCCGTCGAGGATGCTTTGTTGTAACTCTAGTGTTTTTGGGAAAAGATTATCACTATCTTCATCTTCATCTTCATCTATCACTTGCAATCCATCATCAATAGTGGGGCTTTTACCTTTAACTTTAACTAATATATTCTCTGCCAACAAGGTATGACTCTTTAAATTAAACTGGCTTTTCTGTAACGTTGACAATTTACCCACAAATTCTTTGACTTGTGAAATCTTCTTAAAGTTATGGCGAGAATCTAATTCTTCTTGCAAAGCTTTCGCATACTTATTTAATACTGGGCCCACTGCTGCGAAATTCAAATCTTTGATTTTTTGAAAGATTTCATCATTTTGGAAATCAAAATTCATTTGCTTGATCTGCTTGGGATGCATTTTGGTGTGTGCAGGGGAAGGCTGGGAGCTCTGGGTATCAACCTCTTCAGCATTAGAGACTGTAGTTTTAGGGGCTTCATCTTCAGAAAAAATAGATTCATTGGCTAGATTTACCACGTTAGCTTCAAAATCATATAGTTCATCCACCAACCCTAAGTAAGTTAGTTGACTGAGAAGTGGAGTAACAAAATCCAATCCTCTCTCTAGAACTATCAAATCACTGAACTGGCTCTCAATATTCGTTGAACCACTTCCCTTTTTAGATATATTGATGTTTAAGATACTAGCTTTTTCAAGCATTTCATTTTCCCTCCTTTGAATTGGATTCAATGAGCTGAGATATTCGTTTTTCAAATTGGTAAATATTTCATAAAATTTCACTGATTTATTACCCTTTAACAAAATATTGTTAAATTTCAATAATGTAGGAAATAAATTAACCAAATTTAAAAGACTAGACGCCATCATAGACATAGGTTCATTGAGATTATCCAAATATAACGTTTTAATTAATTTCAGGTCTAGGTCCAACGACAATAAATCATGGTCCAATACTGATGCTTTCAAGTCCCAAGAGTGCAATTGAATGTCACCTTTGATTCCCAATTGCTCTAATCTGAACTCAAAACCACTGGATACCTCATTAGTGATGATCCCATTAAATTTGAATTTCGGATTTACAGAGTACAATTGTTTGATCCTTCTGTCTATCAACTCGGTGTTGGCAATACCATTCTCGCACAAAATGACGAAACTGTTGATATTCAGAATGTTGCTAGCTATTATATTAGTGTTGATGTCATCCTCTAACCACAAGGCACTCATAATCTTTCCTTTTTCTTTCAAAACATTGAACGGAGTCAAAAGATTTAGCTTGTTCGATAAGTCTCTCTGTAGCACTAGGACATGATTATTTCCAGATATGGAATTGAGGATCCCCAACAACTCATTCAAGCATATTTGGGGGATCTGGAGGGGATCAAACAGTAGAGGAGATAACTGAACCATACTTTCAGCTTGATGTATTCAATAATCCTATCTCCAACTGTCAAGAAATCATTATTGTTCAAGATTCAGGTAATCATTCCAAACGTGTTTGTGTTTTTTTGATATCACTGGCGGCACATGACTTTTTGAGGAAACATGTTGATTAACACCGCATGGCATAGTGATCATTTCCTATTTAATCTCCAATTTCAAAATCAAACAAGCGACTGTTAATTACCATTCATAGGATGAATTTTTCATACAAATTACTCTTATAGTATTTTTTTTTTTTTTTTTTAACTTATTCTGTGGATTGAATTTAACACATTGACTATACGGCTCGAAAGCCTTTTTTTTCGGATGATGTAGCAAACGCACAAGGCACTTTTAATAAAATAAAAGTTATTGATTATTTCTAAATGTGGACTATTATCGTGGGCTTGTCAATTTCTTTTCTTTAATACAATCTAAGATCAGCACATTGTGTTTCTGCTGTATTAAAAACGTGCTCATGCCATGCGACTCTATTCAAAAGGCGTTAATCATTCAGTATGCATGAACAAGAATGACGGTATGTGCTATAAAAAGCAGAGGATATCCATTCCTTCATCTATATTGTTTTTTAAAATTGCCAATATTTTAATCTATTTCAAAAGCATTTTACCGCTCCATTTTTTAATATAAAGTGACTCAACATGAAGAAGTGCTCCATTATTCCTTTCCTTTTAACTGCCGTTGCTGCCGGCCCAATTGTCACTCCAGCATGGCAAAATCACATGGATTTGTTTACTACACCATCAGCTTGTAACCTGTCCCAAGAACTTATGTCTTGCTCTTTTGGTAACTCTTCAAATGTTGACACTTGTTGCGTTGAAAATCCAGGTGGTGTGGTGCTTTTCACCCAACTTTGGAACAGTGATGTTGTGAACAGTCCTACACATCAATGGACAATGCACGGTAGTTGGCCAGATAATTGTGATGGTACATACGGCTCTTTCTGTAACTTTGAAAACACTGAAGTTGACTCTGTTGAAGAGGTTCTTAAGAGCAAAGGTGAATATGAATTGATCAGTTACATGAATAACTTCTGGTTGAATGATAATGGTACCAATGACGCGTTCTGGTCTCACGAATTCAACAAACATGCTACTTGTATGTCCACTATCAGACCAAGTTGTTACGATAATTATACTGAAGGTCAAAATGTTGTTGACTTCGTTAAGATGAGTATCAGACAATATCATGAATTACCAACTTTCACCTGGTTGGCTGACGCCGGGATTGTTCCTTCCTACAGCCAAACTTACAAGGCAGAAGACATTCAAGCTGCTTTGGATAAAGCCTTTGGGTACAAGGTATTTGTTGGCTGCACCAATGGTACCATTTTAGATGAAGTTTGGTACTACCATCAAGCCCAAGGTTCATTGTTGCGTCAAAATTTTGTCAAAATTGATACAACTTATGCCAGTACCTGTAAAGGTGATGTTCAATATTTACCAAAACAAGGTAAATCTTTTGTTCTTTGGTAGTTACAATACCTAACTTCAATGTTTTTTTCTCTCTCGTTCTTCTCGTTCTTCTTCTTAAGGTTTTCAAGTTCTTTCATTATCAATTAGTGCCCAGTAACTTAATTCAATAGTATAACACAATATTCTACTTTGTAAACAATCTGAAAAAGCTTCACAGAAAAGAAATATATACAGAATACACACAAATATATATGTATATGAATTTTAATAAACGATGTTGGCTATAGTACAATTTTATATTTTAATAGCAATTCATCAAAATGCCATCTTACTCCTCATAATGCTCCTTCATATAATGTTCCAGTCCATTTCTTCTCGATTCATCTTGTTTCTTTTTTTCAGATAATCTAGCCTCTTTTTTCAATCTCTTGTTCTCCTTCTTCTCCATCATTTCATATCTCTTGAATAAATCATGATATTTTTCCCATTGACTTCCTTTAACACCTTTTGCCTCATCACCAGCCAATAAAACTATTTTGGTTTTGCAACCATGTGCCCAACTATCACCTTTTTGTGCTTTTCTAGCATCATGGTAAATGTCCTTACCCATGGATCTTGGAACTATCCATTTTTCAACATTACCTCCAACGGTAATCACAAGGAAAATGACATGCCCTTTGCGCTTCAATGGAGGCTTAACAATTCTGGCCCACTGGGAAGAGTCCCCAGAAACTTTATCATCAAGGCGATCCAATTCAGAGTCAATAATTTTTTGCTTCAAATTTGTATCTCCAGATTCTTCAGCTTCCTTAATACGCCCAGTAACTTCATTGACTCTATCACGTTCAGCCTCAATTTTAGATATGGTCTTGCGGTCCATTCTGGATCTTTTCATAACTAAGTAATTAAAGTTCACACTTTCATAGTTCTTACCATTTGGTCTTCCGCTACCGGCACCAACAGCGCCCTTAGCAGCTTTACCGGACTTCTCACTTTCCCATTTTCCTGATAATATTGATCCGCTTTTGAATTCTAGAGCATATTTAGGTCTGGAAACAGAAACACCAAATGTTAGGAAATTTAAGTTGGAGCCCTTAGGATAATCATAATACTTTGGATTATGCATCTGGAAAGGACATTTCAAATGATGAGGATATGGAGCAACGACAGACAAATAGAAATCTGAGTGGGCTGCAGGAAGCGATCCATCAGTTTTGATTTCAACGAGATCAAAATTGTCTGCAATTCCTTTTCCAAACTCTAGATCCTCTTCTTGAACTTCCCCAAATTTTTCGTTCAATTGCTCGCTGAGTTTTGAATCTTCTTCAGAAATTTCGTATAAGTGTTGGTTTCTTTGAGGCTTGATAGAAGACCCACGGATCCAAGGTCTTGGAATCTTACCATATTCGTAAGGCGAATAGTTTTCAGGACGGATCATGATTTGTCTGGCTCTAGCGATAGATTCAAAACCTAATGGATTACCTCTTTCAATAATTAGCAAATGTCCATCAGGCTCCAAAACTGATAACAATTCTTGAATAGTATCATCAATTCCATAAGGGAAACGAGTGGAATCTTTGAGGAGCTGATGAGTGGCAATAATCAAATCATACCGACGAGAGCTGCTGATTGAATCTATAAATTTGGTGCGAATCTTGAGTCTATTAGTGTCTACTGGTCCAATATTATCTTCTTCATCAGCATATCTTTCTCTTCTTTTCCTCTCTCTTTTGTTGAATTTTGAATCTTCGTCATTTGCATATTCATCAACATCTTCCGGTACTGACTCTTCTTTGGTTAACTCCCTTTGCTGCTCAGGGGATAATTTATCTATAGCGATCTCATTAAGCTGTCTACTTAGCAAGATTTTAGCCCTATCCTTCATTTCTTTCACTCCCTTGCTGTTTCCAACAATAAAGGAATGTTTGACTTCTGGGTAGTATTGATCTCCCAATAGTTCATTCAATGCTAATATACCAGTAGATGGCCCGTAACCTACATCTAGGACTTTGATAGGATTGAACTCTTTACCGTCTTGTTCAACCTTGCTTTTAAGTTCCGATAAAACTTGATAAGCAGAGGCGTAGTTCTGCAAAAACACCGTTGCAATATGAGTATCCACTTCATGCCTGGTTCTTGGAATAACATGTAATCCAGTTTCACTCATTTCTATAAACATTTTGGCAGCAGTCTGTCTTATAACGTTGATATGGGGGTAAGTTTTAATAATATTGTTTCTAATGGTTTTGGAAATTTCATGGGGTAGCTGTACTTGGTTAGAGTTGAACTTTCCCATTAATGTTTGAGGTAAATATCGTGATTCAAAAGTCTCCGACTCTCCATCTTGAGAGGAATACTTTCCTTGTAACAAGTCTTCACGATCAATAACTCTGATCTTTTTTGGAGACTCGACATTAGATTGCGATTCTGAACGAACTAACATCCCATAAGTTTCTGCGTCGGCGAGAACACCAAAAGCTGATAGACTAGACAGTTGACCCTGTATATCTTCAGGAGAAATATCTTTCAAAGCACCATATAGAGAGTTGCTATCATTAGCTGGATGTAAATCAAGTTTATTGTCAGTTCTGTTGGAAGCTGGCTGTTCATCGCTTGTCCTCGAAGTTGAATTACATCGCCTAAGTTGCAAAGACAGTCTCCCTCTGGCAGATTTCAATAGAGTGATTCTGATTGTGGAGCGAAGCATATTGTAAGTCGGGAGGTGAATCAACAAACAGGTAGGGGACCGTCTTGGGTGGCGGGCGTGCTTGATGAGATCAACAAAATGTATTTTTCCGCGAAAATTTTCATGCGATGAACCTACGTTACATTTGAGAAAAAAAAGAAAAAAGCGTTCACAATGTAACGCTAAATCACATCCCAGATAATAAATATTTTATTGTATTACAAAAAATAAAAAATAAATAAATGAACAGACAAACAAAAACAACAACCACACACTAAATAATAATAAAACAACTAAAAGTAAACGATGTAGATATAAGTAATTCTATCGATAAACTAATAGAATAGTTAGTCACCAATAGCCCATCATCTATGAGCTTCTGAACTAGAATAACATCCACAAACCACCACCACATACAATACCCAACACCGCAGTTGTCAATACTGCTGCTCCAGCTTTATCCTTGGTAGTGATTGTCAAATCATTTTGCGCAAGCTCTTTAGTGGTATCTGTCCCAGCATTGGCATTACCTTCAGATGTTCCACCCGTGGAATTACTTAATGGGACTGCACTACTAGTAGTTGAGTTTGAATCATTACTAGGCTTGTTAGCAGTCACCAACAAGCTAGTCAAAATCTCCATTGCCGATAGTTGCTGACCCAATCCTGTATTACCATCATAAGAACCCTGAGTCCACTTCACACCACATGCATTTGTTCTACCAGTAGATGAATCGGTTCCACTACATGATGCCATTGCACCTTTAGCAGAAGCTTCAATTAATGGTCGAATTGTATCGTAAGTGTCCGGCACTAGGATGGCAGTTTGAGACAAGAATCTGGAAAACACCGACTTGAAGGATTTTTGATCATTATCACAAGTTCCTGAGCTCTCGCACGCTCTTTCATACATAATACTATTGTTGAAGAAATTACTCTCAATTGTGGTGAGTAAGCCTTGAATATGAGTTAGCCAAGTAGCATTACCTGTGTATGAGTAAAGATATGCACAACCAGATATTAACAAGCCATAGTTATATGTCCACTCATATTCTGTCATTGTTTTGCAGGAACTTTCAATTGTTGTACCATCGTAAACACTATATGTACTACCAGAGATGCTAATTAAGCCAACATCCATGAGCCAATCCCAGACTTGGGTTGCCCAATCAACGTATGTATCATTACTGGTATATCTTGCCAATCTTGCAGATAAGTGGAAGAGACATCCGTTGGAAACGGTGTTCTTATAATTGTAACCGTTGTTCCAAGTGAAGATTTGCCATCTGAGACCACCATTACAATCGGCGCTGTCCCATCTTGCGATCATTGTGTTCACAACAGCCTGAGTCAAGGCCAACCAGCCAGCTGTGCCACTAGGAGGGTTGGTGAAATTACGTTCGGCAGCTTCCATTGCTGCAATACCCCAAAAACCTTGATCGTCATTACCTTCAGCGGTGGATTGATTCGAAGGAATATAATCGCTATTGTCACCCTTTTGGTACAATAAAGCATCATAAGTTAATGATTCCCAAGTGTCATTGTTGCAAAAATACACGACGTCAACCAATCCTCCCCAGGCTTCACCTGCCTCCCACCAGTAATATGGATATACAAACTCTCCGATGACACCACCAGGTCTATAACCATCGTAGTAACTGATAACACCCTGTACCACTGTTGTCAAGGCATTGCAAATAGATGTTTCAGAGGTAATGTCAACATCTAATGAGCTGGCAAGTAATGATAAAGATAGAAGCAGAAACAATTTCAAGAACTTCATCGTGTGCTATGTATGCCTGATGCTATATTATTTTCCTTGATAAAAAAATCTTATTGAAGTGGGATTTTTAGTATTACGTCTTCCAGTTCTATTATCACCTCTCTTGCTTTCCTCTCTTTTTCTTCTTCAAACAGTGTTGGTGCCTGCTATGACAAGTATTTCAAAATGATCCAATGTCCAAGTCCAGTGGTAACTGACACTTCGCCTACTAATCACTAAAGCAGAGGGTGCTGTGGGAATGTCCGGGCAACTATTGATAAAAAAGGAGATAGTACGTCTAAGTGCGTATAAATGCATGATGTGGTGGTTACTGAGCCCCCGTACCGTCGAGCCCTCGTTGCCGGTGGGATTCTCTCTCCGTTTCACTATAAATTGGAGGAAAAATTTTTTTTTTTCACACTTTGTCCCTCTCTTGCTCTTTTTTCTTTTCTTTGAATCAATTTTACCGGAAATATTTGCCACGGTGGGAAGATTTGATCTTAGCCGTCTTCTCATTGCCATATTTCATTCTTTTGAATATGTTCATTTCCTAGATTAAGTTACGCAATGTCCTCGATAGGAAGTTTGGGTTAGAAGTCTTACCTAATTGAAATCTGAATGTCGATGAAAGGATACAGAAATTTTCTACTAGTAGCGCTTTTTTGTTTTTCTCTATTCAAGTGTATTTTTTGTTTTTCTCTATTTAAGTGTAATTTTTGTTTTTCTGTAATATTTGATCATTTATATCAAATCGTTATTGGAAGCCACAGTTATGTCACCGAATGAGTCTGCTTGAATAGAATCACGTACTCTTCGTTAGGCGGCGAATCACTGGCCAAGGCATAACCATTCTTTCTATACCAATTGAAGGCCCTTTGGTTCTGTATGAAAACCGTTAACTCAACACCCTTACAATTGTGTGCTTTCAAAGTAGGCAGCACCGATAATTTATCAATGCCGAGTAGAAAGCGAGTGCCTAATGATTGATTTTGCAACTCTGATGAAAGATGTATCTCAAAGAGATAAACAACCTTCCCTAAGCTGGGATCTCCAAGAATCAAATCACTGAATTGGAGAGATATAAAAGCATTTATTTCAGTGTCTTCATCAAGGGAATCGCTAGTTGAATAAAGGATGTATACCAATGGTTCCTCTTTGAACTCATCTAGTTTCTCCAATTTCCATCCTCTACCTTTGATACCCCTATAAAGATTGCCTATCCCATCATCAACTAACAGCAACATTCTAAAATGAATATTCTTGTTGACGGCCAATGGAAGAGAGTTTAACTGTTCATTGTTGATAATGTGACGATATAACTGTGTATTATTGTTGATTTTTGAAGGAAATATTTCATCTAGAAGGCCTGGGAGAATTTCTTTAGTGAACTCCGCGTCCTCTGGACTGATGGACATTTCACTTCTGGGTGTATAAACCAAACGCAATTAAGTCAAAGAAATTAAATCAAAGAAATTAAATCAAAGAAATTAAATTAAGAAAAACCAGATAAAAATTTAATCCAGCTTGTATCTATTGAAGAGAGTGGCACGTTGAAAGATCAAAAAATAATAATTAAAAAAAAAAAAAAAAAAAAAAATAGAAAATACTTTTTTTTACAAAGATTTTCGTGTAGCCTCAACAATAATCGAAATTGTAAGACAAAAATCAATCATAACATCAAGATAATTGCCATTTCAATTTCTACTCTTGAAAAGAAAGCAGAAACAATTCGTTTGTAATTAATATATCAAAGTAATCCAAGTTGTCTCCTCTCGTTAGAACAAAGTTCCACAGCCACATCTATTATGTCCTCGTTACAGTGATAATCAATCATTAAAATGAATAACTTAGAGGTATCCAGTTCTGATGTGGAAGAATTGGGGCTATCGATTCAAGATATAGACTATGGTTTGTTGGTTCAGCAAATCCGCAGATATGTGGTGAATGGTGCAATTAACGGCCAGGATGATATCGATGGGAAGCTTGCGACCGAAATTATGGATAAGTTAAAGATGAATAACTATGATAATGATTTGAGGGAGATGATTCTGAAGGCAATTGAGGAAGTTAGTAAAAGAAGATCACTTGAGGGAAATGGTACCACAAAGAATACAGAAGCTGGGCATTCGGGATCACTAAGGATTGATCTATCGGTAATGGATACAATAGAGAGTGGCAGCCATACAACGCCAATCCTTGATTTTCCAAATGTATCGTATTTTGAAAACGATCAAGACTTAACCATAAATTTGAGTGATGATCTACTAGAGCTGTGCCCTTATACCCCAATTCCCGAGAAGCTGGATGACGCGCCAATTGCTTCCTTAAACAAAGCTAATGTGGGAAAGGTGATTGGAACCCAAACAAAAAATCCAGATAGTTTAGTTGCTGCTGAGAGTGTTATTGAAGAACCTATCAATGTAGCGGCCTGGGAAAAACGTCCTCATAGTTCGATACTAAGTGATCCTGGCAACTTCGCTCCCCCTAGGAGGCATCTTCGTCCACGAACATTGAAACAAATGAAACCATATTCTGTTGACAGATTTGAACATCAAGCACAAATCCAAGGGGATGCAAAAAGAGCTATGCTAATTGAAAATGCCGCTGCAGAACAAGACATGGAATTATTGGAAACTCTAAAACGTGCCGACCGAGAAATCAGGGAAAGAAGAATGATGGAAGCCATTGAGAGAGAGAAGAAGAGAGAAGAGAAAGAAAACCGAATGATGTTGAAGAATTTAGAGGCAAGAAATAAAAAGCAGGACAAAAAAAAACACAAACATATTAACAACAAAATTTTAGATGGCAGTGGGAAAAGTGCTGATGATAATAACAGTAACAGTGATAGTGACACCTTGAGTGAACCTGTCAGCTATAAAGAAAATAGAGATATTCTCGAGAAACTCTTGAATAGTCATTCAAGTGCAAATTCATCGATAAATGGCGATGATGCTGAAGACTCTGATGATTTGCGTGGCCACAATAGCGGACAGCATGAAACCTACAGCGGAAGTTCGACTGATAATGGCGAGCTGGATTCGGACACTGACTTGGAGAATTTTGGTTACCTTAGACTGAAGCTTTCCAAATACCAGGTGCTTCCCAGATCTTATATTAGACATCTCAAGACCAATAATAAAACTAAAAAGGACACGAAAGCACATCAAAAAGACAAGGAAATTACTCCCAGAAAAGGGTTGGCAGTTCGAAAATTGGCCAAACTAAATACTAGAAGAGGAGCTGCCGATAAGGAGGGATCGTTTGACTGGGTAGATGACAATGATATTGTCAACGATGACACTAGGAATGAGGATGCTGACAATACCATCGTGCCCAATCCTTACGATGATGATTTCTCTAGAAAAACGCGAACTGATTTTGAAAATATCATAAGTAAATATGGCCCCGCCAATGATGATAATGATGGTGTGGATCTAGAAATGCAAGACCGTGATTTAGGTTCTGGAAGTTATTTCAGTGATGTTGATCAACAAGAATTGGCAGGAAGTTATATTCGAAGTCATGAAAGAGAACATTCATCTAGAAATTCTTATTTTGATGCTTTTGGAAGTCCAACAGGAATGATAGATGATCCGCACTATATCGACTCAAATTCTGATGTTAGCTTAGAAAATAACTGGAATTCTGAGGACGGTCCCTTGGAAATTAGAAATTCTAGTGATCTAGAAATCTTGGACAATATAGAGAGTTTTGATAAAAATAAAACTACCGGAAGTTACTCTTACAGTAATACTCTTTTAGGTAGTGATATTGATGATGGTGAGGAATGTGCAGAAGATAGGAGGACAGGGATTGATATGATGTTGACATCTAGAATTTCTCATAGGAGAAGAGGAAAGAAATACAACACCGGGTCCCGAACAAGTGGGACTTCACAATTACAAAGACCACGAAAGAGTAATACAATCTCAGGATCCTATTTTCAGCAAGATACCCTTAGAGCTCAGAAACAAGAATCGGGTAAACTGAATAGGGGATTGAAAAAGGCCCCTAGCAACCCAAAATCCACGAAGCGTGCCTCTAGCTCAGGGAAAAATGGAGCATATGCGGCTACTAATACTCATCGTAGTCCACTTAATTTGTTTCAAGAAAAAATCGCCGATCAATTAAGGTCACATAAGCCTGTGAGACGGGAACCTTTGAATCCAGCTCCAACAAATACACTGCCCTCTGGTTATGATATAAGAGCCCTTCACGATGATAACGATGATGAAAAGGGGAAGAGAAAAAAGCAAAAACTCTACCCATATGAAAAAGATGATAGAAACTATGAATTTTATCGCAACCCTAATACACTTACTCTTCAACTAGAGTCATCTGATAGCCGATCGTATATCAGGCCAAAGAGAATCAAATACAAGCTACCAATTAACCAGCTTTTTCAAAAGCATTCTCATAATAGTGATACAAGCCATATAATGTCTGATTTACAAGAAATTATTAATTCGTCTCCAGAATCATTGAAAATATACCCAATTGATTTTAAGAACATTGCACTTTCAGAATTGAGTCTTTTGAAGTGGTACAATATGGAAGCCAAACATGATTTGCTTGGAATTTTTAGTGACTCTTCTCCGGCTGTTCAAAGACGTTTTGGTGTGGATAATGACCTTGAAAATAATGCTATGTTGATTTATACTTCAGGATTAGAGTATTTAAAAAACCCAAAATCAACAAATGTCAATCAACTCATCGATGACTTGAAATTAATCAGCCAAGGTATGACGGTGGTCGAGCCTAGAAAAGCGGTGGGAATTGGGCTGAAAGTGGAGATCTTTCTAAATAATGCATATAACATTACTGCCACTAAAACTTTAAAAAGTGGCGAAATATTTGATAAGTTTTCATTCATTGTTATGTTCTTCCCACTATTGCAATTGCATATTTTGAATGAGGTGGCAAACATGGAATCTGATCGAGTAAATTTGGAAAAGATTTGGAATAAAAATTTGAAATTGTACTTCGAGTATTTGACAAAGCTCTGGAGCGCGCGTTCTGTGAATAATATTCTTGTTAACAGTTACGAAAAAAAAACATCATTGATGTACGATATTATTTTGATTTTGAAACATTTATGTGACATGAGGTCTGCAAACCTTTTTTGGAATGTTGTGAATCATGGATTGATGAAATCTTTCAAGATATCAAGGATTTCAAATACGACAGATTACATTTTATTGTTCTCTAACTTTAATACTGACGCTGTGAGCTGGAGAACCATTGATTTTTTGGTACAGAAAGTTAATAGTTTGAATGGTACGAAAGTTGATGAAACAGAAATTTATAACTGTCACAAGATAATTTTTGAAACCGTGCATAGCTTGATGACAGATTATAATTGGATTGCTGATGATGGCTTGTTCAAGTCTTTAGTGAAACTATTGAAGAAGAGAAACTTTGTGAATTTCAGCGCTGAAAGGTTGAGCATCAAGATTTTTGATAAATTGGATATGAGCCAATTTAAGCATAAAGATACTTTGTGTAATTGGTTTATTAAATTAGTAATGATGGTCGTGCAGAAGAATGAGGATCTTTCGAAGCCCCGAATAAATTTCTCCAGGTTGGTGCATTTTTTTGAGCCTAATTCAAGTGTGTTTTCTGATCCAACTAAGCCTGATGTTTTCCTTCAAACTTTTATCAATAAAATAAACATTTGCATCATGAGCAACATCATTTCCAGGACTTCCAACTATACCAACTCCATTATTAAATTAACAAAGAGTGTGATTATTCAAGACGATTTGTTATGCTATCAGAAGGCATTTGAGGGGTTGGCGTGTTTTTATAGATCTCAGCAACATAAATCTCATATTTCTAAAATAGGAAATACTATTTTTGAAGAATGCATCAATGGAATGATCAAAAAATTCGCAAAGTTCATTAAAAACAATGATGAAGAAGGCTCTGCCAATTTTTCTTTGAAGGAGAGGAAATATTTGGATATATTCACCGATTTATTTAATACATTGACCGGTTTAGCTCTATCTTCAACTGATCTAATATCCTGTTGCGAATTATACCTATATTCTGTTGGATCACCCAAATTATTCCAGCTTCCCTATTTTGAATTTTCTCAATGGTCTGGAACATTAACAAAGTTGATGCTCATAATTATCAAAAGTTCAAACAGATTCATCTTCCACACCAAGAAGCTTATCCCGAAGTCTGATTCCGATGCAGAAAGATACAAAACCATAAGTAACGTTATTAGAGACAACTTGTGGACACCAATGATCAATTTGGTAAAAATTTCAGCTGATGATATTGCGTATGTACCCCCTGGTAATCATATTTGTGAGCTAGTGTGCTGCTTGGGTGCGACTTCTGATTTGCTAGTTGAACTAAAATGTGAGAACTGGCAATCATTAAATTTTAAATGGAATCTATATAATATTGATAGGTATGAGTTAGTCTGGTTATCCCAAGTTTTAAAATTTAACGGTCAAATCAGTATGCTTCATGATGCCGATTATTTCATTGATAGCTTTGCCAAATCTATTATTAGGTACGAGCCTAAAGAGTTTTCCTTTCTTTATTATCAGCAATTGGTGCTCAATGACAAGAACAATAATGATTGGTTGCTGTTCAAAAATAGTTTTGGAAACATTTTTGATTTTAGTAATACCAAGAGATTGGAGATTCTTGCTACATTTATCTCAACAATATTTAGAAATTCCCATAAATCCAGGGCTTATGAAAATAGAGCAAATCAACTTGTGGATATTATGATTGAAGAGTTTAAGAAGGAGTACGAGATGAAAAAGAAGAATATGTCCAATACTGCTGCTGGAAAGTTAAAAACTATGAATTATTATAAATTTGCCACCAAAGTCTTGAATTTCTTGAATTTTCCATCAGGTAAGAAACTTTTACAAAAGTCAAAAGATTTCCAATATTTAAAACATGTTTTCAGAATAGCTAGATCTATTGTATTTGAGGGTCCAGAATTACAACGGAAGATTCAAGCTATCACCGATGATTTTGTTAACGATTCCGAGCTGATAAGTTTTGGGAGTGATGAGCTATTTGTGTTTTTACTGGAGCAATTATGTTTGGCATTGATTGAAAACAAGCAAGATGAATTTGTTCGGGACCTCACGACTACTGTTATTAACTTACAGAAAGAAGTGACTTATGATGTGGAAGCAAAACTCACGGCACTTGATTCAAAACTATACATGATCATTGGGTTGATTACGATTGAGGTTAATCTATGTGCAAAATTTGGTGATGATATTTGGATATTGCTCCACTACTCATTAAAGGTACTCAATGAGGTATTGGAAAATTCAGGACCTTTCGATGTCAATGATTATTGGCTAATTTTTCGGTTCATAGTGCAATTCGAACCTTTATACAAAAACAGGCATTCCAAAGCGATGTCTCAGAGTTCACTGAAACATCTATTTTTTAAAATAGGGACCTTCAAATACTTATATCTAATTCTTGAGACATTATTCAATTTCCTTGCTGGTCAAGAGGAATTGCAGTTATTCATCAGCATTATTAATATCAGGACCAGATTTCTAGAGGAGGATTTTATCAATAGCCAGTACTCAGTCATTTTCCTAGACGAAAATATTGAGACTAATTTGTTTGGCGATGCAATTAGTCACACAAGGAAGAAAATAAAAGATGATGAGTTTAGCTCTATTGTTGATAATACAAAAATTCAGAATGTGAAGAAAATTGTATCATCGAGTATAATTCAATTGTATGATAAAAACGACGTTGGAGGCCATGATGGAGCAAATTTGCCAGCATTGATTCAGATAGAGAGGGAAAAGTTATTAGCAGCACAACAACAATTTCTTTTACATTTCAATCCTAGTGAAAGTGACCTGAAAAATATGGTACTCTCGACCATCTTGGATGATATCATTTGAAAATATCTGAGATTAAATGCCTGTACTATTTATATGTGTGTACCATTTTTATTTTTATTTTCATTTTTTATTTTTTTTTCTATTTGCATTTGGTTTCCGTTTAGTTTTTGACGTTTGCCTAGATGGTTTTTTGACAGTTAATAGTTTACTGCATAATTTTATTACAAGCCTTTCATGTATGAGCGTAGCCTTTTTGGGTAGAAATACATCTATAACATGCACTAAACGTTGTCTTTTTTTATTTTTTTTATTTGCTATTTTGTATTACTGCTGATTATATTTGAATTATCTCTCAAGAAAGCTTTGCAAGTGTCCACTTAGAGCTACAAATTGCGGTTATGTTTGTTTTTGTGCTCAAAACACCTATTTTTTTTTTTTTTGTAATGTATGCGATGATGTGCGGGTGGCTTTTTGTTAAGAAATTTTTAAGTGACAATAACATCAAGCTACACCAGCTACAATCACAAGTCACCTACCCAAAAAGCTACTGAAACCATTCTTTCAGTAAGAATATACTTCAATCCCCATCTATATATTGATTTGGTACAATCTGGTATTTCCTTCACCCGAGTATTGTTGCTGGTATTCGTACATTGCCTTTTGCTATTGTAACACAACAGATGAGAAGATGTCAGAACTAACGAAGTTATATTTACCACTGTCTCTACCTTATCCTATAACTGTCACATCTATTCTAGTGCGGCCCAATTTTGAAATATCTAGGCATACTCCGGTCTTGAAATACAGATATTTGGAAAATCAAATAGTCCCTACTGAAAAATTGGAACCTGAAGAAATAGAAGAATATCAACACAATCCGAAAGTGATCAAGGTCGAGTCGATTGGATCATTTGAGTCGCCAATAAAAGGAAAAGTCATTGATTTAAAAGTGAAGGTCGGAGATATAATATCTTCTGATAAGGAACAAATTGGTACCATTGAGGAACCATGCACTCATGCCGTGCAATTTGGAGGTTTGTGTGGAATATGTGGAGCTAATTTGGTTGATGAAGTAGATTACTCGGGTTATAACAATAAAGATCGAGCTCCTATTAGTATGTCACATCAAAGTACACAGCTTACAGTATCATTGAAGGAAGCAGAACGAATTGAAAAGAGCTCGAGAAAGAAATTATTGGAAGATAAAAAATTGATTCTTGTTGTTGATTTAGATCAAACCGTTATCCAAACCATTAACGACCCAACTGTTTATCATTGGCAGAATGATCCAAATAACCCTAATTACAAAGCAGTTAAGGATATTAAACTGTTTTCGCTTGAAGAAAAATACACTCCTTTGGGAACAAAGAATCAACAGACTGCCAAATCTTGGTATTATGTGAAACTTAGACCAGGTCTTAGTGAATTTTTGGCACGAATTGATTCGAAATATGAAATGCATATCTATACTATGGCAACCAGGGAATACGCTAAAGAAATCGCCAAGATAATTGACCCTGATGGTAAATACTTTGGCGATAGAATACTAAGTCGTGACGAGAGCGGCTCTATAACTCAAAAATCCTTGCACAGATTGTTTCCTACAAATACTTCTATGGTAGTAATTATTGATGATAGAGGTGATGTTTGGCAATGGTGTCCAAACTTAGTCAAAGTGGTACCTTACGATTTCTTTATTGGTATAGGAGATATTAATTCCGGATTTTTGCCAAAACAAAACAATTTACTAAGACCATCAAAGAGGAGAAAAATTATTGATGATATTGAAGACCAATTCACAAAAGGCAATTCTATGATTGGTGGATTAGACAGAAAGCAGAGTAATGAAAGTAAAAACATGAATGAAACTGGAGAGCAAGAACAAGGTAAAGAAGGAGAAAGTAAAGAGAGTAATAAAGAAGGGGAAAGACAATATCATACTGACAATGCTGATGCTGATGATGGTGGCACTAGCACAGATACTAGTGACAGCACTGATGACATTTCAGAGGATGAGTCCGAGGAGCCAGTCAAATTCTCAGAAATTGAAGTGACGCGAGCTTCAGAAGAAAAAGATAAGGAAGAAACGATCAGAGATGTTCAAAATTCTCAACGTGCTGAGTACTTGAAAGCCCTAGAAACTGAAAGGCCACTAGCCAAGCTCCAGCAATCATTAGACAAGAAGCTAGAAGAAGCCGAAGCTTTAGGGGATAAACAACCATTCGAAGCAATAGAAAAATCAAATGCGTCTGTCACGGATTCCACCGCAATTTCTAAAAATGATGGTTCTGTAAGCAACCATACTCTTTTATCAGATGATGACACTGAATTGCAAACCCTTGGTGAAGCCTTGTTGAAGATTAATGAACGGTTTTACGATGAATACGAAAGGGATCAACTTCATCCACCAGATATAAAACAGATCATGCCAGAAATGAAAGGTCAGGTACTTGGGGACACTTTCATTGTATTTTCAGGTGTAATACCATTGAATAGAAGTGGCACAGAACCAGATATTGTCGTTTGGGCGAAGTCATTTGGAGCAAACATCGAAACAAGAATCTCGTCCAAAATCACTCATATAATTTCTTATGAGGCAAAGACTGCAAAGATAAGACTTGCTAGAACACTTTTTGATGAGGATAAAATAAAAATTGTTCATCCAGATTGGTTGTTTGCATGCTTTTCCAATTGGGAGAAGGTTGATACAAAAGAATACGAAATTTATTTTCATCCACAGGATAAAGTTAGCGGTAAGCAGCTTGAGCATTTAAAGCAAACTATCTACCAACCTGATGAAGTGCAAAATTATGATTTAATTGAAAATATTGATTTAAGCGGTGCTGACAAAGAGTTGGAAGAGTTCCTAGATTCTGATGAATCTGACTCTGGTTCTGAATCTGATGATTTTGATGATGATAAAGAAAAGCAATTAAAGCACACACATGGTAACAATCTTCTGCCATCAAGCAGAAAGAGGCCTAGATCTTTTCTTGATGAAGAGGGAGGTAATATGCTTGAAATACCTAACTCTAGTCAACAATCTGATGATTCAATGAATCTCAGTGATGAAGATTTTGCGGAATTGGAAAATGAATTAGGTAATGATGACGATGATTCCAGTGATTGAGCTATACATAAAAATTGATTTTTTTTTTAATTGTTCCTAATTTTAGTTGAAGTTTTTATGACAATCTCACTGTGAAAATTAATTCATAATAGATGCATGTCAGTTATTGGAATAGTATCACTCATTCGCATTCTTTTTCCATGTCCTACACAATAGATATTTCATGAAATGGACCATTTTATATATCTCATGCTGGGCCCTTTTGTGAGTTCTGGACTCTTCTATTCCAGTTAAAAACCCTGTTTTCCCTTTTCTTTTCATTTTTTAACATGTGTTATAGCTATTACGATTATTCAGTTCTTTCAAACTTAGTATTGATTATTTTTTATAAATAGAAATACTTAGAATCCGTGCGAAAATATTGATTTAAGCCCATTGTTACGTTAAATTGTCAAAATAGTTTAAAATATGTGTCTCAGTTTATGGAGTAGCAACATCTGTTCAAAAGAAAAATGAACGATCGTATTTTGGCCAAACAATGTATTTATTTCTTTTTACACCAATCTCGGCCATGAGAAACTTGATAATCGCAAAGGCTGGTCTCTGTCCACATTCCGATTAAGCTAGCCAAACCAACACCAAGAGAATCGCTTATACTAACTGTTCCCAATGCAAATTCTCTAATTTCCAATGACACCTCTTCGCTTATAGACATGAAAGTATTAACATATGACGCACCGCCGAGTAAACCCTCATAGAAGATGATAATAAACATAAAATAAATTGATGGGACTACAAGATACATCGACTGGATTACACATAACAATAAATTCACGATTTGGAGGATTGCAGGCAAATAAAGATTCTTTAAGCGAAAGAATGGAGCAGATGATCTTGATATAAACACGCCAACCTGATATAAGGTAGCATATGATACGTAAATATCTCTAAAGCTTGAAAACGGTGTATCTTTGAGAGGAAACAAAAGTGTTGGAGATATCCCCTGGTTAATCAAATATTCGGCAAAATAAACTGTAGAGAGGGGTATCATGTATGGAACAACCAAAGGTGCAATATTTTTTGCTGTAGCTTGAATGTGATGCTTTAGGTCGATCAAGTTATGAGACCCGCTTTCTGGGTCTTGCCTCTCGGTTAAGAATCCAACAGAATCCTCATGCTCTTGGTTGTTTGCAGGCAGCATATCTAGGAATCTTAACGACAAATACGTGTCGTTAATGTCTGGAATGGTTGGCAATACTTTCCAGAAAACTGCAATGAAAGTAAATGGTAAAATACTAAATGAATATAAAGTATTTCTTGTACTAATGTTCCACCAAGTTGTCATAACCATAAAATTGAAGGATCCAAAGATTCCCGCAAAGCCAGTTCCGGAGCTCCATGCATTCAAACTGATATCTTTATAGTAATGGGTCAAACTTAAAAATGTGACCTCTCCTAAACCCGACGATAAGGAAGCGAATGTTATTCCCAACATTTTCCTACCCAAAGAACTTTCATACGTATCAGATGAGCCGCTCAAGATAACCATCCCAAAGCAACTGAAAGCAACACAGATAAATATTCTGAAGTTATAGGGAATAAATTTTAGATAAAAGGGAGCAGAGAGCTTGACAATAAATGAAGGTGCCACATCAAAGAAGAGAACTAAAGCTTTAGGAATATTGGGCCCTACAAGATCACTGGCAGCACTGAGAATCACTACATAAAGGGCGTTGTTAATGAGTCCAAAAAGCCAGAAGGATATTGCTATACGCCTATCAACCGATGAGCCAAACATTTGTAGCGACCATAAGATTTGCTATGTATATCCTTGTTTCTTGCTTTTTCTGATTAATTTATTGAGTGTCTGTTTTCTGAATCAAAAATTGTACCAGTTGCCTAAAAATAAGGACAGATTATCTGACAAAAACTGCGATGCAAATTATTTCATCTAACCTCCCCCATAGATTATGATGACAGGCCTTCCAGAAATTAAGGTGCAATCATTTGTCACGTGTATTCACTGTGATTGCTCAGCGCACTTTTCTGCTTTTTCTAATTGTCTGGATAAAATATACATAATCCTAGTCATCACGAAACGAAAGCTTCATCCTGATATTTTGACTGCTTGGCGTGGAAAAGAAGCTATCTCTTCCGGTTAAGATGCGATGAAGTCCACCTTTTTTGCTTTCCCTCGTTTCTACCGGGCAGTATTATTGCTACTGTTAACTGCCCGCCTAGCTTTTTCCTTCTCGGCACATCTGGATAACTCAAGTATTATTGTTGGCGACTCCTTGGATTTGCTCTATGTCAAAGATTCTCTAAACTACCTCAATGTCACAGTAAACGGGGAAGTGCAAAGCTTATTATTCGAACTTAATTCTCCAATAGTATGGTATTATCTGCTGCAAGACTCTCTGGCCGATTATCAGGAATTTATTATTGAGTACACTGAAGATATTAAAATATTGGGGGAGTATACAAATTCAAACAACATAACTATTGCAACAAACATTTCATTAAATAACCAGAGCTTGGGGATAATAGACTCCCAAGGTGATATGGAGGAATTATTTGACATTGCTCAAAATGGTACCGACAACTTTTTAAACGGAGTATTTGGACATTCATATTTTAACCCGGTACTTAAATCTTTGAATTCTACAGGTGCTACAGGTGCTACAGACACGAATGGCAATTTCACCGCTAAGCAAAGCTACAGAAACAATTTTCTTGTCATGTTTTTTAATATTAATGACAGAATTCAGGTAAACTCCAATCCTTCCCCGCTGTATGTGACTGGCTGCGTGGTCTACGGTGATGTTGATTTTCAATTAATCAACAGTGATGTTTACTTCACATCTGTTTTACCTAATTCGGAATATTTTTGGCTTATCGGTATATCCACAATTTCCTATTTTGATTTAGGAAATGATAACGATATTAGTTCTCGAATTATCTTCGACAACCTGATCACTTTAGATGATGGTGCAATTATTCCTAATAATTCTAGAGTTGCAGTTTTTGATTTATCTATTACTTCTACAGATGAAGACGACTCGATATTGCTCATGGCCCCGTTTGCAGATGCGCACAAATTACATTCGGAAATGTTTGGAAATGATTCTTTTTCGTATGATGACTCCTCGAATAGCTTTTTAATTGATTGCAATGAAACGAGAGTTTTGCAACTTAATATTGGTGGAAATGCTTGGAATATAACTTCTAGCGACTATGTTGGCAGTGCATTTGGTTCTAAGTGTGTTAGTAATATCAAAAGTTATGGTGATGAATCTAATACTAAAAATCAAACTTTCCTTATATACAACTATCCCAAGTTGATTAATTCACAATATTGGGTTTTGGGATCCAAATTTTTCCTGAAGATTACTCTAGTGTTTGACATTGATGAAAGCCTTGTTGGGTTGTCAACTCGTGACTCTTTAGAAACAATTAATTTTATCACTGATGAGACTTTATTGGAGCAGCTTTTCAAAAATGAGACTGGCTTGGCTTATCTCTCAGATACTGGTAACATGAGCAGCATGCCATTTACGACTATAAGCAACATTTTCACTGAGTCAATCTCTTTGAATTATGGTTCTGACTATGCCACCACAGTTCTTGAATCTCGAATAATTTTTGGAACAATAGCATCTAGCAGTTCGTCTACTAGCTCTAAATCGTTCGGTGAATCTTTGAGATCAAAAAACGTTGTTTCCTCGACCTCTCATAAATGGATACTACTCGCATGCTCTATGCTAGTACCGTTTATTACCTTACTATTTTTTTAATATATAGCCTTCTTTTTACGCAAAAATAAACTTCAGATTAATTGATACCGTAGTTAGAGTGTGCCCGTTTCAACAAGCATTTTATGAGGCTCAAGTGGTTAACCTATCCGGATGAATAACATTTCCGCGTCCGCACCGGCAGAGGCGGTAAAATACACAAAATGCAAAAATTAAAAGAACACACCTCATTAAAGACAGCTTCCAAGGAGCTTGCACGCAGTCTTGATCATTTCTTATTTCATCGGCTTGAAAACAAAACATCAAGAAAGGAATACCAAAAAGTATCTTTATTCAATCTTTACTTGTGAAGAGCTGGCTCTTTTGAAGACAAAATTGATAAATATTTGTGCAAGTGTTCTTATCTACACCCATCTTTTGTGCAGAGTATCATAAACTATATTATTTTGGAAACACAGTATAGAGATAGAGTAGTTGAGGAATACACTCTCTGCTCTCGGCGTCTTTATTAGCATTATCTTTTCGTTTTCTTGTTTTTTAGTTTTTGAGATTTTACTAATCCATTGCTTATTGCAAGCCTGTGTCACAAGAGGTTGTTCTCTGTTCAAAGTCTCAGCCAACCTCACTGATTAAGTCTCTTTCTTGCGAGGTTTCACATTAAAAATAGTATCAAAAAAACAAAAAATATCAACTTGACAGCAACAAAGCTATAGTTGATCAGCATAACTTTGCAAGTCCGTTATCGTTTTTGTTTAGGATGGTAGCGGGAAACAGAAATAGCAAAAGGGTTTCGGTGAATTATGGTGATCTCAGCGAAGATCTACTCCAGCTAGCTGCTAATAAATCTAACAGGCCTTCACCTAAGTTATCGACCCGGGACACTAATAACAATAGTGCTGGTACAAGCCCATATGTGAATAATGATAATCATAATAATAATAATGACGAGGGATCAAGTAACAGTCGTCCACTTAAAAATCAAAGAAGTTTTAATGATGAGGCTTTGGCTAAATTATCAGGAAATTTTCAGGGTGATTCACTTGAAATAGCCCCAACCATAACTGTGGATGCTATTAGTGGTAACATCAATAGTGGAGCTTCATCGAATAGAAACAAAAGGGTATCGTATGTAGCGACCCCTACATTGATAGATGATTCTAAGCAGGACTTTCATTCCAAGAGACACAGTAGCTATAATGAGTATCAACAATTTTCCGCCCAAACACAACCACAAAATCCTGCCACAGGTAAGACCAGACCTCTATCAATAAGAATCAAGAAGAATCCAAATAGATATTCCTCATTCGATGGCTCTGATCCAAATAAGGCTAAGTTAGTGAGGCAAATGCTTTCACCTATTGACACCTCAGGAAGTGAATCATTTTCTCCTCATGCTTCAAGCCCTACTGGTTTAGGTTTGGATTCTATTCTTAAAAATAATTCAAGTATTTATCAACCAAAGAAAGTAAAAGACATTGATGATGAAGATGAGGATGAAGAAGAAGATTTCCCACATTTTAGATATCCTAAGTCTGCAACTAACCTGACGTTTCCTGACACTAGCAAAGATAAGGAGACTAATCCATTTGGAGGTAATCATTTTGATAATAAAATGAGATCAAGGCCAGTTAATAGTAATGTGTCAAGACACTCGAGATCCAAATCATTTAATTTTCATTCGAGGAATAAAAGTTTGACAGTCAAGCCAATTCCAAGTCCCCAAATCACCTCTCCTGTTTTAAATATTAAACCAAATGCATCGTTTGAGGATATCAGAGATGAATATCCTCATTGTATTCCAATCCATACCAAATCAAAACAGTCATTGCTATCTTTGGTGAAAATTTTTCCCGAGCTGCCAGAAGATAATGGGGGTAATTCAGCTGGTGCAAAAGTCCCAGCACTGCAAAAAGATATTTCCTTGTTTGGATTAAAGAATTTATTAATGTTAGTTTTTGTTGTGAATAATTTCGGGTTGCTTCTTGAGTACTACAAGAATTATTTCACTGTTGACTCTATTCATTCCGTGGTTTTTGTGTTCAGATACAATTCCGATATTCAATTTTTTTTACTTTGCGTTAGCTTGACCCCGTTATATTATATTTACACCTACATTGTTGAAAAGGTTTTGTACTTTTTAACTTTAAAGAAGTTCAACTCTCTTATAAGAAACAAATTTTCAAGCTCCTCATTGGGTGGTGGTAATTCCAAGGCTGACAACAACTATCTCGTTGGTAGGGATGACTTGAGTTTCAAGTTGACGAACAATTTGTTACCTACTAATTATTTATTGCCAATATTTGTGATTCTATACTTTAGTGCAGTAATATTGGTTTTTGGAGTGAACAATATTATTATCATCAGGTTCATTTATAATCCAATTCTTGGTAGCGTTCTAGAACTCCATACCATTGTTTGCATGTTTAAAATCATCAGCTTTGCATTGACTAACAAGAACCTTCGGGAATTGTACTTCAAATCCATCAATTCAGCAAAATATCAAAGGTACTTGAAACACAAGAAACATTTGATAAATTCTGATGGCACAGTGAATCTTACTCATGAAGCTCCGCAGGGTGTCGATTCGGAATTACTTTCTGGTAGAATGACTGGATCACAACTAGCAGAAACTATCAATAGTTTAAAACAAAGAAAGAATTCTGATGAGAAAAGAGACATTGGAGAACCAGAAATGGATCATAGTCTTGACTCTGATAAGGATTTCATAGATCAGAATTTGCAACCACTGTTCTATGAAGGTAACTACTATCCAAATAATATTACTATGAATGATATCTTTTATTTTTCTGCAGTTCCAACCTTAGTTTATCAGCCTATGTATCCAAGCAGTGGTAAAATTAATTGGAAATATGTCATTGATAAACTATTGGAAATTGCTGCAATGACATCCGTCATTTTTTACTTGTGTTCGCAGTATGCTGTTCCTATTCTTAAAGACTCTATTTTGAACACATTCAATTTATCACATCACGGGTTTCAAGCACCAAATATTACCTCATTTCCTTCCTCTTCAACTCCATCCGATGATAGTGCCTTCATTGGACAATTAAAATTAGTTGAGCTTTTGATTAAACTTGCTGATATCTCCATTTTAATTTGGTTGATTACCTATTATGTTGTTTTCCATGATTACTTGAACTTTATGGCAGAAGTTACAATGTTCAATGATCGCGAATTCTATGTTCAATGGTGGAATTCTAGATCAGTTGGAGCTTATTGGAAAACTTGGAATAAAGTATTCACCAATTTTTTTGATCGTCATTTCTACAAACCATTACTTATCACCAGGGAAAGACATTTGCTCACATCTTCCACAGAAGATCCTAATGGGGGCTCCGCTGGAGAAAGAGAATCTGGCGTGAATTCGTCCGGAAGTGCAAAGATGAATTTCTTCATTTTTTTCATCATGGCTGTGATGCAAGAGCTTGTTGTCGGCGTCCCAACCGGAAATATGATGGGTATTTCATTTATTTGCATCATCATGCAATCGCCACTCAGCCTTTTGACTAACCCTTTGGATAATTTAAGAGGAGAAAATAACACCCTTGGTAATGGCATCTTTTGGGTTAGTTTTTTAATTGGTCAGCCATTATGCATTTTGTTGTATTACTTCACCTGGAATATCAAGTATGGCGAATTGAGCAGCTATTAATTTTTGTTACACGTTATCAGGCTCAGTATATAAATAGTAATTATAGTACAATTTGACACAAACATTACATAACACAATATCACCTCATCTTGATTATTTCTGTTCTAGAGGCTTAACTGATAGCTGAAGCATCCTTGATGTTATTAATAACTAGGAGAGAGTATTATCAGTGCAAGAAAGTATCGTGTTACCCTATTCAATGTTATCAACTCTTTGGAGCACACTGTATCTCTGCGTGATTGTCACGTGTGGTCTATTTTTGAAGGTCTGTCAGTTTGAAAATCGATTCGAGAGGAATCATCATGTCACCACAAACCTTCAGCTCGCCAGTCAGGAAATAAAGGCAATCTTAGGTAGTTACATAGAGACTCAATCAAGCTAAAAGATATTCCAAATTTCTCACTTTATCTCTCCTTATTTGAAACCTTTTTCTGCGGTTTGCTGAGAGTCCACGTGTGCAACTGGTGAATATTCCTTGTTTTGCTTTTTGATTTTTCCATTTTTAGATCTGTTTGAATCCAGTCGATCTAAAGATCTGATCCACATTGAAATTGGCAAGCTACCAGATTGTATCTAAACATACGAAGGGTAACTCATTTCGATCAAATTCCAAGATCAACGTCTTCTGAATCTGTGCTTTCGGTTCAGTGCAACTTTCAATTGTCAACACCAAATAGGCTCTTCCAGGTACCAATTGTGCTATTGATACTTTTGTTTTCCCAGCCATATCACCATTAGTGCACCTTTTTTATATATATATAATTTAAAGGTACAACCAATTTTGTTATTAGTACTTTTAAAGTTGACTTATCAGTTTGTTGATACATAGTCTATTGTGTTGGTGATTTTGCCTTCAAGTTTCATGTGCGATGTATTCCAACTCAGAGTATAATATGTTAGGATTGCAAAACTCTTCGCAACCCTTGAATAACAATTCTGATAATCAGGGAACTCAAATTTCCAGCAATGGCGGCCTTAACAATCCCAGTCAAGCTATGGGCCAGGGAAATTCCCAGCAACAGAGACAGCTGCAATATCAACAGCAGCTCACAAACTTTCAATTGCAACAATTACAATTTCAAATGATGAGCCAAGGCCAACAAGGATTAAACCATCTTAGGTCGCCTACAATGAATGGATTTAATATGAATGGCGGTTTAAGACAAGGTAAAAGAATGAATGGCAGTGGCAATGGCGCTAACTCGACTGGCGCCAACGGTTTAAATCTACCAAGAGGTAATGGCTCTATTTTCAATAACTTACAGGCACCAGTGAGTCAAAAAGTTGTATATGGATATCACCAGGGTAATGATAGTGTTCCTCAAACACCATTTGACTTGAATTATGGTGCTTCTATGTTGCCTGCGAACTTGCTTTCCCCATTTATTGGTTCGTCGTTTGGATCACCATTAACTGCCACTTTAAGTCCTGGTCACGGTTTTCAAAGCAGCCAGTACATGGCGGTTACTGGTCCTGCTCCTCCAAAAATCGGGGCTCCACCAAAGAGCAGAAAAAAGGGTTCAAAAGGAAACCATACTCATAAAAAAGGGATCAATGGTCATAGTAGTTTGAATGCTGCAACAACAATGAATAAAGATATTGATGAAAAGAAAAATGAAGATGAAGATGGTGATAGTGATTACGATGATAGCTCTGAAGATGATGTCATTATAACGGAAGGTGTTGATGATGATGAATTACAAGAAAATAGATCCAATTTATTCTCAGAAGAGGATAATATTATTGATAGAAAACAAAAGAGGTCTTCGTCAGCAAAGGCAAAGCGTCCACATTTGAAAAATCCACACCTCAAAAACGTTCCTGTTACAATTTCCTTAAGAGTGCAGAGATTATCTAATAAGGTTATCATTTTACGTCACATCAATTCTAATGTTAAGATTTATGAATTTTTGAATTATTTAAAATTTGGCCCATTACAGTTCTGCTACATTATGGAGGATGATAGTGATGCAGGTCCTAACGAGCTCCAAATCAAGTTGAAGTTCATTTATGAAAGAACACATAATAACTTTATCAATCATTTACATTTATACATTAATGAATTTTACCAGGAATTTAATTCCCCTACTGCTGCCTATAAAATTGTTGAATACGATATTAAGGATGATTACTCTAATGCAACTGCTCTTAAACACGTCATCGAAAACCCTGAGCCAACTAAGGATGATGATTTTGTGAACTTGGAATATGAGATTGAAGTCAACCATGCCACTAGATGTATCAAGATTGTTAAGTTCACCACTTTTGATTTGCTAAATGACGACCACGAAAACTTGGAAAAGAAACTCAAGTTGAATTTTGGTGAAGTGGATTTGATTAACACCAATGAAGACCGTAATACGATGATCATTCATTTCTTAAACCTCGTTAGTTGTGTGAAATTATTCAAAGAATTGACCAAGTTGAATCTTGTGAAAATTGAGAAAGATCAAGTTGCATCAAAGAGCTTAGGACATTTTAAATATGGGGAAGATAGATGTTGCCAAATTGATGACGATGAGTTCGAACAGACTTTTGGACAAACTTCGGATTTTAATGAGCATTTGGAAAATGAATCGGATAATAAGCATTCTCAAGACTTCGTCAACTCACAGCAAATATCACAGTACGGTGATGAAATTGTCAATCAAACTTTACTCCAACCACAGTTAGTTGTCGCAGGAAACAATGGTCAAATGGGCGATTTAGTTGGTAATTTCCAAGCATTGAATGTGGCAGGCAATAATGGTGCATCTGATGTTTTGCCACCTATGATACATAACATCAATAGTTTAAATATTAGTGAGAATAGAACTGTGTATTTGGGTAATTTGGCATCAAAAACCACTGTTGAGGAAGTTTGCAATGTTGTTAGAGGCGGTATTTTACAATCTATAAAATTGATTTCGGAAAAACATATTTGTTTCATCACTTTCATCACCGCTGCTTCAGCGACTCAATTTTTTGCCAGCAGTAATATGAACGGATTGACTATCCACAACAAAAAAATCAAGGTTGGTTGGGGTAAAAATCCTGGTGATTTACCGAATCTGATTGCCTTGGCGGTTACCGTTGGTGCTAGCCGAAATGTTTACATTGGTGTTAAAGATGACGAGGATAATACCGGGATGTCAGAAGGCCCAAAGGTTGTTCCTGACGAACCTACTATTAGAAAAGATTTTTCTAAGTGGGGGGAAATTGAACAAATCAATTTTTTCAAGGACGGTTATTGCGCATTTGTTAACTTTATAAATATTACTTACGCAATGAAGGCAGTTGATGAATTTCAAGGTCCTGATAGCCAACTGGTGCATGAATCGTTTGGTAATAGATACGTTCACTACAAGATCAACTTCGCCAAGGATAGATGTGGGAACCCACCCAAATTTGTCAATAACAAGCCAAAGAAGAAGAAAAATAACAGAAAAAATAATAACAACAACAATATTGTTGATAATTACTCAAGCACTACTACGCTTGATACAACTGTTCATGGCCATGATAGTAAAATAGAACACAATTCAAATGAGGGAGGACAGATCACTGACCAACAGGCCCTTGCATTGGCCTCTATTGGCATTACTTCTAGTCTTATTGACGAGAAAGTGAAAGAAGTTGAGCACGATAAGGAAAATGGGGTATCAAATGATAATGATGCCGATCCAATGCCTCAAAGAGCTTCTACTCCGGTAAATAACGATGCTGCAAAAAGATTATCTACGGGAACCAATTCATATTCTGCGTCTCCTGGCCGTTCGGGATCTCCAGCAATGAACCCTCAAGTGAATAACAGTTTTGGGTATTATAGTCAAAAGAAAAAACAGCAGTATACACCGGTTCAACAGAATGCTCAGCTTTATAGTGGAAGTCCGATAGTGGAAGGATCAGCTTACTCTTCGCCTGGAGCGTATGCTAATTTGTTGGTTTCTAAAGCTCAACCAAGAAAGTCAAACAATAACAAGCCTAACGGCGCTGCTCATACTTCTCATCGTGCCTCGCTAACTGGCAATCCTGGTGCTTCAATGATGGGTGGTTTTGGCTCATCAGGGTCGCAAGTAATGATGCAATATTTGGCCAAAGCACAATTTGATAGCTTAATGTTTAATCCACTGAAAGACGATGATATGAAAAAGAAGAAGAAGAGAAACAGTCACAGTAGCAATATTAGCAATAACAATAATGACAATAGCAAGAAATGAGTTTAATATTTTACGAATTTAATTATGTTTTGTTTTGTTTTTCCTTTATTTCTTAACTTGTTTTTTTTTTTTTTTAATATTGTTCATTCTTTTTTTATTTTATTTCCATTTGTTTTGCCGGTTATGGGAATGGTGCCACTTTATTGGGATTACTTGACGGTTCCCTTAATTTTTTTGGTTAGAAAAGAAGAATTATTTTTATGAACATCCTTTCTGTTTGTGTGGTTATATTGGAATCTTTCTGTTGCATTTCTGGTTTATGGTTTGAGTTCTTTGTTTTATTTTGTTTTTTCCTTGTCCAGATTTTCCCAGTTGATTTTTTTTTTTTGTTTTCTGTTTGATTAGAAATATAATGTACCTTGTGCATCTAGTTTTGTTTCTGTTTCGTTGACTGTTCTCATTATCATTCATTAACTGCAATTTTTTCTTTTTGTTTTCGCCTTTTTTTTTTCTTCTTTTTTCAATTATTTATTTATTTATTTACTAATAATAACTAATCAGTCTACAAGTGATTTGTTATTTGCCTCCTTTATTGCCGACCTTGTAGTCTAATATGAACTTTTGAATTTTTTTACACTCAGAGCACGCTTAGATACAATGCAAAAATATGGAAACAGAGACCACATATGATAGAAATAATTAAGGGTCCCTCATTCTACATATTCATATGAAACCATAACAAGAAAAGTTTTAGAACATACTGTTGAGTGAGAAGTTAATAAAATATATAGAGTGTGATGGAACAAATCAAGTACGAGGATGGTTTAAAACTAAAAATAAATGAAAAAAAAGGCAAATATATAATAGTCTTTTTCTTTTTCTTTCATTCTTTTCCAATCTATTGATAGGTTCAATAAAAAAAACAATACATGTTTATACAAAAAAAAAAAAAAGAATTGCATTGGATATCATAATCAAGAATTGGTCAACAATATGATTATATGAAATCCACATCGACAATTTTTGGTTCTTTCAATGGTTTAGTTTCAGTGTAATCGTCGTCTTTATCTTCATCGTCTTCTTCATTAGTGATAACTGATTCATTATCAGAGAATTTTAATTCGGCATTATCTGCGACTCTTTCTGTCTCGGTCTTAATAGGCTCTGTCTTTTCAGGTACTATAAGGGTCTCCTTTGGCATTTCAACCTTTGCAGATGATGAAGAAGCGTCATTTGTTTCTGCATCGTCGGCTCCGCCAATTTTAGTGGCAGGGAATTGGGATGATGATGAAGAGAATACACGGTCAGGTCTATTGGTAGCGGCACGATTATGACGGGCTGCCTGCTGAGCCATGTGAGGAGGTAACGTTCTGTGTCTATTAACTGGAGGTAAGTGTCTCTTTTTAAGAACATCCAAATAATTCAAGACGATACCGTTTTCAGAATACGACAACTCATCATAATCATTATCGACATAAAAGTTACCAGCCTCAAAATCCTTAACGACATTTTCCATAAATTCCGACCATGAGTTCGCAATGACAAACTTGGTATCGAAATCATTACCAAAACAAATAACTTGACCCCATTTACCCTTTGGACCAGGAGCCAAGTCGATGGCTATATTGTTTCCGGAAAAATCTTTGACAAGTGGTACCCATCCCGAGTGCACATAAACCGGCTGAATTGTACCTTCTGGGAATGATCTTTGATGGGCCATAAAATCAATACGTGGGACTGGAGGTTGTATCTTCTTGTGTGATAATTTTGGTTTTGAACCATCGGCACTGGATCCAGAAGCAGAATTTAATTGGGCCATATGTTGTTTGTAGGCATTCAATTTATCCAAATAGATCTTGCGCTCTTGTTGAATTCTACGAGCCGCAGTTTGCCACACAGTATATTCTTCAGCAATTGATTCGACATCTAATATCGTTATACCCATAATCACCCCACTTGGTTTCCCGCCACGTTCTTGACCATCATGAATTTGCCAACTTTCACGGACGTCGATAGGCAAAGAGACATTAATATCGTTTTCCAACTCGTTCAAATCAGCAGCAGTGGCTGGCTCGTTAAGGAAGTCAACAAGGTCAGGAAATTCGTCAAGAAGTTTTGTTTCCAAACGCTCCCAAAGTTCCGCCATAGGGACAGCACTGCCATAATCACGCATGGCAATTCCATCGTTAGTGGAACGAGATCTCATTCCTGGACGGTATCCGCCTTGATTTGCTTGGCCGTCATTAATATTGTCAGTGCTAAAAGTGTTGGCACGACGATAGGAGTTGGAGTTGGAGTTGAGATTGTTGGCGTTGTAAGGAGTACGAGAACTGGCGTAACGATCATTTGTAGTGAGGGAGAAAACAAAGTCGTCAAAGCCCTCTTTAATATTATCGAAAAAACCCATTTTTCTCAACTGGCTCTCTTGTTGTTGTTGTTGTTGTTGTTGTTTTTAGTACAACGATCTACTTGCGGTGGGTGATGAAATGGAATGGGATTGGCAAGTTCTGTTGGCGGACACTGTCAATGATAATATTTGTCACGGTAAATATAGCAATAGTGACTTGAAGAGTGAATGTAACCAATATCAGCGATGATTTAACAGGGTACAATAAAGATCAAAGGGGGCAAAACCAAAGATAAAACAGGATACACGTTTTTGATGTTTTTTGTTTTTGTTTTGTTTTGTTTTTCTGATGCTGCGCTGTGAGTTTTGGTATTTTTTCTTCACAAAACGGAAAAAAAAAAAAAAAATGAAATGAAAATCACAAAATTATTTGTTTGCAGCCCTGGGGTCAGGGGAGGAGGGGATGTGGATGGTGTTTGGATGCTTTACAGTTTTGTGCACTTTGGTGTGGTGTATGGGTGCATTTGAGATACCGTAGGTGCCGCACCCTATTCAGTGCACACATAACCTAATGTAATGGAAAAGCAATCATAATATTCTGCAAATTACAAAATAGAAAGCCAAATATAACTGTCTATATATTAAACGAAAAAAAAAATATATATATACTATATGTATCAGAGCAAAAGGAACAAAGAGATGATCGAAAAAACAAGCAAAACATTAACAAGTAAACAAGTAAGTTATAACCTAAACATAGAATGTATGAGGTCGAATTAAATAAATAAAAAACAAAAAAAAATTAAAAAATGAAGGGATGATAATATCAATGTGATTATATTGTGCTATTCTAATGCAATTAGAACAAAACAAAGGTCAAACCACCAGCAAAAGAGGCCAACAACATGGCACCCATACCAACTTCAGCAGCAGTGAAAGCAATTGGAGCAGCAATTCTGTGACCAGCACTAGATTTACCAGAGCTAGAAGAAGAAGAAGAGGACTTAGAGCTACTGGAAGAAGAAGATTTGGAAGTACCGGAAGAGGAGGAAGAGCTACCGGTTGTAACAGCACTACAAGAACCAGAAGTAGCAGATTTAATAGAAGCAGAACCACCGAAAGAACAATCAGACTTTGCAGCACCGTTTTTAACGTAGTAAGCGTTCAAAGCCCAAGACAACATGTCCTTAGCAGAACAGTAAGAGTAGTTACCGTAAACACCAGAAGTACCGTTACCATTGATTTCACTGCAGTCAATCTTGGCACAGACATAACTGAACAAATCAGCATAATCAGTAGAATCAACACTGTCGTCAACAACACAAGAAAGGGCGTTATAAAGACATTCACAAGTAGATTCACTTGGGGTTGGTGGCAAAGAAGTGGCCGCCATCCAGTTAGTGTTAGTGGCTGGACAAGCAAAAGTACCAGAGCTGGTACTAACGTCACCAGTGCTAGCACTAGATGGAGAGATCTTGGCGAGTTGGGACTTCAAGTTGTTGTAGTCATCGTAAGTAACGACATTGTTACCATCAATAGAAACAAGACCGTAATCGTTAGCTTCTTCGAAATACATGTAAACAATACCACCGGACCAGATGTCGTCCATGTCAGAACCGTAAAGAGATTGGACTTCTTCGAAAGTTCTGTTACCTTCAGTGTTACAACCGTATTCGGAGAAGAAGATTGGAATGGTCAAGTTTTCAAATTCTTGAGTTCTAGCTTGGTAACCAGAAGTCTTGAAAGTAGAGTCACCACACCATTCGTACATGTTGATACCGTAAAAGTCAGCAGCGGAATCGGAATCACCACAAGCGAAATAATCAGCCATTGGGACTCTGGTGTCAGAGTCATCGTTAGAAGAGTAACCAACTGGGATAGTTCTGTAGTTTTGGGCCTTGATGTAAGACTTGGTATCTCTGATAGCAGCTTTAACGTAAGCAGAGGCGTCGGTGTTGGACTTGTTGTTAGTGACTTCGTTACCAGCAAAGAAACCCAAGACATTAGTGTAGCCAGAGAACAAGTCAACAACACTGGTGTATCTTTCGTACAAGTCTAAGTCCCATTCTGGGTCATCTCTATCGATGGAGAGATCTGGTTCACCAAGATCGGCAATGACATAGATGCCGGCATCAGCCAAGGCATTCATACAGTCAGAGTGGTCAAGACTGGTGTTGACAGCGTAGACACGAATGGTGTTGGTACCAAGGGCAGCCAAGTATGGGATGTCACGAGAACAGGAGTCAGAGTCGGCCAAAGGATCCACGAAACTAGAAGTGTCACTAGAGTTGACGGAGTCGGCTTGATAAGCGACACCCTTGATGAAGAATTGGGAGCCATTGTTAGAGTAGAAGAACTTGTTACCAACAATTTCAATCGCTGGCAAGGAGGAGGAAGAAGAGGATGAGGATGAGGATGAGGATGATGATGATGACTTCGAAGCAGAAGAGGAGGAGGAAGAGGAGGCAGCGGCCACCGTGGAAAGAATAGCAGCGGCGGCTGTTGTCAAGTACTTGGTGAGCATCTTTTCAGAGAATAGATCAGTGATTGGCAATTCAAAAGCGAGAGACTGGCAATAACTAGCGAAGGTAAAAGTTCCTGCTGACCAAAATTTCTAAAAGTAAAATTAAATTGAAATAAGAAACGTTTCAGGAAAAAACAGCCAACTGCTCGTCTTAAGAAGGAACGCCGAAGGACTTTTCTTTTTTCATTTTTTCTTTTTTCGTCAACACTGCGCCTGGGAGCGTGATTCTGCGTATATATGCAGAAAAAACACGAAATGGTAGTAGGGGTGTCACGGTAAGACAACAGTCACCCTGTTTCTCCACCGCACAGCTGCGCCACTTCCCCCATTTTCTAGGTGACAGTTCCACCGAAAACAGAGTGTATATCTATATACTGTCAATAACTAGACATCTATATATCTATATATATACTTATTGAGATTTCATGACATTGCTGCATATCTCCAGCGCTATCTTTCATACTGCTAAAGTTGGATTTTCTGCTAAGACTTGCAGCCAAGGCGGAGCTGGGCTCTGTGTCTCTCCTATTTTGTTTGTCACGTGATGGTCTTTGAAAGGCCCAGAACCGAAAAAGGTGGGCTTTTTCACTACAGCCAGATCCACGGTACACATCAACCCTGGCTCTTGCGAGGAATAATAGACCTTTCTCTCCCCCTACAACTATTCTTCTTCTACTACTCCCTCAAGAATCAGTGCTTGGGGTTCCTATAGCCTCTCTAATGTTTCTTTTCTATTAATAAAATTATTATTATTATTATTAAATGCTATACTATACATACACACATCACTTGTTAATCTCAATCTTCTTATCCTCACCACCGTACACAACACCAACTCTTTCTTCGCAGTCAACTGCAAAAATCTGCCCTTCGAGCCCCTTCTCTCTGCTCAATGTATAAACAGGTCTATCACTTCTAACATCCCAAACTTTCACACTGCCATCATGACTCCCACTGACAAGTCCGTACTCATTGGTTGTGTCAGCAGCCAAACTAACCACGAAATTCTTGTGTCCCACTAACTGTTTTGCAACGATATTTTTGTTACTCCCAGTCCCAACTCTAGGATCATGTAACATTATATGCCTGGCCGATGACCCACATGCCAACAAGTTCACAGTCGGCAATTCGACAACCGATAACAAAGAAAACCCAGTCGTACTACTACTCACGGCTCTTCCAGTAACCAAATCCCAAGTCTTTATAGTGTGATCTTGGGAAACCGAATAACCAACACTGCTATCCAATTTAGAAAACACAACCCCTTCTACTGGTTGTTTGTGCCCTTCAAGGGTGATCAATGGTGAACGACGCTTGATCAGCTCGTCATTAATCGCCAACTTCCGTCTCTTTTTGGCAGCTGTAGATGTTAAATTATTTGCTAACTGGTCGTGCTCAAAGGTAATTGGTACCATATCCTTCTCATTAGTAGACCACACGTAAATATCATTATCGTAGCCACCACTGAGAATTCTGTTTTCCTTGATGTTAACATCAATACTACTCACCGGAGCTTTATGTCCTTCGAGAATTGCCACAGTTCTCCCCTCTTCAATTTCTCCATCATACTTCTTTTTCATTCTCCATAATCTCACCTGTCTATCATTACCTCCACTAACTACTCTGGTATCACTGATCCATTTGACGCTTTTGATTGCCCCACTGTGGCCGCTAAACTGTTTTTCAATCTCCCCACTTTGGTTCCACACACGGACAATTCCATCATACCCACCACTCAATATCCTGGCCGCACTATCTTTCTGTTTGTAAATATCTAATGATCCAATCCAATCCTCATTTTCAAAACTAGCGCTCCACATTGGTGGTAAACTGGCTCTCTTATACTCCAATTCCAAAATGACTTCATTACTCATACCATGGTCAGTTAAATAGTCCTGAAGGGATCCGGTCAATATCGCACCATTAATGAGAATATCAAAAGGCACAGGATTGGCAGAGTCTTCTCTTTTCTGATTTTGCACAAGAAGATAATTGATGATTTCTGAAAGACCATATCTCTTCAACCCTACTGGTGCGAAGAGCGCAGTATCTGGGACTTGTAAGGATTCATCGTGCTCCTTAGTTGTAAATTTGATTTTCACTTGAGAGTCTTGCTCACTCATTTTGAAGGAATTTATCTGTTTTTTGTTTCTTGGAGGATGCTCTGATGGTTTAGGCTCATAATAATAAATATAAAAAAAAAAAAAATTTTTTTGTAATGAAATTTTTCTTGGGGATATGCTGCCCTGGCGATGAGATGGAGTTGAGAAAGCACGTCAGTAGAATTCCAGCATGATCGGTCATCTCTCAAAATAATTAAGAAACGAATTCACCCAATGGTAGGTATTTTCTGCAATCTTTTTTTTTTAAAGGCTCTTTTCCTTTTTCTGGAACTTTTTGTTGTTCAAGACACGATGTTTCTGAATATAGTTCTTATAAATGCCATTAGTACCATCTACCCAGCATCTGCTATAATCAGCAATAATAATATATGTATTGTAAGATTTCCGCATACATGTTGCTTATTTCTTTGTCATTTATTTAAGACTTGCTATTAGAATCTAGTAGCAAATCAATATACAATTAAATAATTAGAAAATGTCCGAATTTCAGCTACTGTTAACAAATGATAGCCCACATAGCACACCTATCACACAATCTTGCATGATTCCAAGAGAGATTCAACCTATTTAAAAGCCTTATGATCTGACCCATTTTCTTTCTCCTTTTGAAAAACCCAATTTTTTTACTCAGTTGTTGCGAATATTAATAAATATTTCGTTCAAGACGTGGGGGTTACTGAGAAATATAATTTATTAAGGTCATGCATGCTTGGGATTGCTAAGTCTTTGAATGAATTTCCAATATCAAATGCTGTTGTCAGTGAGACAGATCATTTCTTATTAATAATTTTTTATTAAATTTGAGATCCATAATGGCTCAGAAGATCTAACTATAAACAAATTGATAAGATTACCTGATCCTCCCCACAGTGTTGCTATTTAAAAGAAGGACAAACAAAGAATTATGCTTCATTGTAAAATATGGGTTAGCTTAGTAAATAATTGTCGGATGATCTATTAATTATATCCTTCTTGAAGTATATTTGTGGGATGAAAGAAAAAAAAAAGTGTTAGAGATCACTATAGCACTTTATATCGAGAAAAATGATTGAGCAACCATGGAAAAGATTTTAACGAAGTATGAAAGGTTGATTCAGTATATTTTCATCAATAATATGATAACAATGCCACGGAAACAAAACCAGCCTCATCACGATATTTTCATGGAAAAGCAGTCTTTCACAATTGATGCATCGGAGAGTTGTTTGTTCATATATTCTTTCTTTTTTTTTTTGAGAGAAGGTAAATTAGCAGGCCACTGCCTTACAATAAAGAATTGGTAAGTTTGATAACCAAATTTTTAATAATACAAATAAATAAGCACTTATTATATAAGGTAAATTCGCACCGAGGCCCAAAACCTTTTCAATTATTATGAGTTTGTCACCATACCAAATCTCACAAGTTAGCACTGGCCAAAACCCATTAGAAATAAAGATACGGAGACTGGTGATAAAAAAAAAAGGGGAGGGGGAGGGAAATGGTCCAGGATTGGGTCCTTCAAAGTTTTAGTCGGAAGCAACGTGGCATATTTTCAAAAATACTGTTCAGTATTTTAAAAGTAAGAACAATTCCTATTGATCGTTTCTATAAAGATATTGAACCACGGGATATGTTTATGTATATATTTCTTAACTTTGAAGTGGATTTGATTCTTTTCAGAGTGGACAATCCGGTAGTCACAACCATTTTGATATCAACTAATCCCAAGCTAGAATAATAAATGTCATCCAGCCGCTGATCAGAGTCAGTAGCCAGTACTATTATTATATTATCATTTGTCAAGTTTATATATCTTGATTGACAATTGAAAACCGGCTTGTTGAGCTCTTTTTTTTTGATTATTGATTACTAAAAGTAACCATGTCTCACAAATATTCCATCGAAAACCAATCTACTAGATGTAAAAACAACATGCATAGCTTTTCATTAAATAATGTACAAATATTTTAAGGGGTCCCAAAGTTAGGTCAACCCAATAAAACAAGAAATAAAACCCAAGAGAATAGACAAAAATAAGCAAAAAATAAAAATCGAAAAACATCAACTCAGGAAGCCAAAAGATGCCCAAGAAGAAAGAAAAAAAGCAATATCTCCTATAATGAAATAGCATAATATCTAACTGAGGATGTGTAGGCCAAAAATAAAGACTTCATCAAGATGACACCAATCTTGTTACCTAGATTTTGGTGTATTACTTCTTTGTGAATTGTTATTAATTCACCTCCATAGGGTGCTTTTTGTAAATGATTCATTCACATAGACGTTCTATGTTATCCACCATCATGGTTAATCAATTATCATCCATAACCTCATGTGCAAACATTTTGGTGTCCCATTCCTTCTTGAAATTATCCTCCAAGCTCAGTAATTGACTGATGATCGAAGCACATGCATTCTTCAATGCCTCTGTCGGCTTATAACCTTCTTCTGTTTGAATTCTCATTTTGAATTTAGGGAAAAGTGGATGTTCAATCTTGTAACCGACAAATATCACTCTTCTGTCAGCCAACAATTGTGCACGAAGTAAGTTACCTAAGGTATGGTCCTCACGTTCGAACTCAATAATTGCAGCGTTACGGGCTTTTCTATCTGGTTCAATTTGAAGTTTTGGAGTACCATCAGGCAAAAGAAATAATTCGAATCTTTCTGGGGCGTTCATGATGAATTAATTGACACTTGGATGATATTAAATTTCGTGACGCAGAAAAACAAAAAAATAACAATAAATGTGAAAACAGATCAGTCAGTCAAATAAAAAGCAGTAGAAACCACTAAAACCACAGCAGGGGAACCAAGGTGATAGTTGATGCAATAACTTTGACTCTGTTTGATTATTATTTTCCATTTCCCGTAATTTTGAGAACACACAGGATTACCCGGGATACAAAATTCAGAAGGAAAAAAAAAATCTATCAAAAAGACCCGTGAGGTTGGCTCTTGCGCTTTCCAGTTGTTGACACATCAACATCTTTATTGTTGGCAAAGGCCACATAGGATACATAAATAATCAATGAGTAAATATAAAAAAATTAAATGATAAATAGGTAAATTATAAATAAGTAAATGATAAATTGAAAAAAAAAAAAATGGAAGGAAAAATAAAATAGAGATAACGGGAGAAAAACAACTAAACTCAAAAAGATAGCAGTCAATTAATGAACTAAAATAAAGCTAAATAATAATAAAAATGGAAAAAGGAAAAATTGATTGAAGTAGATGAATATATATATATACATCTTGCTATGTTTTATATAAAGAGAGAGAGAAAGAGAGAAAGAGAGAAAGAGAGAGAGAGAGAGAGAGAGAGAGAGAGAGAGAGAGAGAGAGAGAGAGAGAGAGAGAGAGAGAGAGAGAGAGAGAGAGAGAGAGAGAGAGAGAGAGAGAGAGAGAAAGTAGAAATGAATGAACAAATAAAACAAAATGTGTAAATAGATAGCGGATTAAACGAACGAAAAAAAGGAAAAAATAACAAGGAAACAAAAAAAAGACACACAACAAAGAAAGCAGGCACTCAAATAATGATAATAATAATAAAAAAAGATTGCTAGTAATGATACATAATCAATCAAGTGATCAGTTTAAAGATCACAGAAGATAGTCGAGGGAAAACAAAGATTTTTTTTTTTTCAAAGAAAGATTTCACTGTTGGTGGTGGATTTGGACGCCCGTTTGCTCAGGTAATAATTTATAACTGTACTCCACGAGGAATTCCACCACTTTTTGAGATAAAACATATTCATCTGGTGACATATCGTGTTTTGGATGCGATAAAATTGAAGGCTGGAAAACCGCTGAAAGATTGGAAGAAGACATTCTGTTTTCTTCTGAATGTTCACTAAAGGCATCAAGCAAGTCGAGAATGTAAAGCAACAACTTTTTACGAAGAATAGGTAAACCGGCAACAAGTTTTTGATACTCTTCCAGGGCTCCCTTAATGTCTTCGACAAAGCGCTTATGTTTTTTCAATCTACGACGCCTTTTCTTCGCAAGTTCTTTGGTTTTCTCATCGACTTCAGGTTGTTCTTGTTCTTGTGCTGAGTCGGCCGGTTCGTCTTGAGCCGCCGTGTTGATTTGCGAAGATGAGGTGTCATCGCTAAGGATAGGGACGGGTTTTCTTGTCACTTGGGCAACGAATTGCGATGGCGCCGGTGTAGTTGATGAGTTGTGGGCAGAAGTTAATTGAGGAGCACCGCCAGCTGATCCCGGGTTGGGCGTCGAGGCTATTGGACCGGTGGTGGATGATGTAGTTGTGATATTGTCTTTAGGTGGGTTAGAAACACCTCTGTAGGTGAAATAAGCCAATACTCTTGGTCTTGATTTCAAAGGAGCCCTAAATGCCTCGTATTGGTCCAAAGGTATCACTGGCTGGGGCAAGGAGTTCAAGTATCTCCGAAGAAGTGACGCAGCATCATGTACGGTAAACCCATCCCAGTCCAATTTCTTGCCATAGTCCGGGGCTTCACTGAAGATTTGTTGTAGTTCCTTCACTCTTTTACTCGAGCCACCGACTCTGAAGATACCTTCGACAGATAAACCGTTGAGTTTAAGGAACGAGCCGCATTTTGCTACCACGACAGGGATTTCACCGTATTCTGCAACGTCGGCAGGCTTGTTTTCATTATCATCATCATTGGCTTGGGAGCTGTTGGGGACATAGATTTTGGCGGAGGCAACTTGCAAGGATTTTTCTAGCTCGACACCAAAGATCGAGTTATTGCTGAGGTCGGTATTTTTGCTTTGAATGAATTGTTCTCTAAGATCCTTAAAGTGCTGGGTTGAAGATTCTGCTGGGGGATGTGAGATAGTGGTGGTTGGGTCGGTGACAGACGATGTTGCTGGGGGGTCATTGTCGTGGGGAGATAAAGAAAGGGGCATGTGTTGGTGATCCGGGTCGTCATTGTTTGGATCTTGTGAGCCTTTGGATTTGAATTTCCACCAGGAAATCCTTTGGTTAGAATCGCCAGCCATTTTAGGAGTGGAAGAGTACTTGCGATAATTGGGAGGAGAGAGTGAAAGAGACTGGTGAAAGAAAAATGATATGCCAAACGTGGAGGATGCAAAAAGAGTTTGGGATATTTTTCCTTTTTTTTTTTTCTGACTTTTTTTTTATTTGGTTTTTTTTTACTGTGTTTTGTGAGAGGAAAACGCAACTTTTTATTTTGTTTTTTAATCGCACTGAGTAACACCCTTGGGGGATGGGAGAGTAACGGTGACTTATAATGATGTAGAATGAGATAGTAATAGTGTGGTATATATATATATATATATATATAAATATATGATGAGATAGCATACACTCCAATAAACAGTAATGCTCCGTTTGCCACCCAAGAGAAACAAACACCCACCAGGGCCTCGTAACATTTCCATTTTTTTTTTTCTCAGATGGCGGGCACAAAATTAGGAAAAAGTACAAAGTGATGCTGGTTATCATATGTATCATATTATCTTGCACTATACACAGTATATATACTCATCCAGCTCATCAAGAGGGTTATGAATTGTTGCTACCTTGCTGGACAAGTCAACTATTCCTGAAAAACTTATTGTTCTTCCCTCATTCTTGATTATATTTCTTATCTTGGTGCCCGCCCTCCCCATCACAGTTATTATCATATACACTAACAAATCACCAAAGTCCCTCCCTAATAATCCCAGCTTTTATAGCCAAATCTTCTCATCATGGAGTCAAGCGATAATAATAATCGATCAGTGGTCGACAAAATATCTCCCCCAAGCTCCCCGTCGCCCTCCCCTTTCAGATCAACTAATCACAACAAGTACTCATCATCAACTTCTTCTCCTTTACCCGTGCCAAACCTGTCTCCAAACAGAAAAAAATTGGCCAGCAAAACAGTATACGGAGACCGTTATATCCCTAACAGAAACTCCGTCGATATATCAGCAGCATTTTCCCTCAACCACCATGTATTCTCGTCTCCGTTAAATGACACCAACCAGGACCCCGAAAGTGACTTGGATTTGAAGAGAAAACAAGAAGCAAACCTTACATTCTCAACCATCTTGAAAGCAGAGTTATTTGGTGACAATGTGCCAAGCGCCACCCCGCCTTCTCGTATCGGCAACATTAACCGCCCATACACCTCATCATCATCGGCATCGGTCCTCAACAATCTTAACAGTGCTGGCATAATAAATAATGAACAAACTCCCCCAAGAGCCCAGAATGATATCAATACCAATGTAAATGACGTTGACAATCTTGACTTCTTTGGGCCAGCCATCAACAATAATGGCTCAAGTTCTCATTCCCCATCAAATCATCAAGCTAATAGCCTGAACAATTTTGACTTAAACCACGCCCTAATAAATGATCTTTCGACGAGAAGAAGAAGAAGAAGAAGAAGCTCCCTAACACGAGATAGTCCCGAGAAAGTCATTGTCACTTCTCCCAAATCATCGTCAAATTTATTGACTTATAAATCACCAAGAAAAATCAAATCAACTTCTACCTTTAATGCTGACGTTACCAACGAAATATATTCCTTATCCCCAGTCAGACCGGATTCCCAACGGTTACTACTATCACCTCAAAGGAAACCCAGACAAATATCAAAGGTACCGTACCGTGTTCTCGACGCCCCGGAATTGGCCGATGACTTCTACCTCAATTTGGTGGACTGGAGCTCCCAAAATATTTTGGCTGTTGGGCTAGGTTCATGCGTATATCTATGGGATGGTGTAACCGGCTCCGTAGATAGACTTTGCGACTTGGGCGACAACAATAAAATCACTAGCTTGTCGTGGATTGGCGCAGGTACTCATTTGGCAATAGGAACCAATATGGGGTCGGTAGAAGTTTGGGATGCTACAATGTGTCGATGTACAAGAACTATGACCGGCCACATTTCCCGTGTTGGCTCACTAGCATGGAACGAACATATTCTAAGTTCTGGATCAAGGGACCGATCAATTTTGAATAGAGACGTCCGGGTTCCCGAGCATTATATTAATAAGCTTGAAAATTTCCATCGTCAAGAGATTTGCGGTCTTCGATGGAACGTCGAAGAAAATAAATTGGCTAGTGGGGGTAATGACAACAAACTACTCGTTTGGGATGGATTCAATACCTCAAAGCCGTTGCACAGCTTCGAAGAACATACTGCAGCCATCAAGGCAATTTCTTGGAATCCTCACCAACGTGGTATACTAGCATCAGGCGGAGGTACGGCTGACAGACGAATCAAAATTTGGAACACTATTACAGGTACCAAATTAAATGACATCGACACTGGATCTCAAGTGTGTAATTTGATTTGGTCCAAAAATTCTCATGAGTTGGTCAGCACCCACGGTTACTCAAAAAATCAAATTGTCATCTGGAAATACAATCAAAGCAATAATGGCACAGCATCCCCAAATATTCCTGTTACTCATTCTGCAACAAACAATTCGTACGAATTGACACAAATTGCTTCGTTGACTGGACATACATACAGGGTGTTGTATTTGGCAATGAGTCCAGATGGTGAAAGTATTGTGACTGGCGCTGGTGATGAGACTCTCAGATTTTGGAAAGTGTTTGAGAGAAATAGGAATGATAACCAAAACAGTATACTATTGAAGTCATTCATGCAATTGAGATGATATTTACGATTATATGTATTAATTTAATGAAATCTTTTTAATTTTTTTGTTGGAATGTCTATGATTGTAGTTTGGTGGGACCCAGTTTTCCGGTATTATTATTCTGTCGCTTTCCACGTGATGATGTTTAAAAGCAAAAAAAAAAAAAAAAAATGCGATAGAGTGATGATGGCAAATGCAGGAGAGAGATAAACAGACATCCTTCCAATCAGTAGACCAATCAGTACGAGAAAAATTAGCACAAATATCACTTTGTCACAATACAAAATTGAGAGGCTTGCTATCCATACCTAGTATACTCCGATTCGAGGAATAATGGATGAGGAATTTGCATCTGTGCGTTGGGATAGAGACTCAACTATCAACAACAACACCGCCACCAAACTGGCCCAAACACCTCCACGATCGCCAGCCAAATCTTCTGGCTTATCCTCCCCTTCAAATATCAATGAAATATTAACTTCGAATGCTGGAGCCCCAAAGGATGAAACAAGAAGTCAAGGCGCAATCCACAAAAGAGAACACAGTGCAGTAGAGTCGATGTCCGATAAGTACAAAGTGAATGAAGAAGATAATACAGTTTTTGTTACCTCAGTCGTATCTTCGCCCCAAAAGGAAAGTGATGGCCAGAATGCTTATATTTCGTATCTCATTGAAACTCATACCAACGATCCATTATTCAAAACCTCCCGGCTCAAGGTTAGACGCCGTTTTTCTGACTTTTACTTTTTGTATCAGTGCTTGATTAATGACTTTCCGGCCTGTGCTTTACCTCCGTTACCTGATAAGCAAAGATTGGAATACTTGAAAGGTGATCGTTTCGGGTGGGACTTCACAAGCAAGAGAGCGTCATCATTGACAAGATTCTTGAGGCGAATGTCATTGCATCCTGTGTTGAAACGATCAAAGATTTATCATATTTTCTTAGAGTCGAGCGATTGGAACTCGTACAAAGATAGTTTGAACGTTGCGCATGCCCAGAAACACAATAACGAGAATAATGAGGGAGAATTTGGGAATTTGAATCCAGTTTCCGACTCGATTTCTGACATTTTCATGAATGCTTTCAAACACCCGCAAGCCCAGCCTAACAAGGAGTTTGTAGAAATTAATGAGCGGTGTAATAAGCTCAATGATAATGTCATCAAAATTGACAAGAGTTTCCAAAAATATATTAAGAGATTGGGCGATTTGGGGACTAACTTCCAGTCGTTTGCTGAATTGGTGGTAAAATTGGATGAATTAGAATCGAGCAACTCATTAACCAATGAAAATAATCAAGGCGTAGATGGTACCACAAAGCAAAGAAGCGATGATCCAGTGATAAAAAATCAGCCAATAATGAAACCCTTACCGTCTATCAAAGATGAATCCGATAGAACGTTGAAAAATAGTAAATTCCTTGACGAGTCCAAATCATCAAGTTACGTGAAATTCAGCAAAGGTTTAGAGAATCTATCTATAGGATTGAACCAATTAAAAACCTATTTGGACAATGATTATTTGATATCATTAAAGGATTTGGAGAACTATATTTACTCAATCAAAAACTTGATAAAGGTCAAAGAACAAAAGCAAATTGATTTCGAGGCGTTATCGGAATATTTGGCACGAGCAATCCAAGAAAAAAATCAGTTACTACAGCAGACTGGTGGGCAATTCACAGATGATGTCAGCTCATTGGCCACCCCTCATAGCACCACTCTGGTAGCAAAAGACCCTAGCATCACTTTGCCCACCCCAAAACCCTCGACATTAACCACCCTTGCTGCCAATACAAGCAACTTTTTATCTTCGAAGTTGGACGATATAAGGGGGATAAATTCCATGTATCAGAAGAAGGAAAGATTAATCAAGTTATCCGTGAAAATCGAGACCTTAGAGCGGGAGGTTGTTAATGCCAAACAAATATTTGAAGTATTTGAAAATGAGATCTTACACGAAATGCAATACTTTGACGTTATAAAATCAAATGAATTGAAATACAACTTAAGTGATTTGACAAGCAATTACATTGGGTTCTACAAAAACATCATCAACGATTGGGAAAAAATTGAAAAATCCTTGGAAAGTGATATAAACGATTATAATAAGAGAACAAGTGTTGAATGATTTAAATGCTTTCTGTTCAAGAATTTTGAAATCGAGAGATGTGGCCTTTTTTTTCTCTCTCTCTCTCTCTCTCAAAAACTTCCTCTCACCACAAATTTTTACCAACCTATGATATTTCTTTTCCTTTATCGGTTTGGTTTATCCTTCAACAAATAGTTTTCAAATTGTGTAACTGAATAATATATTCATCGTATGCTGTGAGTTTATGTATTTGCAAGTGTGATCAGTATGATTGTAGCAGGAAAAAAAAAAAACCAAAATGATCATAACCAATTTTTAGATGGAATTCCTTATGAAGAATCAAGACCAAACTAAATAATAGAGTCATATAATGATAAGGTACCCTCGTTCTTTGAAAGTGCTACGAAACTTTCAAAGATCTTATAAAGTCTTAGCTATAGAAACTTCCTGTGATGATACTTGTGTGGCCCTCATAGACCGTCCAGATGTCAATAGTCCTCCAACTCTTGTATCACATCAACGAGAATCACTTGCATCAGTAATAGAGGACGGAGGAATCATTCCTACAAAAGCCCATGTACTTCACCAACAGCGTCTTGGGAAATTAGTGAAAAAAACCATAGATGAGTTTGGTAATCCCCAAATAGATCTTGTTTGTGCCACCCGCGGCCCCGGGATGCCTGGAAGTTTGAGTGTGGGCTACGAGTTCGCCAAAGGATTGAGTATCGGATGGAATGTGCCTATTGTTGGAGTTCACCACATGTTGGGCCATTTATTAATCCCACGGATGATTTCAAATGGCCAGCTGCCTAGTTTCCCATGTGTCAGTTTATTGGCCAGTGGGGGACATACGATATTGGTATATTCTGAAAGCGTGTTGAAGCACGAGATCATTGGTGAAACCATTGACATTGCTGCGGGTGATGCCATTGATAAATGTGCTAAGTATATTGGCATCAGAGGCCAGATGATGGGGAAGGAACTTGAAAAGTTTGTATTTGGTGATGATAAAGACACAAGCATGCATGAGATGGTACAAAATTATACACAATTGCTGATGGACCCACATTTAGCACCAGTCGATCTACCAAACCCATTGAAGGCGACTCCTAAAAGTGTCAAAGTGACAAAGTATTCCTATTCTCCGTTTATCACGCAAATGAAGAATGCTAGTGAAAAGTATTATCATGGAGACATTCAAAATGTCGCAGTGGACATCAAGAAGATACTCGGGTTCGAAATTCAGGATGCGATTTTTGGCCACACAATCTATCGAACGAAAATTGCCTTGAATAACCACAAAGAAAAGATTGCCAACGCCAAGGATTTTGTGTGCTCCGGGGGTGTTGGATCAAACAAGTTCTTACGGTACTTGCTCGCCACGGAACTCAAAAACCAGTTCCAGAGATTCCATTTCCCCGACCCATCGCTATGTACTGACAATGCGGTGATGATCGGATGGGCCGGAATCGAATTGTTTGAGAAAGAAGGGTTGACGACCGATTTGGAAGGTATTTCTCAGCGGAAATGGCCATTGAGCAACATTTTGGACGGGGCTGATTGCTGGGTGAAAAGCAAACAAAACAAACCTCCTATTTGAAATGTCATGTATATGCAAACTTGTAGATATAGGTATTTAGTAATCAGTATTACAGCTTTAGAACAGCCAGTGAACAATAAGAGCTACTGCAAATTACATGGGATGGAAATCCGTAGATTCTTTTTAGGTGGGGTGCGCAACGCAGTCCATGCATAGAGAATTATTTTGTACATAATCGTCAGGATTAATAGACATCGATTGCTATATGAATGATATCATTGAGGGGAACTAGGAAGAGCACGCCAGGAGCTATGAATAGTATAAATATCGTTTGGCATATGCCCTCTACTTCAAAATAATCTCAACCAATTTTTAATTAAACTACTTCTTTATCATCTCATTACTAATTTCAACACTCAACTATCCTTATAAAAACCTGCTGCTAATATAATCAAAATGTCCGACTTTGGTAGAAAGAATTTTTCCGATAAAGTTACCGAAGCTGTCAAGCCAGATTCGGAAAAGAATGGGTTGGAACAGGCCAAAGAAGCCATCACCAACAAGGCTGATCAACTTGGCTCTAAAGCTCAACCAGAGAGTGAAAAGTCTTACCTTCAAAAAGCTTCTGACGCCATTGCCGGGACCACCCCTGAAGATTTGCAAAAGACTGCTGGTGAGTATGTTGAGTCTGCTAAGCAATATGTCAACAATGCTCTTGGTAACGGTGGTAACAATAGTAAATAAATCATTGCAAACATGAAAATCCTTTGCGTGTTTTAAGTACAATATTTAATAATAATGATTAACAATGTTTCCTATGTAAGATTTTAGATAGTTATGATTGATTTGACTTTTGGTCTTTGTGAGTTTTCACCAACTTTATAGCCTCTTCTAATTCCTTGATTGCAGTGTCACTATCTTCAAACTCCAAAGCACTTAATGCAAATTTGCAACACTTCATGGCTTGTTCAAGGATATCAGAATTATTCATGATTTCTTCCACTGTGAATTCAGGCTGAGGAGTAGACCTTTTCGAATTTCTGGCCGATTCTTTGGCAATTATGCCAGCAATTGACGGGTTAGATGGTTCCAGCGAATTTTCTTTAGAGGTTTGATTCGAATTTTCTTTTTGTTGCTTATCTTTATCATTGACTGATAATGGAATATCTGGGAACTTGGTCAATTTGTTTGCGCTTTCATCGTTTTCATCGACTTCACTTTCGCAGTTCAATGCATATTCAATAGTATCCATAACTTCCTTTTTTGAAAATGTTTCATTAAGTTTTATCACACTGAACATTAATTTATGGACTTTTGTGAAATCGAAATCGGTGTTTCCATGTTTTTGAAAATGAGACTTGATGAGTTTAATTAATTGTACCCCGACAATTTTACAGTATTTAGCCTTTATGATGATTTGCTTATCAGTCAACAATCTTTTGGATGATAATAACTTCTGTGACCCTGTTGATTCTTTCCCTTCTGATGTATAGTCATTGTCATAAATGGCTTCTATGTTACTTAAATTGAATTCATGCGGAGGTTTGTGGGAATCTATACTAGCTTTAGAATCAGGAAATAGACGCAAAACAATTTCCAAAAGGTATGAAGCATTAATTAAATCTGATGCTGTTTTCTTAGTGGCAGTATTATTTTCAATAAGATGAATGGAATCCTCAATAGCTTTCAAAGATAAGTCAACCAAAAAGTTTACGCTGAGGGTTTCATTTTCAATAATTTCTTCTGCAGAAAAACTAAGGGAAGATAAGCCTTCTTCAGGAGCCGAGTCTGCAAAAGAAGCAAGGCTATTTCTTGATAAAATAGTGTGAGCTGAGTTCATTTCTGACCTACGTTTTGTTGGAGTTAGGTTCTTTTGATCTTCTTCGAAGATTTCATTGTCCATAGACGTTTCAGGATTGTCCTGTGAACTTGGGGTAGGATATGCTTCATCAACTAGTCTCTCAAGATCAGAAAAATTCGATTTGAATTGCAATTCGATGTCATCAATACTGCTGGATTGTAACTTTATTGATAACTCATCAAGTTGTGACGAGACGTCAATCAAATGGTTGGCTGCAGTTGACAGGAACGAGATGCTTAATGGGGTCGAGATCAAATTTTTCTTTTCACACTCCAATAATTGCATCAAATCGTTTATGGAAGTCTGAAGTTGGGTGATTTGCCATGGGTTCAAGCCATACTTATTCAAGCCGCTTTCTAAATATTCTGAAATTAGAGATATCAAGAGCTGGGTGATGTGAAGGGCAACGAAGTGACGAACAATTGGTTGAGAGGGGTAAGACAGAAGCAATTTAAACCAGTGTCCGACAAAAGGTCTAAGCAGTGTGGGAAGAGTGTGGTAAACTTGAGAATAATCCATGATTACCAAGTAATTAATATATAAATAGGATGAAAGATGATAAACTGGCATTGTTATTGGGTTTATTGTCGTTTTTCTTGCAGGGTGGCCATGTGCACACCCCGGGCAGTGCTGCGTAACATTATTTTGAGCAATTTGAAATCATTCTAATTATATAACAACCTCCCCTTCTTTTTGCCAGTTATTACCATTCCTACAAAACAAACAACAGGCCAGCAGAATGTCCGTAGCTGCTGCTTTCAACAAGACTCTCAATAGAAGAAGTCGGCAACCTCAGTTCTTGCAGAAACAAGAGAATCTGCCTGGCAGAAGAACCGTGTCTCATCCTTCCAATAACTTGAATAACCACGGGTTTCTTGATGAGACTGTTAAATCCCCACAAAGTCCAGTGTATGACCCAACTGAGTTAGACAGTCCGTTCCAGAATCTTAGTGTTAATGATAATGCTGGTGAAAAGGGCTATAGCACCCCCGAGGTTGATAATTCCCAACAATTTGATAACCAAACGACCCCTTCTAATCCGATTGACGGGCATGGTTCTTCTTATTTGACTACTCCAGTAGCCCAGATTATTGGCAGTAACTCCAATGTTTCTTCTAGACATTCTTCTAGAAATTTCACTGTGCCAACCAGCTTTTTGCGTCACAGTTCTGATGCAAGGGTTTCTTATATTGATAGTTCTGTTACCAAAGTGGCTAACATTTGTGCCTCTCCTGAACGTGTGAATAATTCTTCAGCCAGAAATTCAACTTCTTCTATTGACTTCACTGAAAAACGGAATAGGAGAAAATCTTTCAGCTTAATCTCCGCAGACTCAACCCCAAAAGACCCTCACCATGAGAATAAAGTCCACAGACTATTGGAAATACCAAAGAATATTCCTCAAGAATTGGTACCAATTTTAACCTTATTCAATTCCCAGCAGGCTAGAGTCTATAAAGAAGGCTATTTCCAATTGACTACTGAAAAGGTCGTGGGCTCTAACTACAATCGCTCAGTGTCCAATCCGATCTCTGATACTATTTCTTGTTATGGATCGTTGTCTGGTAATGAATTGGCGATTTGGGATATCAATAAGCAAGACTTTAAGCCGATATACGTCAATGTTACTGATGCTTCCTTCACCAACTACTTTGATAGCAATACCATAAAGATTATCAACCCGTCATCAAATCATTATTTCTTGAAATTCGAAACTTTAGAGCACCATAAAGCCTGGTTTTCTGCGTTGATCCTTTCATATTTTGAGTATAATAGTTTGCACGAGGCATATACTGGTGCCTTGTTATCCGCAAAAGCTGTCCACATGAATGATATCAAAATGATTTTAGCGGAAACAAGATACAGCGTCGGTGAGTGGTGTAATATGAAACTTAACTATCTATCTTCCAAATGGATTAAAGTTTACGTTGTTACCGTTCCAAAGCAAAAGGATAAGTCCGGTCATGTTGATATTTATAGCTCTGATAAAACAAGTAATAAGAAAAACTTGATTCTTACAATCAATAAAGGGTTTTCTTGCGTGAGCGTTTACCCAGCTGTCGCCGAGGCAATTAACCAGTCTTCTGAACTAAAGGTTGAAGGTGAGATAACCGTGCATAACTGGAAATTTTTATTAAATAAAGGGGTTAACAATAACACCTCTATTTTGCCGCCATCTCCAATGTATGTGAGCCACGATGAATCAAGTAATGGTACGAAATCTGGGAACAGATCGAGATCCTCTTCATTCGGGTCTCTTCGAATTGGTAGAAAAAGATCATCATTGAGTTTAGCCTCCAGCAATAGTGGTTCGATGGTTGGTTCAACCAATGATAGCTCCATAACTAGCAACTTCCCTAATGGTAACAACTTACTGATGCCAAATAGCCAAAACGAGTTCACTTCGTCGTTGTATCTTATTCCAGAAACACATCCGGGTGTTCCTGGTTTCGAGACTATGGTAAGAATGTTGATTCCTTTGTTTGATGCCTTTGAATTGTATGGTAGACCAAAAAGATTACAATCGAATAGATCAGAATTGAATAGTTTATTATTTGCCTTACCAACATTACCAAAATCAAAATATCTTGATTATGAAGATACATTCAAAATGATTAATGACAAAATCTCGGGCAGACCAGTCCAAAGACAGAGCGATAATCTTAATAATTTTGCTAACAAGAAAAAGACTACTACTACTACTACAGCAACTTCTGTGAAAAAAAAGAAATCTTCGAGTTTACTTTCGAAATTCAAGAAGCTTAGGGAGGATAAGGATGAAGGTTCAGTTACACCGATCGCTACTCCTGACCATGTCATCGAGGTTTCTGAGTTTGAACCAGGAGTTCCTGTTGAGCAATGGACAAATAGAGAATGGTTGTTCTTCTTGAAGCATGAATTGAAGTACAAAATACTGAGAGGTTATGATGGTGCTGGCCATTTGGTGGAGGATTTTGAATCTTTGACATGATAACGTTGTTTGCTAAAAGATGTTTGGCTTTTTTTTCATTCTACTCACAAAAAAAAAAAAAATTAAGAGCACATTCTGGTTTTCACCGTTTTTTTTAGTTGTTCATAGGATAGATGAATTCTCTCTTTTTCTTTTGTCGTTTCAATCTTGTTCCTAGAAGTTCTTATAAAGGTTAAATATATTTGCTGAAGTTATGCTGAGTGGGTTGAATTTGTATTAGACGTAATATCTTACCCGTGTGAGGCTTCTGGTGGTGTGTCCGGGCAACGCATTTCGGACACTTCAAAATTTTTCACACAAAGAAAAAAAAAATTTATGGAAGAATTTAGGGTGATTCATTCATTTGGTGATATTACTGACAGATATCTGCCATTTTACTATATTATTTTCGCAATACCAATAACGGGTCCCTGAGGAAAATCACATAATTTCGCGCTTAAGATCATTTGAAAGATTCCAAAGGTACGTGAATTGCTTTTACAATAACCACCTTGGCTAAAATCTTGAATCTAACCAGACAGAATAGTTGATCAGCATAATAGCATACAGAAACAATCAAAATGAGCAGAACAAATTGCAGATTCTATGAAAACAAGTTCCCAGAGGTGGACGAAGTGGTAATGGTTAATGTCCAACAGATCGAAGAGATGGGTGCATACGTCAAGTTGTTGGAATATGATAATATAGAAGGGATGGTTTTGTTGTCTGAATTATCCAGAAGACGTATTAGATCCATCCAAAAGTTGATCCGTGTTGGTAAGAATGAAGTTGTCGTGGTGTTAAGAGTTGATAAAGAAAAGGGTTATATTGATTTGTCCAAGAGAAGAGTCTCTAGTGAGGAAATCACCAAGTGTGAAGAAAGATATAACAAGAGTAAATCGGTTCACTCCATCTTAAGACAATGTGCAGAAAAATTTGACGTACCATTAGAATCATTATACGAAAAAATTGGCTGGCCATTGAGCCGAAAATACGGCCACTCCTATGATGCTTTCAAGATCTCCATTACCGATGATGATGTCTGGAATGCTATTGACCCATCAATTGACCAAAGCATTTTGGAAGAACTAAAAGCTTACATTTCCCGTCGTTTGACCCCACAAGCCATCAAGTGTAGAGCTGACGTTACCGTCTCTTGTTTTAGACCTGAAGGTATTGATGCAATCAAGCAAGCTTTGAGAGCCGCTGAAAACTTATCCAACGACCAGATGGAACTTAAAGCCAAGTTAATTGCTGCCCCATTATACGTTTTGACCACCCAATCTTTGGATAAACAACAAGGTCTTGACTTGTTGCAAAACGCCATTCAAGTGATCACCACTGAAATCGGAAAATACGACGGTATTTGTAAAGTTGACATGGCTCCAAAGGCTATCACTGCCACTGAAGATCAAAAATTGAAGGAATTAATCGAAGCCAAGGCCAGAGGTGAAATCTCTGACTCAGAGGATGATGAGGATGACGAAGAAGAAGACAACTGAACCTCTGGGAGAGCCTATTGATTATCATGCTGCTTTCTCCCTTTTCTCTTGTATTTCTAATTGCCATATTCTATATTTCATCTTTGTTTCTATCTTTCTTTTGTTTTAATGCCATTGCTGGTGGAAGTATTTTTGTACAAAGAGTTTTTATTTTTCTTTGAAACAAAAATATAAAATAATAATAAAAAAAAAATTAAAAAAATTGAAAAATTCTCAATAAATGTGCTTAATTTATACTGATTGTTATTGTAGAGTTCGCTACAGTAGAGTTGACGTATTTGTGTGGGCCTATTGTGGTTGGGAACACTGGAGAGGGGGGAGGCATCAGGTACCTTTTTAAAAGCAACTGATCCATCCCTCCTTTAATAATAAAATCTTCCCATGGCATGGCATATCTTTTATTAGGTTATCTATGTCTATATATATATAATTATGTCAGCTCGTCCAGCAACTCATGCAGGCACATGGTATTCTTCCATGGCCTCGACGCTTGATTCCGAATTAACCAAATTCATAAGTGAGGCATCATCGACAACCCCTCTGAAGAACGCTAGGGTATTGGTTGGCCCACATGCTGGTTACGCTTATTGTGGGTCTACATTGGCTGAATCCTACCTGGTTTGGGATACTTCTACTGTTAAGAACGTCTTTATCTTCAGTCCTTCGCATTATGTCTACTTCAAAGGCGCCAGAATATCAAGATACCAATTTTACGAAACCCCCTTGGGAACTATTCCGGTCAACCATGAGTTAATTGAGAAGTTGATTGAAGAAAACCCCAGGGACATCAAATACATGTCATCAGATGTTGATGATGAGGAACATGGTATTGAAATGCATATGCCGATGTTCCACAAATTTACAGAGAAATTACCGCAAGGGGTCCCCAAGATTATCCCTATTTTGATAAGTTCCTCAGATAGGAATTTTGAAAAGAGAATTGCTTCCATAATAGCAAAGTACTTGCCTAATAAGGAGTTTAGCTTCATTGTCAGCTCCGATTTTTGCCACTGGGGATCAAGATTTGATTATACCATGTACACTCCAGATGATTCAGCCTCAAGATTGAAGAAGCTATATCCTCAAGATAATCACACAAATTTGACGGTGCCTATTTATAAGAGCATTGAATATTTAGATAAAAAAGCCATGAAGGTGGCAGCCACCGGATCTTATGACATGTGGAAGGAATATATTGAGAGGACCGGCAACACCATTTGTGGTCAGAAACCAATTTCAATAATAATTGCTGCTTTAGAAAAGTATAATGAAGAATCCTTGAAGAAAGAGAACGCTCTTGGATTTAATTGGATAGGGTATTCACAAAGCAGCAAGGTAACGAGAACTAATGATAGTAGTGTAAGTTATGCTAGTGGCTTTGTCGTTGTGGACTAGCATTTAAGTTTGTTCCTATATGAAAGCTTTTTATAATTTTTTTGTACGTTTTTATTTATGACCAATATTTGTTCAATTGTTTTCTTGGATGAAATGAAAGGAAAATTAACTTTGCGTAAATTTATTTCATGAGAATGGGGCTAATCTTTGAGTACTGTCTTTGAAGTAAAGTAAAACAAAAAAATGAGCTATCAGCAAACTGCTTTGAAAATCTCAAAAAATATTGCACAATATATTAAAACAAAACCTCCAACGATGTATTTGTTGTATGGAAATCAACGTTTGTGTCTTTTTTATCCGGATCAAACTAACCTTTGAATACGTAGTAAGGGTAAGTGTCTGTTATACTACCGCGCTATCTTACTTAACCTTATGAAAAGTAGACAGTTACTGTAGAAATTCAATATTAATTTCTAAGAGATGATAAGATTCAAAATATAAAATATAATTCGTTTAACTACCCGACTTAATTCTATAGCGAAAAGGTACCGCTACACGTTACGCTTAGCACGTGCAAAAGCTTCTTTTTTTTTTTTTTTTGATAAGAAAAGGTGTCAAAACTGGGGCATAAAAGCCATAAAAGCCCCAGTTTTACAAGTTTGAATCTTTCAATTTACAGTAAAAAGAATTGAAGAAAGAATGTCTTTTCTATACTCTTGGGCCTTCAGTAAAGTATGTACTCTGCCCCCTTTTTTTCTTTTTTTTTTACCTTCTTGATGATTGAGTTTCTGTAAATCATTCTCCTAAGAAACACTAAGCATTATGAATATACTAACTGTTACAGCTCATGCCAAAAATAAATGTGGGGACTGAAGATCCGTATTATGAAGTCACAGATACTAAGGCCAAAAATTCAAAAAGAAAGAAGCTAATTCCTGAAGGATTGTCTCCAAATGACGCAAAACTCTTAAAGAAGTTCCGCAAAAAAGCACATAGACTCGACTTGGCCTTTGAGTGTTGTTGTGGGTGCAGAGTTGGGTGGTCGGGAATACTTCAATTAATTCCTTGGATTGGTGATATTTGGGCATCATATTTGGCACTTAGATTGATCCAAATGGCAAGAAAAATAGATGGGGGTCTTCCGGATAGTGTTTACCTGAAAATGTTTGCCAATGTCGTATTTGATTTCACAGTGGGGTTGATTCCCTATGTTGGTGCCCTCATCAATATTGCATATAAGTGCAACTCACGAAATTTATTAATTTTGGAACATTATTTAGTGAGCAACAGGAATAACAGCGAAATTGATTGGGTTGAATTAAGTGGTGCGGTGCCGGGCGACCAGCGAACGGCCACCAACAATCCTACGTATCGAAATAATCCTCCATATCGAGGTGATCCTACTACATATCAAAATGATCCTCCATATCGAAGTGATCTCAATGAAAAAAAGGCTAAAGCATTCACAGTGTCTACAACCACTGATAGACAGTGACAAAAATGATATTTAATAGCAAGGGATAATATGGTAGGTAATTTCTTGGCCCCAAATATGTATATATATATTCAATAATATCTTGACCTCCAGGTAGCCCAATAACATAAAAATACCTTGAGTCGTTATCAAAAATAGTCTAAAGATGGATGCAATTATCTAACTTGTAAAGTTTCTAGCCTGATTTTTTAAAGACATTGTAGATTTCTTTCTAGTAAAAGTCATTCTTCTTTTCAATTTATCACCCAAATTTGGGGTTTTGCTATTCTGTGGTAGACCATATTCATCGAATGTATCCTCCTTTTTCTCCACATCACGACTTGACACAGAAGGACGACTTAGCATATCTTTTGACTTTTTTCTCAACAAAGTAAACCTTTGTTGGGGAGTCTGCCTGTCTAATACTCCGTCAGCAGGGTCTCTTTCATAGGAATCATTATCACTTAATTTAGGAGACGTGATTGTACCGATGCTCGATTTAATATCGATTTTTAAGACTTTGGTTTGAACATCTTCCATATCATCTTTTAAATTCGACGATTTTATTGATTTGTTATACTCCACTTGTAAAGCTGGAGAATCTGTGAGTTTTCTGGTTCTGGACAATCTAAACACCAGCTTAACTGGCTTCAAATAAATCGAGGCCAAAGTCCCAATATTCAATTCAAGCTCCTCTAGAATCAGTGAGTCTAGTTTATCTTGATCAGAATTAATTATTGGTAGCTCTGTTAACACAATGTCTTGGGCAGCATTAGGGAATTTCTTTTGGGAAGACAAAATTTTCCAGTAGAAATATGCTCTATCTCTAAGGTCCGGATCCGATAAGTTCTCTGTGCAAACTTTCAAAATATCCAATAATAATGACTCGCCTTGGGTTGGGCATCTTAAATAAAACTTGATTACTGTGGTGAGAGTAGTTAGCTGCACATCTAAAGGCTCATCTTTGAAAGAATGCGAAAAATCTTTCAATACCTCTAATGATTCTGGAATTAAATAGCAATATGTTCCGATGATCCACATAAATGAAGCCTTTGATTCAGCATCCTCAATAGCATCGGAATTCTCAACAAATATTTTTATCGTATGTTCATCAACCTTATCAGGATACTTTCTATAAATATTTTTCATGACAATCACAGTTTCTTGAATGATGAAAGGGATACCACTACAAGCTAAATTCACAAGCACATCGGTACATTTTTCAGCACCGTCTTCCAATTTGATAGCAAGATTTCCTATGGCTCTAATAGATTTTCTGGACATTTGGATGTCAGCTTCAGTCCCATACTCCTCTAGTTCCCTTAGAACAATTTCCAAATTATTATAATTAGCCAACAAGTAAATGATTTCTAATTTTGTATCCTTAACATAAATAGGATCATGGTATTGGCAAAAGAACATGGTCACATCCAATTTTATAAGATTTGGCTTGGATAACAACAACAAGATGACATTTCTCAAGACCAAAAATTGAATTTCGGGAGACTTTGCTAATAAAGAAACTAATGAATTACCCAATCTCTGGGGTAGGACGCTAATAGAATCTTGGGGTGCTTTGACATAGTTTGATAAATATATTATAACCTTCAAGGCATTTATTGCAACCGCAATATTGGCATGTTGTAGATAAGGCAATAGATCTGAAATTAGGTCAATGGATTCCTGGTTTGACTGAGGAACATAGGATAAAATAGCATTTAGTAAATATGCTTGACTAAACTCGCTGGCTTTTGGTAATAGGCTTACTAAACTTGACACATTTTCTTCATCTATACTTAGCTTCATTTCTGGAGACGTTTCAATTATATAATCAAGAACTGCTACTGTTGCAGACACCACTGAAGCGCTTGGATCATGTAACAACAGATTCAACTTTTCAATGAGTCTCGATTCCTCAATCAATGATGGGTTCAATTCAAAAACCTTGCCAATTCCAAAAACTGTAGTTTTTCTCACATAGCTGTCCGGATCACTTAAAAGTTTCCGCATATAAGGCACCGTAATATCCTTTTGGAACTCTTCTATTGGGAAATAACAAATGGTTTTCATGGCTAACGAACGTATCACAGACGAAGTACTCCTCAAATCATTTATAAATAGATCCTTGTTGGCCAAATACTTTTCAGGAAACAAATGACAGTAAGTAGAAAAATAATAACAGCACATTCCTTTTAATTCTAAATCATCCAACTCATAAAATTGGAAAACAAAAGGGGAAATGTTGATCATTTCATTGTTTCCCATAGTCACATTGGCTACGATTCTTTTCATACACTGTTTCTTGATCTTCAACAGCTTGGCTGATTTCTTTGTCGTTGATCCATTAGTTTGGGAGATAATATCATTTTGGATCTCAATGGCTTTGCATTTTATGAATAATCTGGAATCATTCATGATTAAATTCGATGACGTTGTTGATATTCTCAAAAAAGTGTCTTTTTTGGCATATTTTTATTCTTTGTTTTTTTTTTTTTCCTACTTCAGAAGTGCGATTTTTTTTAATTAGTGCTCCCTTTTTGATACCCGAGTACGGAGGTCACCGCCATGGATATACCACCAAGTTTGCCACCGAAACCAGAAAAAGTGTCTTCAAATGGGAAGCAATCAGCTGGAATTTTTGTACCTGGTGCTTTACAAAGACCTTTAGTGCTTCTTCCAATCGGAAAACTTCAAGAATTTGAAGCATCGATGGAGTTGATGAGAGGATACTTGAGCAACTTGGATAGATTCAAAGCTATTCAAAAAGATCAAACAAAGTTGATTGAGCAGCAGATAAATAGACTAGAGGTATTGCTTCGAGAATTCCTGTGGTTGAATAGTGAGAATAGTGAAAAAAATGTAATCAATCTAAAACTACAGGAACTCCACTTATTGGAGAAGCAATATCGAACATTGGAAGCCACAATGTTCCAGAAATTACAGAATTATCAGGTTAATCATAATGATGTGTTGCGCAGGAAGCTTGAAAGTGGGATCAAAGAAGAAGACCAATTGAGCCAGATTTTGGTAGAAAGTGTGGTGAATGATGACAATGTAGCGCAGTTTGTGGAAGGATACCAAAAAACAAGAACCAGATATCACTATCGATCAGAAGTTCTAAAAAGGTTACAAGAAGATCGAATTGGAGGTGTTCTATAACAATGGAATGTCAGGCACTGGATCTTTGTTTTCCAATATATCACTATTGAAGTAGGATAATAAATGCTGGCGAGACCAATCAACCCCACTTTTAATTTATATATTAATCTTCTGAACTTCAAATTGGGGAGGGGACAAACATTTAATCTTTTTGGTTTTCATTTGTTTTATTTGGTTGCTCTTTCAGCTGTTGCAACAAATGAATCAAAGTCGGTTTTCTTCAGTGGAAGCAATCAGGGGAAGGCCTCTTTTTGCCACTAAGAGGCAACAAAAAATAAAGTTTAATAATAGGGTGGGCTCTTAATAATATAAAATGGCAATACTAAGAAAAATACTACGGTGCTTATCTTTGTAGGATTTCTTGGGGAAGGAAGGAATTCCTGCTGCGCGTTCCAACCATCAACACGGCGCTCGGCCACGGATACTGGGGAGGTGCACCATAATGGATATTTATGGTCGGTATTTAATCCATAAACTCTCCTGGGAAACCTTGGAACCTTGGAACCGTCAATCATCCATTTCTACTTCATTTCCTCTTTCTTTCTTTTTTTTTCTTTTTTCTTTTGCCAACACATTTAGAGATTTATATTTCCACCCCAACATGCATCATAGAATCCAAGGACTGTTTTTGGTGACTCTTCTCTGGTTGGCCAGCATGGCCAGAGGTTATCCATTATATTCCAAGAGCTCTCGCGCAGAGACTGCTCTTGGGCTAAATAAGGCTTATTCCAGACCAAAGGCTAAGCGTTATTCACCATCACAAGCAATTAAACTAGACTTTGATGTTGTGGAAAACACAAAGCCAAAGGAGCAGATTCTGAATAACAATTATCATAGATATTCAGCTGCAGCGCATATCAGTCCCTTGATATTGGAAATTGAAAACCGTTACTCTTTGTACGTGGCAAATCTCGATGTTGGAACTCCAGGAGAAACCGTTCAAGTTCAAATAGACACAGGATCGTCTGATCTTTGGCTTCCAGCACCTGATACAACCAAAGAATATACAACTTTACTGTTGAATTCCAGCACAATGGCCAGTTATTCAAATGAAACATTCCTAATAAAATATGGCGATGGATCATCAGCAACAGGTCTTTGGGTCACTGACAAGTTGAAATTTGGAGGAGTAGTAATCGAGGACATGATTTTTGGATATGCCACAAAACAAACTGCTGGCCAGGGCGTGATGGGCATTGGCTTGAAAAATGGTGAAGCCAGTACCTGGTTAGACAGACCCTTTCAATATGATAACTTTCCTTTTAAATTGAAAACAGAAAATCTCATTGCGAAAGCTGCCTATTCATTATACTTAAATTCCCCGAAGGCTAAGGCCGGATCGATTTTATTTGGTGCGCTTGATAAGGCTAAATATAAAGGAGCCCTAGCATGGTTGAAGCTTGAAAATATTGATTTTAATGGCCATCCTATAGAGCAAGGCACAAACTTTTATGTTTCTCTCGATAGTGTGACCAACAAAGATGATACTAATATTCTTCAGAAATCGACAGCTGCATTATTGGATTCTGGTACAACTTTAACATATGCTCCATTAAATGTCGTGAATGCTATTGGTAGAAAGTATGGTAAATACAACAGATTCATGGGCGGATACATTACGAGTTGTAGCGTGAAAGGTGATCCAGTCAACTTCCAATTTGGTAATACTACTATTAGTGTGCCATTCGAGAACTTTTTGTATGATTTGTCTCGTGATTCACCAATGTACACTCACGACGAATGTTTAATCGGTATCATTAGCAGTGGTAAAAATACCTTCATTCTCGGCGATGGTTTTCTAAGATCAGCATATGTTGTTTACGATCTTGAGGACAGACGATGTGGGGTTGCGCAAGCTGTATACTCAAATCAAACTGAGATTGAGATCCTTCATTAGATCTTTTGATGTACTTTTTATCATTCTTTCATTTCGGTACTCTTTTAGGTTCAGAAGCTTCTTACTTTTTTTTTTCTTGTTTTTCTTCATTTAAGCTCAAAATAAATACCGTCGGCTTTATATTTTAAATTTAATCTGTTGATACATAAAATGCTAGTAACTATTTAAGCTTTCTTTGGAGGAGGAGGCAAATCACCCAGTGCAGAGGCAGCGATTCTGACATCCAACTTCTCACTTTTCTCTGTTTCTTGCTTGAAATAATCGGAAAAATCATTGGTATTCGTATTATGAACATACTTTTTCTTTCTTCTGCTGGAGCTAATAGGCGGAGCACTTGAATCATTAAGGGACATCTGGTTAGATAAGGAACCTGTTGCTGATGACCCGGCTGCAACAAACTCCGAACTATTATTTCCTTCACTTTGAAGATTGAATAATGTCTGTCCTGGCGCCTGCAAGTAACTGCCTCTATCTTCAAGATTAGAAACATAGGATTGTTCAAATTTTCCAACCACTTGGGGAAGTCTATGTAAATAACCATAGCCAACACCGCATCCAAGAATTCCGTTACCTCCCCAATTTGTTCTAGGACAGATAGTGACCGGTCTAACGATGTCGAAATCATGGTTATAAACAATCAACTCAATCTTGCAGTCATTAGGGTTGCGGTTATACATCGAGTTTATGACTCTTGCAAAAAGATCCTCACCACCTGTAGCAAATAAACCATCCGTGGCTCCTATTATATAATCGGAATGAGGTAAAAGTGAACAATCTTCGGCAGGCGAGTTTGGTTGAATCTCCAAAACATGATACACATATGTAGCCGTTATTATTGGTGTTGCTTGAATCGATATTCCTAATGATTTGAACTTATTATTAGTGACAGTATGATTTTCGTTGACCAAGTAACCATCTGAGTTAAAGATTTTTCCATCAGTATCTTCGTATTGTCCGATAGAGACGAGAGAAATCTGTCTCAAGATCCCACCCTTGGCACTCCACACATTGAAAGAAACCGGCTTGTTGATACAATTCTGAATCTCCTGAATGAATAAGTTATAATCAGGGACTCCGGTAGTGTCACCGGCGAGAGAAAGTAGTTCGTGACCATTTATACCAACAATATAATCAAACCAAGGCTCAAACCCAAGTGATGTAGATGTTGGGTTATGTGGATCAACATGTAGCACCCGGAATCCATAAGATGTTCCAGCCGATTGGAAATAAGGATCGGATTCTGTATTGATTAAGTTAGATGATGAAGTGATGATGCTCTCAGCCGACTGCTCAAGAGTCTTTACAATATTCTTTGCGAAAGAAAACATTGCAACTCTCTTTTTCCAGATTGATGGGGGTATTGATGAGACGGAGAGTATGACATTTTTCGACATGTCTTTTTTTGTTGTTGGTTGTTTTTCAAAACCCAAAAGCGCACCACATACGCATTAAGGTGCATCAAAGCGTTTTTTAGTCTTATATATATCTATATTATAGTATGCTTGCAGACATATACTGCCCAAAGAATAGAGCTTCTAATTCTTAAATAGCATCTTGATTGAAAAGTGTTCATTTGATATTACAAACGTATAAATATTAACAAGCAAAGAAGATAGCGAGTGAAAATTTGAAAGCACTGAGACATAAAAAAGAAAAAGAAATGATGATTAATAAGTTACGAAGATAATAAATACCAGAAAAAAAAATTAATAACAGAAAGGCAGCATAATAGTGAAAAAAAAGCTGAAGCACATGAGATTCGTTATCTATAATTATTAATTATTTTGGGATCATAAGATGGATTATAATTTCTATTGATGTTGTTGTTATTGTTATTGGAATTTGCACTAATGTTTAACAAATCAAGTTGGTTCAAAAGCCCTGACTGGTCAAAAACTTGGCCCTGAGAAGTTCCCAAACCATAAGTGCTGTATTGTTGCAGTTGTAATAATTGAGGCGTATTGTACTGCGTTTGGGGATTAGCTGCGAATGATTGCTTGTGTTGTTGCTGTTGTGGGACAGGAATTTGACTACTGAAACCATAATCAAGTGGATTCTGATGAGCAAATTGAGATGGTACTATCTGCTGTAATGGATTTGCAAATCTATTATGATTTGCGTTAACATTCTGTAATTGAATAGGGATTCCATTCATGACATTCATAGACATCAGTATTGAACTATTAGCTTTGACTGCATTGTTTATGCTACTTCCATTATTTCTAACTTGATGCTTGTTATTAACAAAGAAGTTACCATTACCATTTGTCCTGAGAATATTTCCACCATTTTTAACCATTGAAATATTACCTTCTTTACCACTCAAGCCGACTTCATCCATCAATCGTTTATATCCTTGTTGGTAAACAGTGACTTTCATATCGATTAATGCTCTTTTGATTTGATGGATAATTTTCGGCTTCAAATTATTCTCAGTGACTAAAGGAACAGACAAGGTCTTATGGATAAAAGTTGGCCCATAAGTAAACTCTTTTAGTATTTGTTTCAATATTTCTGGAACTTTTGAAGATAATTCTTCGGAATTCAAACTCTCTTTCAGATCTTCTGAAAATTTCAAATCACCATATAATGTTTTCAAAATCAACTCCCCAGCATCAGTGTGATTTCTGTTGTTCAATATTTTCAAGATGGTTAAACTCCCCAACTTATTGTAACTCAACTCTACTAACCAGGGTAAGATCTTTTTGGTTAATATCACAAGTCTATCTTTTAGACTGCAGGTATCTAAATACCAAGTCAATAATAACGCACCATTGTTGTTGATGGCTAAAAACTCTGCATAAACAACAATCAAGGAAGCCAATAAACTGGTCTGTTCAACAGTACAGTCACCACTCTCCAACACTGCACGAATAGCCCTAGAACCATAACGATCTTGAGCCAATACCCAAAATTTGGAGCAAATGGCCTCGAAAATAAAATCATTATACGGTGCTCCAAATTTTAGGCAACCTTGGACCAAATAATTACCAAAAGCGTCCTTGAATAAAGGAGCAACATAAGGTAAAATAGCTCTCTTGATGATAGCTTTCTGCCTGTTAGTATTGGCGACATTGATAATTTTTTGGCCTGCCCATGTACCATTTTTATGAATTCCCATTTGGGCTATATATGGAGAAATTTTTTTCAAAAGCAAGTCTTTAATTTCTTCACTGCAGACTTCAAAGACTTTTTGAACAACCGTGTTACCCAAATAATCGCTTGATAAATCTGCCATCTCATCGTACATTGCCAATGCGATAGACTCCATTTCAAATTGATCCAACTGATTTGAGTCAATGAGTTTTCTGGTTTCTCGTAACTTTGGCGAGTCAAATTCCCTAACAGGAATTGGATCAGGCAAAGGTCCATAATGATCGTCAAAGCCCACATAACCAGCTGCGTTTTTAATCATATGGGCAATAGCGCCATTAGGATCGTCGCATGTTTTGAAACATGCTTCAAACTCACCGAGAATTTTTTGGAGATCGTTCAAAATATTTCCAAATGGCGATGGTTCTGACGTGAGTAGAAGATTCTTCCTTTCATTCTCAACAGGTGATTTGGAGACGTTTTTAGAAATTGTAGAAGCGGTTGTATGGGATATTGGAGTGTCATGATTAGAATTGGAGATTTCAGGTGAGATAATAGTAGCTACCTTTGACTTCAGATTAGCCAGAGAAGAACTAGCATACTGATTAGTCAAGATCTTTGCAAATCCAACAATACACGAATAGTTTGGGTATAATTCTTTGTGATTTAATTGGGCTTTGGCACGCATAGCAACCTCAATTTTATCAAATTCAACCAATGAAAAAACATTTGCAGAAACTGGTGATTGACTTTGAGAATTTGAAGTGATATACTCGTCATCTTCATTAATTGTATGACAATTGTTCTTCTTTTCTTCATTGTCACTTCCCTCATTTTCATGAGTACCAAACACATAAACGCCAAGCACTTTACCAAAACTTGTCGCTAGCTTATAGATACCAGCGGCAGTTGTGATTCCAAATGATAATGGTGGTAGATTCATAAGTAAAATGGTATTTGATGGTGATAATGTGGAGACTTGAAAAGTTGACGTAAATTCTATGTTTTTGACTTTAGCATTATCGACAAGTAATGGTTGATGTTGAGATAAGATTGGACTTATTTGAGGTGCGTAATTGGAAGAGTGTTGGACTGGTTGTGGAATTTTCCGAGCTTGATATTGATGATGAGGTTGATGAGAGCTAACAATGTTGGCATAGTAATCATTCGAAGAATCGATAACCTGCTGAGAATTAGAACCAATAGAGTAAGTTTGAGACCTAGGCCTCGAATTTTCAACTAATTGAGATGAGAAAATAGCATGATTCACTATTTGGTTAATGCCTTGTTGCTGCCCATTAGTTGTATTGGGATTAATCTTGATAGGACTTTCATTAATAAATTGATTGTGTTCATAACTATATTCAATAGGATCACTAGATACGCTAGAACTTATATCCTTATTCAGGCTTTTCTGGCCTAGATTCATATTAATTTGAGATTCGTAAGACAAATGATACTGTTTATCACTCAAAGCATTGGACGTGGTATAAGATCTAATACGAGAAAAATCTGGTAAATTTTGAGCAGCCTGCTGTGACGGCATAGGTTGAGGTTGGGATTGAGGCGTCTGATTTAAAGATTTATTGCCTATCTGTTGCATCGATGCATGATGTCTCAAAGGTCTAGGCTTGGCCTCAAGCATTGAGTCATTATTGGCTGTTGATAACATGGAAGACATTTCATTAGAGCCAGAACTCCAAATGTTTGAATCGAAGCCAAACAAGGAGCCTGATCTTAATCTTCTGCCACCACCAACTTGAGGTAAATTGCTGTTGACACTGGGGGAGGTGGTATTAGCTGAGGAATTTGAAGATGAGTTATTGTAGCCAAATATGTCATTAAATGGATCTCTTGAACCAGAATTTCCTAACGATGTTGGATTATCTGAGCTCACGGCATTCAATAATGGGGATGTTCGGTTTATTGGCAAGTTTGATGTGGAAGGGTGTACGGTGTTGCTTGACGTTGGTACAGTCAAAGAACTTGTCGAATTGTTATTCAAAAAATCAAAGCCAGAATGGAAAGTTAAAGTATTGGAAGAGTTAAACCGAGAAGGAAGGGTCCCTGCCCTTGCCCTAGTTCTAAACCCCCCTAGCTGATGGTTAAATTGTTCATTCGGTAAATTTGTTATCGACTGATTACCAATACCGATGTTACCGCTCAAATCCAACGGATGAATAGGGCTTGGATTATTCAACGAAGAAATTGAGTCATTCAAACTGTTGTTTTGATCATGAACATCAATTTTATTGGTGAAATCACCTTGATAGCCTGAGCTCATAGCCAAAAAAGGTTGAAATGGATCAAGAATGCAATGACTGGATCAAATTGACTTTAAGGTGGTGATGGGAGAAACAGTTTACCTAAGAAACAAATGCGAAATAAAAAAAGAACTAACAAGTTTGAAGATTTCTAGTCTCGATCCTAGTATATTGTATATTTCCTGACGAGTGGAGTAGTTGAAAAAAGAAAAAAAGATGTGATAATGATCGCTAATCAAATCGAAATCATATTATAATCATAGAATTGTGAAATAGTTGTTTCGTGATTTGTGTTGGAAATTCCACTCTGAGATTAAGGCCGGGTGATGATAATATATTAAAGGCACGTCCATTTAGTCGGCTGTGTTGGTTGTGTTGGTTGTGTATTTCAAAACATGTTGGGCATTACACGATAATCTGCCAAAGAGATTCAAATCACAGTGATTATTATGTTTGATATACAGTGAAACGAGTCTTCATTTCCCACCAAATGTCTTCTTGAGAGATGAGAGGGGGAGTAGATCAACAATCTTCTTTATTGCCACCAGTGCAAGGTATTCTTTAGCAGTAATTTATAAGGCTATTTACTTCCAGAAGTCATTAGAATTCTAACCAAAGAGTCTGCTATAGTATTTTCCTGTATTTTCCAAATAATTTGACAAGCATACATACTTTGCAACTTTCCATGTTTCTCTATTATTATTTTTTTCTATGTAGAATTATTTTTTTTGGACACCCTAGCTCCCCGTTGGTTTCTTCGAAGAATATGGGTGTGGGTATTCACAGAAATTATTATTGTTGCAAAGAGAATAGTGTCTCAAGAATCTTCTCTTGATAATTCGGTTCTCTGGTGGCTATTACGTGGCAAAGCTTGTATGCATTCTCAAGATCCAAGGTCCGCAGACGCGTCCATTCTTGGTGAATTACATCTATGCTCATTTCACACGAGTACAATTTTAGACTTTGTGCGTTTTTAAACCTAATAAGGGAGTTCACAGTTATTGAAGTATTCTCTAAATTTAATCACAATAGCCTTGAGGTCAAAAAAATTGGAAGATAAGTGATAGGATTCCCAGAAAGGTTCAAATTTGTTATCAGCGGCCAATCCAAAATCAGCATATTCAAGTTAGATAATTAATTTATTGTCACAAAGGTCAAGCATTTGCAAATCTCTTGAATTTTTAACTCCTTCAATCGATTTCATTTTCTTCGCTGACAAATCAAGCTTCTGAAGCTTGGTGCACTTACCAAGGGATTTGATATCGTACACCCTATTTCTAGATAATGAAAGTACCTTTAAAAATATGATATTACCTATATGAGCCACGCTACCAACTTTGTTACCATAAAGGACTTGTTCCTTCATATTCGGAAGGAAGCGACCTGGTAATTCCAACTTTATTAGATTGAGATATTGACTCACGTCCAATCTTCGCAAATTAGGTGGTATTGTAAAGCTCCCAAATTCATAGCTATCAGAATGAACAACAATATCTTTTAAGTTGCAAAACCTTGAAAAATCAATTTTAGTTTCAGTGTGGGTAGAGTAGCCACAGTTTAGAATGGTAAGAGAAATAGCAGCCGCATACGAGTCTGTAAATGAGCTCATATGTTTCTCAGATATTCTAAGCTCTTCAATACTTCTCAATTATTCTAGGCTTTCAATCACCTCAATCATGTTTTCATTGAATTCTAAATATTTAAGATAGAAAAAATTCAAACCTTTGGTATTTTTTATTTCATTACAACGTAATGATAATGTTTTTAAAAATATAATTACATTCAAGTTCTCTGATTTAGAAATGTGATTCAGATGAAGGTCTATTAATAATAAATTTCCAAAATCCTGTAAATTTTCAATTTTTTGAATGTTTCAAAGCAAAAAAAATTCTTGAAATCTGGTGAAAATGACACAGAGATATTTTTAGCATTAGTGAATTTTAGAAACTCTCCTATTCTATTGAACTTGCTGTCAGAATCGTTGCACAATTTTCTGATACAATATGGTAGATTAAGTTGACCTAGCTTTCTTTCGAGATAAGTGGCATTCCGCACTAAATCATGGTAATCACTAAAAAATTATAAAACTTTAAAACTGTGGTGGAAGCAGGATAACATAAATCAAAGCCACGATAATTTTCTATCTGATTGACTCCAGTACACCCATCCAAAAACAGCTGAACACATTTCTTATTTTTTGATGAGGGACCATTGAAGCGTTCCTCCTCTATTTTAGAAAGAAATATATTGTTTATTGCTGATTGGTGTTTACTGATTTTTGGAAGATCATTGCAATAGATTTTTATTATTTCTATGGTGTCTGTGCTGATGAAATCTGACTTCTTAAATCACGGGTTTATTTCAAAAATATCTTCAAAACACCCATATTTTCATTCCTGACACCGCAATATGATTTCAATATTATTAAGAATGATACTCAATGCATATAAAATTAAAGAAACTTAAATTATCATAAAACATTTTTTGGAAAATTTCAAAAAGAATGAGAAATTTGTTGTTTGCTATTATCATTGAAATTTCTGCAGGAATCTTGTATTATTATTATTTTGTTGGTTACTGAGCTAGTGTAGGTTTAATCGTGTTGGAATACATCCCAACAACTCACCTTGATCTTTATAGTGATAGCGCCTACTCATTAGCAGCTGGTACGTGTCCTATCAAGTATTATTTTTTTCTGTCAGCATTAGAAGAGCACTTGAAGTAAAATCCCTTTTTTTTTGTTCCATACTGGACCAACGGTACACTATGGTGATGACGCTTTATCTTAGTAAAAAATCCACTTATATTATTCCTGTAGCATGTTATTATGAGAGCTATTAAAAAATTTGAAGTTTATTATTTGTCCTGCTCTTTTTATTGTCTACATTAAGTGACATCTTGTATGGTGTGTTTGCCTGCAAAAATTAAAACTAGCAATACCAACAAGAAAATATTCATATATTGTGCCCGTGTCCTGAGGCCAAAAAAAGGGTGTTTATGGCATATTGTTTGCAACAGTTGAAGAGATGGAGCTTAGACAAGACTGCAATAACCCAGAAAAAGTAATCACCAACAAGGCATTTTTCTTTTGAAATAAGTTCCAGCAGAAGGATTCTTAATAACTAGCGTACATGACTATCAGGAAAAATTGGTCCAAAAAGATGATATATCTATTGAGATTATATATTAGCCATCTCAACTATTCTTTTGCTGGAGTTTTTATTTTATGGCCGCGAATAAAAATGTTGATGAATACGACACACATTACACAAATCCAGGGATTATACTCTTATTAATTTTTCTGAGTAGTACACAACAATAGCAGAATATTTTTATGTATATATTTATGACAACACATTCCATAATATTGGGCAGTGCTCAACCTAAAAGTATTTTATTATCCAATAAACGTTGACATACTGCTTGAGTATTTTAGAGTATAAAATTCACGAGTAAACCCAATTGCAGAATTTCGTTAATTGGTCAAATTGCTGTGCTCGTGAGAAAGTAAGTGTGTGTGATTTTGAAGACTTTAATGCATTTGCCAGACAGTAAAAATGCGATTGAAGAGATGTTAGTAATGAATCAATCCCTTGAGAAACTTGTTACATATTCTTCAGGCTGTTAATCTTTATCATCTTCTCTGTTATGGTCGAATGGCTCTCAGGACCTGGGTGTGCTGAGGGCAGCGACACGAATGAAGATTTGCCAGAAACGCAGGACTTTCGTCCCTATTCTATATAATTGTTGTACTAAAAGAAAGTTTGGCAAAGATCAGATATTTTTTCTCTTACCTTGGCAATCGATTTCTAAATTACTTCGCAAGTGTGAAAGTTGAGTAAACTCAAACTTCTAGAATAATATTTTTCCATGGTACATTATATTTTGATTTTATTGTTATTGTTATCATCATAGACGAGGATATTTTCCCTCTGGTTTTATTGGATTGCTGATTTTTCTGGCTCGCAGCTAGGATTGCATCAAACCAGGATGCGTTTGAACAATCACCATGTACGGTGTTTGTAGTACAATGTAATAAGTGTGTATAATTATTCGCTTCATAATTCTTAATTGCAGCTGCTTCACAATGTTCTTTGTTATCAAAACAGCTGTACTTTGACAAAATTAAAGCGAAAAGATTTGATTGGTGATGCGCTCAAAAGCTCAAGCTGCTAGACACTAAAGAGTCATTACCACCTTAGTTTAATACCAAAAACTGTTGAAATTTGCTATACTGCTACTTGAATAAAATATAAACACTACTTAATCGAAATGAATTTTAGATTATATCTTGCTGAAGTACATGTACTCTGTAGCGCTATGATCATCACTTGCCTTGGGCTCTATAGTTGTCTCAAGAAACTGTCCAAGGTTAAAAGTAAATGTTTTTCATTTCTTGTTTCTTTGAACAACATCGCATCTGTTAGGTGTTGATATCATTGTTTTATGAATATACATGTGGTCAGCACTTTTCACATCCCACAAGATTTACGCATATATTTTCCGTGTGGAGTTATTTTTGTTATATACAAATGCATGAAATTATACTTGTGCCTTGCATATCATGCACTCAGGTACAACAATCCTTGGAACTTAGTACAATCAACCTCAACTCAAAACCATTCACAGGGTTTCTCTTTGTTTATTTTTTTGTTGTTGTTTTTTACACTTTTTGTTTTTCTATACCTTTATTGGTAAAGCTTGGATTATTATCCTTACTAGGAAACATCGCTCGACAAAAAAGACAACTAATAGCTGATTTTGGAAATGTGCTTCCAGTTGGGTTAAGAAAAAAAAAAGGATTTAAAGGCAATGAATCGCTGAGTATATTCTTCTTTTTGGTTTTTAACATAATTATCATCATTCAACAACTGTCACTCACTTATAAACTTATCCACTCGTTTTTTCTTCTAATCAATCATGTACTCCAACATTTTTAAAGTCTCTTTAGCTTCCGCTTTCCTTTTGGCATCTGATGCTTTTCCTTTGAATAAAACTGATGCTAGTATTGAGGTCGGTGCTGGTTTAGGTGCTAGTGTTAGCGGTCTTGATGCTACCTCTATCATTGGTGAAGCTACTTCTATTGTTGGCACTGTCTACAGTGAAGCTACCTCTATCATCGGCAGCTTCACTGAGCTCACTACTATTGTTGGTGGTTCTGAAGGAGCCACTACTATTATTGGTGGTGTTGAGGGAGCCACTACTATTATTGGTGGTGTTGAAGGAGACATTGGTGTTGACGGAGCTCTTACTGAAATTATTGGTGATGTCACTACCGTTGTTGGTATCGCCACCTCTGCCGCTGGTGTTGTTACCTCTGCCGCTGGTGTTGTGACTTCCGCTGCTGGTGTCGTCACCTCTGCTGCTGGTGTTGTTACATCTGTTGCCGGTGTCGGTACTTCTATCCTTGGACAAGGTACTTCTTTTATTGGTGATGAAGTTAGTGATGTTCTTGATGGTAACCTTGGTGGTGCTCTTGCTGGTGTTGGTAATGAAGTCACTGTTGCTGTTGGTGATGTCACTACTGTTGCTGGTGTTGTTACATCTGCCGCTGGTGTTGTTACCTCTGCCGCTGGTGTTGTTACTTCTGCTGCTGGTGTTGTTACCTCTGCTGCCGGTGTTGTTACCTCTGCTGCCGGTGTTGGCACTTCCATCGTCGGGCAAGGTACTGGTCTTATCGGAGAACTTGTTCCAACTGGTGGTCTTCTCTAAATTTGAACCTTTCTAATTTTTTCTCATTTTTATTAATTGATTCTATATGCCCCTTTTAATAATTTAACTCAATTATATACTATCTGCTAGCCCTAACAATAGCATGTAATAGAGTCCTTGATCCTATGAACTTTATCTACTCAGTATAGCGCACAGCTTGTCGACGGACCATGCATTGTCGAATTGACCAAATCACGGATATTTTGTAGAAATGCCTGTAAATAGTATGGATAGAAACAAAGAAAGAAAAATGTCTGCTCAATTCATATTATTTCATTTAAAAATATATTAATATATTGCTGGAGATATCATCGTTTGAAATTTGCTTTGAATATTTCGCCGAAATTGTTCGCAAAGTTGGCTGAATTTTTTCTAAGAGTTGAGGAGGTGCAGCACCTTGTATCAGGATATCCCAAAAGTGCGGTACAGAGTATTGTCGAGGAGGTATATGTTCATTTATTTCATATAGTCGGTTACTACTAGTAGTAACCTATGAAAAAATATAAAATTGAAAATTGAGGTTGAGTTGGGCGAAGAAAATGGAGAAGTTTAAATATTGGATATGGTGAAAATTGAACATTGATGGTCGCATACGTTGATAAAAATGGAATTAAAAGAGAAACTAAAACTTTTATGAAAAATATGGTGTTATCGAATGTCAGTTTGATCGAAGAGAAATGTATTATTTACAAGAAATTATGGTGAACAATTTTTGGGTGGTCCCGCATGCAGGGAAGTTCTATTTCATTGCAAACAAAAAAAAAGAGAAAAAAGAAAAAAAAGAGTGACCTTTGACCATAACATACAGTAAACATAATCTAAAAATGATTGATGTTTCGGACAGAATATCTGTTCTAGACGGATTCATTATAGACAAAAAAGAAAAGCGAATAATATCCACAAGCTCCGAAGTCATTACCAAGCTTGGCCAAGCTCTGAAGAAGAATCTTTCAGCATGCGATCTTAAAGATCTCCACTCTACTTTCAGCACCACAAATGTCTGCTTCTACGATCTTTCTGAGCTCATGCCACATGTCACAATGACAGAAGTATTCATAAAAAAAAGTAGTGATGGGCGTTACCAAACCAAGAGCCGTAAATTTAGCGGCTCCTCCAAGTACCAAGCCACCATTATCAGATTAGCTGGCAATAAGAACTATTACTTGATTCATCGCAAGAAAAGTGACTCTAGCATGGCTTACGATATCATGGGATCCTCCAAGGATATCCAGTTTGTTAAGTCCAATACAGTTTTAAAACTGTACTTAGGCGATCCCATTGTGTCTCAAAATGATAAACAATTGTTAATCAAGATTCAAAATTACGACCTCAAGGAAGAAGCATCTGAATTATTCATGTTTGGCTACAAACAAACTCAACTAAACTCTTCTATCATCACCGATTCGTCCTTTGGTTTGGGATTTGAAAAATTCTACACCTAGGGATACAGACGCGCAATCTGGAGAAATGCTATACATTGCAGCACAACCAGGAGACATTTTTAAATGAAGAATATTTGGTGGAAATGGCTAGTAAAGATGATGTTGGAATCTGGAGAGGATGCTGAGCAAAAATATATAATTACCTAGGGATACAGTCGCGCAATCCGCCGGAATGCCATACATTGCAGCATAATCAGCCGGAATTTTTAAATGATGAATACTCGGTGGAAATGGCTAGTAATGATGCTGTTGAAATCTGGAGAGCATGCTGAGCAAAAATATATAATTTTATCTGAAAGATAATATAATGTGGTAGAGATATTGGCGCTTGAAATGTGCGTTGCACAATCAGCCATAATGTTTTGGCATAATCCGCGGAAATATGCAGGGGGTTTGGGACCCCGTTCCACAATCAGCGGAATTCTCTACATCTTCAGCAGAAATCATTGAGAGCTAACGAGGGTGAGATACCCCTTTGTATTGGGCGAGCAGTATTACGTCTGATATTGAAGAAAGCGATGGTATGGCGAGGATTGAGATTTGTGTGAGTATTGTGGAAGGATTAGAAGAGGATGATTTTTAAATAAAGGATAAAAAAGTGGAGAAGTATTAAAGAAGATATGTGATTATTGTTGAAGCTAGGATGGATTAGGATGTGTGAATTGTGGAGGTATATGAGGTCAGAAATTGAAGGCAGTATTATCATTTTCATATTTCGAAGAGTTTGGGATGATTGTAAAAATATTGGAGGATAAGAAGGAGATTTGCGGGAGAAATGTGGTAGAGCATGTTGTGCGGTGGCCGTGGGTCATGAAAAATTGAGGGATAGAATATTTTTGAAAAAGAGGTCCCTATGGAAAAAGTAGGATTGTAGTTGAAATATTTGGAGAATTTGATATGATTAAGATTAAAAAAGAGGAAAGGGAAATAAAAATGTGGAGGAAAATGGGGATTTCAAATTTCGAGTGATGGTCGGGGTATTATATTGAAGATGAATTTAAGGGTCAAGTATTTCCAAAAAAAAAGTGAGAGAGAAAAAGAAAGATTGTTTATGAAATATTTCCAAAATTTTAATATAGATATGATTGTTAAGTAGAAGATGGAAAGGAAAATGTGGTGGGAAACTGAGGTGATGTTCCAAGGTCATATGTGAGTATAAGTGAGAATTTAAGGGTAGGGTATTTTATGAAAAAATCAAATTGAGAAAAAAGTAAGAATGTTTATAAAATATTTGGGAAATGTTAATATGATTAAGATTAAAAAATAGGAGAGGGAAATGAAAATGTGGCGGAGAAATTAGGTGAGTAATTTTTGAGGAAGATCGGGATTATTGTATGGATGAGAAATAGATGTGTAGATATTAATGAAAAAAAAAGATAGAGAGAAAAAGTAAGATTTTAGATGAAATAATTGAGATCATTTTATGTGGATAAGATCATGATATGGAATATTGAGAAATAATTGAGAGATAAAAATAGGGTATGTTGAATTTGTGTGAAGGTCGGGGAATGATGTATTGTGGAGAAATGAGGGAGATTTATTTTGGAGAAAAAGAGAGTGAAAAAAAAAGTGAAAAAAAAAGTGAGATTGTTTATGGAATTTTTGAAGGATTACCTAGGGATACAGTCGCGCAATCCGCCGGAATGCCATACATTGCAGCACAATCAGCCGGAATTTTTAAATGATGAATACTGGGTGGAAATGGCTAGTAATGATGCTGTTGAAATCTGGAGAGGATGCTGAGCAAAAATATATAATTTTATCTGAAAGATAATATAATGTGGTAGAGATATTGGCGCTTGAAATGTGCGTTGCACAATCAGCCATAATGTTTTGGCATAATCCGCGGAAATATTCAGGGGGTTTGGGACCCCGTTCCACAATCAGCGGAATTCTCTACATCTTCAGCAGAAATCATTGAGAGCTAACGAGGGTGAGATACCCCTTTGTATTGGGCGAGCAGTATTACGTCTGATATTGAAGAAAGCGATGGTATGGCGAGGATTGAGATTTGTGTGAGTATTGTGGAAGGATTAGAAGAGGATGATTTTTAAATAAAGGATAAAAAAGTGGAGAAGTATTAAAGAAGATATGTGATTATTGTTGAAGCTAGGATGGATTAGGATGTGTGAATTGTGGAGGTATATGAGGTCAGAAATTGAAGGCAGTATTATCATTTTCATATTTCGAAGAGTTTGGGATGATTGTAAAAATATTGGAGGATAAGAAGGAGATTTGCGGGAGAAATGTGGTAGAGCATGTTGTGCGGTGGCCGTGGGTCATGAAAAATTGAGGGATAGAATATTTTTGAAAAAGAGGTCCCTATGGAAAAAGTAGGATTGTAGTTGAAATATTTGGAGAATTTGATATGATTAAGATTAAAAAAGAGGAAAGGGAAATAAAAATGTGGAGGAAAATGGGGATGTCAAATTTCGAGTGATGGTCGGGGTATTATATTGAAGATGAATTTAAGGGTCAAGTATTTCCAAAAAAAAAGTGAGAGAGAAAAAGAAAGATTGTTTATGAAATATTTCGAAAATTTTAATATAGATATGATTGTTAAGTAGAAGATGGAAAGGAAAATGTGGTGGGAAACTGAGGTGATGTTCCAAGGTCATATGTGAGTATAAGTGAGAATTTAAGGGTAGGGTATTTTATGAAAAAATCAAATTGAGAAAAAAGTAAGAATGTTTATAAAATATTTGGGAAATGTTAATATGATTAAGATTAAAAAATAGGAGAGGGAAATGAAAATGTGGCGGAGAAATTAGGTGA